GCAGCTTGACCTACCACCGCATACACAGCGCAGTACAGGCCAGGCCTCACGGAACCTGCCTGTCATCTGTGCTCGAGTTCTGCCGTCGTGGGTGTGGTGTCTAGAGATCTTCATACAGCAAATGACGCCAGCCAACCAGTTCACCAGCACGATTGCATGTAAGTAGATTGCAGACAAGCACAAGCAATGACTTCTCTGACCTCCGAATCATTTCAGTGGCGGAGATAACCACCAAAGCCGCCCATTTCGGAACTTCCCAGTCGCGAGATCACGACTTCCCCACTACCGTTGACACATGACGCGAGACTCCTCGTCTCCAAATTCATGCCTTAAATGGGTCCCGGCTCAAGGCCCCAGAAGGCGCAGCGCAGAGCTGGAGGCTTCGCTCAGGGAATGCCCGGGCAACTTGGGTTTGAGACATCGATGATATCAAGCCTGCAGCTTCTGTTCAGATTACCCGCGACTTGCACAATGTTTGGCGCCACAGCACATTGACTATGCGTGCCGCAGCTCGTCTAGTCACAAGCTCCCTTGCTAGCTGCTCCTTAGTTCGCATGGCAAAGACGGCTTGCTCCTACCCATGCTCGAGCCATGTCGACAGGATATTACCTGGTAGTGGAATACTTGCAAATGCCAGAATGCCGTCCGGACGATGATGTTCTCGGTACGTGGAGCGCGACCGACATTACCACAGCGTATTCGCTTTTTACAGCATGTTATGCCTGTCCTATCTGCCTGCTTCCTTCGCTCACCACAGCAGCACGTTGGTGTTGGACAACGAGTCCGAGGACTCGGCATGCCGATAAAAGATTCGATGTGTCGTTTTCGCCTCTAGCCAAAATGGGTAGGTAGGACAGAGCTCCAGGACACTTCCTTTCCCCAGATGCACGAGGGCTGCATGTATGTACAGGGCCAAGCCGCAGCTGCATCCATCGCTGACGACGCAGGAAGAGCATGCTTCCAAGGGGCTTGTGAACCCTTGGTCAATCGGAGAAAGCGTCCTTGCCGTCCGTCACGAGTACTTTGTCTCGAAAGGGGGGGCCGGCATGTTTTGGCATCTGACGACGAACAACGTGGTATTACTGTACGGTCATCATTGCGACAGTTGCTCAGAATGCGAGTGGTGAGCATGATGCCCGAGAAACTTCAGATCAGTGCGACAAAGTCAAACATAGACAGACCGCGCTTGTAGTCACAGGGCTCGGCCTCGCTAACGAGTGTACTCATATCCGGCTCGTCGACGGCATATGGAGAGAACACCAAAAAGGCCGCTTTTTCTAATGATGGCCGGATACGCGGACAGTAAACGCCTTGATTTCTCTTCAACGACTTGACCGACTGATATCTCGTCGCATGGTCACGCACGGCATTGCCAATGTAAAAAGCGCAGTGATCTTCGACTCGTGTCGAATATCACATCATTGAACGCCGTTTCGGAGGACTTCCACTACGACGCCCGATGGAGGCCCAGCTCAAAGCAAAATTACCAATAGTTGATTTGTACCAAGCCTGCCGGCAAGCCGTCCAGATGACAGGGCAAGCAGCTTATGCTCCATGCTGCCCAGGGCAAGTCATGGTAGACAAGGACGCCACTGGTTTTCTCCCAGCCGTTTTCATTGTCAGTCGTCAGTCTAGGCTGAGGTGGACATTCCGTTGTACCAAGACTCGACTATAGAAACATTCTACAGCCTGATAGCTTGAGAGGCTATTATGCTTGAGAAACTCTTCCCGAAGCTGTATGGTAATGACCCACATGGCAAGGCTTTGGGAGGGGGGTCTACTCGCGTGTTCGGATATCGCAAGTGCTGTCAAGTAAGTGGCTGCGATGGTCCAGGATCGCGGGACCAGAGTGCGGGAGCACGATGAACGGAGGAGTGCTCCAGAACCGCTGCGAGACGTGAAGAGGGTGTGGATGGAGAGCTTGAGTCAAGGCATGCACGAGATGAGGGTGTGAATGACCAGGATTGAGCCTGGCGCGTAGCAGGCCAAGTCCAGACGGGCGCTACAGGGGGGTCAACTCTCTGAATGGGTTTGTCCAGAAGTAGAACACCTGATTGGCCTTTGCAGCGTAGCAGCGACCCGTCCAGCTGACACCTAGAAAGCCCTTGGAGTTTGGCTGGCCAGGTTCAATATGAATCGTCGAATCATCGACCGATCGCAAACTGGGTCTTCCATCAGACGGGTTTGATAGACGAGCCTGATTCGAAAACGCCACGGCTCAAGGACCATCGGGGGTTCTCACATTCCTCCGGATCAGGCTGGGGTCTGACTGAGCCTGGTGACCTCGGGTCGCCGGGAAGACACGCATGGACGTTGAGACAATTTCAGACCATCAGAAATGGAATTTCCGCCATCAAAACCTGTCAAAGACGGTCCAGAGCGGGCCCACCCAACCAACACGGCCGAGGATGTGCCGCCGCAGCCATGACCACACCAACTTTTCGCCTTGGATGGTCGATCAGGACATGGGGACCTGTTCGTGTCGCATTGGGGCGAATGCAGGAGACTGAACGGGCAGTCCCTTGTTCCCGCTCTGCAGCTTGATTAGAAGGTGTCTCCATCTGCATCGCACCTGGCTCATTGTTGATGTTTTGTTAAACAAGATCCAGATGTTGTTGGGGCCGCACCAACCAAGCGGCAGCAGATTTGATGCACACATTCCCAAGTCGTGCTCGCATTATGCTTAGAACCACGACTAACAGTATTTTCCCCAGGTTCTCTCTCTCTGTCTCGATGGCCCTCGGAAAGATTACACGACCCAGATAACGCCAACCCGTGGCGCTAGGCCTGACTGTGCGACCTCCAAAAGTCCCGTTGCCATTCCTCGTGGCGAGCGACTTCTGTCGCGGGTACCAGTACCGAGATTCCCCCAGTTCTCCATTCGGCCGGCGATTTGCCTCGATTGCGATTAGCTGGCTGGCTGGTCCCTCACGTAAGACAAGTAGTTGAGTCACACAAAAAGCGGAAGCCTATCTAGGCACTGTCCGTGTTCCCGTCCGTCGTGTGCCAGGACACGACAGAAAGGGGGGCTGTACTAGTCCAGCACCTACTTGGTGGGCTATAGGTTGACGGAGCCGGTAGGCGACCGTTAAGAACCAGAAGTCTGGATTCATGCCCTGCGGACAGAGCAGCGACCCAGGGAGGTGAATCGTCCATGCGGCCATGGCAGTATCTGTAATGCTGCTGACCTCGTGGGCGTTCGCAGTGGAAGTACCATGTAAATGCGCTGCAACCCCGACGGATCCGCGAGCGACGGGCTTTCTGGAAGGGAGGGTGTGTGGCCCGGCACAGCGCAAGGACCTCGGGACCCAGGACTCAGGACCCAGGACCCAGGGCTCATGGGACAGGGAGGCGGGCAGGCAGGCAGGCAGGCAAGGCTTGCAGGGGGGAGGGGGGTGGAGGACCCCAAGGGATCGACCGCGCCGCAAGCTGCTGACGCAAGAAACGCAGCCAAAGGAATACATTACCAGGTGCGCAGATGCAAGCGAGCAGAAGAAGCCCGCGCTGTGGGCCGCCTGTTGGTGAGTGATTTCCAATCTGGGACATCCATCGGCCAGGTGGCTCTCCGGGTACTGTGCCCATCGCCGAACATGTATGACCCTGATGATATCAGTCGTGCAGGTTGCAGATGCAGATGCAGACGCACTCTGATCATGCTGGCACATCAGCAGCCACGAGTGAGGTCTGGTTGCTTTGTGAGCACCGAGCAGGCAAGCAAGCACAGGCCAGGGCGGGCAACGGTGGATCCATGATGCTCAGGCCCCCTCGACCCTTCGTCCTCTTTTCGTTCAGTGATGGATGGGCGGACGGTGGGCCCCCTCCCCGTCTTCGGCAACTTATCTTATCTATCTCTGGGATCTTGTACCGCAGTCCCGTACTACGGACCAGACTGTGTTACGGTGGGCATGGCTGCGCGGAGCATAACAGGGTTGCCCGTGCTAAAAGTAGAAGTCTAAAACGAAGCACGAGGATTACGACATGACACGGCGCTCAGGGCGGCCTCAGCACCTGTCTCTTGATCACTCGAGTGCCGTCATGGCAAGGTATATCGCAGCAGCACTCGGCCATCCCTTGCTTGGACCAAGCCTTGTCAAGGTTTCAACAGGTGGATCAACGGGGCGGGACCTTGGAAGGGAACCCCCACCGGCCTCGACGCTCCCATTTGCATTCGCAGTAGCATGTAAGGGTAGAGTCTACCGCAAGCATCCAGCCCACGTATCCGCGGACGAGGACGGGCAGAAGCTTCGATCGCAACCGAGCCCATGTCTGATTTAGCTCGAGACCGACGATCAGAGCAAGGGAGCGACCCCGGGACTCTCGGGTTAGGCTCTGGGGATTTCGTGGATATGCCTGACATCCGTGGTCCTGTGGGTATGCAATGGAGCGTACCCGCAAGTTGCCGGAAGGCATTTGCAGTCTACCTAGGTACCCATGGAGCGCAGTCCCCGGTGTCGCGCGAATCACAGCAGCTCTCCCGCGTGGACACAGATGTTCTGACTCGAGATTTACTTGCTTTTTCCGTTGGGCAAAACTCGTCAAAGCCTATAGTGCATTGAAGGTTGTTCTGGTGCGGACAAGTCGTTCGAGTAATACAGCCTGGTCCTTGAAAACCTGCCTGTCTAGAAACGCAAAAAATGGAATAGAGATAGCAGTAGCATGAATATCGTGCTGGGACGCGGCCTGTCTCTACTGCCAGGCGTCGGAATACAGATGATGCGAGGGCATCTACGCAGTACAGACTGCTTCGTCCCTCCTTGTCTGTCCGACAGCACAGACAGACGTCGTGGATTGAGTGATTTGTTTGCGATTCGATCACGCGGGCTAATCTAGCTCCGTGATACCTTTGGGCATCTCTCCGAACGCCTGGGCAATCTACTCAATGCTGTGTCGCCCAACTAGCTAGACGGTAGGGCAGCTCGTGGTTTACACAGCATTCCATGTCCCGCAGTGTCTCGTCCGTCGGCCAGCTGAGTAAGCTCTCCACGTGATTTGATATTAAGATGCCTCATGGACCTCCTTCGGTTGCTGTGGGCTTGGACGAAGGAGGACAATTGGGGCGCGAGAGTATCGAAGAAGGAAGCTTACTAACTTTCTGGACGTCGCCTGTCACTCGTGCTGAGAACAAGGACATCCCATCCCAAGCACTGATCGTCCAAGCACCAGGTCTTGGTCTTATCGATAAACCGGCCCCACCGAAATTTCCAAAGACGACATCACATCGACAGCAGCCGATGAGAGCAGCAAACGGACTGCATCAAATGCTCGGACAGCGGACACTGCCAAGATGACCAGTCTCAAGAGAAGCCTGGGCTCTGACCCATTGGCTTCAAGCATAGCCAGCAAGGTCTACATACGCTCTACCAAGGCGGGCAAGCTGCAGAAGATCGTCAAAGAAGTGTACCTGCGGCAAGACATCCCCTGTTCTTCCAACCTGTGTTCGAGCTGCCTCAAGACAGCACCTCGAGATGCATCAGGGAAAGGTAATGCATCACCCCGTACACGAATGTCCTTGATTATACGCTAACATGTATCACAGTCGCGCCCTTCGTGCTCTCTAAGGAGCCTGCCGGCACAAAGGCCTTCCCCAAGGGTCATTACATCGTGCCCGACACCAATGCGTTCCTCAACGCCATGGACCTCTTCGAGCAGGGCTCGGCGTTCTACGACGTCATTGTGCTCCAGATTGTGCTGGAGGAGCTGCGCAACCGCTCCCTCCCCTTGTACAACCGCCTCATCGGCCTCACCAAGAGCGATGAGAAGCGCTTCTACGTCTTCTTCAACGAGTTTCGCCTGGAGACCTATGTGACCCGCGACCCTGGCGAGACTGTCAACGACCGCAATGACCGCGCTGTAAGGAAGGCCGTCGCGTGGTACGGCGAGCATCTGGCCAAGACCAAGGCCAAGAAGGTACCCACCGTCGTCATGCTCAGCAACGACCGCGACAACCTGCGGAAAGCCAAGGCCGAGGGCATAGCGGCGTGTACCCTAGGGGAGTACGTCAAAGGCCTCGAGAATGCGGACGAGCTCATGGATATGATTCCCGAGTCGCAGGTCGAGATCGATAAGCAACGGGGCCCGGGCGGACACATCTACCCAGAATATTACTCGATGTCCAAGATGATGACGGGGGTCAAGAATGGACTACTCCACCAGGGCGTATTCAACATGTCGCCTTACAATTATCTGGAGGCGTCAGTCCGAGTACCGGCTTTTCCTAAGGCATTGATTGTCATGGGAAGAGAGAGCATCAACCGAGCGGTCGACGGCGATGTTGTGGTTGTGGAGGTCCTGCCCAAAGATCAGTGGAAGGAGCCATCTACACAGATTATTGAAGAAGAAGCCTTAACGAAGAACGAAAACGCCGACGGTGATGAGGGACAGGAACTCGTCTCAGAGAAGGAGAAGAAGGCTCTCCAGGATGAAGTGAAGAGAACCCAGGGCAAGACAGGAGAAGGTCACGCTCAGCCGACGGCGAAGGTTGTGGGCGTGATCAAGCGGAATTGGCGTCAATACGTCGGACACATCGACCAATCTACGGTCAGCCAATCTTCTACGCAAGGCAGAAGGCAGGATACGGTGTTCCTCGTGCCTATGGACAAGAAGATCCCCAAGATTCGGCTTCGTACACGACAAGTGGCCGACCTGCTTGGAAAGAGGATACTGGTCACCATGGACGCGTGGGACAGGGACTCAAGAAACCCTGTAGGGCATCTTGTACGGACTCTAGGTGAGATGGAGACCAAAGCTGCCGAGACCGAGGCTTTGCTTCTCGAGTACGACGTGCAATACCGGCCATTTCCAAAGACAGTATTGGATTGCTTGCCGAAAGAAGGACATGACTGGAAGGTCCCGGCTAGCACGGATGACCCAGGATGGAGAGATAGAGAGGATCTCCGAGGGCTCCTCATCTGCAGTATCGATCCTATCGGCTGTCAAGACATCGACGATGCGCTGCACGCAAAACAGTTACCAAACGGCAATTTCGAAGTTGGAGTGCATATCGCCGATGTATCACATTTTGTGAAGCCAAACAACGCAATGGATACGGAGGCCAGCATTCGCGGTACGACAGTATACCTGGTCGACAAGCGTATTGACATGCTTCCCATGCTTCTTGGTACAGATCTGTGCTCTCTCAAGCCCTACGTGGAGCGATATGCCTTCTCGGTCTTGTGGGAGATGAACTCTGACGCTGATATTGTCAATGTGCGCTTCACGAAGTCAGTCATCAAATCTCGAGAAGCTTTCAGCTACGAGGAAGCCCAGCTCAGGATCGACGACGTGTCTCAACAGGATGATCTCACCAAGGGCATACGGACACTACTCATGCTGTCCAAGAAGTTGAAGCAGAAGCGCATGGACGCGGGCGCGCTAAGCCTGTCTTCGCCCGAGGTCAAGGTGCAGATGGAGTCAGAGACGTCGGATCCCATCGACGTCAAGACGAAACAACTTCTCGATACCAACTCCCTCGTCGAGGAATTCATGCTTCTCGCCAACATCAGCGTTGCAGGCAAGATTTACGAGGCTTTCCCCCAGACCGCCATCCTCCGACGCCACGGTGCCCCGCCTAAGACCAACTTCGACGAGCTCGCCAACCAGCTCAAGGTCAAGAGGGGCCTGGAGCTGCACGTTGATTCGTCTCGTGCCCTAGCTGACAGTCTGGATGCGTGCGTCGACCCCAACGAACCCTTCTTCAACACTCTGGTCCGTGTCATGGCCACCCGATGCATGATGAGCGCCGAGTACTTCTGCTCGGGCACGCAATCGTACCCCGAGTTCCGTCACTACGGCCTCGCCTCCGAGATCTACACACATTTCACGTCGCCGATCCGGCGGTACGCAGACCTGGTCGCGCACAGGCAGCTGGCGGCCGCGATCGAGTACGAGCCCGTGGCGCCCTCGGTACGCAGCAGGGGCAGGCTCGAGGCGGTGTGCAAGAACATCAACGTGCGGCACCGCAACGCGCAGCTGGCCGGCCGCGCCTCCATCGCCTACTACGTGGGGCAGGCCGTCCGCGGCAGGGTCACGGAGGAGGACGGCTTCGTGATGAAGGTCTTCAGCAACGGCTTCGTGGTCCTGGTGCCCCGCTTCGGCATCGAGAGCGTCATCCGCCTGCGGGACCTCGCCGAGCCCGAGCCCCAAGCCACGTACGACGCCGAGAACTACGTCCTTAAGACGTCTGGCAGCAGGGAGGTCAGCGTGGAATTGTTCCAGAAGGTCAGGGTCAGGATCAGCGACCAGAAGGAGCAGTCAACGGGCAAGCGGACTGCTAAGATGGAGTTAGTCTCGGCATTGTAGAAAAGGATATTTCAAACTGCCTTCGGGTGTGGTCAAATGAAGTCAATAATTGCAAATTCGACAATAGAAGATCAAGCCCAATGAAGAAACGATCAACATTAGATGATGCATTGTAATAACCCACTAATATCAGCCTATATCCTAATCTCCCCATACCGTCAACGCACTTGAAAGCTAGGCCACGTGAATAACCAAGATTGCTTCCTTCAGGGCTTGCGCTGTCCGTCCGTATTCTGTTCGGCCGTCCGTTTGCCCGGTCAATCCCAGCTCTACTGTGGGCAGCAGGATCCCGAGGCGGATTCCTGGCCTCAAAACGACGGTAGGTCCGCCGAATAGCCTGCACATCGAGCACGCACCTTTTTGAAAACCTTCGTTTTCCCCAGTCACGATTTTGAGATCCAGCAGTTTAGAGAGACGAATAGCAGCCCTAGGGACAGCCTTTGCCGCTGAAATCACAACACATGTGACATGTGTATCTCTGTCTGTTCTTCTTCTGAGAAGCAATTCAATAGATATGGTGTAATTAATGCAATATTATTTGAGGAGATTTGTGGTGCACATAGCTCATAATCAGGGCTCAGGGGTTGGAGAGGCTCTGAGACCACCGAGTATTTTGAGCCTGTATATCTCTGTCTAGCCACCAAGTCTGCTGACTTAGCAAGAGACCCGTACTTGGGATGATCTCCTCCGGCAATGTCATGTGGTGGTAGTCGACAGGATTTAAGGATCTACGTCCTGGTCTTTCGGGATCGGAAGGCATCCTACAATCTCACTGTGAGGACAGCAGTGTGCTCAGATATCAATTCTGATCTTAGATTAAACGTTTTGAGTATCATTTGTCTCACTCCGAACGCCAAAGCCACAACATATGCCGCAAGACTCGTCGCGTGAAGAATGGCGAGCCCTTCTTCAATCCTATCTCAAGACTCTTTAGCCCTCCATCTCGACCTCCTTGGCCGCAGCAGCATCGTCGTCGCCCCAGAGCCCTTCGAGCTTGAACTCGGCTGCCCATTCCGTGACGATCTGCTTCTGGTCCGCAGCCGCATCCGCCGGCGGGGCAGCGGTAGGCAGCTTGATACCAGCGACGGCCCCGGTTTCGTCGGCTGCTGAAGCCGCCGCGGCCGCAGGTGCATCGACCCAGCCCTGGATGCGACCATCCCTCCAGTCGGTGACCACTGTCATCGCCGCCGCTTGGATGTTGGGGATACCTCCCCTGCCAAGTCGGCCACGCTTGCGCGCAACCTGCACCAGGAAGTCCATGGTCGCATCTCCGGTGTCCGAGTTGGACAGCAGAGGTGGGAGGTCGTACGCGCCCATCAGCCGCTCCAGCAGGGCAGGCGACGTGGACAGCCGCTTGAGCAGCAGCGTGACGGCCGGGACCGGGTCTTCGATGGCCTTCGGTGGGACGACGTTCAGGAGCACCAGGTGAGCGTGCGCCTCCGTCGGGTTCTTGGGCACGAAGCTCGTCGGGGACACTTCGGATGTCGAAGGGAAGACGATTCCGGGTGAGTCGAGCAGGGTCAGCTTGCTGTCGATCTTGACGGTGCGGATCGACGTCGTCACGCCAGCCTCGGCACCTGCTGGGCAAGCCGATCGCTGGCCGCGGCTACCACCCAGCCTTGAAAGCAATGCGTTGATAACTGAGGACTTTCCGACGTTCGGGTAGCCAATGACACCGACTGAGATGGAGCGCTTAAGGTTGCGGCCCGCGGCGAAGGCCTTGAGAGAGCGGAATAGGGTCGCGCTGGTGCTCTGGACGGTCAAGTCGCGGTGGTTGAAGGTGTGAGCGTTTGGTGCGGCGTTGGATGCGCGAATGGGAAGGGTGGGGAAGTAGGAGCGGAGGTAGGCGAGCCAGGCTTTCAGAACGGGTGGTGGGATGAGATCGATCTTGTTGAGAACCAGGATGAGTCGTTTCCCGCCGGAAGCTGCCAACATGACGGCCTTCTCGACATCCCTTGACCGTGTTCCCTCGGGGTCTCTGGCATCCAGGACGTAGAGGATAACGTCAGCCTGCTCCACAACCTGCTTGAAAACCTTGTCGTAGGCTTTCCGGGAAGTTGGGTCGCCTCCCACTCGAGTAGCCCCTGGATACCCGTCTTCTGAGTCGTCAGAGTCGTCGTCGGAATCGTCCTCCATGTCGTCGTCGCCACTCTGCAGATCTCGCTCGTAGTCCTCGGCTGCACGCCTCGCGCTCGCCAATAGCGCCGCCATGGGATTTGACTCGTCGACGTCGCCTTCTTCCATCACATCGTCATCCACCTCGATGTCTTCGTCCTCAAAATCTTCCTCCATGGCTTGCTCGCCATCTTTGGCTTGTTCCACTTGACCAGTCCTGGCGGCCTTGGCTGCCTCCTTGCGCTTGCGAGCCTCTTCCTCTTTTCGCGCCTTCTTCTCCTCAATCTCCTGCAGTAGCTTCTCTTTGTATGGGAACAGGTTAGGGATACCCGGGTCCTTCTTCAGTTTGGAGCGCCATTCTGGGTTTTTCTTGGCTTGCTTCCTGTCCTTTCGTTGTTTGGCATGGGACTTCTTTTCGATCTTTGCCCGTAACCTCGTTGTGGTCCGCTTGGACTTGGGCTCTGTTGTCGAGGAGTCAGCTACCTTCTCATCACAATTGCTTGCATGTTATCCTCACTCTTCGGTTTGTTGATTGAGCCAGCCATTTTGGGCTTATGACTGAATTGGAAGGTTATGAATGAGGAGACTGGGCGGGGATGCGATGGCTCGAGCGAACTTGAGCAAAAGGCGAAGAAAAGCGGCAGAACGCAGAAAATTCTCACCGCCCCATGTAATCGATAAGAATCTAGCCCTCTCGGTTAGGCGCGAGACCCCCAGCCAAACCTCGCCGGCTCCAAGTAGCCTCCACTAACCGACCCTCATTTCCCAGTAATCCAACCTTTGGGAACTAGAAGAAGCTGATAAGTGGGGATGATCAGGTAAGAAAGAGGCAACGCTAAATGCTCGCTGTTTGAGACGTCACTGAAGCAAGGGAAGCTTTCTACCAGACCACCATGGTGTCAGTGTCGGAAAACCGCTGGGGCGCTTTACTTGTTCTGGTAGTTCCGATGGAGCCGCCGGCCATGCTCCGTCTGTCATCACGACAGCACTTGGACACCTTGTCGGCTGTTTGGATTATTTTCTTCAATTTTTGATCATTGATTCAGCGCAATTCTCTGGTTCCAATATTCTCTCTACATAATATATATTGTTAGATCTCCAAGACCATTGTTTCCCTTCTGTTAAACTAGAGCGTTTACATCCTCGATCACTCTTCCGCAATCTACAATGGCTTTCTCAGCTCCGCCCGTACGGGCTTCTTTCCGCGGCTTCCTCTTCGACATGGATGTAGGTAATTCGAAAGAAGCCCCCTGTGCTTTTGAGCGATTTCAAAGTTGGCAATCTCTGTGTGATGAGGCAGGAGACTGACCTCTGTGGCCGCACATTAATCCTCTTCCGCGCTCTTGGAAATGCAGGCCATTTACTGACAAGGCCACAGGGCACGATCATAGATTCAACAAATGCCGTTGTGAAGCATTGGCATGAGTAAGCTGACCTCCAAGAGGACTCTGATAGTCTGCCCCACTCGACAATCCGCTGATAGCCTGAAGCGTGGGAAAAGAAATCGGTGTTGCGCCAGAGGTCATCCTCGAGACGTCTCACGGCCGGAGGAGTATAGACATCCTCAAAATCTTGGCGCCTGAGAAGGCGAACTGGGAGTGTAGGTCTCACCGTTGAATTGAACCCACCATCGCAACGGCTGCACTTGACGTGCAAGTGCAGAAGCAAAGAAATGCTCCGAGCAGTTAGTTTTGGGATGCGAGGATCATGAAGGTGGCCACAGGGGGCCCATTCTCCTCGGTTCCCGGCTGCCTCCAGCAGTATTTGCCAATGCCCGATCAACAAGCGTTTGCTTGCTGGGACTCTGCAGACGCCCGGCAGAAACAGAAACGCTCGTGAACCAACGAACGCATGAAACGTTGCTCTCGGCTGAGACTTCTAAGCCACGAGGCGACGCGTTCTCTCTGCCCAAAGCTTGCCCAAACCTCTAGGACATGATCCTATTTGCCAACCGAAGACAGCCAGAGCAGCTAACCCCTCTCCTTAGATGTAAAGCATATGGAAGGTCTTCTCCCAAAATATCATGGAGACGATGCATCCGAGATTCCGGGCGCCCGTGCACTCCTCAAAGAAATCGGCGATCGCCACATTCCTTGGGCCATTGTCACGTCAGGAACCGTTCCTCTTGTACACGGATGGCTCCAGGTACTCGGTCTGCCCAACCCAGAACACCTTGTGACTGCCGAGAGCGTCCAGAATGGGTATTGCTCTCCTCTACTCCAATCCCATGGCCCTATGAGTCACTCTGGGGTACCTCGCTCTTCAGAAGTGTTTTGGAAGTGATGCCTTGATGCTCGCGACCACAAGCATAGTGTTGCTTAAGCCTCAACCACTTATCTCAGATTCATGAGTATGGCACCCTGCAGATAAAACAGTGTACTGACGAAGAATCCAGGAAACCCGACCCGGCGTGCTATATCATGGGTCTGGAGCGGATAGGCCTCGATAGCGATAACCAGAATACGAATGTGCTCGTGCTGGAGGACTCCCCCGCGGGCATCAAGGCCGGCAAGGCGGCCGGGTGCAAGGTCTTGGGGCTCGTGACGAGGTAAGATGGCCCGCCCTGACGTGTTTGTTTACCGGAGCTGGGAAAAGATTGGCGTGCTAACAAACGTCCCAGCCATACCGCAGAACAGGTCAGAGCCGCCGAGCCCGATTGGATCGTCAAGGACCTGGACTCGGTCAAGATCGTCGAGTTCAAGGACGGACTGGTGACGTTGGAATTCTCGAACGGGTTGGTAGAGCTGGCCCAGGTGAACGGCGACAGCACGGGGGCTCAATGATCACCGGGAGATTTCCAGTTGGATCTCGCAGCGCCAGTTCCGGTGCGCTGATACGAACACAGTACGATAGACCAGGCAGTCATAGACCCGTGCTGACCGTTATGTTGATGGAGAAAACAGACATGTCGTGCGAAACGGTAACTTGTAGCGAGGTACCGTAATCTAACCTGCATGATTGTGCGCATTCCACTGGCCGCATACTGCAACTCGTGATGTCCAAGCTAGCTCGCATGAGTCTCCAATGTGCTTGCTTCACCGTGACTGACTTGCCGCATGGCTGGCTGTCTTTACTTCTGCACTGCAGTCAGCGCCCCGAGAAGGCTCCGGCGAGAGACATACGGGAGAGACATACTGCCAGTGACTCGGGAATCGCAACGAGGCTAGACCCATGAATCATCACCACGACTCTATTGGGCCATTGGCAATGTGACAAATAGGCGGAGGTAAGCGTCGACCTCTTCGTCTGAGCATCTTTGGTTCAGAAGTATCTGTCCAGCAATCACAGTCGAGAAGAAAAGAAAAGGAATCAGAAAAGCTAGGAAGCTTGCTGAAGCTCATGAAAGTCGTTCCGTCTATGTGTGCCAGTCTAGGTTGTGTTGGATTCGGGACATAAATTCTGGAGGACAAGAGGTGACACCACAACCATGACAATAGACATGAAGCCGGAGAAGCACGACCAACCAAGCCGTTGCCGATAGCAATGACTTTCCAAGAACGACATCAATGAGGACGGGTATGGCCCACATTGTGTAACAGCAGTCACTGTGGATAAAGCAATCACATTGGGGTGGTGTAGGGCGTTCTTGCCACCCGGCACGCAACACTGAGGAACAAAAAGGTAGCAGACCCGATTCGGCAGCAGGCGCCAGGGCAGCCAGGATCGAAGTGAAGATTTGCGGGCATCACCGAAACCCAATACGGGAATTGTTCTGTCATGACGGTCGAGACGGTCTTGTATAACGAGGCGATACCGAGTCTACGGTGCGGCGAGTAGAGAGCCGGGTACGGGTAGGTGCTTCCCGATGCCTGATGACTGTATGTCATCCTCGAGGTCTGAGACAGATATTTCCACCGCCGAGTAGAGATGGGCAATCACAAAGATGATTGATCCAGGAACGAATTTAGACGCCGATGACAGGGGGCTGAGGAGACAATAGGAGATTTTTCTCGAACCCTTCAAGGTAGTTCCCTTTACCGACTCACTGGGTGTGGCGGCGGGGCCTACAAAATTGTGCTTCTCGTTATGGAGGGGAGACCATCTCCACCATCCACCGTATAGAGGGTTGTCTGTCTCAGCCATCGACTGCAAGGTCCCGAAGGTGCGCGACAGTTGACAGAGATATTACGTGTGAGCCCAGAGAAGTTCCCTCCATGGGGAATCCTCCGAGACAGCACAAGGCCCCAAACAGGGCGGATCAGTGTCGTCGTGGGTACCTGCTTACCCTTCGCTCTGTGCCTAGTCACTGCCTGCCAGGTGAAGCCGAACGTCGCTTGGTGCACGGTACGACAAAGGGAAAGCGACATGGTGACACCTTGGACCAACACAAACCTCCACTGTCGGGGTGCTCGCCGATTTGCGTCACCTATCTCAACATCTTAGGTCCCCGATATGCCGTTGACACGAGGTAATGGGCTTCGGATGCGACAGAGTGTCGCGCACTTGATATTCATCAAGACTGGCTTCGATCGACATCACAGAACTGTTTCCTGGTTTGTACAAACGATCGCCGCAAGGATGGTCTGCTGATCCTCTTGCGGCAAGCTGAGGTCCCGGTTGATCACCAGCCAATCGCTTCCAATTCAGAGGTGTCAATATGCAGAGCAACGCCCCTAATCGGATGCGCTGGACCAGTGGCAAGCCGGTGGCGTCTGCAAGAAGCAAGGTAAGGGCACTTCGCTATCCCGGGTGCCCCTGCTTAATGCCGTAATCTGCTCTCAGGGAGGGGCTGAAAGATGATCCCAGGCGCCTGACCACCATGCTGTCTTCATGAGTGACAACGCGCTGCGAAATGATCTCTAGAGCGTGAGATGGCCCAGCACCGTAGCCGGTCAGTGGGCCGCTCACAACATCAATCACACAGGGCGAGGCGCGTGGCAAAGGTGGGCAGTAGAAGCGATGCGATTGCGGGCGCAATGGAGACTTTCCGCCATTGCGCCATGGAGCGTTGATGGATCATGCGACGACCGTCACTGCAGGCACACTCTGCGATCGGTCAGGAGAAGAATGTGCGGCTGGTGATGTGAATGCCTGGATAATGTGGAAGTTCGGGCCCGCCAGCTGAAGCTGTGGTGGCTGCGACGGCGTGTCCCTCGAGAGCCGCGCCGTGCAGCCCAACGAAGATAGGCTCGCGGGGGATAGGAACGAAATGGGCAGAGGTTAAATGAGCGAGTGCCCGTGCACTCAGGGACGACGCCCTGGCACAGCCTTGGTCAGGGAGCCCTGGGCACCCCATGTTGATCCCTGCTAGACGATCGAGGTACTCCTGGTACTGTCTAGGGCCGTGCTAGGCTGAGGATGGCGCGGGTGTACATTCTCGATACATCTAGCCTCCAACCTGGCGGCGGGCCAGCACGGCGCTGCCCGCAGCGCGCACTAGACACACGTGGCATGCCCGGTCATCAGGGACAGATTAATTTTCAATCTCCTGGCCCCCTGGTCTCGTCCGAACTCCATCCTCATCGAGCACGTGAATGACGACAGATCCTGGACGGGTGGAGACCACAATCTTACCCTGGCCGCTTGACTTTTCGTCATTGTCCTCGGGCAGATCGGCCAAACGAAGATCGTCGCGCACCGCAAATGTCACATCGCACAAGGGAGACGACTAAGGCGGCTGCTCATCCCGATGAGCTACGTAGACGATCCACAGCAGCGTGAGAAGCTGCCGGCGCGGAGCGGATCCTCTGGACCACTGTTCTGGCGTAAGGTACTTGGGGGCCTACGAAGGATCCTTGGCCTTGATGAGCTCTCTCGTGTCCTAGGTTGCAATCAAAGCATCCTGCTCGATGTCAAAACCTTCGGGGGCGGGGAGGAACAAATTGCTGTTGTCGAGGGCCTAGGGGTATCCAGGCTCTCGGAGTCGTGCTAGGGCGCGAGGCCGGCTGCAGCCGAAGAAGTAAGCTAAAACCCAACTGGGTTGTGCCTAGAGATATCAGACGAGCTCTGCTGTCAGCCGCCTGGCCATCAGTGTGGTCTCTGATCGGTCTGCGGGGGCGTGCTTCCATTGGACTGCCAATCCTGAGAGAGAAACTAAACAAACTCACCTTGCAAGGTCCGGTGTCCACCTCTGTATATGTTCTTCGATGGGTGTTTCTCTGCAGTAATGTCCAACGATGGGACTTTCATGGGTCGTTGAGCATCTCAAACCCTAAAGGCGCTTGATTACCTCGTAAGCATTTCGAAATGAAATTGGCCGTTGACCACACCTTGTCTGCGGATTTCGAATCGCAGGAAGGAACAGAAAATCGTGCTTGCTGATCTCGACAGGAATGCTGTCCCGACGGACCACAAGACGGTCAGTCGTAGCAGCCCAGATGTGTCCAATCAGGCTGCCTGTGTGTCACAGCATGCAGAAGCCCGCATAGACTGTCATGCAGGTTTCGAATCGGTTGGTGGAAAATCTATGGCAATACCGCTTGCCGCTCGCAAGCAAGCCTTGACGATCGAGGGCAGGAATTCGTTGTCCTCTTTTTGCGTTCGGCACACAAGACTACATATTGATTTCGATTATGCTCATTTATTGCCACAGCCTTAGCTCATTGTGATTGTCGGTGTCAATGGAAGAGACACAAGGACAGACAGGTCAGGATGCGCGATACGTGTAGTCGTGATAAGTGAGAAATCGGCGAATCAAACTATGCAGAGAGCCGAAGGCAGTAGAACTAAGCCGTGGTGCAGAGTCGCATCGTATGTCTGTTCGCATGCGATTAGGCACAGCTTGCTGGCCAAAGGTCTCCACATTCTTGTTCACAGACTGGAACTGATTTGCCATTTGACCTGCCGGTACGAAAGACAACGCCGAATTACCGGACAGACGTGGATGGCTGCCAGCCATGGCCAGCTGCTGCTGCGTTTGTCGAATTCGGTGTGGAATTTAAACTAATCCTTGAAGCCTCTGGGTAGAGCCTTACCAGGCCTTGCCCGGGAGCTAACCTACAATGCCGATCGCTCCCCGGGGTTGGGCACAATGGTACGGTGACAATAAGCGACGGCAGTGCCGGATGAAGTTGGACAATCAGTTTTTATGCTCGATGCTATGCAAAAGCTGGAGGTCTTCAACAGGGCTGTACGACTGTGGTGGCGCAACACCGATGATTTGAGGCTGAAAGATTGATGGCAGAACCTGAAGTGTTCTGCCGCACGCTTTCTTGCTTGCCCATGATATATCGTAAGATTGTGAGAAGATGATGTTGTTTAGATCAAAGTAGTAGCGATCTTGCCCTCCGAGTCGGACTCTTAGGGGGGGTGTGGTCGGCTGGCTCTGCTCTGAGGGCCATCGGTTGAGCAGACATGCGATTTCCGTCTGGTGGCCTGTTACCTCTCGTATCTGACTTGCTTGTTCCTCAATAACGGGCACTGAGCAGCTCTGGAGCCCATTTCCGAGATTCGAGGTCCGTTCAAGACCACAGAATACTGCAAGGCCCCCACAAACTACCACGACGACTGTGGTGGGCAGAAGGTAAATGCGGTGGCAGAAGCACTGGCACTGGCCACCTCATGGCCCCCAGAACTTGCAGATTGAAATTAGAGTTGACCCATAAATAGATCAGTCTTTCATGCAGAAGCAGTGCAACCCTGCGGCAGGGGCTGCACAGGCCAGCGCACCACTCCGAGTTCCACAGGCTCCGAGTCGTCGAGTGCCTGCAAAGGGTCTGCAGTTGATGTGACCGACAGCCCCACCAGTCCGTCAACAGGATTGAATTGCCTGGTAGTGCAGTGCCTCCGCTAGCTACAGTGACAGATGCCGTGTGCGAGGTGTGATCACTCAGGTGGCCCACGTATACGCGGGGCATGAGAGGGCGGGCAGACATTGGACGCGCAGGAGTGGCCTGCTCCAGGGCTCTCTGCGTTCGTCAGGAGCATGTTGCAGGGTGCAGGATGCAGGATGCGCCAGGTGCGTGTCCACCGTTCGTTGTACACAGTACTGCGTGAAAGTGCTCCGCGCCGAGGTGCAGGGCAGACAGGCAGACAGGCAAGACAGGCCCGCCCCGGGGTTGTTCAGGCCGCGGTGGTTGGTCATGATGATAAATGTGGGCAAGTGTTCATCCGCCGGCGTGGTGTGGGTGTGTGACGGGCATGGGCTACCTCTAAGCACTGTACCTCGGTGCAGGCTGGCAGGCTAGGCAATCTTGGAAGCTAGCGTGGGCCAGCCTGCGTACTGTGCATGTCTAGGCCGTGAATCAAGCGCACGGGAGTACCTTGGGTCGCTATCTTGTCCCGACGCTGCCTTCTTGGAACGAGAGCGGCTGGACCTACTGCTACTGCAGGCTGCGCGGGGCTGGGGGGTTGGTGTTGACCAAGACCTGAAGACCGAGATCTGGCCACCGATGAGAGCACAGCGTGCAGGCGAGGGATGGGATGCATTGCCAGCTGGGGGTCTTCGGCGGGAGGGGAAAGGAGAGATCGAGAGAGAAAGAATTCGTGTATGGACTATCTCTTGTGTGTGAAAACCTGTTGCCGTGGTGGCTTCATTCTGACAAACCGCAAGGATGGAAGATGTGTGAGGCGAATAGGTAAGATGGCAGTGATGGAGGAGGAGGAGGAAGAGGAGGGTGATGATAGGGGAAGGGAAGCATGCAAACAACAAAAAAAAGAAAGGTCCACGGGTGGTCGGGTGATGGGTGATGGATGGGTTGAGGTGGGCCGTGGACTGGAACCTGACCAAGAGGCAGGCGGGGCCCAGCCCGTCTTGATTGCCCTGTTTGGACTCTGGAAATCAGGCACAAGGACACGGCTGCCATATTCGTAGTCCTGCCCCTGGTGAAGCGTCTGCTTTCGGTACTTGTCTGTGCACGCACAGTCGTATTCTTCCAACTCCCGACCCTCGTCCGCCAGCAAAAAAAAAACAAAAAAAAAACATCACGATAACAACCCCACCATCCATGCATCGACCATGGGCCGACCTGCCATCAATGTCACTGGCGACGGACACTGGTACTGGCATTGACCATGGACCAAGGCGCCTACTGCGCTGCGTGCCTCCCACTCCCCCTCGTCTTGGGGCTACTGCGCAGTCGCTTGGGCCGGACGCCATGCAACGCCTCCAGCGGCACGAGAGAATGCTTGATCAGCTCCTCGCCCACCCCGTCCCGTCCCATGCCATCCCATGCCATCCCATCCAGTCTCATCTCATCTCACCGCATCTCACTCCATCCACACGCCGCTGCCACGGGTGCCACGGGTGCCACGGATGCCATGCCATGGCTCAGAAATCCGTTGCTGAGCCTTTTTTGAATGCAAATGCGCCGAGTCGCTCCTGGCTCGAACAGACGCACGCCCCCTGGTGTCAGGCCTGGCAGACCTCGCAGGCCTCGCAGGCCTGGCGGCTCTCGCTTATTTTCACGGGCTACTTCCGCCGCAGTTTGCTGGGCCGTCTCCAGCTCTCCTGTTCCAGGTCCAGCCTGTCCAGGCACGCTCCTTGGACGATGACGACGGCATGTATACACGGTGGCTTGATGGCGACTCCCTTGTGAAAAAGCCTACCGTACAAGCTCACCACCCAACTTTACTTGGTCATGCCTATCATGCCCATCATGCCGTGCCGGGCCCATGCCACGCCACGCCAGCGGCCACCACCCAGCGGCCAGCAGCAGCCAGCTCAGCTCGTCACACAGCGAGATCCCGAGAACTGGGGCCCACTATCTTGGCGTGCCCACTAGTCAAGATCCAGGAACGAGTGCTCCAGGGCGAGCACAAGTTGGGAATGGCATGGCATGGGATTGCCCGTGCCCCTGACAAGTCCTCCGAGTCCTGCGTACCCCATCCGTACCACCCGGTACGCAGTACTTGGTCTTCCCCACCTGGCCACCCACTGGAAATCGCCGTGCCGCTGGTCAAGCACCAGGCCCAGGAAGCCCTCCCTGCCGACCATCATCTATCTCATCTCGGCCGGGGGCACGGGGATGATGATGTGAACGAGATGGCGGATGTAACTAAATGCACACCACACACACACACACGTACCTCCCCACCTGCACACACACACACACACCACCAGACCACCTGCCACCCACCAGACCACCTGCCACCCACCAGACCACCTGCCACCCACCAGACAGCAGGTTTACTTGGTCCTTCAGCTCCCATCCGCCGCTGCAGCCAGACACCCACTGTCCGCGATGCTGCAGTACGCCGCCGCCGCCGCCGCCAGCGCCAGCGCCAGCTTCTTTTTTGTTTTTTTGACCTTGCCCTCGTCCTCGCCCTCAATCACCCTCCGCCCTCCGCCCTCACCCACCCTTGCCTGCGCCCTCACTGCGCTTTGAACCCACGCCCCAGCTCCATCCCTGGACGCCCTTAATCAAAGTTGCAACTCGCGTGGTGCTCCGTCATCATTCTATCTCTGGATTTGGGGGCCAACAGCGCCACAGTCTCCTGTGATGATTACCGCTCCATGTAAAAGTGTTCATCCCATACTGTCATGCTCTGGCGACAGCGCAAAGAAACAACCGTGGGTGATATGGCGCTCCAAGGTTTAGTCCCAACTTTATTACGCAGGCCAAACGTGCGAGGACAGCGCAGTGGGTTGCATACGCAGTGCGACATCGAGCCGCCCATGGTACAAATTATGTATTGCACAGTACTGCACAGGTCAAGATGACTGGGGGTGACTTGGATGGAGACAACATCCTCGCTCCGAGACTTGGGGGGCCCACCGCCCAGTGGCCCCCCTCCTCCTTCTCCTCCTCCTTGCACCGGCTGTCTTACCCCTGTCGGCCGACTGGACCCCAGACCGAACCCACTGAGATTGCCCGCTTCCACAGCCTCAGGGACCCCAGCTTGAGACCCAGCGCCACACCCAATCACAATCACGGCCGGGCACACAGCATCACCGTAAAGTACTTCTCTCCCGCACCATCCTCCCACCTCCTTCACGTCCCTGGCTTGTCATCCCGCTTGGACGACTTCGGCTGGCCTTGTCTTACCCGTCGTCCTCGACCCTCACGCCTCATGAGCTTCTGGTTATCTTGCGCCGCCTCCGTCTCCCCCCTCGATCCCTCCCCATCCGCCGACAATCTTCCTTCGTCAAACCAACTCGGGGACTTTCATCCCATGCCGTGCTAGGCTGCCAGGGACTGTTGAATTACACTCTTTTTGCAATCCTTGGGATTCACATGGTGTATTTGTGAGGTCAACATCCAGGCGGATTAAGACATCTTCTCCTTTGGTTTCCAATAATTCGCCAGCTGCCTCTCTTTCATGTTCGCTTGATGGATGCTTGCTCTCTCGTTCTACGCGCATTCTACAGCCACTGAAATTTTGGATTTTTTCCCGTCTTTCGAGTTCATCGCGAAACTCACGTCCACTCTTTCGCGCCGAGCACTCGGTCACCATTGACCGTCCAACGTATCAGAATGGGGGACAACAACTTTCAACAAATGTTCCAGGAACAAACGAGTCATGACTATAACAGACGTGCTTCGTCAATGATAGACCCTAGGCAACAGCACTGCATGGATTCTATGGCTGCCATGCAGCGTTACCAGACTCCTGTGACGATGTGGCAACAGGCGCAAGCTCAGCAGCCCAACCTGGACGCCATGTCGATGTTGCAGCAGACCCAAAGCCATCAACACAACCCTGCGTTCCCCATGATGTTGCAATCGAACGGACAGCGGTTCTACCAGCAGCCCTCCATGAAAATGTTCCAACAGGCACTGCAGCAGACTCAAGGCTCACAACTCTACCATGCCACTATTGCATGTAGCAAGCGCTTCTCCGAGGAGGAAAAACAAAAGCTTGAGAAGGTCTTTACAGACGAGACCCAGAAGCCAAGCACCAGTCGAAAACGTCAACTCGCTGAGGAGCTAGGTTGCCCTGTCCCGAAAGTCAACGTAAGTAGCAGAACACCCTCTATTCACGTCGTAGGCTAACACCAGACGTCTCAGAACTGGTTCCAAAATCGGAGAGCTAGGGAGAAGCAGGTGCACAGGGTCCAGGCATACGAAGCCAGCCAGGCAGCTGATACGGCAGCATCGGAGACCGACGTGGTTGATCCTCAAGAGGATGAAAGCGAGCCTGTTTCCCGCAGCGAGTTTTACAGCTTGAGCAATCGGAGCCAGCCTCTTCAGCCCTCTTCGGCCCCGTTCTCTGATAACGATGAACGGTCGGAGCAGCACAGTCCATCTCCCAACTCCGCAAGCGGCCAAGACACTGAAGATTACGGTACCGACTCGTCCGCAGCAAGTCCGACCAAGATTTACGGTACATCGACAGAGGATGATATCATCAGAGACTTGGCTGGGGATAGCCACGCCACCGTCTCTCAATCCCAGCTCCTGCCGCCGAATCAGATAGATGCCTTTTCCAACTCCAGTGTCCCTTTGATTGCTGCGAGCTTTGAGGGCCACAATGACAACTTCTCGTCATCCCCTGACACATACGCGGACGTCCAGGACCAAATGTCTTTCCAATCGCTCAATGACCAGTTTGCTCCGACATTTTCGACTGGCGAGATGCATGGTTTGCCAATTTTCGCCACAAGCATCGACAGATCCGACTCCTTCGCCTCATCAGCATCAATCCTGACCCCAAGTACTGCGACCTTCAGCACTGGAATGACGAGCCACGACCACACTGGGGACCACTCGGGCACAGGAGAATCAGACTTTTCAAGTGTCGAGACATTGTCTCCGGATATGACCTCTGGAACCTCGCCGGCTCTCGAACAGTCGGACTCAACACCTGATAATACTTTTACGCACCCCAGCATTGCCTCGCGGAGAAAGACCCGGCCTCCTCAGCGGTTGAACCAAACGGCTTTGCGCAACTACCCCAACGGACCGAAAACCGGTGTAGAGGGCTCTAAGCGATCCGAGATGTACGGATCGATGAGGAGAGCCGCGTCAGCAAACGGTCCACTGTCAGGCAAGATCTTTAAATCAGGCCCTCCCGTTTCCCCTCTGTCTCCTCGATCTTTCGATCCAAATTTCCTCGAGCAATTCGCGAGGAACTCGTCCTTGACTGTGGCATCAAATGCCTTTAAGGAAGGATCTGATGGATCCCCTGTTGGTTCGACCTTTGAGACGCAATACCTCTCAGCGGATGCCCCACGCTTCAGTTTCCAGAGATCTTCTATTTCGATGAACGGGCTCAGGGAGAACGCAGCCGTGTCGCCGAGCACACCCGACTTCGCGCGGGATGTCGCTTACTCCGGTGTTCAAAAACAGGGTTTCCAGTCCTTCCAACAACCTACCTTCACGTTGGACACTGGCTACGGGAATACTTCGTCATCGGATGAGGCGCTGGCGACTCCCAGCCTGTCTCAATTCGGGTCCGAGATCGAATTTCCCACCTCGCTCTGCGCGCCGAGATACGTCGAAAGCGAACCAGCAACTCCTGCTGCCATACAATCACAGGCGTTCCCTGCCTTCAAGTTTGATTCACCGCCACGAGGAGACATCTACCCTTGGTCGAGATCACCTGACCAGTTGCCGATGTGGAAGGGATCCATCGCGCAGCTCAGCGAACCTCAGTCCCACAACTTCCAATTCCAGCCAAACATCACCCCACAAAACTTCCAATCGCCCGGGCAGGGTTGAGAGCAACATGTCATCCGGTTGTCTGGAAATACTGTATTCTTATAATGATCTAATGATTGGTTCGGCATTGCCTGGAATGCCCTTGTGGACTTGGACAACCTTTTTCATTACTTACCATCTTGTATCAACATCACACTGGGTCTCATTCATTTTTATTTCGCATCGGTTGAAAGCAGACAGCCACAGCGTCCTGGACGATACCCTCAAAAATTGCCTTAATAACACACACTCCCTTAATATGATCTGTCTGTGATAATCTGAGCGCTGGGATTAGCTGGGGGGCATGGAGTATGAGGTATAAGAGGAAACAGGGAGAGGGCACGGACAAATGTGGTAACTCGGGAGAATAAAACATTTGGGAAGGAAGCGACAGGAAGACTCTAACGGTCAAGGTAGCTCATAGCACATGTAGCCAATGAATAGACACTAGGTTTCCTGTAACTATCCCAAGCTCGGGTCAGAATGACAACGAGCGAAGTCAACACAAAGGTTGTCCTTGGCCTGCTTAATTAATTAGACTGTGAGCCGCATTCCATCCTCCGGATAAATGTGGCACGCGCCGTGCCGGCGAGTCTCACCCAACCGTGGACCGCAGTGGTTTATGGTTCCGATTGCCGATCCCTTGGTAGTCGATCACTTGAGCCTCGATGTCGTTTTCCCCAGTATTCATGACTGGCCAGACAGGTAAGTCAGCCTCGTTTGTTGTTGTTGTGCCGGCAGCCAGGCCGGACCGTGGCAGTTCTGCGGAAAGACTGCATATTATAGTCTACCTGCTATGATATGTGGGTGTGCAGTGTGCCCCGACTTTGTGGTGATGACCGCGGGAAATCCGAGTCACTTCACTTTCTTAGATTTAGCCGCGGATCTGCCGACTGCACTCCATGCGACCCCAGAGTCTTGCACGTGTGTGCTGTGTGTGCTATCGCAAAGCAAACCACGTCTTCCCTGTAGGCAAGATGCTTAGTGGTTCATCCCAACGGGCCTCATCCCCACATCTACCCCCGTCCGGTCCAGCATGTTCCTGGATGGACCAGGGACAGGAGACGCGAGAAATCTCTGAACGCATCACAAGACTTCTGCCCTTGCCGGCACGGTGCCCAAAGCGACTTTCCTCTTGGAGCGCTGCCAGCGGTGTGATCTCGTTTACCTCCTGGCCTGTCCAAGACTGACTCGACCGCCCCCGAGGCCGCCATCACAACCTGTCCAACTGCCCACTACCAACCAAACTCGCCTGGCAGGTGGGTTTCTGGGACAGGTCGCGGCCCTTGGCACTGGACCATCGCCGAGTAGCACTGGACCATCGCCGAGGAATGATCCGCAAGGTTCACCCAAGCTCTAACCCCAGATGGGAATTAGTTCGTTGGACGAACCACTAGATCTGGGGGCGCTGGCGTCACTGGCAGAGAGAAACACACTGCAAGTTCAATTGCGAACCTCGGGATCCCCACGTTTTGGCTCCCCCCAACCATGACTAGGGCCTTCTGCCGTACCAGAGTCTGGGGAAATGCACTCCGATGCGGAGAAGGGCCACGCATGTGGATCGACGAACGGGGCAGTCATATTAGACGGGCCGATTCTGGCACACATCGGAGGACTATCAGGCGGTATTATGGAGGAGAACGAACGCCGTGACAGGCGTCATTCATCCTCGAGCAGAGCATTCTTGTTACCAAGTAGGCAAGACCCCGGCAGATGCCACGGCAATTTTCAGGGAACAGGCAAACGGTCAAGCCTGTTGCTCCAGGACGGGTGGAGTTATTCCCCTTTGAAGTCTGGAGACAGAGGCAGAACCGGGGTTCGTTGCCTCGATGAGGTCCGTGATATAAAGAAGCTCGACCTAGGCCGCTGTGGCGCTCTGCCACCAGCAGCCTCTCACCACCACCCCAAGGCCGCTTCCTCAACTGTCGCCAAGATGGCTTCTTTTGTGAAAACCTTCCTGGCCGGCTCGCTGTTCGTCTTTGCTTCTGTCCATGCAGGCGTAGCTTCGCACAGGGGCAATTCCAGGGACACCTCGCTTCGCGCAAGGTCGAGTCCCGTTGTCACTGTCAAGAATGGATCCTACGAGGGAATCCACAGCGACGCCTATGATCAGGATTACTTCCTCGGCATGCGTTACTCCCAGGTACGAACGAGACCGGTGCCATGCAACTATGAGTGTCCTCCCTCCTTGATCGCTGACAAGCCCTCTTCCGATGCCCACAGCCAGCAGAGCGCTTTACTTTGGCTCAGCCCCTGAACTCCACGTGGAACGGAACTCAACCTGCAACGACCTACCCGAAGTCCTGCGTGGGCTATGGCGGCGATGACGTTGGCTACGACCTGTCTGAGGATTGCCTCTTCTTGAACGTCATCCGACCAGCAGGCATTGATGAGACGGCAGAGCTTCCAGTCGCGGTCTGGATTCACGGAGGTGGCCTGGTATGTTGTACACTCTCCAAAAAAATAAATGTGTTTGGGACTGTTTGGCTAATCGTTCTGCCAGTATATGTCAGTCTATTTTGTTCCCTCAATCGATCGTTTTCTACCTTTGCGACACGTTCTCAGTATGATACAAGAGATAGCAGAACAAGCTGCTTCCGACTTATCTCTGCGGAAGCACTCTGTTGCCGGCTTTTCCCACTTGCTCAGTCCATCGACCGCATACCTTACTAACACAAACAAAAACTAGGGGCGGGAGTCAAGACAAGCGGTATAATCTATCCTTCATCGTTCAAAACTCGGTCGACCTAGGTACCCCCATGATCGGAGTAAGCATCAACTACCGACTCTCGGCATACGGATTCCTGGCGGGCAGCGAAGTCCTCGAGGCTGGAATCGCCAACAACGGCTTCCGGGACCAGCGGCTCGCGCTGCAGTGGATCAACGAGAACATCGTCAGCTTCGGCGGTGACCCGACCAAGGTGACTATCTGGGGCGAGAGCTCCGGAGCCGAGTCGGTCAGCGCACAAGTTCTGGCTTACAATGGTGAGCTATCCGCGCGGACAATCTTCTGGGATATTTATTTGTATGGTTTGCTTACGTCCGTGTGTGCAGGCCGAGATGATGGGCTCTTCCGGGCTGCTATCGCAGAGTCTGGCTTCGGAGGTATCCTGTCCAGATACCCGGGCGGTGCCAACAACACGGAAGCTATGGACGCGCTCTATAACCTTTTCGTGTCGAATACTTCTTGCGCGTCGACAGCGAACACGTCCGCCTCGCTCGACTGTCTGCGGTCGCTTCCATTCGATGAGATCAACGCTGCGCTGAACGGAACCGAAGCTGCACCGTGGCCTCCGATGCTTGATAGCGATTTCAGTAAGTAATTTTCAAAAGACAGTTTCATAATACTGGGTGGTCTTGAGGGCGATTTCACTCTGCGTGAAATGTTCAAAGCCAACACGCCCTAGAGATCTACCAGCACACACTGAGCATCCAAATGCCAAGTGTCTATGCCTGTCTATAGATCTGGATCCCGTCACTAACCATGGTACCCACAGTCGCGGACTTCCCCGTGAACCAGCTCAACAGCGGCCGCTTCCCCAAGATCCCGATCCTCATCGGCACGAACACCGACGAAGGATCCGCCTTCGGCCAGGGCAAGGGCCCCAACGGGACGGGTGTCGACACCGACGACGAGATGCGGGCCGCCGTGGAGGCGATCATGGGTCCAGACGCGCCCACCCAGACGGGCAAGTCACTGGACGAGCTGGCGAACGAGCTGCTGGCGCTATACCCGGACATCCAGGCCGTTGGTGTCCCGTCGCTGGAGAAGTTCCCCGTGATCGAGGCCGGTGACGCGATTGCGACGGCACTGGGCCTGCAGTTCCGGAGGACGGGCGCCTTCTTTGGAGATTTGTGAGTAATAGGTCATCCCCGGGGGTCTCGCGGTCAACTATGCTGGGTGCTAATTGTGTGTGGACAGCCAATTCCAGTATCTCCGACGCAGGGCCAGCATTGCCTGGTCCAATGCGGGTCTGCCCTCTTACAGCTACGAGTTCAATGTTGTCAGTGCTGGAGTACCAAGTAAGTAACGCTCTGCTCTGGCGACCAGCTGGAACTGCAAGGGCCCATTCCTCCTATACTAACAATCATCAAAAGACTACATCGGGGCAACACATTTCGCAGAAGTCATGTTCGTCTTCGACAACGTCAACGCCGTCGGATACGACAGCACCACCGTCCCGATCGCTGACGAGCCCGCGGCGTACGCGGCGCTCGCAAAGGGCATCTCGAACGCGTGGGTCAACTTCGTCGTGGGCCTGGACCCGAACGGCGCCGGGCTCGAGATCGACGGCGTCGGCGCGTGGCCCGTCTACAACGCCACAGCGGGCGGCGGCGTGGGGCAGAACGTCGTCTTCGACACGAACGGCAGCTCGGTGGCCTGGGACTCGTACAGGGCCGAGGGCATCAACTGGATGATCGAGAACTCGCTGTCCGTTTTTGGAAACTGATATGGGCGAGCGATGTGGGCGAGGAAACGTCTGTAGATGTATATGTGTGTGCGTGTGCAAGCCCTACATACTTTACTTTGCTTAAATGCCACTGTATATAAGTTGGCTCAATGAGCATATTTCATAAGGCCCGAGGTCCTATTGTGATCAGCTCCGTCGCGCATTGCCGGTACGTTAGCCAAGCAATATTGTATTAGTACATGTGCACACCTCGAGTAACACCCGATGCTCCCTCTCCAGCCTCTGCTGCTCAATAGTGTCACGTTGCACATACCAGCCCTTGATATGATCACGCTGCCCGTGGGGAGCTCCAGTCAGGCAGTGCTAGTAGAAGGATGTATTTTCTTACTATGGAAAGTCGTCTCTTGTGGCTTGCGGGACAGCTTGCAACTATGACGGGACGCGTGAGGAAGACCAAACATATCGTGCAAGAGGATGTCAGACAAACCACACAAAATCGAGCGCTTATCACCTTTTCTGCGCTGCAACCAGCTGGAGGTGAGAAGGCACACATGTCTCTTGATGTGCGAATACATGAGAACATCTCGACGGTTTAGCCTGGTAGGCAAGAACGTGTGTGTTTAGTTAGATATTATGATTTACTCCCCAGGAAGACCCGTCCGTAATGTGACGTCTCTCCCCCGCTCGTGCGTTGTCTATCCATCCATCCCGTCCGGCCCCGTCCCGCCGGCCTATGTATTTATGTATGAATGCAGTCGCAGATGTTATCCCGCCCAAAAGAAGCAAGAACTCTATGCCGCCCGTATGCGAGGCCCCCCCCAAATTGTTGCCTATGTGATGATGGTCATTTCGTTTCGTCGTGACGGCCGTCAATTGAAAAGAAACCCCCCACCCCACCAAAGAAAGCGCGAAAGACACACCGTTACCCTAAAGAGCCTTTGACGAGAATTGGCAAATCTGACAGGAAGAATACAGAACGCGCTGGCATGCAAGAAAAAAGTCAAGGCTGCGCTCAGGAGAAACTCCAAAAACTCGCTGCTCGATGCTGCCTCCTGATACATGTGATGAAAAACACGACTCTCCAACGTGCCACACCGGGACGGCGTGACAGCCGGGGAAGTTTGTGGTGTCATCTTTGAAGAGCATATGTACAACCAATGACTAAAGTTAAGATGGGCGCGGATGAAAATTGGTGGTACAGAAAAAATCACAGTGGACAGGACAAAGCAGGATTTATCCGCATGCGTCTCAGTAAAATCCATCCGCGCCGACGCTAGTCCTCCCAGTAGACGCAGACGCGTTCGGCGTGGTCTGGGATGAGGCGCTCGAATCGCTAGGGGTCGAGGGCTCCACTACCCGGTTCCGAATGGTCATGATCCAGTCATGCTGCAAGAGCTCCACGGCTGTAGCTCTCTTCGTGGAGTCGCGGGAGAAGCAGCGTTTGAGGAAGTCGATGCCTTCTGGGCTGAGCTGATCCGGCGTCGGGAGCTGTGGCGGGTTCCCCTGGGCGATGTTGTACATGATTGCCCATTCGTTGTCCAAATTCGCCCAAGGACGTCGTCCTGTGGCCATCTCGAGAATGACGCAGCCAAGGGACCAAACATCCACTGCTCCAAAGTGCCCTGGATTCTCACCCTTGATGACTTCTGGAGACATGTACATCGGGGTGCCAGTCATGGACTTATTAGGTTTCGTAGCTGACATATCTTGCATGAGTGTCCGTCCTTGGCGAGCGATGACTTTGGCTGCCCCAAAGTCGACATACTTGATGATGCCATTGTGGTCGAGGAGTACGTCTATTAGGTGGATTAGATTTGGTTGACATATAGGAGGCAAAGGTTAACTTACTTTCTGGTTTAATGTCGCGATGGGCGATCTTGATCTCATGAAGGTAAGCGAGGCCTTCGAGAAGCTGGAGAGCATAAACCATGATGACCTGTTCATCCTCGATGCGACCGTGTTCGAGCAAGTTGGCAAGTGAGCCTCCAGAACAGAACTCCATGAAGATGTAAACCCTGTCTCTATGAACCTCAATGCCATAGTATGAAACGACGTTGGGGTGATCAACAGACTCCAACACGCGCATCTCATCCTTGATCTGTGTGGCAATGGTAGGAATCAGTTTCGGATCCTGCAACCTGATTTCTTTAACGGCCATCAAATGTCCCGTATCCAAGTTCATTGCCGCATAGACGTTGCCGAATGTACCACCGCCGACGAAGTGGCCTTGCTGCCATCTCATCGTAAAGTTGGTGGCAGTCGATGACAGGTACGCAAGAGACCTGTCTACCTCGTTCGAGGCTTCAAGCACACGACCCATGGCAGACCTCTCCGCAAGAATTTGTTTCCTTCCCTCGTCGATCCTGGAGAGCTCTTGGAGACGGTGGTCGAGAACGAATTTGGAAGCAGTCTGGTCATCGAGATTCTTGCCCTGGTCCAGCCTCCTGAATTGCCCAACGAGGGCTTCTAGGCGCTGTTTCTCGGCCTGGGCGGCAACGCTCGACCTCGCACCCATGATGTCGAAGTGTGAAATAAGCAGAGACATGCAACCAGCGACCTTCTCCCGTAATCTGGCATATTCCTCGTCTCCTAGGGCTAGAATGTGTCTTCCACGGGTCATGCCCATGCTGAACTCGAGAGCCAGGACGGCCCAGCGGAAGGTCTTTCGGTCGGAAGACACGCAGTCGTCGCAGATGAAGCTCACCCAGTCCAACGCAAGCTTGGTTAACTTGATGTTATTCATCTGCCGGCGATTGCTGTCCATGAATAGTAGAGATCGCTGACCGAATTCTGTCGCAAAAATGAAACAGGTCTGGATGAGATCCTGCACTTCCATTCCCTTTGTTTGTGCACGGATAGTCTCAACACTGTCCATGAAGGTGTTGGACAGCTTGTAAGCCACCTTTTTGATGTCACCGAGTTTCTGGTTGACTTTCTTGAGATTTGAGCGTTGCTCAACAACGAGGTCCAGGTGCATGTTGATGAGCTCCAAGAAAGCCTTTCTCGCGCTCGTTAGTCGGTTCTGAGAACCGCCGGCGATCAGCCTCAGATGGCCCAACTTCAAGTCTAGAGGCTCTTCCCGGACGGTCATGGAGACCTTCGGCCCGTACCAATGGGGTGCATTCTCGGCCCGGATCATGAGAATGTATGGATCAGTTGGGTCTTCAGAGACATGTTCGTAAGATGCTGTGCCGATGATTGACTGTATCTCCTCATGACGGCCGTGTAGCGATGGCGAGGCGACCAGAATAACCCCCTCATGTTCGATGCTTGCGGTGTAGATTTGGAAATGACCGGATTCTATCAACCTTGCGAATAGGTCGTGAAGTCGATCGGGGTCAAACGCGATGCTGAAGTCCGCAGCGTTTTCATAGTTTCCGCTCAGCATTCTAGAAAACCGTTGCAGCATTCTTTGGCGCACTCGAACCGAGTCCAAGATCTGTTTGTATCTCTTGCTCATCTCGGCCGGGCTCTCTCTTGGCTTGCGCTGGAGCTCTCTTTCGAAGGTGTCGCTCAGGCGCCTGATGGCTTTGAAAGTCAGATTACTGAACTGCTCAGCAACTTCCACGTCACCATGGTCTAGGTGACTCCCGATCTCGTTGATGAATTCCCACTCCTGAAATAGGAGCTCGGCTTCCTTGAAGGTGTTCTTGTTACCGCTCAATTTCCAGTTTAGCATCTTAAAGTAATACTTCAAGGCGTCCAGAACAGCCTGGTCAAAGGCCTCGTCAATGCAAGGGGGCAGCTCCCAACCGGGCTCAGGCTGTGAGATGCCCAGATATTCAATCTTTATGCCAATAGCCAAATTCAATAGAACCTGGAATTGAGATATCATCTGATCCTGCAGCATCGGGTTTTGCTGTGCCGATTCCTTCATCTTTTTCGCGTACGCTAATCGGACCTTGATGATCTCCTCTATCAGGCGAGAAGGAAAGCTGATCAAGGTCAGAAGGTCCTCAATGTAAGGGGGCAAGTGTCGTTTTTTGAATGCCTCCGCATTGTGAATGAGGGTTTCCTTCGCCTTGAGAATTACACTTGAGATGCCTCTCAGCATGCTGTTCCGCTTGCTTTTCATCCCACCAACGTCCTCCTCAATGTGGTCGTGTAATGACTTGAGGCCGTCCTCTTTCAACAACTTATCGAGAAAAGAGGACTCGTCGCCAATCGCGTTACCGATGGGAGATCGTTCCCTAGTTCGCAGGAAATCCAGCTCGTCGTTGCCAACCCATCTTCTCAGGACAGTCAACTCAGTGTTGATGAGTTCATTGACATTATACCAAGAGGTTATGGCGTCACAGGCTTCTGTGAAGAGGGCAGATCTTGCTGAGCTATGTGCTGCTAGCATAGCCTCTCTTGACGGGTACAAGCCTTCCAGCCTCTCAATCTTCCCGACCATATCGCGAACTTGATCCGCTGGGGGCTTGCCAGCCTCGCTCTCCCCAGCAATCTGGAAGTGAATGATTTCCTCGATGGTTCGATCCATGGTGCCACGAGCATCTTCTACCATTCTGCGCTGGACCGGAAGATGTCTACCGCATATGCGTGATCGTATGCCGAGCCATAGCTCTGCCTTCTGCGCGGTCTTTCCAACCTCCTGCTCGGATGAGCCGATGAGACGTTTCTTCTCTTGTCGCACGACATCGCCAGTGAGGACAGCAGCGAGCATGCCATGCCACTCCAATCTTTCCCTGTTGTCTGGGTCTCTGATATCTTCTTCGGTCGGCTCCAGCTCCTCGTCGTCGTCACCCTCGAAGAGCCTCCTCGCATCGTCGTCCTGTTCGGTGCTGTACGGCGCTTCTGACCCAGGGGTCTCGCCCTCGGAGTCGCTGTCCGGATCACCTTGTGTACCGAAGCTTATGGGGTCGAACTCGGAGGGGAATGGGTAGTCTTGTTTCCGAGCATTGTTTAGTCGTTGAACATATGCTCTTTCTTGGCGCGCGAAAGTCGAATTGGAGGGCAGATTTCGTGACCTGGAGGCGGAGCGAGGATCAGGGTAACCAACGGGAGTGGGCTGCGGTCGGCGCACGGGTCTGTAGGTGTTGGAAGGTTGCCTTGCCGGGCCGGTAGGACGTTGCGGTCTCGTAGATGTTCCGTTAGAATGTATGGGCCCCCCGTCTGTAGCTGAGCGATGGCGACCAGCAGCGCCATTAGCCAGTGCATCGGAAGTGATGGACGACATGGAGCCTGCATGACCGGCCTGGTCGACGTAGTGATGGAGAGTACCTAGTTCATCTTGGTGCTCGAATTCGCCAAAGCCATTAGCCTCTGGCCGCGAGTCGCCCGATGAGCCTGAGTCGCCGGAGTCGTTGGTCACAGCAAGTGGACGATAAGCCAGGGCCTTGGTTGGGTCGTCGTCGCCGTCGGAGAAGCGGACGGCTCTGGGCGAGGTCTCTGCCGACATTGTTGTTGTGGGAGTGGGCTGGCCGAATTTATGGCTCGAATGCGCGCGTCCAGAGATAAAAGACACAGGTGAGGTCGGGGCAGGACCTTGCTTGTGGCAGTGCCCGAGACCTCGGAGCAGGTAAGGGGCAGCAGGACACGGCCGAGGGCGACAATGCTCAACGGGACCCAGATGTGTCCATGGGGATGGACGAGATCGTATTCGAGTGGGCACTGGACACAGGTTCTGTGATAAACCTCGGTCGATATAGGTGGTATGGCGTTCTAGACCGTGGGATGGGAATCCGTGCCGAGCACGCAGGCATGGATTGACTGATGTCCAATCCCTGGGCTGAGGCTTGAGAGCCGCTGTTGTAAGGCTGGGGCGGACAAAGTGTGGCGAGAGCTGGACTGGACGGGACGGGACTGAGCGACTGAGTCGAGCAGGCGCCCGGGAGGGTGGCGAGGTGGTAGTGGTAGTGTGGCCCCGGGGCGGCAGTGCCAACTGAACCGACTGATCTGCAGTCCTGACGGAACCGAGTGGGTGGTGTGGCTTGTCGCCCAAGTTTATGCTGTAACAGTGGTCTTAAGCCCTCTCTTCTTGTTCCCTTTCCTTGTTTTTGGTCGTGTATGGCAGTCAACCGGTCTGGACTCACGGTCAGGGGAGGCAGAAAAAGACCGAAGATGAAGGAGATGGAGGGACGGGCCTCGATACAACACAACACGGTGCGGGTGATGGACTAGATTGGCCCAAGTTGCACAATTTGATGCGAAGCAGGCCTGGCAAAGCATGCGGACCAAATCGCCCGGGAGGGAGCAAACAACTAGACCACGGGCGATGGGCGACAGGCGGCAGGTGGGCGATGCCTTGGATCTGATGTTGGCAGAGCGATCGACCTCTGCAGTGCGTCCATCTGCAATTCGCATCTGCTGCAGACCCTTGGGACCCTGCCCTGGAAGGCCTGGGAGACCACGCGAGGGACGGCGAGGGACGGCGAGGGACGGCGTGGGACGGGAAATTTCCTGCACTCATTCGCCTGTTCTTGACCCATTTTACTTAGACTACCTTGTCCGCTTGTTAGACTAGACCTGCCTGTCGGCCTGTCTGCTTGTCCGTCGCAGTCCGTCCGCCTTTGGACTCGGTGGGCAGGGTTTTGCGCATGCTGAAGCGCCGTTGCCCGCCCACGGTCATGCCATTCTGGGCATGCGACAGCGGCTGAAGCTGCTTCGTTTTCGTTCACGATGCAGGCCACACCACCTGCCAGATCACAGAGTCTAGATAGTGCATGCATGCTATCTATGCAGGCGAGAGACCATATCGAGGCCTCACTAGTATTTTCATGGCAGCTGGAGGATGACATGACGCTTCGCTGGTCGCAACCAGAGACAGGAGGCATTCTCCCGTGCTACAGGCGCTGTTGTGCTCCTGACTGCAAGCTCAAGGTTGTAGGAGCCAGCAAGTGAGTGAGTGAGTGAGTGAGAAGGTTCGGGCAGAGAAGTCTCAACGAACTTTCCTTTCCAATCATCACCCATGGACTCCATGTACGGGTGGCGACGGCGACGGCGAAGGAGACGGGGCGGGCAACTTCGGCCCCCTGAACCCTGGAGCTTGCGTGCAGGCCTGGTACCCATGCATGGGACCTCGGCAGCTAGCCCAGGTTGTCTCGTCCCTGCTCATAGGCTCGTCAAGCTCCAACTACACACCGCGTCCGACCTGCCGACGCGTTCCCTGCCCATGCCCACTGTGAGCAGTGAGAGTGCCCAGATGCACGCATATGCGATGATGCATCTGTGAGTGAACCCTCGGGTCACCAAGCGACGGCTAGCCGGAACTGCATCCCACGTCTCTTCTTCCTCGAAACCAATTTCATGGCCGGCTTCACGCTGTCGCCAAAATGTCTACAAGAGGCTCGGACGCGTCGCGTCCCCCTTCCAGATCCAAGTCTGCAGTCCTCACCTCGTCCGCTGCCAGTTCGCGCAGCAGGTTCCAAGATGAGGCCTTGCCCTCTAACCCACACAAGAGGAGGCGTGTTTCTCCTGCCTTTCCCCTGGAGGAGCTCCTCAAACCAGCCATTACAATCAAGGTTTGCATTGCTTGCCCAGCCAATCCCTTTGCACGCGGTTCATTGCAATGCTGACCTACCGCCAGCCCCAATTCTCTCTCGGCTCCAGCTCCGTGAGACCTCCTGTGTTGAAACCACTCATGTTACTGTCCCGCGAGCACCTCTCATTGTCGGCTCTGGATTTGTCAGCCCCCAACGGGGAGTTCCCAAGCGGCCCAGGCCGGTTCTTCGAGTCGCACATCCGAGTCTTGGATCTTGAGGGACGACTAGGCCAGGCACCAAGCGTACTTATCGCACGCTCAGACGCCAGTCGCAATGTCTATGCCATCGAACGCCATCAGACCGGCCTCTACGTCGTTTGCAAACTCGGCGCATGGGTTGCCATCGAGAAGCTCAGCCACCTCGCCGAAGCCTGTTACGAGCAGCGCTGTCGTCCAGTCCAGGCCGCACACGCCAACGTTGCCGAAGCTCCTTCAATCACGCCCCAGCTGCATCACGAGAGCAAGAAGAAGAGGCTCGCAATAGAACAGATCCAATCCATGGTCCGAAAGCGCCCAAGGGCCGTCTCCGGAACGCCTTGCGAATCACAGCAGGACCAGAGCCAGCCTCAGTTTCAAACGCTGACGCCCGGCATCGAACATCTAGAGGACCCTTTCCAAGCACCCCAGCCAGAGAGTGGAGTGAGCGAGCCACCAGCCCAAGGTTCACAAACCGCTGTAGCGGATTCAAATGCCGACATGCAAAATTCCGCCGAAGACATCTTTCAGAACATCAGATCCCAGTATCTCGAGGCTCTTTATCATTCAAAGGTGTGCATCTTCCCCAATTTGAGACTGTTCGTTGCTGACGATATTGTAGGGATCGCTTGCGTATTTTGCGAAGGGGCCACTGTCGCGAGCACGCGCCGCTTTTCACTTGGATTGTGACGCGAACCTGGATATGAATGATCTCGTCGAGTTTTTGAAGAGCCTCACAATGTCGACGGTGCAAGTGGACAAGAAGTTCCGTGAGACCCTACCCGAACTTGTGAAGGGCATGAGAATACTGGCGGAGAGCTCTGCCGAGGATGAACCAAAGAAGAAGCGAAGAAAACCCAAGAAGATGAAGCTTGGCAAAGACGGACTCTACCCCGGTGAGGTCGATCATGTGAAAAGCTGGTGGAGAACACACAAGTCCGTCGTGCAGGACGGCGAGGAAGCTACAATCAACCCCCAGGAGGTCAAGTACCATATCTCCTGCCTTCGGACTCGAGAGACGCAGCTGCAAATGATTCTTATCCTTGAGATACTTGCATTAGAGGCAGTGCGGCCGGCGGAAGATGCACAGGACAGTCAGTTGCCAGGGCTGCCTGTTGGAAATACGCCAAAGAAGACGGTCGAGCCCGTGCCAAAGAAGCGGCATAAATACAACTTTTCGACATTGGTCGATATCCACGCAGATCGGCTGTGTATCTGGCAGTCCACCACGCCAGACGAAATGGAGATGATAGCTGCTGAATCACAGGAGAACAATGGATCGGAAAACCAAAAGTCAGCAAGGGCGAATTCGGACCCACTAAAGGACTTCTGCGTGGATATTTTGCTACCATTGTAAGTTGAAGCTCTTTCATTCCTGACTGCTGATGTAGAACTGACCATGACAGCTTCGCTGGCCGACTTCCCGAGTTGTGCGAATCCTTGAACCGCAAATTGGGAGGCCCCGTTGTCGTTTCTCCCCCAAAGCCAAAAAAGCCTGCTGCTACAGTTACTGCGAAGGCGCCAGCGATGCCCGGATCAGTCGCCAAGAGACCGGTGTCAACCAGTGCGCCGAAGTCACTGGACAAGGTTTTCTCACATGACCAGTTGAGGCGGAAGGCATCTCGCAGACCAACCGATGTCCTGGCAAGAATGAGATCTGCGACGCCGGCCACCATCCCGGGGCTGAAGCGTGAAGCAAGTGAGCCTGCTTCCTTGGGCATGATCCCAAGTGGAGATAGGCCTCTGAAGGAGAGATCTCGAAATGTTTTGTCCCGGAGTGTTTCAAGTCTTACTGCGGACGACTCGAAGGCGCAGAAGAAAGCGAAGATTGAAGCAGATCTGAAAGATGCCATCTCAGCCCTCAAGAAGCCTAACAGACAATTGGCGGGCAAGGCTATTGTCGAGGAAGCCGAGAAGCGAATAGGGACATCGAGCTCGCCCCGTCCACGAAGTGAGTACTACAGGAAGCTGTGTGCAAATAACAAAGACACTGATTTCAAACCAGAGCCCAAGAATCCCACTCGCTTCAATGCTGGCAACAGAACCCAGAGCCAAATCCAGGTCAAGGCTACCCCGGCTAACTACCGCTTCAAAGACGCTGTGTCAACAGCAGATCAGCGTAGTTACGGTAGCTTCAACATCCCTCCGCCAAGGACGGACTTGCAAGCAATTCCGTCAAGTTCCGTCATTCCGTCTACAGCACCTAGGAACGGTCTTCGAGATGGCCTCGAAGCATTTCACATCGCCAGCACGCCGATTGCGAACAAGCTGCAGGTAAACGCCGTGCCAGACTCGGCCGTAGCTTCAAGACCGACGATCAGCGACCCTTTCGCACAACCATCTTCTCCATTGATGTCTAGAAGGGTTGCACCAAGTACTCAAACACACCTCAACGTCCCATATATCGACATTCCTCCATCGTCTCCTACCCTCCCACGCCTATTCGAAACACCCATCAAGCAGAGGTCCTCCACTGCCTTGGCGTTTGTGGACGAAACTGTCACGTCAACACCTCCTGAAGCTCTTCACACAGCCACCTTGTTTGCTACACCCGCGAAGAAAGCCCCTACATCTGCTCCTCCTGTGACAGAGGAGCACAACAAATCCAGCAGCAAACCGGCGCTGACTATCTATCAGCAGCTGGGCTGGGATGATTATGACGTTGATGACCTTGCATGATGAAACAAAGAAATAGAACACATGGCTCGCATTCTCTGGTGTTTGAGGCGCGCGATCACGAAAAAAATTTGGGAAACGATGCCTCAAAAGACTCGAAAGAAATCGGGAGTGACTACCTTTCGCCCATTGTTACTAGTCACATCCACTGCCAGCATTTGCATTGCATTACTTTCTGGACCGCATTTCGACAGGCGCGACGTCATGACGGCGAAACATCTTGGAAACTCGAGCGGAAACTGGGCAGAAATGATTGTTAATGACTTTCATCAAGCCTCAAAGCGACCGGCGCGACATCTTTCCGCACTGCAGCCCGGTTTTGAGTTTCAATCTGTGGTCCTAGGTAGGATATCAAAGGAGGAGAGAGAGAGACGAAGAGTTTGGTTACAGTTGGCTCTAGGAATAGCCGACGTCTGTCAAAATTTGGCGGAGGGTGGCCGCAAACACGAATTGGGGTCTGATGATTTCACAGGGTGTTTTGACACTCTCATATCTTGCATTGCATTGATTGAGCGGTGGTCATTGCGGTCATGGCCACTTGGCTTGGTCGTGTAGCTGCAGCACGGACAGCTGTCTTGCTACTGATGGTTCACAGCACACATAGAGTAGAGTACATGGCATTGAATAGATACCCCTGGCATTGATAACGGAGTTTATTAGCTCATGAGAGAGTAGGAGTCATGTAAAACGCACAATCGCAATTCTGGACTCGTAGTTGAAGTTTCGCGCGACGTATAGCATGTGGTATTGGGAAGTAAATGTCTAATTTGCTCGCCCTTTGTATCCCTAGTACTACCCTGACCCTTCTATCAGTCCTGGCGCTTTTCAACAACCATGACCGGGAGGTCCCTAATGTCAACATGCTCCTGGTTCCCAAGATCTACTACTCGGATGCACTCGACGCCCACGATACCCTCCTTGAGCGCCAGGAAGCGCAGCTCGACCACGTGGCACGCGTTGGGGGCCAGCGGGCCCACGCGGACGTCCGCGGAGAGGCAGACCACCTCAGTGCTGTCCACCAGGCTGCTCCGCTGCATCGCGTGTACGATGTTCTCGTCCAGCACCGCGTCTGCGATCTCCGCCTCGGGGCCCTCGCCGATCGCCGCGGCAATGGCGGACTTGCGCCTTGCTAGGAGATGGTCCCGCCCGGCTGTCGAGGGCGGCCGTATCACGCGCATGTCGTTTCTGCGCCGCCTGGGGATTGCGAGGAGGGCCAGCTTGCGCGCCGCCGGGATGGCTTCTGAGGGTGGTTTGGAAGGGTTAAGGGAGGTAGAGTTGCGATTAACGACGAAGACGTTCCAGACGAATTCGTCACCTGGGTATATTGGCCCGTCTGGCGCGGTAAACGTCATCGTTATTCCGAACTCTGGTATGCTGGTCTCGATCGAACGCTCTGCGAGAGCTTCGAGGCCGGGGAGGGAGTCGGGTCTAGATACCGAGGGTGAGACGAAGCTCGTGCCGTCGCTGATGGAGAGCTGAGCTGGCTTGTGGGACCGCTGGAAAGGCTTATTGACGCCTGAGCCGAAACCAGGGTTGACAGGAAGGGTAAAGTCCAGGATGGTAGACCATGCCATGCGCAGTTTGGGAGTGCAGACTCCTGCCTGAACAAGTGCGCTGCACTCTATGGAGATGAGAAGCTCCCGCGTTGGGCTTCTGGAGGGCACGTCGCTTTCCTGAGGGGCGAGTCTATACATGAGGGTAATGTGGTCATGTGCCACGCAGTTCAGAGGTAGGGATAGACCGGATATATTGTTGAGATCTTCAACTTGACCCTCCCGCATGGAGAGGTCAACCTTGTCCACAGCAACCTCGCAGTCGAAGTAAGGTGTGAAATCGATCTCTAGCAGGGCTATTATGGCTGGACTGGGTGGTATGGTGTTTGGCCGCGCAAAGCGTACACGCGTATGTGCGGCTGGGTAAATCTGCTGAGAGATTCTGGGCTGGCCCTTGAGGATTGGGAACGAGTCCTTGGACTGAGTGACTGGTGCGACGCGAGAGACTCGTACAGCAGACAGGTGAGGCTTGACACCACCTAAGAGGGGATCCCCAGCAAAGGATCCGAGCAAGTTAAGCCCTGCGGGTACACCGCTCTCTAGGTAGCCGTCCTGTTGCTCGCCAAGCTGTTCCGGGCCGGGCTTCAAACTCGCTGTCGCCGAGAACACAACAGACGGCCCATATAGCCGCATTCGGGGTCTCGTCAGGAAGGCTGAAGCTTTCCATACGACGTATTTGGTGCCTGGAGCCATACCATCATCTTCCTGGCCTGCCTGCGCACTGTCCACGACAGTCAAGGGGTTTTCCACATCTTCAATGTCCTCATTATATACCACCTCCGAGGCAGGTGCGATTTCGGTTCGTTCTGTCGCAGGACTGTTTACTATTTGCGCCTGCAGAGTCACAACAAGCCTCTTCAAGTAGGACTTCAACAACTCGTCGGTCAGGCCGTGGGTGCGAAGTATCAAGAAGACCTCGACAGTTTCATCTGACATCTACGAATGAGTATCGTGAGACAGAGGAATTCCAGGGGAGGATCGGCTGGGAGATGTCCTCACCGAAGAAGAGCCATGGCCGGTTTTCAAAATCCTCCAATGGCTGGCCCTTTTCAATGGCGGCCTTGATTTCCTCCTCGATATTGATAGTTGTCTTGAAAGGGACGGTGTAGGCCAAGAAGGATTGCTCGAGGAATGCCGTGTCTTCTTCTCCTGAAGTACTGTCTCCCGGTTTCGTAGGGACTGCCATCTTGCAGCAACACCGGGTTCATCCGCTTACAGCATCCTCAGACAGACTGACTTATTGGTAAAGGAAGGCGAGGCTTTGTAGTTCACCATGTGCTATTCCACTCTACTGTTGTGAACTTGCCCGATGTCCGAGGTCGAGAGGCGCATCAGATAGTCCAGGGTCCAGTGCTGATAAAGTGACGTTGGAGCTTCCAGGGGTTAGTGGCGGGGACTTGAATTGAACAGAGCTACTTCCTGCACGGTAGGTTGGCTGGGAACGGAAGCTCCTTCCATGTGGCCCGTGCACCAGCCTGCCTTTGCTGGAATGATTTTGCCTGCGACTTTGAATTTGCAGCGCGACTCAACTTCCTCCAACTCTTTGGACCTCAGAAGTGTTAGCTGCTTCTGGTTGGCACTTTGTTCGTGCACCACTTCGTTTCGTTTACTTTGCATCAGAGCTAACCAACTATTTATGCTCTGACTGGCTTCACCTCCCCGATAACTCTCCAGGGGCGAACGCGATACGCGCTGCTGAGAATGAACGGCATGAACGGGCAGTTCCCCCAGCCGGGGGCTGCCATCTGGCAAGAACATCGCACACCCGATGGTCGCGCGTATTACTACAACGCAGCTACTAAGGTGACACAATGGACAAAGCCAGAGGACATGATGAGCCCCGCAGAGGTAGGTTCAATCCCATAATGCCACCATGACTCTTCACATCGCTAATTGCCCTGCAGCGCGCTCTCGCGAACCAGCCATGGAAGGAATATACCGCCGAGGGTGGCCGAAAGTATTGGTACAACACCGAAACTAAGACAAGCTCATGGGAGATGCCGGACGCCTACAAACGCGCCCTGGGAACGACATCCGCCGGCACACCGACGACTCCTGCCGCCCCGAGCGCGTTTCCGACACCTGGCCCGGCAGGCGGTCAGAGCTTCGACCAGTCTCGAGACTCCCGCGAGCCAATCGGCGAATCGCGACAGCTGACCTTTGGCAACGACATGCGAGCCCAACAGTTCGTTCCCGCGAGCAACGATCCCGAGTACGCTACGGCCGAAGAAGCCGAGGCCGCCTTTGTAAAGCTTTTGAAGCGCAGCAATGTTCAGCCTGACTGGACGTGGGAGCAGACTCTTCGTGCCGTGGTGAAAGACCCTCAATACCGCGCGATTAAGGATCCCAGGGACAGAAAGGTCGCCTTTGAGAAGTATTGTCAAGACGTTATATCGCAAGACAAGGAGCGAGCCAAAGAGAGGCTAACCAAGCTCCGTACTGACTTTGCTACCATGCTCAAGAGTCATCCTGAGATCAAACACTATACCAGGTGGAAGACAGCTCGGCCGATGATCGAGGGCGAGACAATTTTTCGCTCCACTAGTAACGAGGACGAACGTCGCCATCTCTTCGAGGATTACATTATCGAGCTCAAAAAGCGGCATAGGGAGGAGCAGACCGCTCTACGCAAGAGTGCTATGGACGGCCTGATCGATCTCCTGCCCAAGCTGAATTTGGAGCCTTACACTAGGTGGTCCGAGGCCCAAGAAATCATCTCTGGCACCCAGCCGTTTCAAAATGACGAGAAGTATCAGTCCCTGAGCAAGTTTGATATCTTGAGCGTCTTCCAGAATCACATGAAGGCAGTGGAACGCACATTCAACGACAACAGACAGGCTCAAAAGTCGAAGAAATTCCGCAAAGAGCGCCAGAACCGGGACGCGTTTCTGAGTCTGCTAAGTGAGCTGAAGAATGATGGCAAAATCAAGGCGGGCACGAAGTGGAAGCAAATATTCCCCTTAGTCGAGAATGATGCACGCTATAAAGCTATGATCGGTCAGAATGGTTCTACTCCGCAAGAGCTGTTTTGGGATGTGGTCGAGGAAGAGGAACGAGGGCTCCGAGGCACTCGCAATGATGTGATGGACGTGATTCATGTAAGTTGCCTGAAAGTCAAACCTGAGATCCAGATACTAACAGCTCCGAAGGACAAGCGATTCGAGGTCACCCCCAAGACAGACTTCCAAGATTTCCTTGCGGTGTTGAAAGAAGACCGTCGTACTGCTAACATTGATCGAGACGTATCGAAGTTCATCTTTGAGCGGGTAAGATACTCTGCACCCCAGTATTAATGCTCACCGCTAATTAGAATCTTGCAGCTTCAGGAAAGAAGAGCGAAGCCATTGGAGGAGGACCGACACTCTGAGCGCCAGCAACGCCGAGCCGTTGATGACCTGCGCTCGTATATGAAACGTCTGGATCCCCCCATCACATTGAGTGACACTTACGAGAAAGTCAAGGCCCGTCTCCAGAAGGCGCCTGAATTCCAGGCAGTGACTAGCGAGGAAGGACACCGCAGCGCATTTGACAAGCACATGCGGCGCCTGCGAGAGAAGGAAGAGGATCTCGAAAAGGATAGACGTCGCCGTGATCGATCTCGTGATCGTTACCGGGAACGAGAGAGAGAGCGAAGCAGAGACAGAGGTGAGAGATCTCATCGCGGTGGGCGAACGCCCCGCAGGTCTAGTCGCAGCCCAGAACCAGATCTCTACGAAGCCGACCGCCGCAAGGCCATCGCCGAGAGGGAGCGCAATTACCGCAAGTCAAGTATGGCCGAGACCCTCTTGTCAGACCGTAGGTCATCGGATGGGCATGATCTTCATAGGGACAGAGATCGGGACCGGGACCGGGACAGGGACCGGGATCGCGAGCGAGACCGTGATCGAGACCGTGACCGTGACCGTTACAGAGATCGCGAGCGAGACCGTGACCGTGAGCGGGATCGTTATCGCGACGAGGATCGTCCTCCCCGCTCTCGCCGTGACGACCCACTCGACCGCTATGAGCGTGAGCGCCGCGACCGCGAAGAGGAACGAGAGCGCTCATACCGCCGCCGTGTCGTCGAAAAGGATGTCGATGACCTTAACTACGACGAGAAACCATCAAGTGTGAGGAGGCGCCGTGCCGATGATGAGGATGAGCGTCGTCCAGATTCCAGGGATTCGAAGGTATGTGCCACCGGGTAAACAATGTTCTCGCAATTACTAACCGCGTGCGCAGAGATTGAAGAGAGACAATTCACCTCGTGAGCGTACCCCCCGTCGTGATGGTCGTCTGAAGACTAGGTCTCCACAACCGCCCCCGGTACCCAAGGAAGAGCCTGCGGGCGTGCATTCCGGTAGCGAAGAGGGCGAGATTGAGGAGGATTAAAGCATCTCCTTGAGCGCCGCCGACCTTACGTATCCTCGCCAGACAAGGGCTCCAGCAAAATGAGTGGGGTTAGAGACGGATAATGGCCACTTGAGAGGGACAGACACCATGTCGCCACCAGTACGTACGGGCAATCATTTCCGACTTACTACTGTGGTGGGCAAGATGACCACTCTGGACCAGCAGACTATTGCTCAGCCCCGCTACTAGCAGGCGAGAGCAGCCCCGCCAACCTGAACTGAGACTCGAACGTCGATATGACGGCTCTCGAGACTAACCCTGCGATTCTCTAACACTCTGCCGCCGAGCTTGAAAAATGGCAATCGAAGCATTGTTGCCTGGCTGTGTACGTTACCTATTCCCAGCGCACCCCACCGACCTTAGATTTTCACGGGGGACGGACATAGACAGCTTTAAATGTGTCTTCTCTTTCTTTCCTCCCACTGTTGTTGGTAAATTAGTCACCGCAATATTAATCATGCAGCTCAAATTCTCATCAATTAAAATGCTCTCTTCATTTTATGTGTTTGTATCTCGCCACGCCGGTATATCCTGTGTTTGGAATTCTTATTCGTAGTTGTCACGCATGCCACATTTGTGACTGTGGCTCTGACGGCAGTCACCCTCTTGACCCACTGCCCCTCAATCCACGACGGCGATTGTAATAGCCTCACTCCTTTCAACCCATGTGGTATTGGTCAGAATTGACACATGAGAGAGGAAAGAGTAAGGCAAACAGGCCTCGAGCTCAGCCGAGCCGGACCTTGCAACCGTCGTGGGACCAGGCAACGGGGGATAGACTGCCGTCGCCATCGTCAGATGTCGGGGTCATCATTTTCGTCCGAGCCGCCCTCCTCTAAGCCCAATTCACCGGTGGAGCCGTCCGCCCGACCCTTGCCTTTCTTTTGGACGCCTAGAACGCCGGGACCCGATGCATGCTTGTGATTATGTGGTGGAAACGTCTCCTTGTTCTTGTTTGGAGTGAACTTTTCAAGCATTAGTCTTCTCTGGGTCCTCGAGGAAGAAGTAGTTTCCATTCAGCTTCTGCTCCTGGTCGAGTTGAGAGCCGCCCTTGTTGATTCGGGGGCGGTAGTTGACGGGGTCACGACGGAATGTGACATCCAGGTTCTTGAGGAAGCTGTTGCACCCAGTGAGCAGGGACTCGGGCGAGTTTGCATGAGCATTGATACCAGGCTGGCCGTCAAAGACAATGACACGATCGGCGAGGTAGGTGGCCATGATGAAATCGTGCTCCACGATGAAAGCCGTCTTCTTGGCGTGCATGATGAACCGCTTGATGACACGTGACGCGATGATACGCTGCTCCGAGTCGAGGTAGGCGGACGGCTCATCAATCACATAGATGTCGGCGGGCAGACCCAAGGCGAGGACGATGGCGACTCTCTGCAATTCACCACCAGACAAGTTCTTGACTTCCTGATCAATGAAATCATCACTGCGTGTACTGGTCAGTCTCCACTTTTCAGGACGTGAAATCCAAGAGATACTCACAGCTTCAGAGGCTTCACAACATCAGTCTGGAACTGAGGAGACAGGACTATCACGGGCAATTAGCGAGGCCGGTCATCCGAAATTCATTCTGCGTAAGACTTACATGAAGCACGAATCTTCTTGAAGAACAGCTGTCGCACAGTTCCCTCGAACTTGGGAGTGATGGTCTGAGGTTTCATACTGATTCTCATGTCCGGTACCTTTTGCGTTCCGTCGGGCTTCAGAGCACCGGCGAGCATACGACAGAAAGTAGTCTTGCCAGTGCCGTTCTCGCCCATCATGACGATGATCTCGGAGTCAGTGAAGGAGCCTGTGTCGATCTTAAGCTTGAAGTTGCCCAAGGTTTTCTCCATTGCTGGATAGTTAAAGGCACGTGTCTGGTCATTATCGAAGACATCTTGAGCTTCTGCGATCCGGAAGGTGAGGGACTCCTCACGGAAGCGGAGGTTCTCTGTCGGAATATGACCGTCGAGGAAGATGTTGATGCCTTCTCGGACACTGTGGGGGAGAGTGACGACACCGTAGACGGCAGGTTGCCCATAGAGGACGCAGACATAATCCGAGAGATAGTCCAGGACACTCAGATCGTGCTCGACAACTGCAGTCCAGATCAGTAACATGTCAGTGGTATGGAGAATCCAGGAACGGTTAAGATCCCGACGAATGTGCACATAGAAGAGACGAACCGATGATATAATTATCGTGCTTTGACAGCGACCTGATCATTCTGGCGGCAGCCAGACGCTGCTTGACATCGAGATACGACGAAGGCTCGTCGAACATGTAGACATCCTTGCTTTGTACCTGTTTTGATATTACGTTCAGCAGGTTACTGTGGGTATCACCGGGCGATGGTCACTTACACAGGTGACACCAATGGCAAATCGCTGGAGCTCACCGCCAGATAGCAAGGGGACATCGCGGTCGTAAATGTGGCGCAGCTCAAGGACATCCAGGATCTCCTCAAGGTTGTCAAGCTGCTTCGACTTGTTCAGAAGAAACTTGACGGACTTCTCCGGGCCCCGAATGGCCTTGGGTAGCTGATCGACATATTGCGGCTTCACCACGGACGTCAGGTCGTCTTCCAGGAGCTTTGTGAAGTAGTTCTGCAGCTCAGAGCCCCTGAAGTACTTGATGACATCCTCCCAGTCGGGCGGGTTGTCGAACCTGCCCAAGTTTGGCTTCAACTTTCCGCTGAGGATCTTCAGCGCGGTACTCTTTCCGATACCGTTTGTTCCAACGAGACCCAAAACATTTCCCGGCCGCGGCATAGGCAACCTGTGGAGCTTGAAGCTGTTGGCGGAGTATCGGTGTGTCACCTGGCTCTCGAGGTTCGTGGGCAGGTTGATGATGGTGATGGCGCTGAAGGGGCATTTCTTGGGACAGATACCGCATCCAATGCAGAGGGACTCGGAAATGAAGGCGAGTCGTGAGTTTGGGTCCACTTCGATGCCTGAGGTAGAATCATCTGTCAGTATTTTACATACTCTTGCTTGGGAGCCCAGGACGGCATGTGCTACTGACAGAGCTTTCCGCTTCGCACGACGGGGCACGACTTCTTGCATTCTTGCCGACATTTCTAGTGATACCGGTCAGTTGACCACGAACCCCCCGCAGATTTGGTTTCTGAGTGTGTAGACAGGTAGGGGCGCACCTTTGGCTTGCACTGTAGGGCGGTAAGACTTGTTGTCAGTTCAACAACCCAATATGTAGGAGTAGCGGGGGAGCGGGGCAATTGGGCGGACCTTGTCGCTGTTGACAATGGCGATACTAGAGGCAGTGGCATGTCAGTCTTGTTATTCACTTGAAGCCTGAGGGCGCATCCTGCCCTGCCGTGGCTGCCTCTGCTGGCCTGTTGGGAGGTTGGCGTACCGGGTGAGTTTGTCCGACATCTTGATGGGTTGATGCGACCGCAGTCGTCGAGCTCGTTGAAAAGTTCTTGTTCCCAAAGGATCACCGGTGGTGGTGTCTGGGCTCGTTGGCGGCCTCGAGTACTCGCGATTAAAGGAGGGAATACCTATGCGGACCTTGCTGGTGACGATAGGATCAGGGATAGGAAAGGGAACAAAGACGGACAGGAGTGTTGTGGTGGTGGGACGGGGGGCGCGGTGAGGGACAGGAATGAACCCAGTGTACGAAAATCTGGCCAAGGTCTTTTTGCCAGCCCAGATCGCTGTCTGCCTACGACTTTGTGGCAGCGGGGTAAAAATGGCAGAATGGTCATAAACAGGAGAGACGTGATAGGCTGACTTGGCCCTAATGAGGGCCTAGGTGTTCACTTTGGGAGCCTGGGTACTCGGGTACCTGGATTCACACAGATCAAGATCAGCATGGGGGGTCTGGCTGGGATTCACAGCCTTGTGAGCGGCTCTGCACGGAAGCTCTCCGTGGTCTACCGACTGCCCTTCTATGATGGGCCCAGCTGTGCTGAGGTGCAGCCCCTGCTGACTGGGCATTGAGCATGTGCACTGGTCAACTTCTGAGTGACTCAGTTCTTGGATTCGCTTGTCAGCATGGATGGATACTAAAGGAAGCATCTATATATGGAATGCTGTTTTGCACTAGCAAATGTCCAGGCTGACATTGGATTCCATGTGGTGAGAATTGTCGCTCGAATACACTACCCCAGTTTGTTGTGTCCCTCCTCACTTGGGCATCATTCTATTCCGTGCCCTCATATTTTATATGTAGAATTACGCTACCTTATGCTGAGTACAAAGGAGCTGTCAAATAGCTTGTAGGCTGGAAAACTTGCAAATTCACATGTACAACGCAGTTTCGTGTGTCTAGTCTTGCGTGTTGAATATCTGAGTTGGCTGTGCCACACTTGGATGGATGCGGAAGCATGTTGGTGTTCTGAAATTAGAAAGGGTCAAAGCAATATGCAACCCGGTGGCTTTGCAGACATCCGTCCTGATGCATCAGTTGTCTGGACAAGCCATACGTTAAATTCAAACATGGAATCTGCATGTCTTGTGTAGAAGATGTAGCCTATCAACAGTTCACAGGGATGGACTCTAACACTGTTGTTATAACAGTTCTTGCCAGGTGACTAAGACTACTCAGGTTTGTCAGTCTCCCCGATTTCAAGACCACCGTAGCACTACTTGATGCACCCTGGAGTATCATCTGACAGACCAGAGACATCGTAATATCGTGGACTTTCACGTCCATTGTAGAATCAAGACAGATTCAAGTCTTCCCTGGCATGCGACCTAGATATTCTCTTCCCCAAAACAGAGTGAAAGCAAAACAGTGGGTATATGGTATGATGCTTTTGACAACCAACTGCTTTACTGCAGTTGCTAGTTAGGCGCTACTTCGTAGGAGCGTCCCAACCGGTCTGCGATAACCAGACACGCTTGATGTTCCGTCACCAGGCTGATGCTGCACTATCCATCTGTCTATGTACCTTGGCAGGGACCTTGTGGTCTACTCAGTATACAGACAACTGGGTATTGATACTTGCTTCGCTACCTGCGTGGATGCGCTCAGGTGCCTACCTGTGAGAACGGGCGTTGGAGAAAGCAGGAGCCAGGGTGAAGGACGACAAATACTATCATGAGGACACCGAGATCCAGCTGTGGACTGTTAGCACAGAGCTCTGACCACCCTTGCATGCCGCAGGCGCAGCCTGCAAAGGTGGCCTAGAGAACCCGGCTCGGGAAATGTCCACTGTCTTTTCGCCCACTGCTCTGCACTCTCAAAATTACCTTACCCGACCGACTCCTCCAGTTGCCCATCTTCTCACATCCACCCGTGACATTGGGACTCCCACCAAGAGAGAGCTCCCCCAGTCCACAACACCATCCCATCCACTCTTCTGGACTCCAACACGCTCGTTCTGCTCTCGGCTCTCTCTGCTGCCTGGGAGTCATCGGTTCATGACTTGTAAGTCCCACCATGCCCATGCCGGTCGGCTCTTCACTGCGCTGTCTGCTTGTCGTTGCCTCGTGCCTTGTCATCCAAATCCGTATCGGCTCTGGGTGCATGACCCCTGATAGTCGGCCATATGTCGCTGTCGAAGGTCTCTGAAGCACTGGCAATTGATGGATTAGCTTCTTGCTGATGATGCCGATGCGTCTATTGCCTCGGAACGCCTGCCCTGCTCGCGAGGCGCCGTCAATTGCCCGCCATCATCCATCAGCCTCGTCTCCATCGGCTACCCCCCGGTGGATGCGACAAGCTCAATAGGCGGATCGCGCTCTACTCTTTTCTTACGGGAACGCTCGTACCGCGGTCGCCTCTGGTATCGCTGACGTGTCCACTGGCCATGTCACGCTCTCTCCGCGGAAAATCTTGACTGACATCGTCGTCTTACAGCAGGCAGCCTCGCCAGCCTCGGTGACCATGTCTGCCTCACCAGAATCTAGTCCGGCCAATGGACATGTGTCGCCCGTCGCAAACTCCGTTGCTGTTCAACTACTCGACCCAGAGCCCAGCGACAGCGATCTGTCCGACGTCCAGGCCCCCGACGTCGCTTCTCCCTCCTCCGATTCTGCGAACAACTTCGACTCGACGGCTCTCGATGGGCCGGCCGATGATTTTGATGGAGCATCAAGCCCTAGTAACAATGGAGCCTCTGATGATGCCGACTTCGATGAAGTGGTCGACAGTCCAGCTTCCCCTCGCAGCAATGGCCCGGATGCGGGTGCCGCGTCTGCTTCTGACGACTCCCGGACAGCTTCCAAGCGCAAGGCCGGCGCCAGCCTCGAGGAAGACTACATGAGGGAGAATCCGGAACTCTATGGCCTGAGACGAAGTGTTAGTCCCTCAAGTGACGCGTCACAGGTTGCTGTGCTGACCAGATACAATAGTCCCGTCCGCAACAGCGCAAGATGATTGTGAGCTCCCTCGAATGCTGCTTGGTTGGTCCGTCTACTGATGGCGTCGTTGTCTAGGTCGGCGCAGATGAGGAAAGTTCAGAATCCGACTCCGTTATCGTTCATCGGAGAGTTGCTAAGAAGCGACGGACGGAAAGATCGTTGCCTTGTAAGCCAAATGCGACACGTCTGCGTCCTTTCATCTCTAACGACTACCCTACTAGCCTCGAAACGAGACACCCCTCTGCGGCATACATCGGTTGATGATTCCGACTCTGACACGTACGGCGGCGCTCGAGCCCGCGCGATGCAAAAGAAAGCTCGTCGACAAGCTGTTGCGCAACCTGCATTGGCGCTCGTCGAGAAGAGGTGGAACAGCCGGAGAGCTGCTCAGGTCACGGCTGGCGCCTATCAAGAGAGCGAAGCTGAGCTAGATGATGACTCGGACACCCCAGCCCACTGGGCAGGGGCTGAGCTAGAGGATAACTCGCCCTACATCGAAAAGATCATTCGGCACGAATTGAAAGAAGGCGCCGAGTGGAGTCCAGATCTGACCCGACATGATTTCAAGTATTACATCAAATGGCAAGGCATGTCCCATTTGCATGACACATGGGAAACCACCGAGAGTGTCGCAGGCTTTCGAGGCTTTCGCCGGCTGGAGAACTACTACAGGAAGTTCGTCGAATTCGAACTGAGCATGCGATATGAAGAAGACGATATCAGCCCCGAGCAAAGGGAGCAGTACATCCTCGACCGTGAGCGCGAGAACGAGGCCCTCGAGGATTACACCAATGTCGAGCGCGTTGTCGCCGTGCGTGATGGTGAGGAGGACACCGAGTATCTGATCAAATGGAAAGGCCTGCAGTATGACGAGTGCACCTGGGAGACAGCTGCCGATGTTAGCGAGCGGGCCCAAGACAAGATTGACCAGTTCATCGATCGGTCACAACGGAGCTGGCAATCAGATCGAAAGGAGTCGAACCCCGACACGAGAGGCCGTATGACCAAGCTTGAGCATCAGCCGTCTTACATTACGAATGGGGAACTGCGAGAGTTCCAGATGAAGGGCTTGAACTTCCTTGCACTCAACTGGACCCGGAGCAACAATGTCATCCTCGCCGACGAAATGGGCCTGGGAAAGACTGTCCAGAGTGTATCCTTTCTCAGCTGGCTGCGCAATGACCGTGACCAAGAAGGTCCATTCCTAGTTGTCGCCCCACTCAGTGTTATTCCGGCCTGGTGTGATACCTTCAATCATTGGGCCCCCGACTTGAACTATGTCGTCTATCTGGGCCCCGAAGCCGCGCGCTCAACCATTCGCGAACATGAGCTTATGGTCAACAACAATCCGAAGAAGACAAAATTCAACGTTCTTGTCACCTCTTATGATTACATTCTTCTTGACTCGGATTTCTTGAAGACCATCAAGTGGCAAGTGCTTGCTGTCGACGAAGCTCATCGGTTGAAGAACCGGGAGTCGCAGCTTTACGCTAAGCTCGTGAGCTTCAACGTTCCTTGCAAGGTCTTAATCACTGGCACACCTATCCAGAACAATCTGGCCGAGCTGTCCGCCCTGCTGGACTTTTTGAACCCGGGCAAGGTTCTCATCGACGAGGAACTAGAGCTTCTCGGACAGTCAGAGAAACAGGAAGTCATTGACGAGGAGAAGGATGAGGAGCAGCGCCGGCAGACCCAGGAAAAGCTTGGTCAGCTGCATAAGGCGATTGCTCCATTCATCCTCCGTCGAACCAAGGAGACAGTTGAGTCCGACCTGCCGCCAAAAACGGAAAAGATCATTCGGGTGGAGCTATCTGATGTGCAGCTGGATTACTATAAGAACATTCTGACACGCAACTACGCGGCGCTCACGGATGCTAGCGGCCAAAAGCAGTCTCTGCTGAACATCATGATGGAGCTGAAGAAGATCAGCAATCATCCATACATGTTTCAAGGAGCTGAGGAACGGGTGCTGAATGGCAGTACGCGCCGAGAGGATCACATCAAGGGTCTGATCACAAGCAGTGGCAAAATGATGCTGCTTGACCAGCTTTTGACCAAGCTCAAAAAAGATAACCACCGAGTACTGATTTTCAGCCAAATGGTCAAGATGCTGGACATACTTGGGGATTACCTGCGTATACGTGGGTACCCGTTCCAGAGACTCGATGGTACCATTCCTGCTGGGCCTCGGCGCTTGGCCATCAACCATTTCAACGCCGAAGGCAGCGATGACTTCTGCTTCCTTCTCTCGACGCGGGCTGGCGGTCTCGGAATCAACCTTATGACAGCAGACACTGTAATCATCTATGACTCAGATTGGAACCCTCAGGCCGACCTTCAAGCCATGGCTCGAGCACACCGTATCGGCCAGAAGAGGCCTGTCAGTGTGTACCGTCTTGTCGCAAAACAGACTATTGAAGAAGAGGTCGTCAAGAGGGCTCGTAACAAGCTTTTCTTGGAGTATCTCACGATACAGGCTGGCGTGACTGACGAGGGCAAGGCTCTGCGCGAGAAGTTCCAGGAACGAGGCGTGAAGGTAGATGAGGCCAAGACGTCCGAAGACATCCAGATGATTTTGAAGATGCGTTCTCAGAACCTGTTTGAGCAGTCTGGTAATCAAGAGAAGCTGGAAAAGCTCGACATCGACGCCATTCTGGAGCAGGCGGAAGAGACTAAGACTGCCGTCGATGATAAGCTCAACCTCAGCTCAGGAGGAATCGACTGGGACAACTGGATGCAAGTCACCGACGTCAAAGTCGACGAGATGGCCCTCGATTGGGATCAGATCATTCCTGCCGACCAGCTCGCTGTCATCAAGGCCGATGAGGAGAAGAAACAGAACGATGCCTATCTCGCCAAGGCGATGGAAGAGAACGCACCTCGAAAGGCTGCATTAAAGGGCGCTAAGAAGGGGTCAGACGCTGACAGGGCCGACCGACTGGCGAAGAAACGAGAGCGTGAGAGGCAAGAGCTTGAAGAACTCGAGGAGCAGCGTGCTCTCCTTTCCGACCCAAGGCGGCCATTAAACGAGAAGGAGACTCGCAATCTGATTCGTGCCTTCTTTCGCTATGGCTCAATGGACGATCGCGGTGACGAAGTAGTCCACGAGGCTCGCTTATCTGACCGTGACCGTGACTTTCTTCATGAGATCATCGACGATCTCATTGGTCACAGTCAAACCGCTGTTGACCTCAGTAACGAGAAAGTTCGCGAGGAAGAAGAACGGACAGGCAAGTCACTGGCCAAGAAGGACAAGAAGGCCGTGCTTGTTGATTTCGGGGAAGTCAGGAAGGTCAACGCTGAAACTGTTGTTGAGAGGCCTCCTCAGCTGAAACTTCTTCGCAACGTACTGGGCGAGCATGCCAATCCCCTCACTTTCCGCTTGCCCGAGGCTGCGAAGGCCGCACACTACACCTGCGAATGGGGAGCTCGGGAGGATGGCATGCTGTTGATCGGCATTGACAGATACGGCTTCGGAGCATGGACTCAAATCAGGGATGACTCGGACCTGCAGATGCACGACAAATTCTTCTTAGAGGAGCATCGTGTGGACAAGAAAGAGGAGCGCAAGAAGGGTGACGACAAGAGCATCCAGTCCCCGGGTGCGGTCCACCTAGTCCGCCGATCCGAATACCTGCTCTCCGTCTTGATGGCGAAGTACTCTGACGATGCCGCCGCCAAGAAAGCGGTCGAAAATCACCATCGCAGTAAGAAGAACCTCGTCTTGAATGGGCATCGCCGCAGCGACGTTCACTCTGCTTCAGGGTCTCCAGCCCCTCAACTCATCAAGAAATCTGGACACAATAGAGACCGCAATAGAGAGCGTCTGCATAGCGATCATCATAGATCTCGGAGCATCGCGGACGAACGTGGCACTCCTCGGCCCGAGCACAAGAGGAAGCATACAGACGACTACGAGGACCGCCACAGCAAGCATCGGCGAATGGACCATGCACATGGCGACAGCAGACATGGGTCGGATAAGCATGCCAAGGACGACAAGGCTCGCACGAAGCTTGATTCCGAGGCTCTTGATCGTCTCAATAGAAGACGTGAGGAAGCTGTTCAGCGATTCAACCGCTTAATGGAGCTCGACGACAACAAACTTGATGTACAGGACAACGAACAGCTGATCTGGTCTTTGTTGAAGCCAGTTCGGGGGAACTTCAAGCGTATTATGTATACGACACAGGATCACATCGCATCGGCGAAGGAGCGTGCCAAAATAATGGGTACTGAGCTCCGACACATTGGTAATCATCTTACTGGTCTGAAGGATGCCGGACTCCCTGCTGAGCAGCTCGACGGATTGATGCCCCAGTTCTGGTAATCACGATCAACCCCTAGGAAGCAGATACGTAGCAGACCAGCTAACCGTGATACAGGGATTTCCTCTCTACTGTCTGGCCCATCGGCGAAATTGAGGTGACAGGTGACAAGCTCGCCAAAATGTACCGAACACTCACAGACAAGGACAAAGGAAAGGACAAGAGAGAAGGCGGAGACAAAAAATCAGCCAAGAAGCGAGACGATCTCGAAGACGGTGAGATCGACGATGAGGATGAAGCACATCGTCAAGCGCGTAAGGAGGCGCGTCGCGACCCAAGTGAAGACACCCGGCGTGAATACCGACAAAGCGACTACAGACACCGTGCTTATGAGAACGGAGACCGCCTGAGCTTTAGGAAAGACCGGGATCGTTCTCTGACCGACCGAGGTCTCGCCGACCGCGGCAGGCCATCGTGGTCACCAAGTAATCAACACCGGCCCAGCCCGTACTAGAGACGCTGGCAATACGAGCAACAAGGAGGCTTGTGGCCGGAAATCACCCAGGCTAGGCTGGCACTCGAGGACATCTCGATGAGTTTAAACCATGTCGTATTGGAATGCGAGGCCGTGTCATGGGCGACACAATGCTCATAAGACACTTTGATCTTCTACACAAGCAACTCACACATTGTCGGCTTTTGAGCCTGTGGGCTAATGAACCAGAAGCATTGTTTAGGCGTACTGAGATGATGTCCATTTTGGCGTTTTTCGGCTGTGAGGAGTTTATATAAACTAAGTCATACCCAGAGTCGCATGGATTAGGCATACGGTTTTCACAAGCATGGCTTTTCTTTTGACAGACACATGGCTCAACCTACAGAGGGTGAGTAGTCATCACCCTTGTCATTGGTGGCCGAGAAAAAAATTGGTGGGTTCAGTCTGTATTACTTCATAAAGCACTAGATTCGGCTACAGGACTATGAAGTGTTGCTCATGACTATCGAGCGAATGAGGCCCGCGTGTGGTCTGGGCGTGTTCTTTTGTCTGGGGACAACTGCTGTCTCATCACACGATAGACGAGCCTTGGGTTTGGTAAGGGTGGTGGGTGGGGGTTGCTATCCATAACTAGCCCTGTCCAAGTTAAAACTGGATCGAGGATCGAATCAAAGACGACCTTCAGAGCAGACCAAGAGCCTTCCCTGGAACGTGCGAGACACGTGACATGTGTGTGTGTATGATGTGCCAGATGACCGACGCCGCGTGGAGTGTGGGGCATGGCCACCTCGAATACATGCCCTGGAGATGGTCCTGGAGGCGCGCACGACGGTCGAGTTAGTGGCAGGGTATCCATTGAGAGTCAGCGGCTTCGAGTCCACGCAGAGCCCGCAGACCTCTAGGTCAGAGCCTGCAAAGGAAAAATTGACTGAGGATGCAAGAGCTTCACCTCGACGATCGGGCACGCATATATATGCCATACTTTAAATGCAATCTTTTATCACAAGGCACCATGGAGCAACTGAGGATTACTCGACTTGAGCTTCATTTTACGAACACTGCTACAGCACGTGTCCCATCCTTCTTGGATCTATAGGTATACCATCAAAACTCCTTATGTACTTGTTGTGTGTATTTACCCGTGGACGGGCACCCGCCCGTACCAACAAACACAACGCCTCGCTGGTAAGGCAAAACTCTAACCCTCCATGATCACTTTTCTTTCAGAAGCAACCCACGGGACGATGCGTCCTATGAACAGTAGCTATGGGTGGAAATTTCGTACAATGCAATGGCTATTTGGCACCCTGCAGGGCAAACACTGCCGGCTACAGCTGGTTCTCGCGTACCAACTGGCAAAAACCGCAGACCGGTTCCCCGGCTGAATGTTTGGTGTCCATTTGCCAAGTCCCCGTTGAAGAAAGCCTATGCTGCCTTTGACAAAGCCCAAGGAAACCATTGCTCTTCGGTAAGGCCTGCAGATGTCTGGCTGCTGAAGCTATCCGACGGACTGAAGGATCTGAGTCTCACACATTGTGGTGGGTCATGGAATCCAGCCTCCTTAGACACCTGAGAGGCTGAGAGAATTTGACCTGTAGTATCACATGCAAGACCAGTTCCTGGGGAACCTAGGTCTGGTCGGAGCAGGAAAATGTCCCGAGAAGAGCTCTAATCCATCAGGTTCTCCATTCCGCGTGGCTTTGAGTTTGAAATGACTGTGTTTTCCCCCACCAAGTCGCTTGTTGCGCTGACAAAACTCAGCTCGCTGGACGAGGCTGCGACATTAAGGTAGGGAAGCTTCCCATGATCCTTGGCTTCTGGTCGCAGCGATGGGAGAGCATTGGGAAGGTCGCGCTTGTTCTCCAGTGGTGAGGACATTCTGGGGGACACAGGCTCACTCTTGATTTGCTTGCCGAGCGTCTTGCTCGGCCTGCCGACCTTTGTGACAGTCTTGGTTGCCTTGAATGCTTGGTTGATTCCATTATTGGGCTTCGCGTCTTTGGTTTTCTTTGGTTGCCGGGGCTTTCGAGGCTTCGTGACTTTCGCAGGTTTCGCTTCACTTTCAGCAGTGGCAGACTGGCTACCAAAGCTGAGCGTGCTCTGCTTGATCTTGCCTTTTGGTAGTGGTTTGCGAGGCTGTGGTGTTCCCTGTCTGGGGCTCGCACTTGGCGTCGGCAGTGTGCCTTGTATCTTGTCGACGAGTATCGACTTGACTGCGGGTACATCGCCTGCTCTGGACTCTGTATCGCTAGATTGATCGAAAGAGCGTTTCCTGTTGGCCAGCAACACGTCGATTCTATCGCGGCTGCAGCGTTCTTGGTACTCGACTTCTTTCTCAGCTGATCCAGACACCATGTACTCTTCCTTCTTCCCGATATCTTCAGTATCACAATCCCAGTGAGGAAAGTTGAGGAGACCAGCGATGTCGTCACATTTCCCACGGACCACCAGATCCCATAGGTCCTTCATATCCGGGGCTTGTGGTACGGGTTCAAGGTTTACCCAAGCCGTAAAACCGTCTCGCTTCGAGCGGGTCGCCTGGCACAGCTCCCTGACAATCCTCCTCACGCCAGGTACCTTGAGGCTCGTGCCGACGACAATGACGGCGTCGGGGACCCGTCGGAGGTCAGCTTGAGAAACTTTGCCAATTGCATCCTCATCTGGGTTATACTCGTTGTACAGAACCATTCGTGGTCTGAGACGCCCGATTCCGTGGCTCCGCTTCCCTCCGAATTCAGTGCGCACGAAGTCGGCCTCTCTGCACTCATCACATAATGGAGGCTCGGGGCCCTGAAAGAGTGAGCCGTCGAAGTTGTTCACGTGGCTACACTTGGTACACTGCATCTTCTCAAGACCGCCGTGGAGTTGTATTGTGATGGGCCAAGGAGCCTTTGTGTTTAGGGGTATGTTGGTCGCCAGAGGCTTCAGGGATGTGTCGAGACAGTCGACATTCTGGGAGTAGAGACGCATCAGGCGGCCCTCTTGGGCGATTGTTGCTAGCATGTGGTGGAATGGTGTGGGTTTGGCCTCTCTTGTCAGGCTTGACAGGTCGCGAACCATCTTATGAAATTCTTCGGTAGACTTGTCGTCCTTGTAGACTGAGGCGTCGAAGAGAGATTTGCCGCCGCCCTTGATTTTGTGTTTGTCCTTGAGGGTCTTAAAGAGGCCCTCCCTAGATCGAAAGTCGGGTACTAAGCAAGCAGTTAGCTCGGATGCTTGGGGAAGAGCGCCTTGAAACGAGATGACGCCAAGAGGGGAGACATACTCCCGGCTGAGACAGAGATTCCAGCTCCGGCGATGACCACGATCTTCTTCTTGCGCCGTAAGGTATTGAGCAAGCGCTCCAAGTGAATCTCGGCAAATTCGTCGCGGTTGTCGAGGTCCAGGTATTCGGTAGTCCGGGGCTTGGGCGGTGCGAGCCTGCGCCTCTTGGGGGGAGGGGGTGCGTCGTCGGTGCGGACCTGAATCTCCTGGCTGTCTAGCAGCTTGAGAGGCGAGGCACTTCCTGACTGGGTGGCAGTAGAACTGGGGGACGGGTAACGTGTAGCGACGTCCATGTTGGCGGGCGCGGCCGGTGACAGCGACGGCGATTTGGACAGGATCGACAGAGGCGAGGAAGGCGACGAGGGTGAGGGCGTGTGCGAGAGGGCCGAGAGAGGTGATGTAGGAGGAGAGGTATGGTGTCGGTCTGGAGAGGCCATGGCGCTCGTGTGGATGCCTGGCTGGCAGGCAATTGACGCGCCGCGAGACTTTGCAGTGATACAAAGTCAAGAGACCTCGGGAAGGTGGAAAGGAGAGAAGACAGGGTGCCGCGTGAATGGGTGGGCCGGAAGGTGGTCGGTCGCTCTGTCTTTAAGCCATGGCGCTAGTATTGTACATGGTATCTGCCTATTGTGTGAGGTGCGGTGATTGTGTTTGTGTTGTAACAAGAACAATAGGGCGTCTGAAAATTTTGGAGCGGTTGAGGTGAATTACGGTCGGTCGGTGGTGGTGTCGGTCGACGGCGACGGCGACTGCGACTGTGACGGGGCGTGGGTCTTGGGAAAGAATGAAGGGCGAATGGAGGCGACCTCGAATAAGGCCTGGGGGACCGGCAGAGGTACCCCAACCTTGGAAGGCTGCAGTGCGCGTGCCAGGATTGCAAAGGTAGTGCTGGCCCACCCTCCCTAGTACCTGGGCTGAGAAAGGGTACATGTGCTGGTGCAGCATTGCATACCGACGCCTTGGTACCCGACTAGCCGCTGATGTAAGTCGTCAGAAACAGAATACCATACACAGTAGAGCAGACAGACCAGACCAGACGGGACGAGGGTCACCTGGGCCCTGCCAGTGACTTACTTGGCTTGCAATCGCATTCCGTTTCTCCATGGGCTGGCTCTCTGGATGTGCCGTGGGTCTGTGCCTACTGTAAATTGAGTGAAAGCAATCAATCAACCCACTGCGCTACAGTACAGGTCAAGGCAGCCTTTTTTCTTGTACCCAATTTTGGATGGTTGGAAAGCAGGAAGAATTCGGTACAGCAGGTCTGTAAATTGCCATGACGCAGGCTTCAAGGCACGCAGGCGCAGGCGCAGGCGTCTTAGTCTTACAAGCTATGCAGTCTACGCGGTCGCATGTACTAACGGTACGTGCTATGTAACAAGGGCAGGAACAGCACGCTCCCGTACCGTTTCCCCTCGAGATAAATCGAGACAGGTCTAGCTTGAAACGGCAGTAGTGTTGGGCATGCCAGCAGCATGATCTTCAGGACTGCCGCGACTGACTGTATCAAGACTAGAGAGGACGAGTGAACCGTTGGTGATGGCAAAGGATATTCGAATAATCCCTCAGCGTTGGCGCAACTATGGGTCATTGATCAATCTATTACTCGGTCCGCTTTTGGTTGCTGGGAAACGGTGCCCATTCTTTTTCTGTACCTCTTTTATTTTGGCAGTCAAAATGCAGGGATTGGTGCAGATCCGCCAACGCACGTCGCCTGTCGGCAGGGGTAGGGGCGTCTCTGTCCAGTACATTACTGGCAATGCATGTACTCCGTGCTGCGTAATACGTGCAGCAGTACATGGCGCGCTTACTGGTGGGCCTCGACGCAAGGCTGGAGAAGCTGGGACCAACTGCCCCCAAATCGTCGAGGGCCAGACTGCGACGACATGCACCCCTTAGTCAGCAAATTCAACCACACTCGGCAACCCTGTTGGTCTAACAGCACAGAGCTCAGCCTAGCATTTGAGCCATGCTATTCTGAGCAGCCAACGCCTATCTGCTACTGTCTGCAACCACCTTTGGACTTCAACAGTGACCTACCGCCGATTTCACAGATACCCCATTGTTTCAATGCCGGACCCGATGATGCTTTTTCCCTAGCTTTCAGACCAGACGCCTTTTCGGGGACAGCAGACCTCGTGTTGCAGCCTGTAACTCATTGATCAGCCCCATGCACACTCCATACCAGCCATCTGTCGGTTGCAGCACGTCGCCCAGGCCTAGAACTGGAGCTTATGCTCACAGATGACCTCCTCCAAGATGCCCATGATGTTGGACGACCACATGGGCCCGCTGGGTGCTGCCATGCCCAACATGGACGATGACCTGTTTGGCGACGAGGTGCTCCCCTTGACCACTCGCCCTCCGAGCAAGCAGCTGCAGCAGCGAGTAGACGAGATGCGGAGTCGGGGCTGTTGTCGGTAAGTCAGCCTTGCCCTCTCTCCCGCTCAACCATATCCACTTTTGACACCCAGATCAGGAGCATCTCTTGCTCAAAGACCGGTACAATCGCCTCCATCTCTCCAGATGGCACCCACATCAATCTGCAGTGCGCTCGTACCAACCCCTCAGATGCGTCTTGGGAGCTGAGCGAGCCTTACCCGTGTTCCATCTTCTCGCCCACGCTTCCTGGAGGGCCCATTGTTCACCTGGCTTGGGCCCCCACCAACATCCCGGAGCTGGCCGTCATCGATGCCTATGGCCGAGTCTGTCTTCTGTCCTTTCATATTAGCCTTAACAGGGCCTCTGTCATAACGAGAAAGTGGGACGCAGATACCCCCGACGATCTCTTTTCTGTAGTCGGCTGCTACTGGCTGCCCCTGTTCATATCGCCGAACAGACAGGTAATTACTCCCTCCCGCCCCATACTGCAGCAGCCTGAGTACCTAATCCAAAGTGCAGTTTAATGTCACATATGGACCAGCTGTTCGTGAGAACGGGAAATACCAGTATAACAACAACATAGTACAAGCTGGCGGCCCATGGCATCCCAATCCGCAGAAGAGCGCATTGGTATGCGTTACAGCCAATGGGTTTCTCAAGTTGTTCTATTCCCAGAACAACAATATCGTATTGGATACGCAACTGGAAATGGAGAGCATATCTTCCTCTGACGACCTCATCACCCATGCCGCCATGTGCTCAGATCGGGGTAAGACTCAAGAGAACCCAGAAATCACGTCGGTAGCTAACATCCGGCCAGGTAGATTGATCGTTGTTGTCGCCACAGCGGCGAGACAGTTGAAAGTTGTCCAAGCAGAGATCAGTTGGGGCGTTTCGCAGCCTCAAGACAAGCAGATCCCACCCGGCAGTCTGCCCCTCAAGCCCTCACTGAAGGCAGAGCATATCACTGGGACGAGCTGGCTACAACCAGGCCTCGTTGAGTCACATCTGGATGCATCCATGGATCAAATCTCGTATCTGGAGGTATTTCCGCCTGTCGTGGATGTCAAAACGAAGTCCGCTTTACCAGCCACCATCCTGACCATCAGGTCACACGTGCCCACGGCGCAGAATCATTATAACGTCGAGTACCAAAGTATCATCGATCGCTGGGACATCCTCACAGACCAGCCTCAACAGCTGCATCCCGCTTTCGAACAACGAGGCTCCAAGACAGGATCGGCGTCATCTCTCCATCCCATGACACGACTTCGAAAGCGAGACTCGATCGTCATCAATAAGATAGTTGTCTCTGTCGAGACTACTCAGCTGGGGAGGATCATCTGCATCGGTTTCAGCGACGGAACTGTCCAATTCAGAGACCGCACGACGATGGCAGAGATGGCCAACGAGGACAACCATAGTGTAATCATGGTACCTCACCAGGCTGGCTTCCTTCTAAATGACGAGGAAAAACCTTGTGTCCAGATGACTATCTCCCCGAATAATTGCTCGGTCACACAGGTCTGCGAGAATGGAAAGCTTAAGTGGAGCAGCTTGAAATACCCAGTGGCTGAGATCGGCTCAACAAGGCAGGATCCTCTGTACGACGCTGTACTGGCTGGGCTAACACTGGCTGCCGCCAACGCCGCTCACCAAGGCACAAATTGTGACGACGTGCTGGCCGCCGCCAGACCCTTCGTGGACAAGCATCCTCGATTCCTACACGACTTGGTCTCAACACTGGTATTCATGCTGAATGTCAATGTTGACTACTCCGAAGATTCTCATCACGACGCATTAATAAGAAACATGCAGCTGCAGACCGTTTTCGGTCTGCTGAACCACCTCGGCTTCCAAGGCGAATTCAGGCCCAGGTCCTTTATCAGCAAGTTTGCCATGCTCGGCCTCAACATCAGGCACATCGTCATCCTCATAACCCTAGCCAGCAATTCTTCTGTGAACCCGGCCAAAGAGAAATGGACGCCACTCGACGAACCCGGTGAGTCATCAATTTCTTTTTATAGACTTGGAAGATGTCTCTTATGCTGACTTGGTTTCCAGAGGTGGTTGACGCACTTACCGGTTGCGCGAAGTGGGCATTGGACCTTTTGTGCTGGTTGACGGATAGCCTGTTCATCTTGCGCGATGACCCGAAGTTCATGGAGCTTCTCACCCCTCAGCGCTTCTCAGAGATGACTGCCTATCTCAAGTCTAAGAACGACGTTTGCCTGCACTTATTGCTTTGCTCTTCAACGAGGGGCTTCCTCGTTGCCACCTGCAAACGTCTTGGTCATCTTCAAGCAATGAGCGCCCAGGCTACCCAGTACTGGGACAGGAATGCGTCCTTGCACAACTCAACAGACTCGCACGTGAGCCAAAGTATAATTGCTGTCCAACAGGCTTATCTCAAGATGCAAAGATACATTACAACCACACTCATCAAGGTCAAGGAGATAGACAAATTGTTGAACACTCTAAGTGCGGACATCAAGCAGGCTTACCAGGCATCCCTGGCTATCCTAGCACAGAAACAGCAGCAACAGTCCGGCAAGCCCAATCAGCCTCCCCCTGACGCCGCCATCAAGAAAGCTCAGGCGCACTGTGAGCTCAACATGCTCCTCGCCGAGAATCCACCTCCTCAATTCCTACCAGTGATCAAAAAGTTCTTTGACACTGACCTCAAGAATTTGGTGGCCTCGACCGACCGATCTGGGCTGTTCTTCACGGACTTCCAGCTGCTAGAAGTAGAGGACGACCCGAGGAGGCTGGCGGCCAGGAAGGCACAGGGCAAGTATGTTGATACGTTCAAGCGTGTGGAGCTGACGGCGTCAAAATCGCCAAAGGTAGCCGATGGAGACAATGTGCGCCGGCCGCACGAGCAGCACGAGCAGCAGCAGCAGCAGCCGGACGCGGATGCCGTGACTGGACCGGCGTGGCGGAGGTGTGTGAGGTGTTGTGCTATCATGGAAGATGCCTTGGGTCAAAAGCCGGGCATGACGTTTGTGTTGTCACAGCAGAGGAAGTGTGCCTGTGGAGGAGGTTGGGGACTTCTTCCGTCAGGCGAGCTGGTGATTTAAAGGCATTGCTGTCATTGCAGGTGCATCTTGGCGAGCTTGGGCAGATTATTTTGGGATAGCGATATGTATATCAGGCGGATGTTGCACAATTACCATCAATATCCAATCGTCGATATTCATTCCTTTGATGCCATGTGAAAAGTATCTACACCGGTCACCTCTTGCTTTCCAAGGCGAAAGTATTGGCGGTGGTAGCTGCTCAAGGCATGAGCTTCCAGACAGTCAGTACTTCGCAAGTCGTACCCCTGAAGGCGACCTCTTCCAGCCGCGGACATGTCCCCTCCGCCGCTACTGGACCCCGGCCCATGAACGGCCCTCCACTCCAAATCTCCCCTGACCCTCGTCCATGATGCGGACTTTCTGGAAATCTGGGGAATTTACGCGCAAATTGCACACAAATTTCCCAATTACTTCCCGAGTCGGCCCTCCGGTCATGGTTGTGCACACGTACTTGACCCCTTCTAGCGGCAGACTCGGGCGTTGAACTAGGCACCTCTCCACCCGTGTACCCAAGTAGCTGGTTCGTGAGCATTCACAATGAAAGCAGTGAGGCGAATTAACTGACATATTTTAAAAGCCATGCCCTGTTCCCTCGCCATGAGCCGCACGGATGCAATGCATTCTCGTTCACCACCCTGCTTTCGTTAAGTCCCTGGTTTACATCAAAGCATTGACTGGTTCTGGCCCTCGCACACCAACAGCCGCCATGAGATTAACGTCCCTCCTCCTCGCCATCGCGGCAACAGCTTCTGCAGATGACCACAGGCTCAGACGCCACAGGCTCAGGGCCAGGGCAGACACCAGCAACCTGCCCATCACGCGCGATGGCTCGGCGCTCCTGCTGAACGGGGAGCCGTGGAAGGCGGTCGGGCCCAACGTGTACTGGCTCGGGCTGGACGAGAACGTTATCCCGCCCGCGGGCGAGCCGTTCTACAGCCCCTCCAACGCGAGCTACCCGACCAAGGGGCGCACCACGGAGGTGATGGCCATCGTCAAGGCCCTGGGCGGGACCATGATCCGCGCGCACACGTTGGGCGTCAGCACGGGGAACCCGCTCAGCGTGTGGCCCGAGGAGGGCGTGGTCAACGAGCAGGCGTTTGAGAGCATCGACTGGGCTGTCTTCCAGGCGCGGGCGTTTGGCCTGCGCCTGCTGGTGCCGCTCACTGATAACTATGATTACTATCATGGTGGCAAGTACAACTTCCTGCGCTGGGCCGGGTTCAACCTCACGCAGGCCGCGGACGCGAATAACCCGCTCATCCAGCAGTTTTACACCAATGAGACGATCGTGGACTCGTTCAAGGAATATATCCATACACTGCTGACGCACGTCAATCCCTATACGAATCTGACGTACGCTGAGGATCCCACGATCTTTGCCTACGAGAGTGGGAACGAGCTTGCGGGCCCCGTCTGGGCAGACATGAATGTCCCGACTGAGTGGGTTGAGCATATTGCCGCCTATGTGAAGAGCCTGGCACCCGAGAAACTGTTTGTTGATGGGACATACGGGGTGAACCAGACTCATCTGGGAGCGGAGGATGTAGACATATTCTCGGACCATTTCTATCCGATCAGCATCGCGAAGCTGCAGAAGGGCTTGGACCTAGGTGAGTACATATTCCATGAAGACTATGTAAAAAGAGCATTCGATACTAATTTTGACGTCCAGTTGCTTCAGTCAACAAGAGCTACTTCGCCGGTGAGTATGACTGGGTCGGGTCCACGGACGGAGGGGCCACGCCCAACGGCGACTCCTTGGCCGACTGGTTCAAGGTCATTGAGCAGAGCTCGGTGGCCGCTGGCGACGCCTTCTGGAGCTTGTTCGGGCATAACGTTCCTGACTGCAGCGTAAGTAGATCATCTCTATATAGTGTGCCATCATGCTTGGAAGCGGGATGCAAGGCTGACAGAGTTCCGATGTTCCAGGTATTTGTAAACCATACCGATGGCTTCACATTGCAGTATGGCAACCCTGAGTATTCGCCTTACACGGATAGCCGTATCCAGCTTATCCACCAGCATTCCGTCAAGCTGAGCCAGGGCGTAAATATTAGTGCGAATGCCTCCTTGCCGGTCGTGCCTTGCCCGGCTTCCCCGGATGGAGGTAGCCGTCTCTTCAAGAGGTAGTTACTCCAGACTCTAGCAAATAGTAGAAGAATGAAACCAAAGTCAACAAGTGATATGAGATGAATTTGCTCAATATTGATGGTCCCCACGTAGAGATTCTCAATGCTTAAAGACCCAGGGCAATTTCCCTGTGGCCATATCTGAGCGCGAAATCCCTAGGAGTGCTTCTTCGGATCCCAGGCCATGGCAGTTAGTTCCGTCTTCTCCTCTTCCCCCTCTACCTGTACCGTGATGATCCCGAGTTCCTCAAATCCAAGTCGAGGATAGACATTCCGTCCCATTGGGCTCGCCACAAGTGTGACCACCGCGCCATCCCTCGCAGCCTGGTCCATCCCCCACTGACACAATCTCCTGGCCAAGCCCCTCCGCAGGTATGAAGGGTGCGTCCCCAATGCCTGCAGGTGCATTTGCTCTGTCCCGAAGCGAGAGTCCAGAAAAGCCGTGCGCCCCTCGTAGTACGCACGGAAGTGTTCCCTCGCGTGTGACGGGTTCGCATCCCTTCGGGTCCCCGCGCCAGCTTGGGCGAGGATGTCTGCGGCTGGGAATTTGCTCGGTGTCAGCATGTTCAACTCAAAAAGCTTAAAAGAAAATTAAAGATTTAATGCGCGAGAGATGACTCACCACTTGCCGGTTTGTATCCGACACCGAACTTCCTGATGTTCAGGTAAGTCAAGTCCCAAACCGCAAACGAAGCCACCTCCCAGCGCCCGGCCGAGGCGTCCCAGCACTCGGCCACTAGGACCACCAAGTCGTCGAACTCGGGCGAGATCCACGTCTTGACGAGGATGCCCGAGAACTTCGAGTGATCGTCGGGATGATCCTCGCGGTAGGGGAATCGATAGTCATACCACCCGCGGTCTTGAGGCATGGCCGTTATCAGGACCTTGGTGACGGCGTCAGCATCCTCTGGGCCTGCCTTGCGGACACGGATCATATCATCCATGACTTTTGAAGTAAAGAGATCTTTATGTTTTTTGTGTTAACAGACAACAAACGCAAATAAACCCGAATTGCCTAACAGGTCACTCTTGGTAATATGTGTCAGAATCGGCTCCTTTTGAATAAATTAGCTGCCTTCAAAGATAGTAAGCGTGAGCATAAGTATCTTCATAAGCACCGATAGCCTGCGGAGCTCGGAGATATACTACGTCACGCAACAGAGATGGATTTCTCATCCGGTGTGATTCAATTGTGCGAAGCTGCACGACTTACCTGATGCAGGTGAGATGCCGGAGAGGGCAAATGCAAACGCTCTCACCTTGTAGAACAGCCAGCTGTAGGATGACCTCCAAAGGGACAGGGGCTATGGGCTTAGCTGCTGGATCTTACGGATCAAAGCGCAAGAGGGCATCCAGGTAGAATTTGTCCAGGTCACAGGATGACCGTGTTGGGACGTGAAGTGGTCATCGTTGCGTGTGTTACAATTGACAGATGTGGTCGAGAAAGGCTCGAAATAGTCACAATTTTCGTCACTATGGAGGACAGTCTCCAGGTCTATGGTTCTACTCTGCCGCAAGAGCTACTGATCCTAAACAGACAGACGGCATGCCAAAGTCATGCAGAGAAACCCACGTTTCAAGCGCCTAGCAATTGGCTTTGCCTTTCGGGGGTTGTAACTTTGGTTGTTTTTGGGATTATCCCTATTGAAAGGTCTTTCCGCAGAGATGACTTAGAAATTTCTATTGGATATCCCGCAGGGTGGAAATATCCCCGTCGTCTTTACTCAGCTCTATGCTTGCCGCTTGAGCCAGTCCTCATGCAGCTTCTTCTGCCTCTCCCAGTCCTTCTGCAGCTTCTTTTTCCTGCTCTTGGTGACCTCCTCGCCCTTGGCGTCCTTGGTCGGTATGCCGTTCTCATCCCACTCCACGTACTCCTCTGTCTTGTACATCTCGAGGTGGCTGAGCTTGGCCTTCTCGTCCTGCAGCTTCTTCTTCTCCGCCTCCTCCGCCTCTCTCTTTGCCTTTTGCGCAGCCTTGGCAGCGGCCGCTTGCTCGCGCTCCTCCCTGGCCTGCTTGATGGTCTGGTCGATAGGCCGGACCAATGCCGGCAGTGGCGGGTCGCGGTCTTCGAGGTAAATATCCAGATCCCACAAGCGTGTGTCGCGCAGCTGGTCGCAAAGAGCGAGGATGTCGCTGGCTGCTGCCTTCTCGCTGGCTAGTTTCTGGACGTCGGCTTGGAACTGTGTGAATACCTGCTCGTACTTCTTCGCAGACTCGCTGGAGGCCGATTCTGTAGGCTTGACCTTCTCCGCTATCTGGACCAAAGAAGCGTGGTCCAGATCTTTGGTCCGAGCAGCTTGTCGCACTTGATCGCGCAGTTGCGAAACAGGGTACACAAACGCTTCTGCTTCTGAGGGAATACCGACGCCGGACCAGGCTACTCGGGATACATCATTCAAGTCGCCCTTTGCATCTAGACCCAAGATCGTGAGAATCCTTGTTATCCATCGTGCAAGGGTGAGCGTCGTCTCATCTGAAACAGCCCCGGCCGAGTTGAATTCGGTCACAAGCTCAGAGATTGCCCTCATCGCCGCAGGTGTGTTGAACGAGTCCGCGAAAGCAGCGTCGACATCTTGCTTGGTCTTCTCCAAAGCAGCCAACACCTTCTGATCGTTTCCTGATTCCTCAGATCCCTTGCTAGCAGACGCACTGCTTCCGTTCTGCTGATTCCTCGCAATATCCGTACTCTTGTAGAAGAAATTGTTCATCTTGTCCTCGAAAGATGCGGTCGTGCGAAGGATCTCGTCAGTCACCTCAATGCCGCTCTCCCACGCACCGAGCAAGAAAGCAATACGGAGACTTCGGTAGGTCCACTCCTTTTTCGCAAGCGCCGACCTGATTGTGGTGAAGTTTTTGAGTGACTTGCTCATTTTGGAGCCTGCGATCGACAAATGACCCATATGCAAGACTTGAATGTCCCATGTTAGCAACTCTTCAGATAATACACCAGCACCGATATGACTCTGGGGATTGCCTAGCCGGACAGAGATTCACTTACAAAAGTTTGACCACTGCTCTTTGCTGTTCCAATATGCCTCTGATTGGGCCAGCTCATTATCGTGGTGCGGGAACCGAAGATCGACGCCTCCAGAATGGACATCCAACTTTTCGCCCAAAACTTCAGAAGCCATAACCGAGCACTCAATATGCCAGCCTGGACGCCCGTCTCCCCATGGACTAGGCCATGAAAACTCCCCAGCCTTACTTGCCTTCCACAGGGCGAAATCAGCGTCGTTACGTTTTACCGTGGTCTTAGACGCGAGCGACCCTTCACCATCGGCCTGCAGGGCAGTATCGCCCCTGCTCCAGGGCTCGAGGCGGGCGTAAGCGTGGCCTGCCTTCTCGAAAGCAGCTATGTCGAAGTATACCGAGCCGTCGGAGGTGGCGTATCCGAAACCATTGGCTATGATCTTCTCAATAAAAGACACAATTTCAGGCACATACTCGGTTACTCGGGTCAGAACCTCGGGATCCAGAACGTTCAGAGCATGCATGTCCTCGAAGAAGCGGTCCTCGAACTTTTTGGTCAGCTTCGTGAAGATCGCATAGTCCTTCGAGTCGACAGTAGCGCCATGCAAAGAGTCCAGGTACGGTAATAGTACGTCCTCCGCGCCGTCGTAAAATTGGTCGGGCGCCAGCGAGGAGCCTTGTTGCAGGGTTGTAGCAGCCGACTTGGCCGTATTTATGTGCATTTTCAGTTTGGCCTCCTTGTCACCTGGCGTCTCGTTGTCCCCTGCCAATGCTTTTCCTGCCAGAACCCTTGCGTATGCCTTGTCTGTCTCTGAGCTGTACGAATCGGGAGTCGTTTCGGCGGGAAGGAGAGGTAGATTCTTCTTCAAATAGAATGTGAAAGCCGCCTGGGCCGTAGATACGGCAGTCTCGTCGACATTGGGGTGCTCTGTTCGGAAGTTTGCCAGCAAATGCTGCTGACGCGCGCGCAGGATGATCTTGTCGTCGATATCGGTGATGTTCATTACGAACTTCACGTTGAAGCCAAAGTAATCTCTCACGATGCGCCTAACAACGTCTGTAGAGACATAGTTGCGCGCATGCCCCAGGTGCGCGTCATCGTAGACGGTGGGACCGCAAGTATACCAAAGCACAGTCTTTCCTTCGGGGTCGATTGGTACAAACTTGTCCTTCTTGCGCGTCAGGGAGTTGTAGACTGAAAGGTTGGGCAGCTTGACGGAATCGGCGAGGGGTTTGGGAGGCGTCCAGGTGGGTTGTTTCGTCGACATCTTGGCGAGGAACAGCCTGGCTGCAGAAGACCTAGAAATCGAGTTGTTCCTCTCGCTCAGTATGCAATTCGACGGTTGGCTTCCTCGCGTGAGAAGATGAGCTGTGCGGGCGTGTGACGGAAGGTTCTTGGGCAGGCTTAATGAATGGACAAATAAAGAAGGGCAGCGGCCAAAGGAAGGGAAGGAAGAATGGCGCAATATATTAAGGCTATTGCTCGACCTCGAACATCTGGAAACGTGGCTCATCCGGGTCGCCTTTTTTGAGTCACAATAGGAGAGTCACAGTATGACAGGTGAAGGAGGGTCGCAAGTTAAGGTGGGGTGGGGTGTTTTCTAGAAGAGCTCCAACACAGCAAAATGGTGGAGGGATAGGGGTCCTGCTAGTGAGGCCGTTCCCACGCGCCGTCTGTGTTCCTACGACAGTCTAACAGCTGTTCTAAATTTAAACAGATATACTTGAGTCACGGTGAGGCAGATTCGATATGATCACATCTGGGGATTGACGCCTGTGCCTATGTATCAAGACATCTGCGCGAGCCTTCTCACCACCACCATTATTAAGGTACCAGCCCAGCGAATGGACAAGACGACGGCGCTCCCATGGCTGCTTGTTCAATCGTTGAGTAAATGAGCATCTTATTAGACTGGCGACTAGTTTTGTCATTCCGCCCAGGCAATGGGCCACGGACTTTTGTCAATGGCAATGCAAGAAAGAACAATCAACCAGCAGCCCCAAACCATGAGGTAGACTACCACATTATTGCTCTCCGTAGGGCACATCTCTAGACTTTTCAAAGCCAAGTCAAGCCCACGGTGGCCTCTCTACCCATGCCGAACCCGGCTCCGACAGCTCGATCCGGACCCTGGGGGGTCCCGCGATTGAGGCCCCGCCCAGGGCAGACCCCGCGGCCCCGGAGGTCCAGCTCAAGCTCACAAGGCAATCCTCGAGTCGATGATGATGACGATGCGCTGTAGCAAAACCATCCTCCACCACATTCCCTTCGCATGATTCAGTCACAGCTTGACAAAGTCTTTTCTGTCTTCATCAAGCTGCAGCTCTAGGAAAACTCGTACTCATCAAGCCGAGGCAGAAACGCCCGCATCTGCAATGTTCACTGGCATCGTCGAAGAGATAGGGGGTAGGCCTTACTTGGCACAGCCCAGCCCAGCTCACCCTTCACCTCATCCCATGTCACTCGCCTAGCATGCACGCACAGCCGCTAACAAACATCACTCACAGTGGTCGCCGCGCTCAACCCTCACGATGAGACAGGCGGCACATCCCTGACCATCAACCTGCCCGCAGAGTCCACCCTCCTGTCAGACTGCCATGAGGGCGACTCCATCGCCGTCAACGGCGTGTGCCTCACCGTGGTGACCTTCACGCCCAAGGACCCCCTGCCCTCCTTCACGGTGGGCGTGGCGCCCGAGACGCTGCGCGTCACCAACCTGGGCAGCCTGGCGACGGGGTCGCGGTGCAACCTGGAGCGCGCCGTGCGGGCCGACACGCGCATGGGCGGCCACTTCGTGCAGGGCCACGTCGACACCGTCGCCGAGATAGCCAGCATGCAGCCCGACGGCAACGCCGTCACCATCCGCTTCCGCCCCGCCAAGCGCGACGTGCTGCGCTACGTCGTCTACAAGGGCTACGTCGCCCTCGACGGCACCAGCCTGACCGTCACCAAGGTCGACGACGCCGAGGGCTGGTGGGAGGTCATGCTCATCGCCTACACCCAGGAGAAGGTCGTCATCGCCAAGAAGAAGGTCGGCGACACCGTCAACGTCGAGGTCGATATGATGGCCAAGTACGCCGAGAAGTCGATCCTCTATGCGGGCGAGGGAGCCTCGTTCTCCTTCATCAAGGAGGTGGAGAAGACGGTGGAGAAGATTGTTGCGCAGGGCTTGGGTGGACACGCAGCGTGAGAGGTGTTGGGTATTGATCCAGACACTTCAGTAGTTCTTGTAAAAAAAAAGATGATGTACTTTCAGCCTATAGACATGCCTTTCCACCATCTGCAGGACATTGCACCTGCCGTCACGACGCCAGGCTCACTCATCAAAATTGCACAGCTTCAAACCTCAGCCCATACTTCGGCAATTTTGGTACTTAGGGCTTTGCCAATCTGCTTGCTCTTCACAGCGTGTCCTCCTAGCCGGCTGGAGACCAGCTCCCGCTTTCTTTTCTTTCCTTCCTCTCCAGGACCACACTGCTCGAAAGCCTTGACAAACTCGTTGGGCGTCTTCCAGATCTTCTGTATTTGTATCGCCTTTTCCCCTGTGACGCCTCGTGTGCACATTAGCATCTTGAGGAAGAGGTCGCGTAGGGTCAGCAGATCCGTCTTCGACACCAGCGAAGCAAAAGCAGGATAGCTGATGTAGTAATCTACCCCAGGCTGCGTTTCCCTAAGGCTGTTTAAGAGAGGCAAGTAGTTCTGGGGTGTGATGACCTTTGTAGGGATCACCCTCAGAGGCTGGCTTTCGTAACGCTTTTTCAGCAAGTCCGTCATCCTCGCGAGGTACCGGATGGTGTCATCCATCTTTTGTGTCTTCTTCACGGTGAAACCATTAACCACCTGCGTCGACGCAATCGCAGACTGCACGCTTTCCTCGTACTTGGAGAAGTGCTCCCGGTCCAATGAGATCTCCTCCACAAGGTAGGTGACGTGTCGGACGCCAGATCGCTTCAGGCGGAACTTCTGCTCGTGGAAGCGGCCGTCCTTGATACTGCCGATCAAGTCGTCCAGGCGCTTGCGCTCCACGATGTAGTCGAGCACGACCTCGTCGCCCTCGGCGCCGCCTCGACGCAGTACCTCCGGGTCGTGGCACTTTGCCACCCACTGGGCATCACCGAGCTCCAAACTGCGCATGATGGGCTTGATTCCCTTCTTTGTCAGTTCTTCTTGCATGTAGTCCCGGTCTGTTTTGGCACGAATCTCTCGCACGTCCAGTACAAGGTGAACTGTAAATGAGCCAGGGTTTAACCTGATCGTTGTAAAGTTTGGCAATGAGGAGTTGTCAGAAAAGACGGGGCCGTCAGTAACCACATTACCAAAGTCTGGCTTCTCCTGTTCCAGGGAGAGGTCGTCGTTGGTACCTTCGTCCAAACCACCGACGAAAGCCAGTGACTGTGCTTGGGCCCGAGGCGCGGCCGAATTGTTCCTGGAGTCATTCGTTCTGTCACCAGTGTTACTGGTGCTGGCCTCATTAGCCTCCTGGATTCGTCGTGCCACATCCCGACCATCTTCAGTCAGGGCGTATCTTTTCGTCGGTCTCCCACGCTCGTAGACAAGCTCTTTAGCGAGTAAGGTCTTCATAGAGTTCCAAGCCGTGTAGAAACTTCCCGGCTCGCTCGCCGTGAAGGAAGAGTTGCAATGTGGTTGAGCCTTGTCGATCAAATCCAGCTTTGCCATGCCCTCAGGCCCATACTCTGGCATGTTCGATAAGGCAACAATGAGAGCGTAGGCGCCGGACCGATATGCAGGCACATATGGTTTAGCCTTCCGTGGCTTCTTCTGGACTGGAGCGGGCTCTTCCTCGTCGTCATCGTCATCATCATCTCCTTCTCCTGTAGCTCTGCTGGCATCCTTGCGCTTCTTAGATTTCGAAGGGCGCTCAGGCATTGGCAAGCCATTTTCTCTGCAATAAATCTCAAGTTTGTCCGTGAGCCTCTTGGTGAGCGTCTGTCCGAAGAACTGCAGCTCCGTGAGCTCTGAGGGATGTTGAAAGACTTTGGGACATTTTTTCAATGAATTGTAAGCCTTTCTGTATGTAGTGACACCCTTGGTGTTTTTTTCTCTCGCGTTCTCGTACCACTCCTTGACCCACGAAAGTAGCAGTGGATTGGGGCTATCCTCGTCGGACGGCATGATGATTCATCGAGCGAGGCAGCCCAGGGGAAGCGAGTAGAGCCAGCCAGCAGGACAGACCAAAGGGAGCGAAAAGCTCTCAATTGAAGGAAGATATTATGTGATTAGCAGTCGGCACAAAACTAGAATTGAATCAGGCAGGCAATGCAAGTGGTGCTGATTGTTGGAAGAGCGATGCGAGACAGTTTGGTGCGAAGCGAAGCCGATTCGGGAGACGCGTTCACGCGTTTGGCAAGGACAAAAGCGTTGGAATTCCAGGGACCTGGGGCCTAATGCACTACAAGCTTTAAGCTCAAGGCAATCCCGCAGCCTCGGGTGGGGGCCATGAAGTCTGGGCAGCTTGCTAGCTTGATATGTCACTGTTGGATAGAAGGAAACGGTCTTCCTAATTTAATTGTAGAATTGCTCGGCAGAAAGTGTCGGCCTCCGTTGGAATAGATTCAGGTTATGGATAAGATGCATGGCAGGATCATTGGCAAACAGGGCCGCTTCAGGCTCGTATTGCAGGCGATCGACGCACACAGCACAGCATCATAGCACAGAGCTATTCCCTTTGCTCGACTGCTTGCATTGAATAAGGCTCAGGGACAGGCTGGGGTACGATGAGCTGCGCCGCTCAGGAATGTATGCTGTACCGTACAGCTCGCATAGACGAGATCTACTGCATGATAGAAGCGAGGAACAAAGAAGGCGGGGTAGCTTTGATCACCGATGCTAATAATAAAGTGGGGGGTGCCAGAGGGGTGGTGGGCATTCCAGCATGCGGGCCTTGCAGGGGGCATGCCCGTCTGTCTGTCGTATTAGCTGGAGCAGTAGCGGGTTGCCTTGCCAGCTATGACAGCTCACCTCTCCTTAAATGCCTCCTCTTTCACCTCGGGACTTCCCCCGTCTACGTAGCCCTTGTCTTTTGTCTTCGTCTAGCTAGTTCTCTCGTGATTGCTTCACCATTATTTCCTTTCACAATCTGTAACAGCTTCTGGGGTCCTGTGAGCAAAGAAACAAACCATCATGGCTTCACATGACGACAAGATCCTGGCTGCTTCGGCCAAGCACCCCATTGTCCCCCTCCCAGCTGGCAGCCTTTACAAGTATGGCACCGCCGGCTTCCGCATGTCCTCTGACCTCCTCGAGGGGGTCTCCTTCAGGGTTGGCCTGCTGGCTTCTCTTCGAAGCCGCAAGCTGAGCAGCCAAGCCATCGGTGTCATGATTACTGCCAGCCACAACCCAGCCAAGGACAATGGCGTCAAGGTCGTCGACCCCATGGGCGAGATGCTTGAGCAGGAGTGGGAGAGCTATGCCACCAAGCTGGTCAACTGCCAGACTGACAAGGAACTCGTAGAGGTCTACAATGGTCTGGCTGCTCAGCTCAAGATCGACCTCAAGGCCCCTGCCAAGGTCGTCTATGGCCGCGACACTAGGCCCTCAGGCCACACCCTCGTCACCGCTCTCGCCGCTGCACTCGAGGCTACTGGCACCGAGTATGTTGACTACAAGATCCTGACCACCCCTCAGCTCCACTATTTGACGAGAGCCATCAACACCGAGGACACCCCTCAGTCCTACGGCGAGGTCAGCGAGGCTGGATACTACAAGAAGTTCTCCGACGCCTTCATCCGCGCTCTCAAGGGGCGCAAGATCAACGGCTCCTTGACCGTCGACTGTGCCAATGGCGTCGGTGGGCCCAAGTTGACCGAGCTGCTGAAGTACCTCCCCAAGGACAAGGTCCCATTTGATGTCAACGTCGTCAACGATGATGTCCTCCGACCCGAAGTTCTGAACTTGGATGTAAGTGACCATACCTCCTTTCCCAATCGACCAGCATGCTAAGTTACCTACCTCTATCCAGAGCGGCGCCGACTTCGTCAAGACCAAGCAGCGAGCCCCCCCTTCACCCAAGCCTGAGCTCGGCGCCCGATACTGCTCCCTCGACGGTGACGCTGATCGTCTGATATACTACTGGACCGACGCTGAGACGGGCTTCTTTATGCTTGACGGCGACCGCATCTCCACTCTGGCTGCGTCATTTATTGCCGACTTGGTGCGGTCCGCGGGGCTTGAGGAGGATCTGCGCATCGGCGTGGTGCAAACCGCATACGCCAACGGCGCCAGCACGAAATACATCTCAGACCACCTTCGCCTTCCTGTCGTCTGCACGCCAACCGGTGTGAAGCACCTGCACCATGCGGCGTGCAACTTCGACGTGGGGGTCTACTTCGAGGCGAATGGCCACGGCACGGTCGTCTTCTCCAACGACGCTCTGCGCACCTTCAAAGAGAAGGAGCCTCAGTCTCCTGCTCAGAAGGACGCACTTGAGACCCTCTCTGCCGTGGGAGACCTCATCAACCAGACCGTCGGCGACGCCCTTTCGGATATGCTACTGGTGGAGGTGATCCTGGCACACAAGGGCTGGACGCTGAAGGACTGGGCTATGACCTACACGGACCTGCCCAATAGGCTGGTCCGCGTCGAGGTCGGCGATAAGGATCTTTTCCAGACCACGGACGCGGAGCGCAAGCTGTCGCACCCCGCTGGCGCACAGGACGAGATCGACGCCCTGGTCAAGAAGTACACCAGCGCCCGCAGCTTCGCCCGTGCTTCGGGCACCGAGAACGCTTGCCGCGTCTACGCGGAGGCCGCAACCAGGGTGGAGGCAGACGAGTTGGCCAAGAAGGTGGCCGCCGTGGTGGAGAAGTACGGAAGAACCGGCGCGGCTACGTCGCAGTAGAGCAGCGATATGTCAACGCCTGAGGGCCTTCTCGAGCTACAGCTGCTAACCCCTATCACACCAACGCCACCGCTACTGCCTCAAAATGCCAACGGCAACGGGGATTACTTCAAGCAACTATCCTCACCTCACATCAAGATGGATGCTTTGGAGCAGGGTTTACCCACTGAAATGACGGAGAAGGCAATGGAGAGCGCGGTCGAGATGCTGGCATCATCCGAAAAGGCTGCCCCACACAAAAACATTAACGATAACGACGCTGATCTTCTGTTCAAGATTGACATGGACGAGTGATTGAGATCGATCACAGGAGGAGAGAAGGGTTTCAAGGCATCGTGGGCTAGGATGGTGGCAAAAATGCGGCATTGACCCAAAAAGTGTTTGCGGCGTTATGAATTTTGCGTTTGTGCAGAGCATCCTGAGATGAGGACAAAGATTGTCATCGTTCAGTCAGTCAACTCACAGAACCAAAGAACTTCGATCGATACAGGCAAATAGAGTCACCTATGTCAGTCGGTGGATAAAAAAGTAGACAAAATATTGTTACGGTGCAATATACAGCCCATTAAGAAGGCATGTTTCCACAGCAAGAATTTTGGCATGTCCCGTCCACATCCTCATGATTTCTCTGAAGAATGTGATAGTTGATTCGAAGATATGTTGTATTGCGTGCTCTCAGGCTACACCACCACTCTCCCATTTTGTTTCTAATCAAAGTCCCAGCCTGCAATCTGCATTTATGGTATCTCATCTGAAGCTACACAAAGGCGCGGCGTGTCTTTTTTCCTCCCCCAACAATCGATCATATCTATGCAGATAATCATGCTTTCCTATGGCCAGTGAACATATGTGGAATAGAGGAGAGACGATAGACCGGCCCCCATGTTTCCCTATTCCTTTCCCAGCCTGCCATGATTATAATCTAGAGCCTAGGGCGCCAGTCACTCAGGAGAGACCCACAATGGCTTTCCGCTCTCCCACCGTGACCAGAGGGGTTCCCTCCCCTCCCCTCCGCCGTTGAAGTCCAGATGAGTCTGTTTTGTGCGTGAGCCTCCAGGCGCGCGATACGCAGCGTCCTGCTGCGGCTTCTCCATCGTTTACTATGCCGGGTAATCTAGCCAACCCACTGTTGTGGCCAAGGTGGGACGGCGGGCCAGAAGACTACCAGCCGTGTCGAGATGGCACTTGCCGCACTTTTTATATGCACCAACGAGCACAAAGGTGCGCAACCACCTTCACAGACTTAGCACATCTTGTACGTGCAGGCGCCCTCGGCCGACCGCGTCGTGTCCGTCGTCTCGAGCTTGTACTTGAGCTCGATGTCCAGGTCCCTCCTGTTCTTGTCGTTGGGCCGGCAGGTCATGTGGGCGTGGACGGTCTCGCCCTGCTGGACGGTCAGGACGTCCTTGAGGTAGAGGACGGTCTGCTTCCAGTGCGTGTACTTTGTGTGGGGGCCGGTGGAGAAGGCGACCGTCTTGTGGCAGGCCGTGAACTCGATGTCGAACCAGGCGACGAGGGCGTGCACGAAGTCGTCGCGGCGCGCGTGCAGGTCGAAGGGCACGCTGTACGCCAGGTCGGCCGTCGTGCACTTGTACAGGTCGAGGGTCAGCACGCTCGCCGGGTCCGTAACCACGGCCTTCATCTCGACTGTGTCGACGAGCGGCTCCGTCAGGGCGGTCTCTTTCAGGGGGCTGTAGTCGAAGCCGTAGACGTTGTCCCAGACTAAACGCCAGTTGTTTAGTATCTTCCCAATCTCCGTGCAACGTAGTCCCTCGCGGGATCGCTTTTTTTCTTTTTTTGCTTTTCTTTTCACTCACAGCCAATCTTCTCGTCCTTGTACTCTCCGTCCTCAATACCAGCAACGAAAATGGTGGCCTTGTCGGGGAAGATGAGGCCGTTCGGGTTCAGATACTTGTCGCGGGCGTACAGGACGGTGTCGAGCATGGACTCGTAGAGGAGGAAATAGCCCATCCACTCAGAAATGATGATGTCGACATTCTTGAAGGGCATCTGGTCGTCAATCTCTTCCATCTTGCCCTGGAGGAGCGTGATCTTGTCGGACATGCCATTAACCTTGACGATCTCTCGGGCCTTGAAGATGATGGTGGACATGTCAACGCCGATCACATGCTTTGCGCCGGCCTTAACGGCGAACCTGAGGGGAGGTCAGTAACCGGGGCACGAGTGGTTGCGCGCTTCTGAACCTTGCGCATGTAATAAATTTCGGTTGCGCAACAGAAGACAGAGGTGTCTTACATGGACAGAATACCGGTGCCACATCCGACATCGAGTACGACCTTGTCCTTGAAGAGGTGCTTGTTCTGCACAATCGCATTCATGTATGAGCGTGTTCGCACTTCATCTTTCTGTGCGCAAACAATGTCAGCACCCGGAACCTTGAGTTTCCCAGCCTCTGGGGTCATCTCTATCTGTTTTGCACATACCAACATCTCCTCGTGAATGCCTTGTTATTGCCAGGCCTGTTAGCAACGCGACTTCAATACCTAGTGAGACGTGTATATTTTGTTTAGCATACCGTGGTGATTGTAACTGCATAATTGGAAATTAGTAAACACTTTCAGTGCAAGCGCATGCGGTGCCACACGGTCAGCGAGTCCTCACCTGTTGAAGTAGTGCTGCTCGGAATGGGCCATTTCCTTGAGCTGCAGCTCAGCCTTTTCGATGTCCATCTTTTCTCCAGTCGCCATGATGGTGATCGCTGTGTCGAGGGAAAAGTGGTTGAGGGAAAAGAGTGTAGAACAAGAGACTTTGTAGAAGGGTCTATGGTTGGGCCGTGGTGCAGGAGAAGTCGTATGGACGGTTGACTATGCCTGATTTTGGATCTGGAGGGTTAAACTCAACAGCAGCGGGGCGCCTCAATCCAGGGACGTTCTGAATTTTGCAAAGGTTTTTGGCTGGCAGAATAAAATGCTGCTAGCCCCCTTGGGCGCCTGGCTAGTTCTGGCAGCTACACCGACTTCCCTGATTGTGTGTGTCCAATCCAGAGAATGCAAGGGTTCTGCGACTGGGGTCCCTGCAACGCGTCGGGATCTACAGGGGACGGGTGCGCCAGCACGCCAAGATTAGAACCCTCAAGTCCAGGCCTGGCCTTGGTTACTTAGCCTGATTGCTGAACTATAAGATCAATTCACCAAGTTGTCTTGAAAGTTGAGAGAGACAGTATCTGCATGTGATAATCTCATGTCAAAGACAGGGTCGCCATCTACTACAGCCCTGCCTGAACAGTGGATATTCCCAGCAAGAATTCCGAGCTCTCCAATCTTGATCACAAAGAATGTGGTTGAGAGATATCATCGTGTGTATTCCTATCGAGTTATTGCTTGTCGCCACTGCGTTCTGTATCCATGCCTGTCCAGCCACAAGATCCTAGTGGCAGAGGTCGTCTTTCATATCGGACAATGAAGACTACCGTGAGTAGACTCATGAGACTCAATCTAGTGCCACGAATCATCCCTCATCATTCTGGAGTCAATATGGGCTCGACTCATCCGACAAACAACAAATGCCAATACCAAAACGCCATATTCATCCCCCTGGGTATCAAATGCACGGATCGTAGTCCTGGATCCTCCATGGCTGCTCGCCTTAATACCACCGCTCATGGGGCTCCCTCCACTGAACCCCGAGAATCTCAAAGATCCTCTTCTCACTCTTGCCTTCGACCAGCTCTCCCTCTGACAGCTTCTGCCTCGCTTCACCTCTGATCACGTCCTTGTACAGCCCGCGCTGGTTCAGCCTCATCTTCTTCCTCGACGCCAGCAACCGGAGGCTTCGGTTGAAGATGTCGTTGCCCGTGAAGTAGATCAATGCGGCACCATACTCTGTCTCAGGCCTGCGATGCGTCAGTGATATGTTATAGAGCCCGACATGGTCCAAGTCATTCAGCGGTCAAGCTGAGTTTTCATGATAGCGGAAGTCTATACATACACTAGCAGGAAGTCGATGCGCCTCCACGGTCTGTGTCGGTCATTGTCGTTCTCCGAGCCGGCGACTAGCGGAAGAACGCAGCAGCCGTGCCACTTGGAGCCGTTACCGTCCTTACTGTGCCTGGAACCTCGGGAATTGTGGGAGGCCAGCTCGGCCGTCAGGAACCCCTTCTGGGTCAGATTCGCCACGAGCACATCCAGGAACGGGGTGAGCTCCTCGCTCGACTTCGTCCCTGCCTTGGTAATGATGAAATCGATGTCCCCGCTGCTGTCCGCGCCTCTGCGGTAGCTGCCGCCGATGAGAAGCTCCACGTCCTTGTCGATCCGGGCTGCTTCGTCCTTCACACAGTCGCCGAGTGCCTTGACCTCGGCGCGCGGGATCCGCGTGTTCAGGTCGTCGTAGTGCTCGATACCTATGCGCTGGTTCGGGGTCAGCGGGGCCTTGCGCAACAAGTCGTCGAGGGTTCTGTAGCCCTGGGCGACCCATTTCTCAGCAATGGAAAGGCCAACGCCGTAGATTCCGAGGAAAAGCCCAAGGATCCGGCTCGCTGCGTCGTTCTCTGCCTGCTCCAGGCGTTGGAGGCGGTCAGTTTTGACAATTTCCTCGATCTTGTTGCTGAGTCTCTTCCCAATGAAAGGCAGCTGGCGTGCTCGTTTGGCAGTGGTTACCTTTTCGGGATGTCTGGATAGGGTGTTGATGACCCTGCGGTAAGCCTGGATGCGCCAATGGTCATTCGTCTTGGTATAGTAATCGAGCATTTGCTGCAAAACCGTAATAGTCCGGGTGTTTGGGCCCACGGCTTTTTCTATCGTACCACCTCTGCTACATGCAAAATTGTCCTCGTATCTGGGCTCTGGCGTGTTCGACTTCTTCCGACGCTTTGCTTGTTTCTCGCCTTCAGAATCACTCTGCGAGGTCTCATCGCTGCTCGTGAGACTGGTTTTGCTCTTGTTGTCTGACCTTGGTTCATCGTCGTCGCCTGCGAGTGAGGGGAGGTCCTTGTAGTTCTTCTGCACGTCATCAATCAGTTGTGATAGCTCGTCTCCGTAGTCGTGGCCAGGTCGACAATTGCTTGTGGGGCTCGCACGAGACGCTCCATCCCCAGAAGAGGGCTGTGAGGACGGAATTGTAACAAGTGCTGTATCAAACCCCATTCCGATCATATGGGGACGCTCGTGTTGCAGTGCTGAGGATCTCTCACTTTGCGAAGGGGTAGACTGTAGTTCATGGTCCTGTTGATCGGGTTTCTTGCCAGCGGCCTTGATTTCCAGTGACTGTTGGGGAGATTCATCGGCAGTAGATCCCGCAGGGCCAGATGAGCACAGGGCCTCTGTAGATAGGATGCCTTTGACGCAATACCATGACGACGATGTCGGGAGGAGTCGTTTCTGCTTAATGCTGTCCAGAGGCCAGTGGTCTCGGACTATCACGGGCTGTTTCTGATTGACCACTGGAGCCACTATTTCCTTGATATTCTCAAAGGTTAGATTGTCGTCAACAATTACGTGCGTCGCGTCTGCGAGCACCAAGGTCACCACGGCACCATAATTTTCAGCGTGCTCCATGCGACCTTTCCGTAAGGATATCCGAGCTCCGGGGATGTAGAAGAACCGAAGCCCTTTAAGTACTTGTTCATGTTGAGGGACCCCTGCTTCATGCTTGCGCTTCCGAGCTCCCATGATGGGCCCCGAAACTGACTGAAAGGATGAGGCCTTCGACGAGGGAAGTGATGGCGGGTTTGTTGCGGTGCGCCTCAGTTTAATGACGGCTGATGGACGAGGCTCTTGACGAGGAGTGTCCTCAATGAATGAGGTGCTGGCGGGCAGACGCTGTCTCTTGGCTTGCTTGTTACTGTCCGCACCAGTAGGTGTAGCCTTGATGACAGTAGTAGAGCGAGCAGAAAGTGGCGTCGGCGCCGTCCTGGATCGCTTTGGAATCCTGCCCAGGTGCTCGTCTGCCGTCGTCAGGTCAGTGGTCGAGATCTGGCTTGCTGGTGGCTCGCGGCTGGTGGGTTTGGAATGCTGCTTGGGTAGTGTCTGCCTGAAAAATTGTCGATTTCTATCACGTATTTCACGGTCTTGTTGAGGGATCTCGTCCTCGCTGCCTGAGATCGCATCCAGCCATTCAAGCTGCGAGTAGAAAGCCTCTTTGTCCATCAGGGGGACGTCTGCAGACATGGTGTGGCATTTGTGCTTTCTTTGCAAGGGGAAACGGTTTGTTGGTTACAACACAGAATCGATGTTTTGTAGCTGGCCAATGTGTCCGCCAGGCAATCGCGGAGACAAGTGCTGCAGGTGATGCTGTTCACTCGAGCGTAAGCTGAGCCGTAAGTCTGTACCACAGTCAGGCATGTAGCTCTCGCTCGCTTTCATTTGTGAAGCTGGAGGTGTGATAGCTGCCTGTTACCGTCCGAAAGGGGATGTAAAAGTACGAGGTACACTGACCTAACGGCTTGCATACCGAGCCTGGCACGCGTGCAACAGCATCTACCAAACCAAACTACAGCAAAGGTACTTTGGTACCTAGGTACTTAGTGCGCTTACCCATACAGTGGGACCGACTCAGGCTAGCGGCCGAGGCACGCTGAGGCCCACTCTTCTTAGAGCCGCAAGAAAACCTCGCATAGCGGGGCGGGTCCAGTACGGCAGAAATTACCACTGAGCAGAAATTGTCAATACAACAAAGAAAAAAAGTCCAAAAAATGATGCAATTTCTTCTCTCTCGCCGGGAATTGAACCCGGGTCTCAAGCGTTGCTGCTTCCTGGATGGGCGATGACAAGCTTGCATACTAACCACTATACTACGAAAGAAGTGTCTTTGTTCTCGGTGTGAGCCGAGGTAGCTGGTGGGCTGTTGGAAAGTTGTTGATTGCAAGACTTATAAAGGTATCTTACCGCTGTCCGACCTACAAGGAAGGCCTGAATTTACCATCCTATCTCAATCACTCCGTTTGTTGGTACCAACCGCACGATATTCATTTGCCTGAAGTCTGCATCTAGTATCTCGTCCACCCCGTCCGTCTCTGACCGCCGCATGGATAACATGTCATCCCAGTCTGAGAATCCACTGGCCCTTCCCAGAGTTCAGGGCCCTAAGCTTGAGCCCTTCCAAGGCACAACGAGCGCCGATATACAATTCCTAGAGTTCCTAGGTAGTGGTGAAGACCTTGACTCCAAGGTGTGGAAAGCTCGCATGAATGGCCACATCTATGCCCTGAAAGTAGTAAGCCGGTTTCTATTCTCAATCATCTCTTTAAGTAGCAACACATAAATGTAAATTTGGTTACGCTACAATCTGACTTTGAAGCCTTTTTCACATTCAAAGCTGACTTTGAATCTTTTTTATCTGCCGTTAGTTTGGATTTCAGAACTGGGAGTTCTTGGAGATAACCACAGGAGCTTGCATTATGTACCCAGAATCAGATCCTCTCCATCGCCCGGACCCTACTCCACAGGAATTCATTGACTACCTGGATCCTTTCAATTGCGAATGTCGAGCCTACGGACGCTTGAAACAAGAAGGATGTGAGGACTTAGCCGTAAGGGCATACGGCTATGTTCTGCTAACACGGGAGCAAGAGCGGACCGTTACTGAGGCTTTGGGCGAAGAATGGGTAGACTGGGAGAACCATTCAAAGCCTTTAAACTGTGACGGCGTTTTCCCGCGATGGGAGGTCCATCGACACGAACGTTTGCGCGCTAGTAAGTCAATTTGTTTCATGAGGCTTGTTACGCTTCACGGTTTCTTTTTTTCTTTTTTAAGACTTTAGTGTACTATACAAGGAAAGAAATATCCCCTATCTATTAATTAACACGTGGAACATGCTGATGAAGGATTAGTTGTTAAGGAGTATATCCCTTCCACCACACCCTGGACAGCATCACAAACACCCCAAATGCATAATGACCTTGAGAGTCTACACGCGTTGGGCATCCTGGTCAGGGATATCCACCTCTACAACTACCTTGGGGGTAAGCTTGTTGATTTAAGCCGGGCCTGGACTATGTACCATATCTGCCTGGACAGGTCGACGGCCTTGGCTACTCAAAGGGCGAGGATCGAGGAGCCTTCTAAATTCGAGGAGATGATCGACATCTGGGCTTTCCGCGAGGGCGTAGAAATCAGCAAGCCTGGAGCATTAGTCAAATGGCATAGCAAACAGGACGCGGATCTTGGAAATGACCCACGAAAGTACGACTGGAAAAAATGGGAAGATCAGTAATAGAGAAGCCGATCATTTGTATTTGCACTCAAATTCAAGATTGGAAGCCAGCCAAACCGCTGGTGAATATTCTCTCATCATAATCTTCACTTCATCCAGCCTCCCCATCCTGCGTGCCGAATGTACGGTCAGCATTGTGCAGAATACTATCGAGGCGGTCGGCTCTTTGACTTCAGCCTTGCTATCACACCGCCCCGTTTTAGCTTGTCGCTCAAACTTCGGCGATCACATTGAAGACGACAGGAGCTGTGATCTTCAGTATTTCAGGAAAATGGAGGCAGAGAAGATGGAAAAGAGGGAGAAGAAGAGAGCATCTGCACAAGCCTAGTGGTCCAGAAGAGGATCACCCAAGCGTATACGAATGAGTTCAAAGTATGACTCATACCTTCTGATCAATACTTCATATATTTATCTGAGCGATATTGGACAAAGGCGCGATTGGGTAGCCGCTTAGGTCTGTAGCTACAATGATAAAAATAAGGAGAGGACAAATTCTGGGACTTCTTGCCCTTACCAGGTGTCTCAATATGTAGCAGAATTGTCACTCTGAACAATATTAAGCAACTACTCTGTTATCATCTGTCTAAATGGTACATTGATGGCGGCGCATTCTATTACTGCATGCCCTACATTCCGTTGTTAACTTTCTGTCTTTGATATGAATATGATGTTCGTTCTTTAAATCTTCTATTTTTTCAAAAACTTGACATTGAAGTTGTCGTTCTAATTACATCTAAACAACTTGAAAGGCCTTGAGAAAACAGTTTAAAGTTTCAAAACAAAGGTAAGCTTTCTGCTAAGTAGAGAAATATGCTGTAGATCGTCGAGTATAAAGGTCAAAGTAACGCAGTACAAGAAGCGATTTAGCGCCGCATTGACGGGGATAAGATGTAGAGGATCATAGGGAACGACTGCGCGAAAGCCAAGGCTATAATTGTGGGGAGTAAACTCAGTTCAGTCTTCATACTTTGCTTGTCAGTTGGACTTGTGTGGTGAACCCACAGGAGTATATGCAGTGTTACTTCGTAGGCGGTCCCAGATCCCGTGGGAGGTTACAGAGGTACTTAGGCACCCCACAAACCCCAGAGGCTAATCCCATACTTGGATAGGCAATAAAGCGTATACTTGTGAGGAGAGAACAACATAATTCCTTATGGCCTATAGATCTAGCCAATGTACCCCATCCATACTTGAGACATCATCTAAGCTGTGCTTCTCATGTTCCTAAACTTATACTTCGCCGCTCCAGTCGATGGTGTTGTCGAGTTACTCGCGCTGTTAATTGCATCCAAGACAGCCTGATAAGCTGGCTTCTTCTGGTAGTTTTCGTCCCACAGCAGAGCCTCGCCCTCTCCAGGAAAGACTCCTGGGATCCACGAGTACTTGTCGGTGACACCCCAGATAGTAATACCGATACAACCATCGTTGTTCAGACATGACTGGAAAACATCGACATACACATCCGCCTGTGTGGCCAACTTATCAGCCAGGACACCAGAGGTGGTATTGAACCGCACATCAAGCTCTGTGTAAGCAACATCCACGCCCAGGTCCGTGTACAGAGCCAGCGTGGTCTCAAGCGTAGCCAAGTCCGGCGCGACACCTCCGCCCGAGGAAGTGGTCGGCTCTGAGGTGAGATGACCCTGCAGTCCCACACCATCAATGCGTGCGCCATAGGACTGGACCAGCTGGACGATGCGAGCCGCGCCCTGGGCCTTCTCCGCGCCGTACTCGAGATTGTAATCATTGTAGAAGAGGCGGGCGTCCGGGTCAGCGGCCTGGGCGTATTGGAAGGCTATGGGGATGTAGGCCTCGCCGATGGTCTGGTAGAAGACGTTGTCGCGGTAGGTTCCATCTTCATTAAGGGCTGTGGGATGTCAGTACTATATCACTGGCAAGTAAAGTGAAGAAGGACAAGTGACAGCTCACCCTCGTTAACAACATCCCATTGATCACAAACTCCCTTATACCTCCCCACGACCGTATCAATGTGATTCTTCACTACCGCAAGCAGCGTGGCGTTGTCAAACCCGCCGTCAGATACCCACGTCGGCAGCTGGCTGTACCAAACCAGCGTGTGGCAGCGGATCAGCTCGCCGTTGTCGCTGGCAAATGCTACCACGGCGTCCGCATCGTCGAAGGTGAAGTTTCCCTGAGTGGGCTCCGTCGACTCCCATTTCATGGCATTCTCAGGCGTGATGGAGCCGAACTCAGTCCGGATGATGTCCTGCTCGGTGGTGTCGTTCCTGATCGTGAGGGCTGTGCCAACGTACTCTTTCCCTGCCGCTTTGAAGGCAGCGTCTAGGGTAGTTGGGGCCTGGCGAGCATGCTTTCGTGTCCTATTGAGAGACTTGAGTAATGTGTCATTGTTTTGATTAAACGCGGTGGACTTACGGCACTGTGACGGCACCCGTGGAAGCGCAGAGCGTCAGCGCTGAAAGAAGTGTCCCGGAACGCATCTTGGCTGTAGATTGATTGCTCTTGGAGGCACACTTGAATCTCACGATGCGTATATCTGATACTTAACACGCTGCAAGACAAATTGTTGGTATTTATACTCAGGTCTAAGACGCGCAACTTCCGTACCACCGTGCCATCGCCACAAGTCCTGAAGCTACTACTTCAGCCTTAAGAACCAAGTCATTGGTAATTAGGCTCAACCGAAATTGCCTTCCATGCGACCCTCACTCCAATGTGTAGCAGTTTAAGGACGTTGCAGTCTTGGTAGTTCCACCCCTCAGAGCCCTCGTCGGTTACTAGACTACGTATGGTAGTCGAGCTCGGCCAGATGGGTCCAATAAAGTAAGAGGGGCCCGTCCTCCAGGATCTTAGCGCAGGATTGTGTATAGGCTAAATAGCGAAATCTTGGGGCAAAGGCCACTAGCCAATGGCTAATCCTCAGTAGGTGCGGTGCGGAAGGAGTGCCCTGGTGGAGACAGACTGTATTGAGAAATTTGGCGCTCCCCTTACATGAATTGAATATTTCTGGGATCGACCGCATCATCATTCGCCTCAGAGGCGTCATCCACAGTGGCAGTGTGTGCATTGGTAGTAGTCGTGGTTCTTGGCGCGGGTAAAATGACACCCTAGGATCGCGAACTCCATAATCTCTGGGCACTGTTAGGAAATCAGGAAGTGCTTCGTTCATAGATGTACTATGGCGAAACCGCGTTTGGAGAATTATAGAGACGTAGATAGATGAAGCTATCTGCAAACCCACTCAGTATCTTATGATCTCAAGTAAGCATATTGTCGCCCGTCTAAGCGTATTGTTGCTTTCAACCAGGCACTTGCTTTCAGCATTGAAATAAGTTTTGCTTGCTTCCTTATTCCAGATGTATCCTTACCAAATCTTCCTTCGCTATACCCACAGCTGCCTCCCCATACATAACACCATGTACATAAGCCTCTCCCAAAAATCCATACCTCTGCTTCGCTTCCTCCTCATTATCCTGGCCCTTTTCTCGTAGTAGATATGGAGTCCTACTCCCAGCCACCAACCACACTTCATCTCCGGCTCTCACAGACTGGGGCCCAAGACCCAGTCGCCCAGCTCTGGTCCGGAACAGGCACCGTTTGCGGTAGAATTTGACCATGTGCAAACGGACATGGCTCTCGTCATCGAGCGTCGAACAGGTTGAAGGGTCGCCGTGGTACTTGCACCATTCCCATAAAGCGCCTGTTAGCTTGTCTTGAGCTGGAATCTCGTCGCTTGTGGGGAGAAATCTCCAGCCTTCTAAGTTTTTGTTGGCATTTTCGAGAGATCTTTGGTGGTCGAGCATGCGCGATAAGGACTGCTTGATACCTGGGATGTTGGCACGGGTGGTGTCCGTGGAGTCTTCATGATCTCGGTTGTTTGCTGTAGTTCCAGTGCTGTCACCATCATCATCCTCCCAGCTGGATGCACTGTCATTTGTATCCTTGTCCGATATCTCTCCATGCTCCCCAAACCATCTGCCAAATCGAAGTCGGCTGATACGCTTCCTCACAGTCTTTATTTCCAAGGATATCGAATCTGTCGACACAGAAGCATTCTGGGGATGCAATAACTTGGCCAGGCGGCTTGGAACCTTGGCCCGTTTCCGAGATTCTGCTGGCGACTTTTCGTTCGGGGAGATTTGATACAGAGTAAAGTCATGCTTGGGGTCGTGCTTCAGCTTGCCATTGCGAAAGCACTCCCAGCAGAGATCGAAGTCTTCACAACTCTCGCAATGCCAGTCGCCAGCCACGAGCTCCCGATCACAACTGTTGCAAGTCCAGACCGTCCCAGACTCATCGCCAGAACTGGAGTCACTGTCTGAAGACAATTCTGATTCCTCTTCTCCAGAAGTCGAATCATCTTTGACCTCCATCGGAGCGCTTGGTGCTTCCTCTGACCCGTGGCTTGCTTCCTTTTCCTCTTGATATGTCTTTCTGATATGACAAGCCAACTCCCAGGCTATAGATTCGCGAAAGGAATCAATGCTTCGACCCCTGGTTTCCTTATCGCAATTCTCCCAAAACGTGTCCACTGAAAGCGTTCTGAATAGCATCTGGATAGGACTTTCACCAGAGTTGGGCTCCATGGTCTCTAGAAGCTTAAACCATGACTCCACGTCGATGTCGATATCATCCGGCATATCGTCTGGGTCCAATTCAGCCCAACCTGGCTCCACAGCCTCAACAAAATCGATTTGAGCCCCAAGAATTTGGAGTGTCTTTTTGTCCTCCCCAGGTCCAATCTCAGGCTCAAGCATCTTCGCCGCCCTGAAGGACCTCCGCCAGATGCGATTTGTCGTGAGTGGATTGCTGAAGTCCGGAACCCACGATGGCAACTCAGGCATTCTGGCCTGTTGGCCGCTATAATAAGGGTCCTGAACATAGGAAAGACCCTCAAGGGGCTCGAGAATTCCGGCGAGCCCATTGCCACGGTTGTACATAGAGTCTCGCCCTGAACCGCGAAGGAATATGTGGGCGACTTGGGTGTAGAGGTCTTCCACCGGGGAGGTATAATCGATCGTGATCTGGTCCTCTGGAGGCAGAGGTGCAGCCAGGCTCAGGATGGCATAGATTTTATCACGAGGGTCTTTGCTCTCGAAGGACCATGTAGCTGCTATAAGAAGAGGTAGGCTCACTTGAATTTGTTAGCCGTCGGTGCATAGGACTGAGGGAGGAGCGATGTATAAGCCGTGAACAGCCCGGATGTACTCACATCGATCCGCCTTTCGAACACATGGGGCCTCACAGCCCTTACGGTGCAGGATAGGATCAACGATATTCCACTCATCTTCATTCCTTGCCGTTCGCAATCGTATTTCGGCGAGTCTCCAAGCCTCGCTACCATCACCGCCCTTTCCATCCTTCATGGTCCAGTCTTTGTCCATCTTCCACACGCTCGAGGGACGGAAGAAGCCAAGATGGGCGAGAAGACATAGGAACTTCAGGACCTCGTGCCACTCGAGCTCTGTTTTGCCCAGAAACATTCTGATCTTGGTGGCCAGGCTAAGTTCCTGGATGCACCAGACCCTTGTAAACCACGATCTTAAAAAAGTGCTAAGGATAAGACGGATGTCGTTGATGGTGAACAGCCCGCCATCGGGCATATCCCAGTCCAGATTGGTGTCCTCCAAGAATGCGAGCAGTGAAATCGACCCTAGTATGCTCTAAGAGTCAGTAAAGATCATCGGAAATAAATTCTAGAAGTCCTCGAGCTCTCTGCCATCGTGCGCTCTATTCACAGCCGAGTGTGTTGATCATAACTCACACTGCTCCTTCAGCTCCTTGAGCCTTCTGGCTTTCTTGTTTACGCGCTGAATCACACCATTCAAATCTGGCCGGCTCCACACATTTCTCAGTAGTCGAAAAATCATTTGGCTGTCATCTCCAAGCCACACAATGACACAGCTAGCCTTGCTGTAGATCTGGGGCATGATCTGCACCTGCGCACTCCGTTCATCCAAATCTGCCTGGTTGATGCATATCGCGTCAATCCAGAAGAAGCCACTGGCTCCACCATTACCTCCCATCTTGACATCATCTTCGTCTTCATCTTCTACCACGGCAGTCGAACGGCTTAACTCCTCCTGTCGAAACGACCGGTCCCGCAGGAACCTAGCAACCTCCTCCCACTGGCGTCTTTTTCGCTCGGTACAACACTGTAGTGGTGTCCTACCGTGGCCATCTATAATATCCATATCAGCTCCGGCCCGTACGAGCTCCTTGACAACATCGTAGTGCCCGTTCTCAGCCGCGTAGTGCAAACCCGTCTCGCCAAAATCGTCTGTGGCCGACAGATTCGCCCCGCGGCGGACAAGATTTCTTACGCGTGCCAGCTTTCCGTCCTCGGAAGCATCGATCAGGGGCGTCTTGTTGTAAGGAGGGAGTCTTTGCTCGACCTCGAGATCACCGCCATTGACGTCGCGGAGCTCTTGGGTGCGGTAGGACACGTCACGCAGGAATCGGGTGACTTGTTCCCAGTCTCCGCGCTTTCGCTGGATACAGCATTGGACTGGAAGCCGGCCAGTATTGTCGTATACGTTCATGTCTGCTCCTGAGGCTACTAGGATCTTGACGATCTCAAAGTGGCCGTTTTCAGCGGCATCTATTGCTTACGTTGTCAGTCAGTCAATCAATTAGCAGAATCTCATCTTGCTATGAAAGAAGCGCAAGAAAGAGGCGTAGAATTTTACGCACAATGAAGTGGTGTCTCGCCAAAACAGTCCCTCGCACCACAGCTGGCGCCCTCCTCAAGCAAGGCCCTCACTGTGTCTGTCTCACCCTCCTCGGCAGCAACATGCAGCCGTGTCTTATCAAATTGGCCATCCTTCTGGTCAACATCATTCATGGCCTGCAAGTGCAGAAGCGCATCAAAAAGGTTCTTGCGCACGTGCAGGGCTGCATGTTCACCCCTCGTGCCGTTCCTAACGGCAACGGGCCATTTGCACAGGGGCCCGTACGGATCTTTCCAGTTGTCTGTCTTCCGCTTCTGATACTCGGTCTCGGGACTGTCCCAGGTGTACGAGAGGGCCTCGTAGGCTGGTGCTGAAGTGGTAGAGAGATCTACGACGTGGAGGGAGCAGTGGAGTATGGGATAGCCACATAAGGAGGGAAGAACGCCGTTGCGGGTGCGGTGGACACGGAGGAGGCGGATGGAAGTCGGTGTCGGTAGGGGTGTGTATTTGAACTCGGAGTACTGGAGTAGGGACATCTTTAAGGTCACCTGTGGTTGTGATCAATATAGCAGTGAAGGCCAACTTGACGCTGACTTTGAAGAGAAAAGACACAGGCTCCCTATACTTTTTTGGTCCAGTCAATGTAGGGTTTAATCATCCAACAACGTAGATCAACAAAAACATTGAATGGTCTCATGTATATATATTCAACCACAGGTTTCCACTATCCTTTGCGAAGGATCGCATACCCAGGTATGGTAGGGCTTACTCTGCAGGAGCCTAATCCACTGTGGAGGAACTGTAGTCGTTTCAATCAGCTTACCAACCAATTAGAAAGAGGGTCAACAAAATCCTTTCCTCTCCACTTGCAAGGTGTCTCTGTCTCTGCCTCTTCATCAGTTTAATTGTCTCCTGGAAACTATAAATGATCAGCTTTTATACTACGGCAGCTCCACTGAGCACAGCGTATACATTTAGAAATGCAACAAACATCTTTACTCCTAGTATCTTCATAACCATTTGCTTTTGTATTCCACGAGAAGACAGAGGGAAAGATGCCTTATGACTTTACCAACTTTTGTCAATATGGAGCGTACGCCCGCTAGCTCCAGGGTCCTACTTTGTTCGACAGCAAGTATGATCGACCTTCCATGCCTCTCAACAAGTCGGGGTACTTCCAGATTGCAGTTTACAAAACGAGAAGCAGCAGCCCAGCAACAAATGGGGAAAGCAGCGAGCAAATGGCAAATTAATGAGCAAAAGATGAAGGAACGCGCAAACGGGAAAACGACAGCCAGTCATTCGACCAATTGTGCAACCTCATAACCACCCAGCTTCCCGATCTTCTAACCCACCAGTCCCCTAGCCGAATCAGCAACTTGGTCGGCCAGAGGCAAACTGACAGAGAAGAAGGCAATCAATCGTACAACCCAAGATGCCAAGAACCACACACCCAGTAAATCAACTCAGCGTCCATTTTGCCAACTGCCCAGCCAGCAAAGCGATCATTCAGGCGAGCTAACCACCAAAAACTTTTTGTGCAGCCAAACGACAAGATGCTAGGCGAGCGCCAGCAGGCAAACCATCGGCTCAGGCTTCAGAGGGCAGCCACTGTTACTCGACTCTACCCGTCCCGAGGCTACGCGTGTGGATGGAAAGCGACGACCTGGCTCCAATGACGGCGCTACATCGAAGCGGCAGAAGTATTGCACCCCCTTGAGCTCGGCCTCATCCCCAGCACTTTTACTGGCCTGCTGAACTTGCCGTAAAACATTGATGGCCTGAGACGGTGATCGGTGTAGAAGGTCGTCATCGCCAGAAGTCAGCGGTCAGAAGACAGAATTGTAAAACATATTGAAGTTTGATATCAAGTCAATAAACGATTCCGATTCCAAATCCGAACCTATGGATAACTCCAAATCTCACACTTAATCTGACTCTGCAATTGATCCCGAATCAGGACTCAAAACTGGCCCCAATGACCCACTTTGAACATATTATACCAGTTTATCAAGATGTAACCTCAATGTCACTAAATTCATCGTCATCACTCATTTCATTATCATTACTCGGTTCATTATCATCACTTGATTCATCATTGTCACTAGATTGATTGCTACCCAATTTATCATCATTACTCGATTCATCATTAGCATCCGATTCATTGTCATTATTCGATTCATTGTGATCCTTGGATTCATTCTTATCACTAGACTCATTGTTGACACTCGATTCATTGTTGTCACTAGATTCGTTGTTGTTATTAGATTTATCGTCCTCTATCCTCTGTCAGGCCGCCTGCACCCGTGTCTTGGAGTCAAGAGGCCAGCGTTCTCTTTCGATCCGTCGCTTCTCCAGGACCAAGGTGCTCCTGCCTGAAAGCTGAAACTTCTCATTTGAGTTTTCGATACCGAAGCTGGTCGTCAAGTGATCCGGGCAAGTGAATTGTGTCATATTAGCCGAACCGTTCGGCAAGGTGGAACCAGATGATTTTGTATATTTTCTCAACCTAGAACCATTTTGGTTGGCTTCCCTTTCACATTCTTCCACTCTACAATCGCACTGCCAAAGATGGTAGCGGCCGCCATTCCAGCACTGACGAGAAATGTCCTCGTCAGAGCATTGTTGTAGCCCAAGATGACCCCCGGCAGCAATTCCATCGGCAGGACATCTCGAAAGTTTGTCGCCCCTGCTGAGAGCACAGCCAAAGGGTTGACCCCCGGGGCATACTTGGTCAGAGCCGTCAAAAGTTGGTTGCTAAACACGGTATTGCCAACTGACACAAACAGCGCGCCACCCAGGGATTGAAGGAAAGTCATGAGCGCACAACCAGTACTTATATCGACCGGGTCCAGTACTGTCTGCACCGCCAGCATAGGCTGCTGCAGCCCCATGCCAAACCCGGCTCCGAAAAGAATCTGGTAGCCAATCCAGACGGGGCTTCCTGTGTCGGGCTGCCAAGTACTTGACAGGCCGGAGCCAATCGACATCAGTATGGTAGTAAGTATCATGAAGGGTGTGTAATAACCAATTAGAGTCACCGCCACGCCAGATAGAAGAGCCAGCACAACGCTGGATATCAGCATGGGCAGGACACGAAGGCCAGACTCAACAGCGCTAACGCCCTGCACGGCCTGGAACCAGATCGGCACGTAATAGATCATGATAAACTCTAGTATGTGTTAGTCACCTGCTACGAAACCCGAATCCAGCATTCTGGAAGATTCTAATAAAGGACGGATGGGTAACCGTAACGGGAGAAGGATTGTACGTACGGCTCGCGCCGAGGCAGAACGAGAACACGGCAGACGACCAGACGGAGCGCTTCTTCACGATGTGCGGCGGCACAGTGGCGTCCTCCTGCTTCCACATCTGCACTCCCAGAAAAATTATGAGGAGCACCCCGGCCAGCACGAACAGGGCGACGATGCGGCCTGAGCTCCAGGGATATGTGGTGCCGCCCCATTGAAGGGCGAGAAGCAGGCAGACAATGGCGGGTATGAAGATGATGGTGCCGATCGGGTCGAAGTGGTTTATACGGGCCGCAAGGGATTCGGTCTTGTGTAGTGTTGTCTTGGGAGGGTGAAAAACGAGAAGGATGGTGATGACAGCGACGGCTCCTATGGGCAGGTTGATGAAGAAACTGTTGAGTGCTGTAAGAAATGTGTTTCCAATAGAAAGGGGTCTGTGAGACTTACCACCAGCGCCAGGTAGCCTTGTCAGCGAAGACGCCTCCGAGTAGCGGACCGGCTACAGATGCTATCCCGTACATACTGCTAATTATACCACTGCAAACCCAGTGTCAGTGGAAACCCAACTGTGTTAACCAGAGACGGGTAACGCACGTGTAAAGGGGTCGCTTGACCAAAGGCAGGCTTTTGACAATGATCAGAAGGCCACCGGAGAACATTCCGGCCGAGCCAACGCCAGCGATAGCACGGCCGATGATAAACGTAATCGAGTTCTGAGCAACGCCACAGATCAAGCTGCCAAGCTCGAATATACCAATGGCGGTCAGGAACACCCATTTGATGTTCAGAAAGGTGTAAAACTTCCCAAACAGCAATTGTAGCGAGGCAGTAGTCAGCAGGTAAGCACTGCCATACCACCCCACATCGTCCAAGCTGTTAAAGTCGTTTGTGATTTTGGGGATAGCAGTCGCGATGATTGACTGGTCCAGAGCCATCAGAAAGACTGCAAGACATAAGGCGAGCGTTATGAAGAAGAGCTTAAGACCGGTGGCATAGTTTGTGTCCTCGTCGCTGCTAGGCGAGTGTTGTGATGCCGGTGTGGCATTCCCTTCGAAATCGCACGACTTCTCATTTGGCGGCTCATAGTTGCTTTTTGCATCTTTGTCCTTGGTCGGAGACATTTGTGATATGGCTCGAGGCTCTTCCGAGATTCTGAGAACTGTCAATTGGCTTCTCTACCTGACTTGATGGCAAGCTTGATGTTAAGCAGTTTAGGTGTCATAAATGTGGTTGACTAGGAAAGGCAAAGTATACAAGGCAACGAATAATTTCTGTACCACCGCCATAGGAATAAGGGCATGGAAAAGATTGTGGGGCCACACCAGTCGGATTGTGTTCAACCGAATGATCGAGATGCTGACTTCAGCACCGGAGACTTTTTTTTGAAAGACCTGCAAGTGCGCAGTGATCATACTCATCTTCCGACAATCAGGCCATGGTGAATAAAATGACCAAAACGTAAAAACGGCACGACATGCAGGCCAAGCCTGTGAACCTGCAGCCAGTTAGCTGATACCCCGGATGGAGTCTTTCAATGCTCGTCACTCAATTGTGGAAGCGGTGGCGCACTCGCGAGAATATGAAATATGTATCTTTTGAAGACATCAATGCATACGCAAAAAATGATATGTGATACACACTCGTCCAAGTACCTTTGTAAGTCGATATTTGGCTTGGGCACTGAATAGGTCCCATGAAATGTAGTAATAACGTCGTACCAAACGTGGATTAGACAACTGCACCCCAAAGTGCGTAGGCAAGGATTTAGCCATGACAGGATGAGACTACAAAAGGACCTAACTATATGGCAAGGTAGCCAAGGCCGAGTAAGCACCACTCTTGATCTGAGAAAGTTGGACTATGCGCATTGCTTGCTTGAGATGTAGATGTTTTTACAAATTTTTATAAGCCATGTGCCAGTGCCGAGAAATCAAATTCGTTGAAGAGCATCTTCATATGTCCCTTACCTTGGGTTGAATCAGGTGAAACCACTCTTGTCAACTAGTGCTCCAAAGAAGAGATCAAAATCACAAAACCTTCCTGGAGCATAACATATCTTATGTGCAGGGGAAACGGTCGTGTTGATGTGCACAACTTGAACCTATCTCATCCCGCCTCCTTTGTGCCGGATAGCTGTCTTCTTCCAGTACTGAATGAGGCGTTTTAAAAGATGGAATTATCTGATGGATCCAGGCCTTTCCAGTCACCGAGTCACTCATTGTATTCACCAAAAACATATGTGAGTTTGATTTCTGGGTCTAATCGTTCATGAGACGGTCTCTCCGCTGGCTGTTTATTCACCTAGGGACTCAGTGATGGGTAATGTATGTATGGCCCCTAGGCCTTGAGACTTTCCCAAGCAACACATCGCACCATGCAACGTCTGCTTCAGTGATATACTCACTGCCCAAAAAGTTGAAGAGTATGAGGGGAGGCGGAAGTGTCATGTGCACCCTGAAGACATATCAGACCGCCGGTATTGCCCAGTACTTCAGAGCTCGTGTATGGCCTATCTCGTTCATCTTCCAACTCCGTCCCCAACAGAATGAATTTTGTAGGCAACTTGACAGCACGCCCAATGTGAATGCGGCAAATCATCTCCTCCAAGCTGCTGCATCATCCAAATTGCCCATCAATCCACCCATAAAACATGATGGAGATTGTGGGTATCCCGATAGGACTTCTTGATCAAGTTTCGCCATTCACCAGTTCTCAGCTGCTGTACCATCCGAATCGTCACCCATCCAAATCTGCCCATTAATGTCGAGTCAAAGCTGTGAGCATCTTGATGATGCACCCCAGTGCCGTTGTTGGCGTCCATAAGCCCCATGCTATTGCACAAGCTGAGTTGCCCAGTACTCGCTTGCGTCCAGCCGTCATAAGAACAAGGACGGTTGAGTACTGTAAGCGTAACGCTGAGATGCCCCAACTTCAGCGAAGCTATCCGCTGCATCACCATCTGCCTTCATCCGTCAACTACAATTGATCGTGGTACTCGTCCCGTCTCGATGCGGTGCAGTTGAGGTGCCGCTCTACTTGCGCGGTGCCATTTTGATGGCCATGGCGTCCCATTCAGCAAGCCGTTCGCTCTTCTCGTTCAATTCACGTTTGAGCTCTGTATTTTCCTTTTTAATGGCATCGTAGTCGACCATCTCATTCAATGCGCTCTGGAGCTCCGCGTTCCTCTCCCTCCAAGTATCATTGTCAGCCTTCAACTTTTTCGAAAGGCGTACGGACTTGGCATGGTCTATTTCCTTGCGCTTGAGGCTCTGGATTGTGTCAGCATCGTCAAGTCCTCGCTGACGAAGCCTTGTGTTGTCTGCGACTAGCTTTTCCCATTCCGATATGATGCTAAGCATTGACCCCGGGGTTTCGCGGCCGCATCTGGAAGCGCCATAGTCACTCTGTGTGCTTCGGTCGTTAGTGTTCGCATCAATGGTAGAAAAAGCATTGCTAACATCGGGAAAGGTGAAGCTGCTAGCAGGGTTATTTCCTAGCATTGTACGATCCGCCTGCTGCCGGTTAAAAGCAGTACCGTGGTCGACCATGTTGTTGGTATGTAACTTGACCGACGACTGTACTCCGTCCACAACAGGGCCCTCGATGTCAATGGTGGACTTGGACGTGTTGTTGGCCGCTGGACTGGAAATAGAGCTGGCGCTATTAAATGACTTGATAGACGATTTTACCTTTTCCACACCCGAGTACTCATCTGCAAGATATTTGTCCACACTCGAGTACTTGACTGCAACGGGTTTCTCATCTGCGGGATTTTCATCCGCACCTAGCTTCTCAATTTCGATGTTGTAGTTGACTCCATTGCTGATATCTGGACTGGAAACAGGGCTGGTGTCGACAGGCAAACCGAAACGTTTTGCACGTTTGTTGGACAGCGGCTCTAATTCCAAATCTGAACCCCTCTCTGACTCCAATCGTTTGCTCTCGGCCTGTTGTATCCGCTTGTTTAGGATCAATTGATGTTTTTTCATCTTCTCCTGAGACTTTGCGTCATTTGCCGCATCAGAACTTGCCAGGAATGCACCCATATCGTCGTTGACGAGCATGTTGTCTTCGGGCGACTCTAGTACTGGCTCTGCGGTTGGCACGGGTTTGATACCTAAGCTCTTTTCCATAACTCTACGCCACTTTGCGTGGCGATGGACAGCCAAATCTGCTCGTTCATGACGATAAGGGTGGAAGAAAAAGACTTTGCTCCCCTTGATGATCTCTCCACGTAAAATTGGCTTTTTAAAGTCATCACAAACAGCAAGAGCGTAGTAGCGCCAATTCTTCCTGTATATGGCAGCCACGGGAATTGAAGACCGATTGTTCTTCTCGATGCCTTCATCGCCTGGACCACTTGCCCTCTTCAATTTGGCCAATACGGAGTCGCCCTTCTTCTGGGTCAACTTGGCAGCTCTGCCGGTATATTTGCCCCTCTTCGGAGTGGGCTCGTATTCTTCGTCTTCATCATCGTCGCTGGCTATAGCTGATTCCATTGCGTCGTTGTCGGTAAACTTTGGCAAGAGTAGACCAACGCAGTGGAGCGTCTCGAGACCTTGAAGGTCTTGATTGAATTCTCGCTTCAAGTCGCGCTCCCATGACCAGTCGCTCGTCTCGAACTTCCTGCTGGAGACCCTGACGCGCATCTCCTTGCCAACGAGTGACTTTTCATTTTCGTTGAGTTCGTAGCCACGGAGACTGTAAGTGAAGGCGAAGTCCTCGGATTTTAGGTTCGGCATTTTAGCGAATGGAAAAGTTCAACTGCACATCGACAATGGGCAAGTAGGCTGTTCGTTGGGCTGTGGGATGTGAGGAGCCGCGGCGGGAGGGGAATGGTGTTCTTGAGGTTGGGAAGGCAAACTTGCAGTGGTGCTACGATCAAGCTGCCTAAGTATGAATGTTGCTGCAATGGACCGCTGGTCGCCGTGGTTGATGATTGCTTGCGAGGGCTGGTTGGTAAGAGGGTATGCGTGATGGGAGGAAGAGGGAGAAGAAATTGATGAGAAGTATGGTCTGTATCTCGTGTGTCGTGTAGTCAGCGCCACTTTGGAGGAGCAGGAAGTCGAGGTGCTGATATCATTCGAAGGTTTGAGATGTTGATCTGAAAGACGTGCCACGCTGGCCAGACTGACTTTTTTTTTTTTGGAGTTTTGATCACTTCCTTCCCTCTTGGACTGCCGGACCTTCATTGAAATCAAACGGAAGCGCAAACAAAAGTGCCCTGGTGCGAAAGTGCCGTCCAAGACTTGCACAGAGTTTCTTAGCAGAGCCACACGTAACGAGGAATGTTTTGGGAGTTTCATTCTTAAACGGTTCGAATATAAATTACTAAGATAAGCCTTTGCTTTTTCTTCTTCTATCCTTTTCTTCTCTTTTCAAGGGCGGGACTCCGGGGAAGGGGGTCACGGCGTTGTGATTGTGCCGAATAAATACGAAAAAGTTCCAGTTATATACACATAAGCCTGTTCAATTTGAACGGGCACTGACTGTTCTGTACAGGCCAATGAACCCTTGTTCAAGGAAAGTAGGGAGATAGAGAGCGATGTTCACAAGATTCAACCCAGCCTGACTCACTCAAACTGGAAAAGCCTTTCATTGAAAAGTCATTCGCGCTCTAACTTTTGCTGACAAGTGAATAAACTCAAGTGAATCACAATTGCACGGTTAGGCGATGAGTCATGTGATCGGTCAACGCCAGGTGTAGGTATCAACAGTATGCCGAGACTATATTGTTATATAATAAATACTGACCCAGCAGCGGACTATATATGTAGGCGCTCGGGAAGGAATGCGCATATATGGCTGGCTATACGATACTTGGCAAACACAAAAGACCTCCCAATTTTCTTTCCGTAGGTTCGTGAGTATCGTGCCGTTAATCGTAGAGCGCTGGACTGTGCATTGCCCGGAATGAAATCACAACGACCTCCCCATGTTCATTCCTTAAAATTCCAAAAGAAAGGGTATCGATCGCATCGACCAAGTTCATCTTCTATCAGGACTCCGGCGGTCTAAGAGGCTCTTTGTACTCGTCGCACTGGAAAGCCTTAATGCCCTCAACAATATACACCCTCAGCGAACTATGACCAACAGAAAATAGGAGAAAAAAGGCAAAAACAAGACGAGAGGCGAGAGACGAGAGAATGTGGTATCTGAAGGCCTGGCTCTTTGCTTGTTGGTTGGATTATCGCTTACTGGTGAGATGTCTGCGCGCTGCTGAACATGCGAGAGTCCATGAGTGGAATGCCCCTGTTCTTCTCCCTCGGGTCGTAACTCTGAGCATCACCTGAGAACCTGCTGTTCGCATCATGTTCGACCTCGACATCGTTCAGGACTTCTCGCGTGAGCTCGACGTAGTCATATGCTGTGAGCACTATATTAGTATCAAGTTTCACAGCACCAATCGAGTTTGTGGGGTGTGGACATACCAAACTCGCCAATCTCCGCATCATCGATGCCCAGGATCTCGGCCTCTTCACTTGCACGCAGGTGGAGCCCGGGGATCAGGTTCATGATGAACAAGATGAGACATGTCCCGACGAATGAATACATCCCTCCGGAGAAGGAGTCCGCAAGCTGGTACCCGATCTGGATCCAGTGCTGGTTGATCCAGCCTCCGTTGATCTCGGTGACGCCGTCCAAACGCGCAATGTAGTCCGCGGCGAAGAAGGCCGTGCAGACGTTTCCGACAAAGCCACCCATGCCGTGGACTGCGAAAATGTCGAGGGCATCGTCGATGCGGAGCAAGAACTTGAGCTTCGTAGCGTAGTTGGCGAAGCCGGCCCCCAATACGCCGAAAGGCACCGCTGCCCAGACTGGGACGTAACCTGGAAATGTTGAGTCAGTTGGCCACTTATGCTGAGCGGTCAAAGCACATACCTGAGCCGGGAGTGATGGAGACCAATCCGGCAACAACACCTGAGCAGAAGCCGACTGTGGACCACTTCCTCTCGAGTCTGTAATCCAGCACACACCAAGTGATACCACCCATACAAGCAGCCAGGTTCGTCACCACGGCAGCCATGACGGCTCTCAAGTTCGCCGACAGAGCGGATCCAGCATTGAAGCCGAACCAACCGACCCACAGGAATACAGTTCCGATGACAATGTGGGTAACATTGTGTGGTCGGTAGTTGAGCTCGTGTGTGCCGTGCCCTCTCCTCTTGCCCAACATCATAGAATAGGCCAGTGCTGCGGCCCCGGATGCGATATGCACCGGGGTACCACCGGCAAAGTCCAACCCGCCCATCTTATTGCTCCAACCACTGGTGTTCCATGTCCAGCAGGCAATTGGGTCGTAAATAACAGTGGCCCAGATAAACATGAAGATGACACAGGGCAACATGCGGCCACGCTCGGCAACGGCTCCGGTGGCGAGAGCGACGGTAATGGCGCTGAACATGCCCTGGTAGACGGCGAAGAGCAGATCAGGGAGACGGGCAGAGCCGACGGATGGACGGGCGAGTACGTCCTTGAAGCCGAAGTTGGCGAGGTCTCCGATGAAAGGGCCAGCGGTATGTGAGAAGGTGAGGGAGTAGCCCCAGAAGAACCACTGGAAAGTTGTGACGGCTGTGGCCATGACCGACAGCCATATCAACGAGAGGGCGGATTTTCTCCGAGCGAGGCCGGAGTAGAAGAAACCAACGCCGGGAATCATGAGGAGGACGAGGGCAGTGGCCGTTATCATCCATCCTATATCACCAGTCTTGGGATCACGCTGTCAGTATCTGGTGTGTTTTGGTGTTGACATAACGGCATCCAAGCACAAGCCCAACCTACCTCGTACCAAATATTCAAATCCTCAGTCAGCGAGTCTCCTCCTGTGGGGCCGGAGCCATTGAAGGGGACCTTGACGATGTAGTCAAGGGCGTCGAGGTCGACACCGTCCAGTACAACCATGCTGGGCAAACTGTGGCTCTACTGCCAAGGGCGGGAAATTCTTGACTCGACACGAGGGCTGTGGATATCGAGAACCTGGGGAAACGGGTCCAGCTCAACTGGGTCCGCGGAATGACAGGTGCTTGACGACAGATGGCGGAAGCGAGGTTCAATATGGTTTAAAGGATTAGGATACGGGAGAGCGAGGGAAGGAAGATGATATTTGAGACCTCGAGAGGACAGAGCAAAAGAGTGGAAGGGAGTAGGTAGCTCGGCAGAATCCAGGCAATACACAGTGTCCCCAGCCACTGGAGCAGGACAGATCAAGATCCAGACGGTGAAGACAGCGGGAGGTTCCAGTCTGGATCAGACAGATGCGGGAGGGAAGAAGCAATTATGAGGCCAGTTGATGGGTGTCGTGCCGCACGCCACTTAACGACCCAGCAGGAGCTGCGTCAAACGTCTCAGGGCAAAAGCAAAAAGCACGCGACAGGGTCACACCAAGCGGGGGGCTCAGCAGAGGACGTCAAGGGTGAGCAGGACGAGAGGAGAAGAGGAAGGTGAGGTCAATTCTGGCTAGTCAAGGAAGAAAAGAACGATACGAAGAACACCCAAGAAGCCGAGGAAGACTGCCCAGACCACCACGACTGATGGTCAATGTACGGTACACATAAGCAGCCAGGGGCGGAAAGGGCTGCGAGATTGAGCCTGGCGAGGATGACATTTGATGGTCCCCTGGACGGAGTAGACAAAGCTAAGGTCTTGCTTGTCCCTTGGGGGGGAGCTCATCTATCTCGTTCTCGACAAGCATATGCCTGCGTCTGCAGATGCTGCCGGGGGTAGGGGGGTGCAGCCAACAGGCAGACATGGCGAGAGGCGAGAAGAACAGGGTTTGGAGAGCTGGAGGGTGGGCCTTGTGGGCCATGCGGTCGATCGACAAGGGAAGCTCGCCGCGTGGGAGGTGACAGAAACAATGGAGAGGCTCGGAATAAGGGTACGGCCCTCCACTATTCATGCTGGTGTGGAGATGGATGCTGATAAGGCGAATTGGTCTAGCTACAGACTCTGGAGATACAGCATAGGGGAGTAAGATGAGGACGAGAAAGAGGACTGGCTGTACTCGCAAGGAAAGCCGTTGTGCGGTGGCTAGATCCAACGGCTGGTGTCAGGGATCGAGGGGGCGGGATGGTGTGAACAAGTCATGATGTACCCTACGTACATACGAACAGACGTAGAAGAGAGACATGCAGACAGACACAACCTGCCCACATGGTTGGCAGCTGACGGGAAGGACACAACAGCAGTCGTGTGCGACTCTGCTAGTAGTCAGTGTTGCTGCTGTGCGACTGTCCTCATGCAGGTGTAGCTGGCGTTGCAGACAAAAGGAATGGTGTAAGAAAGGCAAAGCAAAAGATAAGCAGGGATCAGGTCTCATTTCATCGCGCGCGGGAGGTACCGCAGTAGCAGTCGACGGCCCAATGAGCAGACGCTCACCCACGCACCTTTACGCACCACACACCACACACCTTAGACCAACACCAACACCACCCTTCAGCAATCCATTCCGCTCCCATCCCAAATCTCCGGGACAGCCTAGCCTCAATCTACGAGGCCATCGACCTCGATCTCGACCTCCTCATGCTCTCCCCCACACGCTCTTCACCACACCTTCAATCATGCCACACCAGACCAACCGGAGCCGAGCTTCTTGTCCTGTCTTTTTAAACAAGACTTAGCTCAATTGCAGGAGATGAACAGCAGATTGCCCTTCGCCACGCCCCGGCAATACTCAAACTCTAATGGTCCTGGCCTCCCTGGCCGCCGGATGCCCGGAGGGCTACTTCGCAATAGACTCTTCCAGCGCAGGGCTGAGAAGTGCGCATTCTGACTCGCCCTGTCACAAAGGCCCTCGAGTCGTCATCGTCGTCAAAACCGCCGGGACACCACGACGATCCGGGCGATTCCAGCCGGACTTTCTGATCTTGCGATGTCACCCACATGAAGCAGAAGTGCTACGATCGGAGCATATCTTGTCCTTTCGATAGATAATGTCGCTTGCTGCCAACCCTGGGGATTCAGCCGCGCCACTTAATACCAGGTCCCTTTAGCTGCTCCTCAATGGTGGCTCGTTAATGGCGGATCGAAGAATGTCGTGTTCCGGGCAATCCTGGGTGATATCACGCCCAGGCTGCTGGCACATGTGCCGTAATAAAAGGCAAGGCCTGTCAGCACTACTGACTGCCTTTATTGAACAGTATTCGTATTAGCACTCGTCACCCGGTAGAATTCCGAGACGACGGGCTTAATGGCCATTAAGGGAAGGCATCAATGCAGCTTATGAAAGCTGCCAGCCAATGTCGGCCGCCGACCTTATCTCTCAAGGTTGCCAAGCTGGGCGGGAGGGCACCCTAAGAGCCCCCAATCCCACGCAACTCTCTCATGCAGGGGCAAACTCTAATCATTTTCCCGTTGCACCAGCGAAACATGCGGCTCAGGCTTTTGGTTGGTGTGGCGTGTGGCCTCTCAATCTCTCTCTCCCATACCGAGAAGGCATCGTTGGTCTGCGATTCGCAAGTCTGTCATGCACTCCAAAACCGTACCTCAAGGTTTAACTTCGGCCAGCACCCACAGACGGACAAGAACCTCGGGCTCGAGTTAGCCGTGGCCTCGGTGTCGTAATTCTGCACCAACTCCCGATGGCCCAGCCTCATCGCCGTGCTGGCAAAACGTAGCTCGTTGGAGAAAGCGTCGCTCATCCCGGCATCGCCGTGATATACCCTCCTTCTCCCATCTCGAGGCCTGCTCGTCTCGTCCCCCGTCATCCGGCACTGCTAAGCTTCTACAGCTCCGGCACCAAACACCAGTTCCTCCAAATTCTCTCGGCCTATCTTTCTCGGCCGGAGCCATGCCCTGTCACGGCTCACATTGGGCTCACGAGGGATTGGGGATTGGGCTGCTGCCAGGCGAATCGGTCGTCACCCAGGCACGTGTCTCAAGGCCGATGCAGGCCCATGCGTCACATCACATACCATTCCGTCCCATACGCACAAAGCTTCCGTAGAGATGACCGGTCCCCACGTTGCGCTCCGTCCCAGGAACCATCGAAATAGCAAACTCTCCCCAATTGCAGGATAATTAACCCGTCGGTGAAGAAGGCCTGCCCCACCTCGGAACGGCTTCCCTCGAAGCCATGCTCTCAATAGCCTCCCGCCAAGACGTTGCAGCCCGCTGGATGCCACCGAATCTTGCAAATAGCTCTCGGTGAATTTTTGCGTGCCACACAGACGTGAGGGCTTGTGCGTCTCGACGAGGGCGAAGGATCGTCGATCGCAAGGCAAGGAGACATTAGGTCAAAACTCCGACCTCGTGCTTCTAGAATGCGGCGGCGACGTGCAGCCTGCAGCGCGCTACACGATAGACTACGACGTAAAAATGTCCCGATGAGGAATTGCCGCAGGGCGATCCCCGGGGAAGCGCCGGATAGACAGCGCGAGGCAGAGATAAGGACATCGTGAGCTGCTTATTTCACTGACATAAGATTGATAAGAGTCGAAGGAGTGTTTGAATAGCATCGTCGGTATTGACGGCCATGATTGTGATCCAAGACAGGCAGCTATATCCTATGAAGCCGTCTTCCCAAATGACTTCTCCCCTTCCCAACTCCCGAAATAGTTATGTACAGTTTGCTATGAGTATTAAGTCAAGAAAGACATTTTTGTCTTGTATGATATATAGACACACTAGCCAAGCTGAGAAAGACATTAGACTAGACGAAGGACGAGCACTAAGTATGTCGTCGTCGGCATATATATGCGGCAAGTGGAATGCGCTTTGCTTTTTCGGTGGTCCAATCCCAGTTGTGAATAATCAAGAAACGCCGATGGTCTGCTCCGAGCCAGCATGACACAGGCTGTTTTCGGCTGACCTTGGTGGTGTTGATACAGTAATATTTACCCCTTTGATGGGGATGTAATCCGATCCGATGTAAATGCATCATGCAGAAGAAACGCATTCGCGAGATGTTTTACAGTCGTAGAGCCTCCATTCTATTAGTTGGTGATGGTGTTGAAGCGCTGTTGGAAGGCGTTGACCTTCTCGGCCTCGAGGAGCTTCTGTAGCTTCTTGGTCTCGCGGGCAGCTGTCTCCCGCTCCTCCTGGAGGGTCATGACCTCGATCTGCGCCGTGTTCATCCTACCCACGACTTCCTGCATCTCGAAGTCGGCAGTGACCAGAGACTTCTCGAGCTCGGCGACCCGAGCCTTCAGGGTCTCAACCTGAGAAGTGTCTTCCTCGTCGGTTCCGGAGCTGGATGGGCGGTTCCGAGAGCTCTTTCTGGAATGAGAACTGAGCATTCTGGGGAATCTGCCGCCAGAGTTTGGTGACAGGAGAGGCGACATGGGCGACTTCGGAGGGAACAGGCGGGGTGATCGCAGGCCAGAGTTGCTGTCGTGCAGTCGGTGCAGGTTGGCACTGGTTGACTCCCGCAGCTTGCCGAGCTCTTCCTCGTGGCGGTTGACACGCTCCTCGGCGGCAGTCTGAGCCGCAATGACCTGCTCCTCGAGGTTCCGCATGCGAATTTGCATGCTGGCAAGTCGCTCCTTGTTGGCTTTCTGGCCAGCCTCACCCCTAGCAACGGTCTCGGAGAGCCGGCTTCGTAGGTTGGCGTTGATGGCGAGTTGAGCGCGGACCTGCTGCGTGAGCTCCTCGACCCTGTTGGCCGAGTCCCTAAGTTGGTCCGCGAGATCCCGCTCGCCCTCCAAGTGGTCCTTTTCAGACTGTTGTAGTCTCTCGACTTGGTTTTGCAGTGCGGCCGATTCCTGGCGAGCGTCGTCGCGGTCGTGGATGGCAGATGAGAGCGATTGCTCAAGCCGCTCCATGGCGAGCCTGGTTCGCTCATCCTGTGAGGCACTCGTGCCGCCAATCTCGAGATCCTTGATCCTCTCAAGCGCGTCCTTGTAAGACTTCTGTAGATCTGCGTATGCCTTCTCAAGCGATGCCGATGTAGCTGGCAGCCCGGGGGCTCCTGTTGCCGAGTTGCTGCTGTAACGAGAGAAAGAGTCCGGAATCAGTATGTCCTTCTCATTCAGCAGTGCCCTCAGGGAGGTGATCTCTTCTTCCGCCCGGTCGAGGTCGCTCTTCAATCCTATAAGACCTTTCTCGACTTGCCACTTTTGCTCAATGGCTTCCTCAGCTCGCCGCCGCAGTGTGTTGACTTCTTCACGTAGGGTTGAGACCTCTCTATCGAAGCCGGCTTTCCTTGGCGATGCTGACAACAGCCGATCACGCTCGACTTCAAGCAGTTTGATCTTCTTTTCGTTCTCCTTGTTTTGAAAGTCTTGTCTGTCAAGCAGATTCTTCAGAGCGTTGTGCAGGGCGTCTCTCTGGGCCTCGACGTCCTTCAGCCGCTCGGATAAGACGTCTCTGGATTCGACGTGCCCGCCCTTAACGGTGTTGGATCTGGCGAGCCCGCCAGAATGGAGCCCAGACGGTGGACGGCTGAGCTTGAATGACTGGCCAGTGACGGAACTTGACCTCAACCGTGCGAGGGTGTCATGTTTCGCCTTCGAATCCTTGATATCCTGCAGTTCTTGCTGTAACTTTGTTGTCTCGTAAGCCAGCTTCTCGTTCTCGGTCTGCTGTGCTTCGAGACCTTCAACCCGTGCCCTCAATTGGGGCACAACCTCATCACGGAGGTTGTCTCGCTCCAGTGCAGCATTCTGAAGTTCGCCCTTGAGTGCGGTGAGCAGGTCCTCGAAGTTGTTTTTGACTTCACGCTCCTCAGAGAGCCTGCGGCGGAGATCCTCGCATGACTTTTCCAGCTCTCGGACCCTGGCGTCAGCATCCTTGCTGGTCATTTGCGCTGCATCGGCTTGCGATGCCTTCTCGGCAAGCTCCTTGATCTGTTGGTCGAGTGCGTTGCGGCGGCCCCTCTCCTCTTGAAGCTTGGTGGTGAGTTCAAGCCTGAGCTGTGCCTTTTCTTGCTCTGCTTTCCGCTGGATGCTCGAAATTTCATCTTTCGGATTCTCGAAGTCGCCGGACTTGGCCGTGCTGTAACCCGAGTCTGAGAAGTAATCACTGGTCCTCTTCCCAGGTGCTGATGGGTTGGCGATCTCTGATTGTAACCTGTCAACCAGGTCCTCTAGATCCATCTCGCGCCGAATGGACGAGGCCAATTCGGCGCTGATGGCTTTCAGCTCGTCCTCCATCTCCTCGATCTCGACAACCGGTGACACCAACGTATAGGAATTCGGTGGTGTGGGAAAATATGCCTCAACGTATCCGAGGGCGTTGCTCTCGAGAGCTTGTGCTTTGGTAGAATTTGGGTCCCGTGTCGACACTGGAGATTCATCGGAAAATGCGTGACGCTTCGGTGATACTGGCGATGGTATCGGAGAGTAGTCCTTGTTGGAGTGATCAGTGTTGGACGGCGACTGTGCAGCTCCCCATCCAAAGAAGTTGCTGAGTTTTGTTGCGCTAGCTGGTGACCTCGGAGGCGATTTCGGTAGTGGTTTGTTAAGGCTGGCGTGGCTGGCGTGACTTGATGCGCTGTCTGGTGGTCTGTCGATAGTCGGAGAGAGTGTATGTGGTTGACCGTCTGAGTTTGAATAATCAAGATCTAGTTGTGGGGGCATAGGTGTCCGAGCAAACAAAGACATGCTACCGCCTGTACTACGATGATTGGAATTGGGCGGTTCCGCGTTGGGCTGGTCTGGACCCTGACTGGCCGAAGTGACGTCTGAAGCACTTGTCGGATGCTTGGGCTGTATCAAATCGTCCGTTTGAGACGGTGCAGGGCTGACGTCTGGAATGTTTCGAACCTCCAGTGCGGCCGGCGTGATAGGCCCGGTCGGGGGTTGTGGCCACTTTCCCTGGAATCTAGCGCGTAAAACATTCCTGTCAGCCTGGGCGTTATTCTGGATTTAAAGGCATGGTGAACCTACTCTTCCTCGGACAGAGGTTCAAGGGGCGTGGGAAGAGAGGCTACGGGAGCAGGGCCCTCGGTTGGGCCCAAGTCATATAAGTCCGGGCTGTCAAGAGAGTAGTAACCAGAGTCGGGCTCCTCTGGCAGGTCACCGGACTTCATGTGGTAACTCTTAGATGAGAAACGAACGGCCAATGGCGAGGCCGTGGGACTTAGAGGCTTGCGCCGGATGGGCGACTGGCTCCCAAGAGAGGCAGCTAGACTCTGAGACCTGGTGCTCCTTGGACTATGAAGGGGCGTCGAAGCGCGTGGTGGCGGCGGTGGCAGGACGGCGGAAGAGACTGACTCGGGACGAGAAGAAGGGTGGACGGGTTGCCCATGTGACAAAGGGTGGACGAATTGTTCTGGTGGGTGGTTGACTGCTGTCGCCCGAGCTGGTGGACCAGATGAAGCGTCTAGTGTATCAGATGTCTGCGAAGGGGACGGGGCGTCCTCAAATCGGTAGTGGTCGTATGCGGCGCCAAGTCCGTTGTGTTCTGACGGTGCCATGGTCCGGTCCAGGTCCACCGGAGAGGGCTCGAGGGTCATGGCCTGTGACATGATGGATATACCAAAACCAAAGAGAAGGCAAAGGACAACTTTGGAGGTGCAATTGGCCCGGGACGGCAAATGATCACCGCGTGGACATGGCTTGTTCCTTGGGCGAGAGGCGGAGGAGACAGGGCGGATACGAGCAGCGAGCGCGCGCAACGTGACCAGAGCCGGGGAAATGGTTACGCGGTGGAGGACATGCAACATCAATCAAAGGAGCAGTCGCAAAAGTCGCAGTCGCGGCAGCAGTAGTAGCGAGGGCATCTGGAAGGAGGGAGACACGGATTTTGGTCGAATGGTACAGGGCGTTCCATTGAGGAAACAACAGCCGGCCAGAAAAAAGGGGCGGGTCGCGGTCGGAGGAGCCACATTTCGTGGGATCCAGGGGCGCGGCGGGGAACGATTGGCCGTGCTGCCATGTCGTGCTGCGGGCCGGGGGGGACAGGAGAAAGGCGGCGAGTCGCTTGCTGGCCGGATCCAGGATGGCGCAAATAAGCCGCAGCCGGGTCGCTTGATGAATGGCATATTAACTGCACGCAACTGGAAGACTGACAAAGCTGCCCATTTCTGCCAGTTCGATGCTTTTGCGCGCGTCTCTGGCCTCGCTCTGTGGAACTGTGTGGGTGTGCGACCAAATCGAGCCTAGGCGACACCCTCTCGCGCCGAGAACAGAGCACCAGCAGCAATGATTGGACTGGTGTTTTGGTGGAGGCGACAAGGACCAGGATATGAGCCATCCATCCATCCATCTGATGGTTGGCTTGTGCCGATGATTGTAAATTATGCCGTGGCGTACCTTGCAGAGCCGGACCCTTCTTTTGGATGTTGAATTACCGCTTTCGATGCTGCCGGGTGTGTGCGCAATTTTACTTCGCGATGACTGCGACGCTGCCACTGCCATTTAATCTCAGGGGCCGATGATCTCGATACGAACGGGCCTTATCTCCCTTGGTAATTGGATGATCAGTTAGTGTGGGAGATGCAGATCCCATCATCCTTCGGCAGTGCTGGCGAAGGCCCATCACAATCGTGAGGGCGTGGTCGTCGACAGACCGCGAGCACCAACATCACGTTGCGAGTGCCTGGCCGTGGAAAACAGACTGAGAGACCTATTAACGACATGGTCGCATGTCTCTCCCGAGCTGGGAATTGACACGACGCCGGCCTTCCCCAGCCTGGTCCACGATTGATCAGACCAAGCCAGATTAGATCAGATCAGATCAGATCAAAACGGGCGAGTTTCGAGGTCGAGATGGAGGCTATGCATCGTGTCGGTCGCACCGAGACTCGCCGGCCGATGCGACAGTCGATGAGCTGACAGTCAATGTATTGAGGTTCGTAGTTATCACTGGACTCGAGGCCATTGTCGTTGCACTCTGTTGCTCCTCTGTTCTGCACAGTCAGACAGGCAGTCGCAAAGTGTTTCGTGGGTGCAAGATGAGACTTGGGGGCGGCCGAGCGGCCAACGCGGGGGACCCCAAGCCAAGGGATCGTCAGGGGCCGTGCTGCGTGCATCGGCTACTTTTCCTAGTTGGTGCTTCCACTACTGGTAGCGACACTGACACTGACACTGACACTGACAAATGGCCTTGATGACTACACGACTGGTCTGGTCTGCTAACGAGACTGCTAGACTAGGCTGGGCGAATTATTGCAATGCAGTCTGCCACAGTACACAGGGCAACATGGAAAGCGACTCATGGATCATCACCACAGCAGAGCAACGCCAACGCAGGTCTGGACCGCTACATCTACACTCGCCCAGCACGCAGGCTGACAACCCAAGGACCTTCCCTGCCAGCATGGCTTCTTCCTCCTTCTACTCAGCCCTACACATAGCACCTAATCTACTGCCTCTCACCCTCGGCCCGGTCGCACCAATCTGGCAGGGAACCGCGAGCCCTCGCAGGGAACATGACATCTTGTGCACGCCCAGAATGTGCAGCCTGCAATCGCGTTGAGTTTCTTAGCCATTAACCGACAAAACGTCTCATCTTTTGCTAAACGAGCCGGACTACCCGCCGGTTGATCGACGTTCATGCGGTCCGAAGTCAGTCCAGGACCAGGGCCGTTGCGCGTAACTGTTCCTGAGTCGGTGGATGGCGGCTATTCTTGTATCCCTCGTGTCTGAGGCCATGTACGCGGCGTCTTGGCCAATATATTGACAGTCTATGCCCAAGTGGGCAAAGTTGTCCACACATATCCGAGATTATTTACAATGCTTCCCGACGTTGAGGCTCTGCGGCGGTCGATCAACATCCAGGGTCCGAACTCTCCTCGCTCTCATCCTTATATTGCGTAAGCTTTCAATCCGGGAACATCTCAATCCGAGCTAGGAATCTGGCGGCGAGGATCAAACTCTTCTTTGATCGAACCCTCAGATTCATTATGGTCAAACGCATGATGGGTGTCATCTCCATCGCATGCTACTGCGGCTATTAGATGCGAAGAGGAAAGGTCGGTCTCGCAAGCGCTTGACATCCTGATTCTATCAAGCTTCCTTTCCGATATGGCTGGTCTCGGTTGAGCACGTCCTTCATATGATGATGCATTCCCTCGCATGTGTTATCTCGAAATTGTCATATTTGCCGCGGACTACTCCACTGCCTAGCTGCTTAACGCGGACAGCCTTGCAACTGTCGAGAACACAGCCACATTTGGGACAGCCCTGCTTATGACTACACATTCAAACGCAGACACAAGGCTCAAGCAGCTTCTTTGCTAGTATTCTGACGGCCAGCGATGACTGCGTTTCTATCAGGAAAAGCTGTGGCAATGATGTTGCTCTTTAATCAGACTTGTCAGACAAGCACGAAGATCACCCAGGTAGGCACAACAAGCGCAAGCATGCCAGCCATCAAGAGATAGCAGAGCCTCAAGAATCCAAGGTACATTCGTTCACCTTATGGATAGTACGGGTCGAATCTATCTGAAGGCCTACGAGCGTAGAGCAAGGCATCCTCTTCGAACTTTAAATTGAAACTAATTAGCACTATCGAGTCGCCAAATTTCTCTTTAGAACCTCAATTTCGACGAACGACCCTCCTTGCTCAACTATACACACCGAAGTGGCTGGTATCGCTTTCTGGCCATTGGAGTCTCAATTTTGTGGCACTGAATATCGCAATCGGCTCCCTCTCGGTCTGCCTTCTCATTCCTCTAGAGCATTATGAATGGCGTGCCAGAGACACGACTGTCGGCATCTGCCAGCTGCTGAGGTTTACACTGAGGACAAACTTAGGAACGATTGCAGCTCGAAAAAGTGGAATTGTAACATTGTATGAGTACTTGCGTCGTGGGCTCTGGCCGAATTACACTGCGGAACTCTCCGTCGAGGCGAGAGATGGCTGGGCCAGTTGCGGACAGCTCCTGTGTTTCTGATCAGAAATCTTAGATAGAGACTAGTTCCCGACCTTGCAGCGCTGAAGACAAGCGATTAACACTCTCCACAGGACAAGCATCAAAAACGTATACAGGGCTGAGGCAGTGAATAAATGTGCGAAACTTGAACTCTGTTGTGATGCCAAGTCCTGCGCGGGACTGCGAAGACGGGCAGCGATGAATAAAAATGTTGGAGGGAGGGGGCAGTGTTTGATTCCACATAACACATCGGTTGTCTCAAACAATCTGCGTGGAACGGATTTTGTGCGTAATTAGTCGGCGAACACTCGGTGCGTGGACTTGAGTATCGAGGTGTACACAGGTCGGTCCGACGATTTCGTTGGACGGCCCGGGCCGGTGACACCTGCACTAATGCAGTGTGTATTCTACGAGTCCATAGCATATATTTAGACGACGGCTTGGGGTCTTCGGTGCTAAGTGCGTGACTACCCTCACCTAGCTTGGTCATTATCGTACTTACATCGTACCTGAAGGAGACTACGACGGCCTTCCAGAGCCAGAGTGCAAAATTGCACATCGATTGCTTCAGTCGAAGAGAAAGGCGCACGTGGGCAGCTGCATGAAGGTGTTGTACTACTATCCCGACCGGAATCCTGTTACCTGGATTTGTTCTTACCCTGGGCGAACCGCTGATGATCGCTGAGGGTCTATCTGTCTAAATCGGGGAGAGGATTTCGCCGGTCACGGAATGGTCCGCGGCGATGTCACGGAAGGGCCGCGGAGACATACTGAGCTCCGGTCTTAGCCCGTAGCATATGCCGAATTGAACACGGCTTCGCGAGTCGGCTATACCAGACTTGCACAGTGCCACAGAGACATGTAAAAGAGATAAGAGGGCAGTTTGCGAGGGCCGTGGCAGTTCTGTGGGTGGATCGTTCATTGAGTTTAAAATGGTAGCCAGACTCGGACTGCATCGTGGCCGAATGGCCGGCCGTGAAGTGAAACGCCCAACGCTGTTTGCTCTCGACGTGGAGACCACTTCAGCCGCTTGCAATTGACGACATCCGATACTTAGATTGATAATCCAGTATGTGACAGTCTCACTTGAGTTATCCTAGACACTGCGATTTAAGACAGATGCGACTTTTCACATGGCCCTTCAGGTTATGCAAAGGAGTGGCTGTGACTCATCGATTTTGTTCCCTTGTATTCCCCAATGCTACGGCATGTTGCCAGATTGTAGTATTGAAGTAATTCAGCTAGTCCGAAAGCTGATATTTTTGAGGGAAAAAATTGTGAAGGCCAAAGCTTCAATCATACTACTGCTTTTGTCATTCACCAATTGTAGAGCTTTTTCCAGGTTAAATGGCACCCAAGTCTCTTACTCTGCAGGCATTGCGGCCTACAAAGTATGATGCATGAAATGTTGTTGATCAAATAGAGTACTTAGACATTGCATTGGCCCCACGTTAGCACGACATCTAAACAATAATCATCAAATTTGTGGCGGTACTGGAATTGCCCGCCTGAACCTAAAGCCGTGGATGGGAGTCGGAGCTCGGACAGTGTTGGAACCCGACTTTGGACGTTGGGGTGGACGTCATGAAAATAGTTCTTTTTAAGAAGGCATCGCTTTGATCACAGGGAGAGTATTTCCAGTGATACAAGCTGTGGCAATTCGACAAACTTGACACCAACATATCAACATCGCATGTCGCATTTCAAGACCTTATCGTCTCTTGCTCCGAAACATGGCTCAGGAATTATTCAAGAAGTACGCCCAAGAACGAGACAAACGCAACAGGCCAGAGGGTCTGGCTCAATATATCGATGTCCGATCCAAAGAGATCAAAGACCTCGCGAAAGACCCGTGGGTGGACTATGCGTCTCCCAGTGTCAAGAACCCTCCGCTCAAACACGGAAGCAGCATCAAGTTCTTAATCTGTGGCGGAGGGCACAGCGGAATTCTTTATGCATACCGCTTGATCGAGGCTGGGTTCAGCAGCAAGGACATTGTTATCGTTGACATCGCCGGTGGATTTGGTGGCACCTGGTATTGGAATCGCTATCCTGGTCTCATGTGCGACGTCGAAGGCTTCGTTTACCTCCCGCTACTGGAAGAGACTGGCTATATCCCCAAGCATAAGTACTCTTATGGCGAGGAGATTCGGGGCCAGTCAGAGCGCATTGCGGCCAAATGGGGCCTGCAGGGCCAATTCTGCACCAAGATCGACTGTCAGACCTGGGACGAACACAGGCATCAATGGGTCGTCAAGATGACCCGCACCCTCGGGAAGGGTGTAAAACACGAAGATTTAACGGTATATGCTGACTTCGTTGTTGGTGCTGGCGGGGTCCTGTCCATCCCTAAGATCCCTAAGCTCACAGGCTGGCCGGAGTTCCGCGCAAAGAAGCATGCATTCCACACGTCCCGCTGGGACTATGCCTACACCGGCGGTACCCAAGAGAAGCCTGACATGATTCATCTCAAGAGCAAACGTGTTGCTCTGATCGGGACTGGTGCAACGGCCGTCCAGGCTGTTCCCGAGCTGGCTAAATGGGCAGAGCACCTTTATGTGGTCCAGAGAACGCCCTCCTATTGCGGCTTACGTGGACAGGTAGAAGTGACACCTGAGCTCTGGTCCACGATCGCAAATGGGCCAGGGTGGCAGGACCGCCGTAGGCTCAATTTCAATTCATTTGTCACCAACAATCCTGAGCCGGTCGATCTGGTTGACGACGGACGCACGTACCAGGCGTTTCCGGAACAATTGGCTCCAGCAGCAAGATCGTCTCCCCGAATGAGATCGGAGAGCACATCGAAGAGCTTCTCAGAACCGACAGCGTAGCTACGGAGGAGCTCCGAGCGAGGATATCACGGGAGGTGAAAGACCAAGAGACCGCTGAGAAATTGAAGCCTTGGTACGGTACTTGGTGCAAGCGACCAACTTTTCACGACGACTACCTGCCGACTTTTAATCGCGAGAATGTCACCTTGATCGACACCAACGGCAAGGGACTCGAGCGCCTCACGGAAAACGGTATTGTCTTTGATGGAGTTGAGTACGAAGTAGATTGTCTTGTACTAGCCACCGGCTTCGTCGTTGGAGGCTCGAACGACCCATCTCAGAGAGTCGACGCGCCAATAATAGGGCGTAATGAAATATCCATGACGACCAAGTGGGAGGAACCTGGCTCTACCACAGCCTTCGGGGTGTTTTTGCCGGGCTTTCCAAACTTTGCTGCCACTTTCTATCGTGGCGGCGGATTTTCGTACAACTTATCGTCAGTCTACGATGTTTTTGCTCGCCTCTTTGCGCATGTTATGGCGACAGCACACAGCCAGGCGAGCTTCAATCAGAAGTTGGTGATTGATGTCTCGGAGCAGGCTCTGGGTCGCTGGGCAGGAGAAGTGGCAAAAAGAGCTGCCTGGTTCACTCCACTCAGTATCTGCACGCCTGGCTATTACACTTCTGAGGGAACAATGTTCAGCAAGGAGGCATCCGCCAAAGCTGATATTGACAAAGAGAGCTTTTCCAAAGCAAGACAGGCACTATGGGGCTCTGGCCCTGTCGACTATCAACTTACAATAGAGAAGTACATGGCAAAGGAAGGTAGTGTCCTAGAGGACTTTGTTGTTGAAATGATCTAAGTTTGATCTTTTTCACAATACTCACACTTTGGAGTAATTGTTAATCATGATATCTAGTCGTTTCATCCATTGTATTCAATGAGAGATGGCAAAGGAGGACTGTGAAAATTAGGGAAGGATCCCATGGAAATTCACTACTACGTCGTTCTCAGAACCTAGTGAAACGCTCACCAATTGTAACCTACGCTCACTATAGCATGGCAAGGCATCGATCTCCTATACATTATTCAGCAATGTGACAAACAATAATGTGAAAGATTGGATGTCCGCCTTAAATTAGCCACTGGGTTAAAAATCAACCCTTCAAGTTTGGGAGTATACCTGTTCAGATACTCAGCTGAAGCGGCTATTGCACCTCAAAAACGTTGACTTGGAAGTTATGAACAGCAACAAAAAATATTGCATATTTCATTATGTGAAGAGACACTTTGTTGCAACCAGGCTGGGAAGCATGGTGGTCTTCAGTTCATGCAGATTAGAGCTTATTGTAAAGGGTTTAACCCTATGCTTGGACGCTGTATACCCAATTTAGCCCCGGAAAGCTACATGAATGGACGACGTCAGAGCGGTGATTGCATCACCTTCGTCAACACCAGCCTCGCACAAGCACGTCATGATTCTTTTCTCTTTACTTTTCACCACTGTGAATGAAGATCCCTCGTTAGCGTCAGCCAGCAGCTGATGGCCCTCTACTTCTATACTGCGACATAATATTACGAGTTCTCTTGTGCCACCTCACCACGCACCCTGGCACTCAGTACTCAGTCGTCATGGCATCCTCAAGGCGGCATATCATGGGCCAGGTGAAAAGCACTCTGCAGATTGGCAGTGACTACAGTGTGAGACCCGCTGGACTGTCATGGAGAAGCAACACCTTCTTCATCGTATCGACGGTGGCCGTGGGATTGTTCACAGACTTGTTTCTATATGGCCTCATCGTCCCCATCCTCCCCTACATGCTGCAGGACCGGGTCGGCCTTCCGGATGACCAGGTTCAGTCAAACGTCGACGGGTTGCTGGCTGCGTACGCGGGAGCTTCCGTGCTGTTTAGTCCCGTTGCCGGGTATATCGCGGACAAGACCTCTACTAGGCAGGCGCCTTTTCTTTTGGGCCTGCTTGCACTTATGCTTGCAACACTTCTGCTATTTCTCGGTTCCAACATGCCAGTCTTAGTCGTGGCAAGACTGCTCCAAGGCATAAGTGGTGGTTTCGTCTGGACAATAGGGCTGGCCCTCTGTTTAGAGACAGTGGGGCCTGAGAACCTTGGCAAGACGATTGGCTCGGTAAGCTTCGCCACGAGATGAGAGATAGACAAGACTCTAAACAGAGACAGATATTCTCTTTCATTTCGGTTGGCAATTTGCTGGCACCTCTGCTCGGTGGCGTTCTATACGAGAAAACTGGTTACGTCGGTGTCTTTGGTATTGGCCTGGCTGTATTAGCTGTTGACTTTATCATGCGAGTCCTAGTGATCGAGAAAAAGGTCGCTAGGCGGTACGACGCAGCAGGTCCGCAGTCTGTGGGCGACCTCGAAGCTATTGAGAGCAATAACCAGGAAGGCGATGAACCAGAACATGCGAATAGCGAGCAAGGCGAGGAGGAGCCCCTTCTTGGTAAAAAGGAAAACGATCTCTTCAAATTGTCGAAAGATCAGCCCGCGATCGCACAGAAGATCACCATTCTGCCATGTATGACGGATCCGAGGCTTCTCACAGCTCTCCTCGTCGCATTTGTCCAAGCACTACTGCTAGGCAGCTTTGATGCTACGGTCCCCACGACAGCGAAGGAGCTTTTCGGCTTTGACTCGCTCAAAGGCGGACTGCTTTTCCTTCCCCTTGGAGCCTTCGACCTTATCATTGGGCCCCTTGCTGGTTGGTTTGTCGACCGTTATGGGACAAAGCCCTGTGCAGTCATCGGCTACAGCTACCTCGTGCCCGTGCTCATCCTGCTCCGCCTGCCTCAACCGGGTGGCAAGGATCAGATACTGTTGTTTGGGGGTTTACTTGCGCTCTGTGGGATCGGGCTAGCCATTATTGGTGCGCCATCTATTGTCGAAGCAGGATCCGTCGTACAGAAATATTATGAGGCCAACCCTGACTTTTTCGGCGATCAAGGGCCGTACGCACAACTATATGGCCTGAATTCGATGGTTTTCAGTCTCGGACTGGCAGTTGGCCCTCTACTGGCAGGAGAGCTTAAACAGGTACTTGGTTATGGCAACATGAATGTTGTGCTAGCCTCGATCAGCTTGGCGACGGCTGTGTTATGTTTTGTGTGGATCGGAGGAAAGCCAAAATTTCTCACAGGCCTCGTGTAACGGTGCTAGCTTAGACGCGAATCAAGGTGACCTTCTTTCCAGCGGGAATTGCAAGCAGGGTTAAGGAAAGCGATGTTTGTCATCTTCAACAAAAAAGTTTTTCTAAATTCATCCATCTTCCACAACAGCCACGACTAGATAAGGACGATGGGTGGACACGTCTGCACTTTTAAAGACTCCCAGCATCCTTCCACCGTTGAAAAGGCAACTCCAGAACACAAGACGCCCGACCCAACGCATCTTACACTATGCGGCGGACAGGTTCAAAATTCATGCCTATCTGTAACTGCAGATGGAGCTAGGGCTGTTTGTTCTTTGAGGAGAAAAGAAAGGACGGAAAGAAAAACAGGAATCACCGCAGACAAAATTCGCAGTCTTGATCCATGGCAAAGGCTCTTGCGGGTCTCCAAGCACTTGGGATGTAGCGGTGTGCTTTTCTTCGCCTCCAAATTCACCGGATCTACGAAAACAACCTGGCTGCCTGGCCACGCGCTGGGCTGATTCTTCAATGTTAATTGAGCAAGCGCATACATAGACTAGCACAGCCACAGATCTTCTTTCTGCCTGGACGTTAGACGGTAGCTGACGCATATGAGCGGGGTTGCTTACTTACCCCAATCACCACCTTTTGCCCCTTTCTGGATACTGTCAATTACTATGAATCCACCTTCTTTCTGAACTGACCCACAAGACAGCCTGGTCGGCGAGGTGTAACTGATGAGAAAGTGACACCGGAAGGAAGATTATCAGCCTTTGCCTTAGCATCCATTTCTCAATAATACTAGACGCCAGCAATCACATACCTATGGAGGTCTCAGAGCCTGAGATAGACAGGAAATTGGAAGACTAAGGAAGAATGGCGTACAACCATGGGGAGGAAGATGGCGATGACATCGTTGAGATACATGTGGGAGAGGCCACCCAGATATCCACCTCCATGTCTCCTGCATGCCAGGTATGTCACGACCTGATGCAGATGTTTGCGGCCAGCAGAGAAAGACCACCTGCCACAACTGAAATCGTTCTTGGGTCTTTCGAAGAAGCGATATCCACCAAGTGCCAACGGCACAAGCCACTAGTTGAGCGATTTGTGGAATACTGTCAACGGCCAGGACATTGGAGAACGCAGTCGGACGACTTGGGAATGCTGTTCACAGGTGAACAGCCTGAAATAGCCGCGTCAGTGTCTAAACTGGGCTCTGTTTTGAGTCTTGTGCTCGCAAATAAGTCGCCTTTAAGTACCGACCCCATCCGAAAAGGGCGCATAGTCGACCCTATGTACATGGACCTCGACATGCTCAAACACTGGAAGGACGAGTGCTTGACGTCACACGGCAAGAGGTGTCAGAACCCAATGAAGATCTGGCGTACTCATCCTGCTTGGCTTGTGGACGTCAAAAAAATGTGCGTCGTGCCCGGCGACAACTCGACTGTTGGCTCATCTTCCTTTGTGGCGCTAAGCTACCGTTGGGGATCAAAGCCCAGTGTTGGTGTCGTCCCCGAGTCTATGCTAGACCTGCAGCGGCCTGGTATACTTGATGACGACCAAGCCAGCGGCTGGGTATCCCAACTGATGCCGCCCATGGTTCGACATGCCATGTACCTCACGTCTGTCCTTGGTGAGCGCTATCTATGGGTCGACTCCCTCTGCATCGTCCACGGCGGTAGCACCACTGCCGAGCAGCTTAGTCTTATGAGTGCCTTCTACGCCAGCGCAACGGTGGTCATCATCGCCACGGATGGTGACGCGCAGGACGGCATTGCGGGACTCAAGGGCATCCCCAAATCACTTCCTCGAGATGCTCAGCAGTGGCTCATTCCATTTGGCGATGATGAAACCATCGTCGCACGAAGCAGCTCCCCGTTCACACTCATCCAGGGCGGACCATACTACGCACGTGGATGGACTTTCCAGGAATACAAGATGGCAAGCCGCAAGATTTTCCTCAAAGACGGTCTGGCACACTGGGAGTGTCAGCGTAGCCTGTGGCACGAAGATCTTGTCCAAGGAGTGGAGCTGAAAAAGTATATCGAGCCGCGGCTCCGCGAGATCTTGGCTGGATTCCCCGGGCTCGATGGTCTGGCCAACTTGATCGGAAATTACAACAATCTGAAGCTCCGTTACGAAGAGGATGCGCTGCCTGGGATTACGGGCCTTCTATCGGTACTAAGCAGGTCGTTTACCGGTGGCTTCTTGTATGGCATTCCGGAGACCTTTTTCGATCGGGCCCTTGGATGGCGGCCAGTTTGGCCCCACACAAACCTCACACGACGCAAAACCTCAGATCGGCCAAGTCACCTGAAATTTGGAGCGGATTTGCCCTCCTGGTCATGGGTCGGGTGGCAAGGTCTCGTCACTTTAGGTGAAGAAGCTGTCCGGGTCAATCACCGGATGTCAGCTATTAGCGAGACGTTCCCGATCACGCTGTGGTCCACTGGAGACTCCCCCACGACTCCTCCGCATGCCCGTCGTCCAATACGGTCGGGTTGGTACGAACAGAGAAGCGGCTGGAAGAAAAGCGCTGCGGATCTCGCCTCGCCGCTGCCAAGAGGCTGGACCCGGCACGAGGTTAAGATGGGAACTACCTCGACGTTTAGGGATGAACCTCTTCTATGGCCAGAAGGGTGCGGAGGATATGTGTACAAGCACGAAAACCTGCCTGATGACGACTACGGTCCCACGGACACGTTCTTCTACCCCTTCCCAGTCCCGGAAATTACAGAGACAACTCCGCCTGACATGCCTGAGCAGACGGCGTATCTGTTCTGTACGACTCAGCGAGCCCGTCTCTGGACACGTGGAGACAAAAATGTCGATCATAGGTTTTTCGATGCTGATTCAAGTCTTTCCATAAGTATGCATAACGCGACTGGTGACGCGGCCGGCAAGCTCCAGCTGCACGATCACGATCAGCTGAAGCGACTTGTAGACGCATCCGCGGGCACTGATCTGGGAGCACAGGTCGAAATTGTGGCGATCAATCGTGTGTGGACGTGTGGAAATAGTTTTAACGAGAAAGAGGAGAGACGTTGTCTCCCTCAGTGGACCCTAGACGAATACACTGTCTTGTGGATAGAGTGGGAAGGAGGTGTCGCCTATCGCAGCGCCGTAGGCTGGATCGAGAGGTCCAAATGGGAGCAACTTGATCTCGAGGAGGTGGATTTAGTTATGGGGTAATATCTGGACGCCTTAAGAGAATAGAGGTTGTGACTCATGACGTGAAACGAAGAATTATAACATTACAGACGGCTCAGCTATACCTCTGTACGACCCTTGAATTTCTGCTTGATATCGTATGTACGACTTATACAAGGTAGCACAATGCGACTCACAATGGACCGAGATTTAGTGCATCTAATTAAGATTAAGAGAGCATAAATTAAAGTCAAAAGCAGTCCCTGTGCAGCGGCCTCGAAAAGCTCGCCTCGAAGAAACAACACATAAAGAATGAGAAGTAATACCCCAAATACTAGTATTGCCGGATTGAACACTCCCTGTGTGGTCGAGGCCTGCGAGAACCATTTGCAGCTCCTCAGTAATGGGAAGTCAGTGGGTTGCTCGCCTTGGGAGAAAATCCTTGGAATAAGCATGGCAGACTGTAGAAAGGCCATACCACTCGGATATGAACTTAAATAGCATTACTCAGCTCGGCGCTGCTTTCTTTGTTGCTACAACGCGCATCTACTCACTCGAATTCTTTTAGCTTAACCATCTATGGGTCAGCCATATCTTGCCCAACCTTGCCTTTTTATTCTCTCTATTGATATGTTGGTCATGTAAACCAGTACACATGATCTCATCAGGGCCCCAAGTGTGGGAGATGATGGCATAGCGGGCAGGAGAGCGCTTTTCAGTTTGAAGGTTATTGTCAGGTCACACAAGGTGGGGCAGAAGGAGCTCGAGGATATCGTCACAAATGTTATGAATTGTAGCTAAGTAGTAAGCGGTCGCTTAACGCTGCAGTTGAGTGGTCGGCTTAGATTAGTGCGCACTGTGGTGTCGCTGTTATGAAGTGGCATACAAGCATGGGAACAAAAGGAATTCTAGCTTCCCAGTGGCCTATTTAAAATATACTACTTGGATCCTAAAGGAGCCTCAGCTTGCTGTAGGTTAAGCCCGAGCGTGCAGCAGTGCCATCATGAGGTGAGCCTGAGCTTGAGAGATACGCTTTCCTGGTTTGTGGTTTAGTGGAGCCGCGTGCACCATGAGGCTCCGGAGCCACGCTTGGAATCTTGCAGCCTGTTGCGAAGACAAAGCTGACCACCATGTGCACGCAAGGAACTCTGTGGCGATTCAACTTTTGCACTTGGGTTGATGATATTGCATGTCATTCGTATGGGGTGGCAGCAGGCTGTGATCCGCATACTACTAAATTTAATCAAAAAGTCACTAGCAACAATTTTGTGCTACCCACCTTGCATACATGAGGCTTGCTGCCATGGAGCTAATCGCTTTCTGTAACTAAAAGGATGAGACTATGTATGACTCTGCTTCCCAATAAGTAGAGGCGCTTTACGGTCTTGGGGGCTGTCCTACTTGGCTTGGAGGTACCTTGCGTCTAATTTGCCCAGGCTTTATTGCCATGTCCTTGCCCCCCATTGGAGCTCGCCAACTGCTAGCTTGAAGGTCTTTCGATTGTATTTACCTTGAGAGCTTTACAGGCTATGTTTGGACATGAATAATAATACGAAATATGTACTAGCGCAATCAACGGGACGTGTGGGAGAAAAGAAGCGTCTGCCGCGTCTATATTCGCTTCGCATTTCCACCACTTTTCTTGCATTCCCCTGCAGCTGACTGCCAAGGACATTTATACGCTCGTGTGTCCCACCTTTGGAGAGCCTTAGAATCTGTTTTCAATTATTGAATTATCGTTTCATTCACTAAAGATGTACCATTGGTCTTGGCCTGCCGAAATCCTAAACGGCCCTGCTGCTGTCTCGCCAGATGGCACTTACAACTTTGACCTGCCCCCGCCCCACAATACAGCGGGTTACGCTTTCGTCGCCGTCTGCGTTACGCTCACGACAGTGGGAGCCCTGCTGCGCGCATATGCGCGAGTGCGGGTCACTAAAAAGGTGCATCTCGAAGATTGTGCGTAATAAACCGCTTTTGTCGTCCTATATCGCAATACTGATCTAGCAACATTGAGTTCAGACCTAGCGCTCTTTGCCATCGTAAGTTGCAAGGCCTGATTCCACACCACCAGTCTCTAAAGCTTACAAATACGCAGATACCTTACTTTACCTTCGTATGGGCTATCATAAAGTACATTCAGGATGGTGGCCTTTTTGTTCACCAGTGGAACATTAGAGCTGGGAACATGCTTGATCTTGCTGTGGTACGTTTGGTCACGTTCTTCCGGACACTTTCTCTTCCTAACGTGTTGCTACACAGTATTTATTTGCGATCACCCTCGTCGACCCAGTCTACGTAATGCCCGCTAAAGCTGCCATCTTGTGGGAATGGAAACGCATCTTCGTGCCACGCGGTACTCGCAACAGATTCTACTGGATGGCCTGGTTTCTTCTGCTACTAAATACCTTCTTCTACTTCATCGTCAGCTTTCTGGTTATTTTTGCCTACAAACCAGTTGAAAAGACTTGGAACATCTTGCTTCCCGGTCACGCCATTGTCAACCGGAAAGACATCGACGTTGTGGGGGCAGCATTTAATCTCGTCATGGATCTCTCGATGTTCATAATTCCACAGCCTGTCATCTGGTCCCTACAAATGACAAAGTCACGCAAGATTGGCCTCTCCTGCATGTTCTCCCTCGGTCTATTGTTCGTATCTTTGCCCTGCCTGTCTAGCTAAAACATCAAACATACTAACAAAGTACGCTTGTCAGGTCAATGGCCTGCGCAGGCGGCCGTCTCTACGCAACTATCCACACTGAGTACCCTTATCCAGAGGTCAAAGACACCTCATACACGGTCTCGCATCTCTTGTTGTGGTTTCTCGCTGAAATAACGTCCATCAACCTCGTCATGTTCGCGCCGTCCGTGCCGCGCGCCTTTGCCGATAACACATTTCTCGGCCGGCTCCTGGCCTCGTTGCGGTCCTGGACGAGTGTGCTATCATCCAAGAGCCGTACCGCCGTCTCCAAGACATGGCCGCCTACAATTGGGAACGCTCCCAGCAGCCGCGTGCACCGTCTTGCGGACGAGGACGGTCAGGCCATGGGTCTGGCCGACATGCGGCTCATGAAGGCGGCGCAAAACGGCTACGTAGATACTATGAGCACTGACTTTTCACACGCGACCACCATCACGAGAACAATTGAGGTTGAACTAGAGGAGGATAACCGATCCAAGATATCATCGGATCCGACCCAACAGCGTCAGCACCCGTGGATGGACGTGTGATTCACGATGTACTTCAAATTTCTGGGCATCAATCAACGCATACTCATGCCAATAGCAAAGAACGAGGCAAGACTGAAGATGTAATTTGTTTTAGAATACTTGTGGGCTCTTGGCAATTGCCTCAGAAACATCGCAGATGAGACAGCTTGCTCACGCAAAGATACACGCAATCGTAGTGCAATTGAAAGGAAATAATTCATCCAATAAATTTCAGCTCCTCTTCGTAGCATACCGCTCAGGTTATATGGCTCTCCAAACGCTATTGTAGACATTGTTCGACATCAGAGTAGGTGCGATATATAGGGGCTGCGACCACAGTGACATTGATCACTTATTAATTTCTGCCCAGATGCTTTGAACAAGATATTGACTTGTCTGGTTAGTCTCTGGGTGGGCTATGACTTTATCACCATCAGTCCCGGAATTGTGGTGGCTCAACATCTTGGGAATGTCCAGGTGAGGCTCGAACAATATTCGGGATTCAATGTTGTCATTAATCGAAACCTAGCCAGATGTATCCATATCTCCAGAGTTTACATCAGCTACGTTACTATGCTGGGCTCTCCAGCTGACTGCAGTACTTCCAAACATTCTTCAAAACGAGAAGGTAGACTTCTGACCAATTCAGCTAACGGACGTCGCCCACAAGTGAAACTCTCGCATAATGTGTGCCAAGGGCAGGATCAACGGCCCATGACTGAGAGACGCAGGTGATATTGCTTACGCTGACCATCCTTTTTCACGTTCACAGGCAGGATCCGCATTCCTCCAACTCCGCATTCCTTGGCTGTGTTACACGAGAGTGCTTGGAGGTAGATGCTGTGGACGATCAGCCTGTTAGCCCATCCTTGAGTCTTCTTTCTTTTCAGAGACATACTATCACGTCGTCAACTAGCGTTGGCTGCCAAAGACCTGTCACCTTTTTGGTTTTTGTATGGGCTTACGGTTTCACTTTCACTGCCTGCTTTGCCTGAGTCTCGCCCATGCCCAGACTTGTCTCGATCCTGATGCCAAGACCAGTATTCCAGAAAGAGTGGGGTCGACTGCAAAGGAGGCTGCAAAGCCTTGAGGCTGTGTCACACGGAGGCCGTGTACTGACTTCGGCCCCATACCCTCATCACCCCGCTTCCTATTGCATATTTCCATTCTGCTCGTGCAATACCACGTGTAACATCATAGCTTCCATCCAGCGTGAATTACCTCGTTATCAATCTACATCTTCATTCGATTGTGTCTTACAATCCTCTCGTGTCCTACTGAGTGAGACCTCGGACTTATATGCCCTGGAGACAATCCTACCACTGTTTGTTTCAGATTTTACATTCAGGCTGCGCATCGTAGGAACACATTTCCAGGGATACTGTCTCGAGGCTGCATGACCCTTGCACAGTGTAAAGTGGACGCAGCCTAATGCAGAAAACAATGTCTTGCTTGTCCGACAGGCTTACTAACGTGTGCCTGCAGCTGCTCCTCCACATCATGCCTACTTTTCTGAATTTCAAGACTTCGTGGTTGTGCGTTCTTCGCAGGAAATTTGCCTGGCAGACTTGCCCCTGATTCCGAGGTTTGAAATTTTGAACATTCACCTAGGGAACTCAACTGGGGTAGGACGAATACCAGCATACATAAATAAACGACCCACGCGACACAGAAACAGGAAGTCTCGCCTAAAAGATGGCAACCATCACCGAGCACGAGGTCTCCTACTCAGATGGCGAAAAGAAAATACACTACCTTGCCGCCGGCCCATCTGCCGGCCCCCTTATCATCTTCCTTCACGGCTGGCCAGCCATCGCTCTGACGTGGAAGCACCAGTTGCAGGCCTTTGCCTCTCTTGGATTTTACGTGATTGCACCCGACATGCCTGGCTGGGGTAGATCCACTGCCCGCCACGTCACTACTGACTACACCCAAGAGGCCCTCGTCGAGGGGATGCTGGCCCTGCTTTCCGCTACCGGGCGCTCTGCTGCTGTCTGGGTAGCACACGACTGGGGCTCCGGCGTGGCATCCTCACTAGCGGCGCACCATCCCACGGTGATCCGGGCGCTCGTGCTTCTCAGTGTGCCATATAAGTCGATCGAGCTGGGTCTGGACCATCTGGTCTCCTTCGTCGACCGTACAATTTACCCAAAAGATGACTATCCCTACGGGCAGTGGGACTACATGGCCAGCTATGAGGAGGATTTTGAAAAGTGCATCGCCGAGTTTGAGGCCAATGTGCCTGGTCTTTGCAAGCTGGCCTACTCGCGCCCACCGCCTGAAGGATACTCCGCTGCAGACGCCTTCAAGCCAACCTTCACTGCCAGCACTCGTAAGAATGGTGGGTTATTTGGTGGACACCCTGCGCCCCCGGCCGAGACGCTCCCAGCGCCGCTGCTAGAGGGTGAGGTGTTTGATACCTTTGTGCAGGCTACCCAGGAGACAGGCCTATGGGCGGCATCAGCATATTACATTAATCACAAGGCCAATGCGGATTACAACAATCGAGCCCCAAACGGTGGCAGGCTAGGCAAAGACAAGCCGGTCCTATTCGTACACGCCAGATTCGACTTTGTATGTGCCACGCTCACGACCCGGGTGGCGGAGCCGATGCGCGAGGCGTGCGAGAATCTGACCGAGGTGGCGATCGGGGCGGGGCATAACGTGCACTTTGAAAAGCCCGAGGAGGTCAACGCTGCAGTGGCGAGGTTCCTCATAGAGGAGACTAAGGACTTCTGGCCTGGATATTCGGACTTGGACTATCGCAAGTGGAAGGCTTGAAGGAGACCAAAACAACATGACCTGTCCCTTCTCAGTGTATATGTACTAGAGCACGGGTCGTTCATCAAACTCATCACTCACTCGCTTGCAGAATGGGACCGTCGACCACCAAGCACTCTCTTTTTCCAGTGTTGTTCTAATTCTGTGCTTGGTGTCTGTCAATCTCGCTGCCGTTGTTTACCCTATCCTAGTAGTGTCCCGTTGGGGGACAGCTGGAGACAGCTGGAGACAGCGTTGTGACGCTAGCATATAATCAGACGAGACCATGATGGGAATCCTACATATTGACATGGCTATCTTAATGTATATGGACAAGATCTATAGCCTCACTTGAGCTTAAAGTTCAGAAGTAGTAGCTTGCTCCATCCTGAATAGACCAAGCGACTTGCTCGCGCGGTCACAAAATCCATTTTATGAACGAATCATTGTCGTAATCGGACCTTGCGTCATCCTTCCAAGGCACTCAATTAAATGTCTTGAAGTGTGCAGTAAGCCAAACAAAGCCCATACTACCTACCTGATTTTGCATTGCGCAACTTTAATATATCCACTTAAACCGTTATAGCTAGCGCTGCTTTACACAGTAGTATAGAGTGCGTGTTGCTTTCTTACAAGGATGAACCTTGCACTAATCTCGCTTACAGTTTAAATTCAACTCTACTACACCGCATCTAAGTGGAATACCGCAGCTCTCACGAGTCAGTATCGCATTCGCCCGCGATAATAATCAATGGAAAGATACCGAACGTTGATCCGTAGCGGGCTCAGCCGCTCATCTGGCAACAGCAGCACTATGCAAACAGAGAACTTGAACTTGAGCCCATGTTCTCTCAAAGGATATGAGTGCGGCAGACTTGGCGTGAAAATCTGTCTGCTTGTATTCGTCGTTCCCGCTGATTATGCCAGCGACAACGGCGCACCTCCAGCCCGACGAACAGCGCCAGATTGCTTCGGCGCGTGGGGCCATCTTGGGGGTCTATTTGTTGGCCCTGCTGGTGTGCTTATCTCGAGTGAGTACGCTTCTGTCTGGATGAGTACACTCCATGCTATGTTTATCCCACAGCATCCCCATCCTCTGTTAAGCATAGTCTAATCGTCACCTGTCTTCAAGCTTTATGTACGCAAATACATCCTGAACGCATTTCAGATCGACGACTGGGCTTGCCTCGCTGGTCTCGCGTCGACAACTGGGTTTGCGGCGCTCTCCTTAGTTGTCATAGAGTTTGGTGCCGGCAGACACTTGGCAAATATCGCTTATGACGACGCGAGAATCTTCTACCTTGTGAGTTTGTCCATAACTCAGAATTTTCGACACGGCTGAGATGGGTGGTTGTGCTATCATAACACAACCTCTGCTGTGCTTTTGCTGATACCCATTAGTTTTACTACTCTATGACGGTGTCCTTCGTCTTCTTTGCCCTGCCCATAAAAGCAAGTCTGTTGTTGTATATACGGCGCGTAGTTCCTGTCCGTAGGTCTATTCTCATTGATGACTGACTTAGATCCATGGACTGATGTGTGCAGCATACGTCATGGTATACTCACTCGGAATATGTGTGTTTCTTGTCATCTTTACTTTAAGCAGTTGTATCGTGGACTCTTTTTTCTGCAACCCGCCACGGTATGTCTACGATATTGAGTGGGTCTCGCGCCCCGATCGCGCCGAGCATTGCTTCTCCGATGACATTTCGTACGGAATACTGGTGTACCAAGGTTCATTATCATTTGTTACCGACTTGGCTATTTTCACGCTTCCAATCCCGGCCCTGTACCGCATGACGGTGACGAGGGGGAAATGGCTCGCGCTGGCCACTATCTTTGCGAGCGGTAAGAAGCTGTCGCCATCGAATATCCGGGATGTAGGCTGACTTCGTGGGATGAGCTCAGCCGCCGTCGCGAGCATCACTCCAATTATCAGGCTTCAAAACGCCAAGTTCCAAAGAGACACTGGAGTTACAGATCTAACATGTGAGTGTTTCGCCTTTTCCTAAAATGAGTACGAGCGGACAATAACACATACGCACAGTTTATTCCCTGCCGCTGCTGTACTGGACCAACGTCGAGTACAGTATGGGCATGGTCGCGGGATCAATGGGTTCGATGCGGCCCCTTCTCCTCAAACTTGTGCACCATATTAACTCCCTTCGTCAAATACCTATTGCCATCAGTAGCGGCGAGGAAGGGAGCGGGGGTCCGAACATAAATTTCCAATGGCGGGTTCGTGGGGCTGCAAGTCGCGTCCAGGGCGATAGCGTCCTACAAACAGGGATCCCGGGAGAGGATCCTGAGAGTTGTAGAGGTCGACCATCGAGAGAAGTAGCGGCTGAGAAACAGTAGTACGTTCTTATAGCTAAGAAAATCCATGAGTCATTTGTGTGGTCCGTACTCAGACTCCATCTGTTGTGATGTTGCTCAACGCTGTCTGATCGTCAGAGCTGGGATACCCCGACATACAACACCACCTGCAACGTATAGGTATAAAGAATCTCTGATCTCTCTGACCTCTCTGGCCTCTCTTGCCTTTCTGGTTCCTCTGTTAGTTGTTGCCACTTGCGACTCGTAAATCCACCACAGGTTCGACACCACGCGGTGCTGCCTCTCTTGCAGAAGCCTTCTTGACTTTATGCTTCTCGGCTCGTCAAAGTTTGATGGCGGCATTGCTTTCCGTGCATGCAGGCATTGTATACTTATCTGGCCTTATCCCTGCACACAGATTCTACGCCGGCATGAGTCGTCTACCGCGGCGAATACAAGAACCACGTAGAGGAATTCGACCCGTGAGCAAAGCCTTCATCCCCGCCTTCCCGCCAGACTTCTACTACCACCAACAGACCATTTTCCGCGCCTTCTGTAGTGAGCACAAGAATTTCTTCTGGAAAGCGACACAATATGCTTCGTCAAGGGGAATTTTGTGAACATTATCACATTGTTGGGGATCAATAGAGCGATATTTGAGGACATTCCACACCAAAGTTGATGCTTCACATACACAAAGCCGCTTGAATTATATTAATTAAAGTATGAAAGCATTGCTCGTGTGGGAGACTAGGCCTGCAAGAACTGCCCGTCCCTAGCAGCTTTGACCCTCACACATTGTCCATTGACTCTAAGATATCGATCGAAGGCATCCCCGCCGATGACGAATGGATGATCTGTACCGACCGGCCGGTGCTCAAGGAGGTCAAAATGGTAGAGAGCACGGTCTTGGTTTTGATGGTTGGCGATGAGCGTGTCAACACCAGCCCCCATTGCCAGGTCGGCGAACCGATTCAATGAGACAATCTGTTGGTCCTTAGCTGATGCGTCGCTCGGGATTCCGACGCCACCGTAGAAGCCAGCTGTGTGCTCGACGCCTTCGTCATATACATTAAAGATGGAAGAAACTGTGCCGGGAGTGTGGCCTGGGGTGACGTAGAAGTTAAATGTGACGTTTCCGAACGTCAAGACGTCTCCCTCTTCAATGACCTTGTCCTGAATGGGACCGTCCTCCACCTGGACCAGGGTCTCCCAAGCTGCGGCCGAGGCGTACGTAGCAGGATGAAAGTTGTCCTGTAGCCAGCGCGCTCCGCCATAGTGATCGAAATGCTCGTGGGTGATGATGAGGTGTTTTATATCGCTACCGCTGAAGCCAAGTGTCTCCAAAGCTGGAATAATAATGCCCTCAGCCTCCGCGGCATTGTTCAGCGCGTCGAAAACAACGAGACCATCGCCGGTATCGTATGCCCATGCAGAGACAGCACTCTGGCCAATGAAGTAAAAACGTTCAAAGACTTCGCGAGGGGTGATGAACCCCGAAAGTTGTGTCGCGGAAGAGAGCTCTGGATAGACCTGTCCTAGAATACAGCGGTGTGCGAAATATGCGTAAAGATCGAAGCCTGCAAGTGTGCGTGCCTCGTTGAGCCACTTCGTGACGTTTTCTCTCTGTTCATTTGGAAAGGCAGTGATGTTGAAGAAATCCTGAAACTGGGCTTGAGCAATACCAGCCACGGCTGCAAACAAGCTACACAGCTTCACTGCGTTGGTCTTCATGCTGTCCAGATGGCACGAGAGTCGATGGCATTGACCGCTCGCTGGCAGGTCTAAGAATTTGTGGGCATCTTCCACTCCATTTATATTATATCTGCTTTAGTACATCGGCTCCAAGTTTGCCAACAACATCTAGAGACCCCATCGTGAGCGGGGTCCTTCCAGGTCTGCCAAGACTGACCAAATGGAGATCTTCTCTGAAGGGACGTGAGGTTACGTATGAGCCCCTACTCACGAGGCAAGTAGTATTCACCTCGGCATACCCGGCGGTATGGTGCGATGAAGGATAAAAATCCGACGCCTCGGAAAAGCAAGCATGTGCGCAAGAATTGAGGGGGATATAGAACCGGCATTGCAGAGCGGGAAAGGTTGAGCAACGACAAGTAGTTGTCAGTTCGGATGAAGTTCGGGTGAAGATCCCCACTGCGGTTCCCCGTGGGGTTCTCTGTGGGGTACATAAACAATAGTTTTATGCATAAGTCTAGCCCTGTTACCAATATCATTACCCTGCAAATAGACCCTGAGTTGGCAAGGCCAGCTCGACGAGCGAAACTGATAAACAGTAGTTGACTTCAGAAGTTGTCATGAATAAGTAATGTTGGGAACCAACCCCGTAGGTCGTATTGATGTGTGGTGGAGATCCCCCACCTGAATAGCTACTTAACTGACTTATTGAAAACACTCCGCCCAACGTTTCTCAGCTCAATAGTATACAGCTGTATGCTCCACTCTCTGCTTCTTGGATAACCATAATCCGCAAGCGTTCAGGCTGCGCCAATTCTGAACACCCGCCACTCGAGACACATTGCACAATCAACCCACGAAAGGCCTCACACACGCTTGGATCTTTCTTTTGCCAGCTACTGGTCGTGTTTCAATCCGTCATCTATAATGAATCCAGGCTTTGGCCTACGGTGTCCTCGAATCAGGAACACCTATGTCAAACATTCCAAGACCACGCAGGCCAGGCGGGCCGCTCTCACGACATCAGCGCCACACAGCGTCTCGCCTCGGCGCGATTGTCAGTTCAAAAACTCGGTCGAAATTCTCTCTGTAGTCACAGCTTGAGCAAAATTTAACAGATACAGATCATATAGGTGCATCAAATTACACTAAATTTGTGAACTCACATACAGCAGCCTTGACGAGCCCAGATAAACGCTTTCTCTGTTTGATTGACTGTTGTGCAATGCTCTTTTCCCTCGATAGATTATCTCCTTCATTGCAGAAATTCCGCCACTTTATTTTCACACCAGTCATAGAACTCACTAGCCCGCCCTGTTCCTCCCTCATCTCCTCGACGCAATGCCGCAACGAGATCTCCTCGCTGCCCAGGGTGCCACCTACCATCGCACATTGCATAGCGTCCCGCAGCAGCATCCTCAAGAGTGACCTCATCGGAGAAGCCCATCCATAACCACGTATCAGCCCCATGCGGTGATGGGTTTCGGAGCACGGGTCGGACGAGGAAATAAATCCAATTCGGCACATGAACCCACATGCCCGTCACATAGTTGCCTGGATTGCCCGCCACGTGCAAAATGCCACCGGAATTAGGCTGACGGCGCGCAAACTCGGATGCAAGAAAATAGCACGCCGCCTTGGACGAACTGTAGAGCTCGCTTGGGCCCATGCTCAAGTCCTTGGCAGGCCCTGAATGCTCCAGGAATTCCTTACGTACGCCATCCTTGGGGCTGCCGGTCTCAACGAGCAGAGATCCAGGCCACGTTACCCTCACACTACCTGGCGGTGAATTCTTCGCAGTACTGGAGAGAATGGGTGAGAGGAGCCGGGTCAGAAGGAAAGACCCGAGTACGTTCGTTGTAAAGTGGTACTCATGGCCCTGTTTTCCAGGAGGGGCATCCTTCCGAGCTCCTGTGCCTGCATTGTTGAATCTGTCACAAATTCAGTATTCCGGCTCACTTCGAAAAACAGTATGCAGACAACGAGAAAGGTTGGCCTACAGAATGTCCAATCGTCCGTTCGGGCCCTCCCGATTAAGAAATTCTTGGGCGGCTGCCTTGACAGTCTCAAAGTCCATTAAGTCCATGAGGATGAACTCCAGACTTCCCCTTTGTTTTCCAGCGTCCTCGGCGTCGTAGTGTGCTCTAATCTTAGAAATGGCGCTCTCCGTCCGCTCTCTAGAGCGAGTGAGGACGTAGACCTTCCCACCAGCGCCGTAGAGCTGGCGCGAGAGCTCGTAGCCTAGGCCATTCGATCCGCCTGTCACGATGAAGACCTTCCCAGCTTGGTTTGGCAGGTTGGCCTCGGTAAGGGGTCCCGTTGGCGGGAAGTATTGCGTCCAAATCGTAGAGAAAGATACAGACATTTTCATGCAAAGAATACTTAGGGTACAAGGAAGTTAAGGAACGACGTCGTGAGAACAAGATTCAAATTTCTGTTCTTGTCCACATGAGAGAAGATAAGAAGCCAGCAGGCAAAGCCGGCCTGCCTACCCAAATATCTCGACTATTGGCAAGAATCCTGGGAAGGATCTCGTCCATCCTTCACGTCAGCAACTAGCGCCAATAGGTTTATGCGCCCTCTAGAATCGAAGTCGTGATTGCACCCCGGCCTTAGACTTGATGCTAGCTTTGGTGTCAAAGTCCTTGTTAGTTTTATTGCGGGCCCTGTAAGCAGGCTAATCGCTAGCTCCCAGGAGACTGGCACTGATTCTTGGATGTCTCATCTCACAGGCCTTCTCTATTTTAATTAGGGCGAGATGAAAGCATCAAGGCCATTTGTGTATATAAAATAAGGGCTTTCCTGGAGTTTCGAATATGTTAAAGATGTTACAAGTCATATCTACAGAGGAATTATCAAGGACTCGCGCCAGGGTAGCCGCTTGTCACATTAAAGCTCAAGTTGCACGCTGCTTCGAAGCGTTCATCTCAAACGCGGTACTGGGAGAGGGATCACTAAGAATGTAACAACTTCTTGAGGAGGGGCTATCCGCCATCCGAAAGCGAAATAGCATGTTAGCCGTGTTTGACACTGGCATGCAGTGGAACGTTGAAGGGAGATAATTAGCGGCCTCATAGTTGTGGTTCCCCCAGTTGCGAGGTTGAACAACACAAGGATCTCTACCCAGGTTTCTGCTGAGACTGCTATCGTGGACTCATACTGCTGTCCATAAATGACATAAAATGGCTCACTAGATTCCGTCATAGGTGTTTCTATTGAATTCAGAAGCCTCTATCTAAAGCTTCGATTCATGTAAACATCTTTTCCCACACGAATGACTCACCCCTCGATGATATCTCTTTGCTCACCACCACCCGTGTTGTCAGTGTGCGGTGGGGTATTGTCCGCGGCGGTATCAAACATTGACCAGTCGAACTCCGTCGGAACTTCCATGTCCCCCCACGATATGTTTCCGTTGTATTCGCCACTTCCCGGGGGAAACTGAGACCAGTGGCCTGCTGTCGATGGGCGATTTGAGTCATTAAATGTGAAGTCAACTCCGAAAGAATGATCAGTTCTGTAGATGCTACTAGTGTGCACGCCATTTCCGACGGGGACTTCGTTACTCTGGCTCATCGTTGGAGTTGGCATCCTGAGTTGCTCGTGGATGACAGTGCTTCGAATAGAAGGAAGTGGTCCTGGTATGTCTTGTTGGGCATAGTTGATAACGTCATTGTATTGACCTGAAGACAAGATTGACCTTTCGCGTCTGCCATGCATGCCAGTGCTCTCAAGGCTTGGACCTGGAGGGTGAATTTCGAGATGAGGTTCGGTGGTACCGGCAGTGAGAATGGAAGCATCATCCCCAGAGTTCGAAGATAGTTGATTGAATTGCAGGTTCGAGCCCATCTCGATAGCACTATCAGCACGATTGGATGAGGATGACGTCTGGCCCCCAGGGCTTTGGTAATTCGAGGCCGATCTGGCTGCCCGCATCGTTTCCTGTGCTGCTGAAAAGTCATCCAGGAGCCGGTTTAAAGTCGCCCGAATCAAGTGTTCTTGTTCCAGCCTATCTGTATTGACCGAAACACTCGATCTCTCGGCTTCTTCTGCGATAGAAGCTAGTATGTGTGGCCATTGGTTGAGGATGATTTCTTGAAGCTGCACGGCATCCTCTGACAAGCTGTCGTTGACGTACGGTGACGATGGCCTAGGCTGATCTGGAAATACAATATCCCAGATGGCAAACCACTGGTCCTCTGTGGACTGACTTGGGTTCGACTTCTTGTGTAGAGCCGCAGCCATATTGTTGTCAATTCCTACAGGTCTGGCGGCTGGGTTATATCTACAACCCTGACCCAATGGGTCACGGAGATGCCCCTCTTTGTGAGCCTGGCCTTCGAAGGCGGTCCAGCATCGTTGGCAGTACTCTATAGCCGGTAGCTTGTGTTTCCGGGCCAAGTGATACTTCACGTCTGAGATCCTGCTGCACTTCCTGTGGAAGCAGAGTCTGTGAACTTCAGAGTCCAGCTTCCAAAAAGGACAGGCCAACATTTTGACACGGAGTCTATTCGGCGACCGTGTCGGTCGTTTCGTGGGCCGCGGAGGTTTGCGAAACCCCCCTTCGTCCCAGTCTTCATCCTCATCGTCGGGTCGGGCTCGCTTGCCAGTGCGGCGCACTTCCATGCCATGGGATTGCGATGTTGTACATGGTGTTGATGAGTCGCCTGTTTTATGTGCTGCCCCGCTGTTTCCTGTGTGCTCAGATTGAGGGTTTGATCTGAACCCTTCGGACTTCTTGTAATGAGAGAAAATGCGAAGGGAGATGTCATCAATGATCAGTTTGAGAGGATTTCCTGGGTCTATGATTGGAAGACAGTCTGTTTCTTCGGATGATATTGACAGCATATCTGAGTCCAGAGAATCTCCGGAAGACTCCACGACATTGTCGCTTTTCTCCGCTGGAGATAGCATCGGATCGGGATCTTCTCGCATGTCAATGTCTTGGATCTCAGATTTTGCACAATCCTGGCCTATTCTTTGATCGATTGGACATCCTATGACAATATTATGTCAGTGTTTACGTGCATAAGTGAGGGTATATAACTCACCTGCAGCGGCTACAGGCACTCCAAGGCGCTCTGGGTTTGAGATTATATGTCGACTAGTCCATGCCCACATGAGTGTCTTGAATCTAATACCAGAAGATGGTTTTTCGTTTTCGTTGAAAGAAGGGCATTCGCAGAATGAACAAGATATCGCGCTCGAGTGAAGAGTATGCCACAGCAAGACGTTTTGACTTTGCTTGACCAACTCAAGCGTGTGCTGAAAGCCTTTCAACACAATTTTGTCGTTCTCGATGACGGGCGGCCAAGATGCGCCGATGAGCTCAAGCATCCAGGTCAGCCCTAGCTCAAGGCCCTGAAAGAGAGGCGGTCGTTTGGTTGTGGGAAAGCCCTGGATGATTGTTGCATCCCCAGATCTTGGGGCTTTTGGGACCCTCGCAGATGCTGTATTTCCTTGAGTATGATCAAGAGAATATTTAATCAACCATTCATTTTCATCTCGACTTTCGAGGCTGCAGGTGCAGCTGGCGATACCGGACCTGTAGGTTTGAATTACTGCGCCCAGCCAAGCCAGCTGCTCTCCACATTGAGAAATTGAGTACCGGGGACCAGAGACTGTGATCAGCAAATCGGTTGAGTGAGAGTGTTCCAGCCTTTCGATCTGTGCTGTGATTGACGTGTTGTCGTCAAACATGCCTACTCTCGGGTCAGGCTCATTGTATGTCTTGATACGTACTTGCCTTCGGATAGCAGGGCACATACCAGTCTCGATACTTCTGTCTGCTGCACAAAATACCATTTGTATGAGTTTGACTAAGCTCATGTCTCCTGATGACCATGTTCGCTCTAGATAACCTTGTAGTGTTGAGGCTTGAACAATGTTTGGCGCAGAGCTTGTAAACGTCACCAAGTTGTCAACAGGCCCCCGTTGAAAATGACGAAAGACGCCTGGGCGAAGTTTGACGTGGAATTTTGCGTGATGGATCTCCGGAGGTTGATGCTTGCTGATTATTCCCGGTGACATGTTTGACATGATTGAGTGGTGGAATGAGTTGGCATCGCTCAAATCATCAGAATCCCAGTCCAACGACAGCTGCTTTTTCAGATTTCCGATGAACCATTGATACGCCGTACTGCTCAAGACATATTCTCGGTGTGCAGCCATCTTGGTATCGCTAAAGATGTCCACTTCTTCTTCATCGCGGACTCCTTCAAATAAGCCGTCCTGCTCATGTTTGAGAGGAGACTCTTCCCTTGCTTTTCGACTCCACAATCTCATTTTATCTAGCACTGCCATTCCGTCGTCATCTGGCCTATTGTGGCTCACCTCTGGGCTTTCTTCCCGATTTTGAGAAATGCCTCCGAGTTGTGCCACAATATCCCTTACAAAAATTAGTTTAATTCATACATCTCCGTGTAAGCCTAATAGACTTACTTGTGGTGTACATGGAGGAACTGCATGATATAGGGACCTGACGGATTCGATCTGTCGAGGCCAATTCGGATGGCGAGTGCTTTGACGAGGTCCGGGAGACATTTGGGCATTTTTAAACGAGCTTGACCCGATAATTGCTCCTGCAAGTCATTCTTCAACTTCAGGTAGATATCATTGCAGAGATCACTGATGTATTCTGAGCCGTGAGGCAGTTCCAGAGATGTATACACAGATTTTTGATCCACTGCCAGTTTGTTTTGTTCTCCTGGCGACATCATGGTGTCATGTTCATTCAGGTCCTCGTGGGGCTTTAGATCCTGATCAGGCCTAGGTGCACAAGCAGACATGTAGCCGGAATCTGCAACAGTGCCCTCCTGGAATGGTGCGCAGTTTTGCTGCTCGCGATATCCGGTTCCATGTGGGGCGATTTCCTTCGCTGTCGAATCCTCTTTACGGTTTATGTATCCCTCAACGGCCTCCCCCCAAGCTATGTCGTGATGCCAAGGTTGACAAAGCACTCTTCTACGGCGGCATTCGAGACATGAACCAAGTTTTCTCATGATAGCGCCTTTCATCCGTTTCTCTTGATTCAGAGGTCGTGAGCGCCCAATATGCCGTTGCTTGCCGTAGCTCGCATTTTCCACATCCCTTTCAAAAATGGTGGCGCCATGAGTAGGCATAGCAATTGGCCACGAGACGATGTCAGGTGGGTCTGTAGCCTTCTCATCGAAGGTCAGGGTGTTATTTGTGGCGCTCTCGGCGCTCGTCAATGTCGACGACACAAAGTGAGCGTCCTGCCACAACATCTCGTGCCCTGGATAGGTTTTGTGGGCTCCATGGCTCAAATCTTTCGGCTCAATGGTGTCAGAATGGCTCTCATGATTGTGGATGCCGGTTCTTTTGCCAATTTCAATGTTTTTTGGACTCGTGAACGGCTTTTTTGCGGAAATCGCAGATACATGTCTCGTCGCGCCCATATCTTGTTCGTCTGGACTTAGATCGGGCACCCGTTGATCGTCTGCCAATATCGATGTCAGTAATTGCATTCCACTTTGAAATCAGTGTCAAAAAAATTACGCACAAGATGGTGCTTTCATCACAAGCATCTCGTGCCTGGAAGCATCATCAGCTGCAGTTGTTTGACGTCCGTATGGTCCGATGTGTTGGCCTCGGTTGATAGGCTGTGTTAATTGTCCCTCGAACGGGATGGAATCTCTATCGTCTTTCTTGTCCCCTTTCCCGGAATACTCGCTGCTCCTCTTGAACACGATTTTCTCTGCCGTGACGTCAACCGGGCTCTGAACTTTCTCCTGCAAAAGGTCTTGGTCAGTTACTACTCAACGTCACTAATTTGCAAGCATTTCACGACCTAACAAACCTTTTGAGCAGACGCCCAAGCCAAACTATCATTATTTGCATTCTTAAGTGGATTTCCATCATCCTCGAGCTCGTTGGCTTTCTTCGTGTGGTTTCCAAAGCCTCGTGGGCTGCTTCTACGTCAGCATTCACAACTACATACCTTACTGAAGCTCAGAGGGAACACTCACGCATTCTTGAACTTGCATACCCGTCCAAACTTCTCACACTGTACACAGCGGGGATAATCTGGATCGCACTTGATCTTCTTCTCCCTGCACGTCACACAAGCGATCGCCAGCCTCTTGCGTGGCTTGCCAGCCTTGGTGACGCCCCAGTGCGCGTTCACCGTCTCGCCATCAACAACCGTCTTGCAGTGGCTGCCATCATCATAGAAATAACACATACCCTCGCCGGGGACCTCCGCCGCGCGTACGAATCGCGGAAGAAAGTGTGTACCGGTCCAGATCTTCGGCCCCAGCTCGTCCTTATTTGGCGCCTCCTTTGTCGAGACTAGTGCTGAAGATCCTTTTGCAAGCCTCACCCGACCAGAGTTGAGAGAGTCTGAGTCTCTGGTATCACCAGTGAGCGGCTGGTCCTCTGGGGCTATTGGCGACGCAGGGGGATTGTAATACATATTTTTGCTGCTGCTATTCCCAACTTCTTCGCCCGCCCTGCTCTCTAGTTTCATGAATCTGTCTTTGATTTTCTTTCCTGTGATGGGCGTGAGCTTCAAGAAATTGGAGGTAGTAGGATAATTGCGTACGGTAATTGCGTTGGGTGATTCTGTTCAGTATTCGGCTACGCTCGGCAAGATCTGATATCTTGGTCCAATCCTCATCAGGGTGTACTGAGGTTGAGAAGACACTGCCTATGCCAGTGGACATGCTGGAGCTATGAGCGACAATGTCCTTGATGGATGGTAGTGATGTAACCTCATAGCCGCTGTGAGATCCTTGGGTCCCTGCCCCTTGTGTACGTGCTGAGAGATTGGAGCCCCGGCGTGCCTGCTCGCGTTGCTTTTTGAGCTCACGTTGCTCCGCAATCATCCTTGGCGGGCTGCTCGTATTGTCCTGCTGGTATGGCTGGTGGTTGGGCGGCTGTCTCGACATTGTATGAGTGTGGTCGTGGAGAATCTGGCTGGAAGGTGTGATAGGATTTGACAGCCATTTTTGGTTGTGGTGACTCGAGGTCGGGATTGCGAGGTCGTCATTCACACTCTCCATTGACTCGTGAGTCTGTCCAGATGTCAGGGATGGCGCATGGCTCATTGAGCCAAGGTAAGTCGATGTGTCGTCACGGCCGTCTACGGACGGTTGAACATAAACCGGTATTTCTTCGTTCGGGATATGGAGAAACTGCTGGAAGAGGTCGATATCGTCACTTTGCCACTGCTCGATGAAGGTCTGAATCTCATCAGGCACGACCTGGCCTTCGATGTTGGGTAAGAGGGGCTCCATCGTGACCAAAGACAGGCCGAAGTCACTTGACCAACGCCTATAGATGACCGTCTGGGCGCCGGCGGCGGCAAGATGACTCCGAGTTGATCAGAAGTACGGGAGAGGTTGAAATAAGATGCCTGACAACCCCTCGCGAAAGACTGTAAGACTTCACTGAATACGCCTCCACCTAGTGAGAGGACCTTCGCGATATCTATCTCCTTCAGAAGTCTCGGGTCTTTCTCTGAAGCACATCAAGTCGGTACGTACGTCACTATCCAAACTCCAAGGCGTTCTTATCCACACGGCCGAGTACTTCTGGTCTTCTGCTGCGATCTGAATGATGACAGCATCCCACAGTCGCTGAGAGACTATATGTGCTAAGTTGATCACACGTCAAGTTTGCACAAGCAATTTGTTTCCTGCAGAAGCCATCAACAAAAAAAGTACGAAGTGAACTTTTTTCTCGCTAATCTTGTCTCCGGTGCGACAAAATGAAAGTCGGACGAGGGTGATGCTGGCAGACAAGCGAAAGACTGGGGAAAATCTGCTGCCTACTTCAGCAGGAGGTGGCCCAGCGTTCTGTTGATTGGGAAATAGACGGAGAGAACTGTCAGCACAGCCGTGTCTTCCACCACAATTGGTGCTGGATCATGTATGTGGCAACCCCCGGATGTTTCACCCAATCACGTCAAAAAACACAACTGTGGCCATCAAAAAGTGCGCTTTCCCCACACGCTCAGTGTTAAAGTCCCCGAAGCAGGGCAGGGCACCCATTTATTTTAGGCACTAAGCCAGTCATATCGAAAGACACAATTGAGTGATTCTGCATCGAGCGTTCTGAGTGTTTTCATCCGTACGTAGCTGCGAATCACTCTTTGCGCACACATGTGGTTTTGGCAATCCTAACCCTGTGCTTGTGCTTTTCTCAAGGACGCCACAAAAGAGTTTGTCAAATGTCGAACTATACGACGGGACGGTTGTACAGAAGTCCAGATGAATATATGAAGGCATAGTAGACTTTTACTTACAGGGCGTTGAGGAAATAGGATGTAAACACAGATATGCTACAGTTTTTCACAAGACCGTGGACAATCAAACATTACTATCATTGTATTACTATAACTGCGTCGAGCAGGCCTACTCTTCAGCGCTGAATTAAGTTTTGAAATACTTCTTGCTCTGACCGAAGGTTCTAATTTCAATATCTCCAATAAAATACACAAAATGTCAACTCTTTCAGGACCGTCCGCTACTACGACTGCCGGAGGAAATTCGTAAGTAATATTGACTGATTCTGGTCCACTGGACTTATTTCTGTTCCGAATTCACTGATATATATTTCAAATAGAACAATCGATAAGAAGCCCTGTTATACAATGACCCAGTTCCTCACCGAGGCTTGCTCTCCTACCGAGAGATTGGCTTGCTCAAAGCCCCAGGAAAACAATGGTCACAAAAGCTCTCGCAATGGAAGCACAGAAGTCATGGGGCAGTATCTCAACCAATGGCAATCGTCGTGGGATGCCATGGGGGAAGCGGCGATATCTTCTCGTTAGGACGCTCAGTATCAATGTTGGAAAGATTGAAGGACATGTACAACAGAGAGAATCTCACGGAAAACGCTTCATTGAACCAGCAGAAGAAGTACCGTATCCTCTAGCTACGATTCCTTTTACTCTACAGGTATTACGACCAAATAAAGACTACTCGTCTCGTCTCTCTCACCGCTTCCTTGCGATGAAATATTGGACAGTTTTTGGAGATGTCTTCCTGAATGGCAGAAGGTTCTCAACAAAGGGGAAAAGAGCCTGCGCTCGATCGGAGAAAATAATCGTTGTCTCATCGAGACTGGTACGCGCAAGTCGTCGTCGACACATACCAGGCTGTGGAGGTCTCCTGGTCTCTGAGCCGTCAACAGTCGCTTTTCTTTGTCCACAAGAATTGGTCGCCGTGCCATGCACAAGCTAGGCTGCCAGCCCGCTGACCTGTGAGACCTCAGCCCCATTAGTTCTGGTAGCACCAATTCAGCTGAATCGTGGGGTCTGGTGGTGTGCGATGCTGCGTCCGCCTGACGCTGTGGGCATCGTCCTTTGTATCGCGGGGCCACTGAAGGCACTGTCTCATAGCCTACTGCGTCGATCACATCTTTCACAAGCTCAGTCATTGTAGCAGAGACGTCCGTGCCACGGCTTTGTAAGACCTGTTACCGTTTACACAGGCACACCAATCACCGGTGAACATCTTGCTTGGTTGTTTAGATGTTCGAACTGTATCTACTTCGGGAACCAATTGGTAATGGATCGTTACCTTGGTAGGGATACAAATAAGTATCTAGACTGTGCCACGTTCCCTTTGCTATGATTCGGTGAAGCTGTGAAAGCTTCGGCACCGAACACTCATTTACTCCAACGGAATAGTGCGCCTGAAACATTTATCAAGAACAACACTAGTACGGCACGTCAGTCATGGATAGAGCTGTCGATCGCTGCATATCAGCCTTGTTCCAAAACTATCCGGGCATGCCTGTTATATACCATGCCCGATATGTCATGGGGATTTGAACATGGCTGGCCGATCACTTGGGATTGATATTAATTAGTAGCCACGCCCGAACCAAGTGCCATCATTGACAAAATGACAACGCGTACAACAGCTGAAAGTCCAAGCTGGCCGCTTTGTCCCGGGGCTGGTAGAGATTGCGGATTGGATCATTGGCTAGGGATGTAGAACTAAGCCACGGCTACATTGGTTTGTAACGAATGATCGAACAGTTTGCTTTTGAGACGAGAACAAGTATTAAAAGGACCACCCGAGAAAGTCTTCTCCCAATGCCATTACTGGCCCGACCTCGCCAGCAAGAATTATCACCATACCTTACCACACTCACAGCATCTCTGACTCAGGGAACCGCACTGTCTTAAGTGATTAATCCAGCTGTCCATCTTCCATCAAGTCACCATGCCTTTGCTCGGATCTCCTAGGCAGACACCCGTCGAGTCACAAACCAACAAGGTCACCCTTGAGGAGAGGCAATCCCATATCAAGTATGAGAAGCTGGAACTCTCCACTGATGACAAGCCCTTGATACAGGGGGGTGAGCACATCAACCCTTAATGGCAAACGCCACGTCCTCATCATCGGCGCCGGCGTCAGCGGCCTCCTGCCAGCCTGGATGCTGCTAGACAAGGGCTATCGCGTCACCATCATCGCCGAGCACTGGGCTTGGACCCGGGACTTTGAGCAGTCGCGAATCACTTCCCAGATCGCTGGCGCCCTGTGGGAGTTCCCCCCAGGCGGGTGCGGCCTCACCGAGATCGAGTCCCCTGGACCTGGCTTCGCGACCGTCGAGCACTACCGTGAGTGGTCCCTGCAGAGCTACGAATTTTACAAACGTTACCACAATGAGGTGACCAACTCGTTCGAAAAGGAGGGCTATGGATTTGGCCTCAAGCTCGCGGACCTCAACCAGTTCTTTTACAAGGACATCGTCACCAACCCCGAAATCAACGACGAGGAGTACCTAAAGTTTAAAGCGCTCAAGTGGGCTGCAGCAGATGGACGCATCGACAGGGTCAGGGAATGGAACCGTGAGAAAATGGTGAACCAGTTCGGCTCCTACGTGAACGTGGACTTTGACAAGAAAAGGGCTGGAGAGTTGAAGAGCGGCTACACTCATATGGCTCCCATCATCAACACTGACAAGGCGATGTCGTATCTCATGGCACTAGTCCAGTCCAAAGGAGCGGTCCTGGAGACGCGCCCATTCAAGGGCCTCATCAGGGACTATGGCGAGAAGCTGCTCCAGGAACACAACGCCCACGCCATCATTAATGCCTCCGGCCTGGGAGCCAAGGAGCTGGCAGGTGACGATGACGTGTACCCAGTCCGTGGTGCCATCAAGCGCATTGAGAATACTCGTAAGGGCGAGTTCCGCCATCTCAACAATGCCTACCTTGTCCCCGCCCAAAGGGACCTGAATGGCCACCCAACCAAGACAGTTTTCATCGTCCCACGCAGCGACGACGTCCTATACGTCGGCTCTATCATCCAGCCTGAGGCCACAGAGAAGCTCTCGCCGGACTCGGTCGAGGTCGATGTCATGTGGGACCGGGCGGGCGACTTCATCAGTAGCCTGCGCCACGCCGGGCTGTTCCCCGGCTTCCCTTTCGCCCAAGGCCTCCGACCTTTCACGAAGAGGAATGTTAAGGTCAGGGCCGATGACAGGGCCACATTTCCCCTGGTGCACAACTACGGGCATGGAGGATCCGGATGGACCCTGGGTGTTGGCACCGCTCGGTGTGCCGTGCACATTGTCGAGAAATTCATGGCGCTCAACTCTGAATCCCTCCTGAAGCCGATCGAGGCTCTGAAGGTCAACGTCTCAACCCTTGAAAACATTACCGACGAGATTCTGACCGCCAAGACGGCTGCACATGCTTCGGTCTCGACCATAAAGGAACGGGCCGACTTTTTCAATGAGATTCGGGCACAGGCATCAAAGGGCGCAAAGGAGGGCGCCACCGGAGCAAGTCCGACTGACAGCTTGGCTGAGTCTCAATCAACCAAAGCAAGCCCGGAGGCACAGAAATGCTGGGAAGCATTGGTTGCCAGCATTCCCGAATCCGACACGAAAGTCAACAAGGCTATTAAGCATATCAAAGACATCGCCAAAGCGAGTGACGTGCCTGATAACGCGATCCAAACGCTCAGCGCGCGGACCGCGGAGGCAAAAAACAAGCTTGGAGCCCTCGAGCAGGTGTTGAACAACGATGAGAAGGTCCGACAGCTGAACTATCAGGCCAAAGTCCGCAATGTGGGAAAGCAAATCAACAAGGAGTTGTACGGAGAAGCACCGGCGGGGTCGACTCATTAACCAGTGGGCACCCAAGGCAGGAAAAGGTGTGTAGAAAGTTCTAACTTCTACTTGACAATAATACAGAACCGGTAGTATGTCAACACTCAGCACTTCGGATTCACAAAATGGCCCCTGTGATGTTTAGTTCTGACGGGTTCCCACTTACTGGCTTCGCTCACCAGGGAAGGTGCGGATCATCACCGTTAACGGCAGCACACTGGACGCGTTTCATCTGTGTGCATGAGCAGCTGGCTGAGCTGGCCACACTCCTTTTATATTTGGTCAAGTTCATTCTGTATTGTTTCCGTGGCTTGTATTCTAGCAGAGCACACATCTCATCTGCCAGCATTTAATGAGGTCAAGTAGTTCAGTAAACGTCCAGAACTTCCTCTTTTGATACTGACATACGAGCCCGCGGCGTTTTCTCCAATCTGGTCACATAATGGTGATTCTCTCTAACTTCCAGACAAGACGAAGTTCTTCAACAAGACTTTGGCCCCTGCCTTCGCAAAAAAAACAAGTCGGTCTTTAAATCTCGGACTGCGGTTCAGGAAGGTTTCCAAATCCTCTCCCCAAAGACCGCTGAACTCATGCGCACAACGCGTCGCCGTATGAAGAGTCGTCTGCTTCACAACTCACAGCAGAGAGTCTAAAAAGAATCGCACAGTGACTGAAAAAGTTGTTCCATTCGAAAACAATCTCAAATCCGTGGTCAGTTCAATTAACGAGAGCCTTGTCCACTTTTCCTCGTTCGGCTAAAGCGAGTAGGTCGCCAAAACGGTTCAAACCCATCGACAAAATAATCCCGCCGAAGCTTGGTTCTGTCTTCTCCAAACAATGTAACAAAGCCTAAATGGCAGGCGCCATCATGCCCTCTCTTTGATTGGTTGTTTCTGGTGCGTCAAGTATTGAAACGCAGGCGCCAAAATATTTGCTGCTGAACATTCAAGGTCGGCCATGGTAATATCAGTCAGTTATGCATGATATTGGTGACAGAAACGGGAAGATTTTAATCTGGTATTGATATAATAGCCCCATATCAAACAGTGATTTCAAAACCGCTGCTATATCACACGATTAGCTCATGTCGACATTTTGAGTGAGGCTGGACAACCAAGTCTCAATGCCCCGCCGTCTTGCTCATCAGGCCAAAAGTCTACAAAAGCATGAGAAATTGGTTCTTGTTGATGAAAGTGAACAGGGCTTAGAACGTCTGTCTGCATTGGAAGATGGTGGAAGTGAAGATGGCAGACGGATTCGAAACCAGCCAATATTACTTTAAGCTGTTACTGTGCGAGATTCATACACTCGACCTAAAAGGCCTTCGTCGTTTACTGTTTGGGAACGCTCCGGCCTTCATATTCTTTTGCAAACCCGCATCGCAATGCTAATTACCTCATGTTGTCTCTACTTTCCGACTGCTCTCATACACAGTCACGAGCGATCTATTGACAGCATCTTAGCGGTCTATGATGGCTTCATGCTACATGATGCAGTGGATTATGTTACCAATCCTATACTCAACCCACCCTTTACCTCATCTCAGTCAGAGGAGCCTCATGTTTGTACAATGAATCAGTTGTGAGGTCTGGCCGGTCCTGGAAAGACCACAAAAAAGTTACAAAGCAACAGAACACCTCAACTGCCCAAAGCAACAAGATCCACTGCCGCGACTTCAATTCCAGGCCCTCACGACCAGCGCGCACGAGCAGGAGCAGAGACTGTATGAATGCACATACTACCCACACAGCTATTGCCATGGTTAGCCCTGCCAAGGATAAAATTGATTTAATGCAGTTGAACTGACTGGTACTTTTGTGTCTGCACCCAAAACGGAAACTGGAATAGAGGAGACATAAGACGCTGATGCACGAGAGCGAAAAAAGAACTGTTATCGATAATATCAGCGCACACTTCGGTCATGGGGCAGGCTGCAAGACAATTGTCGAGCTTTTCGGATGGATGTACAACGCATACACTTGTCAATCCCTTCTTGGGTCACGCAATCAAGACCACAGTGGAGAGAAACATTGCTGCCGAACATACTGGTGGGGCTTTTCCCTTTCTCTTCTCTTTGGATCCACGGTATTGGTCTCTCTGGTTTGTTGACTTTGTGTGACTAGGTAATGCTTGTAAGGAGGCGAGACCCGCGACACTGAAACATAAGGCGGCTCTGGGCATATTTGTCTGCGGGACTCGGGGCTTATCAGTAGTTTTCTCGGCTTATTTCCAGCCTCCTTGCGCTGGTTACCTCCCAGTAAGAGTGTTTGCAAGTGCCGCGTAGCCGATTCAAGAGACGCTTGTTTGAACTTGTGTCAGGATTGAAGGATTTCAGTGCTGGTGAATTGGACGTATCCAAATTCGAGTGTGCCTGCTTTTGTGGAGCACCTCTCCACCTGATCCGTATTAGCCACTGCATAGCCAGTCCATCCTACCAAAGTGCCAATTTGGACATGACGATTGCTCAGTCTTTTCACATCGTGACAAAATCTGAAGTTAAGAATTCACTCTACCATGCTATGAACATCATACAGTGTGTAGGAGACAAGTACTACTGGATGCAAAATTCCGAAGGAGAATTCGCGTGAGCACTAGAGAGTACCTGCGGAGAGTACCGCATGCAGGAGTTCATCCCAAAAGACGCCATTGAAAGATCGGCCCCAGGATCATGCTGAGTTACACACCACGATGTGGGAACTCTAGGAGGTGTGCTGCCGAGTTCTCGGCCAATGTCCGTACATGGACAAGACCTCGGTACACCCAACCACTCAGACCTTCAGGACGTGTTCATGAACACGCCGCGTTTCTTCGCCATCTTTAATAGCTATAATATCACGCAAGGAGTAGTCACATTACGATCAAGGGCACAGATACAATTTGAGAATGCGCTGGTCAAAGCGTTGCAATTTGCAAAAAGAAAGAGGCATCTCCTCTCAGAGAACTAGCCTAAAGAAGAAGAAAGCCGCCAAGGGGCTTGAGAATATACATGAAGTTGCCACGAAGGCGATTTGGCCGTGAAGCCGGCGTGTCGATGCACGCATGGTGTCCGTGGACCATTTGTGATGTCCACTAGGAATGCTCAGAGCATATAGGGAATCAAATAATAACAGTGGCTATACACCGATATGAAAAATCCCTGGGCGTCGGCCCTGTTTAGATCACAGCCTTGTTGGCGGGATCGTTGGTGAAAGTCCTTTAAGGACAGCCTGTCTCTCTCCTCATGTAAGGCTCGGTGTCGGCCAGTACATTCTGCTCTTTGCTTGAGAACGAGGGGTATGAGATGGGCAGAAGAAAGTGCCGATGGCAACTTGGCGACGATAGTGGACCCAGTGGCTCTTTTGGTTATGAGCCGTGGTGTGATCCGCTAGGCAGGTCGTTCGCAGAGCCGGAGGTGGCAAGTCTTTGAATACCGCGAGGCGGTGGGGTGAGTTGGATTGAGTTGTCTTCAGAGATTGCTATGATGCGTTAGTGACTGCAGGAGATAGTCAAGGGTCGGCATTGGTATATCTTACCTCTTGAGGCACTTCAAGTCTCGTCGGCACTTTCAGGCACAGTCCAAATGGCTGAACCACGGCTCTTGAGCCGACTATGTGAAGGACGATGCCTGGACGATGAGGCTTTTGCTTCAACTGGCGAAGTCTGAGGCGACATGACCTCAAAGCCTTTTTCGGTCACGGGGCTCATTACTGACTGCTGCTCCACAGCATAAGGACATCTTCCCTCTCCAACGGTGGATCGATGGCTGTGAAAGGAGCACTGTCGGAAGCCGAAGTTGCGTTCGTCGTTCTTGAGCCTGTTGCGAGGCAGCCTCAGCTGTGGGTTCTTCACACAGATGTTGGCTCTGCTGTCGACCATCTTTTCCATGTGCTTGGTGTAGTCGCCCCCCAATTCTGGAAACTCGGCGAACAGCTCGTTGTATGAAAGGGGGTCCCCGCCGCCGTTGCTCAGCGTCCAGGCCAGCATTGCGACGGTCCACTTTCGGAGGCGGAAAGATTGCTCGCGAGAGCACTCCTCGTAGAGGTGACGCACGAAGGGAATCGAGACGTCCCAGTCACACCGGAGGTACATATCCTGTATGGCGTCCATGGTGATGTCCTGGAGGGCGGATAGCCGAATGACGGCAGCGAACATGTGCAGCTTCACAATGTTCCAGTGAAGTGCTCGTCTGCTCGCTTGAATCTTGGCTTTGTTAGCTGGTGTGATCTGAACAGCCACGGTCGATATCATCTGCTCCAGCAGAGATCGGAATGAGTTGCGCCGGTACAGCCAGAGGATGAATAGGTCCATCATCTCAGGACACTCCTCTGAAAGCCAAAGAATCCGGTCATGATGAGCTCCGGCAGACATCGACAGCTCACTGTCGGGTGAACTTGGGACCGAGTCTACATTCTCCAGGCTATACCGGAAGAAGGAGCTGGAAGCACACAGGAGCTTCTTGTGAACTGTAAATTCTCGTTGGCTCGGACCGACCAGCAGACGAACCACCTCGGCGCCAGGCAGACTAGGAAACCTTCCAGATTAGCAAAGGCAGATAGGACTAGTGTTAGAAGGTGGTAGGTGGCTTACGGTCCCAATGATATCATGTTGTCTTGTCGTCTGGCCATGATGTATATGCTCAAATGATACTGTTATCAAAACAGGCACTCGATGCGGCATCTAGGCTCCCAAGTCATGAGAGGGAGGAGGAAGTGAGCCCATATGTAGCCCTCTGTGAGCTCATGTCGTAGCCAACTCGTCTGGATCGGGGGATCAGCGCCGAGGCGAGTCAATCGAATCCGATCCCATGTCGCCATCAGGGAAGACGAGACGAAAGACAGGGCCCAGGGCAGAGGGCAACAACCACGACGGGATGAAGAAACAAGCCCCTGGTAATACTGGCCAATCTGTTTGTTTCGAGCCAGACCTCTGCTGTCATGGGGGTGGAGCAGTACCAGAGAAGGCGTGAGGAGGCCGAGGGCCGTGCAGCGATATTTTCTCCCGCATGGTCATGGTGGCAGGACGGCAGGACGGCAGCAGGGTGGCCGCAGGGTGGCAGCAGGATGGGCGAGGGCCTCGAACTCCTGGAGAGGACGTGAAGGGGGGTCATTTTCATCAAGGGCCTCCTGAGTGTCAGAGGTTCTGCCGGTGCAGAGCCCCCTTATCGCGGGCGCGACCCCACTTCTCCCACCTGGTGAAGCTCGCGTGAGGGACTGATGCCTGCGACTATAGGTCGCAAAGCTTGTCTTAATATCACCAACCCACGGCTACGAGCCCCGAAAGAATGCTTGGTCGGGTTTGAGGTGGGCGCATGGCTTCTTGTGGCGCCCAGTCCCTGCCATGCCTGTCAGGCCTGCAAGACAAGGGTCTGCAAACGAGGAGTGGACGGCCTGCTTTGCCTGCCAGCCCCGTTGTTTTAAAACATGAGGGGCTTCCCGGCTCCGAAGTTTCGAAAGAGAGCTCCCGCTTATATGGCTGCACTCTGCGAAGCGAGCCCTGAACCATCCCTACTAGTCCTGGCACGGCGAATTAGACGGGATGGCACAGAGGAATACAGGTGATCGGCAGATCAACCCTTTTTACTATGCCGCATACGACCCGAGTAAACGAATTAATCGGTGTAGATCACCACGTTCACTATCAACACTTTACGAGGCTGCCAATAATAGCAGCGAGACAAACAAATGCGTCCTCGAACCCGTTCCTGAGAAACAAACGGCAATGGCTGGCAACTGGCTTTGCCATGCCTCCTTGGTGACGGCAGAGAGCTCAAGGCGCCGCTTAAACTTGCTCACCAGCCAGACGACCAGGCTCCAGCATGACTGAAGGTTTCCTCGTGATCCTGATCAAGGCATCATGCTCGACCCCCTCAATCTAAATGACATTCCCGGCCGGGCGCCATCCGCTAGTCTTCCTGTGCGCTGGGCTCGCACAGGCCTGTGACCCAGTTCTGGACTGGACTTTGGAGTCAGTCTTGACTTTGGCAGAAAAGCATCATCCCGGTCCCAGGAGTGGACAGGACGACTCCTCATGAAGGCTCTCTTTCCCACTCTTCTTCCACGTTTTGCGCGTCCATTCGACTGCCAATGACGAAACCTTAAGGCGCGGAAGCTAGTGCATGACCAGCAAGCGAAATGTTCCATCCCGCGTACTAGCGATTGTGATGCAACATCATATCAAATCCCTTACGTGCCATTTCCGAAGCAGATAGAGTAGCTGGCGGGGATGACGGTCGCTGTCGTATCTTCTCTGATAGGGACACGATGTCACGCCAGATTATCCGGCAAAAGGACCAGACCTATCGCCGCCCTCCTCCTGGAGCCCTCAGACACAATTGCTTCATGGCTCAGCGTGGTCGAGTCTTTGCAACAGCTTTGAGACTTTCAGACCAGTCTGGCATTGGCGACGGGGGAGGTGGGTATTTGAGCGGGATAAAGTCCACGTGGGACGCGAATGTGATTTCCGGTCTGTCTCCGCTTCTGGCGGAGAAGGGTTGCGGCTCAAGACCTGGACGACCTCGTGGACTCAGGCTACTGACAACTTGTCAGCGTTTCTCGGATTTTAGTCCCCGGGCTGCCAAAGCACGAGCTCGTCGGAATATTGGGGAGAAATACCAAGGTACCAGCGAGTAAGCGGCGCCCGGTTGAAGGTATCCATGGGTTGCGGTCCTTGATAATTTCCCTAGACAGAGGACTCCAGTTAATGCGGATTGCTATAGGGAAGCGGGGCTTGCTATAGTCGCTCCTCGAGATATCTCGACTCTAACCGAAAGTATTCCGTAGCTGACTGCAACACATAGTCGTTGTACCCAGGTCAATAGAGCAGCAGTAGCCAGCCAGCGAGACCGTCATGGAGATCTCGTGCCTGCGGCCATTGAAGCGAGGCCGAGCCCTCCGCTGCGTTGCACTCAAGGTAGATTGCGGCCCAGAAGACTGGTCTAGAAGGCCTGCCTGCTCACAAGCCTCATTAGTGTCCCTTCATGAGAAGTCATCATCGAGCGAGATCTGCCGTTGCGCTTGTTTAAGCCCTTATGCGTCGGTGTCAAGTGCCGATCAGCAAGGCGCTCGCCATGTTGCGACAAACGCGTGGAGATGAGCTGCAGCTCTGCTACATCCTTGGGGGGGTTTCTTGACAAGAGATTATCAGTCGTCGTTGACTCGGAACCGACGATCGGGGCAGAGACGACGAGTGCCGAGTGCAGCTACCAGGACTCCTGGTCTCCGAATCGTGCGTTGGCCTGGACCACTTTGTTTCTCGTGGACAGCCGTCGTCAGCGTCGACGGAAATATCTGCGGGCTCAGGTTGTCGCCCGCACAGATTGTACGAACAAATTCCCTCGTGGGTTTGGGGGTCGAAACGCGAGGAAAGAAGTACATGTGGGGATGCCCAGTCCTCAAGCTCGGGACTGTTGACGATCCGAAGATCAAGTGTGTAGTCTAAGCCGCCGCGGTATCTGCCGTTTTGTCCCTGACTGTTCCAGAATTTGTGGAACCGTACCAATATGGTACTGGAAGAAACTTTAGAGTTATTATTCGCCCGAGAGTTGCACCACTACTGTACATCCACCAAGTTGCACTGTAGATTACCAAGCCGCCTGGAGCTTGAAGGCACGGGAGCAGATGTGGTGTGCGATCTCTTCGAAGGCGGTCAGCAGATCGTGCTTCGCATTTATCGAGTACATCACAGGGCACGTCCTAGACAGCATGGTGATGGCGTAGCCGGCTCTGCTAACGCGTCATCTGCGTGAATAAACAATATCGAGTCAAGCCTCTCGTTTGCTGGTGCTTTTGTCCGTGCCACGCAAGGTGGAAAGTGCGATCACCGCCCCTCCTACCCCGGGTATTTGCCAAAAGTTGATGGAAGGTCTGATCTCAAGTCTCGCATAACCCCACAGCTAGCCTAAGTGAGGCATCTGTGAAGCTGTGGTAGTCACACGCAGCATATTAAATCGAGCATGGGAGCAGTGGGTCAAGCGAGGGATCATCATCTGTGAGTTCGCAGAAGTGAGAGCCTCACGCCAAGGCGAAGAGCTTTGAAGCTTATCGCGATGTTCGGGAAAGAGAGGGTGTCGGCCGAAAAAGGTACAGTGGCTGTGTTTAATGAAGCTTTCCCAGGGCAACTTACCCATGGCCGCGACACTACGATACCCTCAGAAATGTTCTCCTTCCACTTCCATGCGAGTTTCTGGGGCGGTTGTCCCGGTATGCACGGGACGCTGGAACTGCCCGGCAGTCCGGACATCACGCGAGCAGGCGTCGAGAAGGCATCCATTCGAAGATGTATTGAGCCGAGGTGCTGAATGAACATTGGCTGCTTATAATGCCACCGCTGAAGGACTCGATCTCGTAGGATGATCGACAGCATCCCTTGCGACCCCGAAAGCTGCAGATTATCCATGTAAGGATGGCCTTCACAGCCTCATCGAAATGCCAGCGTCCTATCTCCGCTTGGTAGGATCCGAGGGAACCGAAGCTCAACTCGAACCCCCCCCCCTTCTTTCTTTGATGGGCCTGTATTTGGTCAAGCATGACAGTAAGTTAACTTTCATTATCGCCACGGATTGTCAATTGCCAAAGGCTGATATGAACGCTCCTAAGGTTCTTCGCGGTGAAATTCGCTTTGGTTCTCTGCTTATCTGGAGAACTCGGAAACTGGATGCTGGTGTTTGCAGTCCATTTCTCGCCTTCCTAGGATAGAAGATCACCTGTAGATAGGATGTCCTCAGCCACATAAACATCAAACATGTGTTGCTGACTGCCACCTAACGTATGAGCAGAGCTTGGATCTTCAGCCTGCATGCCTCGACAGATGGAAGAGTTCCTGACGGTCTCTCTCTCCAGGCCTCTCGACCTGCCTGGCATGGTCAAGTGTTGTAGACTAGAGATAAGCGCACGCCAACAACACCGGGACAACGGCACGAATGCTCACAAGGCCATCGTGGCACTTCTGTGCTACGCAGCTCCCTGACTGCGGAGGATATGATGCCTACTGCCATGTTGTATGACAGGTTCCAGGCACTTGCGACTGATGGCCCATCACAGCAACATCAACCACACGATGTCTCTCAAGGCCTGTACGTGCACAAATTTAGCTCATGACTTGATCGCTCCCCGGGAAGGTTGAGCATTGCCAGAAAACCTAGAAGGCAGGCGGAGTAGGTGATCGTAGACGAAGGCAAACACCGCGAGTTGGGCGTACAGGCGTATAGAGGGAGTGCGAGTCACGTGAAGGCAACGAGTCGTCGAAAGTTCCTGCAGCCAGCTATACGCGCGTGAGACCTAGTCCATACCGCGTGGTAGGCATTCTGCAGGATTGTAAGTCAGCATCGGAGGCGCAATAGAAGGATCGGGAGCGGAAAGCGGTCGTCGAGAATGATCACGGGAATGTGGTGGCGTATCATCGTCCTATGCTCGCGCATGCCATGGCGTTTCGGAGGGGAGCAAAAGAGTGGAGAGGACAGCACACGGAGCCTCCCCACCGCACACATGGGACTATCACACTCGCTCAGGTGTGTCAGTCATTGTAGTCAGCCTTGCGGCGGCATGTTGAGTTAGTCCACCCGCAATTGAGGGCATTCCAAATCATGTTGGGACTGCGCCGACTTTGAACGCGACAAGCGGTAAATTATCTGTTGCCAATCCACACCTGTTGCACCGGTGCTCCCGTTGGCAGCTTACAAACAAAACAAAAAAACAAATAGTACGAAGGCCAGATCAGGCGGGCAAGAGCACAGCCACCAGCGATCAGCTCAAAGGGCGACTTTGGTGGTGGCCGCCCTGGTCTCAGGCCAAGGGTGATGAGGAGCAGTCACGCTGTTTTAGGCCTCGGATAAGGAAAGTGACGCGTGCCGGCCTGGGCTGTTCCTTGGATTGGACCCGCCAAGATGGATGCCCGCCTTAGCAGCCTCTACCACATGGCATACCAGCAATGGGTGGGCCAGCCTCCTGTCCGTGTTAGTGATCCGTCCCAGAGACCGCCAGAAACCGCCAGAGCCGGCTGTTGGGCGGTGGCCTGCCAAGTCTGCAAGTGTGAGGGAATGTTTGGTTGGAGACAGTGGACAAGGGAATGCAAAGCGGCGAACCGGTAGTCCGGCAAGCAGACCACCTTTCCCTAGCTCTAGCTGCCCGCTGGTCGGACTAATAGTACCTGTAGGTACTGGGTGCTTGCTTCCCAACGGACGTCATCCATGTTCTCCGTCAGTGCTCGTCATCCTCAGCCATCCTAGCAGGCCCAGCACTGCCCAGCTGCTCTCAGTTCATTTAAGGTAACGAGCCCAGCACACTCTGCATAACGTCAACCATCAGCGTTCCCAAGGGTTCCCCACTGCGTATCACTCTCTGCAAACGCAAGACCTATACAGTCACAAAACATCACCTGCAATCATCACCATCTTACCTGGCTCGGAGTCTGTATCAGTCCATTGTCAGGAACTATCAACAAAACAACAAAAACACAACAAACAACTCCAGCCATGATCATCCCTGAACTGGGAGAAGGTCTGGTCTCCAGACAATCATTGTAAGCCTACTTCTTTTCCGAAGCCCCACCAATCTGGTCGCAGTGCCAACCATGCTGACAACGACAACAGCAGTAGCTGCCCCTCCGGCTACACCTTGAGAAATGGCCGCTGTTACCAGAGCAACTGGTCGTACTGGGGCCGCTGGGTCCTCGCCGCCATCGTCATCGTCTTCTTCCTCGTCCTCTTCCTGACCTGGAGCTGCATCTCGAACCGCCGCCGCCGCAGGGCTGGCATGAACCCGCGCTACGGCACCGGCTGGATGATGCCCGGGCAGCAGTACGGTAACGGCCAGCAGCCGCAGTACGGCAACGGCTGGTTCGGCCAGAACAAGTACAACAACAACCAGCAGCCCCAGTATCAGCAGCCGCCGCCGCCCCAGTACACGCCCGCCAATGGGCCCGTGCCCAACCAGTACACCGGCCAGACGTTCAACTCCAATGAGGGCTACTACGGCCAACACAATAACAACAATGACATCCCTCTTCAGCAGCCTGGGTCGTCCTACTACCCCCGCGGAGGTGACAACGTCTACGAGCCGCCTACGGGACCGCCGCCAGCTAAGTCTTAAGGAATATGGGAAAATGGACCACCACAAAACACGCAGGGTCGCTTCAACGTGATACAGGAACGAAAACATGATGGGATTATGACACACTGTGCTCTTGAAGAGGTCACTCAAGCAGTGGTAGCAGTATGACGGGCTGGCGTTACGGAATACCTCTAGGGAATCAACCACGGGTTTTGGGATTCTTTTCAACTATCGCGATGGAAAGAAGGAAAGGGAGACAACTTGAGGCTGTATTAATTGTAATTCATACATCCACCCTACACTATTCCTACCGTTCTGTCATGCCGGCCATTCCCACGTGGAATCGCTGAATCGTGAAGCATACGAATAAACTCACTTTCCGTAAAGAAGGTTGAGAGTGGGGCAGCGCGTCCCCTTCTGCCGAGACCCGGATGTTGGTTGGGAGGCCTCGCTGCGACGCAGTGACCAGCTCGCTCTCCGCATCAACCCACACACACTCACACTCGTTCCCCAAACCGGTGAGCAGGTCACACGACAGTCAATATCACACTTCATCAACCAGAGGATACACACACACATACGGGCAAGACACAAACCATCGGTTCCGGGCGGGGGTTTTCCCGAACTGTTTCAAATGACTACATGGCTCAAATCCATCCAATCAGACGATGAATTCCACCGCATGCTTGTTTGGGCTGTATTGCTTCCTTGAAGAATTGTGGCGAGGGTAAGGCAAGGCCAGTCCAGGGAACAGGGTCTCTTGGGCATTGTTCGGAGGCGGTGTTGTCTGGGAAAATAAGCTTAATTTTTTGACAGCGAACTCAGGTGTTGCCGCGGATTGTGCACTATCCTTAGTATAATTAATCACTCTGGGACGAGCACATTGTCCGCTTTGCCATGTCCACAGAACCTTGCATCTATCTGCCTCTGCATGATAAGCAACAGTGTTAGTGATATATTAATGGCCATGTCATCGTCATACTCGCAGGTTGAACGTGAGAAAACAGTGAAGTGTCATTCAGGGCAGTCGCCTCTGGCAGCTGCAGTCTTTGAGAGGATTTCCCGACTCGGGAGATATATATGATTGACCACTCTTCCCCCCATCTGGTTGCTATACCAATATACAATATGTGGTTTCTCGTGCCTCGCACGACAAAATCTTGGCTGGCCTTGACCCAGCCAGCCTCGGGAACGCAGACCCGAGCCAACATTCCATTTCCGTAAATCCTCCCAATCTATGCTCTGAAAATGTACAGTATATCCTGTGTGATATGCAAACAAGCTCGCTCGCTGGACGCGTCGCGTGTGCGTTGTCAAAAATTTTGTGGGTATCTCTGAATCCTTTTGTCCTGGTCCTCCGTTTTATCCTTTCCTCGGTTTGAAGTTCGGCAACAGCCCGAGTTGCCCCTTTAGTCTTGTCGGTCCAACTTATCTCGTTCGTCTATCGAGGCACGCACGGGAGCCTGTGGGGCCCTGGGTGGGAAAACAAATTCTCCGTCCACCGTGACGAGGTCGCCTTGCTCTAACTCCGCGCTTGGCCTCGTGGCCAGAAGGCCCGTCTCCTCGCCTCCCTCGTCCTCGACATCGGTACCGCTCGAGCTCGGGCTGGTCGTGTCACCGTCTTCGTCGGGCCGCCTTCCGTGCACGTCGGTCTGCGCATCCGATCGCATCTTGGTGATCTTGATCCAGTTGTAGGCGCAGATTGCCCCGATCGTGATGAATAGCCCCGAGATGTTGATGGGCGTCAGCTTGTCGTCAAAGACGAGCGTCGCTGTAGAAATTGTTACGACCTCTTTGAAGATGCCTGCAATTGAAAGAGTGACGACCGAAGTACGCTGCAGCAGAGCAAATTCGGAAGCCGTCATGAGGAAGGCGATGGTGCCTGGGAATAGCACAAGTAGCGGAGCAATCAGGCCCCACTCGTCGACGAGACCTCTCACGCCTTCCATAAGCTCGTAGATACCCTCGGTGGGGATGGCGATGCATATAAGCGTGAGGAACATCACGGGCGCGAGGAAAAAGATGCTGGAGAATGGGTTGGAGGTGGCGGGGTTCCTGAGCAACAGGATCTGCGTGAGTCCCCAGCGGAAGCCAGAGAAAAAGGCGGCTGAGATGACGAGGATGAAGCCGGCCAGGTTGAACTCGACCTCGCCAGCTACCATCATAACCACTCCGCCGGTCATGGTGGCGATGATGCCTACTAGCTTCCATGTGGGCGATTCGAGCCTGAACAGGAAGGCGAACATGAGGACGAATGCAAGTGAGGATGATTTGCACATCGCTGGAGGAAAGATCAGTCAGTATCAAAACTTGCTCGTGGCCGGAACAGGCTATTCTTACTGTAGAAAGTAAGCGTGATGAACTTGAGCGAGGTGTTGCCCAAGCCGATATCAAGCCCCGTGGCCGCACCACAAGGTCCTATCCGAGTAAGATAGAACATCTTGGTCATCAGTGGCCTCTCTGGCTCCTCGTCCTGTGTTGAGTCGCGGAACTCTGACATATTTCGAGGCGCGTTTTGTGGTCTCAGTGATGGTACACAGTACAGAACAACAGAGGCGAGTGTAAACTGCACAATCATGTGTACTGATGTGGTGAAAAGGGGGAAAGGAAAGTTGAGTCTGTGGGTGTCAAACATCCACTTGTTGTACTATTTCCCTAGTCAGTATCCTGGATTGAGATTTGTTGTTCGGCAGTCAACCCTTGGTGTAAGAACAATCCGACTTACGAGTGAGATACCCAGCGAGAAAAGGTACCATAGACCGATCAAGGTGCCATTGACGGCCAGTTTCCTGATAACTGTTTGGTCTGCCTCCTTTTTCTCCTCTGCTGTCACGTTTTCCCGTGCTATCCGTTGGTCGAGCAAAGTATTCCGCCTCTTCTTCCTCTGTTTCCTCCGTCTCTCCTTGGCGGTGAGGCCCGTCTCTTCGTCATCGTGCAAATCCTCGTCTGAGAAGTCGTTGTTGGGGGGAAACCTCAGGACGCCATTCTTGTCCTTGATGGTAGATTGGCTCTCCTCGGATATCTTGGGTTCGTCAGTGCGGAACTGGCCAGAGACTGAGGGCCCCCTGGTGTGGGCGCCCCTGCCAGAAGGTTGGCCTTGTGCGCTGGTTGCGGGCGACATGAGGCTGCTCCGTCGGCGGCGGTGGCCGGCAGGGGTGGGGTTTATGTGATCCATCTCGATGTCTGCGGGATGGGATACGGTGGTGGAGGTGGAGGAAGCAACGGCATCAGAGACTGTAGCCCTCCTCGCACGAGCAGTTGAGGAGCCCTCGGTGGTGGGAGAGGGGACTGTGCCGAGAGCCCCTGAGGCGGAAGTGGCAGCGGGAGTGGTCGCGTGCGGGACAGCAAGCGGGAATCGAGGCGAATTTGAAGCTGAGGAGTCGGCCGAAGTGGACTGGGCGGCAATGGCGAGGCGTGGAAAGGCTGCAATGGACTCGAGGCGAGGAGTATTGTTCTTTGAGGAGCCTACGAGCGACTGGGGGGGAGAAAGGGGAGGGGGGCCAGGAGGAGGAGATGAAGAAGGCATTATACACGGCGAGGACGGGTAAGGCAAAGTAGTTATCAAATGGTAATGTAGAAATTGGGGCCCCGTCATCTGGACTTGGGTGTTCCCAAGGTGGGCTTGGGCTTGTGGACCGTGGAACCGTGGACTGTGGGCGGTGGACCACAGACTGTGTGGATGGGTAGTGCCGTCCCGAGGTCAGCAGCATCCAGCTGGACTTTTTTGGGGGTCCTGCTGCTGCGCTGCTGCTGCTGCTCTGCTGCTGCTGCAGGCTGGAGGGTGCAGAATGCAGCGGGCAGGCAGGTACGGGTGGGGTACCTTGGTACACACTGGGCCCAGCCGGCACACCTGGGCACCTTGGAGGAGAAGAAGCAGCAGCGTATAGCAACGTATAGCGTATAGCGCACAACACACAGCAACACAGCATGCTGCACCCTGCACCCTGCACTGGGCACTGTGACAGTAGCGCCAGCCCTGGAAGCCCTGGGAGGAGTTGGAGGAGACCTGCCACCGCTTGTCTCGCTGGTCTGCCCAGCAGCCCAGGCGCCCAGGTGATGGCGATGGGGCCGGTCGCTAATCGGGATGATGAGCGCCCCGGGGCCCACCCAGCACAGCTGGTCTGTCAACCTGTTGTTAAGGTTGTTGTTGAGGGGATGGATTTTGATTGATGATCGATCGGAAGTACAGCGATCCACCGTCCACCATCCACTGTCTACAGTGTCGTCCTCTGCTTGCCTGCTGGTCTGTTACTTGTGTGTCTGTCTGCCTGTCTGCCCAGCTAGAGGGTGTTGAGAGGCTTGACTGGCGTGTTTCTCTGATGTTTTGCGTCTCTTGCAGCTCTTGCAGCTATTGCAGGATGTCGGAAGGGTTTCCTGGCCGGGCGGGAGCGTGGCCCAGTCAGCGCGGGCGCATCAAACAACAACTCTGGCCTAGGCGGTGGTCTGTGACTCCAGTTTCCGTACTCCGTTGATAGACGCGGACAACAAAGACAACCTTGGAAGACCAGGCCAGACAAGACCAGACAAGCACGACAAGACAGGACGAGGGTGCAAGTCTCTTGGCGCCCCATTGCAGCAGCCCAATTGGCTCTGCCGCCCACGGGACCCCTGGCCCGGGCGCGGAATCGGGTCATGGATCAGCACTGCAGCGGCGCCTGAGACTCTCATTCTGTCTTCTCACGCTCTCGCGCTACTACTCTGTCACTGTGTGACTCTGCCCTGCCATCGATCAATCCATCCATCCATCCCATCCATCCCATCCGCCCACCTGGCTGGCCTGGGCACCCTCGTCTCGATCGATGAACCGGTTGTCTGTCTTGTCTGTCTGTTGCCCCCGTGACCAGTGTAACGGGCAACGGACGGAAACACACCACCATCTCTATTACCACCACCCACGCACTTACACGGGTGCAGCACATGGGCAGGTAGCAAGCAACGATCCGGTCTGATTGATGCATGCCTCCTGCATAGTACCTACAGCAGACACCTGTACGTCTTGCTTCCAAACCCACCAGCCCACTCGGTCGTTGACCGCCTGCTGTGTGCACTGTGGAGTCATTCTCGCAGGGCCTGGGCTGGATTTTCCAGATTTCTTGCAGGACCTAGGGCCAAAACTCCGGACCGAAGGTTCTTTTTGCCTTCCTCTGCACACCTCTGCAAGGGCCCTGGGCCCCAGAGGACCCAAGGGCTCCATCGCCAGGTCAAGCTCTTCCCCTCTTCTGGGTCGCAATGTGCCCAAACTGTCTGCCACGTCGCCCAACTCAACCCAGCTAATAGGGACCGACAATGGCCACGCAGCAACTGGTACTGTGCGAGAAAATTCCACCCTGCTTGCTAGTGTGGTTGTAGCCGTGGTAGTAGTGGTAATCTTCCCCGGAGACCCTGGATTTGCCGGTGTGCGCTTGCAGTAGCTGAATACTGTAAATCTGCCTGACAGGCAATCTTACTGACTGGCTTATCATTACCCACACAGCATAGATACATAGAGTGCCTCTGTTTCGCTCGACCGCGAGAGTTTGTCTCTATTAGACTTTCCGCCGCAGCACAGCTCTTCGTCCTGCTCGGCTCGCGACACGCGGACATTTGAGGCTTTGTTCGGGCCATACTTGATAGACAAGACATATTCATCAATTCCTGACTGCAGAAAGCAGGCTAACACGCACGACAAGTCTTGTCTCTCGCTCAGCTCAGCCCACATGATGTCAATGAGGTTTGCCGAGTGCCCAAAGCTTAAAAGTACATTTGTCCGGAAGGCTCGCCTTATTCCTGGGCTTCCGTACCCTAAGATTAGACGCGCTCCTAGCCCCGATCATGCTGCCAGCACTACCGACGGCTAGTACGCAAACGCAGTAGCTTCGAAGTGAGAAATAACTGTCTGGGGGCTTCCCATGTGGTCATCGACGTTGGCCAACCCACCCGGCTCCTTCGCACCAACGGTCATGCGACCACCAGGCCAAGTCAGCTAGCAGCCCGCATGAAGCTTAGAACGCTGCCCGCGTGCTCGGCTGAGATCAGCTTCCCGATCACTAACTATAGGTATAGGTGCTAGGTATCATGGCCTGTGTGTAGTCTGGGAAGTCGAACGTGGGTGCCGCCTTGACTCACCTGCTTGCTGGTGTGTTCGAAAACCGGCACGGCACGACACCGCATGTTCGAGATCCTGGTCCCAGCTTGCCTTCCCAGCTCATCAATGATATCCATCCATACTGCACTGTGAGGTTCCAGACCGACTATCCCGCCCCGGAGCACGGCGAGCGAGTCAGGCCTGCAAATCATTGATCTCCCCGAAAAAAGTCTGGGGAATGGCGTTGCCTAGTTGGCCATGATGTCAAGGGCTTTTGCTTTTGGATGCTTCCTCCGCTGGCAGCCCCGGAGAATTTAGACCTCACGGCGATGATCCTCATTTACAATTCCTTGCTACCGTCCTGGCATCTGCCTGGCGGGCTTGCAATATGGCTTGGTTTGGGCTGGCAGCACTGGGCAAACACACCACCCATGATGAATGGCGTCGAAGCCTGTGGCGGAAGCTTAGCTGGCCCCGTCCAATGTGACGTACGGGATCGGTCCCACAGCCCCCCGGAGCACACGGCGGGGGACACGCCAGAGCCTTGGGGTCGGCCACGGCGCCTTGGGTGCTCATGCGGTCGCGTCAGTCTCGTGGAATGCTGCTCAGTGAGCTCGATGCACTCTGAGTTGCAACAGCTGGCTAGGTCATCTGTTCAGGTTTGAGCTCGTCACAATCGCCTGTCAAGCGCCTGACTCGGTTTCAACTGGCAGAGAATGCTACCGTCACGATACCACAGGGCCGGGCCCGCCTTTGATCGCGATAAGCTTATTTCACTGGCTCCATGGGCTGGTTCTAGAGTTTCGTCTTTTCAGACGAACGGACCATTCCTCGGATTGCTCACTTGGACGGCCACTGACCGTGATCTATCACAAGCTAGTCCGACGTTCACACTAACCACGAGCCGTGCATGGCTCAGCTAAGCCGTTGGGCTATGAGTCGGTTCAACGCCCATCTTCTACTTCAATTTTGTCGTGGCGGCTGGAAGCCAAGTTCACGATGCTATCGTCTACTCAACAATCGTTGGCGGCAGCTAGTCAGATGACAAAGCGAGTCTTAGAGGGATCGACTGTAGTAGTGTCTCATAATGGAATACTGACGATGGGATTCCATGACGGACACGATGCAAATCACATCGTGCAGGTCAATAACATCAGTACATAAAGACTGTGACGTACCATTGGCATCATCAAAGACCTTCCGAGCTGGAGCGCCTCGGTGGCTTATAGCCATGAACTTGGTTGCTTCCCAGCTACAGCATGCTTGATTGTCTACGAGTACGAGACTCATACTGTCCATCAAATTTGAGCGAATCAGTTTAATTGTGATATATGTGATAATATCTGAGAATGGCCGCTCCATGCCAGACAAAGACTCCTTCTAGCCCCCTTCGAAGCCGTTACGGGGGCTATTTACCCATCGAGGACTATGGAATCATCGGGAACATGAGGACCTGCGCCCTGGTCGGCATGGACGGCAGCTGTGACTTCATGTGTTGGTGAGCATGCTCAGAGAGTAGACTAGTTCACACGATCAATGCCCTCATCCCGCTGACCCGGCTCGTCAGGCCCGACTTTGACTCCCCAAGCATCTTCTGCCGCCTGATAGACAAGTCCAAGGGCGGTCATTTCTCCATCTCTCCGCCGCCAGACCTGTCATGCACGACCAAGCAGTCGTACTTGCCCTCATCCAACATCCTGCAGACCCGGTATATCCATGAGGATGGCGTCGCGGACCTCGTGGACTTCTTCCCCCGCCCAAATACTACCTATGCTCCAGTCCAACGGGCAGGTGGCCGCAGCGCCTTCCGCGAGGTCCAGGCTGTGCAGGAGGAGCTCAAGAAATGGCTTGTCCGCCGCGTGGAGTGCGTTCGCGGCCAGATGTCCCTGAATGTAGAGATCTTCCCGGCCTTCGACTATGCGAGGGAGGGCCACACGATGACGGTGCTCCAGAAGTCCCAAGAGCCCGGCACCAAGTCCAAGGCCGTCACCTTCCACAGCAACGGGAAGGGCGGGTCGAAACTGCAGCTGGATGTGACCATCGACAAGGGCGAGGAGGACGCGGCGACCTGCCCGGTGGTGGCATTCGAGAAGGCCAGCAGGGACGGCATGCTGGGCGACGGTGTCGTGGCGCACATCACTCTCCAGGAGGGCCAGGCCGTTTCGTTCACGCTGCGGGATGATCTCGACAGCCACGCCACTACGGATATCACGACCGAAGACCTGGACAAGCAGCAGCACGATACGCAGACGTTCTGGTACAACTGGATCTCTAAGTCCAAGTACAGAGGTAGGTGGAGGGAGGTAGTTGCGCGCAGCCTTATGATCCTGAAGCTGCTCACCTTTGAGCCGACCGGGGCCATCGTCGCGGCCCCGACCTTTTCGGTGCCGGAGGAAATCGGTGGGCCTAGGAACTGGGATTACAGGTGAGCTGGATTTTATGAGAATGAAATCTGCAATCGTTGACGTTTCAATGTCGTAGGTATTCCTGGGTTCGGGATTCAAGCTTCACGGTTTACATCCTGCTGCGTTTGGGGTACGCTGAGGAGGCGGATGCGTACATGGGATTCATCAGCGAGCGGATCCTGAAGTCGAGGACTCCTGATGGAGGACTGCCCATCATGTTCACCATAAGGGGAGACACTGAGATTCCCGAACTGGAGCTCGACCATCTGGAAGGCTATAGGGGGTCGAGGCCTGTTCGGATCGGCAACGGAGCAGCTTTCCACCAACAGTTCGATATCTATGGGGAGCTCATGGATGCGGTTTATCTGAACAACAAATATGGAAAGCCCGTGACTTGGGATACTTGGGTCTCTGTAAGGCAATTACTAGGTATATTGTGCCCTTATTTCCCCATCTTGTAGACTACATTCTGACTTACATTGGCTCAGACTATGTGTTGACCATAATGAATGGTGAGAAAAGCCTGATATGTCTTTACTTCTCGGATATACAACGATACTGATCTTTTCGCAGATCCTGACATGTCTATTTGGGAGGTTCGAAACCGCAAGCAGCACTTTGTCTACTCTAAGATCCAGCTCTGGGTCGCCTTTGACCGTGGGCTTCGCTTAGCAGAAAAGAGAAATCTGCCCTGCCCGAACAGAGCCAAATGGCTGGAGGCCAGAGACACTATCTATGAAGAGATCATGGAGAAGGGTAAGGCCCTACGCTCCTTTTCCTCTTGCTGGATAGTCAGCTCCTTTCTCACTGTGCCCCTGTTCTAACCACCTCACCGTACTCAAACCAGGCTACAACACCGAGATGAAGTCTTTCGTGCAGAGCTACGAGAACAACACGATGCTGGACTCGTCCATCCTGATCGCACCGCTGGTCTTTTTCGTTCCGCCCAACGAGCCGCGCTTCCTCAGCACCCTGGACCGCATCCTCTTGCCCCCGGAGAAAGGTGGCCTGACGTCAACGGGTCTGGTGTCGCGATATGACACGGAGCGCTCGGACGACGGCGTTGGCGGACGTGAGGGCGCTTTCAGGTAAGCAGCTTCGTGGGGTTACTCTCTGCTTCATGGAACAGCATCCTGCTATGCGAAGGCCATCATATAGGCAGAATGTGTCCTTTCTAGCCCTTACCTCACGTCGGGCTTCTTCTCTCTCAAGGCTTTGCCAGCTGACTCCAAGTCCTGCAGCATGTGCACCTTCTGGCTGGTCGAGGCCCTGACGCGAGCGGGCGTCTACGACAGAAGGTATCTGGTCAAAGCGGTCAATCTGTTCGAGAACATGCTCAGCTTCTCGAATCACCTAAGCATGTTCTCCGAGGAGATATCGCGCAGTGGCGAGCAGTTGGGAAATACGCCACAGGCTTTTAGCCACCTCGCTTTGATTAGTGCGGCTTTCAAGTAGGTCTCCTTTTGCCCGAGCTTGCGAAGACTGTTCTGGGTTTCGCGTAATATTGACTGTCTATGTAGCCTCGACCGTGTTTCTGAGTTCCATCGCGGTTGATATATGCTAGAAAAGAGCTCGATTGAAGCAGCGTAGCATCTTTTTAGATGAATCTTTTAGGCAAAGATATATAATGGTCCCCGTTGACCCTGGTGGTGGTTCTGGCGGGACCCTTGGTCTGCCAGAGACCGATAATGAGTACCGGCTGATAAGTCCAGCTTGCGAGACGGAGATAAATATCAAATTAGGGGACGAAATCACTGAGCCTGGACGCATATCTTGCTAAGTTGCTCTTCCGCTGAATTCCTAGTCTAGGTCAAAGCAAGGGACGTACGAATCGGTCCGATGAGTCTTTTTGCTCTCTACTTTGTCATTAAAGCTGTCCCTCGTTGTCCTCTCATGCCAGGCACAGCAACCGTCCTCTTGAATGCGTGGTGTAGAATAATAGCTGTTTCAAGTTTCCTATTATGTTGATGATCCTGTCGAGGATTGCACAGTCGACTCTTTTTTCCTTCCAACTTGGCCATCTTTGACTTGCCAACCGTTGACGGGAACAGCTTGAAGCTGGCTCTAAGGCCACGCCTTCCTGATCGAGTTCCTTGCCCTATGCGCCAAAACGCCAACGCTCACCCCATTGAGGATTCTGTCAACTGGCTTGCAATGAGCTCTTGGCTTCATTCCGAAACCTCAAGTTGTCAGTCTGGATGCATGCCAGCGACAGCTCTGCGACGATTTCCGCAAGAGCTCCAGCCGAGCTTTTCATTAATTGTTCCGAGAAGCGAGCCACCTTGGAAAGCCAGTCTGGCCTAAGAACTTGCTCGCTGCAGAGGCTCTGCCATCATTATAGTAGCACTGGACACGAAATCTGAGAAAACCTGTCAGCTAATCAGGAATGCACGTCGAAGGACTTAGTGGGGGGTTTATCGTACGCATAGATGCGTCCCATGCCTGCTGACCGTTTTGACTCCCTATCCATCCGCTGCCGAGCCGTCTCGAAAGGCCCCGAGTCCCAATCCACTCGGATATAGTGTTATCCGCGCCATGTGAGAGCATATTGCCCCATGGGTGATTGCTTAATTCCCTATGACAGGTCCATCTCTCCATCCATCGTACCGATAGAGCTGAGCCCACTGGACGCAGGTCTGGACTCTGTGTCCGTGTCGGGCGAGGTCTTGGACGGCCCACGCTGCTTTTCTACCCAGCTCCGGATGCTGTCGATCTCTGCGTGTCCCTCGACCACCACAAGACCTTGATTGTGTGGCTTCCCCAGCAACGTGCCGGTATACCTCGAGTCGTCGGCAGTCTTGCTGTGCCTCTTCTTCAAAGCGCTAAGGTAGTCCGTGACGCCCTCCTCACTTCCATCCAGGGCGATCCTCCTAATATTCTCGTTCTTGGGGCCCATCGCCCACGCCACGAAGTCATCCACGCCTCTTGTATCTTCCTGGCCTGTGAAGCTTTGGTCCTCGAAGTCGCGCTCGGGTAGGAACGCGCCGACGTCCTGCAGCGCAAGCCGCACGTCCACGACGGTCGGAGCTGCGGCACCGTTGTAGTCGAAATCTCCGGTGTTGTCGCTGGCATGGCGGGCAGTCTCCTCACACAACAGGTTCAGGTATCGGGCTGCGAGATCGGTGAGGCTGTCGATTACAACGGGTTTCGCGGAGTGATAGCCAGTTGCACGCAAGATCTGGATTATGGCAGGCCGCAATAGCGCGTGGAACACGGCCTGCGGGGGTGTCATTTTGATGGAAGGACGGCGCCACGAGAGAGGGCACAGGCAGTCTTCGAGCCTATGGATGCGGTATTTGATTTATTTGACTGTTGTCAATGTGTGGACGCTATGCGCATGGTGAGTTCGAGTCGCATTCGAGTGAATTTGGAGGAGGGAAATTTGAGTCACCCAATTCGCAAACTAGATTAATGTTTGGCAACAACTGCGACGAGGTAGCAAACGCAACTTGAAAGCTTCCTGCAGCTTGGGTGGGTGCGGCTCAACCATGAGGAGCCTAGTCTTGCAGGGATCATGCAGTGGAAGCTTCCCCACAACGACCCATAAATCACCTGGGTACTTGGGTACCTTGGCACCCGTTGACCCCAGATGCGAGTGGAGGAGCTACGCAAGTTCACTCGCTCCATAGGTCCCCTTCGACTTCAACTTCGATTTCGACAACCACTGTCGACGCCCATCACTCTCAGCCTCCACTCTGTCTGTCACGGCCCTTTGTTCTTCTCAAGCGCCTAACAGTCAGGAAGGGTAGCCAAATGTCTGTGTCGACATGATCTGCGCCATCTGACACCGCCGACTCATCGACTTACAAACGCGTCCTGACTTCGCCGAGCCCACGTCTTTAGCCTCTAGTGCAGCATCGCGCAAGACGCCGTTCGTCACAAAGTTCGACGACACCCTGCCAAAACTTCACATACACACTTGTTTGGCTTTCCGACAAACTCAAAATGGAGGCGCCAGAGAGGAAAAAGCTGAAGCTAAAGATTAGTCGGAATCCGTCTTTCTCTAGCAGCGGCCCTGGATCTGCCAACCCGTCGAGCGCTATTATCTCTTCGCAACAGGTCGCAACGCCGGACCAGATGTCGCCTGTGCTTCGTCAAGGACAATCGTCCTTAAGCGGAATGTCTCCGAGCGGCTCTTCCGCAGACGCAGCGATCATGCCACCACCTGCAATACCACCTACTCCCACCGAAAACAAGACACATAAGATCAGGCTGTCCTTCAGCAAGAGCCAGCCTTCGACACCTATATCCGAGACGCCACCAACGAGGAAGCCTCTTCCGACCAACAGAACAGCTCTGCCCGCCGCGCCGCCGCCGGGCGAGGCACCAGCCCCACTGACTATGACCAAGGCCGGGCGAACGTCCAAACCCACTGCGAAGAAGCGCGCCAAGGCCGACGCCGATAGTGGCGATGAGGCTCAGACGAATGGAAATGCTCAGCAGCCCGCGAAGAAGAAGATGAAAACCATCAAGTTGAAGTCAGGCCCCGACGCCCCCAATGCCCGGAGAACCTCGTCGTTCAGGATCGCTATCAAGGATTCTCACAAGTCGACGTTCTATCGAGAAAATGGCTCAGGCTACGATTCAGAGATGGAAGATGCTGAGGAGGATCCCATCATAGAAGAGCAAATCGTACTGCGCATGATGGAAGGTCCGGAGTGCGACTATATCAATTCATGCCTTGACAATAAAAAGTTCCCCTCCGGAGGCATGGATTTCAAATTGAGATGGATCAACGAGCGAAGGGCGGTTGTTACAGTCCAAGGTCGCATGTATGCCGCTGTTCTTGTCGACATGCCGACGATAACAGAAGGGATGAAGACATGGGACAAAAAGCTCATGGTCAAATCTGCAGATATCTCTCAGATGCTCCTGGTCTTTGCTCGAGTCAATGACGAGGCTTCGGCAAGGATAGCAGAGCTTCCGAAGGTCATTTTCGATGGGCACAGGTGGCCACACGGTCTGACACCACCGATGCACGATGCGGTTCATCGCAGATTCCGCAAGCGTTTGCACAAGAGCGAGATCCTCAACAAAGAACAAGAAGTTCAGAGACTCCTACAGGCAGACAAGAACGCTATTGAAACCAAGTATGAATGGATTGATGAACGGAGGGACACGATGCAGGCTGGCACGCCTGATCTGGATCTGCAGGATGCTGAGGGAGAAGAGGATGCGGAGGGCGAGATTGATGACGGTTGGGACATGGGAGCGAACGATATCGACATGATCGACGCTGATATAGAGGCTCAGCTCGAGGCAGAATTGAACGACCTTGAACCGGAGATGGCGACTCCAATTCAAGAAGGCGCTACCCCGGCAGCTCTTGCTCCCGACACACCCGCGGCCGGAGCTGAGGCTGCAGAAGGTAAAGATGGGGACGGAGCTTCAGTCGAGGGCGAAAGCGCGGAAGACTACGATGATGACGATGACGATTCAGACGACGATGTCAATGATGAAGAGAAGGAGCGCCGTGAACAAGTCAGAGGTGTCCGCGAGGATGTCAGAGACATCGAAAAACAGATTAGGGCTCTGGAGAGCGAGCTGGCCACCAAGACTAACCAAATTTTAAGGAGACGTATAGAAGCCAGGATCAAAGGCCACAAGGAAGACCGGCAATTGAAGCTTGCTTCTATTGGAGAGGTACCGCCTGAGGACCAAGATCAGGATGAGTGAGCAGACCGCTGAAGCTATGCCAAAGCCTGGTGTTGGGCTTAGGTTTTGGCCTCCTACCAAGGACAGCGGGATATAATATGGAGGAGTGGAGGCCGGTCAAGGCGAGAACGAAGTGGGAGGCGACAGTGAGCAGCAGTCACTATTGTCACGGCGCTTCATGTTTCGGTTCCAAGACTCACGCTGCTATGCAGCACTGGCGCTTCTTTGAGTCTATGTGGGAATTTTGATTCAAGAAGTGGAATATCACTAGACGGCTGAGCACTCACTTGTCTGGAACATAACTAGTGCTGCAACTCTATGTTGGCATGCGCAACGCTATCAGCGAAAGCAGAACAATCAAGATCATCTCCAGGTCTGTCTGTTAGTTGGGACATATTTGTCTTCTCACGATATGCGTTGATTTTAGATACCGTGCGGGCCCAATAGCCCGGTGGAGTGCTTGCTCGCTCAAGCGAAGCTCCCAATAATATACAGATAGATGTTGTGCCACACGTCGACCAAAGACTGTCTGGTCTGCTCTGAATAGTATTGACATAGATTGTCCCCAAAACGTCGTGGGAATGGCATGGCTTAGTCCCCAGCCACTCCTTACATGGACTTGAGGTAGTTGTCCTCCTTGATCTTGGCCTTCCTCTCCTTCCTCATCGCCTTCCTCAGCTCCTCCCGCTTCTCAATTGCCACGATCGCGTCCTTCACGTCGCCTTCCGGCTTCCCCGGCAGGTTGATCGACTGCTGCTGTAAGGGAATCTTGGGCGCCAGCGCCTCGAGGTTGCCGGTCGCCAGCATCTTGGCCTCGAGCTCGCGCTGCCGCTTGGCGGCTATTCGGCGCTGCTTCTTGGATTTTGCTGTTGGTGGTAAAATGCAGATGTCAGTACAGTGGTCCCCATCTACCATACCGCCAAAAGAGCAGGAGAGAGTTGTGGGATGAGAACGTACAGAATTCATCACCGGCGTCCGCATCCTCCTCTGCCGCTGACCCCTTCGTCACGTCGAGGCACGACCACAGCCACTCCGGGTACTCGTTGTCCGGCAGCGCGACGGGGTCCGACTTTCCCTTGAAGTAATTCAGGCCGTTGAGGACTGTGCCCGCTGGGCATGTTGACCGCGCCGCGGCCTCTTCTGGAGCTGTCGTCGCATCGCTTGCCGCAGGCGCAGGAGCTGCGGCGGCTGCTGCAGATTGCCTGGATGGTATCGCGGAGAAGGCCCGTCGGATTGGCGCCCTTTGTATTATTGAGCGTTGGCCGAGGGCCGTTGCTCTTTGTAAACAGCTTCTGCAGATCATTTTGTCGACCTATGGGGAAGTTGGGCGTGTTGATGTCCGGACCAGGTTCGTGGTCGCGGTGTTGAAGGTCCAGGTCCAAAAATTTCTCGGCAGGCAAGGTGCCTCGTACTGAGCCTAAGCCTTACAGTGCCTCAGTGGTGAACACGCAAATCACGGATGAGATTCACCAGGAACGCAACATTTTAATTCAACCACTCCATGAATATTTGGAGTACTGATGTGTCTTGGCTGAGAAAGGCTTTCTCCTGTCTTCATGCCACTGTCTAGGTGTACAGGTTCTAACAGCTTGCCGTTCCAATTGCACGCATGATGCCATCGACCAGCCTCTAGCCTGAGCGCAAGTTGTTCACTGGATATCCATATGCCCAAACCAATTGCAGCAAGAACCATTTGTAGATGGCTTCGCAGCGAGCCAGGGAGGTCCATTGTCTCATGCGCTCTTTTCCATGTGGTTTTGTTGCTGGAACAGATAACCCCGGACTCTATTCTTCTCAAGCAACTGGAGATACCGCTCTGTTGCAAATTGTCAGCCACTTGTTGCTCCGCAAAATCCAATGCACCACGCAATCACTCAGTATAGAGGCGCTATTATCGTGTGCATCTCCCGTTGAAGGCTCCGAGACCCCCCCCCCCCCCCCTCTTCGTCCCGCTGCATAGTGGGTGATGGTATTACTGACCTCGCAAAGGGCCGCACTTCTCCAGGTGGTTAACACCCTCCCGGTAGTAGCACTTGCTCAGCTCTTCCCGAACGAGACGTCCCATCATGACCTGCACCCATTGCTCCCGGATGATGGCGTCCTGGGCCTGCTTGAGGCGCTTGTTGTCATCGTAGTCGACCCCGTCGAAGGTTGGTGGCACGGTCGGCTTCTTGGCCAGGAAAGCCTCGGACTCGGGGGTCGGCATTGCGAGTTGCTGTCGAAAAGAGCGATGGTGCAGTCGGCTGGGTGCTGAGTTGATGCGTTGTTGAGAAGGGCGCGGAGTGCGATGCGTCGATGCTCCCTCGCGCGACCAGTTGACGACGAATGGACTTGTTTCGATATCTAATTATGCCAGCCGGCGGGAGCTCGCTGCCAGTCCGACTCCCAGGCCCCAGGCCGACCGGGCCATCTCTCTAATGTCCATGATGGCCCGTGCGCTCAAAGGTACGTACCCTTTATCCGTCTGTATCGCAGCCTGCCGCCGGGCTCGAGAAAGTGGAGGCGGCGGACCCACACTAGCTCTTCGCCGCCAGAATTTTTCGATTCTGCCGCTGGTTGAAGTTTTCCTGTTCCAAGGGTCCTGCCACTCGACTTAATAAACCCCGTCGCAACTTTTCAACTCGAGCCCAGTCCCCAACTTCTCTCTTCCACCCACCTTCTCTTTTGGAAATTTTCATCCTGATTATTTCCTCATCCCTTCCTTCATTCTCTACCCAATCTCACCCTAAAAGCATTTCAAACAGCTTACGTTCATCATGGGTAAAACCAAGGAGGCAAAGGGCAGCAAGACCAAGGCCGAGAAGCCTTCGGTTGTCAAGGCTGCCGCTGTCACCAAGTCCACATCAACCCCCAAGGCTAAGGCTAAGGCCGCAGCCCAAGAGATTGCTAAGAAGGCCACTTCTAAGAAGTCCAAGAAGGAGGAGTCCTCTTCTGAGTCCAGCTCTGAGTCCGAGTCCGACGACTCCGCTTCATCTGACTCTGAGTCCTCTGAGTCCTCCGAGTCTGAGGAGGAGAAGCCCGCACCCAAGGTCAATGGCAAGATCAATGGCAAGGTCAACGGCAAGGTGAATGGCAAGGCCAAGCCCGCTGAGTCTTCTGACGACTCCGAGTCCTCGGAGGACGACAGTGACGACAGCGATGACAGCGACGATAGCGACAAGGAGACACCTGCCAAGGCCAAGGCCGCCCCTGCTGCTAAGAAGGCTGCCGCTGCTGAGTCGTCTGACTCTGACTCTGACTCCTCCGACGATGAGAGCGACGAGAAGCCTGCTGCCGCTAAGAAGGCTGATAGCGTGAGTTACATTAATTGATAAATAAGTGTACCATCTGCTAACCACCATGCTCGTAGTCCGATGAGGAAGACAGTGATTCCTCCGACTCTGACAGCGATGAGGAGACAGCTAAGCCTGCCGCCGCGAAGAAGGATGCTAAGAAGGCCAAGGAGGTAAGCTATTAAACTTGGAAGAGTCGACATATCACTTGACTTTGACTAATGTTTCTCTTTGCAGTCCTCTGACTCCGACTCTGACGATTCTGACGACTCCGACTCCTCTGACTCCGACAGCGAGTCAGAGGAGACCGAGGCACCATTCGCCGCCAAGAAGCGCAAGGCTGAGGAGGCTGCTGCTGAGGCCCCAGCGAAGAAGAACAAGACGGAGGATGCTTCTTCTGAGGAAGGATCCACCCTCTTTGTTGGCAACCTCAGCTGGAAGGTCGACGACGACCTTCTCTACAACGAGTTCCAGAACTGCAAGGGTATCACAAATGCTCGCATCATCACTAGCCGCGATGATGGCCGCCCTCGAGGCTTTGGCTACGTCGACTTCGACTCTGCTGAGAACGCCCAGGCCGCTCTGGATGAGAAGCAAGGAGGCTACCTCGACGGCCGCGACATGCGTCTTGACATTTCTAGCGGAAAGCCCAAGAACGACCCCGCTGCCCGTGCCGGTGACCGCGCCAAGAAGTTCAATGACGAGATGAGCCCCGAGAGTGACACTCTCTTCGTTGGTAACCTATCCTTCCAAGTTGACGAGGAGAGTGTCTCCGCTTTCTTCGCCGACATTGCTGAGGTGAAGAGCCTTCGTCTGCCTACTGAGCAGTGAGTACATACTTAAAGCCCTTCGTTTGCATGTTGCTAATTTTCTTCTAGGGAAACTGGACGGTTCAAGGGTTTCGGATACGTCTCGTTCCACTCCGTTGAGGATGCCAAGAAGGCCGTCGAGCAGCTCCAGGGCGCCGACCTTCAGGGTCGTGGAGTCCGTCTGGACTATGCTAGTGGCCGGCCAGATAACGGTGGTGGCGGCGGCCGTGGCGGCGGTCGCGGTGGATTTGGCGGTGGCCGTGGAGGTGGCCGCGGAGGTCGCGGTGGCTTCGGAGACCGCGGCGGACGTGGCGGCTTCGGTGGCCGTGGCGGCGGACGTGGTGGATTTGGAGACCGTGGTGGCCGTGGAGGCGGCCGTGGAGGCACCGCCTTCCAGGGCAAGAAGATCACGTTCTAGAAGAATCGTGATCCGCCACAAGGTCACAAGGACGGCAGCGCAGCTGCTAAGAAGCAGCAAGCGAAGCGAAACAAGAAGCAGAAGGACGCGTCGTGAGGCGTGTGGCCGCACATGATGGTTCCGAGGGCTCGTGGCATTTCAGAGGGCTTTGTGGGTTTTCGGCATCGATACCTGTGGGCTTATTCATGACTTGTGGGCTTGTTCCTGACCCGTGGGCTCGTGTGTTCTGCAACACACTAAGACACTGTCGGTGTCTGCTCCTTGCTCTTGGGAGCATCACTTAGGTGATGAGTTTCCTGCTTGATCCGTGTGGGCTTCTGTGGGATTTCTTCGGAGACTTGGATGTCTTGTGGGAGCATCCGCAAGTCTCTTGGTCCGTCTCTACTGAGGGTTCGTGGGCGTTGGGGGCTTCTAAAAAAAAGGGATTTGCATTCTGGTACACGAATACTGAGGGCTTCTGAGGGCATCGTCACCGCCTTGACAACGCCGGCTGGCAACGCAAATCTTATTCAGGTATGATTTCTAGTTGACTGTTGAGCCGGTAAGTATATCCCAGCTGCCGAGATTCTCGTACTTCTTTTCCAATACCCAGTTGTTGCTTTTTCGTTAGTTGTAGGATACGATAGACAGTTGGTACACAATAATCGATCGGTCGACATTTGTTTCGAAATGAAGAATCTCTATTGTTTACAGTGCATGTATGAATGTGGAAAGTTGTGGCGATGTTCTAAAACCCAAACCAGCCCAGCCTCACTTAGCCAGGCCTGCATCTTAGCGGGAACATTGAGTGGGAAACGGTGAAACGGTGAAACATACGATCATGTATGCATATGCTATGTGCATATGCAGAGGACGTTGTCTGGGGAGAGGCATCGCGTCATTGGGGTGTGCTGCTGGCTCCCGTGTGACGCCGCACCCAGCGATTCTGGCCAGTCAGGAGGTCAGGCCCTGGAGGCACCTGTGGCATGTGGACGGGGTGACGGGTTTGGGGGCGCGATGATCAGCCTTGATCAGCCTGATTGCAAGGCCACTTGACAAGGACAAGGACCAGGACCCTGTTTCTGACTTCGTGTATGTCTCTGCTTGTTGTCTAAGCCTATCTTGCTGCTGGCAGCAGGCGTAAGCTTACCCACATGGCGATTCTACAGTAAGTATACGTGTGTGTGTACTTTGGGGGGGGGGGGGGCTTCTAGGGTGATCCTACCAAGTGCCTTGGCCCAAAAGACAAAGAGACAACAAAGCCCGCTACTGGGTTGTAGTACGTTATTGGAGGGCGGTCACGACGGCAGGACGGCCCTTCTGGTTCACACGGCGTCTCTGCCTTACCCTGGCCCACCCTGCAAGGCGTGATCGGAGCGGTCTACAGCACATACTTAGCACAGTCTCACGGGGCTTAACGCTCCTTTTGTTGAGATGCATCGTCCACTCGCCTCCTCCTCCTCGTCGTCCTCTCGCCTGCTGCTCTGCTGTTTTGCACTCCCGAGTCTCCTCCTCCATTCTGAATTCTGGCAGACGATCGATCTCGTCACATTTCCCTCGCTTGTCCTACTCAGCTGCATTCCTTTCACCCACCTGCATCCCCATCGGCATCTGCATCTGATCCGCACCACATCTACTGTACTTGTACATCCGTCCACCCACTCAGTCCCACTCTGCCGCCGGTATCGATAAAGCCCGCAGATCTAGATCCACCGGCTGGGGCTGGGCAAGGGCATCCAAGGAGGGGTCCCCTTTCTGTACCGACTTACACCACATCTCTCTCCGTCTCTCTCTGTGCAGTGCAGTGCCGTGCCGTGCAGTGCAACCACAACCGCAGGACATCACCTTATTCCTCTCCTCTCCTCCCGTCCGCTCTCTCCTCCCTCCACTCCTCAGGTCCGACCGCTCCTCAGACCACCGCCATCCTCCTCTTCTTCTCTTATCCGGCCTTCCCCTTTGAGCATCCGCCATGTCCTCCTCTCAGCAGCCCAGCCATCCTGGCACCAGCCGCCCCAGCCGCCGTTCCATCCCCAACTCCGATAGAGTTTCAGACAGCATGGCGCGATCGGATACAAGTCCAGCAGCAACGCCAGCGTCGCAAACCCAACGTAATGACGGTCAGTCAACAGCAGATGCAACAGACATGCCACGCATTACCCCTTTTCACAGAGGTGGGACACCACGGCAGCAAGCAGCTGACATACTCTCATCAGAATCATGGGTCGAGGTCGCGTCGCAACCGTCCTCCTCCTCCCTCTCCTCCATCGGAGACGAGATCGTTACGACCGGTCTGCGAGTCGGCAGCCACTCGCACCCACCCCGAAGGAGACGTTTGCAACACCATTATTACCAGTCCATGCAACAACAAATGCAAAGCCGCGCTGCTGCGCAGGCAGGCACAAGCAGTCAGGACGAATACGACGAGACAGAGAGCGAGGAGGATCGCTTGATGACCTCGTCTAACGAGAACCTGGGCGCTCGACCCGGAAATGGACATGTTGCCCTACAACGGTCGCAGACTGCGATCGGTCCCGGCGCCGACTTGTCCGACTCGGAGGATGACGACAACGGCACTGCGCTGGGCAGGCCATCACCTTCACAAGGCTTCCGCCCTCAACCCAACGCCTTTTCGCATCCTCCTGCTCACCTCAGCCATCGCAGCTACTCCACAAGTTCGGCGGTTCCGCCCCATCACCCCGCGGCCAGGACACAATCATACTCCCACAGGTCACACCATCGCGCCCGTGCAGGCTTCATGTCCCCGGCCTACCAGGCAGACAACGACGCCGCACTGCGTGCATCCCTAACTACACTGCTCTCCTGCGCCGCTGCCGCCAAGAGCCTGCCCGGAAGACGCAACGTGGCCGCCGAGCCATCATCGGGGGAGCCGGTCATGGGCGCAGGCGTCGGCCCGAGTAGCCAGCCGATGGAGCTGAGACTGGTGCCAGAGTCCGAATTGGGCCCCGGAGGCTCGCCGGTGCACGTGTCCTCTGCGGCGAAACCATCGCCCCGGACGCGCCAGCCCACGACTCGGACTACATCTAATTCCAGCGCACAGAGCGCTCCCGCGTCCGTGTCGTCCAAAGAAGAGAAGGGCAAAAGGGCTGCTTCGACCGCCCAGCAAAAGCCCCAGCGCGCCACCAAGAAGAAGAAGGTGTCTGCGGTGGGCGTGGACGACAACACTGTCACATGGATCAGCCCTGCCACGCTGACGTGGGTCCTGGGCACCGGAGTCGTGCTTCTAGTGTCCGTGGTGGGCTTTGGTGCGGGTTTCGTGGTTGGGCGCGAGGTCGGCAGGCAGGACGTCCTGCACACGATGGGCGGTGGAGGTGCACCGATGGGTGCGGGTACGAATGCCACGTCTTGCGGTGGTGAAGTGATCCAGAGTACAGGCAGTGGAACGCTTAGGAGGTGGCGCTGGGGTTCCGGCATGGGAAGGCTCGTGAGCGCCTAGTGGGTGGAGTTCATGGAGGTGATACCCGTTTGAAAGGTGCATTGCGCAAAGTCCAGGCGCGGGAACACAAGGCCAATGAGATTAAGACCCTGACTTCATGAAAATGAAGGTGACGGGTCGGTGTTTTGGCTGAGTCGAGTGGGGAAGCTCACCGAATTTGACTTCCTTTTTGTTTCCAGGGAGAAGAGGGCGTTCATGGACATTTGCTTTCCAAGCATGAAGGAGAAGGCTGCTTTTAAAGATTGGGAGATACCACATCCGTTTTCTTTTGAATCTTGTCCCGGCGAACTTGGTCTCGTCGCTAATTACCGTGAGGCCATGACGTGGACGGATCTGAATAAATACACGACGACGGGCGAGCGAGCGATCAGCAAGGGCGGAGCTGGAATAGCATTGGCTTACCTAGGAGTTAATACGACGAAACATTCATTTCATCAGTTGTGGTTCTACATCTGGGTTAGTTGGCTGTGTGTGCCTATGCTGTTTGCTCAATCCGTGTCTTGTAGCAACGTCAGTAGCGTGCTCTTGCCGTTTCCTTCGGACTGTGCGACGATGTGTGGGTAGCTTGAGTGGACTCGCGTCGTCTATATCTCCCGTGCACATCATGATGTTGACAATTCAATCCTAAGAACTTCAATATTATTGGACATCTTTTGTTGGTCTGGTCGGCGTATATTGAACGGAGTGTATTCTCATGTATATCTAGCGCTCTTGCACTTTCTATGCGTCCAGTCAGGAATTCCTATTTTCACACGGATATATCTACAGGGCTGATCCTCAGGACTTGACTTCTCCCTCAGGACTTTTGCTTGCTTTTCGCCTTGTCTTCATCGTCTTTGTTGACGTTCTGTCCCTCCAAAACGAGGTCCTTGTTCCCACTCCCCTTTCTTCTCTCCTCTATCAACATCGCAAACCCAATACCCGTCGCGATGCCGACCAGATGCGAGATCCAGTCTTTCTGGCCCGGCAACTGCCTGAAGGCAGGGATCAGGTTGAGGCCCACGATCAGGCCGATGATGCCAAGCCCCTGCATGCCGTTGGCCGGGTCCGGCGGCAGGTCGAGGATCTTGAAGCCCTCGAAGCGGTGCAGCCAGAAGTAGCAGCAGATGACGCCGAAGACGGCGCTGGAGGCGCCGAGGCCGTAAGTCAGGTGGCGCGTGAGCACGCACTTGTACAGCGACGCGAGGAAGCCGGCGGCGCCCGACCCCACGAACACGGCCAGGTACTCGGCCCTGGACGCGTCGCCGAGGAGCAGGCCGCCCAGCAGCCACAGCACGAACATGTTCTCGACGAGGTGCGACGGCGCCTGGTGCGAGAAGATGGCCGCCACGGCGCCCGTGGGCCGCGGCATCACCATGTCCATGATGGCGTGCTTGTTCAGGAACTTCCACGCCCCCATGCGCCGCCACGCGACGAACACGGCCAGGTTCACCAGCAGCAGCCCGTAGATGGTGGCGTCCTTCTGCGTCAGCCACGGCACGAGCCGCCTGTCTTCGGCCGGGGCGCTGTAGAGGCCCGATGCCCACCAGAGCAGCGGCACCAGGGCGGCCACGAAGATGGTCGTGGGCAGCAGGACGCGCCACCTGGGCGCCTCGGGCGGCGCCTCGAGCTCCGAGGTTGCTTCGGCGCGGTACGCTTCCTCCTTGGGGCTCATGGCGACCTGGCGGGTGCGTCCGTCCTCGGTAGTCGCAAGTCCTCCCCAGTTCTGCTGGGCCGCTTCCTCCTCCTGCTTGCGCTTCTCCTCGAGCGCCTTCTCCTCGGCCTCGCGCCTCGCGATGTTGCGCGCGCGGATCTTGTCAAGGATGCTGTCGCCGTAGACGTTCTTGTCACCTGACTCCCTGTAGAGCGACCAGGGGCTGGACTTTCCACGAGCACTGACGTCCTTCTGAGCACCGTCTTCCTCGGATTCCGACTCCGCCATGCTCTCCAGTGCTCGCAGCTCGTCCTCTGCTCTCAGCCCTGCATTGGCGATCTCGTCGACAGGCACGTGGGCCCGGAGATAGCCGAGCGCCTGCTGGATCTCGCGCTCTGTGAAGCTGGCTGTGTTGCCCTGCACCTCAGGGTCCTCGAGGCTGCCAGCGACCCTGCGGCCGTGGAGGATTCTGAGCAGCTTGTTGGCCCTCCAAGACGTCATGTCCGGGGAGCCCTTGAAAATGGTGTTCGTGGTGACCTGGTCCAGTTCGCCATCCCTGCGGAAGGGCAGACCTTCCTCATCCTCGTATCCGGGAGGCAGGTCAACGTAGTCCGTCACCACACCCGAGGAGCCGAAGAAGGTTCGCCTCGGGTGCTCGATGCGCCAGGGAGAGCTGCGCCATGGCTGTTGGAATTGGTTCTGCGCAAGGGCGATGACATGCTCGCCGGGTCCTCGATGCCGTGAGGCTGTCCATACCGAGGAGGCAAATCTAGCTGAGCCGGCGAGAGGCCCTATTGCGGTTGCTTTGGTGACACCAGAGGCCGCGGCCCGGACCTGGTTCTGCAGGTTGAGCCGCAAGGCCGGGGCGGCGCGAAGACAGCAATTAACACCGAGAAAGGTGCTCATGTCGCCGTAGGTTGTGCGCAATTACGGCGCGCCCTCGTGCATCCACCTCCCATCAAAGCAATGTTTGCAAGACTCGGCGAGCTGAGCTTCGTCGGTTCTGTAAGTCAGTCGACTTTGAGAGCTCGACTTGATGGTTGACGCGCACTGAAGAAAAGGTTGCCTGCCGGTTGGGGGACGTTCTCAGGTGCGATCCACTCAGCAGGGGTCCCACCTGCAATATTAAGAGTTGTGAGAGAGTTTTAGGTACATATCCCCATAGCTAAATGTGCTAGTCTACTGAAGTAAAGTGTACCCGGAATTAGCCGCAGTAGTGGGCCAGAAGCACCTTAGCATTATGTCTTTTGCGCCCTATCCATCATTTAGGTATAGTTACAGCAGCCAGGCTGCTGGACAGTGTAGGGTAAGAAGAGGTATTGGATCCATATATTACGAAAGTAATAGCATTCAGCCTACATAATACCTGTTCTTCTATGTATTTTAAATCCGTTGCAATTAGAATCTGTACTCACATAGCTACAGCAAAATAGCTTGCCATAGCGAAATGGCTTACCACGGCGAAACAGACCAAGTGCCACAAAGAGCCCGAGCAACCACTATGAATTTATTTATTAACGACAATCTAAGAGGGTTAACAAACTAAGGAGGGTGCGAAAAAAGATTCCCAAGCCCGGGGGTTGAACCCGGGGCTCCTGGCCCCAGAGGGCACACTTCCGCAGTGTGCTTCCATGTGTGTCATTCAGGAATGTTGCCATTACACCAGCTTGGGTTGCAATATCAGAATCTTGCTGGATTATCGATGGTCATTGCCACGGCTGTGATGACATGCTTACTGCATACAATTTCCAGAATTTTTAAAGGTGCCCGCTAATGCTATCTAAACATGGCATCCTGCATGATATCTCTAGGAGCAATGGACCCCGTCTCAGCTCATGCCCTAACAAAGCTGCGCGCCCTTCTTCTCTCCTCCTCGCTCAGGACCCACTGGATGCTCTCGTCCGAGGTGTCGCCCATGATCTCCTCCCACTCGTCGTCCTCCATGTTCGCGACCATCAGCACCTGGCTGACCTTGGCAAACAGCTCCCTGACGCTGTAGTTGCCGCCCTTGGACACCACGCCGATGATGGCCGAGAAGTCGCGCTCCATGCGGATCACCCCGAACGCGTTCGCCCGCCCCGAGTACCCCCACGCGCGCTTCTCCAGCACCCGCGCGAGGTACTTCGCCGTGAGTTCCAGCAGCGTGCTGAACGTCTTGGGCGTCATGATGCGCGCGATCGGCTTCATCAGCGCGTCCCACCCGTGCTCGAAGCGCCGCGCCACCTGGTCCAGCAGCTCGTCCTCGTCTATGTCTTCTGCCGCTGCGATGTCCGCCAGGTCCTCCTCGCTCAGTGTGTAGTCCACCTCGCGGAATGTGTCAGCGAGGACCCGCTGCATCCGGAGCTTTACAACTTGGTTAGCCAGGACTTGCAGACCCTCGCCCAGCAGCTCGGTAGTTTTGGAGGTGAAGCTCGACAGGAGGTTATTCAGTGCATTTGTGACAAAGGTGACATCGTGTTCGAAAGGGAACATGTCCTCGAGCGGCTGCTGTGGCCCAGCGCCGTTGGTCCGTTCTGTCGATTTTCCGAGGAAAGTGAATATGATCCTTTCCAGGTATTCGTTGGACATGTCCAAGGTGTTGATGAGGACTATAAAAGCGATGATCTTGTCCTCCGGCGGGAATCCTCCCTGAACTGCCGGTTTTGGATATGATTCGTCTCGCATTTTTCTCTGCACCATGCCAACAAAGTCCGACCCCAGGACCCGGCCGACCGTTGGCAACACTGAGCCGACGGCCTCTCTTTGATGCGTAGAAAGGGTCTTTTGGATGACTGTGTTGACGATGTACATAACGTCGTCAACGGCTGACATGACAAATGGAGGCTGGCCTTCCAATTGTTTTTGTGGATTTAGTGAAAGCCCGCTGGGCATTTCGTCTATCTGGAACGCCTTCTCCACGGATCTCCTGAAGAAAAATGTGCTCATGACATTATATGGCGTGGTTAGCTTCCCTGAAACTTTGCGGCTCAGGTTCGATTTGGTCAGAAGTTCCGGTGTTTGTAGAGGTGCACCTTCTTGTGAATCGAGATCCTAGATAATTGTAAGTCAATAACGTATTTCCTGGGGGCTGTGTCTTCCAGGATTGACTTACCTTGCATTTCCCAGCGATGAAGCGCGAGTATAGAGACCATCTCCCGAGCATTACAGCGATCTCGTTCAGCAAACCATCCACTTCTTTCATGTTGACTCCCTCATCCTCGCTGTTCCTCGGGTCATTGGTTCCGCCGCCTACTGCTGGGGAGTTCACCCTCGATATGCCGGACATTCCTTTTTGCTGTGGTAAGAAGCTCTGCACCAAGAATGAGAAGGGATAGCTCTTGACATCTGTGAGCTTTCTATCCACTCCTCTTTCGTCACTCCACGAATCCAGGATGATGCCGCCTTGGACGTCAGCCTCCATCTGTAGCCTCTCAATGACCTTGACCATCTTGCCAGATCCGTAGTGTCTCTCCACCAGGCCTCCGTGGCTTTCCACAATCTGAGCAATGTGCTCGAACAGTTTGGTAATCGCATTGGCGTAGAAGAAGCCGTCCTGTGCGCCGTGGCCGCCCGTGCCCGACTTGAGCGTCTGTCTCGCAGTCCCGGCCACTCCCTGGCAGACATACCGGCCGTACACGTCGAGTCCCACATCGCCTCTTCCTATGAGAGGGAACAGCTTAAAGAAGCGCGTGACCTTGGTGCCATCCCCCTCCTTGGCCGCCTTCTCAAACTCCCGGAGGAACAGCCCACACAAGCTCTCCCTGGCGTTCTCGAGCGTTACCCATGGAGCGTCGGGAATCTCCACCGTCGGCACCGTGGCAGCGGCAAAGCCGCCCCGGATGATCTCTTCAGGGATCCTGCTGGCGCGGGCGATGTATCCCGCGGCCGCCTCCCAGTCCTGCGGGGCGCCCATGCTCCAGACCACGCCGCCGACACAAGCCTTGAGCTCGGCGACCTGCTCGACGACGCGGAGTGTCTCCTCGACGCGCTGCTTCTCCAGGTCGAGCTCGCGGACACGGCCGGACAGCCGGCCCGCCGTGTGCGCGGCGCCGGCGAGCATGTTGTTGCTGATGGACCGCGTGGCGATGACCTGGGTGCCCAGCCCCGCGCGCAGGTTGTCCAGCCGCCCCAGGTCCCGGCGCAGGTCGGTCTGGGCGGCGAGGCTGGCCTGCAGGCGGCGCGTGAGGTCGGACTCGCGAGTGTGGAGGTTTGCGAGGGCGGCGCGGACGTCGGCGGGGTTGGTGGCTTCGCGGATCGGGTTTGGCTCTGCCGCCGAGCTGGGGTGGGTGTTGCTTCGGTGAATGCCGCCGTGAGCAGCGGCGTCCTGGGCGTTCATGTTCGCGGTGGGACGAGCTGTCGCCAAGGGCGAGGGCGACGGGCTGTTCTTGGTGTTGATAGTGAGGGTGTTGGTGGCCGATCGAGCTCGGCCCGAGTCCTGTGAGGTTGTGGACACGCCATTGAGAGCAGACATCGAGCTGGCCGTGACGGATGGCGTTGCATGCCTGCCTGTTGAGGGAATGTTCAGGTCACGGCTGTTGCTGCCATCAGCTGCGAGGTCTAAAGGTGGTGTTTGGGTGCTGATTGCCTTGACGACGTTCCAGCGTTGGACCTAAGCCGAGGGAAGAAGCTACGTAAGTCTGCTGTGGGCAGTTGGTCCGTCCAGGATGGCCCCATGGGTATAACCGGCGCTAGAAAGTCAGGGGGCTTTCTCCCTTGCATTTCACAGCAGCACAGTCAGACTGCATCCTCCTAGACTAAGCTCATTTACTCTACAGACTTACAATATCGTCTGCTCTATTTAATTGTCTTGCTTCTCACGAAAGATCTCTTTCTGCTTTTTGAACAATTGCCCCAACCGACCCCTTGGAATTGCTTTTCTCCAGCTGAAGGCGCAATCTCGCCTCTCGACAACCGTTCATATCAGTCTCGAGGAGCAGACGAAACCCAATATCGGAAATGTCGACCACCATGGTCCGAAAGTCGCAGGATTCCGTTTTTTCTTCTCCACAGACTGTTGTCACATATTGTGTGTCCCAAGAAAACCACCCAGAATGAATGTCTGCGACGCTTTTCATAGTCCTCATGCGCATCTGTTCGTGCGAAACTCGATGCATGTGAGCCGCGCACCTCCATGGAGACGGCGCATCGAGCCTGCCGCGGCCATTTTGCGGACGTTCACTGGATCCATGGATTCAGCTGGCGAAGACGAAACCCATGATCGCGCCGTTCTGGTACAAGGTTGGTTCCCATTTACCTCTTTGGAAGAGTTCTAGGGCTGCCTCCTCCAGGTCGTTCGTCTTGACGTCTGCCAACACTGCCCTCAAGGCCTCCACGGCTTCCAAGACTTGGTGGGCAAGCCTTGCAAAATCAGAATGTCTTTTCGACGTCCGGCTGCTCTTGATGTACTCCTCTAAGAAATTGTAGTTTTTCAGTGACTCTGGCAGCAGACGTTGTGTTGCCTGTCCGTACTGGGACAGTGGAGGCGGAGACTCAAATATTGCATCGAGCAAAACGTGCAGTGTCGGTTTCTCATAGTCGACCGATATGTTCCTGACAGAGGATAGCCCATTATCAGGTTCGGCCACCATCCCAAGAAAACCATATACACGGTCGGCAGGGCGGCTGGTCTGGCGACTACCAAAGTCCCTTAGCAACGCCCACAGTGGGTAACTCCCACCACATTGCCGAATTTCCCATATCTCCCACATGGGAGACGGCACACCCCATGAAATAAAACGATGCGTATGGAATTGAGCAAGTAACGCCTCCAGACTGAGTGAAAACTTTTCAGACATGACCTGGACACGTCTCGCCATGACGACTTCCTGGACAATCCAGACGCGTTGCCAGTAAGGATTCAGCATCAAAGGGCGAGACGCCTCTTTAAATGCCTCCTCTCTGGCCTTCTGTGCTTCAGATCTCCGATTGCCCCCCATAGGCCTTGAAAAATCGAACTTGGAGTCGGATATGATGCCAGATATGGACGAGTCCTCCCAAGGCCGCCTGTCTAGGGCGAGGTTCAGATACTTATGTTCACCCTGGAACCACCCGTTCGCGAGGCGTTCGTGCCATTCCAAGGCTCTCATTATGACTTCAAGCTCCCAGTTAGAAAATTCCAACCAAACCACAACGAGGTCTGCGGCGGAATATATATCACCCATCAAAGACACCTGCTGTGCAATCTCATTGTGATCACTCTGGTCCAAGCAGACATGGTCGGTCCAGAAGAACAGGTCAAACCGATTGTTACGCCAGACGTGGTCCAAAAATTTCCACAGACTCTCGTGTAGCGCAAAGAGCTGCCATCCTTCGCTGTTGTCTTGAAGATAGATCCGCCTGGTTGGCTTCTGGTCTCCCCACATGTATGACAGCGCCTGATACGAACCCGCGACAAGCAGCTCCTCCCTATCAGCATGGAAGATCGTGCACGCGATATCATCATTTACCTTTTTTGGCATGACTCTGATGAGCCGTATCGTCGTCGGGCGCTCGAGTTTTCGATGTTTGTAGGGTTCATCTTTCACCACGGGCTTAAACATCGCCACAGCTTGGGAATGAATGTCCATTAAATGTTCCAACGTAAGAACATGATATCCTAACCAGCCTGCCATCGTACTGTAGTTGCTGTTCGAGCAGAACAGGAGGGGTGAGGCGCTATCTCTCTAGTTGTGTGTTGTGTCAACAAAGTGTACAGTTGCGAAAGTGGAAGAAGATGCATAAGAAAGTATTTGAAGGCAGCAGATGACATACCTGATATAACTGGGCGAAGGGGAAGTCACAGCCCGCAGCAGAAACACAGCCCATTGGGTTGACCCTCGGGCTGACATCTCCTTGGTAATAACACGTCAGGCTGCAGCTCGCTGCGACATTCCCACCACTGTCGACCCGGCTCAGGACACTCGATGGCACCTCTGCTCCCGACAAGCGGCGATGCTGGCATAAAATGTTATGATCATAATAGTCTATTATAATGCCTCTACACAATGTATTTACAAGCGCTACACCATGCACAGGACACCTTTTCAATAGGTAAGGCCGCATTGCCTCCCTCACACAGCCTGGCTGTACCCACCGCCGAGCCGTTTCTTACCGTACTTCCACCACTTCCTTGCCTCGTCCGCCCAGAAGACGGTGCTGCAGAGCATGACCAGGCCTACCAGGTCGTAGAAGCCCAGGGCCTCGGTCTGGAACACCTCCTGCAGCCACGGGAAGTAGATGACGAGCAGCTGGCCGACGAGGCTCATGGAAACGGCCCAGTTGAACAGCGTGTTGGAGAAGAGGCCGACCTCGCCGCGCAGCACCGACTTGGACTCGGAGCGGCACGCCAGCGCGTTGAACATGTCGAAGAGCACGAAGCACGTGAACGTCATGGTGGTGTCGCGGCGCGTCACCTCGCCGTCTCCCAGCATCTCGTGCGTGTACACCAGCATCGTGCCGAGCATGACGATGAAGGCGGCCTGCGCCACGCGCTGGATCAGTGCCCGCGTCAGGACGGGGGCGCCGCGTCTCCGGGGTGGCCGCTTCATGACATCCGGGTCGACGCGCTCGACGCCGAGTGATTGCGCGGGAGGGCCGTCCATGATGATATCTGGTCGTCAATTAGCAGGTTAACAAATACCCATGTGGTGACTGTTGGTGCTTACTGATCCAGAGGATTTGCATCGCGTTCAGTGGGGACTTGAAGCCTAATATTGTGCAGATCAGGACCAAGGAAAGGCCAGCTGCGCTTGTACTCAGCTGGAAGGTTAGGAAGTTCTGGATGTTGTTGAAGATGCCCTTGCCCTCCTCGATCGCATTCAAGATGGTGGAGAAGTCGTCGTCGGTCAATATCATATCCGCGGCCTCTTTAGCCACGTCAGTCCCGTTTCTACCCATGGCAATACCAATATCCGCCTTCTTCAGCGCCGGCGCGTCGTTGACGCCGTCACCGGTCATGGCAACGATGTCCCCGCGCGATTGAAGCGCCCTGATAATCTTTAGTTTGTGGTCTGGAGTGGTGCGTGCGAAGATGGTCGTGTGGTGCATCGCCTGCGCAAGATCTTCCTCAGAGAGGTTGTCGACGTCTTTGCCGGTCAATACCGGTTTAACCGAGACCTGACCTGGGCCATGGTCCCGAGGAGTAGCTATTTCCATGCCAAGCTGTTTGCCAATCGCCATCGCCGTGGTCTCTGCATCGCCTGTGATCATAATTACCTTGACACCACCGCGCATGAGTCTTCTAATTGATCGTGCGACGCCAGGTCTCGGTGGGTCGCTCATGCCAACCAGACCGGCGAATGTGAGGTTCTTGTACAAAGACTCGTCCTCTTCAAGCCGTGGGCTGGTGCTGCCGTCATTTCCAGGGGTTCCACTTCTAGAGGAGGGTCCGTTCGATTTGCTTCTGCCAGACCTATTCGCAGGTCCACTGGCAAAAGCGATAATGCGTAGGCCCCTAATAGCCATAGCCTCTGCTGCCTGTTGAATCTCCTGTTTCCGCGAAGCATCGAGAACAAATTCCCGGCCATCCTTTGTGATGTAAGTATCACACGATTCGATAACCCGTTCCAGGGCCCCCTTCATGTAGGCAAATTCTTTTTCACTTTTGTCAGACCCGATGGTCACGCCCATCCATTTTCTCTCAGAGCTGAAGGGCGTCTCTGAGGTTCGAGGTCCGATAGACTCGCGCACATCATGCTCACGAAATCTGTCCAACAAGTCAAGCATAGCGACGTCGGTGGGTTGCCCGACCCAGCGCGTATATGTCGAAGGTTCATCCCGGCCTATAGTTGAAGATAGTACGGCCTTGGCCGCAGCTCCATTCTCAGTGTACCGCCTGGCCAGCCGCCCATCGTTGGCGATGTTGCCGATACGCAGGATGCGCAGAGTTGCGGCGTCCGGAGTAGCATCCGTGACCTCATCGTCCGAGTCAACATCGACTACATCGTCTGCACCAAAGTACCACATCTTCGAGCTTGTCATATGATTCATTGTGAGCGTGCCTACTTTGATGTTAGTTTAGTGGGTCTCGCAGGGTCCAGGACATATTTACCGGTCTTGTCAGAGCAAACCACGTTCACGGAGCCCAGAGTCTCCACCTTGGGCATTTTGCGGACGATAGCATTGTGACGAGCCATCCGATGTACACCAAGAGCGAGCGTCACGGTAACAATGATTGGAAGTCCTTCGGGGATTGCGGCAACGGCGAGTGACACAGATATGGTGAATATGTCAAGCAGTTTCTTCCCCTGAAGCCAACCAGCAACAGAAATCAGGCCGATTACCACGAACGAGAACTTGCTCAGCTGAGAGCCAAGGTCATCCATCGAGAGCTGGAGAGGCGAGCGGGGGCTTTCGGTATCGGTGACACTCGTAGCAATAGTCCCCAACTGTGTATCACCGCCAGTCGCAAAGACAACGCCCTGGCCGTGACCGGATTTGACCAATGTTCCCATGTATGCGATATTTTGAGCTTCATTGGAGTCGTGGTCCGATTTCTTGGTGGCCCCTTCCGATGAATTAGCGAAGGTCGGGGTTGGTAGCTGCAAAGTTGAAGCGCCCTGTTTCGCCGATGCCAACGCTGCGCGAGGACGCGGCTCAGCAGTGACTTTGACCGGCTCCGTCTCTCCGGTGAGATTTGAGAGGTCAACAGTCAAGTCGGCGGCTTTCGTAACGCGCAAGTCGGCTGGGATACGGTCGCCTGTGGTGAATATCACTAGATCGCCTGGTACCAATGTCCCGGCCATGACTTTGGAGGATGTTGCTTCAAGGACTTCCTCGGCTGGCGTGGGAGCGCCCGACGAACCGATCTCCTCCAGTCCATTTTCTCCAGCTGGTTGCCAGGTCGGTGTTTTGGGGCCGGCGCCGGACTTGGCCGGCATACTTCTAATCAAATGCGCATGGTTCGGGACAAGATGGTTGAGGGCTTCGATGGATTTCTCGGATCGGTATTCCTGCACAAAGCCGACACTGACGACAATAGTCACGGCGATGGTGATACTGACGGCATCGTCCACATTTCCCACAAGCACAGAAGCTCCAGCGGAAGCAAGCAGTAGAAGTATCAATGGCTCTTTGAATTGTCCCAGGAATCGAAGCCATAATGGCTCGGGAGGGTCGTGAGGTATCTCGTTGGGCCCGAAGTCTCGTAGTCGCGACAAGGCTTCCGGAGGCGTGAGGCCGTATGTCAAGGAGGTCTTCAGGCGCGAGGCACTTTCGGCGGCAGTCAGGCAGGAGAATTCGTCGGCGACGCTCTGTACAGGAAGCACGCTATGTTAGCTCGCAGTGAACGCCCAGGTCATGATCGTTTTGGCGGAGGGTTAAGTACCCTTGACTGCGCTGAAGTTGTGCGCGCTGGAGATCTGGACCGTGGCCGATCGCTGTCAGCCCAGGGAGAGAGCTCGACGGGTTTGCTCGACTCGTTGAAGATTGGCAGGCTGGGGGAGTCTCCAGTGAATCTCTCCATGTTCCCTCAAGGTCAGGGTCGGTGAGGCCACGCCAGTGCCGAAAGCTTCGAGAGAGACTTCGCCAGTCAAGTCGAGCGACCTCCGGGGGCGTTCGAGATGGGCACGAGCCACGACTGGGGATCCAAGATGTTGCAACACTGTGACAGCCGCATTAACAAATGTAGAGGAATCGCAGGGCGGGCGTCATTGTTTGACGAAGTTGTCCAAGGCTCGAATTCAGTTCTAGGAGACGACGACACAAGAAAATGCAAGGAAATGACCGCTCCTGAGTTGCCGTGGGCAGAGAGGTTAAGAGATGGCGCTGACGTGTAATGTTAAGACCGTTTGCAGAATGCTCTTGAATCCTGTAGTCTGGCCAGTCGATCCGATCCGAGTCGGGTCGAGGCTGAATCCACCCAAGCTTGTTGCACGTCAGTGCGCACGCGGCGCAGGCTCGAACGGCTGGCCAGGCTGGCCTGCAGGTCCAGAACAGCGGAAGCTATTCTATTCTAGGTACATGGGTACAGCACCACCCGGGGATTTGGCTGTATTCAGGTACGGGGCACCTCCCTCGCGGAGACGCTGTAGATCTGCTGCATATATGCTATGTAGTCTACCCTATCATCCAAAAGCAATAGGAGATATTCTGCACCTGTGTCAGGAATTACGGGGACACAAATGCACGGGGATGGGAAAGATTTGAATATGGTTTCTCGCAGCTGGATGTGCACCATAGCTTTTCGAATATCTTCTAGCACCTAGCAGGCCGTTCCTTCACTTCTGATTTATATCATGATATTGCTGATTCTGTGTTCCTGACGCTTGAGAGCTCTCAGGTTGGCCTCTATGGTGACCTGCAAACAACTGGAGACGAAGTTGACTGCCAAGCAGGTAGACCGTAACAGTCGCCTTACCACTACCAACCCCCCCCCCCCCTTGCTCCCCCTGACCCATGCATTTGAGGACAATGACAACGTCTGACAGACCCCAACCCTAGCACGGTGGGTGGGAAGGGTCGACCAGCCACTTGCATTTTGGGCAGGGTCTTAACCTTGACCCAAGAACAACAGCAACACCGTCGTCTCCCCCCCTCTCCATCTATCTAATCCTCTTGACCTTCCATCCCACCCGCCCCTGCGGTCCGCTACAAAGCTGTCGCATCTCGCTCCAGCGTCTCCTTTTTGCTGATCGCGCAGTCTGTTGTGCTTCTTGACCTTTTTGCACTCCAAGTACGCGTGTCGCGCGATTTTTTCCTGTCCCGTCCTCGGGTGGTCGGATTCACGCGCCTGGCTACGAACGCGACTCCTTGTTGACCAGCGAGCCCCCCTCTGTTGCGCGTCAGCGCGTCGAGCATCTATCGAATACTGTACCACTATCTATTACAACTTAGGACTGGCCATCGCTTCCGTCCCCATCGGAAGCCCTCCAACGTTGCTGCGACGCCGTCGCGACCATGTTCTATTCTGAGACGCTGCTCCAGAAGACCGGGCCTCTGGCCCGCGTCTGGCTGTCTGCCAACCTGGAGCGCAAGCTGTCAAAGCAACATATCCTGCAGTCCAACCTCACCGAGAGTGTCGAGCAGATCATCACACCCAGCCAGGCTCCAATGGCACTGAGATTGACCGGCCAGTTGCTCCTCGGCGTCGTCAGGATTTACAGCCGTAAGGCTCGTTACCTGCTCGACGATTGCAATGAGGCCCTGGTGAAGATCAAGATGGTGAGTCAGATAAGCCCTGAATCGTATGCGCGTGACGCTCAGCTAACCTCTTTCCAGGCTTTCCGCTCTTCAGGAAACAACGACATTCCTGTCAACCTGCAAGTACCAAACCGGGAGTCTCTCTTGCTACCGGATCGCATTACACCTTATGACAACCTCGACCTGCTTCCAGCCCCTGATGTCGACCTGCTTTTGAGCACCCAAGACCTTGATATTTCTCAGCCTGTGGGTCGCAAAGGTCGTGTTAGCAACCGAGACATCAACTTACAGGAGGACTTCAACAACAGCCAATTCCTAGGAGATGGACTGGAGAAGGACGATGGCTTGGCTCTGGCCAACGTGGATGACCTCGATTTGCAGCTTGATTTTGGTATGGATATCGACGAAGGCCCGACCAGGATGACCGTGGAAATGGGTCGTGAGGCCCCAGCTGCTCGAGGTGTCGAGGAGGACATATTCAGTGAATTCGACCTGCCCCAGCTTGCCAAGGATAGGGACCACGACCAGTCCACTGCGCTCGGTTTCGGAGACAACGGAGTGCGCATTCACGATGATGACGGAGACATCATGATGGGAGACGACGATTTCCGACTAGATCTTGGAGACCAGTCTGCACTGCACCGGGGCGCGGATGGAGCTGATGTGCCCCGGGGTCGCATTTCCGAATCGCCGCTCTCTGACATCGACGAGGAATTTGCCAAGGAAATCGAGATTGAATACAGTCGACACGCAAACAACACGGACATGTACGAGCCGAACGACGACGAGGAGTCGGCAATGGTGCGGAACGCGCCTCAGAGGTCCAAGAAGAGGAAGATTATTGCCCCTGATGAGCAGACCATGCTCACAGGCGCTGTCATCAAGGAGCAACAATCAAAGCACGACAATATCCTCAAGCCCCAGGTGTTCCTGCCGCGCGATCCTTACTTATTGGCATTGATGGAGATGCAGAAGAACGGTGGCTTCGTCTCCAGTGTTATGATGGACGGCCAAAGCGCGACCTGGGCACCAGAGTTGAAGGGTCTGCTTTCCTTGGACGCGATTCGTGCGCCCACTGATCTGAAGAGGAAGCGAGATAGCGGCATCGCAGACATGGATGTGGAGGGGGAGCAAGGCACGTCAAAGTCGCCACGGCTCGAAATCGACCAAGATGACCCGTTCGCAGTCGGCGCGACCGACCTCGGCAACCAGTCTGTGGCAGCTGATGGCACGATACTGGAGATAGAGGGCGACGATGGCATGGGAGCCTACGATGACGAGGGCTCCGCCTTGCCGAACTTCGACGACACAATGCCTCCAGCTGTACACCCTGCAGACAACGGCCCAGTCTCTGTTGGCACCAAGCATGCTGTGCACATCCTGCGTGACCTGTTTGGCGATGAGGCCGCCACCAGCGCAGAGAAACGCAAGAAGACGTCTGTCGTTTTCCAGGAGCTCTTGCCGGAGAAGAAGACGACCAAAGCAGATGCCACCAAGATGTTCTTCGAGTGCCTGGTGCTTGCCACCAAGGATGCAATCAAAGTCGAGCAGCCCGACGGCAAGCTGGGCGGTGCTATCCGCGTGCGAGGCAAGCGAGGCCTCTGGGGTGCCTGGGCCGAGCGCGAGGCTGGCGGCGAGATTGATGAGCAGGCCGAGGAGAACAACGAGGCTCAAGCTCCAAACCAGCCAGAGCCGGCAATCGACACCAGCTCAGCGGCTGTTCCTGTCTCGGCCTAAGGAGGTTCGGGAAACAGCAACAGCATTGGCTAGCTAATTGCATCCTCGGTCAACATCATTGGCGTCCGGCGGCTTCTTGTACAATATGGTTATAGTCTTTTCTTGGGATATCGGTCGCGGCCTCGGTGGCCTTGTTATCACGCGACCAGGTGGCGTTAGGGCGTGGTGGAGGAGATACCAAGTTCTCTGGATTGTTAGTTCTGGCGGGTCCTCCGATCGAAGTATGGTACGAAAAACTGGGGCTGGATTCAGATGTCTTTTTATTATCAATCCCATTCTCGGGCTACGACTGGATTCTTGAGTCCGCGTTCTCGCTCTATTGTGTGCAGCAGGGATTGGAAAAAGGGTCTTCTTGGATACAAGCGGCAAGATTTAGGATTTCGAAGAGCTTTGTCTACGGCAATGGAAGACGAATTAGATAGTCTAGTGTTCAGGCAGTCAGCCAGCTAGTCACTGGCGAGCATATGATCGAGCAAATTGAATAAGAGAGTAGCATCCTGATTGCTGTGCCCCACGACATTCAAGGTTCTGATGAAGGATGATCATCCGTGATGTTCCCTGCAGGATCACCATGATAAGTACAGTATGCCGACCAAGCTAAATGAAGATGGTCCCTTGGCGAACCGCGGATGCACGAGGAGGCAGCCCAAAAGCTCGTTCGTTTGTCCTTGGGAAAGTCCTGGGCGTCAGCCGGCATCGAGCTCACAGCGGGCCACGGTCATGTGAAGCTGATATTGAGTTTGGAGGGGGTTGAAACACTTTGGGGGGAAGCTCTTGAGCCTCGTTGGCTTAGGCGCAAGTAGCGCCCACCCCCAAGTCCTGTGTCCAATTGATGGCGCACGCGAGTTAATCAATTGGAGGTCGGCCGTATCGGGCCTAGCCGTCAGTCGGGTTTTCGATGTGACGCTTGCAGGCTGAGGGTCGTTCCAGATGGCAGTGTCCAGGCCGGCCAGGGTGCCATTCAGGCTGGCTGGGGCGGGCGGGCAGCCCAGCGGTTTGGGTGCTTCTATTCCATACCTGGTCTTATGTCTCATCACCTCAGCGAGACAGGATCCAACGTCTTCACACTCACGTCAATGTTGAACAACGAACGAGTGTTGAACAACAATGGCATGCTTCGTTTCCATGGCGAACAAGACTAGTATCAGTAGTAAAAGTATCTGTGGCTTTTAGTTCTGGCGGCGCGAGGATAGTTTGATTGCAATCGACAGGCTCTGAAACATATCAGCATATACGCTTGGGCGGTAACTAAGGTGCGTGGTGCTAAGCTACCGTAAGCTACTGCACTGTGGCACCTGACTACTCGCAGTATGATGAAATCGGTACCGTAGCAACCGGTGGGATGTTGTCGGCCGGTGTCGTGCTGTCGTGGTGGGTGAGAGAGGGGCTTGACCCAGCATATCGGATTGGAGGTGTGTGGCCGCCAGAGTCGGGCCGGGGAAAAGCCAAAAGACCAACCCACCAGCCCACCTATCTGAACCCACCCGTCTGCAGCGGGCGAGCACACTACCAGACTACCCAGGTACTGAGCAGAGGAGAGGGAGACAGGCTAACAGGGAGACAGGGAGACGCGGCGACGGGCTGAAGGAGTGTTTCGTCCCGTCTATCTCGGTGGAGACTGGTGCGCCTCGGCCGGGGGGTTGTAATGAGATGCTGCATGTTTTTTGGAGTGCCATCTGCCATGTATGAGCGAGTATGAGATTTGTGAAAGCGCTGTTTTGCGCCGGTGGGGACGGCATTGCGGGTACACCTTTCTGGGTATGGGTACACTCTGGATACTACGTTGATTGAATCCGCCCCTCTTTGTGCCTCTTTGTCCCTGCCCCTGGGACCCTTGGCCATAGATCTCTGGGCCCTCTGGGTCCTCTTGGTCTTCTGGGGCGGTCTACTGTCTGCGGCCTGCATGGTCGTCCGAGGGTGGTATCGTATCTCCATACGTATGCGTATACTCAACCGAGAGCGGTACGGTACGGCATGCATGGTATGGACAGAGTTAAGGGACCAATTCAAAGACCAAGAGAAGCATAGGCATAGCACAGGACACAAGGAGACAAGCACACTGGACTTCCCGGGCCGTGGGTTTGTTGTTTGCCCAGATGTTCCCGTTCAATTCATTCTCCATTGCCAATTCCCAAATTCCCAATTCCCAATTCCCAATACCCAATTCCCAATCCCCCTTGTCACTCGCTCGCTCGCTCCCTCCCTCCCCTCAACGCTCGCTCATTCCTTTATCCCAAGGCCGTCGCTTCGCTTGTCCACTCGCTCGATCAACTGACCTCTACACTACTGGGCTGTACTGACCTCACCTCACCTCACCTCACCTCACCTCAACAACACTCACTCATTCCGTTTTTCTTATCCGGGGTTGGCTTGTTTCCTGCCCAATTCTGGGTCCCCACCCCTCACTGCCATCTTTCTGAAGCACCCAGTCCCTGTCCGCCCCTAGCCCAGACTCGGAGGCAAACGAAAGCCGTCCTTTCTCTCTCTCTTTCTCTATTGCCCTGCCCCTTTTATTATTAGATGTGAAGGTCTGCTGTGCTGCATTTCCCTCTCTTGCTGCCACCCTTTTCTCGGTCTTGTCCCTCATCCTACTGTACCGTACTGAGCCCATCGCTTCAATCCGTACCAATCTGCATCCTCCCTCGTCTCCTGATCCGAGCTTCCAGGCTCGCCATCCACTCACCGGCGCAGCCAAGCGTCCAAGATTGCGACGCCCTGATTCCTACGACGAGCGGCATTTCTTGAAACCCAAACTTCGAAACACACAGCATTCATCACCAGCAGAGCATAGCCTCACAGACAGCCACATCACCTATAACAGCCGGCCGATTCCCGGATCCGACTCAAAACCCTTCCGCTCTCCCCCCGGCGGACCTGTGATGATACATTGCAGACGGACCTCCATCTCCAGTGTGCCCTAACCATCACCCGTCTTCTCCGTTGTCTCTTGCCAACCACCTGGCAGCCCCGAGCAATAGCGACCGCGACCGCGACCGCGACAGCGATAGCCGACGTCACGCTTCTGCAAAAGCAGTCGCGTGCTTGTCCGCCGCCGCCGATCTGCGATCATCGCCATTTCGTTGCCCAGCTCACCTTTCTTGGCCTGACTCAACTGTACCTGGGACATCCACCTATGCAGCATTGAAACCGTCATCTCTTTTATGCGGATAGCCCCACAGCGTATAATAGCAACTCCAACTCCAACCCTGTGCCACCCGCATCCCGCTCCGAGGCACGTACGCACGCCATCCATGCTGGACACCCGGGAAGCCTTTTCTCTCCCAAATTCTACAGAGAGCCATCAATGCGTGTTTGCCTAAGCCTTATGCACTGCAACTTCTGGTCCCGACCTACAAGAACCGGTCCGCTCCAGCGGGGGGTTGGGAACATACACAATCACGAGATCTGAGGTGTCCTGCGGTTGCTCGTACAGGTACTTCGTACCACGTACCTCGGGCACGCGACTCTACGCACCCCAATGACAACCACAACCACCCAACTCGTCGTCACCAAAATGTCCGACCGCGATGATAACCACATCATCGACCACAATGGCGGTCTCGTGGCCGCCCTGCGTTCCGTGTGGTTCTATTACATAGCGTGCACACCATGCAGGAAAATCGGCCACCGTCGCGAGACCCGCAAAGAGGCCGAGCGGGAGAGGGGCCTGAAGGCGCGCCTAGAGATGGAACAGCCAGGACTCTACAGACATCCAAACCCCGAGAACACGAACGAGTACTGGATGGAGGATATCAGGATGGGTCCCAGTCTGCCAAAAAGAGGCCCGAACGGCAAGAACCACAGCCAAGGAAAGGTTGGCGATGCCGGGCCCGCGGCTGCGAACGTGGACGGCTCACAATTGGAGAGGGGGCTCACGAATGGCAGTAGTGCGGCATTTCCAAGCAACGAGACCGCCGGAAGCCCTACCGTGGTTGCTGCGGACGACCTCGAGGCGCGAACGACCCTGTCCATGTCGGTGGCGGATTCGACGGATCTGGAATGGAATCACAAGAGATATCAGAGAGAGGACGAAGAGCTGTGGGGCCACCAGATGTACAATCGGGCCGGCCAACGACTTCGCGAAGTCATAACGAAGGGCCGCGACACGGCAGGCAGGTTGTTTGATACCAAGACGGGCCGGGAACGCGAGATTACAGAGGAGGAGCGTTATATGTTCTACGGCACACCGAGGAACCCGCCCGTCAACGACTACCACCCACCTGTCGTCAGCAGCAAACCAGCACAGAAGGGAGAATTCCAATGGATGCTCCAGCCCCCTCCGCCGGCCAAGGTCATGGAGGGCAAGGTACCCGTGAGCAGGAGCGGGTCCAAGACGAGCGTGAACAGCCGTAGGACGCAGGTGTCGCATACAAGCAAGGAGGAGCTTGGCCTTGGACGTCTGGTTGGGGAGAAGCTTGTCAAGGATAAGATCCTCAAGGGGGAGAAACCTTCCGAGGCAGAGCTGACCGTCATCACCGGACCGAGGCCCAACAGCCGTAGGACAAAGACGGCCTCTACAATGAGCAGCATCCCAAGCCAACGCTCTACCAGGAGCCGTAGCAACACCACCGGATCCGAGTCGTCCGACACAATATATGAGCGTAGGAGGAAGAGGAGACTAGCCAAACAGAAGGCCGCAGAGGAGGCTGGTTCGGAAGCTGACGACGAGACTGATTCTGAAGACCAAACTAAGCCCGAGCGACGCGCCTCGCAGAGACCTAAGCTGCAGACCATCGCCAGCTCCGACCTGGCCAGCAAGAAGTCTGACAACAGCGAGAACATGCGCCCCTCAAAACTAGCCCCTATGAGTGAGCCAGCCTTGTCGCCGAGCCCGATGTCTAAGGGCCCATTGGACGACATCACCAACACCGCCAACCAATCTCCTGCTCCTGCTACACCCGCCACAGAGACCAAGTCCGCCGGCGCATCAGCCGACAGTGGACTCGCAATGGCTTAGGTGACTGGGTGCACAGTCTCATGACGTATTTACCTACCTGCATTGTGGTGTTTTAGCCTCTGTGAAATTTTGTCTTTTAGTCTTTCTCTGGTTTTCGCTTCGTTTGTGCATATTCAATCCTCCTCCTGCAGTTGCAGTGAGGCCGGATTCTTTTCGTCCTGCATCATTTTATGGCATGGCTGGTAATGCATTGGCAAGGCTGTTTTACATCAGATTGCATGGCGTCGTGGGCATGTGTCTTTTCCGGTGGGAGAAGGAGGAGCAGGCTACATGGGGCTCGGAGCTATCGCCCAGAGAGTAGATTTAGCTCGAGGGGCTGGCGGATGGTTTGGCCGGGGGAAATATGACCTGGGGAGGTCGTGAGAGGATAGTAGAGAGAGACGGAGAGGATGAAGAGAGAGAAGAGAGAGGAAGCTCAAGCAATTCAAAAGTATCCTCAAAATTCATTGATCTCATGAGTCTCGTCAGCCTTCAGTGAATCATATTGGGAAAAGCATCATCACCAAGTATTTAATCCCAGGACTGGTTCGCTCATTCGGAGCCAACCGATGTGGTGTTTACTGTCTACATCGCGCGGGACGATCATCGTCGCACTTCACTCCAGGTGGAGCAGACTGAAGTCCGAGATCTAGTCCAGAAATCGCAATCGTAGTTCTGTGATCTCGTGGTCGGGGTATTCAACATGACCTTTTCTTTCCCTTCCTTCCCGTCGGAGCCAAAATCATGCATACCTCCTTTGCTTAACCATGAAACGCCTTTTAATGCTCTCTCACAAATTGTCAAACCCAAAAACCACTCTAGACAGCCCCCGTGATGTTCATCACAGATGCAGACCTCCGTCCTCCTCGTCGTTGTCTTCTGCGAGCCGCTCCTCCAGCCTGCGACGAAGCTCCTCATCCGTCAGGCTCCCGCCGCCGCCACCGTTTGTCTGCCTCGATGCCGTGCTGCCCCCCTGCCGAGGCGCAGCATCCATATGTATTTCGCCGTTCCTGATGACGCCCGTCTGGAACGTGCCGTCCTCCCAGGGGTTGCTCCTCGAGGAGGCTGCACCATCTGCGCCGACGCCTTGTCCCGCCGCACCACCACTCTCAGCATGCCCGTTCACGCCATTCGCAGCCGGCACCGCCGCTGCCGCAGGAGCAGTGACGCCAGGCTCGTCATCCTCGACCTCGTCCTTAGCCTCGAACTCGCGCCAGCTGAGGCCGCGGGCCTCGACCTCGGCGCGCACGAGGCCGACGCGCTCGCGCATGCGCTCCATGACGGCCTCGTTCTCGCGGATCGCGTCCACGCAGTCCGGGTCCGGCTGGCCCGCGCCGCCGCCTGTGCTGCCCAGCGCCGCCTGCGTGCCGTCGGCAAAGGGCCGCAGCTGCGCGTTCGAGTAGGCCAGGTGCGCGAGGCTGTTGCGGATCTCGAGGGTCTTGAGGTGCAGCGAGGCCACGGAGAGGTCCTTGAGGGCGGCGGCGAAGCGCGCGGGGGTTATGGGGGCTGTTATGTCGTGGGGCTGGTCGGACGCCATGTTGTGGGTTTTTTTGTTTGGTTGGTCTGGGGCTTGGGTCGTTGGCGGTGGGTTTCTGGCGGTGTTCGCTGCCGAGCCGGGGCCTCGAATGTGTTGGGTGAGAGGAATGTTTCAGGCTGGTGAGCTGCGGTTCGAGAGGACACAGCTTCTTCGCGAGAGGATGGTAGCAGTAAGAAGATGTTTGGTGGTAGGTGATGGATGAATTTCCTATGCGACAGCTTCGAGATGGTGGGGTGGTCGCCTTGTAGGCTTACGGCCTCGTGCATTACGCAGTAAATGCGGTGCCTACCTCTACCCAGCTTACCTGAGGTACCCTGAATGCTACCCACACAGACCACACTCGGCCTCCAGACCCCTGTCGCTCTTTTCTCATCTTGGACCCAGGTCCCTGCATCGAAAATGCAGGTGCCCCGCCAACCCGCTTTGGGAATTGGAGGTCCCATGAAATTTGTTGAAATTTCCCATGTCCGATTTCCATATCCGTGACTTATACGCGCCAACAACAGTATTTCCCCCAGTCACCTCAGCCTCAGCACACGACTATATCACCAGAATGGCCAAGTTGGACAATGTCGCTGAGCCTCATGAGGTTTACCCGACCATTCTAGTCTTGGATTTTGGGTAAGAGCCCCCACCTACACCCAGCCTGGCAAAGATCCCAACACTGAACCAAGTCGAAAACATAGGAGCCAGTATACCCACCTGTGAGTCTAGTCCCGACAATTCGATGCAGTCCAATCAATGATCGAGTCCGATCGATACGTCACTGTGCTGATCAGCCCTTGTCCAGCATCATCCATCGTCTCCGTGAGCTCAACGTCTACTCCGAGATCCTCCCTTGCACCACGAAACTCTCCGACCTCAGGTTCAAGCCCGTCGGTCTCATCTTGAGTGGGGGACCATACTCCGTCTTTGAAGACGGCGCGCCGCATCTCGATCCTGCCTTCCTCCACCTCGGCATCCCGATTCTAGGCATCTGCTACGGCCTTCAAGAGCTTGCCTACCGACTGGACCACACGAATGTTGTGGCCGGAGTCCACGGGGAGTACACCACGTCCGATCTGACGGCCGTCAGCACCAACGCTCACGTCGACCGCCTCTTCCAAGGCATCGAGGGCCCCACGAAAGCATTGATGTCGCACGGTGATAAGCTGGCCAAGCTTCCCGAGGGCTTTCACACAATCGCGACCAGCAAGAGTTCCGAGTACGCGGCCATTGCGCACGATACCCATCCTATATACGGCATCCAGTTCCACCCAGAGGTCCCTCACACGCCAAAGGGCATCCAGCTGCTGGGGAATTTTGCGATAGATATATGTGGCATCAACGCGGGTCGGATGATGAGCAACTTCGTAGAGCAAGAGAAGGGCCGGAAACGCAAGGTAATCAAACCTAATAGCCGAGTCCTGGGAGGTGTCAGCGGCGGTGTGGATTCCGCAGTGGCTGCCAAATTCGTGCATGAGGCGATCGGCCACAGGTTCGCCGCGGTGCTGTTGGACCAGAGCTTTCTGCGGCGCGAGGAGCGGGAGCAAGTCGAGAAGGACCTGAACGTAGGTGCTCCTCAGGATTGGTCAGTATACGAGGCTGCGGCGATCTTACTCACAATCCGCAGGAGCACCGCGGGATACACCTGAGAGGTGTGGGTGCGTCCAAAGAGTTTTACGCTGGTCTCGAGGGAGGGATTGGCTCCGAGTTGGAGAGAAGGTTCATCGGCGGTACTCTGATTGTGGCTTTTTAAGGCAGAGATCCCGCGTTGGCCGAGCGCTTCGCGGCGGGCATTGGGAAACTGATCCAGTTCGCGGGTCGGAAAGGGAGAAGAAAAATGATTCGATCCCGGACAGAGCGGGAGAGATCGAGGGGTCGCCAACAGGATATTGTAAGTGTGTTCAAGGTTTGGTGTGGAACACTGGTCGATACTAACCACTTGCAGATATCCCAAGTTCTTGGACTCTGTCATCCATGGCCGAGCCAGACGTCCAAGACCGACCACAATGGTGTGTTGAACGAATTGCTGGGAACCAGGGCTGAGAGGCTGATGTTTCGCGCTGAGAGAAGCAGCACTGAGAAAGATCGACAGATCAGTGGCGCTGAGATGCTCGTCATGCGCCTCCTCTTTTCAAGCCCAGGAATCGCTATTCGCATCTCTGACGCAGCGACGCCACGACGCATCGAGATGGCGTGCCAGGCCGATCACGACTTCCTAAGCATGAACCATGAGCCTGGTTTGCACAAGATCAAGCCTGCGTTTGAAGCACTTGTGGCACCCTGGATCATGGGCATTATGGGCGATGACCGTGTGTGCGAGAACACCATTACCCTGTATGCGGTTGAGACTATGGACTTTGAGACGGCCAATCTTTGTCCATTGTCTCTGAGCTCTTGACCGAGTGCTTCATGCGCATCGTGGTCTCGGTCCATACCATGTGCCGTGCCTGCTGTGACCAGACTAGCAAGCTTTCTGGAAAAATCGAATCCAAATAGATGGGTCGATGGAGAAGAGCGATGTGAAAGACATGAGGGATGAGATGCCAAGTTAAGATTTCAGTATATACCGAACTTTGGCAAGACTCGCCAGGGTTGAGTAAGCAAGATCAAACGAGTTGCTGTTTTATGCGGCTCTCAGAAATTGCAGACATTTCTGCAAGCATGGGAAAGATGCTGGAAGAGATAACAGACACTATCGATGCATTTGAACGCATCAAGAAAGTGTACAAGAATACAGCTCAATGAGAGGACGTTGTGGAAGAGTGCCTGAGAGCTGGATTAGCTCATCCTTCCCCTCCATCGCGGTATCGGCCCAGCCACCCGGACTCTTCCATAGCTTCGACCATGACTTCAATTCAAAGACCCACATCTTGGTAGCCAGCAAGTCATCAAAACCACGTCAATTGACTATATATTCTTGGCTAGTGGTTAATTCTTCGTGTACAAATATGACAATCGCAGAACCAAGCGACGCGCACTTGCTTCGCTGCTGGAGACACCAAGACTGTAAGGGCTGTTTGCATGAGGATCGATGTAGCTGGTGCCCGTTCGTAGGTCAACCTCATCTTCTGCGCTGTGCAGGGCCACTGACACAATCAAGTCCTGGTCGTGTGTGCCAAATAACCACACCATCCAAGCATTGGCCCCGGCCTATGATGAAAACGTGTGCCCTCACTGGGCGGAGCGGTGGGAGGTCCGGACGCGGCCGCTGGGGTGCCAGGTCTCGACCATCACTAGCCTGACCTCTATCATCTCAATCGCATCGACACTGGTCGTTCTATCTATCATTCTGCTCCTTGTATGGGTATTCATAAGGCTGCGCAGGCATCACAAGCAAGCAACCCCGGGGTGGTGGAGGTTTTGGGAGCATGGCTGGAAATCATGGACGACGCGCCTGAAACCTCAGGCTAGAAGCGACGGCGCAAGCCCCAACGAGGTTGATCCTCTGTTAAGGTCATGAGGCGCGAAGATCGAAGCACCGTGTTGTGTGGACGAACAGTCGGGCCAGGTTTCACCCCGAACTGACTGGGGGAATGATCGCGACCTCGTCGCCCTCTTGAATCACCGGCTCGTCGGCGCCACCCTCATTGCTATCCTCGGGCACGTCGACGTAGTTCAGGTTGATGGTGACCAAGGCGGACTCGAGAATCCTGGGCTTGATGCCGGCGTACCGCTCCTCGAGCGTCGCAAACAGCTTCCTCAGAGGCAGCGGGGCAGGCAGCGCCTCGTACTGCTTTCCGGTGAAGGTGCCAGCATTTGCAAAGTAGAGCAGATTGAAGTGCCCGCTTGGGGCCTTTGGGGCCGCAGACATGACGGTTTCTACCTGAACGCATTGGACTTGGTCAGCAATGAGTTTTTTTGCAATGAAATGAGGAAGTATCAGAGCAATGTTGTTGGGTTGTCAGAGATCTTGGTGATAATGAGAACATCACAAAATGTCAGGTAATACATGCTTATTTTGATCATCATTTAACCGGCTGAAGAAGGAAATGCAAGGTGGACTTACGATTTGTATGTTTCTGCTGAATGTTTGGTGGGAAAGTTGAGCTCTTTGTCTATCGGCCAGAAAATATTTTCGAAGGTTTTGTAGCTGAGGAAGGTGGGTGGGTCCTTGTCGAGCTAGTGGACCAGGGGACACAGGCGCGTTAGGTGCACTCCTGACTGCCGCGTTCCGCCCAGCAACAATCAGGGCGGTCGAAGCTCGCGACGGTTCGGCTTGCCAGCACCATATTGAGACTGCCCCCCAGAACAATAATCTCTGTACACTGCTACCGTATTGCTCTTTCCTACCCCCCAAAATGTCTTTGAATAGGAAATACGCAGCGTTGCCCGATCTTGTGAGTCCGATCGCATCCTCCCTCTTCGCCATGCACCACAAGCTAATGAAGCTCTTAGGACTCTGCGCCAGACATCTACGAGACGCCAGAGCTCACAGACGACACTTCTACAGTGCCTGTACGTATCGCCGGGTCTTATCCCTTCCATCTCCTCGCTGGCTAAGCCCCGATTGCAGGCAACACTACGTTCCTCCTCAGACAACGAATTCGACGATGACGAGGCGGACGGCCTCGGGATCTCGCGATCCAAACTACGGATAGATCAAGCCCGGTCACGCTTCATGCCCTCCCAGGTGGACGCCAAAGAAGTAGACTTCTCAGACCGAGTCAATGGAAAGCGAAAGTCTTACAAAACATCCAGTCGACGGCACAGGATTCTGGAGGACGGGGGCGAAGAAATTGGAGACCTGAGCGACGAAGACGAAAGCGAGACTTTGGCACGGAAACTCGCGAGGCTGAAGCGCGAGATCGAGGAGGCCAAGGAGGAATACGGCAAGCAGAAGTCGCAGAGGGATGCGGCTGGCACGAAACCTGAGGACGGAGAGGGTGACCAGGAAGAGGAATTGGCATCTCTGAGCCAGGTGTTGGACGAGATCTCGAAGCACCCACAGGATCTAGCACAAGGACCGGGGTTTCGACCTGTGAGAGTCGGCCCGTTACCTAGCAGGGAGCCCAAGCAGGACGCCATGCCGGGTGAACCTGCGGGTGGGGATTCGGCCACCTACACCGTCACATATGCGCCGACATACGAGCAGACTCATGCCCTTGCCAAGGCTGCAGACTTTGATGAACGTCTTGCACTCCTGGAGAAAGCTATTGGGATCGGATCCTCGGCCCTGCCAGAGCTGGACTCAAGCGGCTTACCGAGGGCAATTGTGCCGACCTTGGAAAAACTGCAGAAGCAGGTCTCAACATTGTCAGAGGCCTCGTCATCCTCACTGGATACAATTAGTCGCAAGGTGCGGCAGCTGACACAGGAGGCCGAGCAACTTGAGAAGGCCCGGAAGCAGGCTAAGCAGGCCAAGGAGGCGCTCGCTTCAACCGGCACTGGGTCGTCATCTCCTAGTACCCCAGACTCGGAGGACTCGGAGCAGACGACCAAGATCAACGCTCTGTACAGCACGCTGCCGACCATCGAGAGCCTCACACCGCTCCTGCCACCTTTGCTTGATCGGCTCAGGTCACTGAGGGCCATCCACGCTGATGCGGCCACGGCGGGCGAAACGCTGGAACGCATCGAAAAGAGGCAGACAGACATGGCGACTGATATCAAGCAGTGGAGAGAAGGGCTGGAGAAGATCGAGAAGGCCATGCAGGAGGGCGAGTCTTCCATGGGAAACAACATGAAGGTTGTTGATGGCTGGGTGAAGGATCTGGAGGCAAAGATGGCAAAGTTATCATGAGTTTGGTGTTTTGCTCCAGGGTCTGATTGATATTGAAGTTGAAGTGATGATACCCGTGATAGTTGTGCAAGAATTTAAGGAGAACAAAGAAGAGACTACTTGGATCAAGCTTTATGCCTTGCAGAGCCAGTCGTACCCAGAACTGACTGTCTTAGTGACCTTGACAATTGTTTAAGTCCCCAATAAGATGCTGCTAGTGGAAGGCAGCTTCTCAAGTTGCACACAGTAGCGTGGTAGTAATCTGGGCCGTGCTCAGACCTGCTCAGACTGTGTGTGAACCTCGGAACATCGGTGCTATCTAATCTCAACACGGGAACAGACGCGTCTCAATGCGCGAATGCAATCCTGCGAACGCCCACTTGATGGTGCTGCATGAACTGGATGAGCATTGGTGCGGAGAGGCAGGCCAATGCCATAAATTTGCGAGTCTTTTCTGTTTACTCGTCGACTCGAACAGAGATTCCGTTCCTGCAGGAGTACTTGCCGACTAAGGGTCGAGTCCGTGTCACTGCTCGAGGTAGGGACCACTTCCGTCTCGGAATTTCCAACGTGTCAATCACTTCTGACATCGCACCAAAGCTTGCAGGCCACGTCTAAGTCATGAGGTTTGGCCTCAGATAGCAGGGCTATCGCGAGCTTAGGTGGCCATGGCCCCTGTTCAGCTGGGACGGAACGTAAGGCCACTGCTGAAAATTGTTGGTGGCCAACCAAGAAAGAAAGACGTCAAACCAATGGAAGAGCCAGAAGATGTCACGGCACCACCAATCGACACCGAGGAGGATGAAACCGATGAGCCGGATTTTGGTGATCCTCACTACGACACGTCAGACGACGAGCCACCGAGAGGTGAGATAAGCAGATCTGACTTCAAGCCATCGTCCACCTCACAAAATCCAAACACTGTGGCTGGTCGAGGGACGACAACTATTACTACCCAGAATGTCGGGACGCCTCAACGACGCTCAGCCCGGTCAGTCAAGAAGCGAGCGGTAGAGGGCGTTGAAGATACGGACGCAGATGAGCCTGGTGGCATTTCTACTAATAAAAGAGTGAAGAAAACCAACTCAACGGGTTCCCCAATCCTCGGCTGTCATATAGGCGATGGGTTCCTTGTGGACAGGAAGGTCAAGCCACCAAAGGCAGGATATGGGAAGAAAGCGGGCAGGACAGCAGATGCCCTCAACGGTCCCGGTGAAACAACGCCCCGCCGGAAATTCGAACGCGTAAAGAGTATGACGGAATCAGCGAGCCCTCGGCAGACAAAAAGGTTCAACGTTCCTATCTCAGGATCTGAAGCATCGTCTCCAGCCAAAAGTCCGAGCGCCCGAAGAGGGTTGAAAGCTACGGGCAAGGAAGAGGAGTCCTCGAGCCTTTCAGACATTGACTCTGAGGAGGCGCTGTCAGACCCGCCCCGACCAAGCAAAAGCAGAGGGCAAGGCCAAAAGCAGAAGAAGAAGGAGACCAAGCGCCAACCAGAGAAGTCTACCAAGAACAGGTCACGGGAGCTCTCTGCTGATGAGGACATATCACAGAGGCCGGAATTCAGGATGCCGGATGGCTACGATGATTTTGCCTCCACTACCGAGTTGGCAGGCATTGATATGCCACTGTACACGGACGCCACAACGGACAAAAAGGCACATCTGGGTGCAGACGAGGCCGCGTGCCCCATGTGCGACGAGCCGGTGGACAAACAATGGCTCAGCGAGTACTCCAAGGGCCAGCGCATGAGCATCTCGCGGCAGGCAAAGTTCTGCCACCTGCACAAGAAGCGGTCCGCAAAGAAGCTGTGGGAGGCCAAGGGATACCCGGAGGTGGACTGGGGCCAGCTAGAAGCGCGCATCAGGTCGCACCGGGACTACCTCGAGTCCCTTATTAATGGCGCCCCCTCGCACTTTGGCGAGCAGCTGCGGGAGAAGATCCGGACGGGCAGGAACCGTACGCTCTTCAAGACGGACGACTATCCCATCCCGGGATACTACGGCCTGCGGGGCATGAGCGCCATGACGGAGAGCATCGTCGACACGTTCTCGTCGCTGCTGCGCGAGAGGGCGCCGCGGGACAGGCTCATCTCGGCGCGCGGTCACACGGGCTACGTGCAGGCCGTACTGGTGCCGGAGCTCGGCGTGCGGCTGATCAAGGAGGACATGGGGATTGGCGACGACGGCGAGGCGCGCGCCGTGATGCGCGAGAGCCAAGCCGTCGGGGTGATCCTCAACGACGAGAAGGGCGAGGCACGGGGGGCGCCCCAGGCTGTGGCTCGGGCTGCTTCTGGCGGGGATGGCCAGGTGGATGGCGCCGCCTCTGGGGCCAACAGTCATAACACGAGTGGCACGGACGGCGAGAGCGAGCATGGTGGCAAGGTGGATCTTAGGATTCAGCGCGTTGACGATAGTGACTCCGATCTATCTAGTCTCGCGTCGCTGGGTGACCACAGGACCAAGGCCCCGGGGAAGGGACCGGCCGACAACAGCGACTCAAAGCTGGCCAGCCTGGTCTCGTTGGGCAAGACGAGTAAGCCCTTAGCGTTGGGAAGGGATGATGTCGAGGACAGCGACTCTGACCTGTCGAGTCTCGCCTCGTTGGACAAACTCTGAGCCGGACAGACGGCCGCCCTTGGGGTTGATTGGCTTTCCTCTTCGGTAATTTCCTCCTCATAGCATTGGTTTTCTGCAGCGCGTGGTCGGACTGGTTTGGAGTCACAGTGGTATTTCTCTTAGAAGGCAGGGCCTTGCTTGCGAATCACACAGCTTACTTCTAGATGGCTACAACACAAAGCGCGTGAGCATTGCAGATCTGGTTCCCGTGTCGCATGGGCGATGGCATCTACTTGGTCGGGTACGAATTGGAGTTGCACCTGCTTACTTTTTTAGTGGCAACTGAGCGAGCCATTGTCTTTCCGAGGTCTCAGTTGCCATCGTTTCTTTATCCCGACCATTGTCCGCGGTCTTCAGGGCGAGACGGCCGGTCGTCACAAGGATGCCAAGGTGCATAGTATGACAGCTTTGGGCCAGGATAGGAAAATAAGCTCCTGTGATGTGCGTATTGCAGGAGGCCCTTGACTGCCGCCTCAATCCATCTGATCCTCTCCGGAGCCTCTTGTGTTGCCGCGTTTCTCTGTTGCCGGCCATGGAACGCGACATGCTCTAGGCTACTCTATTCTTCTGCCCGGGCAACAGCTGTGCATGATGCATGCCAAGGTCTGTGATCTACAAGTACATGTGCGTCCGGCTATAGTACGAAGTATAGACTCGTATTGAGTTATGTGCGTCGGTGTGTTTGCCGGGCGAGCTAAGATGAGTCTGGGGTGGAAGGGTGGGGAAGGGGATAAGTGCACCCGCCTTGACTGTGGCATGATGTTGGACTTTGTATCGTGGACGAGTGCCCAGTCTGGCCCCCAATTGGCAAGATTTTGTTGTTGCATGCGTGTGTATATATGTGGTTGCGCGATCATGTATGTACATGAGGCGGGGAATAATCCGCTGGATGGAGGCACTCGAGAAGCCTTCGAGAAGCTTACCCCATGTGGTTGGTTACGTTCGGTCTAGGTTCCGGCGAGGGAAAAGCTTAAATGATGATTCTCAGATGATTGTTCATGACACCAGTTTGAAAGCTTGCCCAACGTTCACGCGCGATGGGTGTGGAGGAGGGGAGGAGTGGAGGGGCGGAGGATGCGGGTTGGGACCAAACCGATGGACGACACTGGCAGGTTCTGAGGTCGGCATCGGGCAATGCGCCGTCCCTGGTTGGCTGGCTTTGAGGCTCGGTCGCAGAGTGATCACCCCATCGAGGCGTCATTATGCGCAGCCTTGAGGTTTGTTTCTGTTGGCGTGCTGCTGGCGGGCAGACGATGAGCTGGTGGAAGATTGGGGGCCGCGAATCGTGCAAGCCGGTACCAAGGAAGGGTAGGGGTCCCCGGGGATCTAAGAGACTGACAGGATGGAAGCTTCCAAATCACCCAGAGGGGGGCCCGCGAGAGACACAGGAACTCGGAATAATTGCCTCAAACACTGTTTTGTGAGAGTGTCGTGCAAGGGGATGCCGAGACAATGGTCTACTGTAGTCTCCTGTGGTTTAGTCTACCAGATAGCAGGCAAAAGGCTATCGATGAGGAGAGAACAGGTGCTCGTCTGCCGGAGCGTCATTCGCTCTGGAGTATGAACAGTATTTGGCACCACCCCAACTCTCTTCTTGGATTTGAACAGCATGTCAACTGGTGTGCCGCAATCGAGGCTCAGTGAGGCACGTTTGCGGGTTGGGGCTTGCAAGAGGGCTGTCCATCGAGGTTTGCCGACTACGTAGTTACATTGAAGGCGCATTAGGCAGTTCTAATGCAAGTGTAAGTAACGTCGGACAGATGGCGTGCCATGGAGTCGTCTTCTGCGAGCCTGCCAGCCTGCCAGCCTGCGTGCGATGAGTGCTGGGGCACAGGAGCGCTCTGGCAAGGTGACAGCTAGAAGGAAATACTGAGAGAGCAGGCCTTGGCGGTCGTTCAGAGCTATCAAGCTCTCAGATCCTATTTCCCCCTGGGGTTTGGGGGTTGGACTGCAGCATGGTGATGGAGCTGAGCCAGAGCCCGAGCTTGACTCCCTGTCTGAGTCCACGTCCGCGTCCCAGGATGTCCCACCCATTGCCGAGACTCTGAGCGCAGTGATTGCGAATGGGCCTTTGCTAGTTCTGCCTGGTTCTTTGATTATCCCGTCCGCCTGGAGCGCCAAGATAAGGCTTGGCTCGGTAGTCAGAGAGCCTTGAAACGTAGCCACATGAGTCGAAATACTGTGTGTATGGCGTCTGGTTGGGCTGGCTGGCTAGCTAGCTGAGTGGGACGGCAAACGGAGGTTGGGCAGGAAACAAGCTGTGACGGTGTGATACCACGGTAACAGGCTGGATTGTGCCACGGGCTGGCAGAGAGTCGAGTCGGAGGACTCCCTGGACATTGAAACTGCTTCAAGGAGAAGGAGATGGGGCTGCCCCATCTTTCATCGACAAGTCCAAAGCCCAAGTGCGAGCGCGCGATTCGGGCACTAGGGAGCGACCCACAATCAAGGCGTCTTGTCTTATTAATAATAATAACAATATGACTGCTCGTGCTGCTGTACGCAGTACTGGAGATATTCCACCGGCGGAAAGTTAGAGAAAGTTAGTGGATTAGGCTACTCGAAGGGGAACGGCGTAGTCAACCCACGGGTGCGATGTAATGTGATGTAATGAGGGTAATCAGCGAGAGGCCCAAAGCACCAAAAAGCCCCCAGGCTGGCAGGTCGGGCGGGCTGGGCAACCCGCCCGGGGATATTAGCTCATCACTGTTTCTGGATGGGGCCGCGGACTTGTTCGTGCCCATGCCAGCGTGGATCCCTTCCCTTGGGTATTATTAGGGTGCTTTAATGAAGCAACATCGGGTCTCATCCCAGCATCCCAAGAAACACGGGGTCGCCATTGAAGTGAGGCAGCGAGGACATTGCAGAAGACGACTGCCTTCATATGTGGGCAGTCTACGCACTGTATCTACGTGCGTAGCCTATCGAATGCAGCACAACTGATGATCGCCGCAAGGAGCAGATTGTCGGAGCTAGCTGCTGTAGTGGATCTCAGCGAGTCCAGCAAGGCCGGCACGGCACGGCACGGCACGCACAGTACTGGGTAGAGTGCAGCGTGTGTGTGTGTGTGTGTGTCTCTGCGGTCTGCAGTGTGCAGTGTGGAGTGTTGCAGCCTGCGGTGCGGCTCAACACAGGCACGATGCCATGAGCTGTGCTGAGCCTCTGATGCTTCTGGACGAAGGATTGCTGTTGTTAGAATTGTCGTCGTCGCCGTTGTTATGTGTTGCAAAGTCCAATTCCAGAGCATCAGAGTGACGGAGTGACAGGTCAAGTGTGGGGCCACGTGGATCTGTCCATGCCATGTAGTCTACATGCTCGGTGATGCAGTTGGCAGGCGACTACAAGCAGGCTGGTAGGTACCTAGACTAGGTGGTCGCATATCAACCTCTGGTGAGTAAGCCATGTCATCCGTAGATTTTAAGACTCGGTACCACGCAAGTGGGCAAGTGAACGTTACCTCTCCGCCCTTCCGGCAGCATCGTTCCAGTTCGAGTTCCACGGGCGCGCCCGGTGCGAATGTGGCGCCCCCCATATCTGAACGGACCAACTGTTGTGTTGGTGGCGAAAGGATGGCGGGCGGCGTTGAATCCAGCCTGGCGGGCCGATGGTTGTGCCTCCGACCTACAGGGCTCTCTCTCTCTCGGCACTTCTCCTTGACGGCAACAAAGCGGGCAAGGGCCTGTGACTGCTGATCACCCTCCACTGCTTGCTTCTGCGGTGTGAGATGGACTGGTCAAGACAACTCGAGGCTGAAGCTGTGTTGCTTTGCTGCTGCTTGCTGGTGGCCCGTGAAGACGGCGCTGTACTGTACTCTAAGGTAATGTAATGTAATGTAATGTAATGTGATGTACGCGCGCACATGTAGCGTCTACGTGCCCTCTCCGTTCTCATTCCGTTAATGGAGCGAGGTTGAACTGTCTCCCGCGTGGGTCTCCATGCCCACCCGGTACCTGGATACTTGGATACCTGGGTACCTCCTCAGGTGGCACAGGATAGCCTGGGGCTCCTGGTCCTCTCGGTACATGGACTGGCCTAAGCTCGAGCGTGCCGCGACATGTACCGTCACATCCGCGCCCCGGAAAACCCCTCGATGGGGAGCGGCGGGCAGCGGCAAAAGAAACGCCTGCGCAATGGGGAGCAAGCAAAGGAGAATTCCGCAGGGCAGCCCAGCCCAGCCCACCCAGCCCAGCCCAGACAGGGCAGCGCAGCGCAGGGCAAGCGCAGGGCACGACAAGGTTAACCAGGCGCAGGAAAGAGGTGCAGGTGCTGGTGCAGGGTGCAGGGTGCAGGTGTAACTGCAAACTCCAAATGCAACTGCAGAAACAAGCGCACCGCCGCAGAGAAACAGGTCGCACTCGCCCGCTCTCCCCATCTGGGTTCCATCTGGGGGCCAATTGCTAGGGCAGCCGTAAGAAAAGACCCCCAAGATCCAATGCCCGTCGGCGGCGCGAATGCTGGTCGCTGTCGTTGTCGTTGGACGCTGGATGCCGAATGCTGGATGCTGGCTGCTGCTGGATGCTGGTAGTGTTACAGTTGCAGTTGGAGGAGCTGGGAGCTGCATCTGGAGCTGGACACTCTGCTGTATCTTGAGTGTCTCATCTGTCCCATCTGCTCCTCTTTGCCGTCAATCCATTCTTGCGACTCGCCTCCCCCAATAGCCCTACCCACCCGTCGCTTCACATCACCTCTTGCACCGGTCTCATCCATCCGTCCATCCATCCATCCACCCATCCATTAACCCAACTACCCACCCACCCACCCACCTAACCCGTACACACTTACATCTACAAAACATATACACAATACACATAAACACACGCGCACATACCCACGTACATACGTATTAGGCGCATTCTCTTACGCTCTTACACTCTCACACACACCCTGCCATATACGGGATTGTCTCCCCACCACCACCTGTACTCCATCGCCGAGGTCTCGTTCCCCACTCCCGCCATATGCTCCTCATGCGAGCTCGATAATACGCCGAAACGAGGGCATGGCTCTATTGCCATCTTGACACCCAAGAAGGCAAGCTGACAATGACGAGAGATGAGCCCTCGCGATTCAGCTCAGTGACGAGCGCGAGCACCGATAGCAACGCCTCCGACCTCACCGTCAAGCCACTGCCCGCTATCCCTAGGCCAAAGGACAGGGACAGGGACAAAGGAAATGCACAACCAGCCACTCAAGGCTTCTCCTCCTCCTCCTCTTCCTCCTCCAAAGGCCCGCGCAAGGCCACCCCGAGGCTAAAGACAGACGAGAATGGGAACCTAGTCAAGTGAGTAGCTGACTGTCGCGACCGGGCCTCCGTTGCCAATGCATCATTTGTGATTCACCACCGCTACGTATCAATGCTTCAGCCTGCCCGTCCTAGGCGTTGCTTCAATGCCGCTTTTGCCTTGCCTCCCAAGCATTCGCGCAGAGTGTGAAGGACTAACATGCCACTGCGTCTGCGCTGCACAACAGGTCCCTCAAAGACTCTAGAGACGCCGAGTCTCAGCCGCAGATCTCGCCGACGTCCAGGCAGCCCAACGCCGCCCTTGCCCGTACTTCTTTGTCGCCGGGCCCTTCATCTTCCAATGCCGTACACAGAATGAGCGACTTTGCCAATTACCGTCGCGACCTTGCTGTTCTCGAGCCCGCCGGGAGTCGCGCCCCACAGATCGTGCACAACCCCCCCTCGACGGCCTCTTCTTTCATGCAACAGGTTGCGCCCTGGATGGTAGGTGGAAGTAGCAGTAATGGCAACAACCCGTCCGTCTCCCCTCCGGCCAACGGCTCCGGCGTCATGGCCACTACCTTCTACAACGACTCCAGCGACAACCTCTCGTCCGCTTCGCAGATGTCTCCCGCCTTTCGATCCGCTTCGGTCAGTGCGGCGCGCCCCACGCAGAATCCCACCGGCAGCGAATCACCCCCAGCCGAGAGCGCATCATCTGCATACTACAACGATGAAAGGAGGCCCTCCATCGCCAGTGTCACAACAACTGCGAGCAGCCAGGCCTCAAAGAACAGCGGCCAGAGAGGAGGGGGCCTGAGGAAGCTTCAGGGTTTCTTTGGCGAGGAATTCCCCGGTCGAGACTCTTCAGAGACCTCCTTACCGCCTTCCTTTGCTGGAAAGGAGACCCGCTCACACTCGTACAGCCACGCATCTCGCCCCCATCGCGACCGCAACTACTCAAACGCTACAGACCATACCCGAGATGCTTCACCATCCTCATCTAGGCCAAGGACACCAGTGCCAGCACCTGAAGTCGTTCCGTTTCTCTATCAGGAGGCTGAGGTGCGTCCGCCCCCCCCCTCCTGTACCTATTTCATATCCCGGAACCCTATCTCCACCCTGTAACTTAATTTCTCCAATCCACTTCATATAACTCAGGCTTGCTTAATCAATACATTTGCATCTCCATCCCGGATCGGACGCTCCTTCCCTCCCTCAACGTCATGATTGGCTTTTCCAGCTGCCTAGTCACCTAACAAATGCGAACGCAGGATATCGCGCGCTACGGCGAAGCACCCGTCAGGGGTGTCCTCGCCGGCCCTGACCGTGAACGCTACGCCGCAGAGAACGGTTCCCAGAACCCCCCAAAGACCTCCTCGTCCAGCCGCTCCGGTCACTCGATAGTGCAAGGACAAGGAGCATCGCACCGACACAATAGAAGCAATGACGATCCCCGAGCCCTGCGGCCATCGATAAGCAGGGAAGAGTCGCAGGTCAACGCCGCCAGCACGTCAAAGGGCGGTGCAAACGCGATGTACGGCTCCCGATCCCGCGCGCAGAGCCCCACGCCCAGCGGCCACAGTAGTGTTGGGATGAAGAATGGGGCCGTCGACGGACCTGCATCGCCGGGACACACACACCAGAAGAAAGGCCTCTTCAACAGATTAAGAGGCAAGAAAGAGAAAGACGACCTCGGTCCACCGCTCAGCAAGAAGCTCTCAACTTCGACCCAGTCGCTCGGATCGACATGGATGCCCAGACCTTCGGTATCGCGCCAGGACGTGACGAAGGACGACGGCCCCTTGCCATATGGCGAGAGGTGGTCTGCCATCGGTCAAGAGCTTCCCATCGAGCCCCAGCAGCGCACACGGCCAGACAATGGGCGACAGGCAACTTTCAACAACAAGTTCCCTTTTTCCAAGAAAACCCGACCCAACAAACAGCTCGACGACGCGGAAGACTTCATTGGGCCGACCGACCGATCAAACGAAAAGGGGACTTACTTCAAGCTTGATACTGACCTAGACGACATGTCAGGCATTGTGACCCGACACGCACCACTCACGCCGATGGCCCCAGGTGTCATGACCAACAACGAAGCCGAAAGAGTCCAGGCACAGGCAAAGAATGGTGTCAACGGGGTGTGGAACGCGCCAGACAGCTGGGCAGTCCGTAAGACGGAGCAGGACGTGCCGTCTCATGCAGCAGAGCTCGAGGACGTCGGCAATCCACCTAGGCCCGAAGAGAAACTCACGCCGTACTGCATCCGGGTCTTCAGATCAGATGGTACCTTTGCAACATTGCAGATGGCTATAGACTCGTCTGTCCAAGACCTCATTGGCCAAATCATCAAGAAATCATACGTTACGGAAAGCCTCGACAACTACCACATCGTCCTCAAGAAGCATGACTTGGTCCGCGTACTCAATCAAGTTGAGCGTCCTCTTCTCATTCAGAAGAGGCTTCTCCAGCAAGTCGGCTATGAAGAACGGGACAGGATCGAGGACATTGGCCGAGAGGACAACAGCTATCTGTGTCGCTTCCTCTTCCTCTCAGCCAAGGAGAGCGATTTCCACGCGAAAACTCACGATCTTGGCTTTGGTCGGATGCAAAAGTTCAACCACATCGATTTGGCGGGTCGAAACCTCATCACTATTCCCATCTCGTTATACTCAAAAGCTGCCGAAATCATTTCTCTCAACCTGTCGCGGAATCTGTCCCTGGACCTACCCAGAGACTTCATCCATTCCTGCGTCAATCTCCGTGACATCAAGTACAACAACAACGAAGCCCGCAAGCTGCCGCTTAGCTTTAGCCGTGCCAACAAGCTCACATATCTTGACGTCTCGAATAATCGATTGGAGCAACTTGAGCACGCAGAGCTCAACGGGCTCACGGGCTTGTTGAAGCTAAATCTGGCCAACAACAGGCTGAAGCATCTGCCTCCTTACTTCGGAGCTTACCGACAGCTGCGAACTTTGAACATTTCTTCGAACTTCCTCGAAAAGTTCCCGAGCTTTCTTTGTGATCTGGAGAGCTTGGTGGATCTCGACATGAGTTTCAACCTGATCATGAATTTCCCAGCCAACATCGGCAGTCTCAAATCCTTAGAGCGCCTCGTCATCACCAACAACAGACTCTCTGGCGCACTTCCTGACTCATTCAAGAATCTGCTGAGTCTGCGAGAGCTCGACGTGAAGTACAACGCTATCTCAGCTATCGATGTCATATCCGAGCTCCCGAAGTTGGAGATCATGACAGCAGACCACAATGCTATCTCGCAATTCATCGGAAACTTCGAGAGACTACGAAGTCTCAAGCTCAACGCAAATCCGATCACCAAGTTCGAGATCACCTCTCCTGTGCCGACACTCAAGCTTTTGAATCTTTCCAACGCGCAACTTGCGAGCGTTGATGATTCCTTCCAGAACATCTTGAACCTTGAGCGGCTTGTTCTCGACAGAAATTATTTTGTGTCGCTTCCTCCTCAAATTGGCAATCTGCGCCGCCTGGAACATTTCAGCATTGCGAAGAATTCCATTGGGGAGTTGCCACCGGAAATCGGCTGCCTTCAAGAGCTGAGAGTGCTCGATGTCCGTGGCAACAACATGAGGAAATTACCCATGGATATCTGGTGGGCAAATAAATTGGAAACACTGAACGCGTCGTCGAACGTGCTGGAGTCGTTCCCAAAGCCAGCCTCTCGACCACCGCAACCTCCTGGCGAGCCGGCGTCTGCTGCTCCTTCAATAACGTTGAAGCCGAGTTCCTCCGGAGGCCTGAGCCCGTCTCCTAGCGCGGATGACCTATTACCTGACGGGACGCGCCGACCAAGCCAAGCTTCTAGTACGCTCTTGAGTGTTGGGCCATCCCCAGTGCCCGCAGGACCGGATCGCAAAAGTTCAGTGGTGTCGGTGTATGGCAAAGGCGGTCGCAAGACGTCTGTCATGTCCAGAACCACCACAAGTCAGAGTAACACTCCCGTGCAAACCCCCATGCCAACTTCACGCAAGGACTCCGGCCTATCCTCTCGGTTGACAAATACTTTCGCCGGTTCGATGAGGTACCTCTACCTGGCGGACAACCAGCTCGACGATGATGTTTTCGACCAGATAACTTTGTTGAGCGAACTACGACTTCTTAATCTCTCCTACAACGACCTGAGCGATATGCCCCAGAGATCGATCAAGAGTTGGCCGCAACTCGTGGAACTATACCTTTCTGGCAACGAGCTAACCACACTTCCTGCCGACGATCTGGAAGAATTCAATTCCCTCCAGGTTTTGCACATTAACAGCAACAAATTCACAAATCTGCCCGCCGATATTTCCAAGGCGAAAAAGCTGGCGGTCTTGGACTGTGGAAGCAATTATTTGAAATACAACATTTCAAATGTGCCGTATGACTGGAACTGGAACCTCAACCCCAACCTGAGGTTTCTCAACCTCTCCGGTAACAGACGCTTAGAGATTAAGCAGACTGTGTTTGGCGCTGCGAATGCGAACCGTGAGCAGTATACCGACTTCAGCCGACTGCTCAATCTTCGCGTTCTTGGTTTGATGGATGTTACTCTGATCCAGCCGAGCATTCCTGACCAAAGCGAGGACCGTCGAGTCCGAACATCAGGGTCGTTGGCCGGGTACCTGCCATATGGCATGGCAGATACTCTCGGGAGGAATGAGCACCTCTCAACCATCGACCTGGTTGTTCCCCGCTTCAACGCGGCAGACACCGAGACGTTGCTTGGTCTTTTCGATGGCCAAGCCCTTTCCAGTGGAGGCTCTAAGATTGCCAAGTATCTCCATGAAAACTTTGGTCACATATTCTCGATGGAGTTGAAAGCGTTGAAGACAAGACTGAACGAGACACCCGTCGATGCGATGCGCCGAGCATTCTTGTCCCTCAACAAGGATCTGGTAACCATCGCAATCCAGCATACGGAAGACCGGCCTCTGACGGCCCATCGGGGGTCGGCACAGCCAGTTGTGCTCAGTAAGGAGGACCTCAACTCTGGTGGTGTAGCTACAGTCGCGTACCTTCAGGGGCAGGAACTCTATATTGCCAACGTTGGTGACGTGCAAGCCATGCTCATCCAGTCTGACGGATCCCACAAATTCTTGACCCGCAAACACGATCCGGCCGAGCCCAGCGAACGATCCCGCATTCGAGATGCCGGTGGCTGGGTATCTCGAAACGGAAGGCTCAATGACTTGCTCGAAGTATCCCGTGCCTTTGGATATGTCGACTTGATGCCTGCAGTACAGGCCGCACCACATGTTTCACACATGACTGTCAAGGAGCAAGACGAAATCATCCTGATAGCCACGAAGGAGATCTGGGAGTACTTGCCTCCGGAACTGGTTGCTGATATCGCACGAGGCGAGCGCCATGACCTCATGCGAGCGTCGCAAAAGCTTCGAGACCTCGCCATGGCGTACGGGGCAACGGGGAAGATCATGGTCATGGTGATGAGCATCGCAGACCTGAAGAAACGGAACGAGAGATCACGTCTTCATCGTGGTCAAAGCATGTCCTTGTACCCATCCGGCATCACGGACGACATCCTGCCGCGGGAGCCGAGGAAGCCAAAACGGGCGGCGAAGGGGGCTGATGTTTTGGATTCCGACCTGCGGCGACTGGAGCCCGAGGTTCCTGCGCCAACAGGCCTCATTGCCATTGTCTTCACCGATATCAAGAACTCTACAAACCTATGGGAGACGTATCCGGCAGCCATGCGGTCTGCTATTAAACTGCACAACGACGTCATGAGGCGACAGCTGCGGCGCATAGGTGGCTACGAGGTCAAGACTGAAGGTGATGCCTTCATGGTGTCTTTCCCGACAGCAACATCGGCGCTACTGTGGTGTTTCTCTGTGCAGATGCAGCTTCTTGACATTAATTGGCCTCAAGAGATGCTCAACTCAGTTTCTTGCCAGCCCCTCGTCGATAAAGACAATAACCTCATTTTCCGAGGTCTTTCGGTGAGGATGGGCACGCATTGGGGCGAGCCGCTTTGCGAGGTCGACCCCATCACTCGCCGCATGGACTACTACGGACCCATTGTCAACAAAGCCTCGCGTGTGTCTGCCTGCGCTGATGGCGGTCAAATCACAGTCTCGTCTGATTTCATCTCCGAGATACAGAGATGTCTGGAAACCTACCAAGAGCCCGTCAACAGTGTAGACGATACATTGGAGGATGACAGCTTTGCACTAGCAGTGCGCAAAGAGCTACGGTCACTGAGCTCCCAGGGCTTTGAAGTAAAGGAGATGGGCGAGAAGAAACTCAAGGGCCTCGAGAACCCGGAGGTTGTCTACTCGCTGTACCCACACGCCCTGGCCGGCCGTATCGAGCAACACATGCTCCACGAAAGGCAGACGTCTGGTGATGTGGAGAAGCCCTTGCCAGCGACCGTGGCGCAGGGTGGCGAGCTTGCATTCGACCCCGAAGTGATCTGGGCACTGTGGCGGGTTAGTCTCCGGCTTGAGATGCTCTGTAGCACACTCGAGGAGGGCTCGGACCGTGGTCTACAGCCACCCGAGACAGAGCTTCTGGACCGCATGAAGCAAAGAGGTGGTGAGGTCACGGAGCGGTTCCTGGTCAACTTCATGGAACACCAAGTAAGCCGCATAGAGGTACGTGTGCAAACCCCGCCGATGGCATCAATCAATATATCAATCACATGACTGCGGGAGATTAGAGCTGACTCTTGAATACAGACGTGCATCTCGACGTTGACCATGCGCCACCTCGCCGCAGGTGGCGGACAGATCTCGAAGCTCGATGACCTGCGGGCTCCCATGACCAACGTCCTGGACATCATTGCCGAATCGATGGCGGAGCTCCAGCGATATAAAGACCGGTTTGGCGAGCTCGACGAGATGTCGGTGGTCGAAGACATCTCGGGCAGTGACACGGAGCAGGAGTGAAGCTGAGTTGGGTGGTGAGAGACACAGGCGTTGCCCCTCGTGTCCTACTTCCACCCCCATCCCCGGCGATGGTCGGGGCTTCTAGTTATCTTGCATATGCCTCTTGTAATACCCCCACCTTGTTTTGTATTGAGCTAAAAATTGTTGGACGGCGGCATGGCAATGGCTTGGTTAAATGTGCCATTGTGGTTCGGTGCGGTGCCCTTTCTGGGAATGTGTGGCAAGCGCCTATATACTCCTTTACTGTTTTGTCCTGCCAGCACGCAAACGTACTTTTTTCTCCGTCTATAATGTACGATAGCTCCCACGGAGCCACACAGTGGAAAGGGGCGGTACTTTTTTTTTGCGTCGAATATCAAGGTGGAATATATCATCAAAGCACGCCGGCACAGAGCCTGGGTGGGAGTCTTGGGACTAGGGGTGCTGGAGCTGGGAAGAGGCGAGGGTCTGGAGGAATTGTTGATAGGGGCTTATCTAGAGGGTGGGTTTTCTCCGAGGCCCATGTTCATCAAGGGGCGCACAAGCAACGGGTAGTTGTGGCGAGCGGGACTGTCCAAACAAAGACCGCATCGCGTTCGGATTGACGGGCCAGTGGCGATGGAATAACAAACGACAAGTGGCTGGGCAAGAGAGAAGGTGATTTTTTACTGTTGCCGAGCAGGGCTGGCTCGATAGGACAGCCGAGAATCAAAATAAAGATAAATGATTTGAATTTGATCCCGATACCAATGCCAGAGTATAGAGAAGACGAGGTCATGTCAAAGAGACGAGGAGGGGTTTCCTGGGTGCGATGGAGGACGCAGTGCTTACATAGTAATCTGTCTGGGTGCGAGACATTGATATCCCTAGACTTAGGTATCTCTATCTGTACACCTGGGCAGAGCATATGCAGGTGCAGGGCAGGCCTGCAACGTGTGGTGGGGTGGGGGATCTTTGGTGGATGGTGGGCGGTTCCCAGATCCCCATCTAAGCTTAAAACGGGATGGCCAGCCAGGAGGCGGCCTGGACCGCGCAAATCCTAGCACCTGCAGGACAGGACGGGGCCAGACGGCCAGATGGGCAGACGGCCACACGGCTAGAGCTCTGTGCGCTAACAGTTAAGGACGTGGCAGCGTGGCACGCGTGGACACCTCATGTCCGTCTCTCTGGCCCGTTTTGGTGGGTCCCAAGCAGCCGGTTCCAGGGTCTCTGATCGCTGACGTCAGGCGATCCCACCCACTGGACGGCTGAGCCTGTCAGCTCGAGTCGGTCTTTTTTCTCGCCTTGCCGTGCGATCAACCATCAACGATTCCTGATCTTGGCAGCCAGATTTGCTTTCCACATGTCAGTCAGCCAGCCAGGACCAGCATGCCATACTCACCGTCGTCCATGACCATGACGGCTTGAAGTAGGGAATTCCTTTTCAGTCTCTTGTCAACTCACGATGCTGCCTGCACGACATCCTGGTCAGTGCTGATGTCGATATCGCCATCGCCACGCCACGCCACATTTTCACCTCAATGAACTCAACTCAGCTCACCTCACCTCACCCCTCTTAACCTCACTCCACCACAACCACACCACATCCCCCCTGCCCCTTTCATCGTGCCTCCCCTTGGGTGCCGAGGCTATTTCCTCTTCGAGTCTTGCCAAGGTATAAAAACAAACTCTCGATATCCTATCTTCCAAGCAGGGCGTTGGCAGCCATGTGGCCCGCCGCCGACAAGGTCCTGTACACATCAGGGCGGTCCTCCCGACTCACCATGAACCCTGTGGTGCTGCCCAACCCGCTGCCCGCCAACCTGGGCGACCATGTCCGCGATATTTACCGCCGCCACTTTGCCCACGAGCTCGCCCTGGGCACCGTCAAGCCCCTGGTCATCCCCCACGGCGTCCTGGTCACCTTCGGCCTCCCAATCCTCTACCTCGCCATACCCCACCGGAACCGCCCATGGCTGTTCAGGGCCCGCTACCTGCTCATGTTTTACATTATCGTGTTCAACCTACGCGAGACCTTCATGACCACAAGTCCTAACTTTGCTGTGGGCTATGCCGTGGGCCTTATGCAGGCATGGGGCATTGTTTGGAATATGACGCTGCTTATCCTCATGAGGCCGCAGTTTGATGCCGAGCGGGTGGAGATACGACCGGTGCGGGCGACGCCGGTGGCTTCAGGGGCAGCGAATGGGGCCACGAATGGCCATGTGCGGATATCAGATTCCAAGGAGAACGTTCGCCCTGTACAGAACGGCAATGCGAACGCGGTCACCAAGGTCAATGGAACTTCGAAGGCGCCAGCACACTCAGCCAAAAGTACGGGGGACAAATCGGCCGATGCACCCGATGAGGACATTGCAAAGAGCCTCGATGAGGGATACGAGTACTACTGGCAGGACTACCCGGAAGACGCCCCCTTTCTGACCCGGCTGGAGTGGTCATTCGACCTCTTCACCTCCTTCCGCGGTACCGGCTGGAACTGGTCCGTTCCAGTGATCCCGCATTTTGCCAAACCCGACAAGCCGCACTCGGCCGCACTGGCTGACCTAGAGTCTATCCCCATGTCCACAAAGCAGGGCTACCACCGGTTTGCTACCCGGCGGTCATGGCTCCGCAGCGAGCTCCTACCCATCATCGTGGGCTACCTGGCCCTGGACGCGTTCAGCGTGCTGATGATGAAAGACCCGTACTTCATTCTGGGCCCTGAGTACACAGCATCCACGGTCCCGGTCCCGCTCCCTCCTCTGCTCGCGGCCCTGCCCCCCTGGCTCCTCTTCACTTACCGCTCCCTGACCGGCTTCCTGGCCGTCATGGCGGCCATCAGCACGATCATGAAGCTATGGCAACTGATTTGCGCCTTCCCCCTGCGCGGCCTGCTCGGCGCCCGCGCCGACCTCTGGCACTACCCGACCCTGTACGGCTCCTTCACCAGCAACGTCCTCGACAAGGGCCTGGCGGGTTTCTGGGGCGGCTGGTGGCACCAGACGTTCCGCGTGGCCTTCAGCGCCCCGGGAGCATGGCTCGCCCGCCGCGGGATCCTGGCCGACCGCCACTCGCCCGCCGCAAAGGCCGCCGCGGGCTTCTTCGCCTTCGCCCAGAGCGGCTTCCTCCACTCCCTCGGCAGCGCCAGCTGCCTGCCGCCCAGCCTGCCCTGGGCCCCGCCGATCTTCTTCATGCTGTCGTGGGTGGGCATCCTACTGCAGACCGCGGTGTGCGGCGCCGCGCGGCCCGTCACGCGCAGCCTGCCGCGCTGGGCGAGAAGGGCTGGGAATTTCGCGTTTGTTTTCGTCTGGCTCAACGCCACGCAGTACTGGATGCTCGACGACATTGCGCGCTCGGGCATCTGGCTGCTCGAGCCCGTGCCCGCCTCGCTGTTCAGGGCGCTCGGGCTGGGCGGGCCCGGCGACCACTGGTGGAGGTGGACCTGGGCTGAGCTGCCTCGCCGGTACGCTGGGGCGCACTGGTGGGAGGGTGGGATCGCGTTGTGAGCGAGGGGTGTTGGACTTCCCTGCTGGGTTTTTAAATATGGTAATTAGGCGTAATCATGTCGTGGAGCGGACGGGCAGGTGATTGTGAGCGTGCATTTACAGGCTTGACTAATGTGGCATTAGACGTGTGTTGGTTTGAAGATCATATATACATACGGAGACTATATACCCCTCCATACATAGCGAAACTCTGTTTCTAGACTATACGATGCTGCAAAAGCGCCTGCACTTTACAATACTTACGGCTTTGTCGTTTGTGGCTGAGGACGTGAATTCACCTGTGACAGACTCGTCGCGGTGTATATCGCTGTCTGTCTCAAGTGCTGGTGGTCAAACTTTATAACGCTGCCATTTGACTTGAAGAGTGATGTGTAGGAAGTCAAAAATGTCACGATCTGTGCGGCACATATACAACAGGAGAGAGGCTCCAATTTCTCTTGCATCCATTCAATTCCTACAGCACGTCCAAGTCCCGACAACCCCCTTTACAAATGCTCCTCTACACGGGGAGTAACAGACAGCCCGTTTCTGCTCTCATGCTTGCTAAAGCCAGACAGACAGACAGCGGCAAAAAGGAAAAAAGTTAGAAGGAAGAGGAATGAAGTACAAGTTTAGTAGCTATGTCTGCATAGGTAGAAGGAAAAGCTTAAAAGGTCAGGTAGCAAAGCTTTGTATTGCTCTCTCTCTCTCTTGGTCTCTCCCAACCCGTTCTTGCAGTTCCGTCTCTCCTGCCCGTGGTGTGTCCGGCGCCTGCTGGGACACTCAGATCGAGGAACAAATCCGAGACAAAAGACATAGGGGACATGATAGGGATGCGAAGTGTATGTCCGTCCTTCCTGGCTTGGTTCGCAGCAGCAGTTTCCATCAAGGCTCACTGCCCGTTCGGCCAGCCTCATGCAGCCAAAAAAAAAATTGGAAAATAATGAAAACGCCCGTCCTCGCCGCCGTCCCCTTATTTGGTATCTTTTCGCAGGCCGCTTTTCGTAACATTAATCCTTTCGGATCTCGCATGATGCCCGTCTTCTTTCTTTCCGTCCCTTTTGTATCAGTCGTGATGCATATTACACATGAGAACCCCAATGAAAACCAAGCGGAGCCTCTTCTGAAGAAGAGGGTGACAAGTCGCAGAAATGATGATTCCGTCCGTTTAGAACGCCGTGCCGAATGTCGTACCGACCTCCAAGTCCCGTTTCGCCCACCGTTCGCAAAGCGCGATCGCGGCTCAAGGCTAAGTTGTGTTGTTCTAAGAGTCTGCCAATTTCGCAAAGTGCTTGGACCAGATCCAGCCCACAAGGTCATTGGGGTCGTCCTGGTTTTTGGCTAGCCACAGCTCGCCCTTCTCGGCAATGACATCGAAAATCTAAGAGCGTTCGCGGTTAGCATTTGAACTGCAGGTTCAGCTGGGTACAAGACCTACTTCGCCGGCTTGGTATGTCAAGTAAGGATAACCAGCCTCATGTTTCGTTGTCTCGATGTTGAACTCGAAAAGCGATGCGGCGAGCCATAGGACATTGTAGCCTTTCGAAATGTATCGCTCGCGCGAAGATGCTCGGGAGGAGCGCTGCAATTCTTCTGTGCTCTCCGTCAGAGGCATGGCCGAGTGAAACAGCCCCGATCCACGGCGTCCATCAGTGGCAGACGGCGGAGCATTGCTTGTCGAATTCGAGTCGCGGCGCACGTGGACAGGAGCCGCAGAATCAATGCTGGGGCGCGGAACTCCGGCAGAGTCGAAGCTGCGTCCTGTGCCTGGCCGTGGCGTCATGGCGGGAAACGAACGCGGTTGGTTGGAAAAGTCGGATGATGTGGGTGATGCTGGACCGCGCGAGTTCAGGCCATGGTAGTAGTCGCGGTAGAAATAGCTGTTGGAGCTGGGCGCTGCGGCGGAGGGCGACCTTGCCAAATGCCCGTTCCCACTGTGCTGCCTGGCGAAATCTGGTGCCGGCAGAACCGGGGCTTGGTCACTTGTGACAGACATGTTGCGACCGCGAGTCGTGCCAAGATCAGAAGCCTTCGACTTGATCCTGGAGATCGTGTGGTCGTCGGTTGTAGACTGTGAAGTCCGAGTTTTCACAGTTGGGTTGAGAATGCCCAGACCCATGATCTGTTCCTCCATGTCTCTAAAATCGCGGTTGAAAGTGCTCACTATCTCCGTGACCTCCGGCAGGTCAGTAATGGAGGCTACAACGCGGATCTTTTCCTTCCATATGAGCCACCATTTCGCCTGGATGTTGATCATGTTCTCGAGACAGATGTTGCCAACCTTCTCTGTAAGAGCAGAGAGTTGCGGGAGTTCTTTCTTCAAGGTGTCGTTCAAAGCCTCGTAATGCTCCACCAATTCCGCAAGCTGCTTGTCCAGTTTCTTGCCGCCCTTCTTGAGCTGGACAGATTTTTCATAGTCGAGCCGCCTCTTGTTGCGCTTTTTCATCGCCAAGAGGGGGTTTTGGTAACTTCTAATTACAAGCTCGAATGGCTCGATGACATGTTTGCGGATTTGTAACAGCTGCCACAGTATTAGCCATTGGGTGCGTGGATGATAAGACGAGGATTCTTACATGCTGATCCAATGCAACCTTCTTGATGTCTCTCATAGACACATTGAACTGGACCCATTTGCTTTCCAGTTCTGGGTAGGGGCCTGGCTGCAGTCGAGTTACGAGCTCTATAGCCGACAGATAATCCAGGAACGCCTGAACGTAGGTGGAAACTTGTCTCGTGTAGAACTCGACGTCTCGGAGAACGACCTGCAGCCGCAGGTAGTCGTCACTGAACTTTTCATTGAACTTGAGATAGTCAGGGTCCTCGGGCGGCCTGTTGCTTGAAGTCTGCAGCTTGTCAACCCTCTTTCCGAATGCTCTGGCAAAGCCAGCCTTCACATCTGATTCTTTGCGCTTTCGGCCCACGATCTGTCCAACAAGCTCAAAGTTCTTCTTCGTCTTGTTAATCTCTAAGATCGCGTTCTCGACTGTTGACCTCGCAGCCAAGAGCCCCTCTCGGTCGGGGTGGTCCTCGGGAGTATATTGAAGTAGCTGAGAGATCAGATTTGGATATTTGGTGATTCTCTGCATTGGCTTGATCAGGAGAGAATCCAAATTCCAAGCTGCTGTCAAATCCTTGGCTACTTCATTGCACTCATTCAACCAAACCTTGACGGTGGGATCTTGCTGTATGTCGATCAGGCGTTTGTTGGCAACATCGCTCGTCCGGAGAAATCCCTCGTGAGCCGCCTTCATCTGCTCGATGTTCCTGACGAAAGCCGGTCCAATTACGGTCTGTCGGTCCTTGGCATCTTCCGTGTCCCCATTCATCGCCGTGGTGCCAGAAAGTGAGACCGCCGTCGTCGAAGAGGCCGCAGTCGAAGGCACGGCAGACGTGGTCGTCGAAGCGACTGATCGAATTGTGGTGGCATCTGACATTGTTGTCTCTTCCTTCATGACTGGAGACCGCCGGCCTTTCGGCACGTACACACTCGTGACTCCATCTTTCAGCTCGCTTAAGAAAGTTGTATGGAAATTGATGATCTCATCAGTATTACGGAAGATCAATTTGATCGTCTTGTCATCGAGTTGCGGGCACGCCTCTGCCGTGCCTTTGTAGATCTCCTCGATGACGTTCATGTCCCTCACAAACACTGCTTCGGTGTCCACAAGCTCTTTGATGACCATGGATCGCTGATGTAGACGATTCTTCCCCTTGCCCGCGGGTTTGTCATCTGCATTTACCGATGCTTTGCCATCGCCCTCCACTGGAGTTTGGGCGGGAGTCGCGCTGTCGGTGGCCAATGACCGTCCATCGGGTGACTGTGAACTTGACGATTGGTCGTGGTACTCTTCACTGTCCCTTCGAGACATTGGAAAGCTGATGGACGCTTGATCGTCCCTTGTCAAAGCACTTTCAGGCCTGTGAACATCGCTGTGACCGTCATAGTATCCGCTGGTGGGCCGTGACGCATCCTCTGGGGGCGGAGGCGGAGAGTGGTCCGGCAGTCTTGGAATGTACGGTGCATGTTCGTCCTCAGTGCCATAGGCTGCCGAAAATACCGATCCGGTGTCGAGATGTGGCAAGTGTTGATGACGGTTTTGCTCAGAGAGTGTATCGTCATCTCTATCATGACCAAAACGACTTGCAAAATATCGATGCTGATATGTCGATTCATCATCCCTCGCTGACTGAGGCCGTGACTCATCGGCACCACTATGTCGTTGCTCGTCAAGATAGTCAAGTCGCCGGGTCATAGAGTCTCGACTACTGTATGAAATGTCGGTCCATATCGACTGTTGACTGGATCTATTGGCTGGCGTTGTCATTGAAGGGACGTTGAGACTGTTAGAGGTATCGGGAGTATTATGTGCATCAGCGGACCCTGACGGCCCCTCCGAAGTGCCGGCATCAGACGCTGTGAAGGTGGAATCCCTCAGACTGGCTATGTTGTCGTTCAACCGTGGCCCAGTATAAAACTCCTCGAGAGAATCCATTCGTGGCTCCTGTGGTGGCAGCATGTTCCGTGCAGCTTGCTCAGCATACGTCGGAGGCCCAAATCCAGCATCGCGGCTGATGATGGTGACAGTAGTTGTCTGGTATGGTTGTGCCACGTACGGTTGAGGTTCGTACTCATCCTCCTGTCGATCACCCAACCCCCGCGGCTCAAGGTGAGACTCATTCAAGTGCTCGCCTGCAGTCTCAGGTTCGGGCTCCACATCTGCTCCGTGATCAATATGGTGTTGAGAGTCGCACTCTGATTCGGGCTCAAGATCGTCTCCAAATGCACCAGGTATTGCGGGCTCAGCCTCGACCACATCGCCAGGCAGTGCTTCCTGGGTGGAGGGTCGTGGGGATGATGGGTCCAGCGATATTTTGATGGAAACAGTCTCCTGATCCACAATGTCTTCAAACGGGTCACGGTACGTTGCTCTCTGGTAGCCCGGCGTTAGCTGCGGGGGAGGCTGTTCCCCGACCTCAGCGCGTGACCAACGATGCGGGACCACCGCATGCACTGACTGCTCAGGTACCGGCGGCTCTGTCTGTGTTTCATTGTCAAATTCAGTGATTGCACTGGTTTCCGAAATAGCGGATGGAGGCGCCTCGTCGTGGTCTAGCGGCGGTGAACCGAAGCTTGGAAAAGTCCCAGGCAGCCCTAGAGTCGGCGAATCGAGCACTAAAGCGGGTGGGTTCACACGGACAGGACTCGGTGGTGTCTTGATATCGAGCCTTAAAGACTGCTCGCCAGTTGGCACGGCTCCAGGTGCTGCTTGAGACTCTTCTTGCTGTATGGGATTAGAGGACTTCTCTCGCTCTTTTTCTTGTGCAGAGGCGGCTGCAGCCTCGGCGGCTGCAGCTTGCGCCTGAGCCCTGGCTTTTGCACGCGCTTTGGCCTTCGCAGCAGCTTCTAATTCCTTCTTTCTCCTCTCTGCGGCAGCTTCTCTTGCCTGCTTGGCCTCTGTTTCACGGATTGACTTGCTGTACTTGAGCTTGATGGTCTCTCGCCGCTCGGCAAAGTCAACGGGACCGCCCAAGGACAGCTTCCTCCTTCGACTCGATGGCGTTTCTTGCCTCGACTCGGGTCTGGCTGATGGTCTGATTGCGTTCTTGTGTGGAGACTTGGACCGGTCAATGGCTCTCAGCCTAGAGGCTGCTGTAGTCGCTTCAGACACTGGCTGTCGAGGCCTGGAACTTCGAAGTTGGGGAGAATTTTTCGACGCTGGTGATAGATTGGCCGCCAGTCGTGCACTGTTCGAGCCTGGCGTGGGAGTCGCCGTCTTACGGGCAGAAGGCGTGCTAGCGGTCGGCGTCTTTGACCGGGTTACAGGAGTCTTGGCACGCGATGTTGGAGTGCTCTGTTGCCGTGATGTCCTACCACTGGGTGGCACTCGCCTTGATCCGGCCGGCGAGTTGGACCGTGTGGAAGCAGGACTAGCAGGATTGGAGGTCGAGTTAAGCTTTTTGACAGAAATCGGTAGCCGAGAAGAGGAGGATGCGTGAGGCGAAGGCGATTGATCTAGATGTCTTCGGAATTGTGCATTAGTGTTGATTGAGGGAAGTTTAGCACCAGCGAGATCACTCTGTGACCTGCCATGCGACTTTCCAGGGCTTTCCAGGTCAGGTAAACCATTCTTTTGGGGAGAAGCCGCTCCACGGTACCAGTCAGTCGGCGATGCAGGCTCTGCCACGGCATCTGACTGAGTCCGCTGATGTTGCCACATAGGACCATCGGCTGTTGAGTCTGGGAGGATTCCTATCCCGTACCCAGGGGTCTCTGCATCGAGGTCTCCTTGTCGTATCTCTCCGAACAAAAGCGGTCCATCCGAATCAGAAGGCATAGGGTTCGGTTGTTGAATCGGTGACGTGGTGGGTGACAAGTGAGTCATGGGCCTGGATGCATGCGCAGTGGACGCGGCAGCGCCTTTGGGTCTGTTGATCCGGCTCGCAAAGGACTGGGAATTCGTCGAGACCTGGTCCTCGGCGAGGAATTTTGTCCGTTGGGTGCCGCGAGACGAGTTAGATCTGGCTGAACTCGCCCCGGCTGTGCGTAATGATGAATATGACTGTGCACCTCCAACCGCTGCGCGCCCATTTGTTCCGTTTACAGCACCATCCTTGGCGTTGGTGTTAGTCCGCGATGCGATACGCCGTGGCTCGGGCGAGGGCTGTGTCCCCTTCTGTTCGAATTTCTTCTTCATATCCTTTACGCTTGCTCGGGCAGCAGAGGCTGGGAGGGTGTTGCCGGTGCTGGTGGCCGACCGCATCCTGGTCCCATCACTGCCCGCAAATCTGTCGTCAACGGGGTTAGAAGCTGAGCGATACATCGGCCTGGTGCCGACCCGGGTGCCTGGTCCAGCGGCGGGCTTGGACGAGGCAGCATTGCTATTTGACCGTGACGCTGGGGGCTGACGGGTGGTGGGCACGGCCGAGGCCATTGGGTCATGGGCGACGGAGGCCAGCGAGTTGTCGTTGGCGATCTCGACGCCCCGATAGCTGCGATAGAAATCGTCTGGGCTGCCAAACGCTCCTCCCTGGGCGGGAAAAGTAGCATTTGAAGCTACAGCGTGGAAGTTGCGGGCGGCATAAGTTGTGACAGAGATGGAGGTGGGAGACTCGTGCAGGATGTCGTGATGGGAGTCGGCGCGAGGGCTATGGGTGTCGTCGTAGTGGGCGTGCTGCTGCCGGTCGGGGGGGAGGTGGGCGAAGAGGCTGTCGTTGTCGTGGGAATAGGTCGGGTAGGGCGACTGGGAAGAAGAAGCTACCGCCAGGCCAGGGCCTTGCATATGGCGAAGATCCTCCTCTTCTCGATTGCCTCCGTCCATTTTGGCCTGAACATCCCTTCTGGGGCGAATGAGCTCGGGCTCTCCTGGGCGGGTGAAACGGATGGGCGTCGCCTGGCAGTGGCTGTGGGCGGGCGTGTTGACGCAACTTTGGATCGAGTGGAGGCCAGGGAACGTCAGGAAACCATGCAGTCTTCAGCGCAGAAAGGACGGGGCAGATGGGTTGTCAGGGCTCTGGAGCATTGATGGGCTGGCGTGCAACGTGAGTGGGTGATGGTTGTTTGAAGGTTTAGGCTGGCCCAAACGGCGACCAGGCTGCCCCCTGGTACTTGGGTGTGGTGTGTGGTGGTGGGTGGAGGGTGGTGGGTTGGACGGGATATCGCAAGGGAGCCCGTTTAATGTTGACTGGCTCGCCGGGCCAGGATAGAGAGCGTCTGCGAAACGGTGTTTCCCGTCAGCTGTCTGGCAGTGCCTCACCCACTCACTCAATCAATCAGTCACAACCATCCTTGACCACGTCAAAGACTTGCAGTCGGTTCTGTACATACGGTGAAATCAATCCTCCTATCCTGTCCTGTCCCGTGCAGTCCTATCGCAGAATTGTAGCGTATCGTATCGTATCGTGGCCCTCCACCTCGGCTCGCTTATTATTCTGCCTTGCTCCCCGATTACACGCAGACCTGGGCCGTTGGGCGACAATGCAGCGTGGAGACGGAGGAGGGGGGGAGGGGAAGTGCATACATGCACAGCACAATCAGGAATGCAGCACACCTTCATCAGCCGAGAGTTGCTGCTCTGTCAGTCTGGCATTGGCGCAACCCTGATTGATAAGTCACAGCCCCGGCGTCGCAGCTCGCTACTGCACGTCGTTCCTCGGTGTTGTGGCTTCTGTGCCCGCTGTTCGCCCTGCCGCCCCCAGCTCGTCCAATCTAACACCTGCAGCTTACCACTTCACCGTGTCGTCTATGTGGGCTACACTACACTCTCCTCTTACTGCGCCGCGCAGTCCGACAAGGATTGCCCGCCACATCCAGAGGCCAGATCGGATCGGATCAGACGTCGCCAGCCCAGACCAGGAACAGCACAGTCTCCCAAGGGCCCGGGGCCAACAAATGCAGAGGAAATGACCCTGTGGATCTGCAGCGCGACATGGAATGAAGGTGAAATGGCTGACCGGGTGCCGAGGACAATACAGCCTGACAATGATCACACAGGGCTGCGATGGGAGCACAGGTCACACGGTGTGTGTTGGCTCCTCGACTTGTTGCTCGTGGCTCTATCGGTCAAAATAGTGCTTAGGTTGGCAATTGGCGCATCAATTCGCAGTCCGGACTCTGGAAGGAGCCATCACCAGACATACCATTACGGCGTCTCTTGTCCCAGGTCCGCTCAAGTCGCGCCACTTACTTGCATTGCAGATGAGGGTCGCAAGGGACGAGCAGAACACCGAATGCCCCCTCTTGCACCCACTCACTTGTTACAGGCTCAGCACATACCTACTGTGCTTCCGAATTGGGAAACGGGCGAAGCCCACCAGGACGCAAGGGAGGAACCAACATGGACAGCATGCTTTTGTTTTGGTGTCTTCTGCCCAACGTCGACGTTTCGAGGACAAAATAACCTTGCGTTTAGAGTCTGGCTTGGCTGCTATATCCTCCATGCTAATACTGCTAGGAACCTCACTGTAAAGTTCAGCGTTCGGGATTCAAAGTTTGGACTCCAGAGCTCAGAGCTCAGATGCAGCAATTGAATTGGGCGTGTGATTCCGAGCACATCACCCTCCCCTTTCTGTTGCATCACCACATCTTTAACCGTGGGCTCGCCCGCGTCGAGCTCGAATTAGCCTCATCTCCTGCTTGTGACTGAGGAGCTCCCGCCTCCAAACAATACCCAGGCTCCGGTGCGATGATACGGTCGCATGACGGCCGCAATGTCCTTGGTGCGGGCTGAGACGGAGCCGGACATGGGAGGAGCTTGTTGATCCACTACTCTGGGGATTCCACAGCCACATGCTTCCGCGACAGAAGCGATCGGCTGTTCCCTGTGCCACCATCGGTAGCCTGGTCAACCTGGTATCAGACTGCCGTCTTCCATTTTGCTTTTTCATTTTTCCCTCGTCTCGTTTGGCCCTGCTTCCTGGGAAGTGGGAGATGACCATTGTCGCAGTCCAGGATCCCGCCTCCGTGAGCCGATGGGTACATGTGCGGTACTGTGTAGCATCCAGTCTCCCAGTCTAGCTGAAAATCGTCTTGCAGAAAACGTGCCCATCTTACAATTGGGTTGACGCGTGTGCAGGCGCAGGCATACTACGGTAGACAAGAGACAAGAGACATTGGACCACGTCCCAGCCCACAGGGTCCACGGTAGCAGTAGCAGCACCCATCTGATCAGATCAGGTAGGTTTTGGACGATCACTGATAGCATTTACTCTAATTGGCACGGATGAGCACCGCGGGACTCGCGTGAACTACGAGACCGCGCACAAGATTATCATGCATTTCATGATGTAGAACTGTACGTGCAGATGCAGGCATCTTCTTGGTGCCCCGAGAACCAGAGCGGCTACCTACCTAGGTACAGTATCTAGCATGTACGGCACCTCCTTTCAGTGCTTGTTCAGAGAGTGCCCCGAGTCTGCCAGGCACGCCAGGCCCGCACAGGTGGAGACAGCTCCATTATGGCCCAAGCGCCAGGTGCTAGCAGGCGAAATCTCCGACGCCGTCGTCGTATTTGCATGGGCGCCGAGGCGCTTGCACTACGGCGGAGCACCGATACGCGTCCGGCGCGTTACCCACCCATCCATCCACCACCACCCCCAAAACATCACCCGAAAATAAGACCAAATCAAGTCATTCGATGATTCCAATCCAACGTCTTAGATCGAAGCTATCAGCGCGTCCCCATCGTGCGACTATGGTCTTTGGCGGCTTCGGCAGTTGATTGTTCTCTTTCCCAGCAACTCGTCTCCCTCGGCAACGCCGTGCATTTCAGCGCGTGGCTGTGGATCGAAACTCGGCGGCGAGGGTTCGGGCTAGGTGGACAAACAGCCATCTCCAGCACTAATGACATGCAGGGCCCCATTTGTCCTGAGTTGCGCTGTGGCACGGCCAGGAGTCGGACGTTGGGCCCACTCAAGCCTGGTCAACTTCCACATCACGCCCTGGCAAGGTAGACAAGATGCCTTCGCGGACTGACGGGGCGTCTGGAGTAAAGCAAGGTTCCAAGAGGAAGAGAAAGAGGGAGAAGGAGAGGGAGCCAGGACAAGATGCCCCAAGTGGGGTGTCGTCTCACGACCGACGCGTCAAGCAGCTAAGGAAAGGGGTCGACGAAAGTCTGCAACCCTCCGATGCTGTGAAGCATGCGTTGCTGGCTCAGTATTACCCAACTATTCTGACCTTACGGCAGTACGTGCTCTGCAGTCTGCCAGCATCATCGAAAACTCGCCGCAAAAAGATCTCTGCAGTCGGCAAGCCAGACCACTATGTAGCTGAAAATACAGGTGCAGGAGTCCAGGAATCTGAGAAGGATCCTGACGACATCCACGCCTCAGTAGCCCGACTTCTAGACACGACGTTAGTTGGTACTCACGGCAACCCGAGCCCTTTTGGAGGAGAAAAATCGGACAGCCGTCTCCAACGGTGGATTGATTATTCCCAGAAGGGCGACGACTCCCTTGTGACGCTCTCTGATGGTGTTGCTGGTGCAGTACATTGTCAGACAGAGGTTGGTTCGCTCATTTCCTCTCATCAAGGCACGTGGAAGGACATCAGTTCTTATCGCGACACCTTGTGCGCCAGAAGCTGACGGGTACCCGCAGATAGTCGACTTCATTATCTGGCTGCTCTTTTCGAGAGAGACCTTGCCCAGCGCTCGGCCCCGTCACCTTCTCTGCGATGGCTTTCGGAAGCAGATTGGCCCTAGGCAGCAACAATGCTCAGTTCAGGGACTGTACAGCGTCTATTCTAATGAACGAGTTGCGGCCTTGAAAGAGTCACCATGGCCGCAATTGCTCTCGCTGTTGGGAAAGGCTGGTGAGGGCATGATGATCAATATGTTGCTAGACTGTTCGATTTTCCTGCCCATCGAGGCTGGGCAAAGCAATTACTATCAATTAAGTGGTCAGAAACCTTCCGTCAATTTTCTAGGACAGGTATCTGATGAGCCTTGCAGGATCCCCCATCTTCGAATCCGAACCCATTCTGTCGCAGGTCGTGCAGCGTCCGGTAGAAGTGGCTGGTGAAACAACAGCATTCGAACGGAAGCCCACAGAAATCCATTTTGTGAGAAGTCGCATGCTGTATGCCAGAGCTACGCTCAATGCTCGGGGACTGGTTCGCTTTGGGTTGAGGCACATCCGTGAGTGTGGTTCCTGAACAGCCAATGCCAAACCCGTAGACTCACACGTATAAGATGCCCTGAACAGGTTTCCCATCCTTCATTCCAGCGAGGATTCCCCGGCTTTACAGGATGGCAACAGAAACAAATTGAGTTATCCAGGAATCGACAATACGCTCCGAATGATGATGTACATATTCCCACGTCAATTCGGTCTGCATAATGCCTTCACGTCTCATGTCGACTCGACACAGACAGCCCAGAAATTTCAGGACTACACCCTCCGAGAGGAAGAAATACTCAAGAAGTTTCGCAAAAAGGAGGGTTGCATCGATATTCTTGATGTGCGAATTCCCAAACGACTTAGAGGCAGGCTTGAGCACCTGGTGCGGCGTTTGCAAACCTTGCACGCTCGATGTTCTTATGTGGAATTGCTACAGCACCACTGTCCGGTATGCATGTAGCCTCAGCTTGTGGTGAGGCTTTATCACCTGAAAACTTACAATCCTTAGGTTCATCGGAATACATCCGATGCCCATGCGAGCCGTCATCGTGGTGGCGCTAAGACCGCTTCCGCGACAAGCAAGCTTTCGGGGAAGGCTCCGAGGGATCGCAAGAAGTTTCGATCAACACCTTCCTCCACAAATCCCTTGAAAAATTCGTCGGTGACAGAGCTTGCAACCCCGATTTCCAATGTCTCGGCGTTTTGCCAAGCTGTTCTGTCGAAAATCATTCCCCACGAGTTCTGGGGGCACGGTGATGTGCAGGCTCACAACCGAGGCAAGCTACTCAAAACCGTTGACAAGTTCATTAAGCTGAGGCGTTTTGAAACAATGTCACTCCACGAAGTTATGCAAGGCCTGAAGGTAGGTAAATTCAAGGCTTGCAGGTCCTACCTCATTCCAAATCACAAACTAAGTTCTTCCAAGGTCACACAAATTGAGTGGCTAGAGCCTCGCGGACCGAATAATCGCAAATGCAGCCTGACTGATTTTCGCAAGCGAAGCGAAGTTCTGTACGAGTTTCTCTACTACATCTTTGATTCGATATTGATACCTTTGGTCCGGAGCAATTTTTATGTCACCGAGTCCAATATCTATCGAAACCGGGTGTTCTTCTTCCGCCACGATATCTGGAGGTCTGTCGCGGAGCCAGCCATGGCCGAGCTCAAGGTCAATTTGTTTGAGGAAGTCAAACTCGATGAGGCTCTGAAGAAGCTTGATTCTCGCCGACTAGGATACAGCCAAATTAGGTTGCTCCCCAAGCATGCCTCGGTCCGGCCAATCACGAATCTGCGTCGGAGAATGCTAATGACAAAGGACAAAAGGTTACTAGGCCAGAGCATCAATACTGTCCTGGGGCCTGCCTATAGCATGTTGAAGCTAGAGACGGTAAGTCACCATGGCCCTTTTCTCTTCTTGCTTCCAGACTAAGCAAGTCTTACAGGTTCTTCATGGGAGCCGGCTCGGCTCAGCCATGTTCTCTGTGGGAGACATCTACAAGCGCATCGATACTTTCAAGCAGCGTTTGGGCCACAGCAACGTGCCTCTCTACTTCGCCAAACTCGACGTTCGAGCTGCTTTCGATACGATCCCCCAAGCTGCTGTCGTTTCGTTGATGAGATCTATTCCCTCTCAACGCAAATACGACATGGTCAGGCACGTCGAAATGCAGCCCAACGAGAGTGGCATCCTCGCGAAATCCAAGGTTATGAAACGATGGCACACCTCAGCTAGAGCGGGAGCTGACAAGTCGACATTTCTACAAATGATCGCGCGAGGGGCTATCCCCAGCAAGAAGAACGCAGTCTATGTTGATAGTGTCTTCCGAAAGTCGCACAGCACACATGATCTACTTGCGCTGATAGACTCACACATTCAGGAGAATCTCGTCAAGATCGGTAAGAAATTCTACCGTCAGAAGAACGGCATCCCCCAGGGGTCGGTCATCTCTTCCGTTCTCTGCAATTACTTTTATGCGGATCTGGAGAAGAAAGAATTGCAGTTCTTGCAGGTGGAAGACTGCCTCCTTCTCCGGCTCATCGATGACTTTCTTCTGATAACCACGGACAAGAACAAGGCGTCTGGCTTTGTAGGAGTCATGCGGCAAGGCATGCCCGAGTATGGCGTGGAGATCAGCCCTAGCAAGACACTGGTCAACTTTGACATGTCGGTCGACGGCGTTGCAGTGCCCAAGATCCAGAAAGATTGCCGCACATTCCCTTACTGTGGAATACAGATTGATTGTCAAACTCTCGAAATAACCAAAGACAGAGGATTGAACTCCGGGGCCTCGGTCAGAGATCCAACGATCTCAAATTCTCTCACAGTCGAATTCACTCGACACCCAGGCCAGAACTTCGGACGGAAACTCATCAATTCATTCAAAATCCAGTCAAACATAATGTTTTATGACACACGGTACAATACCCTGTCCACCGTCCTACGTAATCTCTACGAAGCATTCACAGAATCAGCTACCAAGGCGTGGGCATACTTGAAATGCCTTCCTGCGGAGAAGCAGCCTGGTCCACAGCTCATCATAGTTTCCATCTCGAAACTTTTCGAGGTGGCACACTTGTTGCTTACTAGCCCATCAAGGAAGCTGAAGTATCCTGAGTATGAATGCAAGGTTTCACAGGTCCAGGTGAGAGCCATAGGTCTGCAGGCCTTTCAGGTAGTGCTAGGCAGGAAGCAGGCTAGGTTTGGAGTTGTGTTGAGGTGGTTGGATGAGCAGGCGGCGAGACTGAGGATGAACGGCAAAGCTCGCAGTAGTCGGGGTCTTGAGTTGCTGCCATGAGCGTCACATTTGTTGTAGAAGACTAGGTCGGTATTTCAGCAGGTAGCAAAACTTTTGCCCATTGTGCTGCTATTCTCAGGAGCAACATGTATTTACGCTCTTCTCGAGCGTGAGCAGCCTCTGAAATGCCATCGAACAAAATATGTGCGTAAGCACGTGTTACGCAGGTGTCCGGAGTGGTGCAAACTGCATGCGGAGCGCATATTAGCCCTCTTAAAATACGTCAATCCGCAGCATCACCAATAATCAGCCCGAGAATGCACACTTCTTTGGCCCTGCACACCTGAAGTCGAAGCTTGATATTCTGTATCAGAAATGAACAGCTGTATCGCCCCCCTCTGCCAATCATGTCTTCACTTACTCCGCCAGGTCAATGACACGATCAGGAACCCCAGCCAAGGCCTTGATCCGAGCCCGCAGCAGAAGGCAGGCCACGTGCAGAGCCTCTGCTTCACCAAAACCATCTTGAAAGAGGTGGCTTCTTCCGCCTCGGAAGGGTGTCGTATCTGCAGTATGGCACTGGCTCAGGCCCGAAATGGGCAGTTCACAGTGCTTCGCTGGGCTAAAGACGATGACGATGATGAAGAAGACGAAGACGACACTCCGTGGCCTGGGGACAACCTGATGGGGCGGATGGACACGGGTTTCCTACTAAGTAGGCCGTTTGAAGACGATGGACTCGTCAGCATTAGGTTCTACCTCGAATTCCGGGACAAGCCCAAGAATGTGTTTGGGACATTGGACGAGGTGCTTTGGCTGTCGCCGCCGGGGCCGGGGCCGGGGTCGACAGGTGCGGAATCGCGGCCTCTTCGTCTTTTCTTGGTCTTACTCGTCCGTAGCAACCAAGCTTGTCGCGGCTCACGATGAGTCGGTGCATTCCACGAAGAATTTTCGTCAGATCAAGCAGTGGCTGGCGCATTGCGACCAGAACCACCCAGACTGTGGCCTTGCCCCGGCTCGAGATGGGCTGGCTTTCACACCAAGCCGGCTCATCGATGTTGGCAGTGCGGACGATTCCTGGGTTCGACTCATATCAAACACGGAGAATATCCGAGGCGAGCGATATACCACCTTGAGCTACTGCTGGGGAGGTGCTCAGAGCCTCAAGCTCATGTCCTCCAACATCCGCCACTTCGAGGAGGGATTCCCTCTAGACGACCTTCCCAAAACGATCCGCGAGGCAGCCCAGGTCACGCAAGATATTGGCGTCCGCTACCTCTGGGTCGACTCGATCTGCATTATGCAGGACTCCGTCGACGACTGGGAGTCAGAGGCTGTCCGGATGTCGGATGTATACGGGTGCAGCTACTGCACCATCATGGCTACAGAGAGTCGCAACTCAGACGAGGGCCTGTTCAGATCGCGGGTCGACAGCGTGGTCCGGCCGACCTGGTACAAGATCTGGTACAAGGATGAGGCAACCCCCACCGTCTTCATGAAGGAGATGTCCATCGAAGCAGAAGGCGAGGTGAGCTTTTATACCAAGCGCCTGGATGACGCACCCGCTGCCAATAGGGCCTGGATCTTCCAGGAGCACGTTCTATCTAGGAGAGTGATACACTTCACATATGATCAGCTGATGTGGGAGTGTCAGTCGACTGTCACCTGCGAGTCATTCCCTGAGGGCTTCAGTGGGAATGGAGTCATCAATGACAGCTATCTTTGGATTCCAAAACTTAAGCCTACGGGTCACATGACGGCAACTCTCAAGGCAATCAGTGCCATGCTGAGATGGGCAAATGTAGGCAAGACTACAAACAATCCTATTCGGTTAGGTTTTTTTCCAAAGAAGATTTCTATTTGTTGAAAGAGCCCAGCTTTACCTGCGCTTGGAAGATCAATGGAGTAGCCACAACACGTTGTCTCATGGCCCTCCCCCGTGAAAATGGAAGAAACTAATTTGAGATTTCCCAGTATGTCGAAGCCTACTCCCACCGCGAAATGTCCGTCCCCGGCGACAAGCTAGTCGCCATAGGCGGCATCGCCAGAAGACTCGCAGAAATTCACGGATTAGACCACTCCGACTACGCTGCTGGACTCTGGAAGCACAATATGCCCAGCTGCCTTCTGTGGACGTCCTTGAGCACCTTTTCCAAAGACACCCCGAAATCCTGGCATAATACGTTCGCCCCGTCGTGGTCCTGGGCAGCGATAGGTGGTAGTGTTCAATATGCCAGGTCGCACGTGCAAGATCCAGCACGCAAATCACTGGTCGAGGTCCTTGACGTACAGATTGAGTACGTAGATCGTCAGATTTTCGGTCAGGCGGTGTCCGGCACGATAAAGCTGTCAGGGCGGCTCATATCCGTCTTCAAGCCGGCGTGGAAGAACAGAGGGGACTCATCTCACCGATCAGAAAAGTACAAGGACCCAAAATACGCCCTACTCTGGACCGGCCAGCTCGCGAGGGATGTGGCTTTCGATGCGAACCAGGGCCCTATCACCATCTCCTGGGACGTGTATGGCGTCGCAGAGGAGGTCTTGTGCATGAGGGACAAACTCAGGGGTACTTATGGCCTACCGATATTCTACAATGCCGGAGCCAGAAGCTTGTGTGGACTTTTGCTCCTCGCCACGGATCGTCGCGGAGAGTATCGGCGCCTGGGTCTGTTTCGCGAGTGGATAGATCCTCCAGATCGTGAGCGATTCTATGGAGAGGAGGGCGAAGGCGAAACTGGAGAATGGCTGGACGATTTCTACGACTCTGGGCGCTTTGGAGGGGAGATTAGGGCGGAAGATCTGCATCTTTATACAGACGACGAGTCAATCATACTTGTCTGAGTAGATACAGCATGTATGCGACGTATATGGTGATGAGCGGACATGATCACGTCCTAGCGAACAGTGACGACTAAGAATCAACCTCATCGTTTATGAGCTACCTCATCTTACTGTGTTTACCTCGGGATTACTGTACTCTTTCTCAAAACCCAGGGCAGTGCCAGCCGTGTGTGCCAGGATTTGGGACATGACATCCTGCGTCTGTCAGCTGACAACCTCTCGTTTAAAATCCAACTCATCAACACCAACTGCCAATCACACCGCAATATTGACAGATCGTAACTGCCGTCGGCAATGGATCCCTCTAAAATGATAAATGTGTGATATAGGCTCGAGGCTCTTATTCATGGTACTGCCCGATTCTGCCCAAATGGCCCCCATGGTCACCTTGAGTAGTTAAGGTATTTGAACAACACGAGATGTCCCTATAATGCCTGTCCTTTAAGACCGGTGAGAGAGTCACTCAACTTGGGACGGCTCTAAAGCAATTCGAAATGCGAGCCTGCCAGATAGAGCCAATGGATCAGAGATGGACTCATAGCTAAGACTGTGGTCAATGATTTACTTGCTCTGATTCGTCGCTACCAAATGTTCATGGCCATAAGCGCTTATTTGAATCTGCCGCGGCAAAGCCTATTCAGTCTTCGCCAATGTGGAAAACCAAGGCATGAGGCAACACTAAGGGCTCTGAAGCGAATACTCTTAGGGCTGGATACCCTCCATCAATGAATTCAGTTTGTCTTGGATGTTCCCTGCCATACGGATACGACTGATGGAGGAGGAATACCTGCGTATCATATGGAATGTGTTATAATGCCGAGCAGGGTAAGGAAGATGACGAAAGCGGGTGCAGCCGTCTGACCGCCGAGCCTATTGGAGTTTCAGTAAGGAACTATACCCCGTGTGAGTAACCTGCCATTGATGATGCAGTGTCGATCCCGGTGTGATGAGCTACCGATATGATGCAAGGCATTATCAGTTGATGCGTGAAAAGAGGGCAAAAAAAAGTGAGGATGGAGGGGATGGTTCGTAGGCAGCTGAAAATCGACCCTTGAACACCTCACGCACAGGTACTACGTAAATACGGTTCTATGCGAAGATCGCCCAAAAGGAGGATTGCAAGTGGTCACATTCGGTTGCGTTCCGGCTTGCACAGTCTCGGAGCCGACTGGGATAGATCGTGGCTCGGCAGGTGGCCCGACGACAAGGCTGCCGCCACAAGGTCTTACATGGATTCTCTCTATCAGACGAAATTTCGATGACAGCCCTCAAGGAGGAAATGATCAAGTGTCAGTCAATTTGCGATTCACTACTTCGGTATCAACTGACACGGCTCTTATTTATGACCGTCCAATATCCGGGCATACAACAAAGCTAGAAGGCATTTACTCCGTAACTGCTGAGTTTCATAACTTGCTGAAACCGTCGAGTAGTTTGTCCTCGAGCTAAGAATGGAGATGTAGATGGTATGATCCCATTTCCGTTCGCTCCGAGGCCGGCAGTAACAGAATGGGCAAATTTGAAGGGGTATTGGCTTGGAGAACAGTTAATGTTCAAAGACGAGAGCTTCGACGCGCTGTCCTACCCAGCCCGTCTTCGTCCCGACGCTGGTCCTTTCCCGGGCCTTCAGATAAGAAAAGCAGAAAAGAGCGGGTTCCACAGCGGCACACAGCTGCTGTAGCCCTGCCTGCTGCGACAAGACAAGCAAGACATTTGAATTGGGCCTGGCCCAGCGGCTGGGAGACGGACGAGTGCTGATTGACTGCAATGTCAAAAAAGTGGCTTGCAGATGGGCATGCGGGACGGGCTGTTTGCGACGAATGGGGAGGTTGCCTTGACGTGTATGCGACGTGATACAACGTCGTCCCCTTTCGCTAGCAGTAACCGGTGGGATGGGCCCGGGCTTTCTCAGACAAGAGGCCACCAAGATGGGTATCGGTGCAAGTGACACGGGAGATCAGTCCCGAGCGCCCCCTTGGTGATGTCTCTGGGTGGCAAGTTCCGCGTTACGCAGAGCACCCACCGTCTGTCTGGCCTTGGGCGCGATGCTCCACAATACCCTCCTCTGGCTGATGAGCTGTGCAGGGCGGGCGTAGGGCGTAGGCCAGCCGTCCCGCTGTGTCAGTTGGTAGTGGTGTGCAGCTGTCTGTCTCTGGTGGTTTCGCCTCCACGTTTACCAGACCAAGTGAGGCATGGGCCCAGGCCTTTAGAGTTAGGGCTTGGGGGTGTCATCCCGCGGAGTTCGGCCCTCACACACAAGACGATCTTTGCCGAAGATTTCTGGAACACATCCGTCGTCTGATTGCCAAACCCCTGGGAAGAAGCTTTCCCGCAACAGCGAGGCCCCTAGCCGGCCGACCGACGACGAACGAAGGATGTCCTGCCGCTCTGCGCTTGGCGAGACGGTTAGACAGTAGTCTAGTGCCGTAAGGCATGGCGCATGTGTGTGTATCCGGTGGCAGAGAGGTCGCGGCTAGGTGTTTTTCCCGAGGCCCGCAGAGAATGCTGGTCCCTGAGAGCAGGATGGCATGTCAATCAATCATGCATTTATTCGATCAGTCATTCATTTACCAACTGCCAGCCCATGCTGGCCGTGCCGTGCTGTGGGGCCGGCTGTGAGCCCGAGGTGGCATATGAGCAGAGGAGCAGGCCTGGGGACGGGGGACTGGGACGGGGACTGGGACTGGGACTGGGTCGTGCAGATGGGGCCTGGGACATGGGCTGGGCACCCTGGCATCTTGCAGATCTGGCAGACCAGGCCCTGGCCAGAGAGACACTCAATCAGTGCAGTACGTGCCCAGGTGCCAGGTAGGCATCCTTTACGTCTGGTGACACCAGCAAACCTCGTACAGTAGATATTGCCATGTAGTGTGTCTCCCAAAGCGTGACGGAGCCAGCGCGAGCAAAGGCTGGTACGGGTGGGTGCGCACAGGCAAAGAAGTCACCCTGATGGGCCAACTGGGCACCTGGAAAGCTGCCTGGGTGGCACACTGATGTACCTGCCTCGCCAAAGTGAGCGCAGGCGGTACATGCCAAGGTGCTGGCCATCGTGCCATTACTTATTTCGCCCACCCGTGGAAGGCATGGCCAAATCAGGCTTAGCGCCGGGTGCCATCGTTGTTGCGTACAAGATCGTCCTCTCATGGGCCTGGGCCATCCCTGGCAATAATGCTGTGTGGTGATCGCACCCATGTCCCCCGGTACCGTACCGTCACGTCAGGACCGTGTACGCAGCAGCAATACAGTGACAGGGTCTGCTGCACCTGGGCACAGTACATCCACTCCACCGGTGTCGCCCCCAAACCAGCATGACCAGCCCCTTTCCCGCCAGAGCAGAGAGCCAAACAGAGCGAGAGAGCACACATTGCCTACCTAGCTAGATACCACGTACCCTGCCCAGCAGTGCCCAGGTACTGTGCCAGACGGCAGATGCGATGGACCCCAGCTTCCATCCCAAGCGTTGTCTCTGCTCTTCTCAACTCTAAGAGGCAGAGGGGTAATGAAGGGGAGAGGGAGAGGGAGAGAGACAGGACCGGGCTCACCTAGTCTCTGGTCTAACGGTAGCTAAGTAGACTGACTACTTTATGAGGTAGCTGCCGTTCGTTGGCTCTACGGATCTGGCGCCTGTCAAATGCCACGAGCACGACCGCGACCACCATACTACCCTCCCCTACCCTTTCGGTCGCTGTCTCGTCTCCAGGCTGAGCATCTGCAACCCGCGCTCGCCCACTCACACCGCACACACTGCACGCTGCACGGGCAACCTCACACTCGCACTCGCTCTCACACTTACTCACGCTCACAACACACACACACACACACCAACACACACACCACATACCTCTCTCTCGCACTCGTGCCCTTGAGCACTGACTATACTATACGCTCTGCTGCATATCGCTATCCGATCAGGCTGGCAGTGATCGACCCTGTCGCCTCTGACTCTGCTCTCTGCCTCCGCGCCATTTCCCACAGATTGATTTGATTGTACAGCACAGCACAGCACAGTCCCGTCATGCAGCACGCCGAGTAGCCCAAAACCGTTCAGCGATCCGGCCCAACCCCAAAAAACCGCGACCAGTTGCGCCGCCACCTGCGCGGTACCTTTATGTCGACGCCGGACTGGGCTGTAGAGTTCTCGCTACTGTACCGGTTGGTGCCTTGAACCCGCGTGCGTCTCGTGGCCATCGCTCCCAATTTCAAGGGCTCGCTCTTGTGTAATCATCGTCTTGTACACGCGCGCTCACCCAACCCGGAGGACCGAACTCCTCGCCTGCTTGGTCTGGTCTGGTCTTGTCTGGTCTCGTCTTCTCTTCTACATCACAACATACCATAGAACCACTCAGGCCATACGCACCTGAGCGGTCACTTGTCTCCCTAGCAGCTATTAATTCCTGCCACCCTCTTCGCTCTTCCGTGCCTCACTCCAACTGCCTTAGCCGCCTTCATCTCCGACTTTTTAGCAACGACAGCCGCGGGGACTCACGATGGCTTCGTACACGCGAACGCCCAATGGCTCGGTGCCTCCTAATTACCCCCACCAACTGCCAGCCCCCTCTCACTCACACGGTAGCAACTACCCTCGACCACAACCATTGCCATCAATGGCCCCTCCAAGCAACGGGAGCGCACCTTACGGTGGTGCGCCTGGCTATGGCCAACCGCAACAACCTTACCAGCACCACCCGTCGCCATACCAGAACCAGCCCCCTCACCACCAACAACAGCAGCAGCAACAACAGGGCCAGCAACAACAGGGCCAGCAACAGCCACCGCAGCACCAGCAACAACCATACCAGCAGCCTCCGCCCCCATCAGCTCAACACCAGCAGCCGAACGCGCAGCCAAGCCCGGCCTCAACCTCACCAATCCAGCAGCAACCACCGGCCGCATCAGGCGAGGCCGGGGCTTCGAGATTAGAAGCCGTGTCTACCGTGGTAGCCACTCGCAGATATGCGTAAGTACCCCTCTCCGATCCCTGTCAAACTTTGGTATTTACAGTTCGACACCCATGGCCTTGGTCTTGCTGTATCGTTGCTTGTCCTGATGGCTGAAGCTGATGTTCGCCGCTCCGACACAGTCTCGAGGTAGAACAGCAACCCATTCGCGCTCGGATGTGTGGCTTCGGCGACAAGGTAAGGCCCCCCGGTGTTCCTTCGCGGCACCTCAAACTCAGGACTGATCGTGTGAGCAGGACCGACGACCACTCACGCCTCCACCAGCTTTGAGGCTGGTCGTTACCGACGTCCAAACCGGCCGGGAAGTCGATGTTAAGTAAGTCTTAGGAGAGGATTCGAAGAAACTTGAGAACTGACACCCAGCCTAGCTCTATTGACTTCGCGCAATATGTTGTGACTGTGGACCTCTGGGACGAGACAGGTACCAGGGAGGTGAATCTCGTCAGGAGCACTACAGCCACTCCGGCTATATCATCCACCATCCACGAGTCTTTCAACAACCTGGAGACCATGCCCTATCGGGCAGCTAACATCGCCCCTTATCCCGCCGCTCACCCTGGTCAAATGACACTTTACAGCCAGCATCAATCACCTGTCAATCCCTATGCGCCTAATCAATACAGTCAAGGTAAGCGGCCCACACGGCGAGTTGTTGGTTGATCCTGGAGACCATCATTGAGCCAGCCGTGTCCAGCTCAGGCTGACAATCTATAGTGCAATCTTACCCGCAGCCACCAGCGTCCAACGGTTTCGGCCAGCCTTCCTACGGATATTCCAACGACTTTGCACCTATGTACCGACCCCCGCAAGTCTTTGAGCCTGGTATGGGCGGTGCTCAAAGGCTATCTATCGGGGGAGCTCCTGGCTCTAGTATCCAGGGAATGTTCACCAGGAATCTGATCGGGAACTGCGCCGGCAGCGCCTTCAGGCTTCACGACACGAAGGAGAGGATCGGAATCTGGTTCGTGATGCAGGACTTGAGTGTCAGGACCGAGGGCTCATTTAGGTATGTGATAACCTTGTGGGCAGTCATTGTGGGATTTTGTGTGTTTTCTCTAACCAAAAATATCAGGCTCCGATTCTCCTTTGTTGATGTCAAACCCACGGCCGACCAGAAGGGCGACGCCCCTGTGAAGACAGGCAGGGCGCCGATTCTGGCTTCAGTTTTCAGTGACGTCTTCCAGGTCTACTCGGCCAAGAAGTTCCCAGGTGTATGCGATAGCACAGATCTCAGCAAGTGCTTCGCAACCCAAGGCATCAAGATTCCGATCAGGAAAGAAGGCGGCAAAGCAGGCGGAGGCGATGATGACGACGACGACGAGTAGGGGGCTTCCCGTCTACTACCACCCCGCCTTCCACCAATCCAACCTCGACCCTCCGCATGGTGAAGAGGCTACGGCGATCATTGCGTATCTTTCCCTGGTCACTCAACCAAAGCGAGGGTTCACTACCCTTGTCTCCGTCCTATTCTTGGTCTTGTACTGTTTCGAGATCTGGGGTATTTGTGTGGTGCTCGAAAAGATTCAACACTTTTTCTTGGTCGTTCGGAACACCACAGGCGAAAAGCGACTATTAACCTAAGAGCTGTGCACCGATCTACATAATTCTAACTCCTACCATGATCGGAATGGATCGGTTTTGTTCGTCCTGCGGGAATGACCTCCCTGTTTCTGGAATATGTCACGGGTCCTTTGGGCTGTAGGCCTTGTACAAACAGTGCAGGATAAAGCTGCAGCATCGCCCAGCCAACAGGAGTTTCCATTCGCGTTGGCTCTTGGTGATGCTAGGCGAGAGATCAGAGCGAGCTAGATTTGAGTCTCCTTTACTTGGCACCAGGTATCGAGAAGGCCTCACGCATTTGATAGGGCTCAGACAGGTGTCCTTCGACGAGATCGCTGAAGTACAGATACAATCTACACTTCATACAGAAATTCAGGCTCTACAAATATCATGGTACAGAGGGAGTGGTGACATTGACCCATGACGGATTCCATAGGGACCGTCGCAAAATTTAAACCGGTCTAGAGTCTGGGGATGGATATTAGTTATAAGTTCTCTGCCCACCGCACTCATCTTGTCTGACCCGATAGACCACACCCAGGAGACGATGGCTTTTATCACACAAAAGACGTCCCCTGCCCTTACTGATCATGCAGAAAGCCTACCTCGCCGCCGGCGCGTGGGCCCTAACCTCGATCTCGACCTTCATCCCGAACGCGAGGCTGGCGACCCCGATGCCGCTCAGGATGGGCTGGTGGTCCGGCATGTACCTTCTCATGTTCTCGACAAAGTGCCCGACCGCCTCTTCAGAGACGTCAGTGTGGTACAGCTTCACGGCGTAGACATGCTTTCAGCTCGCGCCGGCCAGGCTGAGGGTGTGCGCCACGTTGTCGAAGGCCCGGTCAATCTGCTTGATGATGTCTGTCTCAACCTCGCGGGTCTCGCGGTCCCAGCCGCCTAGGATGGTTTTGTAGTTAGACAAGGGGGGTTGACAGAGGCAAAAGAAAAGGCAAAATGAAGGATGGGGATTTCGGAATGCTTTATACCTTGTCCGGCCACCTCGATCACATCTCCCACCCGTACTGCTTGGTTATAATAGGTGTGCTCTTTTACAAAGTCACCAAATCCAGGATAGGTAAAGTACTGAAGATGTGACATGGTTGGTCTTGCTCGAGAGTACAACACTCGTTTTCGTATTTAAGTATATAGAAGAATTACAGATGAGATAATTAACGTGCAGACATACAAGTGTCGTACTGGTATCAGACCATCACAAACAACCTCCTTTATATACCAAAGCACGCTTCGAAGCTCCGTAGCTGCATCTGCCTTATAAATCCAATTGTCTTACAAATCCACGGCTGTGCACATCTTGGGGGTTCTTGGACTCATGCAGACATACACAGCGACGTCCGCGGTGAAGGATGAGCCAAGACCGATGCCGAGTCAAAAAGGATGAACGGGCGGGGCGAAAACCGACCATCTGGGTCCGGTCGGGGCTGTTGGCCATAGCTCAGCTCAGCTCGAGCTCAGCTCAGGGACCTCTGAGGGGTGCTGCCGAGGGGCCACTGGCACACATCAGTGGGGCGCGGGGTGGGCTGCTGGCCGGGCAAAAACGTCACTTGGGGGAGCTTGTTTGGTTTGCAACTGGAGTGTCTCGCAATCATATCTTCCCGGTGCTGCATGCGAGGAGGGAAAGCCATGCACGTGGAGGTTAGATCGACCACAGGATCTCAATGAGTGCTTCAACGCACGTTCAAGATCCTCTGCAGGTTTTCTCTGAAACGGTTTGTTTCCTTTTGGCTTCGCGTGTTGTCTTAATTGTCCGCAGCACAGTACATCATTCTCGAGCGATGAACCCGGGGTTTTGGAAACAATAAAAGCTTTCGGTTTCCCATCTCAGCCACCGAGCAACTCAGACCCCTTGCCATTGCCGCTGTCGCATGTCATGTCGCACGGCGATGACAGTCTAAGACCTCCCAGCTTGAAGGCTCACGTTAGGAACAATGACACCATCGACCGAGGCAAGCATGTCAACAGCCATTAGCTGTCGCAAGACGCAGACACTATAGATTTATTGTCTTGGTGCAACGTGCGCCCTAGTTGTGCGAGAGCCTGGACGTCGGCAGCGCCCGCGTGCATGGCTGGGCCCCGGGGCGTCATTTTCATTACGTTTTGGTTTGTTTATGAATTTCCCAGCCAAGCCTGGGGTCAACGTCCAAATGTTGCATCTTGTGGTCACAAGAATCGCATTCTCTTGGGCGGGAAACTCAAATGATGTAAGGCACCATCGCCCTGGCTCTCTTTCATAAAGGCCAGGTCAAGGCACTCACAGCCCCGAGGTAACGCAGGTAGGGCGTTGGTGGTCTCTCGTCTCCTTCATCCTTCCAGACCGGGGAAAGAAAAGCTCTTCCTCGCACTTGCACCATCAAATTTCTCTGCCCGCCCTTGTGATCAGGTTTGCCAACCAGGTCCATCGTTCGCCAAGCCCCCGTAGCCTTGCGACGGCTTGTTTTCCTCTGGCCTTGACGAAATTGTCCTCCCTCCGAGACACACGGCCGCATTCCACGACTCATTCAGCTTAAAAGAGCTTGTCCCGGCCCGTTGATCGCCCTACCACCTGATCGTCCGCGACGTCTCTTTGTTCACTTATCTTTCTGCCCATCTGGATCTAGTTGACGTCAGAAGTCCGACGTTGTGCCAATTTTCTCCCTCTGTTTGCTCACCTTTAGCGACTCTGCGCCCAGCAAAAGACAAGACACAACGCCAATTCAGATCCCACACGCCTTTTGCCCCATATACTATCAAGAACAAAACGACTTACTTACAACGAACGATACCACAATGAGCGGAGGATTCGCTTCCAGCGGCCGGGGTGTGAGTGAAATCACGGGACATCTTACTGCCCACTTCTTATCTAGTCCGGGCCGTAGCAACCTCGAGCATGGCCTCGGCCCCCCGGTGCTGAAGATCTCTCGGAACAACAATTATTGACTCTGGATTGCGCAGGGCGCCGGTAACATGGTTGACTCAACCAAGAGCCCCAAGATTCAGCCCTCGGACCTTCAGACGCCCACCCTCAAGACGGGCTTGGTGACCACTGGGAGGGGAGTAAGTAAACCTTGCCTACTCTTGAGAGAACAGTTGCTAATCGGTCCGCTCCAGGGTGCCGGCAACATGGCGGCTAACACCGACCCTGTGGAGACCCGTGCTCGCCAGGACGTTGAGCCGTAAGTCATCTCTTCGCGTGCCCTCCAAATCAGGTTTGTTCTGTGCTAATTCAGACTGCTGTACAGTGTCGTCCGCCGCGAGAGCCAAGGCGCTCAGCACTCTGGCCGTGGTGTAAGTAGAGTCCGCTGAAATACTTCGTCTGTTTGCCCTGTTGTGGGAGAGGGCATGAGAAAGCATACTTCTGCATCATGCACGGCTAATACGGAGTTCTACAGGGTGCCGGTAATGTCTTCAAGGGAGAGGAGGCTGAGCAGGCCAAGCACGCCTCTAACGACAATGCGATCGAGGACAAGGCGGAGGGTCTGGCAGCCAAGGGCAAGGCGTTATTCTTCGGAAAGAAGGAGAACAAGCAGTAAAGCGCCAATCTGCGGTTGGAGAATTCAACGAAAGTATGATGGAGGCAGCGCCAGCGCATTCGGAACGTGTGACTTGAAAAACAAAATGTGCGTCATGAACGCAACAAAAAGAGAAGGGATCGATAAAGAGGTGATGAGGTTTCCGTATACCCATGTTGACTGGTTTGGCGTTATGGGAGATTGATGAATGACAGAGTTGGTTCTAAGGCTGGCTGAAGCGGATATTCTCAAGCGTGCTTTGATGTAATGCTGCTATCTCACATGGATTTGGACGGTAGCTGCAGGTATCAAAATCGGGTAATGATAGTAGAATTATTTCGAAGACTTGAATTGAGTCATCGATGACTGTTAACTGTCGGGAGAATGATAAACTTGCGCTTTTTTCAGGATTTAATAAACATGCCTGCACGTCAATTGTAACGATTTTGTAACTTCTCGTTCATACTGAAATATATCGAGTGTCATTAATTGCCAACCCTGAGCGGCTCCTTCAAACATGGCGCCTACAGTAACCGAATTCACAGCTCCAGTCCCACAAGCAGAGTTCGGCATACTAAAGGACCATCTGCCGCAATCACTCGCCCTCTTCCGGCGCCTGCAATTCACACACTACCCGTCAGGAACAAGCGAGCACGCCCGCTACCTCTTCGCAACCGACAGCGATGGCGGCCCCAATGGCGGAGACCGCCAAGGGCATGCAAACCCACGACACTTCGCCGCGGCCTACCTAGACCTCTCCAAGGGCCCCGAGACAGAGATGTACTTCTTCTCCAGCCTCGAGGACGCCACAGACCTGACCGCCGTGCCCGACGACGAGGTCGAGCACGTCCTCGACCTCGCCGTCGCGCTGTTCCAGCGCGCCAGGCTCATCGCGCAGGCGGCCGCCTCGTCGGGGGCGTACAAGCTGTTCCGCGGAGCCAGCGGCGCCTCCGCCGGCGGCGTCATGGTCGGGGGCCTGCACCAGCCGACGTACGAGCTGCTGCGCGAGAGGAGGGGCCTCACGAGCAGCTACTGGAACCCGCACGACGTGTGGCTGTTCCGGCTGGACAGGCTGCCCGCGCTGGGCGAGGGGCCGGTGGGCCTGCGCGCTGGGGACCCCGGCGGCCAAGGGCTCCGGTGGGATGTCGTCCGCCGCGAGGATGTCCCGCTCATTGCGTCGCGGACGAAGATCCCAAAGGTCGAGGCCACGCTGATGAGCGAGCCGAGCGTCGGCGTCAGGGACGCTGCTGAGGCGCTGGTTGCGTGGGGGTTTATTGGGGTCGCTGGGACGCTGTCTACTTTGCATGTTGAGGTACGATGTGATTATGAAGTATGTTGCGTGCCATGGCGTGCTGACTGTTGCAGGAACCGTATCGTGGAAAGGGCATGGCTAAGGCTGTGGCTACGAAAGTGTTACGGGAGCACAGCTTTGGCGACGATGGCTGGAGTGAGTATTGATAATTCCTACTCGTCGAATGTCTTCGCAATGCTGATACAGGCAATAGGTTCAGCCGATGTGCACATTGATAATGTTCAGAGTCAAGGGGTGTGCAAAGGCTTGGGCGGCGAGAAAGGTTGGAGGACATGTTGGTGAGTGCTCGAAATTCCGCGTGGATCACTGGGGGTTCGGCTTTGACTGACAAGCATCACATAGGACTGTTATCGATTTTGACAGTATACCGTAAAGTGGTATTCGACTTTGTAGGTATTAGCCTACGCCTCTTGATATATAGCCATCTGACCGAGAGATTCGGTATTCAGCTACTTCAGGATGCCCTTTCTCAAAATCCATGTAACACTACATGACTTCACCACGAGGAAAGCCCTACTCAAGCAGCAAGTGTGAGTCGGTGAACTTCTTGAAAGAAGAACTTCAGGTCATCTGGTTTGACGAATGGAGTGATGCCGTGCCCGAGGTTCACAATCCAGCCCTGCTTCCTCTGTGCCCAGCCAAAGCCCTCAACCATGTTCTTCACCGTCTTCGTTATTGCCTCGTGAGAGCCGTACAGGACACCAGGGTCAGCATTACCCTGGAGCCCGATCTTCCGGTCGCCGCGGGTTTTGGCTGCATCTGCAGGATCGTGGAGCCAGTCAAGACCAACAACGTTGTACTTCGAGTCACACATTGCGTCTAGAGCGTACCAAGCACCCTTGGGGTAAGCAATCATGGGTACTGGCTCCAAGTCCAACGACTTCAGCTTCTTTGGGAGGTTCTCCGCTATGTATTCCAGGTACGGCTCTGAGAACTCCTTGAAGGTAGCCGGTGAGAGCTCACCAGCCCATGAGTCGAAAACTTGGACGAGCTGCGTCACATGTTAGCCCTGCACCAATGTGTATGCGTCGTCATATCTCTTCGTCACGGACCTGGGCACCAGCCTCAACTTGGTGGGCGAGATGGTCGACACACAACTCTGCAATCTTCTGCAGCAGCACCTTTGACTGCTCTGGGTACTTGTAAATCCAGGTCTTGCTCTCCTTGAACAACTTTGTACCGCCGCCCTCAACCATGTAGCAGAGCAGCGTCCACGGTGCGCCACAGAATCCAATCAGGGGCACACGGCCTTGAAGCTTCTTCCTCGTCAGGGTGATGGCCTTGTAAACGTATCCAAGCTCCTTAGTGACGTCGACCTGCCTCTGCATCACCTCCGCGTACTGCTTGTCGTCCGGCGACCTGAGCGGGTCCGGGAAGTTCGGGCCCTTCTTGTCGACCATCTCGACGACCATTCCCATGGCCTGGGGAATGACGAGGATGTCGGAGAAGATAATGGCAGCATCGATTAGCCCTGCGAAGCGCTCGATGGGCTGGAGGGTCAGGGTCGAGGCGACCTCGGCATCACGGCAGCACTCGAAGAAGTCCCGGTTGCCCTTGGCCTCGTGATATTCGGGGAGGTACCGGCCGGCTGCTCACATTGTCCCATGATCAGCCAAGATGGTCGGGATGTATTCATGGGCAAGACGACTGCTTGGGATCGTGAGTTCTGTACCTTGGCGCATCACCCACACCGGGGGCCGCTCAATCTTCTCGCCTGCGAATCGACGACGTCAGCAGTAGCTCGTGCTGGGGTAAAGCATTAGCAGGATTCTGACTTGCCCCATGCTGCCCTGAGGATCAGGTCGTTCTGTAGAGGCTCGAATTGCCCCATGTTGACCGTAATTGGAAGGTGAAGTCGCTGTGATTTGGGTGGATATGGTGAAAACTCCCTTCTTCGATCCGTGAAATCCGTCGTAGAATCAAAACAGCATAGTAGAAGCTCCAACCGAGCTCGGGCGCAGGGGTGTTGATGGCGGGGCATCCATGGCAGCTCCCGCAAGGGGCCCAGCCCACCCCTGGAGTCTTCTGTGCAGTCACCGCAATGCCATTGGAGCTGACCCCGAAAGAAAGCTCACTAATCTTGGACCGTCAATTTTGAAGCAAAGCAACCGCAACTGCTCCTGCAACGCCTCACGACCTAGATACGGCACCACACAAACCAACCATTACTCGATCACTACAGCACCAATTGACACGCACCACCGATCTTTGGACGTGTAGCGCACGACGAGACTAAGTTGGAAGGGTCTATCCGAACCGAGCGCAATGATTTGGCGAAGGCTTCGCGCGCTGTCCTATGCCTCCGAGACCGACTGCACGATGCTGCCGAGCAACTCTAGGCCAACCACACGCGCCCATTGAGGCTGTCTGGGTGACAGACGACGTGCTTAGTCGAGCGTTTCAGCAATATGTACATGCGACTGGGGCAAAGAAACGCGCGGCCAGCTCGGCACCCGGCCCGCTGTATCATCGCCAGCGGCTTGGAAGGCGTCGCATGACGGAGCTCAACTCATTCCAGTCGGCCGGCTCTATGCCGGTGTGGGCTCTTCCTAATGCTCCGGATATGACAAAATGGCAATGGCAGCCGCCGAAACCCCCGTCTTTCTGGCCCCAGTTGCCGCAGGTCGACGACGTGGCCGCTGTCGATGCTGGAGTCGATCTTGTGTTTCCGGAGCCTGAGGCAGAGATCCAGCCTTTGGTCTCGCTAGAAACTCTGGAAACATCTGGTCTAGAAGCCTCTTCAGCAGCGGTCGAAGAGGAGCCCATGCTGCAAAATCTGGCCAAATTGAGTCCGGCCCTGGGCTTCAAGCTGCAAGCACTGTTCAACGGCACGTTTCCGACTGCACTGGTTTTTCAAGAAAAGTTCAAGAAATTCGCCAAATCACTTCAAAAAGAGATAAGAGATGGCCGCATACGAGGACCGCAGATTTTTGAAATGTATGACTTGGGTAGACGTGCCCTTGTACGTGCCAGCCGAGCACTGCCGCAGGTGAAGACATCTTCCCTGTTTCCTCTACTATCTTCTGTCATTGAAGGAGTAAAGGCCGCGGAGCATCTGAATCCTAGCTTCTTGCGTACCAGTCCTCACCACTGGGTGGTTCTGATAAAGCATCTAGCGCGTCAGGATGCTACTGCCCAATCAGCTCGGCTGTTCGCTTTGCTCATGGAAAGCATGCCGCCAATGTGTCGTTTCAAAACGAGAGGGGCAATCCTGAATGTGCTTTGCGCTTATTTCAGGATATGGCGAGGATCGTCGATTCATGGCACTCCGCCGCAGGGCAACGAATCTGAGGCAGCCCAGGCATTGCACTTGGCCGCCATGTGGGCTGGACGAACGGACGTACGTCTAGACATTGTAAAGTCGGATTTGGCACTGAAACGCCTCGAAGCTGCCAGGACCAATTTAAGAGTTGCTCAAAAATGTCATGAGAGAGCTCAACGTTTCATCTCCAAGACGGCTCATCTGATGTCGGACGACAAACAGCTTGTAGGCTACCTTGCCGAGGCACTGAAGACCCATCATCCGAGGGTTCACCGGTCACTCTTTGTCATTGCAACAAGACTCACAGAATCACGTTACAAGAATTGGACTAGGCTTCGCTATAACTGGCTGCACATACTGGCTCGATTGCCCAACATCCCGCAGTCCCAATTCAAGCACCTCCTAGAGCTATTCGAAAAGCGCGGATTTGCGGCGCTATCTCAGATTGAGCTCGGCGACCTGCTACTACTGCATTGGGAAAGTAAGGGCATGGTGAAAGATCTACGGGGTACCCGTAGGTTCTGGCAGAAATTCAGGGGTACAGACGACCACAAAGCTTTGGCTGCCCTGGCCTTGGCGATTAACGCGAAACACTCTCCGGAGGATTGTACAGCCATCCTGTGGAGCTTTTGGGACTTCATTCACCTTCGAGTCGGCGAGAAGACAATAGCCAAGCAGATGTTGTCGCTCTCGAGGACCCAGAAAATCTCTTCTGATTTTTTAAAGAGACTGGCATGGACATCAGGGGATTATGCTACAGCACTTATGCTGCACGATATACTCATCAAGCAACTTGGGAAAGATCATAACATTTGGGGGCCTGCCTTCTGGGAGAAGTATGTGACACAACACATGAAAAGATCGAAACACAGTCTCGTCAGCCCCGTCGTTCTTGTCGAGAAATTATTGAGTTCACCTCGGCCACAGAAGACTTCTTGTCACAAAGCCGACGACGCGCTCCAGAACCAGACCGAAAAGTCGGCCTTGGAGCAACGCCAGATCACCAGGATTAAAGAGAGCATCAAAATGATGGCTGGTGCTCCTTACTTAACAGAAAGGCAAAAGTTCCGCCACACAGCGGCGTTCACCAAACACCTGGCAAATGTTCAAGGATATTTGACAGCTCGAGATCTGTCCAGTCTTACAGACGTCATTACGGAGGCCCTGAAGCGAGGCGAAGGTGGGAGCACGGAAAGACTTCGGTGGTATTTGGGGGTCGTACTCGATCACCTCGGCGAGGAAGCTTGCTCTCAAGTGGGAATGATATTGAAACGTCGCCGCCAGTGGAACCGTCAACAACTGGCCGATTTCAAGGAGGTAAAGAGTCCCGTGGTGGAGCAAGGACTAGCATCAGCGCTTCATCGACGGTGTTACGAAGGTCCACATCAAGGGGGAACCTGGCCGTTATGGAGGTATCATCTCCCAAAAAACCGGCAGAGAACGAAGTCGCTCAAGCTGAGGAAGAAGGGAGACCTACAAATGCGTAGGCTAGGGATCCATGATGAACAATCAAGTGAGACAGCGAATGGCCAGCTTTTTACTGAGACCGGAGCTCACCCTCCGAGCGACAGCGATGATTTCGGTGCGCTTGTCAAGGGGACTCATCGACAAGACATTGATCCTCTGGCCTCATTCTAGCACGAGATGGAATCAATACAACCAAATTCACCAAGATGAGACACCTCTGCTTGATCTAACATCACGAGTTCGCCGCATGCGTGAGGAAGTCGTACAACTAACTTCCAAAAGCTATCACCAACGTCACAAACTACACTGACACCTACAAAATTGACAACCCAGATAGCATTGAATCCAGAAAGTCGTGCACCAGTACAGAAATTTCACCATATTGCGCAGTTTGGGGGCATGGAACCTCAAAAAGTGATGGGGAGCTGGCCTTTCCGGGTATCACCTCCGCCCCGTTCCATTCACCAAAGACTTAGTGGGGGCTGAACGGAGTACAAAGATTCAGCGGTGTTGCACGACAAGTCCTGTCCTCGCCAGATCCTACCGATCTCTTGCGCCATCCCCACATGGGCCTGTACCCGGCTCGCCAACATGGAGCCAACCACCTTGCCGAATCTGTCCGGCCAGGACAGAGATGCAAGCACGACGCGCCACATTGGCCTGGCTGGCTGCAGGACGGGAAGCCCCCTTCACCTTATCTGAGATGATGCGGACTGCCAATTCGCTGTGCTTGGAAAGCCCTGTGTTCCGATCGGCGACCAGGGTGGGCTCGAGGCTCTTGCCTGGCCCCCTTGTAGATGGAGGACATCGATCGTGCCGAATATCTCCTTGTCGTTGTTTCGTTGTTGAGTGGAGGCCGCCCACCCATGTATGCCCTACGGCACCTACAGCCTCGCTTCCTTGTCTTTGGTGCGCAACATGGACGGCTTCCAAACCGTCGCCCCTTGCCTCGCACACTTTTCCATGTTGCTACATATGCGCACTAACTTGTCGCTGTCCCAGGTACAAGTGCCCAGGCTACCAGTTGCAGGCTGCCTCTAATTTGGTGGGTATCCCATGGCTGCGGTGCCACAATGTTGGACCTGGTAGGACTATGGTAATCAGGCCGCCGGATTCAGAGGAGAATGCCATCTGGGAGCTCCATCGCGACCAGACATAAGGACTGAGCCTCGTGTGACACGAGACTCGGCGCAGCATCGTGTTTTACCAGGCCAGGCCCCCTAGTCGGCATCAAGACGGGAGAGTGATGGAAGCTTGATTGTATAGCAGCAACCCTCCGCCTCATGTTGTGTTTGACGCGTCTTGATTCCGGCCTGTCTCTACCCGGACATCGAACATTGTCCTTCGGAACCTCGCCTCCAAGACCTGTGACGACCAACACTCGATACCTTAAGCCCTCGAGACCATCTTCTTCAACTTCTCTCCCGTCAGTTTGTCAGCCGATACATAAACGTTTCTGTGGTAGACTTGACCAGTTCTCGGGTCGAAGTTCGCAGACTGGACCCTCACAAAAGGGCCAAGTACAGACAATTCTTTCAAAAAGCCATCACATAAGAATATTCAAGCCACCAGCCGCTCGACACCATATATCGCCTCGATAGGTCACTGAGTCTGTTTTGAAAGACCAAACAGAGGCATATTGTTCAGCCCTAAGCTTGGGGTTGAAAGTACGGCCGTATTTGCCTCGTCTACATCGGCCGTACCCGGAATCTAACCTCAAAAGCATACATACTTTCCCTACCTCATTGTAGGCCTGACTGGGAAATTACCCGGCGCCTGTCAACGTGGTACCGACCCTGCCAGCTGGATACTGAGATAGACGAGGCACATAGCCGGCATCAAATTCGATCTCAAGCGCAAGCCACCAACCCTCAGACTGGGCGGATCCAATCATCAACTGAGGCCTGATATTTCGAATCTACGTGTGACGACCTTTTGTTTGAAGGTGATATCGATCTAAAATCGTGTCTGCGATTCCGCGCCGGCTCGTGACATCGTACCATTGCAGCGGAACAAGCGAAACTACTTCATCTGTCGGACATCAGTCTCTGCTTCATGTGACCGCGCTAAGTCTCTGTGTATTGCTCTCTCCGCTGATACACTAGGCTCATCTAATATTTTTTACTACTGCCTTACTGAAGAGGTTGGAAGCTGCAATGGAAAGCTCCGACCCGTCTCTAGGTCACCGGCGCAACCAATCTTCACCATCGCGACCATTGCTTTGTCCAGCCGGCTCAGCCGTGCCGTCATATGGTAGCAATGGTAGCCAATTTAGTATCTGTGAAGGCAGCTATACTCCTATGGAAGGCTCCATGGCCATGGGAGATAGCCGGAGCAACGGAGTGGCCCCTTTGGCGGGCTTGCGACCTGGTTCAGAAGCTGCCATAGGCACGGATCCAACAGGTATGGCAAGGGATTATCAGCAGAACTTCCAGCAACTGCACCAACAACCACCACCACATCAGCCAGATTTGCATCAGCACTACCGGCAACAGCAACAGCAGCAGCAAATTCATTCGGCCTTTCCCCCCGCCGCGGCCGTTAATGCTCCCAAGCCGATTCGGCGGAGGATGCGCATGATCACATCGTGTCTCGAATGTAGGAGGCGCAAGCTCAAGTGCAACAAATCGAACCCATGCGTGAATTGCCTCAAATTTTCACGCGAATGTCTCTACCTAGGCCCAAAGCTCGACGAGGCCAGCCAGTTGCGGTTAACAGAGATTAAAGAGAAGGTGGGCTCCCTCGAGCGGCAGCTAGAAAGAGACGTGGCAAAGTCCGGGTCCCGTGGCTTCTACCAGCAGCGAATACTAGCCGACGACGTGGAGGGCGAGTTTGATGAGGAGCGAGACTTGGAGATCACGCCTATGGTGGCGCTTGACCTCACTTACGAGGATGATGCGGACGGAGCTGACGATGTCATGGACTTGGGAGTTCAGGTAGGGAAGATGCGACTGACAGAAAAGATTGGTGGTATGAACCGTCCGAGGATATCGGAGGAGGTGCGTCACTCTAGGCTCGTTGAACTACCTTCTCCCATCTTCCAGATAATATAAAGCTCCTGCATGACTGATATTGTCTCCTCGGGCCTGGAGCCATGCCAATTATGAACAATATCAGGCTGACAGTTCATCAGATACAAGCAGGGCTTTCCGGTGGCGTACAGCAAGCCGGCACTGGCTTTATTCCGCCGAGTCTCTCTGGACCGCCAAGTCAACCAAGCGCAGTCTCCGACTCGAACGGCCCCGAACAATCCATCCCCGACTTCTTACGGCCTGGAGCATCATACATACCGCCGACAAGCGGCGTGCTCTTCGGTCAGGCGGTTCAGTCGCCATGCCTTTTGACCTTTCTCCCTGCTAAGCCCGCCGGCGATCGACTCCTCCAACATTACTTTGAGGCCGTACATCCAATAGCTCGGTGTGTACACCGTCCGTCTTTCGAGGTACAGTATGCAGGCTTCTGGGAAGAGGCAACCGCAGGTTACGAGCCGCGGGCATCAACCCAAGCTGTGGTCTTTGCCGCGTGGTTCAGCGCCGCCGTTGCACTCGATGAGGCAGTAATCAATCGTGATTTCGGCTTCACCAAGGTTAATCTGGTGGAGAATATGAAAATAGGAACCGAAGTTGCTTTGAGCAAGGCAAATTTCCTGAGGACGACAAGAGTGGAGACTTTACAGGCGTTCGTGATGTATATGGTAAGTAGACATACCGAGCAGTATTGCCAAATTGTGGAAGGTCGGCGCTGACTGTTTTCAAGATCCCTCTCTGCCGCGAGGAGGTCTCACGAGCCCATTCCGTGCTTGTTGGCGCGGCAGTCCGGATGGCAGAATGCATGGGCCTGCACCGAGATGGTAGTAAGGCGTACAATCTCAACGCCTTGGACACACATGTCCGACGCCTGATCTGGCACCAGCTGTGTTTCTTGGACATCCGCACCTGCGAGGCTCAAGGCCCCAAACCGGCCATCAGGAGAGAAGACTATGACACCTGGCTCCCGGACAACTGCGAAGAAGACCAACTCACTAACTCAACGCGTCAGCCCGCGGTATCCGACTGCTGGACTACGACGCTCTTTTCGCTGATTAGGTTCGAAGTCAACGAGATGATGCGCATAATCTGGGCGGACAGGCGCAAGCTCGAGGCCCGCAAGATCACCCTGACACAGGTCCTGACCAAGATCGAAAACTTCCGGAAACGCATGCTCGAGAACTACAACCACTTCCTCGACGAGCGTGTCCCAATCCAGCGGTACTCGAAGCTCGTCATGCATCTGCTCATGTACCGGCTCCACGTCATGATCCTCCACCCTTACTACGCAAACACAGCCAACCCGATGCCGCAGCGGCTGCGATCCGTCTTGATAATGAGCTGCATCACCATCATCGAGATCGCGATCCAGCTCGACACCAGCCCAGCTTTCCAATCGTGGAGGTGGTACAGTGGGGCGTATCAGCAGTACCAGGCGTCGCTAATTCTGGCGACAGAGATGTTCTACTATCCAAACCACCAAGAGGCCAACAGGATATGGATGTGTCTAGATTACGTGTTTGATCTGGATTGCCACTTACCAAACGAAGAAAAGGGGAGACAAATCCTGACGGAGATCATGAGCAAGATGGGTGCCTACATGAGCATGCGGAAGATGAGGGCGCCGACTTGGACCGCGGCCGCAAGCCCGGCTCAACAGGCCGTGAAGGAGGACGGTGGTGATGCCGGTGCTGCAAGGCCTGCTCCCAGGCCAATGGTGTCGCCAGGTCAGCAATATTCGCATCAGCTGGGAACTGGGGCCGGCTCAGCGTACCAGAACGTACATTCCTCGAATATGAAAGAGGAATCAGGTGGCTCTACTACATCGATGCCTTCGGCACCAATGCGAGAGCCTACTTTTTCAGCATTGTCAACTGGGCCCAGAGACTCAGGAACGCCGTCTACTCCTCAATCGCAACAGCAGCGTGCCATACCAGGACCGCATCAGCAGCTACAGCGAGATACCGACGGCCCTAATCGTAACGTAGCAGGACTATGGACTGTGCCGCCGCCGCCGCCGCCGCCGCCGCCACAACCCCCGATCAACTCTGGTAGCCCAGAGAACTCGAGCAGCGATGGCGGCTCAGTAGCGAGCGCTTGTCTGAGACACGGCAATGTGGCTGGAATGGCTACGGCAATGGCGTCTGGCGGCGCCACGGGGAACGTGCCAACGGCCAACTTGGAAGGTGAATGGGTCAGTTGAGCAGACCCCCATTCTCCCATGGCCTGCCTTGACTGACACGAAAGCTAAACTTAAACAGTCCACCTACCAAGAAGAGGCCATTAATGCCTTGTTCCCATTCGACCCCCAGACCGGCAACTTCGCAGGCTTTGGCAACCCCACGACGATCGGGATGAATAATAATAGCTGGGCCCAGCAAGCTCAGGGCCAGGCACAGGGTCTTAATGACAGCAGGGCTAGTAGAGGCGGGTATAACTAGGTGTCTGCATGTTTGGGGATTTCTTCGAAATACACATCCTAATATACGCAAGAGCAGTACAACGTGGACAGAAAATATAAAGACTAGACCAGTCCAAGTGTCTTATCCAGACGGCATGGGTATAGGCGGACTGATCGTTTTGGGTACGTGCACTGAGAACATCGGCTTGTTTTAGAAGAGGGTTGATATCTTCGTTCAGTCATTATTATACTTCTACATTATGTATTCAGGACTTTTCATCTTTCCTCTTTTTCCAGAACGTGAAAAATCATCAAGGTGGATGCAATGCCCATTCTTCATGGATTGACCAAAGGAAAAGAAATTGATCCAAGACAAAATCATTCCCGGACTCCCGCCGTAATAAGGATATCTCTCAAGTCATCTCGTGTCTCATAAATCCACACATTTCCCCGATCCACAGTACATCTCCCATTCTCCTCCCATTCTCCTCCCATTCTCCTCCCACCCATGGAATGGTTTTCCTGATCCGTATCATCCATTCATAAAATTCATCAGATGGCACCTTCCATACCGGGCGCCATGCCAGGAGCATCCGCCATGCTCACATTGCTCCTGTTCGGAGCCGTGCTGGGGCTTCCTCCCCTCAATAAACTTACGCCGCCCGCATCCGACGACGGCGCTCTGTACGACTGCCGACTCTTGCTCCTAGGCCTCGCGACGATGACTTGCGCAGGACAGACGACAATCTCATCGTCGCCCACGCCGTCATCGTCGCCCTTCTTGACGACGAGCGGGAACAGCACGACGCGTACGACCGCGCCTTGGGCCTCGAGCGCGTCGTTGTCGGCGACGGCGTTCTTGTCACTCGAGCGCTCGTTCATCAGGGCTGAGTTGAAGGGGTGTGGCTCGGCCAGATCGCCATTGGCGTCGTAGTCGGGCTGCAGTGGCGGCAGCATCATGTACTCTGCGCGCTGGGTGCGCATCTCGACGCTGAGGTCGACCGCCTCGCGCATGACCTTGCGCAGCTGGCCCTGGATCTGATCCTCCAGGTTGGACGGAGGCGGGAGGATCATGGACAGGGTCTGGAAGACGGCTTGGACCACGGCCTCGGTGTCCTGGTCGCGCTGGTCCTTGAAGGGCTCCCTCTTTGACAGCAGTGTCAGGGTCACAGCGCGCCATTGGCGCACTGCCTGTGGGGGGCCAACTTCTAGGAGCAGCTTCTCTAGGTTCTTCAGTTTTTGTCGCTGTTCGCGGTCCATGCCGAACAGGTAGCGGGTGAAGACAAACTCCCAGATCATGGTCATGGTCACCGACATGAAGACGTCGCGACGTCTGACTCGGTCGTTGAGGTAGTGGTCGACATTGGACCCGTCGAGGACAGCATTGTCCAAGCGGTCAATGATCTTTTCGTCATTCAACTCACTGGTCAAGCGACAGGCGCGCATGTCCGAGAACTTGGAGAAGCGCAGCACCCATTGCTGTACGTGGGAACAGAGTTGCTGACAGCGGTGGTCGAAGTAATCGACGTCCTTGATGCGCAGGAAATCGCTGTCGACTGGTTTCGTAGCGAGTATCTGCTTTTGCATCTCACGAATCTGTTCCTTTGTGGCTTCGAGCTGCTCACGCAGGCTCTTGATCTCTGCGTCTTTCTCTTGTATTGTCTGGGCGTGGGAGCCATGGCGATCCCGGTGCTCAAACAGCTCCCTGGTGACCTCAGCATGCTGGGTCTCGAGAAGGCGGTATCTATCATCGTGCTGAACAGCGTGTTGCTGGATAGCGCTGTTGAGGCCCTCATTGACTTCTGTCAGTCGTTGGACTTCCTTGCGCATGAAGTCGAGGGATTGCTTGAGGGCTTCGATCTCAGTGTCGCGCTCGGCAAGCGTGCTGGTGGCCCGGTTGGTGGTATGGGCCTCTGCTTGAGCCCTTGCATCTTGCAGTGCACGGTTCTCGGCGATGAGTTGCTCTACTCTAGACTCGAGCTCGAGAACCTGCATGCTCTGACGGCGACGCATGCTGTGCGGTCGAGTGGGTGAGCGGGGTGAGCCTAAACGGCCCTCGCCGAAGCCGTCCTGTGTAGGAATGCAGGTCAGTGGATTGTTCGCTTTTAATTAAAAGGTGACAGGGCTTAATCAATGAAGGAGCGGCTTACGTAGACATCGGCCATGTCCTTGGTGCGGACACGGCCTTCATTGGCGGTGGGGGCGTTGTTGGTTCCTTGGGCAACAACCGCAGGAGTTGTCGCTCTCCGCAGGTCGCTCGAGGCTGGGGTCGGTGTTGTCGACAGGTGAGCGAGAGCAGCAGGGGCATTGTTTGCTGCGGAGGCTGGGGAGCTACTAGCTTGGGCGCCAAGGTCGCTATGCGACCTGTTGCTTAATTGGCTGAGCGATCGCAGGTCTCCACTCCTGGTTCGTCGGGACCGAAGCGGCGGTGTGCCAGAGTGCCGCAGCATCGACGGGCTCTCGGCCCGGAGATTGAGTGGCTCAGGCGTTCTTGTACGTGAGATGCCAGTGTTAGACGACGCTGCTCGTCTCTGCCTGGGCATTGCCGATGACCGCAGCTCGTCAGTCATGTCGGAAACACTCCTTAGGCTGGCTGCCGGCGATGGAGATGGGGATGGGGACCGAGATCTTGTTGCTCTTGATCCTGCTGCAAGTAACGCTCCTCCGCCTGTGAGAGCAGCAGCAGCCGCCGCTTTCCCTGGGCTTGGGCCGAGATCTGGGTACTTGCGCGGCTTGGATCTGTTCTTGCGCGGTTCAGGTGTGACGGGTGGATCTTGAGCCTCCAGAACTGGAGTTGCCTCCCTGAACCGTCGTTGTGTCTCGCTTTCCGCAGTCGATGATCGCTTAGACGACTTGTCATCGAGATTAGCACCCTCATCCTCGATACTGGAATGTGACAAGCGCCCAGGCTGCGGACTGAATCCACGTGTGCCTAGGAGTCTTGGCGACACTCCGCTCGGGTCTCGCATGTGTACACCACTGTCTCGTTGCTGCTGGGCGCTCTCGAACTGATGCACACGTGGTGGAACAGGCGAGCCTGTCACAACGCCGCTATCTCGGTTGATGTCTGGAGTCATGGCTCGGGCTCTAGAAAGGGCCCCGTGTTCCCCCAACTCTGCTTCTTCCTCATGCGGCTCTTCTTGCACCGAGGGGAGGGCCCTTGGCAATGAGCGGCTGAAATCAACGACTGAGGGTCCGGCCGTTGGCACATCATCGCCTCTTGTTTCGATAGTCGGTCTCACTTCTTCGAAGCTGCTTGTCTCTTCTGGAACAGGACTTTTGGACCGAGGCGTAGATGGACTTTGCGGCTGATCTAAGGATTCACTCAAAGTCGGATCCAACGTGCTTTCAAGCAGTCCAATTCCAACGTCGGGTCCCCTGTATGACGATTCCACTGAAGGCGGCTGCTCATCTGTGGGAAATTCGACAGAAGGCTGGGAGCCCAGGACCGGGCTCTCTACGACCAAAGACTCCACAGGGATCTCCGCTTCTGGGATTGCTGGGTCTGGGATTTGAGGCGTAAACGTTCCGGCATCTAAGTCAGGCTGTGAGCGTGGTTCACTCACATTGTCGCTGCCGGGTGTTGTTGGCTCCCTACCGTGCGAGGTCGCTGCTGCTCCCTGCCCTGAATGCTGCATGTCAGGATCTGATTGTTCTTCCTCAAGGTCTGTATCACGGCTGGCCAATAGATCGCCTGAATCCACGTCCAAACGGGAGCCTTGAACGGGCTTGCTTTCGGCCTCTTCCCACATGGCAGGTTGATAGAAGAGGTCGTCCGCACCGTGGGTACGTTCGTCGACATGTTTAGGAGCTTCTTGGGTCTTACCAGTGGCTTTCCTGGAACCTCCAAACCTCTCGGCTAGTGCGGCTACACTGCCCTTCTTGGCCAGGTCTTTGTCTCTGATGTCTTCGAAACTAGAGGATTCTCGTGGCGGAAATTGGGGTGACTTCGGCAAGGTAGGTGACTTCGGGAAAGTAGGAGACCTCGGGAAGGTAGGGGACTTCGGCAGCAAAGTAGGCGACTTCGGTAGTAAAGTAGGAGACTTCGGCGGGAAAGTAGGCGATTTCGGCAGAGAGGGCGATGCTGGTCTGAGGTTGTTAAATTTGTCAGGGGACACACTCCGGGCCAGAGGAACATTGGTTCCTTGTGCAGGACCTGTCTCGAAGTAGCTCCACTCCCTATCCCTCCAATGAATCTTTCCAGGGCTCGGGGTCAGGCCCTCGTCGTAAGATCGGCTGCTGCCGGGACGCGAGGGAAGTCTGTCGCTCCTTGTCAATGCGTCTAATTGCGAAGATTCGCCAGATGGGCCAGCTTCCGCCTCCTGAACTGCTACCGAGTCTGTCGAGAAGTTGTCACCGGTCATCGTGAGCAGTTTTGGCACGTGGCCCTCGTCTTCATGGAAGATCGAGGAATGTCGGTGGATCAGTCCGAGACCGACTAGAGGGCGCTCTTCCCCTATACGCTTGTCAGGGGTTGCAGCGAGCCCGCGTGCCACGGCCGGGTGGATGTCGAATTTGCTGAAAGGCTCCTGAGTAGGCTCCACGAAAGGTTCGGGCTTGGGTTTGAAATAGTCCTCGTCATCCCAAAGGTCTGGGCTGGGTTGCATCTTTTCCAATTCCTTGCCGCGACTATCAGGCGATCTGAGGAATTTTGAACTCTCCGCATCTGTCCTAGATATTTCGTCCTGGCGCGCTCCTTCCGCAGGCTTGCTTAGAGCTCGGGTCGAACCGGTGGCTTTGTTGTCATTCTTGGACGCATCATCACTAGGAACGTCCCAGTCATCCGCGATTGTGGTTGACTTCTCTGTCCCGAAGTTGCGTTCGTCTCCAGGCACATACAACTCAGCAGACCGATGGTCCATGCGAAGAGATGGCACGCTGAAGTCTCCACTTGGCTCAGTGGGCATCTCATCATCGGCGCCTTGCAGTGGAACGTACAACTCCGCAGATCGATGATCACTGCGGCCTTGAGCGGCGCTGGCGTCCACATCAGCTTGATCGAATGAGTCGTGTGCCTCTGCGCTGTTCTCTGGTGCAGAGGTGTGTGCCTCTGAGAACCCACGATCATTGCGACCCTCGATTCCACTGACATCTTGTAAAGTTTGATCTGCTGTGTCAGAGGGCTCTGGTGCGGGTTCGCCGATGTCTATAGCTTCTACGCCACGCGCAACGGGGGCCTCCTCGAATGCAGGGGTCTGACTACCCGAAACTGATCCAGAAGAGAGCTGCTTTCCCTTTTTCTTCTTGTCTTTCTTCGATTTCTTACGGGATATCGGAAGGCCCCATTCGTCCTCTGCCGCGGCATCCTTTGCAGCAGACGGAACCGTGTCCTCGTCAACGTCTTGTGCCAGCTGTGGCTCGGCAGGTTGGGAGACCTGAGAAGCCTCCTTTGATCCTGATTCTGTCTCAAAGATTGGGCCAGTGGTTGGCAGATCTTGAACTTGCGTCTCCTCTGTGACTGGAATTTGAGATTGGCTTGGCTCCACGACATCGTCCTCCCAGGCAGTATTTGCCGCCTTCTTTGCCTTTCTCTTCTCTTTCTTTGACATCTTGCGAGAAAGAATCGGCATCTGATCCGTTTCAATTTCCTGGGCCTGGGAGGATCTTTCTTCTTCGGGTTGGATAGATAAGGGCTCGTTGTCGATGGGTACGCTGGAAGACAGTTCGTCGAACTGGCTCAGGCTACTTGGATCCGGCTGGCCTTCCGCCGTGTGCTGCACGTCAAGCGAGTGGTCCGGGTCGATCTTGTCCAGATCATCTTGCGCCACAGGTTCGCTTCGGTGTACAAGAACCGGGGAATTATGCTGAGAAGAAGTTTCGAGTGCAACTGGTGCTTGCTCCCTCGAGTTGTCCGGACTGTCACCTTCAGGAGTGGGTGCCGTGAGTTCTGGCACACTAATTGACGCAGAGCCCTTCTTAGCCTTGCGTTTTTCCTTTTTGGACATTTTCTTGGGAATCGGTTCCCAGAAATCTTCAGCCGCTGGCTCGACATTTTTCTCTGCCGGGGCATCTGCTGGTTCTGCCAGCGTTTGAGATACCGAAGCAGACGACTCAGGTTCGAGGTCAAGTGACCGGCCAGGACTAGCGCCAGTTTGGTCGTTGTCATTGCTGGAGTCCTTCGCTGCGAAAAGTTCTAGGGGCTGACCGTCGCTTGGAGTAGCCCATGCGTCGTCTTCTAGCGCTGCGGAAGGCAATTCAGCTGGAGTTGCGAAGTCCTCTGTGGAGACAGGATCGAAGTCTGGAGAGGATCCATCGTATTCCTGGGAAGGACGGTCCGCTGACTCTTTTATTTGTTGTGAAGAGACGGGCAATTCTTCACTGTCGAGAGAACCAATGTTTCTGTCCTCAGCTGCCTTAAACTCTGGCTCAGGCTCTGGCTCAGGCTCTGGCTCCACAGCCAAGTCCTCCAAGCGCCTGTTCGCATCACTAATCACGTCCTGAGGCTCACTTGATTCTTCGGCGACAGGTGTAGGGGCACCACTTGCAGTCTCTGACCACGGAGTGCTTGAGCTCTTCCTCTTCTTGTCTTTCTTCTTCTTTTTCTTGGAAGAAGAGGCCGGTGTCCACCAGTCGTCAAGTGGGGATTGAGGCTCCAAGATTGTGGCCTCCTTCTCTTGCAGCGAATCTTGTGGATCGGGAAGTCTTTCCTCAACATTATGCGGTTCTTGAATAAGATCACTAGAGAGAGGCACTTCCTCCTGTCTGATGTCTTCTCCCAGCGGGCTTTGAGTGCTAGACAGACCGACTTCCTTTGAATTTAGGTCCAAGCTCGCAGATTCCTTGTCCTGGTCTTCCTTGGAATCTTCCTTGGAATCTTCCTTAGAAGTAGTGATTCGCTCCAACGTCTCTTCCTGAATGGGCTTTGGCTCTTGAACGTTGTCATCTGACTGACCTGTTTCCTCGGCCACGAGAGACAAGTTGCGAGGCTGGTCCTTGCCAATGGCAGTGGCTTGAGGTTGCGCCTCTTCTTTCGGATCCGACGCCTTGGCAATTTCGACCAGGTCTGCAAGATGCAGACTAGGTGAAGGCGCATGCGTGCTTGTCTCAACGGTTTGAGTAGGACTATGTCCAGCGATGTGCCCAGCGGTGATGTCTTCTGGTTGTGCGTCTCGTTCGGAAGATCTGTCGTCTTTCTCAGGCACCGCCGCAGCCACACCGGCGCCGGCGATAGCACCCGCAAGAAAGCTCCAACCCCCGCTCTTTCTGCCAGGTTGGCTTGCTTGGTCTAGGTGGTCTTTTGAGCTCTCGACCTCAGAGACGAGCGGAGAAGAGGACCCCAAGGCCTCTATTTCTGGCAGTTGAGTCGGGGAGCGCAAGTCTGCATGCTCAGTATGCACCGGGGTGTCCTCTACCAAGTCACTGGAGGTGATTCTCTCGGGCTCAGAAGGTTGCAAAGGTGGTGAACTTGGGTGCTGGGTGCTTCCAAGAGTGGGCTCTTGAATCTCCGCGGGCTCAGAAGGCAAGGTTGCTTCGTCAACATCGTTCATGGGCGTGATAGTCCCAGACCCGGAGAGAGTTTTCTTGCGCTTCTTGTCTTTCTTGGACTTCTTAATAGTAAAGAACTCGGGCTCTTCCTGCGCAACTGGCTCTGGCTCTGGCTCAGCTTCTGGCTCCGGCCAACTTGTAGAGGCCTCTTCCAGCGTGGATGATTTTGATAACGGCTCTTCAGTGACGCTGTGTGGTACGGACGGATCGTCAACAGTTTGTGCAGTTTCTGATCGTGGTAACTCTGTAGCGGAGGTCTCTTCAGTTGCAGACGGTATCGGGGTTGGCTCTTGGGTGACGTCTAGTGGCAAGGAACGTTCCTCGACAGGTTGTTCACCCCCCAAAATGTTTGACTTCTCTGCAAGGCTGGATTGCTGCTCCGGCTCGCCTGTTGCGATTGGCGTTGCCGAGCCTGAAGGTAATGAGCTGTCCTCCGAAATCGTGTTCTTGCGCTTCTTTTTCTTGTCTCTCTTTGACTTCTTGGAGGTGAGACGGAACTCAGGCTCTTCATTAAATGGAACTTGCTCTGGCTCAGGTACGATCGCAGGAATGGTTTCCTCGCTATTCCCTGGAGCTGGAAGCACATCTTCAGTGCGGAGGCTCGTCTCTTGTTGCTCTGTAAGACTACTTTCCAAAGACGGGGCTGCCGCAGCCTCTTCCACTGACGGCGCCTTGGCTGTGCTGTCATCGCTAATTGCTGGAGCCGGGAACGACTCCCCGCCGATGGCAATCGTTTCTTGCTGTTCTGGCGTAGTGCTTTCAATAGGTTGGGCTACTGCAGTCTCCTCGATCTCCAAGTCCTTGGCTGCTTTGTCTTCGAAGGCGACGCTGGCGCTAGGCTGTTCAGCCTGGTCGAATGAGCCGGATTGGGGCGTATCGTCAATGCTCACAGGCGCTTCCTCGGTCACACCGCGAGATTCGACGACAGTCGATTGCTCGCCAGCATCAAATGGTGTTACTGAGCCAGAGGTCTGGCCGCTCCCCTCCGAAAGAGTGCCCTTGCGCTTCTTTTTCTTGTCTTTCTTGGACTTCTTGCTCACCACTGGCCATTCTGACTCTGGGTCTTGGGGCAATTCAGTGACGGCAGGTTGCTCAATTTCACCAGCTGGATCTCTGACACTGACGTCCTTGTCGTTTTCCTCTGATATTTCTGAGGTGAGTGCAGGCTCCTGCACGGTGACTTGGCTTGTCTCTCCAGAATGAGTACCAGGAGCGACAACCTCTTCTTGGACTTCTAGAGCGGGGTCGTCATGTCGAGCTTCGGTTGAGTCCTCGATCTGGGTCTCAGGCATGCCAGAGTTGTCTTTGATTAGTTGAGTTTCGACAGGAACTGTGGCAAGCTCCTCGACTTGTGGTAGGCTGGGTGGACTGGATTGAGGTTGAGGCCCGTCCGAAGCGCGGCTCTCATCAGCAAGCGCGTGAGGTTGTAAGCTCGTGTCTTCGATGAGAATTTGGGGTACCCGGGCATCATCTGGTTGGGTGCTGTCTGGATGGACCTGGCTTTCAGTTTGTTCTGCCATAACTTGCTCGATTTGCGATGGCAAAGTGTCCTTTGTTTCCTCATCAGGCGAATCGCTAGCCTGCGGTTGGCTCAAGTCGTGCGATTGCGACTGTAACTGGGAGCTCTTATCCACGTTTGTCGCCCGTGAAACATCCTCGGTAATCTTGAAGCTATCATCGACATGTGGTTGAGAAACTTCCTTTGGGCTCAGCTCGTCTGAAGTTTGGATCACATCCTCAAGGGACCGCGGATTATCGACGCTAATCTCACGTGTTTCTTGACCGACAGGGTCGCGGCTGCTGTCTTCCTCTGGGACCTGCGAGATGCTTCCCGTACGATCATCAGCCAGAGGCGTTTCCAAATCTGCAGTGTCGAACTCCTCAATTTGTGGTTGGACAGCTGCCTCTGCTTCCTGGGCACGTCGCTCAGAATTGGATCTCAGGACCTTCATGCGCACTTTGTCCTTCTTGTTGGGCTTTTTCTTGCTTTCAAGCCTTGCGAGTTCAGTCTCTTCGTCTCGGATCAAAGCAGCTTCAGTCTCACGGCGGGCGATTTCCTCAGGGTCCTCGCTGCCTTTCTCTTCTGATTGTGCCTCCGTCCGTGCGACGGACTCGTCGAGCTCAGGGAGAATCTCGTCAGACGTAGTGCGAGTTCCGGCAACTTCTTGTGGTTGTGAAGCGGCCTCGTCAGTCGGGCCGGCGATTTCCATGCTCTTTGAGACGGCATCTTCAGGCTCCGAGCTCGATTGTGGCAGCACGGTTTCGGCGACGACAGTGCTTGGGCCAGCACTAGCCTTTTCCTCAGCGAGAATCGGATCCTCAGTAACCGGCAAACTAGTCTCCTCGATTTGGCTTTCAGTGACAGGCTCTTGGATCGATTTTTCGAGGTCTTGTGCCTCGGGAACGTCTTCTTGGATAGGCGTTGTTGCTGCGGCCTCTTCTGCGCGCCTGTCGGCATTCGCTCTCAATTCCCTGAGGCGGGTCTTCTCCTTTGGCTTCAGCTTCTTTTTTGACTGCAATCTAGAGATCTCAGCCTCCTCGTCCCGGATTTGATCGGCCTCGGCCTCGCGTCGGGCTATCTCGTCTTCATCGAGAATGTCTCCTGACTTTTGTTGCGCTTTGAGGCCGGGCTTCTCAAGCTCCGAGATTGGAATGCCGGCAGGGACATCATCCAAGACTGGAAGGACAGTAGGGTCCGTCGTTTGCAGGGGTTCGATCGGGCTCTTATCCTTGCCTACAGCAGAAAATTCTGGCTCAAATCGGCTGATATCCTGGTTTTCGGCTTGCACGATTTCTGGCTCTACTGACTTGCTTGATTGCTGTAGGTCACTAGACTCCATGCTAACAGGCTGCTGTTCGAGCTCCGGGGGGTTTTCTTTGGCTGTGGAAGACGACTCCAACTGGACATCATCTTGATTGCTTGTTGATGGCTCCACGGGTGACTCGATTGGCTCTGGATTCAACTCGAGCTCACCTGGTGTCGTTGTACCCGAGGACTGGACAGCTCCACCGATGACTGTGCTGCTCTTCCGCTTCTTTTTGTTCTTCTTGGACTTCTTGGAGGTGAAAGGGCTGTCATCTGCCGTGGAAGCAGGAATTGGGCTTGGCTCCTGCAGCTCCGATTCAGGAAGGTCTTGGTTGGCAGATTGATCCAGCTCGCTGGCTTCCTGGGCCGCATGCGGTGGTGAGCTGGGACTAGACAAGCCTCCGACGGGTGATTCCACGACCACGCCGCTGGGCTGTTGTTCTTCGATCTGCTCCACCGGCTGCATAGAAGGTACGATCTCGACCTGTCGTGATAAGTCATCTCCAATAGCGTGTTCAGACTCCGAGGGCTGCGAGATGGCCTCTGATAGCTCTCTCGGTTGCACCTCTGGCAAGTTGCCTTCCGTGACGGGCTCACTTGGGGGTTGAACAGCTTCATCGCTCACAAATAGCGGGCCTTGAGACGAGCTTGGTCCTAGTACATCTGGACTCTCATCTTCGGCTTTTGGAGGCGAGGCAGTCAAAGTGTGCTCAACAGCTGTTGGATTGGATTCTTGCAAGGTTCTGTCTTCAGCGACATTGATGCCTCTTTGTGAGTCTTCTGCAATCGGACTTCCGAGTCGCTCGATGCTATCCTTGAAGAGCTCAGGCTGTGGAGAAGCGGGTTCTTTGACGACGTCATCTGTCTTCTGCTCAGGATCATGTTGTACTCCGAGCCGGGCAGAGATGGGCTCCTGAGCCGTGTCCAACGGGCTTGAAACCTGCTGCTCCACGACCTCAAGGGTACTTGGGACATTTTCTTCGACGGCCTGATACTGTTTTGTCAAGTCTTGTTGAACTTCAGGCGTCTCATGAAAGTGTTCGCCGAAGCTAGTGCCAGGTTGCTCAAAGGCGAGAGGTTCACTCGGCCCAGCCTCATGCCCGTGGCCAGAGCCCTGCGAAGCCAAAGATGACCTCCGGGATGACCTCAGAGACCTAGTCTTCTTGTACTTCGGTCCCGTAGAGCTGCGAGCAGAGGCAGAAGCGCTACGCGGCGATGCGGCTATATCATCACCACTCTGGAAGGCATCCGGTGACACGTACCGGTCTGCGCTGCTGTGCGGTGACATGCTGCTGCGCGACGACCGTAACCTTCTCGTGGATGAAGAAGATCTCCGCTTGCTGCCGCCGATTTGGGCCTCTTCATCCTGGCTCTGGGAATGGCTATGAGCGCCAGGAGTGGCTGCAACCTCGACTGTGTCGTGCAAGTCTTTTGGATCGTCTGTCAGATCTTTGCTTCCACTGTCTTCGAGCACGTGATAGGACGCAGATGGACTCTCAGCTTCATCGCCCTTATGACCGGCTCCAACGCCCTCCTGGGATGGCTGCTCTGATGGCTGCCAAGTGGGTGATGAAGCTGTAGCGAAGTCGAGTGCAGACGGTGAACCTTCAATTACATTGGAAGGCGACCCCTCCACGATGGTTTTGTCTTGCTGCACATCAGAAGAAGGTATGGCGCTTGGTTCAGCTGCCACTGGAATGGGAGCGACGTCAATGCTGCTCTGCTTCTTCTTGCCCTTCTTCCCTTTCTTCTTCTTGGATCTGCTCTCCTCAGGCCAGTCGACCGTGTCGGCAGGTGTCTCTGGAATGGTCTCCATGTCTTCTGAACTCTGTGCTGGGCCTATTCCCAAGCCATTGTCGTCGGGTTGGGTTGACGACGAGATGGTGGCGACGTTTGTGTCATCAGTGGTATCTCGCTCTTGTTCAAGTCCCTTCACGTCATGAGCAGCGTCGTCACTCTGCTGCAAGTCACTGATTGGCAGCACCCCTTCAGGGCGCATATGCGCTGCAGGAGAGTCGTTGGGCACCGAGGCGTCAGCGCTTTCGATGGTGTCCAAAGGTGTGTCTGGACCCGATTTGCCAGCGCTTGCGGTGAGTGGAGCTTGGCCCCGGTCATCCAGATCACTGGAGGCTGTCACAACGGCCTCACTTGCCTCAATTTCGGGAACAACACTCGCTGTGCCTGCCAGATCTGGCGATTTTGGAGCGGGTTGTTTAGCGTCTTGACTGGGATGATCGTGCACATCTGCTTCTGTGTCATCGCGCTTTCCTCGTCCGAGCAAAGCTCCGACACCAACCAAACCTGCAGCCGGCAGCATAGAGAAGGCGGATGAGAAATAGCCTTGTTTGTCTCGCTTGTCCACGGAGCTGGGCTCCGTTTTCTGAGAAGGTTCCTCTTCGATGACCCTGCTGATATCCTGCGAGTAACCTCTGTCGATATCCTCATCGATAGCAGGTCTGTCTAGAGCGTCCTGGAAATCCGATACTGACTCCGTGGATTCATCGCGCTGGACTTGAGGCCGGACCGCAAACTCACGAACCGGAGACCCGGTAGGTGTAGCGTAGCTTGATTCCGGCAACGGGCTTTGGCTAGGCTCCTCGATGAATGGCATGTCGACATCCTTGGCTGAGCGAGGCAGTCCGGAATCAGGGTGACTTGGTCCAGTCGCACCCTTGGAAGTCGAACCAAATTCCCGAGCCGAGTCTGGCAGTCCAGAGTCAGTCTGCGTGAGCCCTTTAGGCGTAGATTCTTGAGATCCCAAGGGGGCAGTCCTGTTGGCCACCGCAGTATCGACGAACAAGGGTGAGGATTCAAGGCTACGCGCGGCCTCCTCAACGTCGCCGCCAGCTTCGGATTCAGGCGCAGGCGACTCTCTGCTTGGCGGCAATGGCGTGTTCTCGGCCTCGTCGTCATGCTGCAGCTCACCGCCGTCACCACCAGCGTGGGCCGAGCGCTCGATCAGGTAGAGCGGCTTGATCTCCCGAGTGCTATCCCATGATGTCGGCCTGTCCCAAGACGGCGGCCGAGGTGACCTTTTGTTGGAGGGACTGGAGAACGTCTCCTGAGTCTGTACCGCAGGCGATTGGTGCGCCGACGTAGGGTTGCTGACGACCCTTGGTGAAGCTGGGATTGATGACCGCTGGCCCATGCGGAATGAGATTGGGATCGCGGTGTGGCTTGGAGACTTGAGGGGTGTTTCATGGGCGCTCCTACGTCGAGAGTGCATTGCGAAGCCGGGACGTTTCTGGCCGCTCTCGCTCCTGTCCCGTGGCAGCAGCTTTTCTTGACCAGGCGGCGTAGCAGGCCTACTATCTGGCAGGGAAGGCAAGTCATCGCCGACATTAAAATCCATCTCCACGTCGTCGCTGGGACTCGGTGGTAGGGGCAGCAGATCGCCATACTGAGGATCAATCGCAGGCTTGATGACCCGAGGAGTAATCTCCGGGTCCTGGAAATCGAAGACATTGAAGCCTCGACTGGGACTGTCCGTATGCCTCTCGGAAGGATGGTCCACATCCGTAATGACGTGCCGTGTCTCCTCTTGTTCCGAGGGAGCTTCGGCGGCATCAGAGCGCAAAGCAAGGCTGCCTGCTGCAATAGCGGCACCTGCTACGGCTCCTGCTAGGCCGGCACCCGCGCCAAGAGTGCCGGCGTTATCTTTTTTTGACTCCTTGTCGCCGTCAACGCCATTAGAGCCCTTCAGAATGCCCCAGAAGCCGCCGCTGCTTCGCTTCTCCTCTTTGCTGCTCCTCTTGTCGGCCTTGCTGTCTCTCTTGCCGTCGGGAGCTGAAACTACAGACCTATCATCATCATACTGGTGACGGCTACGACCGTTTGATCGGTCATCATGCCTGCTGTCAGATACCACGGAAGCAACGTCCCTTTCGATAGGTTCGTAATCCGACCTTCGTCTTTCTTCCCGACGTCTTTCGCGCCGGTCAGAAGGGTCTTCTCCAGGCATGTCATAGCCTTTAGAGTCGCGCTTAGACTTGGTTGTCCTCTGCGGCTCTTCCCATGACACATCTGTAGTTTTGGTGTCCTCGAGGTCATCGAAAGCGTCGACTGGGACGGACACACGTCTGTCATTTACGGGCGTATCCGCATCATCCCAGCCAGCGCTCATCCGCTTTGACTTTTTGGAATTTCTCTTGGACTTCTTCGAGGTAGTCGACTCCTCCCAGTCATCCTCGCCGGCCTCAACTGGCTGGGAAGTCCGGTCCTGCTCCTCGGCAAGCTTGGCAGCGCGTGCAGCTTTTTCAATCTTGCGCTGCTCCTTCTTGCTGAGTCTGGGAGACTCTTCTTCAGGCTCTTCGATGACTTCAATGTTGTCACTGCCTGCAGATCGTCTCTTTTCCGCCTTCGACTGCCTTCGAGACGTACCCTCGGTCCAATCGAAGTTCGACCCTTTCTCGCTGGCCGGTGTATCTGCTACTTCACCAATGACATATCCAGACTCCCGCGTTGGCTTTGACCCATCTTTGAAGTCAAATGTACCGAGGTCAGTCACAGTCTCGGAAAAGGGTTGCATGTACACTCCTGTGGGCTCATTCGAGCCGGGCGGTGAGTCACGTCTGCGGTAAGCAGCGTCCTCGATGACAATATTCGGGTCGAATCCTGTGTCCTGCAACCCAGCAGCCAGTGTCGCCGCGAAGTCAAGGTCATCCGCGAACGCGCCCGGCATCTGTGAGCTACGTGGGCTGGCGGGCTTCGGCCCAGGGGCCGGTGGAACGTCCTCGGGTTCTTCGTCGAGGACACGAGAGGGTGCTGTTCCTTTTGGCAGTACCTTGCGGCTAGGCGGAGAGCGTGAATGTTCTGATGACTTTCCGTCCGTGGACTCCCTGGCGCGATCGTCACGCCTCGATGGCTCATACTTATCGTCCTTTTTGGACAGCGCCGCAGCCGCGGCGATGCCTGCAGCGGCGGCAGCGGCCGAGCCCCATCCACTGCTCTTGCCTGGCGACCTCGGCTCCTCATAGGACCTAGAGTTGCGTTCCGACGATCTATCAGGGCTCTCAACCTCGTATTGCTGTGTTTCGCTGGGCCCCCAGGAAACCCGCTTGGACGTCGGCGTCTGAGGAGCCTCGACAACCTCGCCCCTAGGTGAAATGACAACATCGGCAACCTCCTTGGGTTCTTCCACGACAGGCTCAGGGGTTTTCGACTTAGCCGGCTTCTTCTTCTGACTCTCGGGTGACGGTGTAGGCACAGGCGTTGGGATGACCAGATTCAGGTAAGGTCTGGGACGCTCCGCGGATGGATCACGCACCAGATACTCGTGTGGCCTGAAGTGGTCAAGGTCCTTCGGGCTCATCAGATTGTCGAACCTGAAATCCGCATTTGGCTCGCTGTATTTATGCTTCTGCGGCTTCTGCTTCATTTCTGGCGGGGTGACAATGCGAACGATTTCGGCGCCTTGAGACTCGCTGTCCCTGTGCTTGTCGTACTTCTCAACAATCGAGCGCTCGGCCGACTTGCTGCGGCTGCGAGAGCTAACTTCCCGCTCAGCCATCCTGCGGGCGTGGTAATAGGCGTTCGCTTGCTCCTGAACAAGGTCCTGCGTCTTGACCAGCGTGCGACCGCGTTCAGGCTCGTCGTGGTGCCGGGCCTTGTCCGTAGCTGCGATGGCAGCGGCCATGTCGACCGCCGAGATGGGAGCTGTAGAGTGCATGGACTCATCGTAGATATGCTTGGCGTCACGCATCTCGTCCTCAAACGATTCCCGACGGCTCTTCCTGTCCATCTGATCTGGAGGGGGCGAGGGCGCTGGTGTTACGTCAATGATCACGGGAGAAGCCGCTCTAAGCGGGCTATCCCTCGTTCTGAACGCATCATCGGGGACCTGGAACTGGAAAACGTCAATACCACTCGATGAGGGGACGGCCGGGATTTCAACGCCGCGGGTTTGGCTGCCATTCGCAGCTGCTGGCTGCTCGCTGGGCTCACTAACTCTTCTGCTTGTTTCTGGTCGATCGTAGTCGTAATAAGGTTCGCTGGATCTCGAGTCACGGTCTCGGCGCCTCTTCTCGTCGTCACGATCCGCATCAGCCGCCCGGCTTCCGGACGGCTCCGATGCGCTGTCTCGCTTTGAATCACGCTTGCGCTGTTCACGAGCCTTATTGCGATCCGAAAGAGCCCTCTCGAGCCTCTCGATTTCTTTCTCGAGAGCGAGTTCTTTGGCCCTTCGCGAATCCTGCACTACGGTATCCTCCTCACGATGGTCATCGTGCCCATACCTCTCATGGCGGCCGTGCCTGGACTCAGGGTCTCTCTCGATTTCCTTGCCCTTGCCCTTGTTGCGACCTGCCATGATTGCTGCGCTGAGGGCAGCAACGCCTGCACCTACCAAGGCTGTCTCGGCGAACGTCTTGTTCTCGCTTGGCCTGATCCGGGAGTCTCGGGGCTTAGCCTCCTCTGAGTCACGGATCCGTTGCTCGTCGTACATGCTGGTTGGAACCGGAGCAATAGGCTTAGGGGCCTGGATGGGAATCGGGTCCGGTCGCCTTGACGAGTGGGGCGGCTCTCGCGACGCAGCTGAGTAGCGTTGCTGCTCGGACACGAGCGAGCCCGAGGCTCTTGCAGCCTCCACCCTCGCAGGGTCTGACGTCTGCACGGGATAGACCGTCTGCATTGGCCTCGCCTCGATCGAAGCGCTCTCCGCCGTGCCTGCAGAGCCCGCATACCTCTGTTCTGAGGGCCCAGGGACGGTGTAGACGCTATTCCTGTCACCAAAGCCGCATGGCGTGTTGATGAGTCCGCGAAGCGAGTTCACAGGGCCGAACAGCCTCGGGTCAACGGCCGATGACTTCCTGTCCGGTGGCCTGATGTCCTCTGGCGGCCGGGCTGATAGAATCGTGGATTGCCTGCTCACCGAAGACTTGGGCGGCGATGATCTGCCGAGATCGACCGCGGCGCCGTACGCCAGCCCGGAGTTGCTTTCGTCGCTGCTGTACTCGCCTTCAGACGCAGACTCCCACTCATCATCATCGGATGAGGACGATGAGTGGCGCCCATGCTTTGAGGGCGCAATGCCACGGCTCGAGGCGGCAAACCCACCAACAGTCTGGCGGGAGTATTTATCCCAAGACTCTTGCGCAGTAGAGAACTGGCTCGGCGGCCTCTTTCCCATGGTGCGCATGTCTTCCCTGTTTGAGTCTCTCGCGACCTTGGCCAGCTTTCGTCCGATCTCGAGTATCTCCTCGTCCGTCTGCCGCCTCTGCACCTGCGCCGGCCGTCCGTCTGATCTCTCCAGACCGGCCGCGTGCTCGCCCCGTGGGCTGAAGTTCCGGCTCTTGGGCTTCTTGACGAAGCCCATACCATACGCCATGTCCGAGTTCACGCTCGAAGATGACGAGTTGTTGCCGAACCCGAAAATGCCCCTGTTCTTTTTCTTCAGGCTCCGTCTACGCCGCGCCCGCTGTCTCCGCTCCGAGGGCGTCATCCAAAATGTTTTGAGAACGCCGCCCGACCGCCCGAAGCTGGGATACCACCGCGATATGTCCAGATAGGAGGAGGAGCTGGACGACGAGAGCGACAAATCATCGGAGCTCGAGTGGGAGCCATGGCGGCCTCGTCGTGTTCGTCGGCGATCCCGTTCGCGCTCGTGGCCGTGGGATGGTCCTGGCATGGGCGTTGGTGCCGAGGACCGCATGTCGTCGGTGCTGTGCATGGTAATTGGGCCTCCCGGGCCGCCAGGGAGGGGCTGCTGATCCGGGGGCTGGGCCGTTTGGTACTGGAATGAGGAAGAGGGCACTTGGCTCTGGGGTGCCCCGGGATAGACGTAGGAGTAAGAGCTCGAGAAGGTGCTCTCAGGTGCGGTAGCCATGGACCTGGAGTCTTGTGCCATGGCAGTTTCATCTAGGACGAGCTGCTCTCTTGAGTCCCGCTTGGCTTTTCGCCTGCGCCGCGAGCTCTCTGGGCTCCATCGGCGGCGGCGGTCGCTCATGATGTCGACAGCTCTGGAGGGGAGTTTCTATGCCGTCGCTGTCATTGGTCTTTACGTATCATGCCTCCCCCAGGTGACCAGCTCCGTAGACAAAATTAATGGTGTGTGCTGCGTGTGTAGATGTCGAGATGCAGTGCTGAAGTAAGTAAGTAGTGGGATTGTTTATGTGCTGGGGGGGTGTATAGGTCCCATCCTAGTATGGGGAAGGCTGGGAAGTATGGGTCAAGATGGAACCAACAAGGTCTGAAGCTCAGCCGCAACGAGAAAGAGCTTAGAGCTTGGGCGCTATGGCGGTCAGAGCATATGGGCTACTACAGAATTGGGCTCCAGTCAGACTACTCCACGAGGCGAACCCAAACTTGTGCATGATGTGACGCTGGAGAGAGAGAGGGAGATGAGGGGGCTGGGCATCTGTTTGTCTGCCCCCATCTGCCTCTGCCTGCAGGCCCATCTGCATGCCTGCGGCGCTAATCCGTAAAACAGCGACAGGATTCGTTGGCTGGCCGACCAATTATTTTGCCCGTCTTCTCGCCCAAAACAAGACCAATCACTGCAATCATCTTCTGCCCGCTTCTCGAGTCGCCCAAGGCGAGGATATGCCTGCCTTGGAGGTTTTCGACTCTCACCTGAGTCAAAATCCTTCGTCCGAGGCAGCACCAAGTGCACCACCACCCATCAAATGTTGTACGCATGGACCGCCGATCCTGATCCTCACTCAACATGAGCGGCGACAACCCTTGGATGAAAACGGGCCGTGCCGAGGAGTCTATGCATTTTGTGAGGAGTGTACAATACCGCCGAGACAAGCTGGAGACACACAGACACGATGGATGGAGCGGTTCATGATTGTCGATTGTACTTGTCCAGCACTACTTTGACATGCTGCCGGAGCAGAACTCCTTCTCTTTCTCAAAACAGAAGAGCGCCGAGGCAGGAGTTTTGAACCCAGCTCATCACGAGCATTGATTCTCTAGCAGTGCCCATGGGCGTGGCTACCAATGCTAACTTGTACATATGCCGTGTTCACGGCGCGCGCACTTCTCGCCTCCTCCACCATCAACCGCCTCCAATCTCCAGTGGACACAACAATGGCATAGTAGGACAGACTCGTGCTGTTTCCATCTTACAGCTCGTCGCGCACACAAGAGAATGAGATATCCCCTGCAGACTGTCGGTTCTGGCACCACGAGCCCCTTTTGAAGGCAACACTGCCTTTCGGGAGCTGCATGCGAGAACCACATGTCCTATGCGTTCCTCTCTGGCCTGAGAAGATGCACTTCATGGTCATAAAATGATGGCGTTGGTTCCTTTCGTTCCGATTGTGGCCTTGAAACAACATCCCACATTTGATTCGGATCCTTTAAACGCCGTCGCAACAATTAACTCTCCCTGGTCCCCCCTTCCACCAGCGGTTTTGCCTTCACGCAAGCCAGCTCCACCAACACAATGACTTGCCCTCGATCGTGTCTGTCCGATGTACGTGGTAGTTCAGGTGTTGGTGGAAACGGAATCTCGCCATCAGACTCTGCCGTGATGAGTAGATGCCATCCTGTGCAGGGGGTTCAAAACATGTTTGCAAGTGCAGGTAGTTGAAGGTGCGGCCGTTAACTTCATCGTAAAGGTCTGTGACGTCCCAGCTGGAGGCAGGCCGTTTTGGCCTCAGCCTGATCTGGACTTGGCTCGTATCATCTCATCATCCCGAACGGCGGTCGACTATTTTGTCCGCTTGAAGGAGGGCGCTGATCCCATCCATTCCAGTTTCGCTCTTACCATTCGGCCGCGACGCCGGGGGTGGAGCCGGGACGGATACCGGTGCTAGTCTCGCCTCGTACGCAGGTGAGTATGAGGGACGAGCGATGGGCGTGTGAGAATGACTTTGGACAGGCGCGTGCCCATTGTAGTAACCTGAGTTCCTTCAGTAAGTATCACCGTCATTACACGCAGCACGCGGGATGGGCTCGAACTGACCATTTATGTGCGGCAGAGGGGGATTGACTGGGGTCGGGTCACTTGGAGCCCGCTCCAACGGAAGAATAGTAGGTCTGTCGTCGGGAGACATGGAACGTCCCTGGATCGCTGGGTTTGCTGCAAAGGCCGCATCGTAAGAGTTGAATTGTTTTCCACCGGACAAAAGTGCATGAATAGGAAGGGGTCCCTCAATAGGGGTCCGCGGGAAACTGCTGTATGCCGAGCTTGCTGAAGACATGCTGCCCGCAGAAGACTGTTCTTTTTTCAGAGACGGCGGCCGTGATTCGCTACCGCTCAGACTCGGTGTGTTTGCTGGGCTTGCTGTTTGAAGGCCCCTCGGTAACAGGCCGATGTTTTGCGTGGGAGCTTCGTTGAGATGGGCTGCACCGTTCAGCATGGGCCGGCCTTCAAACACATCTGAAAGCGGTGGAAGGCTACGCGACGTCGCCATCGAATCAGCGCGAGAGCCATCCGTATACGATGGAGGATCACGTCGCAACGGGGCTGGCGGCTGGGCAGAGCTGTCCCTGGGGCTCCCTGTGACACCAGGCGACTGATCACGACGGCGGTCAAGGCGCCGGTCGAAATAGCCAGTAGCTGGTGAGGTCAATACGGACTCGTCGCCCGGAGTGCGTTGAGAGAACGAGGCAACGGATGCTGCGTAGTACGATTCGCCATTAGAAACAATCGACCCAATTCTCTGCCGCCGTGCTGGCGGTTCGCCGTTCTGATCCCCAATGCTGCCCGCCCTTGCAATTCGGCCCGAGTGACCGTTGACGACCGTTGCTTCCCCGATGTTCGGGTCGGACAGCCTCACTCTCTTGGACACTTCTTTGTCTGGATGAGTTCTTGTCAGGTACCGGCCGTACTGAGGAGCAGCGAAACCGCTCAAGGGACACCGAACTGACTTACCTTGCGCGTGATTGGCGTGTTTGGCTTTGAATTCCTGCAGATACAGAAGGTACTTTTTGTAGTCGGGGGTTTTCTTGTACTCGGCTAGATCTCGATTGTACTTTTCCTTGGCTGCTTGGGCATCCCGTTCATAGGGTTCCTTTTCGGCCTGAGTCAAGCCTTGCCAGTTCTCGCCAACCAGTTTGGCGATCTCCGTGAACGTTAAGTTTTGACCTTTGAGGTCTTCTCTCATCTCTAGCAACAGGTAATTTCGGTTAGTTTCCATCCTCAAGGGCCCGGATAAACACACGATGTCGACTTTCAGGGCTCAGAAAATCGTGTTGTACGTGGTATATTATCAGCAATGGACAAAGAGCCTGCGACACGCGAGCCACACGTGACGAGCGAATGACGGCAGAGAATGGAGTAGGCATGCATTTGAGCAAGTACTTACTGTTAGAGAATAGAACGTATGCGGACGGCGCGCGTTCTGGTGCATTTTCGTCCGGCTGTAGAGAAGACCAGTCAGTCATCAGGTTATCTTTTCTTCCCTCGCCAATATAGTTGACAGAATAAACGGCGTTGGCATAAGGGCAAAGACTGCGAGCGTTTATGACTGGGAAACGCGTTCACTTGCTCAACGTACCTTGGGATGCCGTCGATATTTGCGCTTCTGAACCACACCATTGCCATTCTCTCGGATATCCGTGGATGACAATGCAGATCCTTCCGTCTTTTGCACCTCGGTCCGGGCATCCTCGACACTTGCCCTCGTCGGCGAAGCCAGTGCCGCATCGGGCGCTACGCCTCTGGCATTGGCGATCCGTCTTTGAAGTTTCTGCCACTTCATATTAACATCGTGTTCCCCAATCCTTAGACTCGCATAACGCAGATCTATAGCTTACCCTTCGATGACCCAATTTGACCCCCAGCGCGTCCCTGTTAACCACCGCGAAGGTTAGATCGGCCGCCAAAATCAAGGCTTACTTCTTTTCCCCCGAGGCTGCACTCACAGGTCCGACTCGGTGATGTCGAGGATCGTTTCCCACGTGTCGAAGCCCTGGTCGAGAAAGACATCAAGGTATTGCGAGATGCCTAGCTCCCCAAACACCTCTTGCAATTTCGGCGACATGCAGGATATCGATTATCGGCTCGGCATAGAAGTATTGGACACGATCAAAGCCTCGTGGGGCTGGTGCAGTTCGTTCCCGAAGAGATTCCAAGAGCGACAAGAGCTCGCGCCCAATATTCGAGAGGTCAATGTAATGCTCCGTAACGAGGCCTACAAGACAGTCCTCCTCGAATGCTTCTCAAGTCTCGACGTGCTGGACAGTATGCCGTCGCAAAGGGTGGTCCCAGGCCAGGGAGAGTGCAAGACAAACGCGTCAGTTTTATTCGTATACGTTGCTATGCGAGGCAGCCGGTCATGCTCGATCGACTCAGTAGTGTGGTCGTGTCTCGTTGAGGAACCGTCGTGTTCTGGTCCCAGGTAGGTGCAGTGGTGATATGCTCTCGGGTGCTCGGTTGTTTTTCGCAGAAAATACTGGCCCGGTGGCGGGTGTGTCAGGAGAGAGAACTTCGAGCTCTATGGGAAAGTTCAGTGCTCCTGATGAGAATATTAGAAGGGCTAAACATGGGGACTCACGGCATATGACACACTAATTACAGTGGGCCGATGTCGAGGATCTCGATGACAGAAGGTGTGGCACAAGATGGGAAAGCTTGAAGCGTGCTCCAGGATATGGGTAAGATGCTAGGCCACACACATCGAAGATGGCTTTTCAGTCGATCAGCTTCGGCGAGCCTGCCTAGAGAATAACAATCAAGATGGCTGCTTTCACGCAGTCGCAGAGAACGTGGCTAGGGGACCAAGGAAATGCGCTTGGGTCGAGAGGGTGAGGGCAGGAGGGCTGCTGGACTTGGACGTCGACGAGACTGGCAAGGAGTCTGAGAACATACCGACGTAGCACGTTGAGCGAGCAGGTAGCGAAGCCGGGGGCGGGCGTGGTGGTAGAAAAGACAGGGCAGGCTGCACAGACGGTGTAAGGCCAGGCACCGCGTGGGTCACCTGTCATGGAGACGGAGAACCTACCAAAGTAAAATCGAAATACAAAGAGTCAGGTACTCGTCGTTGATGGAGACCCTCCAACGTCGAAAACACTGGAGATGGGGCCTAATAGCCGCACTCGAAGTGGGTTGACTGGGTAAAGGGCCGGGCTGGGGCAGGCCGGGCAGGGACAAGCAAGGACAACCATGAACCAAAGCCGGATCGAAATCGTCAGAAGCGTTTCTCACGCGCAGAATAATATGTCGTAGTGTCACCCTTGGCAGTGCCTGACCCTAGTTAGACGAAAGACAAACCAGCAGAGAAAGCGTCCAAGGCCCAAGTCCTTGGGTGTGTGTAAAAAGAATACTGTTAGCAGGTGGCTGTGGAAGGACGAGAGCCAGCCCATCGCGATCCCAGACAGAAAACTGGGGCACAAGTACTATTATGTCAGAGGTACTTCTCCCCGAATCACGCTTGCCCAGTTTGAGAAGTATATCTTGACAACCCGTGCACAACATGCATGTACAATTCAGTACAGGCCTGGAGTATGTGTCGCCTCGTCTAGGAGGGCGGAGGGTGGAAAGAATAGAACAGACAGAAGACCGTCTAGAACCGGGGGCAAGTGGCCCACCCCCCACCACTGGTTGGCTCTTGGGCGGCGACAGCAACGACCGGTCATGCAAGACGGCTGTGAGACATCCGTGCCGCCAGGCTCGTGCTGCACAACGCCAGCAACGCCCTCTCTGCCTCTGCCTCTGCCTCTGCAGTACCACTCTGCCACTCTCGAGCCACTGTCCGCACCTCTATTGCTTCGCAGATCTCGTAGAGTAGGCGTGTGTGAGTGGCGGCGACACAACCACATTTCATCATCACGACGCCGTTAGTCGCTACCTCAGCGTTTCAACGTCTCTGCTTCTCTGTTTTCCTTGCCACAGTCTTTACCATTGTTCATCGCGGCTTTGCCGGCCTAGTCTAGTCGGCTGGATGGGCCAGTGACATAATAACCTACCGAGATTCGTCCCAATCATCGAACACTGCGGCTGTAGTGGTAGAGGAAAGACGTGGAACTCCCTCGGGGAGAGGCCGGTAGACTGTGAACAACAATGGTGGTACGCAACATAGACATAAAGCTTCAAAAAGTCGGCAAGCCAATTGAGTACGAAGGTTACAATTTGTAACTCTGAGGAAGGTCCACCTGTGTCGCCAGGCATGGTGTGCTGGACGAGCACCGTAGTGTCAAAGTTGATTGTCGTGAGCAGGAGGCTGTCGTCGACTCCCCACAGCGCGGCTGCGTAAGAAGAGGTGCAAGCTAATCCGGAAGCCCAAGAAGGTCGACCGAGGTCAGGCGCTCACGGTAAAGTATCAGTAAGGTAGTGTAATGAGTCTGCGCTGTGGCCACTGTGGCTATGTGGTGTCGGAGTGTCTGCTGTAGTAATGGGTGCGAGATGTCGCCGGTACATGGTCGTGACCACAGGTCCGGGATATAAAGGCTAAGGGGACCGACATTGGTGTATGTCTAAGCCAGATCTCGATCCGCCCGCAACGGCACACAGAAAACGTACGACGGTCACGGGGAGAGCAATGCAGAACCACTGGAGGAGGGATGGGCAGGATGCAAATCAAGCCAATGGAACACCGCTATTTTTACAAATGACGCCGGAGCCTGAGCCTGGGGGTCGCGGTCGACCCTGGGTAGTCTGCACTGATGGATGAACAATGCAACAAACCTGTCTGTTGGCCGTCCGAAGTGATGCAAAGGGCAACTAGGCCTGACTGAGGCTGAGAGGCCCGGGAGGCCTGGAGGTAGGGGCCTGTCTCCCTATCTCCCCAAGATCCTAGCAGGAGTAGCACTGTTCAGAAACGCATACACGATCGATTTGGCTTGGTATAAAGCGAGTAGCGAGTAGCGAGCAGCGAATATCATGTTGCTGCGGATCACTCGCGGAGACGGACTTGGAGGAGTGCAGACACAAGCGATTTCAAGGCAACTCTGACCCCCAGCGCCCCCCATCCGGAAATCGAATTTATTGAGACGATCGCACATATGCCCTGATATCCCTGTCCCAGTAGGGATGGGTGCAGCCGGTAGTCTAGCATACACATAGTGTGTATTGCACCTCAATATGTACTAATGTGGGTTAGTAAGCATTGCCAGGCTAAGAACTCCGACGTCGTTTAAGGTTGACGTCCATGGACGCAGCAAGAGGCGCTGTAGATATCTGGGGGCCATCGACAGTCAAACGGGCCAGGCCAGACTTCAGCTTATCAGAAAGATCAGCTTAATATCGTAAAGTGCTTGAAGACTAATGTACAGCATCCAAAAGAGTAATATGTGTCCCAGGACTGCGGCCCGGGGCTGCGGGGAGTATAGTAAGTAACCAGGGAGCCAAGACAGAGAGGCAGAGCGGCACAGTGCCACAAGGGAGCAGCTACACGCCGGTCCAGAGTGCCATCAACGTGTTTATTTGGCTCTGGAGTTTACGCGCATTATCAGATCAACCTACTGTACGATGGGTCCATCAATCATTGCGCGACGAAAAGCGGAAAAGCGGAATTGCCAGACTCAGGACGAGACAGCAGTATGCGACTCGCGTTGTACTGCTTGCCCCCACGCGCTGGACTCCTTGCTCCCCGAGCATATCTATAGGAAGACAGAGATCATTCGTGCCGCAGTTGTCCCGTAGAGACACAGCAGACGTGCAGTTGCAGATGCGTATGCATATGCAGGCGCATACGTAGCGACAGGGCCCGAGACTGCGTGCAGGAGAGAAAGAAGCAGAACGGGGAGGGCAAAAGCAGAAATTGGACTGCCGGTCATGCACATCTTTGCGATCGTACAGGAACTGATTAGTAATCAGAGGCCCTGATGCATCTGTGTGCTGGTCCTTACCGTCAGTCGGTCCGGGCGAGTCAATTCGGCCATGGTTGAAAGCTGAGGCAAAGTGAGGATTGCATTTGTGTCTGGCAGTCTAGGCAGAAACATGCCGCTTGTTGAGATCTCGATGCGCCTGAGATGCGAGAAACGCACTTACCGATCCACAAAGGCACTAACTGGGTCATAACAGCCGACGGTTCTAGACCACCCACTCATCGACACATCGACATCGCCATCGAGAATTTCGGACCGGGAGCAGAATGCCATCCAGCAAAGGGGCCGGGTTACATGACCAACTGCCCGAGAGAGAGTGCGACTTTGCACGTCTCGCCGCCGATGTAAGGCTTGCGTCATGATCTGCCAATCTGTCATTGAGCATCTGGAGGAAGGGTCGAGGGCGGGCCGGGGGGCAGGGGGAGGGGGTCACAACAGCACTTTCCCACACACGATTGCCTATTGTAGACACCTGCCTTGGAGCGACATGAGCTAGGCAGGTACATCAGGTACATCAACATCAGCGCCCGTGTGCACACTGCAGCCTACCTCCTGCCCTATATCAAGTCAAGTACATGCCAGATGCTACTCACCATGCCGTCAAGCATCACTGGTGTTCTAGTTCTACCTAGGCATTGATTGAGCCAGTGCTCTGAGCGAGAGCCTCGGCTACCATCCTGCCATCCTGCCATCCTGCCCCATTAGGCTACCGGCTACCAGGCAGAGCATTTAAGGTCGCGCTACAGAATGTTTGACACCAACGGCACTCAGCCAGCTAGTCCTGTAGCGGCTGCAACGCCTCCTGCCAGGATGTACTAGAGACGTAGTTGTACCTGTACTGGATGCATGTCTCTATCGCTCCCGCCGATTGACGGGTCACTTCAATCGCTGCACCGAGGGTTGAAAAAAGCAATGCAGAGCTGGGGAAGCGGCCACGGCCCCCTCGCCCCTTCTTCCGCCCTTGTCAAAGACAGAGCAGCAGAGACAGACTGACAGACAGGCAGGAGGGTGGCAAGCCCAACCTTGGAATAATTGGAATCATTGGCAGGACGACCAGACGCCAGACTAACATTGACCTACCAGTCGCAGCCCTCTTGGTCTCACAGGCCAAACAGGCAGCCCTGGCAGCCCTCCGCAGCGCACATTTGTCGATCCGATGCCTCCCCCAAACCCGATGCGCATGGCGAGGTTGCAGTGTGGGAAATGTGGACCGCCAGCTCTGATGCTTCCGGGGCCTGTCGCCGGCCAGCCAATCACGGCCGTCACCGGCGACGGGGCTGACCGCTACGCAGCGCTCAATGCCACCGTCAGGTCGGGCCTTGCAGAGCTTTCCGCAACGAGCCTCGTCAGTGCTGTGCCGTGGTCCGCACCTCAGTTCCTGGGCAACAACAAGGTTTGGCTAATCCTGGATGGGCAGGGTCCAAGTCCTGCGGTGCCCTGCTGAGTTCCTTCAGATGGTTGCTGCATGCTCCAGATTCCCGCCAAGTGTCTACGCTCTGACAAACGTCCAGATCGACTAGCACTCCTCAGATCTTAGGCAATATCATTAAGGCATTGACTCCGAGGCCGTCCCTATCACATCATCATCACTACCGGTTTCTGCACCCCGAAGCCTCGTACCTCGTCAAGTCAGCATCCAACAAACAGCCAGCCTGACATGCCTTCACAAGACGCCGGCTCCAATTCCGCCGCCCCTGGCCCGCCGTCGGGCTCATCAGACCGTCAGGACCAAGAAACCCGCGAAGCTCAGGAAGCCCAGAGGGCCGAGGCCACAGGTCGTGCCCCCAGGACAGAGCAGGAACTGGCCCAGGTACGCATGCGCAGAACAAAGCAAAAACTCAATGCCCAAGACAAACCAGCACAGTCAACCCCTCGCACTCGTCTATTTTCCACAACCACGTGTTCGCATCTCTCCCCCAAGCTAGGCCCTTTCATGATTCAACCCCCTGGTCGTGGCCCCCTTCTCACTTCTCCCAAGCTCTTCTGCATCCTTCACCCATACCCATGTCCGGCTTACAGCAGCAGAAGCACTGCGATAGCCCCCCTCTCAACGGTTCCAGAAGGTCGGCCAGAACGGCTGTCCCCCTCTCCTGCTCGCCCGGCCCTCCTTCACACAGCGTGTGCCCCCGCATATTTCACACACCATGTCTTGTGTAATCCTCAACCACCCCCTTGCTAACAGACAGTCTAGGCCTTCAAGGATCTCGCCCGGTAAGAACATCATTCTAACATCAGTTCGATTTGGATCCTGCATGATCAACGCGCCGCCTATTATCTGGGCTTCCAAGCCCCTGGTCGGATTTGTTCCGACATGACGGCGCGCTAAGCAGCTGCCTCACAGGTTATCGATCGGGAGAGTCTAGAATCTCTGGGATGTCATTGTCTTTCAACATCATTCGCGGGCAAGCGCACCGTCCACTCCATTACGCGGTCTGTCGTGGTCGAGATCGGTAGTCCATCAGCTGATTAGACCAGCCACGCGCCGCTTCGACTCTCAACGACCGCTGCATTGTTTGAACCACACCACCCCAGACTGAAATGGGTCGTCCGACAAGCCCTCGTTGCAAGCGCATGCACCGGCGAAGTCTAGACCTGCCTTCGTCAGTTCTGATGATACCTTGGCGGAAAGTCTGGGTGGGATTCTCCGGTTTCCCATCCCTGAGGAGAATGGCATCTTTGGATTCATGGGCTTTTGCCAGCGCATTGGCCTCTACCTCCATCAACCATGCATCGATGTTCTCGATGCTGTGTCCAGCGCCCAATGTTTTCTTCAAGAGTCTCGACCGCGATGGCGGTGTCCCCGCGGGCTTGTGCAGACTACTGCCGCATTGCTGGGTCTGGAACATGTCTTCTCATGCATATTCCGCGTATGTGACACAACATATTCGAGGAGCGAATACTGACCCATGACAACGCGGAACGTTTCCTCCTAAGATGCACGGGACCACCCGTGTCCCAAAAAGCCCCATTCTTAATCCTCTGGCTCTGGCCTCCCTTGTTGGGGTCTTTATCTCTCCTTCTTCCCAAAAAGCCTCTACAAGGTTGGCACAATAATGTTACACGACGTCTTGGTCCCTGTTTCTTGGCTAACAGACAAATTTGGCTACGCAGAGGTGAAAATGCAGCAACAGCGCTCGAAAAGAATCTGACCAACTTGGAGAGCAAAATTGATGAGCTCCTTGCCTCCTTCGAGCGTTCGGGCGCTGCATTACCCACAGCGGGTGGCTCGAATCTTTCAGGTGGCACAGGTGAGTCAGACGAGGGTGGCGGTAGCCAGAATGCAGCGAGCAAATGAGGCTATTCGTACCGGACCGACCGGGGGTGGCGAGAAATTGTTTGTTGTTTCGACGCCTATCTGAGGCGGCGATCTCGCGAGAAAGGCAGCAACGGTTCGATGATCAAGATGATAATTCACAAAGCATCGCTCATTTCCCCGCCTCTCAGAGTCCACTGTGAAATCATATTTTCCCAAAATGCAGAGCTGTGACGTCAACACGCAGTATTGTATTCACGCATGTATGTGCGGTGGTACTCGACGAGTCTACGAGAATCCGCCCAAGTGGGTTCCTACTGGCTCCCCGGAGCGTCTTTTTTCAGTGTTCGCCGTCCAAGGTCGGTATGAGGTTGGGCAGTTTGATCCGAGACGGATTGTGGGAAGTGCAAGAGGCACTGTCAGCACAGGGCCAAGCCTGCGAGAGGTTATTCCGACCGAATGAGGCCAGGTGTCGTCATATTTGTTTAATCGACCCAAATCCTGAAGAACCCGACGAGGGAGGGGGGCCGAGAAGACGACGGGGAACAGGATCTCTTGTCGAGATGGGGAAGCACTGGCAACAACTAGCTCGTCTGGGCCAGGAATCGTGCGCAAAGCGGCTTCTTATTCAGCGTCCTCTACGGATCAACTACTTTAAAGGGCCAGCATGAAATGAAGAACTTCCTGCCGCTAAATGTGTAGGAAAACAGGCGGCAGCCTGTGTGGAAGCTTCAAGAGGGAGGCAAGTCTGAGTATCAGAGCCCACAATTCGAGCCTGCTTTCCTCCGTTTCTTGGCCCGGATTTCTTCTCCCATTCTGGAATCGATACTGTAGGTCAACACAGACAGTCACTCCTCCTCCCCTGTGGCCCACAACTCCACAGCCAGAGAGAGAGCGAGTCTCTTGTGATGCGGTGGCAATCCTTGATGGAGAAATCTCCCTTGGGGTGCGTCCTCAGGGGCGAGACGTGGCAGCCCACAGATTTTTTCCACACGCGTCGCAGGGGGCCCCAAGATTCTTCGTGTGTGTGCGCTTGAACGGTTTGTCATGAAACCGCAGGCCATTGTAGAACCTCACGAAGCTTACCTACTTTCTCGAGACACAGGCCCAGTCGGTCAGGTTGGAGGGGGCCGAGGCTGTGTGGCAAGTGAGAAACGCTGAGTTCGTGAACAATTGATTCATTTCATGAGAAAGACCACACGCCTATCCTTGAACGTGGGCTGGGATTCCGCCCGCCCTTTCTTGACCTCATCCAAACATGTAAATACAGCAAAAAAGCCGGCGCTGGCAGCGCTTGACCCATTCATTATACAAAGGGAAGACCGCATCCCAAAAAGGACGAACGCTGGCCGTATTCCGATTCCTATACACCCTTTCATGCGGTGTATGTGCGTCCTGTAGTTATTCTCGTCACGCCTTTATACACTCAAACTCCCTGGTCGATCGAATACAGAAGCCCGGCAGAGAGACACCTCGTTCGCCATCCACTATGTTTGGTTCTCGTTCGACAACGAAAAGCAACAGGCCTTAGATATCCCCCTCGGTGATCTGTGCGTTCCAATCTTTCCTGATCTCCAGGTCCGTCAGCTGGTCTGTCTTCTCGATCACGAGACCCTTCTCGTTGGCCAAATGCAGCAGACAGATGAAGCAGAAACTGGTCGAGATGTCGTCCATCACGGGCTTAGAATAGACCTTCTGTAGGCCGTTCATCACATCGGTGAATTTGAGAGTTGGGTTATCCGCCGAAGGCGGTGGAGGCTCCACGCTGCCTTCTTCTGGCGCAGACGGCGGTGGCACCTGGGCAAATATGTCAGCAATTGATCTGCTTCTGGGGTCTCAGGACGTGACTTACCGAATCGAGCTTCTCCATATCCATTCCCTTCCACAGCTCCTCCTTCAGCCTCCTTACATCAACCTTCTTTGCCACGCGGGCATAGTTGACATAGTCTGGTCGCACCCGCCTGTTCTGGGTCACCAACATAGTACCGAACGCCAGGTCTGCCGGGTTAGTAACCGTGAGACCGTTGAAAGCGCCCGTAGCACCGATGGTCTCCATGGCTCTCTCTGGCGAGAATTGCTCACGGGCGTCGGCGAACTCATCAATGTCATCGTCGTCATCAAGACCTCCAGCAAATGGCAGATCGTCATCCTGGAAGAAGTTCGCGTCATAGTCGCCCTGTGGAAGCACCGTGTCTTGATCGCCGCCCTCGATGCTCTGCATGGGCGCTTTCTGCCGCGCCCAGAAGGCCTCATCCATCTCGCCCTCAGGCACGTTTGGATTGGCGTCTGCGTTGCCGAAAACACCGTGCCGTTTGCCGAAGTTCCGCCGGCGACCCATGCGGGCTCTTGGCTTGAGGAAAAGGCTCAGAAGTTGTTTTGAGTTGAAGTGCTTGTCATCCGGAAGGAGATTCCTCGTCTTCGACTTCCAGTCCTTCTTGGGTAATGAAATAGTGGCATTGGAAGACGCTTGGGTGTAGAGAACGTCGGCAAGAGGTGCATCGAGGGGAGAGCTGAAGTCGATCTCGAACGGCTCCTTCTCCTTGCGTTGCTTTGTCTGTACCGGTTTGTTGACATCCTTGATCTTTCTTATCCGCCAATGCTCGGCACTTGTCCAGTTCTTCTGTAGTGCGTGGTCGAAGTACGCCAGAATGTCTTCGTGCATCTTGTCTGGTTTTTGCGCGTGCATCATAGACACGTTGAAATCTTCATTTCCATCGTTGTCCATCATGTCGACGCCGTCGCCCTCTTCAGCCCCGTCTTCGCCTAGCCCGGCATCGAAGACACGCATTTGCGGCTCCAGCGCGGCTTCTTTAGCCCAGGCCTCACCACCTTCGCCAAAAGCGACATCCCCTCCCATGGAGAAATTGCCGAGGCCTTCATCATCGTCGAAGCCAAGTGGGTTGTCGTCGATGTCCATGCCTGTTTTGTTGCCGTGCCCGCCCTCTTCCGCCTCTCTCTCCTGCTCTTGCCGCCAGTCATCAGGAGCTCGCAGGAACGGAATATCAAGTGACCCGGACGGGTCGCCGATATCGAAAGTCTTTAGTGAAGGGCAGACATCCAGCTCATCCAGGTGCGTCAGATCGGGGAAGAACTTTGAAGCAAGGGGGGCCAGATCGATCTCGATATCTTCGTCTTCTTCAGCCTCGTCGATCGTCTTCATGGTGACATCCTCCAACTCCTCTTCTTCCTCATCTTCATCATCGTCTTCTACGTCATCCTCGTTGTCACCCTGTCTCTTTCGCTTCTTCTTCGTCTCAGAGCTGTCCGCAGAGTCATCACTGCTGTCGAAGACGATTCTTCCCTTGGAGTCGATCATCAAATGGTTGAGCAGCAGACCCTTGGCTCCACCTTCGTCAAAGTCCGCCGAGGCTTTCTTGAACAGGGGATCTACTGCAAACTCCAATTCAAACTTCTTGAGTTGCAACGAAGCGAAAGAGGGGGCCAACGTGGCCTCAGAAGATCGCTGAGCCTGTTTGAAGGGTCAGTTATGGGTGTTCTTGATACTTCTCGTGGCTGCATTGTGGTCGTAGGCTTACCTTTCGCTTCGTCTTCTTGCGGACATTGCCATCTTCATCCACTTCTTCCTCATCGGTCTCCTCACCTTCACCATCTTCGCCGCCATCCTTCTTCTTCTTGCTGTCTCTGCTATCGGCCAGACCACTGAGAAGCTTTCCGGTCTCGGTAGCAACACTGTCGACTCTGCTCGTGTAAATCTTGACACAGCCGTCCAAAGTGCAGCTGGCCTTTTGGAAGTTGACGCCGTCACCCTCCTTCAGCAACGACATGTCGTGGAAGTAATCAATCAGGGCGAAGTTCCAAGAATTGGCGGCATTGATCTTGTTGTCGGTGGCCATCTTCATCCACTCCTCAAAGTTGGCCAAGATCGGGAGACGCTTCATAGGCGTGACGGCTGTACCCGAGACCACAACATCGTCGTCGTCCGCACCGGCACCGGCACTAGCGCTAGGCCCAGGCATATCCCGTTGCCTTGGGCGCGGTGTCTTCTGTCGTTGGGGAGGCGATGCGGGTGTCTCGTTCTCGAGGTCATTGAGATTGACACTTTGCTTGCGCAGTGGGGTTGCAGCAGCGGCCTTTAGTTTGTTGACATGGGCCTCCTGGAGGGCCTGGCGCGAATGCAGCCGGCGCGCTTTCTCCTCGGCATCGTCGTTGAGGGGAATCCTGTATCGCGGGGTTTTGGTGGTGAGCCTGAGGCCCGGTGGGTGGTTTGTTTACTGTGGGTGGACTTACTTGACGGGGGACTTGAAGGGGGAGTTTTGCATGGAACCAGAGGTGACTCTGCTCCCAGCACGGCTCGTTACGCTGCTCCCGCGTGGGTTCTGAGCGACTCGAGGCATGATCGCGGATTGAGGTTGGCGTGGGGAGGGTGGTTGTCGACGCGATGGATCGATCGATGTCAACCGGTCGGTCGGCCGCAGTCTGAAATCAAACACCACCAGCGGCAAGCGGCGCTACTGCGATTTGTTGTCGGAGAAACGCGTCTGGCGGGACCGCGGGTTGGCTGTGCTTACCTAAGAGCGGGAGGGGAGGGGCAGGCAGAGACAGGCCAGACAGGCCAGACCACGTCTGTGCTGGACTGGCAGACTGGCACCTGGCAGGACTGGACTGGACGGACCACCATGTACCTTCGTGTCTGGCCCGTGCGTACCGTATTAGTAACCCAACTGAAAGCTGTGGTGGACTGGCAGCGACAGGCGGGAGCGACAGGCGGGGAACGGGCTTGTTCGGCTGCAGCTTCCCTGAGCCATGACCTGGAGCGAGCCCGCCTGACCCGCCAAATCCGCCACGCCTTGCCTTGAACGGTGCAACTCGAAACGGGCCCTGCACGGTTGGCACGGTCGGACGGTTGGGGAGTGGGAGCCCTCACTGACACTGATCGTCCTCAGACACCCAGACCTGAGTCTGGATCCATGGAGCGAGTGGCACGATGCCACCACATGCGCAGCTGTGCATGGTCATGGTAGCCTATCTACCCGTACCACGGTGCTGGGTTTCCCAGAGTTGGATGGATGGGGCATCCCCCCCAGACGTCACCGTGACCGTGGCCGTCCTCGTCCCCGTCCACGCCATGCCTGCTTGCTCGATATTTTAGTCTCACGCAGTGCTGCTACTAGCGAGTCCCTGTTTGCCCTTGCTGATGCCAATTCTGATGCTGGTGCTGTGAGAGGTTTGGGCTGCAAGAGCCACACTGGCCCACAAGATAAGAGAAAGCATCCGAGACAGCAAACCTTGGGGGAAAGCATGGCATTTCATGGCGTCGGCAGCCGTTGGCGGTTCGGTTGACTGTTATAGAGTCGAGTAGATTCTGGGTACATCTATAGCACTGCCTGTCCGTCCCGTCCTACCTCGTGCCTACTGTGTGCTGCGTAACAATCCGTTCCGTCCCAGTCGACCTCCTCCACCAACCCCGTCCACCTGCATACGTCAGTCGCGTGTTCTGCATTCGGCCTACCTAACTAAGGTGCATCTGAATACCTGATTCTTAGTTCCGCCGCCACAGCACCCATCAACCACCACTCAAACCCAATCTATTATTCTGCCCTAGATATCGCAACGACTGGGTGGCCTCTTGTGACCTTTCCTGTATTTGTTGCTTTCATTGCACCTAGCATTATTCATTTATTCCTCCATTCGTTTCATTCCTTGTGTTGCCGACGAGCTGTCGTCACTCGACCCAAGTCAGTCAGTCAGTCAGCTTTCGCCTCCAACCTCCGAATGACACGGACGTTCGAAAAAGCCATCACTTTCCACCATCGCCAGAGCTCACGTGCACACCTGTTGATGCTCCAGGCGGCCTGATTTCGGCATTCAGAGCCTGACCCATCATGTCCTCGCCTTCTCAGACATCATCAGCATGGATAAATCCAAGAATGGCCGGCCACGGTACAATCCGAGGCCGTTATGCGCGACCGTCCTCCTCATGACTTTGCTGGCCACGTATTCTCTCTTCCTGAAAGACTGGTCGCCCAAATCGGCCGCGCCAGCCAAACTCTTTGCGAGGGATGAAGAAGTGGTCTGCGATGATGTCTACCAGGCCCAGGATCAGTGCGCATTCGTGCGCGCACATTGCCTCGAAGATGAGCCCGGCTTGGTCTCCTATCTCACCTTTTACTTCTGCACTCTTGCCAAGGTTAAACCTATAGCCTTTATGCTTCTAGCACTCTGGCTCGGCCTGCTCTTCTCCACCATCGGGATCGCCGCGAGCGACTTCTTCAGTGTCAACCTCAGCACCATCGCAAGCGTTCTTGGCCTGCCAGAAAGTCTGGCTGGCGTCACCTTTTTGGCTTTTGGGAATGGCTCGCCCGACGTCTTCAGCACCTTTGCCGCCATGAACTCTAACAGCGGTAGCATGGCCATAGGCGAGTTGATCGGGGCAGCTGGCTTTATCACCGCTGTTGTTGCTGGCTCGATGGCTCTAGTCCGCGAGTTCAAGGTCAGCAGGAAGACCTTCGTGCGCGACATTGTCTTCTTCATCCTTGCTGTGAGCTTCACAATGCTATTCCTCACGGATGGTAAGATACATCTCTGGGAGTGTGCATTCATGATCGGCTTCTACGTCTTCTACGTCTGCTTTGTGGTCGGGTGGCATTGGTTCTCCTCGAGAAGGCAGAAGAGGCGCACTAAGGAAGCGGCTTCACACAACCACTACTCAGGTGCTTCCATTCAGGCTGGGGATGAGATTGAGCCTTATCATGATGATTCTGGTGATGACGAAGATGACGATAGGGTGGGTTCACGCAGAGCGTCCAGTCACTTGCCAGACATCAGCGCTTTGGAAAATGGCCCCCGGATCAATGCCGACGGGTCATCGCAGGACGACGAAGATGATGATGATCAAAAGCGACATATTGCGTCCGAGATGACGAGCAGCATGCGTGTTAACCGTCCTCGTGGCAGAAGAAGCCACACTACTATCACTCCTATCCGGCCGAGCTTGGTAGGAGCACTCGAGTTCAGGTCGATATTATCCTCCTTGCAAAGGTCTCGGAATATGCGTATGGCTCCATTGACTCGAGGCTACTCCGACTACAATTCTGCAGGCCTTCTGGCTCGCAGGAGCACGGATTTGCTACAGTTTGAGGCAGACAACGACGACACAACAGCACAAACACAACCTTCGCTGACTAGGGACAGGGCGTTGTCGTCTGGAGATGTGCCCCGTAACTTTCAGAATGAGGATATAATTAGTCCTCCGATGCTCAAGGCCGACCCGGCAACGGAAGAGACGTCCGGCCATTTTGGAGATGCGGCACAGGGGCGCGCATGTAAAAGCCCTTCGGTCTCAACTTCGCACATGCTCAGGCCAGTGGACCAACGTGCGGCTGGCGAGGGGGGGAGGGAAAGAACACCCAGCCCTGCGGTCCCAACCACGATAGGTGGTCGTCTTGCACCGCCCGACATTCGCCCGCGGCTGGCCGCACAGCCTCCAGAGCTGGTCCCAGAGCACCCGGAGCCCACGAGGCCCAAAGCTTCCACCCCAGCCCTTTCTCTGCAGATACCAAGCCCGAAGTTAGGGCCAAGTCAAACCTCATCGCCGGCTTTGTCGCCTTTTCCTGGTTACCACGACTCGCCCGTTCATGATGGGCGACGGTCTCCACAACGGGGACGGTCACACTCGGTATTGGCTCCACATTCGGTTCTGGAGGACCATATTCCGGGCCTTGACCTTCCTGAATCTCCAAAGCCTGTAAGGTGGTGGCCCTACAGCATGCTGCCACCTCCACATGTTCTGTGGCGAATCATGTTGCCGACTATGCAAGGTTGGCGGGAGAAAAGCATATGGGACAAACTATTCAGCGTCTTTTCAGCGCCAACCGTGTTCTTCTTGGTTGCTACACTGCCAGTCGTCGAGACTGAGGATCATTGCGATGATGCAACGTCGGAAGATGGCCTCCAGTCGTCTCAGATTCCTAACGGTCTGGGTATCAACCCCCCTGCTATTGCAGTAGAAAATCAGACCGCGGTTCGGCCAGAGACGGAATGGCAAGAATACAGAAGGCGCTCGCGGTCTACAAGGTCTCGATCATCGAGTGCTTCGCGATACGCCTTGAGCGTTGGTGTTACGCCCGAGCTGGAAAATCATCAGGAATTCCCAGGCTTTCTGCCTCCTCCAAATCCGCAAATTGGGCAGCCAATGTCGGTGTCAGGAGTTGGTTCAGAGCCCACGACACTGGATGACGAGTCTGGCTCTTGGAACAGATGGCTCGTCGCGCTTCAGCTTTTCACAGGTCCCCTATTCACCATGTTCATAGTATGGGCCAAGTACATGGATCAACCAGTCAAGACTCTGGTGAAGATGATCCTGTATTCGCTTCTGACCTCTCTCATCCTCCTCGCCGTGCTGCTTCTTTCTACGTCACCGACCACGAAACCGCGATACCACTTCCTCTTCTGCTTTCTCGGCTTCATCATCGCTATTGCATGGATCTCGACGATAGCCGAGGAAGTCGTCGGAGTCCTAAAAGCGGTTGGCGTCATCCTCGGCATGTCCGAAGCAATCCTCGGCTTGACAATTTTCGCCGTGGGTAACTCGGTCGGCGACCTAGTCGCCGATATCACGGTCGCGCGTTTGGGTTATCCTGTCATGGCTTTGTAAGTTGCTTTCCTGGCTTCTGCTGCACCACACTTGTCCAAGTCCTTTGCTAACAGATCCTAGATCGGCTTGTTTCGGCGGACCAATGCTGAACATCCTCCTTGGCATTGGACTTGGAGGAACGTACATGAGTATCAAGGGCGCGAACCACCATCACAAGAAGCATCCAGACGAGCCTCTTCATTACAAAGCCTACCACATCCAAGTCACAGGCACCTTGTTCATATCCGCCATCACGGTCCTAGTGACGCTCATCACACTCCTCGTCCTGGTCCCCACCAACAAGTGGATGATGACAAGGAAGATCGGGCTGACCTTGATAACGCTGTGGACTGTGAGCACCATTGTCAACGTTATTGTTGAAGTGACGGGGGTATGGTCCGCTGTAGCTTGAATAGTATAAGGCGAGCGCGAGTAGGAATAGCTAGAAGCACTGTATTCATTTCGTTTGTGTTGCACATCGAGGAGTTGGATGGTGCTTTGGAATATACTATAGATTGTGTTTGCCTTCTTATGTGCATCAAAGAAGCACAAGCGCATGGATTCATAGCAAAATACAAGCCTTTCTCATTTAGAATATCAATAATTGTACGGGTGGCCGCTGTCTAACAAAACACCCGGGATAAGTCTGCTACTTTTCTCCACCACCGAATCGCTCTTCTGTTGTGGTCCAGGGCACGGGGCGTGTGGTAAAGGCAATCATTGGCTCTGCGCCACGCGCGTTTTAGAGTGGAGCTACATCATCAAGTAGGCCAATTCCTACTTAAGGATGAATATCCCAAAATCGTTTGCGCAACCAGAGCAGTCTTATATAATTAGGACGTAACAAGTCTCTCTCTATACGTCTCTGTACTTGAGTATATATATGAAGCTCTCTATATAAGTCTATGTATATAAGTCATCCCACGTAAGTATATGTGTGTAGGTCTAATATACATAGTTCACAGGGCACCACTGGTAGTGAAATGCCTCTTCGTGGAATTCGGTACTGCTCCTTGTCCGTGCCAGCTTTTCAGCCTAAAATGCAAGCATACCATCTGCACAAAAGATCTCTCAAACCACTCTTATCATTTGATTGCCCTTTACAGTTCTAGCCCGAAATTAAATTAAATTAACTCTGCAACAGATATATGATGTCCTTGATGCTAATTTTGAGCCTCATTTCGTATCACATGTTAGTCATTGCAACTGAGTAACTCGCGTATTTCAGATTGTGGTAGTGAATAGGGGGGGCCAGTCACGTGGAGCGTACTACATCTTTAAATAGGGTGCCCTGGGGCCCTTCTGCCCTCAGAACCACAACCAAGCCCACTTCGGTAGCTATTGTGGCATGGAAGACTTGGTCTGGCAAATGTGTGATTGTTTGTATCCGAAGTGGGCTTGGTTGTGGTTCTGAGGGCAGAAGGGCCCCAGGGCACCCTATTTAAAGACGTAGTATGCTCCACGTGACTGACCCCCCCTATTCACTACCACACAGATCTTACCAACCTGTGTAAAGACATCCCTCACAACGCTCAGACACGGCACTTCCGACATCCGCAATTTGAGTTAGGTAAAGTGTATGTGCATGTATGTTCAGTCTGTAGAAAAATAAGGTTCCTAACTATATACAAGAAGGAAAGCTTGGCCAGATGCAGCAAAAGACATCAAGTCTATCCACCTTCCTCTAAAAAGAAGTCTCGCCCCACGTTGTATGTGTATGTATCCCGTCCCTGACCAATTTCCTCTCTATGAAGCTGAGTCTATCGTCTTGCCTTAACCAGTGACCGGAGCTCTCAAAATCCTTGCCTGGGGACCCGCTCTAAGCAGTGAAGGTGGAGTTCAGCGAGCCGAACTTGATGTTGCTGTACACGACGCTGGCGTCGGGGTGGGCAGACTCCACGGTCTCGGGCAGACCGGCCGCCGGGTCGCAGGTGCCGCGGGCAACACCCAGGCCGGTCTTGTCAGGGGGGTAGCTGCTGTCGAGCCCTGGTATACGTTAATACCTGCTTTGTATGGGCAATCGTAGCAGGAGAAGGGTTATACTTACAGTTCATGGAAACCGCATGATCGTCCCACTGCGTTTATATTAGTCAGATTTGAAGAGAATTATTTAAGAAAGATTTGACCGTGGGGTACGGCCCGAGCTATAGCCCAAGAAGGGAGCTGAAGCCCAGGGGTGGGAAGGCAGATAAATGGATGGATATGGCAGGCATGGGATGCTTGCAAAATGACAACATTCTCAGGGGGCTACTTACGATGGACAGGACCAGAACCATGCTCTTCAGAGCCTCGCCCATCTTGGCGAGACCTCCCTTGGTCTTGAAGTAGTTGTTGTCACCGAAGGCGGTCTTCTGCTGCTCGCAGAAGCCATCGGTGATGGAGTTGGCGGCGTCGACGCCGGCAATGCTGGACATAGAGTTGGGGATGGTCTTGCCGTCCTGGACGTAGAAGCGCTTGATGTCGGAGAGGGTTCCGGCGTCGGTGCCGTCGTCGGTGATGAACTGGGTCACGACGGTGATGGGCTTGGAGGTGTCGACGGTCAGACCGGTGCCGTAGAAGGTCGTGTCGCCCATGCGGTACGAGTTGAAGTCGCAGCCGTCCTTGTCACACACACCGGAGTAGCGGCTGTCGCCCGCGCCGCAGTCCGCCTCGCTCTCGCAGCGAGTCTGCCCGTCCACGGAGCACGGGTGGGGAGTGTATGCGGTTGAGACAAGGTTAGCCTCCCAGATGTCCATTTCTGTAGCATTTTAAGTTAGCAATCAAAGTAATGACAGAATTTAACTTGAAAACAGGTCGAAGGCCACCATATGCACATAGTCTGTCTCAAAACTGCGGCCTAAAAAAGGGGCAGTGAAACAGACCACGGACACAGCAGATATCTGTCCCTGGCGAAGGTAAAAGTAGTAACGAACCTGAGCAGCATGAGCCGTACTGTCCTGTTCCCGAGTTCTCATCAGTTCCATTCCATCCTACGCTGTTGGCTTCGCCGTTGATGAACTTGACGTCCTGGGGGCATTGCGCGTCGCAGTAGCCGGTTCCATAGGCGGCGCCAGCCTTGTTGGTCGAGTACTTGGACAGGCCACCATCGGCATCCATCTGTGCGAAGTAGACAGCTCCGTTGAGTCCGCAAGGCAGGTTGGACACGTCAACATCGAAGGTGAACTCCTTGTTGAGCAAGTTGAACATCTTGTACGCGCTGTCGGACTCGAGAAGATACAGACGGGAGCCGACGTTCTTTCCGTTGGTGTTCTCCTTGACGAATGACAACTTCAAGGCGCCGCTCTCGGGCGTGGTGATTCCGTAGGTCGCCTCATAGTCTGCACCATCGATGGCACAGTTTTGGGCGCACGTCTTTCCGTCAGGGCACAGAGTTGCGTCCCACTTGTTACCGGTGTAGCAGTTGGTGTAGCCGGTAGTTGTGTGAGCCCATCGCCAGTTGGCATCAAGCACAGCCTTGGTCGACTCCGTGGTGCAACCGGAGTCAGAGCAAGTGGAGATGGGCAGAGCTGGGTGAACCTCAGGAGTGTTGGTGCCAACTGTTGATCATTAGCATTGGATCTCCTGGACTCAAGACAAGACGGGAAACTTACTCTGCTGTCCGAGGACGGCCGAGGCCAAGGAGAGAGCCGCAGCTGATCGATACATCGTGATGTATCGACAGTGAACCAACACTTATAGAAGAGAAGAAACAAGGCGGCAAAAGACTCTCACAGAGAATGGAATGTGGTATGAGACCAAGTGAAGGCTATTGAGGATGGCGATACTATTCTGTTGACATCTGAAGTCGTGCTCTAGTTCTTATATACCTGGGAACAGTTGGTGAGCACATCCCCGTTGGCCCCTTTTTCATCCTTCTTCGACCGGCTCATGGCCCTTCTATTCCGAAGGATAATCTTCCAGCCAGGCCCGCCAGCTGTCGATCCCCACAGACAGCGGAAGCTACCATGTAGAGAAGGTCGTTGAAGATGTGGAGCAAGCGCGAAGCCACAGCCGCTCCCCGGCGGGTGATCCATGGCTGCCCGTCGCCCGTACTCGCCCACGATGACGCCGAAGACCCGTTATCAGCACTGCTCCCACTCCTCCGGGAGGGTTCAGGGCCAGGTAGGCGGCTAGGGGGTCACATCCCATGAGGGCCAGCCTGGCGCAGATTGCAGTGGTGCACTGGTGCGAGATGCATATAGAGTTGGAATGAGACTCTGCTTCGGCTAACCTGGATGGAGGAGCTGGGAGCGTTGCGATTGGAAGGAGGCCCTCTCGAAGGCACATGCATTGTCGATCGAGTGGGCAGAGGCCGGGACACCAAGGCGAGATAAATTAAGCGGCTCGGAGGCATAGTGACCGAGAAGTCATCTGCCATATAAATCCAGCCCAAATAGGTCGAGGCCCCATTACCGCGTTGTGCCCACTTGAAACGTAAGTAGCCATCCGCCAAGGCTAGGCTAAAGAGGAAACAATTGCATCCCGTTGGCTCTGCATGGATGGGCTTGCAGTCCCGCAGCTTGCAGGCATATACACACACCGTGGCAGTTATAATCTGGGGTCTGCCGACGCTATGCAACGCGCCACAATGTCTCTGAGACAAGCCCTGCCGTGATGAGCTTGTCGCTATCAAGGCCAGTGCCGAGATGGATGCCCAGCTGCCGCCCAGCTGTCGCCTCCATCTGTTACCAAATTTTACAACGAGAGCAGGTTCTGGGCCTCATGGTGATCTGCTGCTAAGCACTTGCCCAGCAGCGTGACAGAGATCCGAGAAGGAGATGACTCGAGACCAGTCGACTACCAAGATTGAAGGCTTCAGGGTAGAACCAACGACTGTGTCCGCCAAGGACGCAGCATGCCATGATAATATATTAAACGGCTGCACTCCTGTGCGGTCCGAAGATAAGCCGGAGTTTGGTGACTGGTTTGCCCAGCGGCTACCTACATCCCTTACACGCACAGGGACATGTTGTCTGTAGCACGACGGGCTGACTGGGTAATGAAGGGGACACAAGGGGCCCGGGACGCCGGGCATGTGAACCGGAGGGCAGTGGGATGCGAAGCTTAGAGAGAGAGAGAGAGGTGTCTGCACGTGTCGTCGGTCAAATGCCAGTGCTAGACTATGTCGTGGCGTTGAGCAAAGCTGGGGGAAATGATCCGCTCCGGGAAAATTACTTTGAGGAAAAACGGCGTTCCTGGCCTAAGCAGAGGACAGCCAATTCGGATGCCCACACTTCGCGCCGAGTCTGTTCTCCACCTACCCCTGAACCCTGACCAGGAGAACCCCTAGGATCATCGATCCATTCTTGAGCAGCATCACGGGTCAACAGCCTTTTGGAGATCGACATTCAGCCGTCTTGGAAAACAAACATCAAGGCTGCATAGGGTGGTGGCTCAAGGTTGCCCGCGTCGTCAGCTCCCTGTTCCTGATTAGTACAGATATCTGACCCCGGAACATCTCGCCCAAGAAACCGCCCCTTCCCCCCTCTTCTTGCCTTGCATCATGAGCCTTCGCTCCTCATGGACGGTCCGCCACGCCGCGGGCGAGCCCCTCGCCGTTGTGCGCGTGCGCAACCTGCAGAGCACCGTCGTGGGGCCGCAGGACGCTTGGGGCCGCGAGAAGCTGCTGCAGCCGCTGCTGGTGTCGGCTGAGCTGCACTTCTCGCGAGCCTTCGGCGCCGCCGCCGCCGCCGACAACGTGACCAGCGGCGACACGGTGCACTACGGCTCGCTGAGCAAGCTGATCCTGGCCTGCGTCGACAAGTCAAACCAGCACGCCGAGTTCCAGGACGCCAACATCGACCTCCGCGTGCTGCTCGAGATGATCTGGATCGTCCTCACCGGCCGCAACGTCGACGGCGCCGACGCCGAGCCCGAGGCCGCCCCGCTGCTGGACCGCTCCCGCCTCAGGTACATCTCCCTGACCGTGTGCCTGCCCAAGGCCTCGCTCCTGGGCGAGGGCGTGAGCCTGACCGCCTCCAACGTCTATGCGCCCTTCACCGTTGGGCCCGCGGCGCTGTCCATGTATGGGCTCTGCCTGAAGCTCCACAGGCTGCGGGTGCCCGTCTTGATAGGGGTTAACGCCAACGAGAGGCAGGCGAAGCAGTTTGTCGTTGTCGACGTGGAGGTTGACAAGCTTGATTACTACCCTGACATCTATTGCGAGCTGGAGAAGATTGTCGTCCAGGTACGGTGCACCTCTATCTGTCTAATCTGTATTTCCGTCTTCTATTGAGTGTCTTGTGTTGACAGTCTTATCAGGCCCTGGAAAAGTCCTCCTTTGAGACGCTTGAGGCCCTTGGTGCGCATCTGACCAACACCGTTACGAAAGACTTCAAGCCCAACCCTGACGAGCTCTTTACCGGTGACGAGGGCTGGCAAGTGAAGGTCAGCATGGAGAAGCCCACCGCTGTTCCATTTGCCGACTGCCCGGTCGTTGAGGTTCGAGCTTCTGCAGCGGTCACCAACGGCAACCGGTCACACCGCTAAGCCGTGAAGAAGTACCGGAACCTTTTTGGGGCCAGCCCATGATCCCAGGCAGGAGAAACGTGCAGACCTCGATGGGTCATTCATGTTAACCTCGCCAAATTGCCGGCGGGGTTGAATTTCTGGCAGCGAGGGACGTCACCGTTTGTCACATGCCGCACAAAGTCCGGATCGGGGTCGAACAACATGACGTGAATATGCTCCACGGAGTGAACCGACTTGAGACTCGGTGGATTTTTGAACCATATGCGCTGTGGCTCCACGTCAGCTTAAACGCTTCCTCTGCATGGGCGGAGCGTCACTGACCTTGTCTTGTGACACGCGGGGCGAAAAGGTCCTGTCCACAAACGCCTCGATCTCAGCCTCCGTTTCGCGGTCGTCTGGCAGGTCGAACTTCGTCCAAACAACTAGATGCACGATGCGTTTGTCCAGGCCATATGGCCAGTCGTTCATCAAGATCTTGAAATCCTCGTGGCACTCGAATGGCCTGCTTCCCCGGGGCACGACGGGCTCGTGCCAGCACAGCCTCTCTTTCAGCATGAAGTTCATGACGCTCCCATAGGCACGCTTGAGCTCCCAAATATACTCTCGGTACCTTCGCAGATCAGATGGCCACCGTCGGAAATCGGCAAGCCTGTCTGTGCGGATGAAGCCCACGACCTCCTGCCACGTCTGCACGCGATATTCCTCGTTAGGCGTGCCGATGATGCCGACGTCTTTGTTGCTGACATCGCGCAGAAACTCTGGGCATTTTTCCTCGCGGTCTTCTGGTGGGATGTTGACTTGCCAGTAAGGCAAAGGATCGGGGTATGAATAGCTACCCATTGTGGAATGTGTAATGTCTCTGCAGTAGCAGCTCTGACAGGCCACTTCTGCAGTTGGGAATAGTAATGAAAGAAAATCAATTATAGAACTTAGAGAGATGACGCACGTAATCAAACGGCTCATCTGTAATACTTATTGTTTAATTCGCATCGACATGCCTCGAGTCGGTGAATGAATGGGTCGATTGACCAAGTGAATGGTGTTAAGCCAGGAATGTTCACTCGAAGGATGTGGCGGGCTGCTTGTGGGATCCCGCCGCGGAGCAACCTCCTTTCCAAACAAAGCGGTCATGTCAAAAAGAGGCCCCGGCTGCCCAGACGGAAAGAGGCATCCTCACGTTCGGGTGGTTTGTTCTCTTAAGGTTGGAAGTGGAAAAGCCAAAGGGAAATCGAGGGACATCGAGGGGCCCACACATGGAGACTCGGTGTGAAAGGACAACACAATCGACTAGATTACGGCATGAACAGCAATGCGTTTTCATCATTGGCCTGCCGATCATTCACGGACCCGGTGCCTGGGGAGACCCAGCCGGCTGGAGCGGGAGCCGGCTGCCCGTCTTCGGCTGAAGGTGAAGCTTCGCAAATCGCAGAGTATCGCAGCGCACGCAGCATTTGCTGGTGTTGAGCGCAATTGCACCCACCCCCTACTTGAGCTTGCAGTGATCTGTACCTAGGTACCTGTGTGGGAATAAGTCTAGGTGGTGGTCGGTACCACGCAGCAGTAGTGCCCAAGCATTTTAGTTAAGTGGGCTTACGGAAAGTCTCGGCATCTGGACTCTGTCTTGGCAGCACAATACCTAGTAGCCCAACGTGCATTTGCTACTCGCAGCCTCTTGTTCATTAATTCCATCTCTTCTATCTCATCTCATCTCACCTTATCTCACCTTATCTTGCCTCATCTCACTCTTCTCAGCACATCTCTTCTTGAGCTGTCAAGCTACCTGGCTGATTCTTACCTGAGCTCCCACGGTGGCGTTCATCGCAGCGGATGGGGCCTCTTCCACACTCTCAGGTGGCGCCTTCACAGCCCACAGGGCGGCCGAAGCTTGACATTCAGCATTCAGCATCTCATGTCAGAAGACGACATCCATCGTAGTGATCGCAATAGGAGTAGTGGTAGTGGTAATGATATCGTCGAAGGCAAGAACCCCTCTCTCCTGGGCAGCTTGGGAGGGTCAATCTCAGACATACGAGAACGGATGGGGCCCGTCGGGGACGGGGGCCCAGTTCATGGAGACCTTCTAGAAGCTATTGACGTTGGCAAGCATCTCGGATGATACGTCGCCTCTCCGGGCTCAGGGACTAAGGAGGGTCCACCACGTCCGGGACTTGGACGTCGTCGTCGGCCGCCCCTGCGCAGTAGTGGTGGTCTAACAGTAGCGAGCATGGCTCCCCACGTGGGGCGTTTTAGGGGCATGAGTTGATCACTGCCACGACCACATACATATATGCAACATGCACAGTGGGTACCGACCATGGGCCGCCTGCGGCCGCCTCCGCGAGAACACGGGGGCCTGACATGCTGGCTGGCTGTGCATGAGAAGCTGTGGCGGGGCAACAAAACAGAGGGCTCGAACAACGATCCGAGCTTGGGCACACCGATGTTGTTGGATCTGCCATGTCTGCAAAGCCCGTGAACAACAAGCCACATTGCCAGGTGAGAGCCGAGCGTCGGATCCGCCAGCCTGGTTGGAGCTTCCGAGGGGTCCAGCACAAAGGGGCGCCTAACCCGACTGAGCACCATCAGCCCCAGTTGAACCGTCCCAAATTTAACGACGCCGGATTTCTTGTGGCGTGGCTGTTACTGGGACAGCCAGGGACAGGCTGCCTATTGCCAATATGTATTCATTTCCAGGAAGCTTGACAGCATCGCTGTGACAACAGCGGGCTGAACTTTTGTGATTATTACGAGGCCCGTTGCCTGTCGACAGCTCGAGTTGAATGAGTCGCTAAATTTCCCCTGTCCCACCCGCCCACCAGCCCACCGGCCGGGCGCCCTGTCGGGTATCGTGGCCCCTCGACAGGTTCCAAGGTTGTTTTTAGCTCCCGCTGGACGACATGGGGGGTCCCAATCGGGCGACTGTTGAAGCTGCAGGTGTTGATCAGCGAGGCGTTAGTGATGGATGTATCTGCCTTCCTCTTGGGTGCAATCCTGGATGCGAATTGCTCTCGAAGCAAGCTGGGAAGAGGCAAGACTTGTCCGACCTCGTCTTATGTCATTTAGGATTTTGGGATCTGCCCTGTCATAAAAAACCAAATCTGATGATGGGTCAACTCCGCAGAGGATCGATAAGGTCGCTTGCCCACAGAATTGATAGCTTGCGAGCCGTGTCCCGTAAGATTCTCGCGCGTCCCAACCTACTTGACTTAGAGCTGTTCGCGCGGCCGGCCGCCCCATCGGTGAGCCCGTCTTGGAGGGAGAAAAAAATGAGCGAAAATTGGCAAATAGCTCTAGCAGTGTGTGTGCCTGGCAGGTCTGGTTGCAGCCAAGTGCCAATGTTGGGAAGATTTAATGACAGCAACGCTAAAAGCTTCGCCATTTTCGCCCCTCAACGATCTTCAATGTCACCTCGTGGGCTCGTGGGGGAATGCCGATAAGAGTTGAATGGAACAGCGGCCTGGAAGAGATCTTCGTACCTTTGCACAGGGAAATCGGACACGAGAGGATGAGAAATCTCGCGAACCATGCAGAGCAAGGCCCAGGGGCGGTTATTTTGGTCAATGATCGGCCTGCTGGATGGGAATTTGACAGGCATCCCCTCCATTGAGCTCTCCCAAAGCTTGTTTACCAGCAGCGAAAAAGGAGTCTTGGGGCGGGAGGACGAGAACAGCCTCCCACCCACCACCATGTAGTGTGGTCTACTTCCTCGAGGTACCTCCCGCGCTAACAACATTTGACCGCTCCCACCCAGCACCAGCACCAGCAGCAACACGGCAACAGCGTGGCTTGCCCAGCTTGCCCATATGATTGATTCTCATTGAAAGCTGCCTCCTTTCTTTTCCCACCCCCTGGACCAAAAGCACCAGAGGACCCACTGGAATTTCATCTTTAAAGTTGTCCTTGTCCACGTCGTCCACGTCTGCTCAGTTGTTGTTGTCCTCTTCCTTTCCTCCTTGTCCCTGGCCTGCAAGTTGTCTTTAGAATCGTCAGTTTCGCAGTCGAGATACCCAGACTCCGAGTGTAGACATGTAAGTACAGCAACCACCATCCCGTCACTGCCCAGATGCTTCTTTGTCCACCTCTTCCTGTTCCTGCTGCCATACGGCACATGCTCCATGCTCCATGCTCGAGCTGGCATTGGCCTGTGTCCAACTTCACAAAGGCAGTTCTGCTGCTCAGAGAAGTCGTGACTTCATCCTGTTCAGGTCATCCTGTTCAGGTGTAAGGCGTGGTGGACACCCCATGTTGTGACAAGCACCATTCCTGTAGCCACAGCGACAATCCAAGCTCAAGATTGTCCGTGGGCTGCCTACAGGTCTGGGCGGCAACATGGTGGCAGCAATAGCAGCTTTGAGTAGTAGCAATTTCGCAAATGGGCAATCTCCAATTACGTCAACCCACGCTAATCATTTCTCCTCCTGCCACAGAGACTTCGAGGGAGATCTTGGAGCTTCCCCGCCATTAACTTTCGATATCAACACGACACTCCCTCCGTAAACAAGAGCCTCGACATCTCCATTTCCCCCTGGTGATTTCGAGACACATTCGTTCTCTCTACCTCATCAGAACCACAACCCTGCAGTATTTCCCAGCAGAAATCAGTCAAGATGGCCTCGGCAATCAAGAGTGCTCTGCCCTCCCACCTGAAGCCTGGCAATGCCTCTGGCAACGGCGACGAGTCTGAGTTCTCCGGCAAGCACCATGGCAAGACCCGATCGCACATGGTTAGTACCCCTCGAGATGAATCTGAAGATGCAATCTCTCCATAATTCACATCTCACATCAAATACCACAACCCAACGCCCATTGTGAAGCGGCTCTCACCCACTAAGCACGGCGCATTGGGGGGTCAGTCTGGCAACTGGGCTTGGAACGTGTCCCACCGCCTTTTTCAGCCCTTTTCTCATTTTTGCCCTCAGCCAAAAGGCGCTGCACCTTTTTCAACCAAGCTAGCCGCTTTTTCAGAAATGAGGCAATGGCCAGGTTCTCTTACGGGGCCTACAGTCCATCTTCAGTTCTGTTATTGCTGGCTTGAACGATTTTACACCGTTTCGAAGGGGTTGCCTCCCTAGCAAGCCCCTTTTGACTGCACTGGGCTCTTCTGCGCCCAATTGAACACGAATTACGGACTGAGCTGACTTGTTTGTAATGCAGGCTTTCGAGAACACCTCCACCAACATTGCTGCTGCCCAGATGCGCAATGCGCTGACCTCGCTCAGCGAGACCGTGAAGGACCCAAATGAGAAGAAGGTGAGCAGGCGCAATAGCCTAGAAAGAAAGGCCAACTATACTAACACGATTTGCAGCTGTTCGAGACCGAGATGGACAACTTCTTCTCCTTGTTCCGACGATACCTCAACGACAAGGCCAAGGGCAACTCGGTCGACTGGGACCGCATTGCCCCCCCTGCCGAGGGTCAGGTTGTCGACTACGACGCCCTGGCCAACACGGACTCTGTTGATTTCCTGAACAAGCTTGCTGTCCTGAAGCTTAATGGTGGTCTGGGTACCTCCATGGGCTGCGTTGGCCCCAAGTCCGTCATTGAGGTCCGTGATGGCATGTCCTTCCTGGACCTTTCCGTTCGTCAGGTCGAGTACCTCAACCGAACATACGGCACCAACGTGCCCTTCATCCTGATGAACTCGTTCAACACCAACGATGATACCGCAGCTATCATCAAGAAGTACGAGGGCCACAACGTCGACATCCTCACTTTCAACCAGTCCCGATACCCCAGAATCCACAAGGACTCCCTTCTCCCCGTGCCCAAGGACTTCGACTCCCCTATTAGCGAGTGGTACCCTCCCGGACACGGTGACGTCTTCGAGTCCCTGTACAACTCTGGAATCCTCGACAAGCTTATTGAGCGTGGAATCGAGGTCATCTTCCTGTCCAACGTCGACAACCTGGGCGCTGTCGTCGACCTGCGCATCCTGCAGCACATGTTCGAGAGCAAGTCCGAGTACATCATGGAGCTGACCAACAAGACCAAGGCCGATGTCAAGGGTGGTACCATCATCGACTACGAGGGCTCCGTGCGCCTGCTCGAGATTGCCCAGGTCCCCAAGGAGCATGTCAACGAGTTCAAGTCCATCAAGAAGTTTAAGTACTTCAACACCAACAACATCTGGATGAACATCAACGCCATCAAGCGTGTTGTCGAGAACAACGAGCTCGAGATGGAGATCATCCCCAACGGCAAGTCTATCCCTGGCGACAAGAAGGGCGAGAGCGATATCAGCATCGTCCAACTCGAGACCGCCGTCGGTGCCGCCATTCGTCACTTCAGCAACGCGCACGGTGTCAACGTGCCCCGTCGGCGTTTCCTGCCCGTCAAGACCTGCTCTGACCTGATGCTGGTCAAGTCTGACTTGTACGCCGTTAAGCACGGCCAACTGCAAATGAGCGCCAACCGCTTCGGTGACGCGCCTCTGATCAAGCTGGGATCCGACTTCAAGAAGGTCTCGGACTTCCAGAAGCACATCCCCTCCATCCCCAGGATCATCGAGCTTGACCACCTGACTATCACCGGTGCCGTCAACCTCGGCCGTGGCGTGACGCTCAAGGGCACCGTTATCATCGTTGCCACCGAGGGCAGCACCATCGACATTCCTCCAGGATCCATTCTGGAGAACGTGGTCGTCCAGGGTAGCTTGCGTCTGCTCGAGCATTAAGCTGTTTTGTTATTTCAGGGTGCCTGTCCTGTCGTTTGCATCCTTATATGCTTGCTGCATTGGGCCTTCCTTCCAGCTGGACGTTTCCGCGGACGGAAGAAAAGGGATTCACTGTCTGTGTTGGACACTGGAGTTTTCTGTTGCCCAGCATTATCATTAAATAGTACAAAAGAGCTCCTAATTCAAGAAAGTTAAATAGCTTTGTTTCCCTTGGCAATTGAATTGGTGCACGCGTGACATGAAATCAGGCCGAGTGACCTGGCACCTATGTTCACATTCACAATTGAGTACGTACACAGCATTCACACGAAAGTGAAGCAACCGTTTTCGGCGAAGCTTATTCTATGTTTGAGAACGTATGGGTATCTTGGTTGGGCATTTTGACTGCCGCACATTGGTCATTTCAACCGGGAAAAGTCCCTCTTAGCGGAAGAGGAACAGCATATTGTACCATGGCGTAAACCCGCCCCAGAGGCCGAGTCGAGTTTGAGTGACGTGACCTGCTTTGCTTCACTTTCCCTTCTTCTTCATCGCCTCCGAACACACAGGGCAGAACCATGTGCCGCCCTGTTGTGGCTCGCTCTTGAGCCCCACGCAGGACCAGTGGAACCACTCGTAGGGGCAGTCGTCGTTGTCGCAGGCGATCATGTCCCCAAAGCTGACCTTCTGGCAGAGACAATACTTCCTATCGTCGCTGCCCTCGTCATCGTCCATGTAGATATCTTCGTCTTCGCGTTTCGTCCGCGGTGCGTGACCCATGCCTTCGCCTCGGGTCCCTGTACCAGCATCGTTCCGCGCTGGTGTCCCGCGCCCCCCTGTCCGCGCGTCGGACTCGTCCCCGCTGGCCGCGCTGTCGGCGTCGGAGAGCTCGCTGTCTGCCGTCGAGGAGGGCGAATTCTTGGCTGTTTTCCTCACGCGCTGCAGGCCAGATTTGGGACCACCTGCCGGTGTGCCCTTCTTGCTGCTGCGGCCTATTCCCCCTGATGGCGTGCCCTTGCGGCCCGGAATGACGCCTCCCTTGAGCATGGTTCGCGGTCCGGCGCTGCCTGCCCTTTGTACGCCTGTGGCTGTATGTCCCTTTGGAGTGCCTGGTCCGAGTGACGAGTGCCGCGCCAGACCGCTTGACGGATTCGGAAGGCCACCCAGGCCACTGTTAATGCGAGGCCCCCTCTGAAGGGGTCCGCCGTTTGGGCCGGCTGAGCCTTCGCGTGCGCCGCGCTTCATGATCATGGTTGCTGCTGGGGAGGTGGGTGCGGACGAGGATACATGTTGCGAAGTCTGAACAGTTCGAACTGAGGAGTTGGTATTCTTAGGCGCAGTGGAAGTGACCGGGTTGGCGAGAGGGCTGAGGGCAGCGGTGACGGGATTCGTCGATGAAGTGGTGATGGAACGCGCAGATGGGGCCGAGTTGTTGGCGGCGGATGGTCGGAGGACGGAAGGGAGGGTATCGGGATCTGTGAACCCGGGCTCATTGCGGTCGTAGAGTGTTTTGATTTGCGAGTCGAGCCATTTGAGATGCCTATCCATTGTTATTTGGAGTCGTTGTGTCATTTTGATCTTCTCGCTCTGCAGCTCCTCTGCCTTCTTGTAGTTCTCGCGGATGGCAGGCCGGTAATCCTTCTCCTCCTTGGGGTTAGGCTCAGCGCTGCCATTGGCCTTGATCCATTTCTGGATCTTTGAGTCCTTGTCGTCAATGATGCGGAGGCACTTGGCTATCTCGAGATCCTTGGCGGCAATCTCATCCTGGATGAACTTGATCTCCTCGGGCAAGTTGGACACGCGGTTTGCCCATTCGTCGAGGATGAGGGCGGGGTCGAGGGCTTCGTTTGCAGGCATATTGCCCTTGACGAAGTCAATGGAGAGGTCGTCTCTAGGCATGATGTCAACCGATGTCGTGTTTGTAGTCACTGATGGCTGTCCTATATCTGTAGGTGCAGTATGTTCATGACATGGCGCCGCGATGGGGCCTCAAGGCGGAGACGCGACAAAAGGGCAGGACGCGCGAGGGCGGGGGCGGGGGGCAGACAGAAATGTGAGAGAGAGATGATGATGACTCGAACGACAGCAGGCCAGGTGAAGTAGGAAGTAGGCTGTGGGAAAGGTGAAGGTGAGGGGGGGAATAAAGTGAGGGATGACAGATGACTAGTCTTGGTAGGGCGACAACATATTAGATGGCTGGAGACTGGGACGGAAGGTCCAGCTCACCTCGGATGGGTTTGACGACCAGGTCGAGAGGAGATGGTAGAAGGAGCGAGGGCGGCCACGATATAACGGAAGAGAAATATAAGCGGTGATGGAGCTGGATCTGGTGGATGGTGAAATTTTTATGGAGAATGGTCGGTCAGTGAGAGATCTGGAAGGCCCCTTGCACGTGCACGTTGCCCAGTCCGAGGATCTACTGTGAGGTGGGAGGCAAGGCAAGTAAGGACTAGGCTGGCTGGCTGGCTGGCTGGCCGACTGGACTGGCGGACGGGGCGGCGCGGCGGGAACGGTACGGTACGGTACGGTGCAGAGCTGTGCAGAGCGGCGATATAGTCGTTGAAAAGGGTGAGGCGAAATCCAGTTTCCAAGGTAGGCACTGCGTCAGGTATGGAGTGGAGTAGAGGACGGTTGATGATGCATGACACGATATGAAGTGGCATGGGATAGCATGGAATGGGTAGGGCGCCTGCCCGCCTGCCCGCCTGCCCGCCGCCTCGTGTCTGCTGTGTCAGCCGAGTCTTGGGAGGTGCAGGCAGGCCAAGGCAGGCCAGGCCAGGGCAGAAAAGACCAGAGCGAGACCAGCAAAGCAAAGCTCTCAACTTCAGCCTTCCGAGACAGTCGGCATGCTAGGCATGGTATCGAGGTATCGAGGTATCGAGGTACTGCTGTTGCTGTCATCACCGCCCCCGACTCACAAGTCGTCGGTACTTGCTGCAGGTGCAGGTCTGTCTAGTGCTAATGCTCGGCCGTTCAGCTAACTCGATAGGGAACCCATGTGTCTGCAAAACCACCCCCCCCCCCAGCCGCCCACGATTCAAGATCCACACCAAGACATCTGCAGGGCCACGCTCATGATCGGCTTCAAACTTGTCCCTTTCCCATATTCCTGTTCTGAAATGTGTCACACACTCACTCGCTTGCTGACTGGCTCTACCATCCAATTTACGCTGCGACTGCTCTCGAGGAACTTGAAGACGACGATAACGAGCTACCGCCACTAAACTAACTCTTGGGCCTTGCGCGATCCCTCCCACCACCGAATATTCTACCTGCTACCTCTACCTCTTCTGTACCTCACACTCACGCTCACCTCACTTGAAGTTGAGGCCCAGGTGATCCTCGACTACGAAACCGACGCCTTTATCTTCTGGGAATCACAGACGCATCGTATTGGCCTCATCACTCTCACTCATCAGTTCCGGCCCGATGGATGGGAATCCATACGTATGGCGTCCTCCGCGGACAAACTACCTGCCGCACAAGCAGACCGACGACCTGGACGAGCGGATAGTACAGGAGTATGTTCCACTAGGCGCCGCGACAGACGCCGACAACGCCCTCTTCTTCAGCAAGTGCAAGCGCGCTGCCGAGAAGTACAACATCACCAGGCCCAAGGGCCACAAGGTCTCGTTCCACGTGAACCCCGAGATGGAGAAGCACCACTTCGGCCAGACACATCCCATGAAACCATGGCGCTTGACCTTGGCTAAGAGCCTCATCATGTCCTATGGCATGAATTTCGCCATGGACAACTACGTCTCCAGGACCGCCACTTACGAAGAGCTCAACTCATTCCACTCTTCAGACTACCTTGACTTTCTCGCCACCGTCGCCCCGGAGCCCATACCCAAGGATATTGAGAACCCGGGCACAGAACTCAAGTTCAACCTGGGTGGCTCAGATTGCCCTCTGTTCGAAGGCTTGTACGACTACTGCTCAATGTCCGCTGGCAGCTCACTAGACGCCGCTCGGAAAATATGCTCCGGGCAGTCGGACATCGCCATCGCGTGGGGTGGCGGTCTTCATCATGCCAAGAAGACCGAGGCATCGGGGTTCTGTTATATCAACGATATTGTCATTGCAATACTGCAGCTCCTAAGATGCTTTCCCCGGGTCCTTTACATCGACATCGATGTGCATCACGGCGACGGCGTCGAAGAGGCATTTTTGTCCACCGACCGGGTCATGACTGTCTCCTTTCACAAGTACGACCCAACCAACTTCTTCCCCGGGACTGGTGCCCTCACAGACAATGGCCCACAGAGCGAGCACAACCCCGGCGCTCACCATGCTCTCAACGTCCCCCTCCAGGATGGCGTCACCGACGAGCAATATGGTGCCCTCTTCAGGCAGGTCATCGGCGAAGTCATAGCAAAGTTCCGCCCGTCCGCCATCGCCCTGCAATGCGGCGCCGACTCCCTCGCCGGCGACCGGCTCGGCAAGTTCAACCTGCAGGTCCAGGGCCACGGCCAGTGCGTCGAGTTCTGCAAGCAGCAGAACATCCCCATGATCCTGTTCGGCGGCGGCGGCTACACGCCGCGCAACGTGGCGCGTGCCTGGACGCACGAGACCAGCATCGCCATCGACGCGTCGAGCAAGATCGACTCCACCCTGCCGCTGCACGCCCCCTGGCGCGAGCACTTCCGCCAGGACACGCTGTTCCCCACGCTCGAGCAGATCCTCGAAGTTCCTAAGCCGAATAAGAACTCGCCCAAGCGCCTCGAGGAGATCAAGATGCACATCAGCGAGCAGCTGCGCTTCGTCAACGCCGCCCCCAGCGTGCAGATGAGCACGATCCCGCCCGACCTGGGCTTCATCAGGGACGACGTTGAGGCCAGGATCAAGGAGGAGACCGAGGAGAAGGATGACGAGCTACGCAGGTTAAGGGAGGAGGGCGTGGGTGTGATGATGGAATTTTAAGTGGATGGACGTCTGCCTGTGCAGTGGTGCTCTTTCGAAAAGAAAAGTTGTCTGGGAGCTGTTGAGTCTCCCAGGATGTGTATAACTACCAAGAAACCATGACTTGATCCAGCCTTCTCCCCCAGATGTGTGATCTCTCTGTCAAAGTGCGTAGTAGGACCACCACCGAGAATTAGCGTCCACTTTGGTAAATATATGGCATCGCAGGGTTGTCGCGTACTTGCCAGCCTCTCGTACTATGAAATGAATTGCAATGGCTTCAAACAAGGGATCTGCCCCGCGAATTCCCGAGGCGGTCACATCACGCATTCTGCTTGAGGTTGGACATTCATCCTTTTGCGATTGACTAAATCAGGTCTTTATTTTGATTTTACTTTTTGCATCAATTTCAGAAGGCTTAAGCACTGCTGCAACACGCTCAACGGTATCTTTCATGTTCCCAAGTCAAGCAAAAGCATTTCGCTGGTAGTTCAATTGTATGTCCCAACCGCCCTTTCTGCTTCCATCTCAAGCATCTTTCTCTTCAAGCCCCTTACCTGGTAGCCCACGTACACGACCATGCTAACTCCCACGACCAGTCCCAGTGACAAGAGCATGAGATTGACGGGTATTGGGTCCCCTTCAAACGTCGAGTGGAGCAGATAATCCAGGCCAGACTGCGAGAAGTTGAACAAACCCGACAAGCAGATGATTGTCCCGTAGACGGTGCCGAAGGTCTTGAACCCGAAGACCTTGGCGCTGTAGTCTGACACGGCGGTGTAGTAGAAGGGCCTGTAGAGGACGAAGAGTATGATGTTGGTGTAGGCGGCCCACATCTCGGGGATGATCCCGAACACACCGATGGCGGTGGTCACGGCTACTAGCCAGAACAGAACTACGACGGTGGAGAAGTGATCGAGAAGCAGGCCTATGAAGGGAATTGATAATATCCCGCCAATCGGCAGCGCCAGGTCGAAAAAGTTGTTGATTTGAACAGCCCGATCGTGCGAGTGCAGGAGGGCTTCGTATTGTGGCCGGATTGTGGCCACGAAGTAGTTGATTCTTGTCATTTGGATCACTGTAAGGATAGTCAGCGATGAAAGTTTTGACCAAGTTGAGTTCAAAGTTAGATAGGAAATTTGCAGTGCTAACCTGTAAACAGACATATGAGGATGAACCAAGGAGATCTGATCTGCTGCCATGCGGTGTAAGCATGCATGACGCCCCACACGCCGGATATATCATTTTTCTTCTCCTCTTTTTGCTGCTGCTTGTCCGCCCTCACGGAGCCAAGCAGATCCTCAAGGTCCGCGGCGATGTTCTCTCTGTGTTCCCTCCTTTCCTGCTCCAGCAGCGCCGTGTTCTCGTCCATCTGGTCTTCACGCTGAGGCAGGGGCTCGTCGACCTGCTCGATCATCTCACCAATTGTCTTGTATGAATGTTTTGGTAGCAGAACGAACTGCAACAGAGCAATGATGACTGGCACCACGAGGTATGCCAGGAAGAATTTGTCGTGGCCGAAAGATCCACCAGTTTTCTCGAAGATAATACGGTACACCAGGAACAATGCGCTGGACGCATCAAAAGCACCAGTTAAGAGGGCTAGGATGAGCCCTGAATGTTTCGGGAACGCATTTGAAAGCTGAAAAGATGAAATATACGTGAACGGGCCACCAAGGGCCAGGAAAAGATATCCAAAAAGAAGGCCATCAAAAGGCAGGCTTCTCTCGAAGGCCATCAAGAGGGCGCCGGCCGTCAAGAACAAGGAGCCGAATAGACCACACACACGGGGTCCAAAGTGATCCAGGATAGTGCCGATCGGAAGAGCAGCAACGTTTGTAGAGACGGCGGCCACAGTGAACATCAGGTTCAGGCGGATCTCGACGCAGGTGTCGACGTCATCGAGGCTTGCGCTGGAGTCATCGGCGCCGCAGACATCCTGATAGGCGCCCTCCTTTTTCAGGACGGGCTTGAGTGCTGCATATCCAAACACGATTCCTGCTGCGAAGAGGCAGTATATAACTGTTGCAAACACTTGCACTGTGTGTGTGGGAAATATGCGAGATCAGCGGCTGGTTGGTCCCTGCGCGGAATTGGGGAAGGGTGGCATTCTGACTTACAAACTCTCTTCCACTTTGGGACTTCAAATGCACCCACAGACTCCAGGTAGCCGGGCTTACTCGTGGGAGGATCCCATGACTCTGGTAAGGGGTTGAAACTCAAGCGTCTGTCGCGGCTGCTGGGCGAGGGAGATCTCCGCTGCCCCTCGAATGTGAAATGGGCGAAGGACTCGAGCGAGGATACGCGGTTCAGGGACATCTTGCAGCCAGCCCTGCCTGAAGCTGCGTCTATTGAGGAAATAGAAATGGGACTAAGATGCAATAGATGTCGCGAAAGACTTAACGGCAAGAAATTGAAAGAGGAAAATGTCTAGCTAAGTACATCTATATATATGTATACATGGACTTTAACCCCGTCTCATGCGGCTGCTAAAGAAAAAGTGCAGGTGACCGTCCACGACAATGTCCGATTCCCATACTGACGAAAGTCACGTAATAGGTGGGGTCCTAGTTGTAACCTAGGCCAATTTTAGCCTGCATTGATTGGACAATTGACCCCATGACTGCCTCTTGTAAGTCGGTGCAGAAGAGGGACCAGTACCGACTGCAGACATTCTCCTCCTTCTCCAACTTCGTGGTCCCCCACGGTCCGACACTGAAGAGCAGACTTCTTGGTGTCCGGTTCGACAAGACACCAGACAGATAGATTACTCGGACCACGCAATTCTTTTCATAATGAAACTATGAATAACGACCACTTTGGAGTGCGTCCGACCTGCAGAGAGAATGTCCAAATCGCTCTCCTCACCTAGACCTCGGAGATCCCGGACTCGGCGCAGGCAACAGACAACTCACTTGTCATTTGCACCGTTTGCCACCTGCTGCGAGGAATTTGAGATGCAACGTCTGAAAATCCAAGGTCCACATGGGCAGCTGGAAAAATCTGCTTGCTGCAAATGCAACCTTTCCCTTCCGGCCTCTCAGTTGCGTGTCAAAGTTTGGTCCAGCCTAGCGGCCGTCCTCGCTCACCTTATCGGCCGCTGAGCGTAGAAATTTTTATCCCCCGAATGCCAGGATTCGACACGGCGGCGACCTCCGTTGCCCAAAGGCTCCCGCACTAGCAGCAGTGAAAACTCTCTCACGTTCTCGACGTTTCAATAGTGCCGGGTCGCACTCTAGTAGGAGGGTGGTTCCCTCAGGCATTCCAGCAATGCGAGCGAAGACGGTGCCTTTGCTCTGGCTCTCCGGCGTGGCCCGGGCGGAGCTCGGCCAGAGAGCGGGCGGTCGGGGCATAAATGCCATCCCCTGCGACTTGGAATACCAAGCTCTGAATGTGGTCTCATCGCACCCGCGGGGTTGCAGGACTTTTCCAGGAGGATAGAGGCGGGGCCCAGACCGGCCCACCTGCATCCAGGCACTGACCGCGGAATCTTATATATAATCTGCAAGAGATAATCCTCAGCAGGTCGTCCCGGACGAGGATATCTACTGCACGCTTGTACTTGTCAAATTAAGAGTACACGCTCACCTTGGGCATTGGGAAGCGTGCTCGCGTCACAGAGAGGCCCCCCCGTCAGAGACCCATACTTAACGTACTGATCAACCGGACCGTTCCGCAGCCCACAAAGAACCTAGCCCATTGTTAGTTCTATTACGCATCGCCCACAGATGGCCACACCTTCTTCAAACACCAAAACTATGACTATTACCAGCGGCATGGTCGAGCTACCAGTACTCATGGTTGTCAGTATGCTGCTGTAGGCTCGGGTGCTATCGGCCGAGTGTCGCCTTGCCTCCGACTGGCTGCAGAGGCCAATACATGTTCATGCAGTTGCTGCAGTACAACGATGACTGCTCAGTCAAATGCAATCTTGCTTTTCAAAGCTGGGATGCTACTATGTATATGCCACTCGTTGGAGAATTTTTTTTTTGCACAACTGGAGCAAGTCCTGAACACTGACATCCCAGTCCGACATAACTTTACTTCCGACGAGAACGGTCACTGCCGCAGTCCCGCAAGACACGGCCTGAACAGGACACCGAGGCATGGCGTTAACTGAATGTCAAGGTATTCCGGTTAATCTAGGCTTTGCCTCATAAACGCATCGGTCGGAAAACAGCCACCTACACCAAATTAAGCCTGTCCCAAAGCTCCTGGGCTGTCCCGACTTTTCAGGCTTTTATGGGTTGCTCACCTCCTATTCTTCCTCTCAGAGTTCGACCGGGCTCAACAGTGGTGCAAACTTATCACAACCTCACCAAGTCTTCAGGCACTTAATGATAGAGGCTAGCGACACCTTGATATGAGTACATTTTCTTCAACACATGTTGGTGGACGGTCGCCTTGCTGGCTTTTCATCAGCGCAATGAGGACCGTGCAGTGGCCCTCTGGAAGCTGATGATCTGTCTCTGTGTAAGAATTGAGGCCCACAAGGAGGCTGCGTCAACATTTATCCACCCCAGGTCGGGCCGCTTGCTGTCCCGGCCTGAGCCACGCGGGCCTGAAAGTACCCGGTGATGAAAAGCAGTTGCATTACATAGTGGGCCGAGAATGCAGGGCCCTCTGGGCCCCCAAGGCCCCGGCCTGGGCCACAATGCCTGTGACTGCGATTGGAAGTGGTATTCGGCACGAGAGCCATTTCACTATCAGATCGTCCTTGGACAAATAACTCAGCCGCTGAATGTGATGGCATGTGCCATCAATTTCAGGCCGGGTGCCTCACCACGACTGCTGTCAACCCTTCAGCGAAATGCTAAAAGCGGACACTGAAATATGGGCGGTGTTATTCGACGATGCGAGCAGGGGTAAAGCTCTCGGGAAGCGGTGATGTTCTAGTTGAGGATGGCCCAAGCTCCATTCGTGGTACATTACGTGTATATGGGTTGTGGAGTCTCTCGATGCTGTTAGGCCTTTGGGCTTCAGCAGCAGGGATACAGCCAGTACCAAGGAATTGGCGGCGGCTAAATTTCTACAGTATTCGTGCCCTTCTCGCACCTAGCGAACAAAAACTGCATGCACAACCTGGATCTTTAAGAGCATGAATATGGGAGCAGTCGGCTGTGTCAGTTAAAAGGCGACAGCCTCTCGGCACTGCGGCTCACGAGGTGAGGTTCACAGCTGGCAGGTGGCAGGGTTGCGCGGGCGCTTGCAAGAAATGACCATCAGAAGCTCCGCAGGCTGTTATTTGCTACACCATGTGGTTCTAAGCGCCCGGGGCCCGGCACCAATCATCAAGCTGGCCCGCGATGTTTCTTGGCGGGGCCCAATCGAAGCAGCTCCTCTCCCAAAGAGGGGACGGGGAGGGGGAAGAGAGAGAGAGGAGGCCATGGCCAGCCCCTCCAACTCCACTCCACCCAGCACCCAGCAGCTGCTTGCGCTCCACGAGTCCTGGTCACAGTCCTGGTCACAGTCCCAGTTGTCGACCCTCACCCTCGCTGATCGAGCCTGTCAAGGTGAGCCAGATGCCGCCGCCGCAGTCCTGCAGTGCTGCTTCCTCCCGCCCACAGCACAAGCACACACAGCGTACCCAGCATAATCCAGCATACTCCAGCATAGCCCCATAACTGCAGCAAACCTTGCCCTGTTCCTGGGCTCGCCTGCATGCGCGGGCACTCGTCTCGACAGTCTGACTGGTCCTGTTCACACTCCGGTATTTGATCATGGCGTTTCACCCCTGACATCTTGCCTCCCACGTCTGCTTGCTTATTGAACATCCTCTCGTGTGTCTGAAACTCTGCTCTCTCCACGAGCACCAACTCGAATCTCCTCTCCTCACGTACTGACTGACCAGCCCAGCTTTTCTCCGAGGGTCGGCCTGATATGCGGCCTCAGTAGTCACTGCGCCCCCACCAACCAGCCCTACCATCGACAGGTGGCGACGCCGTACAGAGAGAGATACGCAGAATTCACTGCCAGCCCAGCTTCGAAGACGGTCGCGACACTACCCTCCTGCGTGGCGCATCGTACCTTGGTGACGTGCTCCAAAGCTGTGTCCTTGCGCAAGCTCCTCCAAGCTTCTGCCGGGTGGAATCTCGCCCGCAGCCCAACATGTCTGACCGAGGTCGCGGCATCCCGGAGGAGGAGCTCTTCATGAGCCGCCCAGCCCGGGAAGACGGCGACAGCCCTACCATCGAACCCCTGAGAATCTTCAAACCTCAGAGTCCCAGGCCGGCCGCGGATAAGCCGACCGATCGCTTCAAATATCCTTACCCTGTTCCGACCTCCTCGGCGGCCTCCTCCTCCAAGCCAGCTTTCCCACTGCCGCCAGGCGCATCCAGCTCTGCTGCGCCTTTGCCCTACCCAGAAGATTTCGAAGACCGATTCACCTCTCAGCCTTCCCGTCCAACGTATACCTCGGACAGTCGCAAGTCTTCGGCTGCGTCAGGCAGGGTGTACGGCTCGGGAGGGTCCTCCAGCCCTGCGCCAGGGAGCTACAACGATATTTCGCCCCGCCTCAACCTCAGTCCTGTTAGCGATAGCCGTCCCGGGCTCGCAGAGAGAAGAGGTACTGCTCCTAAGCCTATCACGAGCCCTACGAGTCCTGGTGGTGACAAGGACGAGCTCTTCGCGAAGCCTATAAAGAACCAGCAGAAGGCATCCTCAACGTGGCAGAGCAAGCCGTACTACCCAGCACCGCCCGAGAGCACCAACTCTTCCGGCTCAGGTTCCAGCTCTCATACCGCAAATGCACATGCTCAGTACCAGGACTCGAATCAGTTGGCCATGCCGTACGATGGGATGAACCGCTTCCCGTCTACTGCCTCGAATTCCACCACCAAGGCCAGCAGGGGCTCACCTCCCCCACCTGAAACCCCCATCGTTGAGCCAGGGAATATACCGGGCGGCGGTATCGAAGCCCGGTATGCGGCCGCCGGCATATCTGGCACCGCGACTCTGAACGCACTGCAGGCGCAGCAGGCGCAGAGCGCAGCAGCTTCGCAGCGTCTGGCTCAGTATGGCGGCCATCAGCCACAGCAGCCACAGCCCACGCGACCCTGGACTCCTACTGATCACCAAAATACACACGATGCCCCTACAGTATACCAAGGGTCTGCTCCTGTGGGCAGTCCACCACAGGCCGCTCACCCTGCCCAGCCTCGTCCGGGTGCCTCAGGCGACGGGCCTGCACTTCAAGTGAGCGTCTTGGAGCAGGACTTCCAGCGCATGCAAGCATCAACGCCACCCCCTGCGTACACCAGTCTAAACTCTGGTGGGTCATCTGGCTATCCGGCGGAGAAGCAGAGGCCTGCAGCTGGAAGACAAAGCAGTTCGAGCTCTGCTACTGCTCCTCAGCAGTCCGCTGCCGCAGCTTCTACCCCAGCTCCAAGCGCTTCTGCAGGCCCGAGCGACGGGAAGAGGCCGACCATCTCAACCACGTCTGTCGCTGCTGCCGGGCTAGCTTCTCCCGTGACAGCGCCGCACAATGCGAACCATCCAGCTTTCGCGAACGACCCAAGACCGGCAAGCATCCAGAATGGGCAACCCGCCTTGCAGCACACACCGTCAATACTCACTCAGGCGCAGTCGCCTCCTCCGCTGCCAGAGGGTTGGATTGCGCACTTGGATCAAAACTCGGGTCAGTACTACTATATCCATCTCGCCACACAGGCGACGCAATGGGAGTTTCCTAAAGGACCAAACCCGCTATCGCACGACGTTGCCCCCTTATCGCCTGTCGGCTCAACGTACGGTAATCCCATGGCGTCTCCGTTCTTGGGCGGCAAGCAGTCTATGGCCTCGCCTGGGCTGTACCCTCCGTCCACTCCGGGATATGCAGAGAGTATAATGAGTGTCGCAACGGCGACACCATCAGCAGCAGGCTTCTCAGGACCACCGCCCAGCGCTGGTGTGGATATGTACAAGATTGCCCCGACCAACGGTGTTTACTTCGGGCCATATCTGCGCTACACGAACATGGACGTTGAAAAGGGACTCTGGCTTGGCAGTATCATGATCGTCACAGACGCACCTCAGCCTCCTACGATCCACTTGCATTTAAGCGTGGACCTGTCCCCAAACCCACGGCAGCTGACACCACAGTCCATATATACACACCAACGTTGGACTTTTTACAAGTACGAAATTGAGGTGCAGATGGGTGAGGGCGCCTCTGAGCGATGGACATATGCGATCACATCACACCTGGGGTGTACAAGATACGAGTTCGTCGTTGCTGGCCGGCATGAAAATGGCTGGCGGTTCATTGCGCACTCGGGAAACGACTTCGCTGTAAGCACATCGCAAAATGAGCGAGCCAAGCTTGGTGGCGCAGGTCTTATGTGGAAGGATGTGTTGCAGAAGAACGTCGAATGTGGCGGCTTCCATGTCCAGCTTGGGCTGGGAGACCAGATCTACGGAGATCGTTTATGGAAAGAGGTCCCTCTGCTCAAGCAGTGGCTTTCCATGCAAGGCAGGGAAAACCGCAAGAATGCGCAGTGGACTGCGCGGCACGAGGAAGATGTTTCCCATGCCTACTTCCACTATTATACCAGCCACTTTGACCAGCCTTTCCTGCGTGAAGCGTTTGCGCAAATTCCTCATATCCTGCAGATTGATGACCACGACATGTAAGTCTGAGCCTCCCCGTGATCGGGCGCGTGCAAACTCTAACTTGACACAGCTTCGATGGCTTCGGCTCGTATCCAGCCTACATGCAACAATCGGCCATATTCAAGAACATTGGTCGGATAGCCATTGAGATGTACCTGCTCTTCCAGCACCATACGACTATCGAAATCTTGCGCAATGTCAACCATGACCTGGATCTGTTCACAATTACAGGTACGGGATGGCATTTTGTGAAGTATCTTGGCCCATCCGTTGTCGTGGTAGGACCGGACCTGCGGTCGGAGAGAAACCAGAACCGCGTCCTAGCCGGCCCTACATACCAGGGAATATTCCCCAAGGTTGCTATGCTACCACCCTCCGTGCAACATTGCGTTTGGATGCTGTCAGTTCCGGTCGTTTACCCGCGTCTCGATACGGTGGAGACACTGGCAAACACGTTCGCTACTGGCAAGAAGGCAGTCAACTCAACGTACAACCTTCTTGGCAAAGCAACATCGTCGGTCGCAGGCATCATTGGCGGCAAGGAGGTCGTCTCTCAGGGATTTACGCAAGTGAAGAAGGCGGTCGGCAAGACTGGGCTAATGGGTAATGTTTTGAACCAATTCGGTGATTTCGAACTGGCCGATGAGCTCAGGGACCTTTGGACGCATGAGTCAAAGGATCTCGAGAGAACATACTTCATAAGAACGCTGCAAGGGATCTCACAGCAGAAGGGTATTCGGATGACTTTCTTGTCCGGAGGTAAGTTCTCTCCCACCAAAGAATTCCCCATTCACACAAGACTTTAATACTCACACTCACCCAGACGTCAACTCGGCCGGCGCAGGCCTGGTGCATGACCCGTCGCACCCATCAGACCACAAGACGATGTACCAGATCATCACGTCGCCAATCGTGGCGTCGCCGTCGAGCAACTACATCCTCAAGATGCTACACAACAACAAATTGCTGTACGTGCCGGCCAACGGGCACAAGTCGACGCACGAGGTGTCAGACACCAAGGAGGACATGATGGAGATCTTCCACACGGACGCGTCCGGGGCGGCGCGCGAGCTCAAGAAGCTCATCGGCCGGCGCAACTACGCCGCGTGCGTCGTGTACGACCCGGACACGCTCAACAACGGAGCCGGTGGCGTCGGCGGCGCCGGTGGCGCCAGCAACTACGCGCACAGCATCGCCGGCAGCGGCGGCAGCGGGGGCGGCTCCGGCTCGTCGGCCGGCCTGAGCAAGCTCAGCCTCGCCGTCGACTTTGTCGTGCAGGGCGACGGGCAGTTCACCACGCCGACAAAGTACGGCCCCGTCATCGTGCCGCACCTGGAGTTTGGGCACTGAGAGGTGTGATGGCCCGACTTTCTGATTTGAAAGTATGGGTTCTTTTTCGTGTTGTCGTTTTGATCCGCCTGTGGCAATGAGCTCTACAATGACAGACTAGCAACATGACGCGAGCGAGACGGGCCCTTGGAGTTTTGGAAATGGCTGGTCGTTTGACAGACAATATGTCTCCTTTTATTTTCTTCTTTTTTTCGGTCTTCATTGTTACTGTTTTTGTCATCTTTTAAAACACATATTCCCCCTCGCAGCCAGGCGGTAGACGACCTGTCCCTGATGAAATTGTTCTGCATTTTGGCTAGCATATAAATACACTTTTGATGTGAGATGATACAAGTTTCGATACCAAAGGCGGGTTTGATGTTTACCAAGGCCAAGATTTCCCTTTGATCTGCACTGCCCGCCACTAGGGCATTTTTAGATTTTTGAGTTCGAGCTGCTTAGCTCTGTGTTAGCTGATTCAGCACGCGGCACGTTAGCACCAAAGCTTCAATCTACCTCGGGCCTCGATCAAGTCACAGAAACATTGGCATGAAAACGGATTTGTGGAAACGAATTTGGAGCAGGATATCCAATTAAGATTATCTACAGTCTCATACTCCAAAAAAAAAAAAAAATCGTAGCAGCATCGCCAATCAAAAGTGGCAGGCCCATCCAAACAATGAAATTCCAACGCTTGACGACGCCCCATGTGTGCGCCTTGCTTGTCATGATCCATGCATCATCTGCCTCGCCGACGACGTCGCCGAGGAGAAAAGTCCCCAAATGGGGAGATACTCTGCCGCTTCCACAGTCAAAGACTAGGAACCGACGAGATAGAAAATGAAGGGAAGGTAGGGGGTATCCAATAAAAGGTGTAGTGGTTCCAGCCCTGTCGAGCAAAAAATTGGAACAAAAGCAGAAGCCTGGCCGAGACCAAACAAACAAACAGGCTCCAGGCTGCCGAGGTATCCTTCTCATCAGGGTCCCCCACAGTCGTCCATCCTCCTGCGCAGGAAGAATTCCATGGCGACCTCCCGGCCCTTCTTGTTGATAGCCTCGCAGAGGTAGTTCTGCAGGCCGTCGATGTCCTTGGGCGAGCAGAAGGTCGGCGCGTTGCGCCAGCTGCCCAGCCCGGACTTCAGCTTCTGGAAGTCCTCCCAGGAGCGGTTGATGGTGCAGGCCCTGTTGTGTTCGTAGCAAAGGACGATCTCATACAAAACAGTTGAGGGGTTCTCTTTGCTAAGGCGAATTGCGCGGATCCAGACTGCCTTGGGAAGGTGGCGAGTTGCGTTGTATGTGTGGTGGCATTTTCGCGAGTGGAACTGGGGCTTGAGAGGACTGGGAACAACATGTTGGTGTTGTTGTTGTTGGTGGTGATGCTTTTGTTGTTGTTGTGGTTGTTGTTGACGAGTAGTGTTGTCTGTAGTAGGGCGTGCCGATGTCTTCTTAGAGACGGGAGGCATCTGCCTAGAGCGACGCTCATCAGGCTGAGGTTGGTGCCAGATTTGAATATGCATCTTGACGGTGGCTTCCAGAGTAAATAGGTAGTTTGGTTCGATTACTGTTTGGCTTTGAGAGTGGCTGAAGAAGAGAAGAAGATAGCAGCAAGGAGGAAGGTCAGGCTGAGGCAGGATATAATAAGGAATGACATGCAAACAGGTCGACTGTTTTACTCAGAGACTTCAAGGGAGAAACACCGAAGGAGACAACTTGTCTGAAGGTGGGCTGATATATGAGAGGATGCGGCTCTGTGAACTCAGAGCCTCATGTGACAACGTAAGATGGGGTTGGTATTTATCCATCTGGGCAGATCGACAACAGCCGCAACGGCATAACGCTGTCATCCAACAGTTCATTTGTCTGTGGCAGGCCCCACAAGGCTGTTTGGACCAGATTCTTGGAGAGGGGCCAAGAGGAGCGAAGCGAGGGAAGCGAGAGACGCGAGAGCCCCAGCAAGCAGAAGCAGCGAAGCATTCCTATTCGGGGTGATTGGGCCCAGGAAGGCCCCAGCAGGGCCTCAGGGCAGGGTAGGATGGGGTCACAAATAAACTGGAGCAGTGACGGACTGACGGTGAGTGCGGAGACTGTCGGAGACCGCGCGGTTGACGGCGAGCGGTGGTCATGACCGACAGCGAAGGTGGTGCTATGCAAGGGATTGTCCGTACATAGCAACTGGCTGTGCAGGCGGTGGGTTGCGTGTGTGTGCACGTGTGTGTGCTGCGACCTGAAACCAGGCGCCCTAGTAGGACTGTCGTGGGTTAAACGATCGCCGAGACTGGCCAACCGGACGGAGGTTTTGTTTGTTGTGCCACGGCCGCGCATGAAGTGTCATTTCCGTCGCTCAGTGAACTGTTTTTGCTCGCTTGAGGCTTGCCTGACCCTGCCTGACCCTGTCTCCTTGGTTGTCGGCTGCCCCTTTTGGCTCAAAATAGGAGAGGGAGAGGAGGGGCATGGTCGATCTGATCTTCGGCAGGGGAAGGGGGGGAGAAACCAAACGATCGTGGGCCGCCAGTGGGAACGCGTATGCGCTTGTGGTTTCTGTAAACATCAGGTGTAAAACAAAGGCGAGTACCGTTCGGTGTGTGTGCGCAGTGAAGCCGTGGGGTGGAGTTTTTGTGAATGCGTGCACATATCCATCCAGCAAAGCAAGCACGGACGCAGACAGATCTGGGTGGCATGGGGGATCTCTTGCATAGAGTTCGGAGGAAATCTAACTAGGTGATCTCGTTGATATGGTTATTATTCCCCAGATCCACGGCGTGAATAGAATGGGGCCTTGGTAATTGCTGTCGTCAGTTTTGCCGGATGAGGCTGAAATGCACATCCAGCTCTCACCATGATGTACGGAGTAATCAATCTGTATGCGGGCGGGTAATCTGATCGGAGGTATTCTACCGCGTACACAGTACAATGCACCCAGACGGAAATTGTGAAGGGGCCAAGAGGCTGAGAGATGCCTTCCCAATTGGGGAGAGAGACACGGCGTGAGCCTGGGCAGCCTGGGGTGGCACTGGGTGGTACCCTGTTGGCACCTGAAACGGGCCTAAATATGGTTCGTGGGGCACGATGGACTGAAAACAAGTCCAATGTTGTTGGGTGGTGGTGCTATGGACCGACTGACAGTCTGACTGCCCCCAGTTGCCTGGGAGGATGGAGGGAAGCACCGAGCAGACCACAACCATAGGTCCGAGGCGCAACAATTATCCCGCCATCAACTCGTGATCAGTGCGAGGCCATTCAGAAACATCGGACAACGCGTCGTGCTTGGCGGTTTCCAGAATCCCCCGGACGGAGAGGGGGAGACGGAAGGGGAAGTGGGACCTCAACACCGATAGTGGGTTTAATCTAGAGTGCTCTCTTTCTTTCCTTCATTCAATCTTTCTCTCCCTCTCTGTCCTTGTCCATCTCCATCTCCCTCTCCCTCCTCGCTTGCATCATCAGGAGCCCGACAAGCTTTTCTATGGGTGTCTGCTGAAATTGATTTCTCATGCCCATGCAGCCAGCTGGCAGGTGGTAGCCCTGCCTGTTCCTGGAAAAGTGGGCTCGATCGTCCATTTATATGAGGCATCTCCATCTTGATTGCTTCCACAGTACAGTCGCTTGCATGGGCTGCAGCCTGTCCCTGGTCAGCGCAGGTGGTGGTTATCGATCAGTGACCATTCATTACTGTTGAAAAATCCCTTAAAGGGAAGCCAAAGCTGGTTAACTACAAAGTCACGTCTGCCTCCCTAGATAGTCCATGTTGATGTTGATGACTTTGTGTTGTAGTCTTTATCAGGAATGAGCCACACTGGACAGTGCTGGCTGCTGACTGGTGGATCCCCACCACCGGCAGTAGATAGTAAACAGAACGGTAACAGTACCACCAGTACCACCACCTGCAGGTCAGCCTGACACGGCAACCCTGGCCCCCGTTTCTCGGGTCCCCTCCTCCTCTTTCCTTGCCTACCGTACTGTACCTGGGGAAGTCTTGTCTGCTTGGTCTAGCACGGTAGCGAGTAGGCAGGCCTGGCAGGCTACATGCTTCGCGACCACCCCTGCGCAAAACTTGGCCGCAGATCGCATTGATCCAGTCAGTCACGGTGTTTGTGTGTGCGTGTGTGTGTGTTTGTGTTTGCGTTTGTGCCCGTGTCCCTCCTCTCGCTCTCCTTCCCTACTTCTCACCCCCAAAACAACTGAACTGTGCTATACTGTACTTGCGACACTGCCACTGCGACCGCACTTGCGAAGGCTGTCACGTCACCAATCTGATACTGCAACCATTCTGCTTGATTCGCGTCGCAAACCTCTCGCTCGTGTAGGCGAAACCGCGTCATCTTCTTATTCTCTTGCACGCAACCACAAGCACAAGCTCAAGCTCAAGCCACCCCGTCCCTATCGGGCACCCGGATCGACAGACATGGCGTTGCAAGCCGTGTACAAGCAATTCCTGGCCGCGCCAAACTCCTCCGCGCTGGCCCAGAACGCGTCCCTGCACTACATCACCACCCTCACCAGCTTCTACGGCCCGACAGACATCATCAAGCACCTCAGCTCCACCCGCAACCAGATTAACAAGCACAAGGAGGAGCTCATCAACGTCGTCGAGGGCCAAAACGCTCTCGCCGTCCAGGCAGAGCTGACACTCGAGTTCCAGGACACCGGTGGTCCTTACCTGCCCGGTCTTGACGACCAGTTCCTCTCCGATCGCACTGTTCACCTGCCTGTTGTAAGTCATGTTCCGCTTCTGCGCTCCCCTGCCTGTCAAACAGCGCCCTATCTCGGACACCAGATCCTTCCAAGCCACTGGCCGATTGACCTGACCGATGTCCTGTCCTCTATAGTTCCATATCGTGAAATTCGACAGCGATGGCCAGATCACAACTATTCAGCAGAGTTGGGACCAGGGAGCCCTCCTGAAGCAGCTGGATGTCATTGGCAAGACCGGCCGCAACTGGCCTATCCGCGATGGCCCGGAGCAGATCAAGTTGATCGCCAGAACAGCGGGCAAGCCTGCTGAGCCCACTGCAGCTGACCTCGCAACCCGCACCCGCACAAACTCCTCTGGTACTTTGCGCGACGCCCGACACAGAGATGAGCCTGTGCCTGCGGTCGTGTCGCCTTATGCTGGCACGCGGCCCCGCCAGCGAACCTTCGAAGAGATTCTCGGCGACGAGCATCACGATTTCGAGGCCCCCGATCGCGAGAAGTCCCCGAGCAAAGTCGTTGCCCCAAAGATTGGCGCTGGCAAGAACTTCCAGCCATCGCGCTTGTTTGACAAGCCCGAGGACGCCCCTCCCGAGCCAGACAGCCCCGAAGATGGCAAGTCGCCAGAGCGTTTCATGCGGCCACATCCCAAGAAGTACAACCACTTTGACTTTGCTGATGGGTCTGACCCTTCGGATGCCCCGAAGGCTGGCATTGCAATGGACTCAGTCAAGGGCAAGCATCGAAGCCAATGGGACTTTGAAGACTTTGTCACCCCTCAGAAGGCCAAGCCGAGCAAGACGCTCCGTACTCAGGAGATCAGGCATTGGGGGACTGGTACCGACAAGGATGATATTGTGGAATCACCTGCCAAGGCTGCTGGAAAACCGCGACGCGACGCAGAGAAGCACTTTGAGATGGAGGACGATGGCAATCCGCCAACCGAGCCGCGTGTGGCCCCCCGTCCCCGCGGCACGACGCACAATAGCGGATTGGGTCTGTACAAGAACCACATGACCACCGACGACGGATCGGACCCCGTCCAGTCGCCGGAACCACGTGCCTTGGGCAACATTACCAACCTGAAGGACCGTTCCAAGACTTTTGCCGCCCACTTCGACATGAACGATAATTCTCCCACGCAGGAAGGCACCAGATTCACTGCACCTCACAAGGAGAACAACAAGCCAGTAAAGGAAAACGGTCCCGAACACCGCATCAAGCTCGGAGGAGACGGGATGGGCAACCCCAAGGGAGGCAGAGGCTGGTCGTTGGGAGACGATTCCGACGAGGAGAGGCAGCCGGCTGCAATCCCGGGCAGGAAGGGCGCTGCTCAGAAGGCGGCGAACAGCTTCTGGGACCACTAGAAGCCGAACCCGCTAGATGACCACGGCTCCTGCTGTAGAAGGCGTCTTAGACGGGTCGGTTTGACCGCCACCACGTGCGAATGATACCCGGGCTGATGATGATATGTTGAATACGGCCTTTTGATAACGATAACTGTCCGCACTCGGCCTTACCAGAGACTTGAACGCTACTTGTCCTTTCTCCCACCGCAGCTTCATTCATTAGTATTGTTGTACAACGCGGCAACCTCAGCAGGCTCCTGCTTATATTTGAGGTCATAGGGACGCCTTTTCCGGGAAAAGGCGGGGGACATTGGAGTGGAACAGATAGATGCTAGTCTTCAGGGAAGGCTTTCTTGAGCCACACTATTGGAATACGCAAAAAATGGTTCAGCAGGAGAATCTGTGAGGCTTTTGTTCGTGTATGAATTACGAGTCGTCTAGGACTGTGACCCTTGAAAAATAACAAGAGCAGATCGGTGCACGGCACTAAATTGACTCTCGTGAATGTGTCCTTTTTGCAAGCCAAATCGAGATCGGTGCAGATGTTATCTGCGATGTCTTGCTTCCCCTTACAGTGAATGTTTCCGAATCAGTCAGCAAATTTTGGTGAGAAAGCAAAAGGTGAGTCGTCTAAAACGTTGGATTCTGACTATCTAGAGATGAATCCATGATCGTGCTGAGCAGTATAGAGGTATCCGTTGCAATGACCATATATCCCCAGCCCCCTCCAAAGACTGCTCGCTCCATTGGTCTAGCTGCTCTCTCCTTGTCCGAGTTCCGGTATTCTTATATAGACCTCGTCCCAACGCCTCATGGTTGCGCTAATCATTTTCGTTCCGCTATGCCTGCATGCCGTCAAGCCGTGTCTCCCAAGGATACGATCCAAATAATCTTTGCGAAGCAGACATGGTCATTAAAAGGGACATAATCAAAGGTGGCGTTATCGTAATACAAGTCGATCAACCATCCTCCCAAGCAAGTTAGCAAAAGAATTTATACCACTTCTTCCATTTTGGCCAGCTGCGCTTCTCCTCCATCTCCTGCGCCAGCAGTATCGACAGGTTGAAGTCGCGTCGGCCGGTGTCGATGTCCATCTCGTCGTTGCGCACGATGCGCGTGCGGAACCACAGCTTGTAGCCGACGTACATGATGATGACGACGGGTGCGGCGGTGTAGTTGAGGAAGAATGTCTGCACGTTTGCCTGGACGCTGTACTCGCCGTAGTTAACGGGCCAGGCGCCGGTCCAGAACTGGGCAGCGAGGATGAGGATATTCAGGATGAGGCCGACCCAGGACCCGAAGACGCCGGCCTGGGCGCGGAAGGCGAGCTCGTCGAGCGAGCGGCCGTGGGCGCGCCACGCCGTGCGGAAGCGGATGTGCGCCAGGCAGATGGACGCCCATGTGAAGATGGAAGACAGCGCCGAGATGGCGAGCAGCCAGTTGAGCACCTCGCCTTGCTGCGGGATGTCGGCCAGGTACGCGAGGAAGCCGAAGATCGACGCGCACAGGATGGCCATCAGCGGCCGCCCTCGCCGGTCAATGTACGACAGCCACGCTGGCGCCTGGCCCTGGTCCGCCAGTGCCGCCAGCGTGCGGCTTGACCCGAACACAGACGAGTTTCCCACGCTCATCACAGCCACGAGGATCACCACGTTCATCACGCTAGGGAGCACCTGGATACCCGCGTCTTGGATGGCGATCACGAAGGGACTAGCGCTCGTGTCGGCCACGGATTTGGCGCCCAGGAGCCTCTCGTCATCGTAGGGGACCAACAGCCCGACGAGCGTCAGCGCCAGGATGTAGAAGAGGCTGATGCGCCAAAACACCTGCTTGATGGCCGTGGGCAGCGACTTGCGCGGATTAGCCGTCTCCGCGGCTGCGAGGCCGACCATCTCGGTGCCGGCGAAAGCAAAAGCGGCGGTAACAAAGACGCTACAGAGCCCTTTGAAGCCGTTGTTGAATGAGCCTGGGTTCTGCCAGTAGGTGCCACCGATGTAGCCTCCATCTTGGGTGCCACCAATGTTGATGACAACTCCAAGTAGTCTTTGGGGTGTCAGTACTAGACCATATGATGAGAGGTGGGGAGACTCTCTGAAATACTCACATGAATCCTATGACGGCCGTCACCTTGACTATGGCGAAGATGAACTCAGCTTCACCATAGCCTTTGACGCCGCATAGGTTGATGCTTATGATGACCGCTAGGAAGACCGTCACGAAAACGGCCTTGTTGATCCCAGCGTTCCAATACGATATCGTAATGGATGCCGCTATTATTTCCAATGGCAGCACTATTAACCATTGGAGGGCATAGCTGTGACAACGTAGTTAGCACCCCGCCATCCGTCATTCCGGGCTGGGCCATACTCACTTCCATCCCATGGCGAAGCCCCATGCTGGGTCCAAAAACCGGGTCGAGTAGGCAGAAAACGACCCAGCGATGGGGAAGACGACAGCAAGCTCGCCCAGCGCCTGCATCACGCAGTACAGCATCAACCCGATGATCATATATGCGAGTAGTACTGATGCGGGACCCCCAGTATTCAGAGCGGACCCAGACGATATGAACAGCCCGGTTCCTGTCGTGAGCTGTCAGCCACGGAGAAAGGAAGAGAAAAGAAAATGCAGCAAGAAAAGCAAAAGAAAAGAGGCGTGTGGGATATGATGAAGACGAATAGAGTAGGTTATAGTGGGTGAGACAGAGATCAAGTTGGTACCTGGGTACCTTCACTCAAGACCGTGCGCCGCGTTGAAGTAGAGACTCGACCGGAAAGTCAATTCAGGGGCCAAGCAAACACACAACGTCCACGCCAGTAGACTACTGGACACTTGGACCGGCGCTGACCCAGCGGGTCAGCGCCCAAATGGGCGGCAATTCGACGGGACCATTGCAAGAAACGAGCTGAAGAAGGTGCCACTCACCGATGGAACCACCGATGGCAATCATCTGAAGATGCCTCCCCTTCAGCTCCCTGGCGAGCAGCGAGTGCGCCGTGCGGTAGTTAGCCGCGCGAACGTCATAGTAGCTGCGGCCGGGATTTTGGACGTTGTCGTCGTCATCTTCATCGTCTGGGCCGGCGGGCGGGCCCACGCCGGGCCAGCCCGGGTTGGCAGTGAAGGCGTTCTTTGGGGTCATCCTACTATGAGGATCCCGGCGGAACGAGTCGACCCATCGGCGCCAGGTGCCGGGGCCGGCCCTCGAGGACCTGCGGGGCATCTCGTAGGTGGGCTCCCGGGTCAGGTAAGACTCGCCGTTGGCGAGGCTGTAATCCTCCTTGAAGTTCAGGATGTTGAGCTCGATGTCGCGTTCTGCCAGATTCCCGGCCATGGCTTCCACGGTGGCACGGATGGACTGGTTGGGGGCTTTGTCACACTGGGCGTGTGTGCTGAATGCCCGGCTCTCGAGGCAGTTCAAGTCGAGTTTGGTCTGCCGTTCCCTTCCTTCCCCCCTGTCTATCTCGTCTCGGACCCGATGTCTCGTGGGCAGAGACAGGGCCGACGGTGAAGCGAGCGTTCTCTCGAGGGCTGCAAATCACAGCGACAGCTGGTAGTGTTGTTTCCCGGTCGCCTTAAGAGGAATAGGGGTGTCACCGCAGTGGGAGCATGCGCCTCGGCCGTGACAGCATTATTGCGATGTTCTGGACTTGGTCGCAGCACTGGGGTAAGCGTCCCTGGCCTTTCTCTGCGCTGTCCTGGTCTCAATTATCTATCGCAAACCCAGAGGGCGCTGTATTGGGAAAGTGCGCTCGTGATGTTTTCCGTGGTTCCGTTCCGTGGTTCCGGATTCCGCAGATGACAGACCAAGAGTACACACGCATATAGGCTTGAGAGCGATTCAATGAACCAACAGGAGAAGCAACAGACTAGGTTTTGTAGGCGAAAGAAATCGGGTGATAGTGGAAGGATTTAAGTTGGGAAGCAGACGGAAGGAAAGATAGAACAGAGCAGGGCAGAGTAGGGGAGACGGAGATCGGCGGTAGTATGACAGGCCACACGGGGGATAGGCGTTGGCCCAGGCAAGCTGAGGCGCAAGTGGTCGGTCAACCCCAGCGTGGGCTTATTCTTATCTCGAGGCGCGCCTAGCTCTCCCCATCCTAGGTAGGCAGTCAGGGTTGGTACACACCTGGCCACACACACACACTCTCATTACCGTAGATTGTGGTGTGGGTGGCACCCTGGTCCCTTGGCCCGGGGAGCTGGGAACGGTTTGGAGACTTGGGGGATCTTTTGGAGACGAGATCCCCTGTTTTGGCCTGTCATTGGCAGGGGATATCCTGCCTTTTGGGGGGCCATCAAGCTGCCTGTCAGCCTGGCTGTTGTGATCAAGCCAGCTCGGTGGACGCCATTAGCTTTCCACCAGGCTGCATGCAGATCAGATAGATTACGATCCGATGGATACCGACGTCCAGCTCAAGCTCCACAGCTACTGTGGGCAAGCAAACTTTATATGGATTGTATACGGATATGCACCCACTGGCTCTTGCATCTACACCCACTGAGTCTATGTTCACACCTAGTGCTGGTCCTTTGCTACAGCTTACAAAGGGCTTCTTACTACACGCGACATCCTTCGACGGCAAGGCGTTAGCAGCTGAATTCCGTTGTACACTGATCATAAGCAAGATGACTTCTCGCTTGCTTAGCTGGATGGACCGTCTTGTTGCAGATTTAACGAGTACTTTGACTATAAGGCTGCCGTTGGGGAGGCAGGATATCCTCACACAAACGAAGATAATTCCTTCGCACGAAGCAATTCACTTGGCGATGGGACTCTCGAAGCCCGCGTCACGTTTGGTTTGACTTTGAAATAGACACTTAGCTCACCAGATTACAGACCTTTCAAAGCAGAATATCCTGGTTCACACTGTCCACTGCTGGTTTTCCCTGGCTCCAGCACACAAGCCACTTTCACCGTCCTCCTTAGTACCATGACATTGCTCATATGAATACCCACGAGAGACCTGAAGACGTTGAGTCTCGACAATCAACCTCCTCGACCATTCAATGTGCTTTGACATCTGCAAATAACAATAAAATCAGTCAGCAAGGTCTGACAACGGTTTGCGGCGGGTACCAAATAAGGTTGCTGCGCAGATTCACGGCCAGCCTCACATTTCTTGTTCCAATAATTGCTCACTCAAGCAATAATAAGTATAATTAATGGCTTCGCTTAGATCCTCACCTACACAAGCCTACTCAAGATCTTGAACTTGGCCACAACACAGGCATCCGCTCACACTGGTGTCCAAGACAGCCATCAGGGCACGTGTTATCACAACAATACCAATCTCGCCATCATCTTCACATCCTGCTCGTTCTGCTTTCGCAACGCGCACTGTGAAGTGCTTCTCAACACCCCACCTCCATTGTTGGTCAACTGTTTGGCTGCCAGTTACCAGCGCTATCGGATACGGTTGGTGACCTATATGATACAACTACGCACGACGCGAGAAGCGATGACGATGGTGGGAGTGATGCCGGCTAGGGCCGTCTATGAAGCGGCTCCAGCAGTTTTCACTGGCGACTACTGCAGTGGTAGCAGCTGTAGCCGCCACTAAAAGCGATCGTTGTGCTAGTTATGAACGCGGTCGTGGCGTAGCGATGGCTCTCATACTGGCTGAAGGACTGACGTTGGCTACAACTGGCCGCCAGCTGTTGACCCGGCACTCGTGGCAGCAACGTGCAGATGGACGGGCCAGAAGACTTAGAAAATAGTACAGCTGTGTACATTTCTCTACCCGCTCCTATAAGACTCATAGAGGTCCTATTTGGGTTGCAACAAAATCAGTGGTTCTTGGTTCTGAAGTTCGGATCATTGACCTGTTACACCTCGAGAGAACATATTCTGTGCCAATCGCACTTTAGCTTGCAGACTTCACGACTGAAAATTTCAAACATATTCTGGGGAAAAGTCCACGACTTTCATATGCCGCTGGGATTACTATTCATATAAACGCCGCCCAATGATTTTGACCTTGGTTTTGTGGTGCGTCACCATCTGGTTTGGTGCAACCAATTAGTCCTTCTTGACTGCCTCGGCAGCAGTCTCCTCTCTCTCCTCCAGGATGTGCCCATCCTTATCCCTGGGCTTTCTCTTCCAACCCGTCGAGAACAGCGGGCCCATATCGAATCTCGGCAGCGGGTGCGCCTCGGTGTTGATCACGATCTTGTCGAGCGGCAGCAGGTCGTCGGGCGAGAAGAGCAGGAAGAAGTACTTGAGCGTCTCGGCCAGCCAGAAGCTCTCCATGTTGTCGCGCGTCGTGGGCGGTATTACGTTGGCGTTGGACAGCGACGTGAAACCGCCGCCCTCGGGCACCGCCGTGTGCTGCATGAAACTCTTGAACATCTCCCACCCCCAGTCGCGGTACCGCTGGTCGCCAGTGATGCGCCACATGTAGAACAGTGACTCTACCGTCTCTGGCCGCTGCAGGTTGTGCGTGTCCTGACTCTTGATGACAAAGTCCTTGCGCCATTCCGCCTCCGGGTCCGGGTCGAACTCCTTCGGTGCCCTATGCGCGGAATCCTCCGCCGGCGCCGGCGACGCAACCTTGAAGTAGGTAATCTCTGCCGCCAGCCCCGTCGCCATGGCCTTGTACATGCCCCAGCAGGTCTGCATCAGCTCGCGCGCAAGCTGCATGTCCTTCTCCTTCTGCGCGTTCCACGACGGCAGCTTCTTGGCCGCGGCCTCCGTCAGGCCGTCCGTCGCGCCCAGGGCGATGGTACCCGGCATGAAGCACACGAGGTGGTCCATCTTTGGGCTGACTTCGCCGTCGACGCCGTTGACCTTTTCGCCGATGATGGTGAATTGCGAGTGCTCGGTATACGTGACGAGATTCTTCCGCACGCCTTGGAGTGCCTGCTCCCACATGTCCAGGTAGATGGGCTCTGCCTTGTTGGTCTGCAAGTACTGCTTGATGAGGTATTCGTAGTAAGAGTCGCCGCGGCTACCCAGGCGGATGTTGTTGCCGCGGAATTTACCAGTGTCAGCGTACACGTAGATCGGGACGAGGCCGTCCTTGGGGCCATTGTCGTCTAGAACCTGCATGACTTTCTCGGCTTTGTCCCAGAACATCTTCTCGCCTGTCAATTTGGCCAAGTATTTGAACTCTAGCTGCAGGGTGGCGGCCTCCGCAGTGGATGAAGCGCCGCCGTCATCGTGGGAGGGCAGGCCTTCGTACTTGCCCAGATTCACACTCGCGTAAGGAACCCCGGATTGTGACTCGAACGCCGGTATCAGGCGATCCGCCAGGTCCTTCGCCTTCTCGAGATAGAGGTCTTCTCCCGCTGCCCCTTCATCGTCGTCTGTTATTGGCGCGAGCTCGGGGAACTCGTTGGATAGGTAATGCGCGGACAGCAGGCCGCCCATCATTCGGATGGTGGTCTCGAAGGTATTCACATCCTGGTCTTGGTCGTAGGTGAGAGTTGTTGATATCCATTCCCTCGCATGGGTAAGACGGCTGGTCAGGTTCATAAGGATCATTGTGTCGAGCGCGTCAACTATTATCCATCCTAGACCCTTCTTGGCCATTTGTTTGCCACTTTTCGATACTGGGTGGTACTCGTCGTAGCCTGGTGTTGATTGATGTCAGTCAGAATGCGCAAACGCCCAATTCGGACCCAGCTCGCGACAACGTTTGACTTGGTACATACCCCAACCATACCGATCATAGGAATCCCAACTCAACTCGAAGGCCTCGACGACCCGTTGTCTTCGCTCCAGCCAGTCGACCCTGCCCTTCGCTGCCGCATGGTCATCGGCCTTTAGCCAGTCCGCCGTCCTCAACGAGGGTAGCTTGTCGTATGGCTCGTCCCCAAAGATGCCAAACCAGTAGGCCACGAGGACCACCAGGAAGAGTGCGATAGCCATGAAAGTCTTGCGCCGGTAGAAGGGTCGTTTTCGATTGCCAGCAGGGTATCCGTATGGTTTGTCCTTGTACAGGGGCAACGAGTTTTTGTTTGGGTTCAGAAAGTTTTCCACCCTTCCAAGGCCGTCTCCTACTATCCCTCCAACCGCCCCACCGCGGTGCCCGGCCGTCCTCGCAGTGACGCCAGTTGATCCCCACACTCGGTCCTCTAGAGCTCGCTGGGGGTTGTTAAAGGAGGGGACATTTTTCGGAATCGTGAACGACATGTCCTCGTCTCTCTTGCCGACAGCCTGCTGGTCGCGCAGTTCCCGTTCGCGCAGGTTGCTGTTGAGGTCCTCGACGGCCTGCCTGCCCCGTTCGATGGCCTCGGCCGCAGTCTCTTGGACCTTCTCGGAGACCTGGGTGGCGACCTCGGTGGCGGTCACGCGCAGGAGGTTGAGCTGGGTCAGCGCAGCTGCGGCAGTCGGGGTGCGATTGTTGATGAGATTCCTTCGCAGGTTGAAGGGATCACGAAGGTTGTTGTTCATTGGGAGGGCTCCGTGCTGTGGGCGCTCAATCTGTCCACATAGCAGTCCAGGGGGGCCTGGCTACTATTCTTGGACATGAAGTCAAAGCAAAGAGCGAATTGTGGGCAGGAGGCAAAGAAAGAACTTGACTTGAAACTTTAAGAGCATCTAATGCAGGGGGGAAGCTCTCCCGGCAGGACTATCGAGCCACCCAGCAGTAAAGAAAGAAGCTGTGGTGTTGAATATTATGTGGTCTATGTGGTCTAGCTCTTCATTGTGGTCTCCAAGGGAGCGAAAGAGAACAGATCAGCACCGGGAATGCCGGCTCGAATTCCGCAATTGGGGCTCACAATCAATAATGTACATTCGTCACGGGCGGGAGTACCTAGGCACGGCAGTCTAGTCCCGAGACAGGCCAGACCGCTTGCAGGCAAGGTTGATGGACAGCTGTCCCCGAGCCCGCAGGGCCTCGAGTCTCGGCAGGCCCCTGCAGCAACGGCCTCGGCTCCGGCCTCTCAGGGGTCAGACAGTTCTCGCAAGCCCGGGTGCCACACAAGTCGACCACAAATATGCTTTCTTTCATCCCATGTGGGCCACGTTCCTGTCGATAGATCGATAGACTTCGAGCCGCAGTCAACCCCACGTTGTGAATTCCGGACGTCCTCAAAGTGAGAAATGGCGGCGGTGCAAAATACAGGAGCCGACTTCACGAATTATCCACACCTTGACGCCAACGAGTTCGCAGAGGTCTGCCACCACCTCGATCGGCGCTATCTCCAAGCAACTCTTGGTCCTGTGAGGCGCAGGTGGAAGTTCAGGGTCTGCAGGGCGCTCGACGTATTGCCCTCTACGTCTGCCGAATACACGACTTATGTCCAGATCGTCCGGCCACTAGATGGCGAGCTCGATGATGGAGACTTATCATCATGTTTAGACAGCTTTTCGTTCGGTGATGAAGACAAGGACATGACAAGCACAGAGGATCATGAGATGGCGGAGGCAGAGCAGGCGGATTCAGTATGACTATAGTATTCCGATTGCAAGTCTGATGCTCATATATAATCAGGCAGCTATCCATCAGGTGCAAAGGCCATCATATTTCGGGTATGTCACGTACGAGATTCATCTTCACCCGACATATCGAGTACCTTGCCTCTGGTTCAGTCTGCATGGACTGCCAGCAGACGAGGCGGCCTTCAACATCGACACTGTCTTCCGCCGTCTGGTGCCAGACCAGTACAAACACGGACTTCGGAAGCTGGGCGGAATCGGTGGCATATCAGCGGATGTGAGTGCTTGTTGCTGCTAACTAGTCAATTATTGGTTCTTTTGGCATCCAGGTGTCCATCTTACTAACACACTGAGAAACAGCATCACCCTCTCACGGGTGTCCCCAGCTTCTTCGTCCATCCATGTCTCCTCGGCGATCAGCTGTCGGACTTCGACTGCTCTAAGGAGAACTACCTCATGGTGTGGCTAGGCCTTGTCGGGGGCTGTGTTGGACTTTGGGTACCGAAAGAAATGGCTTTGGAGTAAGCCACTGCAAAACCCAGCGCCGAGGTTTTGGCTGGCAACCCTGCGACGCGAAAGTTCAAGATCGGATCAACATCCGCTATCAGTCGTCATCGCTGTCCTCCTCCATTGCCACATCGCTGTCCTCCTCGTCCTCTTCCTCCTCCCGTGGCCGTTTCTGTCCTCGGTTGTCTGCGTCGCTCGCGCCGGCCGTCGAGTGGTCAGCGGCAGCGGGCGGTTTCGTAGGCAGGCCTGACGGCGCAGACGGAGCAGCCGCTGGGGCTGAGCCAGGGAGTGGAGCGCTGAATATGCTTTCCTGTAGGTCGGTTCTCTCCGCCTGCTGGGTCGCGGACGTTGGAATGTTGAAGGACCCGTCGAGTTTCGCAACAACGTTTGACTTTGACTTGGCGTATGCTACTTTCTGTTGCACGTATTAGCATGATACCCCAGATAGACAGACCCAACATTGCATAAGAAAACGCACCATCTCGTGTCCCAGGAAATTAAACCCATCCAACGCCCTCATGGCCTGTGTTGCAGTTTGTATATCGCGGTAGACGATGTGCGCCTGGCCTCTCATGCTCATGGTCTTGAGTGCGACGACATCGAGAACTGGTCCGTAGGTGGAGAAGAGCAAATAGAGTGCCGTCCGTAAATCTTCCTTCTGGATCTTGGCTGATGGTATGCCGCGCACGTAGAGCGTCTGGTTGGGAGGGATCGACTGGGGCTTAGGCGGAATGCCCGAGCCTGGTGGTGCTGCCTTCGTGCCTGCTGGCGCCATGTTTGCAGCTGGTGCTGGATTGAATATTCGACAGACAACACAGTGGGTAGATAAGACTAGAATACTGCCGTATCGATGAGAGTTGTGAAAGTCAAGCTGATAACCAAAGCGCGAGATCTCGCCGGTCTGTTCGCGTGTCGCGTTAAGCTCCTTCAGCTTTTTTTGGGAGCTGGCAGACCAGCAACCTCAACCAGCTGGGACGCTTGTCTTATCTCATTATCGGGGTTATGCAGCCTTTGGAGAGTGACGTGCTGCGACCCCACCATCCACTTGACACTCAGGGGAGCTTCCTTCCACTATTCCCATCTCGCCTTCCCCTGACAACACAACATCTCTTCAGGTCCCATGCCACCACCGTAAACAACGCATTGAATTATCGTGGTAGTGGAGAGCTACTCCTATCACGTAGACTGATCTATCAACAACAAGATGGCTGCGCCCGAGGTCCACCATCTCTTCCACAACCCCATCGCCGACCACTCCTTCTCGGCCGACCGATCGACCTTGGCCATCGCACGAGACTCGACTGTCGAGCTGTACGGCAAGGCTGGAAACGCTTTCAAGCTGCAGGATGAGCTGAAAGGCCATGACAAGACCGTCACCAGCATCGATATTGCGCCAAACTCGGGCCGCATCGTGTCGTGCTCTCAGGGTCGGTACAGTCGCACAACGCTGTTGACGATTTGGTCGCGCTAACTTAGACGCAGACCGGAATGCGCTTGTGTGGGAGCCTTCGCCTCAGGGCTACAAGCCGACCCTTGTCCTGCTCCGAATCAACCGGGCTGCTACCTTCGTCCGTTGGTCCCCTTCAGAGACCAAGTTCGCTGTCGGATCCGGCGACCGCGTGATTGCTATCTGCTACTTTGAAGAAGAGAACGACTGGTGGGTGTCCAAGCACCTCAAGAAGCCCATTCGGAGTACCATCACCTCGGTGGCATGGCACCCTAACTCCGTACTTCTCGCTGCTGGCTCCACCGACGCCCACGCCCGAGTCTTTTCGAGTTTCATCAAGTCAGTGGACCAACGTCCGGAGCCGAGTGCTTGGGGCGAGAGACTGCCCTTTAACACCGTCTGTGGAGAGTTTCTGAACAACTCGGCTGGATGGGTCCACTCGGTTGCGTTCTCTCCAAGTGGTAACGCGCTGGCCTTCGCTGCCCACGACAGCAGCATCACTGTCGTTTACCCCAGTGCTCCTGACCAGCCGCCGAGGGCAGTCCTTAGCGTCACCACCCAGTTGCTTCCCTTCCAGAGCTTGTTCTGGGCTAGTGAGGCTGAGATCATCGCTGCTGGCAACGACTGCGAGGCATTCCGCTTCCAAGGTGGCGAGACAGGTTGGCAGCTTGCGGGCTCTCTGGAATCCAAGGGCAGACCAGGCTTGGGTGATGCTCCCGAAGAATCTGCTTTGAACATGTTCAAGCAGATGGATCTGAAGGGCAAAGTGAAGGACGATACGAAACTCTCCACGGTCCACCAAAACACCATAACAATGATCCGCCCTTTTGAATCTTCTGGGGGGTCTGTCACCAAGTTCAGCTGTGAGTCTACCCACCAAAGCCCCTTTTGATAGTATGTCTGAGTGCTAACATTCATATCAAGCAACGGGAGTTGACGGAAGGGTCGTCATCTGGCATACCTAGATTAGCTTACAATGGAGATCACAATCAAGAGTCGATGAAACACTCAACATCTTTGTACTCGTTCTTTTATCAGTATTTGCCCCAGCCTCATGTGGTCTCAGCACTGACTCCAGAGCGGCGCATGCGATCTCCGTGCCTTTTATGTGTCCAATATGACTGGTCATGGCTGCTCTGACTGCGCAGTGACCGTTGTGTATTTATGGTGGTATTTACATTGCTGAAATGTTACCAGCTTTGGTCGACCGCCTGAAAACTACGTTGTCATCCAGATCCGTCCTTCCTGGGCAAACCAAATCATGGACACCAGTACGGATCAGCCACATTCTCCCAGCGCTCGCTTTTACGCCAATCGTCAATCCGCTGGTCCCGCGATATTCGACATGCTGTCCTATCCGGCTGTTGAGCAACAGCATCACACTCAACTTGTGCCTCCATTCAACGATTTCCAAGGCTTCTCAGCAACATCCTCATCGCACCGGCATCTCAACAACACTTGCGCGGCATGCCTTTCAGATGACAGGGTATCTCCTCGGACTCCCATCCCCTACCATGACCATCATCAGTGGGAGTCACCCGGGCCCGATCATGTCCCTTCCATGAGCTGTGGCTCTGTCCAGAACCATGTTGGCGGCCTTGCACATACTCAAACGTCTCGTCACGGCCCAGCCATACCGAAATGGTCTCGACAGCTTTCCGAGCCTCCCACCTACATCACGCCGCCTCCACAAAATCTATCAAGCCCTGAGAATAGCCCTGCCCCTGCTTTTGCGGAGAGACCAGTCCCCGTGATGCTTCCTCCACGAGGAGTGCCAGCCAGGCCTGCCCCTATGACTGTACAACGCCCCGTTGTCGGAGGCAACACCATTCGGGTCCCATCAGACAGCGAAAACAGCGATGCACCTAGAATCCCTACAGTGACGGGGCGTCCCCACGAAGCTAACGCGACCAACGAGCCCGCCTCAACTGCCGACGACGAAGTCGACTCCAACGGCTACCCTTACGACAGCACCTCTACAGCATCATCCTCCACAGCCTCGCGTGCGGCCCACGGTGGCGTTCCGCCCAGGCCCCTGGAGGAAGCCGTCCTTGAGGTCCACAACACCTGCCTCACCGCCACGCAGCGATACCTGGAGACCCTGCGCGTGAACTGGGAGCTCCGCCGCGGGCGACCAATCCTGACCCCGCTGGGGTTAGCAGGGCCGAGCAGGCGCCTGCGCAACCGTGCTGGGGCGCGGGGTTCGCCGTATGCGCTCCCGCGACGACTCAGGCGGGCGCTTAGCGACAACAGCGGCTTGGAGTACATGCGTGGCCTGCGGGACGGTCACGACAGCCCGCCGGGGTCCAAGGACTGGGGCTGCCAGGGCCAGCAGAGAGGCTGCCCCATCCCGGAGCCCACCGACTCCCTCCTTCAGAACACCTCGCACATTTGCGAGCTGATCTGGCGCCGGGTCCACCGCGATCGCGATGACGTCCTGGGCGTCGAGTCTGGCGGGGTTCGCAGTATGGGCTTGCTTGTTGAGTGTGCCGAGATGGTGGTCCTGTACGATGCCGCTGAGTGGGAGAGGGACCCGGAGACGGGGTTCGTCATGGCGTGCCAGGCGGGGCGGAACCTCTGCCGGGAGCTGGGGGATTTGGACGGCGCAGAGAGGGTGAATGGCATCGAGAGAGGCCAGATGTAGGTGTGGAATGGGTGGGAAAACCTGATGAACGACTGAGAGGTGATGTGTGTCTGTCTTGGTCATGGGACGGCGACCTGCTGGTGCTACCCGGCGCTGAATGTAACAGATGAAGTCACGAGAATAGAATTCATGGCAACGCAATATGTTGCAGTACTCAGTTGCTTTGGAATGATAGGAGGGTTCTCTTAGGTATGGCCTGCCATAATGGTTTTTCTTTCGAGCACCATTCGTCAAGTCGCCTCACATTGCCTGAGTTGATGGGCCAAATCATGTAGGAAGAGTTTTGCTAGCCCGCCAAAATGCAACTCCTACTTTCATAGAATTCTAGAGCTCGTCACAGATTTCACCAATAGAGACGTTTTTAAACCATATTGATAAGCCTTCTCGTCAAGATATCTACACTTATAATATCTGAGGAATTTAGACTGCGAGACCCTTCCGTTGATCATCTACAACACAACCGTTGGCTGTAGGCAGATATCATGTCGACCAGTTGCCTTATTCTTTTTCTGTTTTTTCTCTCTCTTTCTCTCTCTCTCTCTCTCTCTCTCTGTCTCTGTCTCTCTCACACTCACTCTGTATAAAGACGTGAGATGTCTGGTGGTACTCGGCTTGCCAACGTACGTCTGAACCGTTGGCAATTGCCAGCTCGGACGAAGCATAGGTTCAGTTTGAACACAACGTACCTAGGTAAAAGCCTGCAACTGTTTATAATGCTTAACGCTGAAAATGATACACTCTCAACATTATCACAGTAACAACATTAAGCTGTGAAATCTATCTGACAACAACGCCATGAGAATACTCAGGCACCATCGCAGGAGCAGATCGCCAACGCATGTCTGCCAGAGCGCCGACACTACGGGCCAAGCCGTTAATTATGAGCACGATGACGACGACGCCAGCACCGCGGAAGCTTACAATCTCGCTAGCGTCAAATTCATGCAGGCCACGGCAGTCCGGCGGACGTTGCATTGCTCGACTGGGAGCCGTTAGGTGCTAACGACTCGTTGGGGGCTGGCATATCACTCGCGGCCTGCCCCTGGTCTCGGCAGTGAGAGCGAAAGCCAGACACCTCGCTCCCAAGACCAGACCAATGCCCAACCGGCGTGAGCTGGAGGGGAGGGGGGGGGGGGAGGCGGGCGCTTTTCGCGCCCCAGGCGACCACATTCCATTCCTCCCGGAGGTCGGGCTCCCTTCGCCGCCCAGCGTTTGACTGCAACTCCGGGGTCCCGTGGCCGGCGGTGCTGACGATGGTGTTCGTCCCTTATCCACCTGTGACAAACCGCATGAAGGGAGCAAATATCGCTGGAACTACGCCAGAGAGCTTCGGTTGATGCCCCCGCTGCTTGACAAACCAGCAGCTGACACGCTTCTGGTCGTTTGGGGGTCCACGTTTATCCAGTCTCCCAGCTTTAGTGAGATGTCGCAGATCTGTGAGGCTCTGATACGAAGGGAAGCTAGGATGCTTTGCAGTCGGTTTCTATCGAGGAACTTCAAAGTAATGTGAGGCCATCACGAATGAACGATCGAAGCCTGGTATTATCGAAACTGGTGATCGCGATATGCTGCCCATATGGTCGTATGCTCATGGGCGGAACTGGAGGAACACCAGACGAGTAGCATTACCACAACTGCTTTCGCCAGGTGTGATCCGGACCGAGCGAGACCAGAGGCTCAACGTAGCAGTCTGCGGAAACCCGGAGTTGCAAAATAAACACGAGTGTAAGGCCATCAGGCTCTTGTCGCGAAAAGTCAGGCCACATCGTCGCCGGCTGGCTCTGTCCCGGCACCAAAGCCGCCCAACGAGTGCATGCTATCCACGGACATGCTTTCCCTCGCGTTTGCCGGCACCAATACCGGCTTAGCCCTGGGGAGATAGACTTCACTTGCAACAGAATTTACTGGAGCCCGCAAAGTCTAATGAACCTTCAGGGCCCTTCTCCCTCCCCTTGCGTTAGCTGTTTCCACGAGCTTCTTTTCCGTCAATGATGTCATTGTCTGGGCTTTTTCTCACGCAGATGAAGCTCGCAAAATTGACTTTGATCATCACGAGTCGATGGGGTCTCGAACGATGCGTGTTGCGCAGTGACCGATTCCCCCCATCTTGGCAAGAGCGGAGCGGATCTGACCTGACATGACCGAGAGGGAAGTTCCGGCATTTTGAGCCGCCGCCGTCTTCAGGCCTCGCCGCTGAGCGCCGAGCGCTGTGCGTGCCACGCCTGCTTTACACAGGGTTCCGCGACTGCTCGTCAGGTCATGCTAACCTCGGCGGAAAAAGCGTTAGTGCCTACAGCGCGAGCCAGGGGCGTCCCGAATGTCGTGCATAATAGTTGTGGTGCGCAGAGGACGGCTTGGCTTTGTCCGGTAAGGTGATCCCTATACGAAGGGCGCCAGTGTACCCTTTGTCAGCGCCGGCTGAGGCCAGCAAAGGCAACGGATTGTTTCCGAGGACAGCGCTGGTCTAGCTGGTACCCCAAGCCCACCCTCGACTGAGCAGACGAGAATGACGTCGAATAGGAAGCAGCTATTCGGAGCCGTGCAACGGGAGGAGGCAACCAACTCCTGATCTTCAAGTCAGGAAGATTGCCGAGGTGAGATGAGATGTCTTTGTGCTGCTCATTTTCCTATTTGCGATGGCTGTGGAGGATTAGCAGTCGAACTGACTAAGTTGACTTTCGATCTGAAACCAATCCTTTTATGAGGATCGGCTGGTGGCTCGTAGCGCAGAAACGCATGCTGAGAAACGTCGGGTTGATCCCAAGAATGCAGCGACAAAGTTCCAGTGGAGCGGAATGCTAGACACGTCCGCGCAGCCGCGGTTGTACTAAGCAGCACTTGCTTGTGCACTCGGTACGTACGGCGGTGGTGGTACCAATAAACTTTCGCTTGGAGCCCACAGTTATTACGACGTCTCGGTCGCATTGTGCACTTTGACGTGCGGGATTGCTGATGGGATCTTCCCTGACTGCTAGCCGATCCCTCCCTATAATCACGGGTCTGGTATACGGGTGTAAGTGGGCGGTTGTGTTAGATTTGAGATAAGCAGTTTTCGTGGGTTTGAACGAGGATCGCCACAGCGGTAGAATTTGACAATGTTTCGACGATATTAACGAAACGAAGAGGATGAGATTGTCTCGCAAATCACTTGGCTGGTATCTGCCATGTTGTGTACACTCCGTGGGCCTGTATAATGCAACAACCCCGGCATGGTCCTCTTGAGGCGTGTCAAACTGATGGACAGTTTGATGACAACCCGGTATGCGTGCGTGGGCGGAACAGTCTCAAGAGACACCGATCACAGGTAGTATACCATGTGAGATGTGAGATGTGAGAGCATAGACCTGCTTGTTAACGGCACAGTCCAGTCGGCATACTGCGAGCCGCTCAAGCCGGGTGATGGAATAAACGTGCAGACGCGCAGACGTGCTGACGCACCAGGGAGAAGAGGTCCGGATGGACATGCGGCACAGTATAGACTTACTTAAGCAAGCCAAGAGACGTCAAGGCCACGAGGGCATCCGCAGAGGACGGGATGACTTGCGGGTCCCCGAAAAAGCTGGCCTCATTGGCTATCGCACCCGCTGCCTCGCTGGCCAGGTGGGATCGCATCTTTCGATCTTTTTTCAGTGGCTCCTCATCGCTTTTGCTTGTACAGGTACATTGATTGGTTCAGACAGACTTGGTGCTGGCACACATGCGCTGCTGGAAGGCTGCCCACAGCCGAGCACCTCCCACGTACCATGCTGCACGCATGTGGATGGAATTTTTCGGTGCTAACGGGGGGCAAGCCTCTCTCGCCAGCCCATCCTCGCGAGACAAACAGCCACGATGGGCAGCGTTTGTGAGGAAGAAAAGACTAGCCCGAAGCTCCATGTAATGTAATCACGGAAAATTCCAATTGGAACCAAAAATAGGGGAGGGGCTTCTGGGCAGGCGGTCGCGTCGAGGTGATCGGCTAGTCGGCGCTGGCACGTTGGCTTCGTTGGGCAGACAGAATTCAGTTAGGCTGGCTCTCCCGCACAGATCGATCCCGGATGCGGGCTGCACTCCGGGAGAAATGACATAGTCTGTCCCGTCGTCTGTCCCATCGTGGCAGCGTCCTCGAGACTACTGTATCAGCTAGAGAAATAGACTGCCCCTAGGCCTTATGGAAATAGGGGTCCAGCGAAAATGACCAGTTCGTGGGGTTCTGCCAGGACGAATTGTACGGCCGTTGGCAGGAAGGTGTGGATTGAACAGCTCCTCCATGCGGCGAGATGCCCATCTGTCGCCCTCGTGTGTGTAACTGTGTCTGTGTGTCTGTGTGTCTGTTCATGTTCCTGCACGCCTGCACGGGTGGTCGCAGGGACTGATAGTCTAACCAGCACAAGGTAACAGAAGCAGAAGGAGAGCAAGTTGGGCTGCCTCGCGCCGTTGGCTCGCCGGCGATCTTGGCAGGTGAGGTCCCACGGGGAGGGGGCCATCATGCGGGCGACGTATTTTTTGCTTTGAGATGATGAGATGAGCTGTCACCCTGGTCGTGCCTGGTGTCGCCAGGTGCAGGAAAACGAGATTAGGATGGGATGGGGCGGGATGAGATGGGATGGGGTTGCTGGATTGGGCAGAGGGCGACGGGACGGGATGGCTGGATGGATGGATGGATGGACATGGCAGTGTGTCTCGCAGGCGCCTCGGCAGCTCAGGAGGCTCACCCAGTGGGTGTGCTAAGGCAGGCTACTGACCACATAGACAGGGGCATGGCACATAATGGCAAGGAGGATGGTGAAGCCTGGCCCAGTAGAGTGAGTGAGCGAGTGAGCGAGTGAGGGTGCTCGAGGACGACCTATGTAATATGCCAGGTCTACTGGTCTAGTAGGGCAATTCCATCTCATGGCACGTACGACACGAGAGGTCGATCCATCGCACGAAAGCCAATTGGGCGTGGTCATGTCGTTTAAACCGTGCCGCGCTAGGCTGAAGCAAAATGACAATCGACTGTGTCGTGTCACCCCTCCTGGCCCTCCTCTTGTTCGCTAGATGGGACGCCGCCGACGCTGTTGAGAAGTCCTACTGGGTCAATGGCCCGGGGTCGAAAGCCTCTGCTTTGATCCCCGGTTGCTCACCTGACGCGTGCCCCCCTGATGAGCAATCTACCTTGCCTGTCCAAGTTACGTATGTGGCTGACAGCCTTGTGCTGGAAAAGCAACTCCAATAAAAGCTCTTGCTCTCTGAAGGCTGCTGGTAGGCATAGCACGCATAGTAAACTGCTACCCAAGGGACAATTGCGTGGGATTCTGAGCAGATAGCGCACCTTGATGTACAGATACATGCGTTCTCGTGTGGCCCCGCCCAAGTGGGTGTTTGCCCGCGTAGTCTGCACCGACTGGTGCTGCCTGCCTGCCCGCCTGCCCGCCTGCCTGCATGCCTGCACGTCTGCCCGCCTGCATGTACTGTGTGTAGATGGCACGGATACAAGGGTCCTCGCCTTGGTAAAATGCTACACGCCTGTGCGCGCACACGGCGGGCTCTTATCGCTTTAGCAAAGACGCGACAAACGCTGCGGCACGCCATCCGGGCCACGCCACGCCACTCCATGCCCTTGCCCATTCTTTGCATGTACTGTAGCTGTATCTGTATATGTACATTGTATCAAAGTGTATGCCAGCTATGTGTGCCTCGCTCACCCCGATGGCTGGCCGGCCTTCTAGACTTCACCCCCTTTGCATAGTATGTCATTTAGGGCAGGGCAGGCCTGTTCGGACAGCCATGCCTCGCTAATATCACAGGGCCGAGAACGATAAGACATGTCCTGAACTGCAGAAGAAGCAGGATAGAATCTATACGTACACTCATCCCAAGCCTGTTGCGCAGAGTCGCGATGGACAAGCTGTCTGTTACAGTGACAATTGCTATTCCTGGACTGGAATGGTTGCTCTCAAGGGTACGGTTTCCGTCCTCCAGATTCCAGGTTCTGGGGAACGTTACAGAAGCCTCGGAACGCCATCACATAGAAGTCTCACATTCTATGTATCTACACGCAAAGTCCGCCCTGCATGGCGCTGCGAGTCCATGCGCAAGGTCACACTAGTCCGATGTCCCGACACGAGCATGCTCCATCGGGTTAGGTGCTTAATCTCAGGATGTGATGAGAAGCAAGGGTAGAAGGAAGGCAAAGGTCAATCAGAAAAGGGGAGCTATATGCGCGAGGACGATGTTGAGAAACCAGAGCTTCATTGAATTCAGAACATTTTGTTGATGTGAGCACACACAGAAATTGGTTGGCCAGTCTGGGTGAGGGCGGGCGTGCGGAGAGACCGTTGAAAATACGGAATGACCATGTGGAGCAGCACAGGCCAGCCCAGCCCAGACCAAGCAGCAGCGAGGGAAACCGGCACCGCTTTGGCAGGACAGGAACAGGAACCTTACCATGGAGTTGTCATTCCGTCTCCTCGGGCCCCCAGCTGTCATACAAAAATGGTTGCCACCACCACCACCCGTTTTTGTCTGCCCCCCCCCCCCCCAGTGCGCCCCCACCAGAGCCAACACCATTGGGGGTCCTGTCTAACTGTAATGGTAACAGCCTACCTACTGCAGTACCATAGTACCTACCTATATAGAAATGAGTCCTTTGTGTGTGCGTGTGTGGTGTGTGCCCGCCGTGACAATTCTACGAGAGGACAGAAGAAGGCGACGCATCACATCCCTTGCCTCGCATCACACGAAGACACACACACACACCAGTCAGTAGTCTACAGTACTGTACTGCACTTTACTGCAGTCTGTACAGTAGCTTAACCCAGCTGTGTCGTATCCAGGGAGCCTTGCCGAGAACGAGGAAAAACGTTCGGCGGTCTGTCCTTGGTCGACTTTGACACCAGCCTAAACCTATCAAAGGCTGCAGGGCTTGCAAGCGGGCAGCGTGTCCCAAGACGAACCACCCTCGCCCCTGTCCCCTTGACCCTCCATCCTTTCTCCGCCTTCTGGCCGCGCCGGACCATACCTACCATTACCTACCTGCCATACCCATACCCGCCAGTCCTACCAGACCTGCCATCCATTGAGACCGGACCAGGAACTGGGACTGGAACCGCAACTGGAACCGCAACTAGGACTGGTACTGCGCCTCTGTTCGCTCTAGCCTCTGTCTGGCACCACCTTTTTTCTGTCCGTCTTCGACTCGCGCAGAAGAGAGCCGACAGGTAATCCCAAGCCAGTCCTTCCTCAAACTCGACTGCCTCCTTGGACCTGGCCTCGTCGACCACCGCCCCAATACCTGCGTGAGAACCTCCTTTTCCTCAACTTCTCGCGACGTCTATCCCCTCTCCTCTGCTCCTCAAGGTCGGCTACAACTGCTCCTCCTCCTCCTCCTCCTCCATCCCATCCACCTCTCGGCGCTTTCCCCCCCTGCTCCACAGAACATGTGGGCTTCCTACTAGCCGCTGCCGCTGCCGCTGATTCTGTTCCTTGCCCTCCCCCGACCAGAACCAACCCATCTGCCTGCTTCCCACTTGCTCGTCCTCGTTCATTAACAACGCGAGCCTTCCAGACAACCGCTCATGAAGTCGCCAGCCTCAACCTAGCTACTCCACGCCCTTGATCTTGGATTCTTTTCGCTCCTTAGTCCCCCTTCGACCCGACCCTGAATCCTCGGCATCCCAAGTCTTTCCATGGCCGACAACTCGGCCTTGGCGGCCGCCGCCGCCATCGTGAAGAGCCTGGCACAGGACTCTCACGCCCCCTCGTCCGCACACCGGGGTGCAGGGAAGCTCATTGAGCTCCCAGGTGCAGACACATTCGAGAAGCACCAGCTGGAGCGGGAGCTCGCCGCTCTCGTGTCACGAGTTCACCAGCTCGAGACGAGAGCAAACTCGACCGGTATCGCCAACTTCCCCGACACGCCTAACGAAACCGCTGATTCGGTGTTTGGTGATGATGCAGCATCATCACCTTCAGGAATCGGTCGAGACGCCTCCAAATCGAGACCCGGAAGCATAGGGCGGAACGGGAATAGCGGCGAGAAGTCTGTCCCCCTGACAGACGAGGCGCTCGAAGGCCTCCGAGAGCACGTCGACGACCAGTCAAAACTACTCGACAGCCAGCGGCAAGAGCTTGCCGGCGTCAAGGCCCAGCTCATACAACAAGAACAGCTGCAGGAAAGGGCACTCGCGATAATAGAGCAAGAACGTGTTGCGACCCTCGAGCGAGAGCTATGGAAGCACCAAAAAGCCAACGAGGCGTTCCAGAAAGCCCTTCGCGAGATCGGCGACATCTTGACCGCTGTGGCGCGTGGTGACCTCTCCAAGAGAGTGCGCCTCAATACGGTAGAAATGGACCCCGAAATCACCACATTCAAACGGACGATAAATACCATGATGGATCAGCTCGGCGATTTCTCCTCGGAAGTGTCACGTGTAGCTCGCGAGGTCGGTACGGAAGGAATTCTGGGCGGCCAAGCTCAAATCGAAGGCGTCGCTGGTACCTGGAAGGAACTGACCGACAATGGTACGTGTCGGACGAACACTCTTATTGTTCTCATACTGACTGGCTGTCATCAGTGAATATAATGGCCCAAAATTTGACTGATCAAGGTGAGTTGGGTTCCAAGCTGCGAGAACCCTGGAGGGCTGCTGACCATGACAAGTGCGAGAGATTGCAACTGTAACGACTAGTGTAGCCCACGGAGACCTTACCAAGAAGATTGAGCGGCCCGCAAGGGGTGAGATTTTCCAATTGCAGCAGACCATCAACACCATGGTTGACCAGCTTCGAACCTTCGCTTCCGAGGTCACCAGAGTGGCCAAAGACGTCGGAACAGAAGGCAAGCTAGGAGGACAAGCCGATGTGAATGGTGTGAAAGGCATGTGGAATGATTTGACTGTCAATGTCAATGCCATGGCAGACAATCTCACGACACAAGTGCGCGATATTATCAAGGTTACGACTGCAATCGCAAAGGGAGATCTCACGCAGAAAATCGAGGCTCAATGCAAAGGAGAGATATTCGAGCTGAAGAACACGATCAACTCCATGGTGGAACAACTACAGCAATTTGCCCGGGAAGTTACGAAAATTGCCAAAGAGGTCGGTACCGAGGGACGCCTGGGTGGCCAAGCCACTGTACACGATGTTGAAGGGACTTGGAAGGACCTCACGCAAAATGTGAACGGTATGGCCATGAACCTCACGACACAAGTCAGAGAAATAGCAACGGTCACAACTGCAGTCGCGAGGGGTGATTTGAGCAAACGAATCAGCGTCGAAGCCCAGGGCGAGATCTTGGATCTCAAAAACACCATCAACACCATGGTGGATCGTCTGTCTACATTTGCGTTTGAAGTGTCCAAAGTCGCACGAGAAGTCGGAACGGATGGAACCCTCGGTGGCCAAGCTCAGGTCGAGAATGTGGAGGGCAAGTGGAAAGATCTCACAGAGAACGTCAACGTCATGGCGTTAAATTTGACCACTCAGGTGAGCAGCCATTACTTCCATGTCCCCTTTAGCTGCTTTGTCCAGACCTTTGCTAACTTCATTGCAGGTCAGGGGCATCTCCAGTGTTACACAAGCCATTGCGAATGGTGACATGAGCCGCAAAATCGACGTCGAAGCTAGGGGCGAGATACTCATACTGAAGGACACCATCAACGACATGGTTGACCGACTCAATAGCTTCTGTAATGAAGTGCAACGAGTAGCCAGGGATGTCGGTATTGACGGCATTCTTGGCGGTCAAGCAGACGTCGCAGGGTTAAAGGGGAGATGGAAGGAGATCACGACAGATGTCAACACAATGGCTAACAACTTGGTGAGTCTTTTATTTCGAACGCTTCGACGCCCTCATTTACTAATACAGTACTCTAGACGGCCCAAGTGCGCGCTTTCGGGGACATCACTAACGCTGCCACCGACGGGAACTTCACCAAGATAGTGGAAGTAGAAGCCTCTGGGGAGATGGATGAGCTGAAGAGGAAGATCAACCAGATGGTGTTCAACCTCAGGGACAGTATCCAGAGAAACACCCAGGCCCGAGAGGCTGCCGAACTGGCCAACAAGACGAAATCCGAATTCCTGGCGAACATGTCGCACGAGATCCGGACACCCATGAACGGCATCATCGGAATGACACAGCTTACGCTCGACACCGATCTGACTCAATACCAAAGGGAGATGTTGAACATAGTCAATAGCTTGGCAAACAGCTTGCTCATCATCATCGACGACATTCTCGATCTGTCCAAGATCGAGGCAAGACGCATGGTTATCGAAGAGATCCCATATACGTTACGAGGCACAGTCTTCAACGCCCTCAAGACGTTAGCGGTCAAGGCGAACGAGAAGAACCTGGAGTTGACATACCAGGTCGACAGCTCGGTTCCTGATCATGTCGTGGGTGATTCGTTCAGACTAAGGCAGATCATTCTCAACTTGGTCGGAAACGCCATCAAATTCACGGAGCACGGCAAGGTCAGCCTCCAGATTCAAAAGTCAAATCTTGAGGTCAAGAAGGACGAGTACGCTATTGAATTCGTGGTCAGTGATACCGGCATCGGTATACCGGCTGATAAGCTCGACCTCATCTTCGACACCTTCCAGCAAGCTGACGGCTCCATGACCCGGAAATTTGGAGGTACAGGTCTCGGCTTGTCCATCTCAAAGAGACTGGTCAACTTGATGGGAGGTGATATTCGAGTGGAAAGTGAGCTTGGGCACGGCAGTGCGTTCTTCTTCACCTGCGTTGTACGATCGGCCGTCGACGACGTCTCATATATCGCGAAATCGTTGAACCCCTATAAGGGGCACGAGGTGCTCTTCATCGACAAGGGGAACACCGGTCACGGATCTGGGATAGCGCAGATGCTTCGGGGCCTGGGCCTTTTGCCCTCGATTGTGGATTCAGAGAAAGACCCAATCCTTGTTAAGCAGCGCGAGAAGGGCACCACACCGTATGATGTTATCATTGTGGATGATCTGGATACTGCGAGGAGGCTGCGGGCTATTGACGACTTCAAGTACCTCCCTATCGTTCTCTTGGCGCCTGTTGTACACGTCAATCTGAAGTCGTGCCTCGACTTGGGCATTACCTCGTACATGACGACACCATGCAAACTGATCGATCTCGGCAACGGCATGATCCCGGCACTCGAGAACAGAGCTGCGCCCTCACTGGCCGACAACACGAGGTCTTTTGACATCCTTTTGGCCGAAGACAACGCCGTCAATCAGAAGCTTGCTGTCAAGATTCTTGAGAAGTACCATCACGTCGTGACAGTCGTGGGTAACGGCGAAGAGGCAGTACATGCTGTGCAGAAGAAGAAGTTCGACGTCATTCTCATGGACGTCCAAATGCCAGTAATGGTAAGACTCTTGATTGCCCTAACCCCAACTTTGTGTGAAGTATTTTGTTAATTTTGATGTCTGCAGGGAGGCTTTGAGGCCACTGGCAAAATCCGAGAGTATGAGCGCAGTCTTGGGTCACAACGGACGCCAATCATAGCCCTCACAGCCCACGCCATGATGGGCGACAGGGAGCGGTGTATCCAGGCTCAAATGGACGAGTATCTTTCCAAGCCTCTGCAACAAAACCACCTCATACAGACGATCCTTAAGTGCGCAACCCTTGGCGGCGCTCTGGCCGGGAACCGGGACCGGGACATATCGCGACAAGCTGATGCTAAGGCCGCGGGAACCCGCGTTCCCACCGACCTGTCGGGAAACTACCTGCGGCCACAGAGGCCAGCGCTACATTCACACGGCTCAGACATCGTAAAAGGCCGGATGGACAGCCCTGCTTTGGTGTCAGCTGACCAGGAGGACCCATTGGCAAGGGCACGTAACAGCCTCTCCGCTCCTCCCGCCGGGCAAAAGCGCAAGCGTTAGCTAACTTTACTTTTTTGGCCTGCCACAGCTCATCTTCCGAGCCAACAGCCAGTAGAAGCACTTGTTCGTTATACCTTGACCACACTCCGTCCTGTACACCAGAAAGAGAGAGAGCGCGAGAGAGCGAGAGAGAACAAACACAAATTTGCCGGTTTTTCGTCAGTCAGAGCAAATGCAGCAAAGCAAAACTCACCATTTCTTTTGCGAGCAGCAAGCAGCAGGGCCAGGTCGCTACGGCTATGATACCACGGGGGCTCGTTATGAGTTCAAGTTTCTTCACGTAACATGTCAGTTTATAACGGGGTTTCTTGTTAGGCAAAGGGTTGCAAGGCATTTCACGGCGGCGTTAGTTGATTTTTCAGGGGTACATCTTTTTGAACACGCTTTTACCCCCCCGTTTTGGAAAGTGGTTGGACTGCGTGTTGCGCTAGTGAGCATTTCTCTGAACTCCTGTATGTCTCCAGTTCGGAGGGCATGGCAGCTCAAGCTCGTTTTCTGAGCTTGGAAAACACGAATGGCGATAGCAAAGCATTGTATGCAGAAGACGAGGACGCTGATGAGGTGGACGTGGTAGTGGTGCTGGTGGTGGTGATGGAGGAGGAGGAGGAGTAGGAGGAGGTAGAGGGTGTATGGGATAACAAAGATCATGAGACTGGCGGCCGTGGACCGCGAGAGTTCCCCGCCACTCTCTTGGAAATATTTATTAGTAGTATGTCTACTTCATACGAGGGGGCACAGTCCTTCGCTACTTTCGCTTTTACCACTGCGGTGGCACGTACACACATGCACGATGGGCCTTCCTGTTGGGAGTCCTTCGCTACACATCCCACCCAGCAGTGATAGGCGCGAAGAGCCCGTCTTCTGAGAGCTGGATCGATATGACTGAGGTACATCTGCAACACACATATATGCACAAATCCAAACGCGGTACAGGGCCAGTCATGTTGGTGCAAACATCCCGTAAGGTCCTCGGACCGGGCTGTGACTGAAACCTTGACGGCGGTGATACCTCCGGAATGACGAAGGTCCAGAATGTCTCACCATGTCGCGTACGGTACGATTTCTCCCCTCGCTCCCCTGATCGAGATGATGCGTTACGGTGTGGTCGAGGTGGTGTCCCCACGCAAATGAAAAGGCGTCCGGCTCTCTGCAACCGGGAGATTGGCGTGTGGTTCGTTCCGACGTCGACTGACTCGGCCCCCAAGGAGCTGGTTGGCCGGCTTGGAAACCCGGCTCGGTGAGAGAGATGCCGTGCGGAATACCAAGTGTTTTGTAGCACAGAGCGTCCTTCGGGAACGGAGGTTCGGGCGAGATGTGTGGGTTGTGGTTGGCTGGGTGGGCAAAACCTTGTCGGGCTGCTTGAGTAGCTATGAAGGTATATAGATTGACTGTCATTCGTGATGACGATGTATGGCGTGGTGCTGGCTGCGGCTGTTGCTGCTAATCCTACCACTACTACTACTACCATCACTACCAATACTGCCACTGCCCTCTGCCTCCAACTTGTCGAATGTGTTTTCGTTTCTCCATAGTTTGCGCGGGGTGCATCATGGTCTGAGCGAAACGGTTCGTCCTTCCTGCCTGCCCTGGATGCCAGATGGTCCCCTTGGCCCCTCGGATCACATGTGTGACGGTCCGCAGGATCCGCATGATGCAAGAGAGCTTGTCCCCGGTGTGTGGGATGAACTCTGTTCTGGGTATTCTGGATGCGCCTTCAAGCTTCATCCATGAGCCCTTCTGGGGGCATTCGAGCTGTTGCTGAGCAGACCCCTGTCTCACATGGCTCCCGTGGGAATCTAATACCGAATGGTCTCCTATGCGCACAGGTACAGCACAGCACTGCTACTACGCAATAGGTGGAGCAGCTGGACCCCTGTGACCCCTGCCCCCATCACAGGCCAGCGAACACCTTCTTGCCCAATGCACTGCGACCTGCCCCCCGACGAGGGGAGCACTAAGGTGAGGGAGGGGACCAGGATGCGGGCCAGGCTCGTCAATTGCAGGGAGCTTGCATGAGTGCAATTATTTTTTGTATAGATCTCACTTCTGGCTCCCGCTCCTGGTCCGGGAGAGGAATGGGATGGGAGAATGCCTTGACCTATTGATCATCACCATATAAGCTGGGTGTTCTCATTCTGTAGAGGAGCTCTCCTGCGTCGCGTTAGGAACAGTCTCTGTCTTGCAACAGAGAGAATTGAGCAACGCTGCACACGACTGCCCCAGTCTCAGTCTCCCCCGCCTCGTGCTGCCCTGGAGCATCTCGAACGTACAAGCACACGTAACACGTAACACGTAATACGCCCCAGGCCTCCCTCTCTGATCACCAATTTCTCTCCAGAATCCTCACTCACTCGCTCGCTCACATCCCCCCCCCTTCTCCTTCGATCCTCCCTCACGCCATCTTCCAGCAGCCCGCCGCCCACCATGGTCATCAGCTACCCACCCCTCGAGGACCGACCCCTCAAGAACACCATCTGCCTCTTCGACGTCGATGGCACGCTCACGCCGGCGCGGCGCGGCGTCTCGGCCGAGATGCTGAACCTGCTCGCGCGGCTGCGCCAGAAGTGCGCCGTCGGCTTCGTGGGCGGCAGCGACCTGGTCAAGCAGCAGGAGCAGCTGGGCACCCCGGACGTGGCCGTGACGACGCTCTTCGACTTCTGCTTCGCCGAGAACGGCCTGACGGCCTACAAGAACGGCGAGCAGCTGCCCTCCAACAGCTTCATCCGCTGGCTGGGCGAGGACCAGTACAAGGAGCTCGTCAGCTTCTGCCTGCACTACGTCGCCGACCTCGACATCCCCGTCAAGCGCGGCACCTTTGTCGAGTTCCGCAACGGCATGGTCAACGTCAGCCCCATCGGCCGCAACGCCAGCGTCCAGGAGCGCAACGACTACGAGAAGTACGACAAGGAGCACCACGTGCGCGAGAAGTTTGTCGAGAAGCTGCGCGAGCGCTTCGGACACCTTGGTTTGACGTGAGTCTCTCTCCCTTGCGCCCCTGCCCCCCGCCCAATTGGACGGGAAGGAGGAGCCAGTGACTAACTGTCTCCGTTTTCTCGACGCACAGCTTCTCCATCGGCGGCCAGATATCATTTGACGTCTTTCCCAACGGCTGGGACAAGACATACTGCCTGCAGCACCTCGAGAACGAGGCCAAGAAGACCGGAGGCATCGCATACACGACAATCCACTTCTTCGGCGACAAGACGTTCAAGGGAGGCAACGACTACGAGATCTTCAGCGACCCGAGGACGGTCGGGCACTCGGTGACGGGGCCCGAAGACACGATGGAGGAGCTGAAGAAGCTGTTCGAGCTGGAGTAGAGTTGTGCTGGCTGGGCCACCCGGTGCTGCGGCGTGCCTAGAGTGGATGTTTTTTCTGCCGGGCTGGCGTATGTCTTCCGGCTTGTGATGGGGAAACGGCTTATTGAGATACCAAGTAGACAACCATGCCATTGTCTACATGCCCTTTGGCAATCATACCCACTGCATTTGCATCATTTGTACCGTTGCTCGAGAGTCTCACGGTTTGTTGTGAATAAGGTGCTAGCGACTGAGGAAACAGAGGCAAGTGTTAATCGGAATTGCTTTACCTGTTGAATTCCCCACAGATGGGCAGGTGTTCAGAGCGATTTACTTGCAGGCTTGCATTTTCATCCTGTCGACCTCTATCCCAGAAGGTTTAAGCTTATATACAAGGACAAATAACGACTCTAATTTTCTTGCTTTTTGCGCCGGTTTTTTCATCAGCATCGTCTATCGACCGGTCAATTGGAACGAGAGTTGTGAATGTCCAGAACCAGTATGTCCGTCGCCCCGACCTTAGCGAGCTCGTCCATCGTGGGGGCAATCTTCTTCTTCTCGACCATGGCGCTGACAGCGACCCAGCCCTCCTCCTCGAGCTGTGTTATCGTGGGCGCCCGCTTGCCGGGCGTGATGGATGACGCCTGGCTGAGGTGGCTCCTGGGTATGTTGTACTGGCAGAGCACGTATCTCTGTGCGGTGATGACGCCTCGGATCCGCGAGGCGATCAGCTCGACCAGCTCCGGTTGTGAGGGCGCTTTTGACTTGATCAAGATCGAGGAGGACTCGACCACGGTGTCTATTGGCTTCAGGCCTGCGGCCTTCATGGTCTCGCCAGATTCTGTGGGATTGGGTCAATTGAGTGTGCTTTGGCACCATGAATAGAGAGGATTGGTCAGGGCAGAGTAGAAAGGGAACACTGACCAACAAGATCAACAATTCCATCCGCAACACCCAAGGCGCACGCAGCCTCCACACTACCGCTCAGCTCAATGATCTTTGTCTTCAACTTGCGCGAGGGGTTGAACGAGTCCCCGTCTGCCGATTGGCCGTCCTGCTCCAACTCCAGCCTGGTGAAGTACTCCTGCGCGAGGTGGACGAAGCTGGTGCCGATGTTCTTGCCAATCAGGTCCTTGCCGTGGACGTAGCTGCCCTTGACGGGGACCTGGACCTGCAGCTTGCAGGCGCCGAAGCCCAGGTCCATGACCGTCTCGCATCCGCGCGGCTTGCCGTCCTCCGGGGTCAGGTCCCCGGACATGCGCCGCGCCCTCGTCGAGTTCCTGTAGCCCGCCTCGTACTCCTGCACCTGGTCGTAGCCCGTGATGCCCAGGTCCACCTGGCCCTCGCCGATGAAGGTCGGGATGTCCGCCGCCGGTAGGAAGATCAGCGCGATGGGCAGGTTCTTGACGAGGGCGATGTCGAGTCGGTTCTCCCGCCGGAACTGGATGTCGGCGCCCTCGAGCAGGTTAAGTGTGGCCTGTTGCAGCCGGCCCTCTGGCAGGGGTGTTAGCTGGCGTTCAGCGGCTCAGGGAGTAGAAGAGGCAGGGGCGCCGGCGTGGTAACGTACTTTTGGGGACGGCGAAGAGTAGCCGCCCTTCTAGGCTTCGCGGTTGTGTCAGCTGGCGTCACGGTTTTGTTGCGTGCCAGAGGCACATCGGCGAGCGGGCGGGTGAGGTTGCACACGCAACGCCGGCTCAGAAAGGGGGTAAGAGCATACTGGTTTACCAAATCCATGCTAGCAATGTCTCGGCTCCAATCAATGGCGGGACTGACAACTAAGGGCGACTGAGGGGTTCGTGGCAGCTGCCAGTGGTCAGCTATAAGTATGGCAGAGGAGTATTTGGTGGGTGAGTCAAGCTCGGGAATAGCATCCATGAGTCAATAGAGGGGCAGAGGGGCAGAAGATCAGGTCGATGTCTTGGAATTCTGGCATCTCACGGGCCAATTGGACATACCTTGGACTGAAATTAAGTACGATATCAGGGATTATCTACTTGAGGTCGCTTTGAGAGAAATGGCGGATATGGTGTTGCTCCCAAATGGTGTCACGGAAGATTTCTGCCATAGATAGACGTTACTAAACGCACGTTCCTGTACCGGAGCTCTCAACGGCTCGCTCGCAGCTCAGTTGTCAAACCTGGAATGGCGGGGCAACTGCAGATAGGCGAGCGAAATGATTTGCAGCACTAGAGTCTATCCAGTCTGGCGCCTGCAGGACTGTTCAGGGGTACCGGCATATTACTGCACGGTGGTCTACCGCTGTTACGGATTACATAATTTGCCCAACTACTACCCTCAATATCCTTCTATCTGTATGTTATATTTAAAGAACTGCTCTACAGTTTGTAGGTATTGCAATAATAGAACTTAACTATACAATCCACCTCAGACAGCAGTCTACACTACTACACTTTATAAGATTGTTAAAAGGTTAGAATTAGAACATCTTTTAGACTAGGATGTAGTCTTCTACAGTTGAGCTGTCATACTGCTTAAATTAATATATTATCAGGAGGAATATGTTCTGAAAATATAAAATAGCTTATATATTAATATAGTGTCCTATGCTATTGTATTATAATAATGTTGCTAAAGGGTGAGAACTCTAGAATACTTTCTAAAATATAGTATAATCTGATGTAGCTGTACAGTTGCATATATCAACGTTGTAAGGTATATAAATATCAAGAAATTTTTTAATTTGGGTTTTAATCATGTGGTAAATTAACAATTCTTTAAGTCTGTCCATTTAGGGGTACGATGAGCCTCGCCTTCGATAGATAGATATACTTCATTCGCGCCGATAGCAAGTGCGTTTGATATCCAATCCACATATGACCAATCCACTCTCTCCCTAGTGTCCGTTTATTCTATACAAGTCCATCTGAGTTCACATCATTCAGTTTTCGTCCAAAATTTCCGAAAATTGTTTGAGACTGCGAGAAATGGCCAGTTCTCACAACCACGGAGCGTCTCGGGCGCTGACCCGCTTGAGTCCCGGTTGTTGTTCACTTTGAGACTTTGATTCTCCTGCTTATTATCGGGCCTGAGCATTCAAGAGGATGAATCATGTATGATCTTTCCATGTATAGCATCCATGTACGTTTGTTGAATGAGCATGCCATTGCTTTCGGACACACTGCTATACAATACCATCTTAGGCGCAATGCTGATGTGCAGTATTGGGTAGTGCCAATCACAACGGCGGGACGAATGATTATGTCTGATATATCTGTTGTAACTACATCACCTTCATCACCTTTTGTGGGCTCATGAGTGTGGAACGGCCAAGTCGATAGCCTGGGAACTCCAGGAGGCTGCTTTTGGTACAGATTCTTGTCCATCCTTACCGTTCCATGTGACACCCACCATCGACACACCACCGCCTCAAACGGTCAAAGATTCACATCCCATGCCCTCTTCACGTGCTTTCTCCGAACAGAGAAGCATTTTAAGTCCAAGCTTATCCATATCGAAGTGGTATGGTTGTGGATGACCGCGCCTCGACAACACTCACAACAACGGCAGAGAACCCGTCTTCCATAGAAGAACATCACCCACACATACAGGACCCAAAGACGGTCGCCTCCTTCTCTCGAACGCGGATCTGGGTACACTCCTTCTACTTACAACCCGCCCATGATACCTTGAAAAGGCAGTCATCGCTCTGCCCGGATCTAACTCTGCCCCCGATCATTCGAGGGTACACAACCAATCCTGCCAAGGAGGAACAGGAAATTCTGGTGCACGAAACCATTCCCAGGCAGGCATGATATCAGAGATCATCGTCAGCTACGTTTGCCGGTCCCGAGGTCGCACACCTTTGTCACCGAACTTCGTCTTGTCTCTGGTGAAACAGCCAACTAGTGACATTTGGCCGACCCCATCACGTGTTGACACACCTGGAGGGATATTTGACAACACAATCTCGACTCCCATTTTGATCCACACGCAGTTCCCACTGGCAAAAGCACCTTCTGATACGCCTCTTAAGTCCGTCACGGTTGTAGCCAGCCTCACTGTTTGGTACCGCGTGACTGGGTGTGGTTCCACCCTTAAGCACATGCTACTGATTATTTGAATTATAATCAAGTCTCTCCCTTTTGAATGCGCCTGTTTTCCGGACAACCTTTCAGTCAGTGGAAGAACTATCAAGTCACGAAGCAGAGAGAAACGCAGCACAGTTTTTGACAGCATTTCGTTCACGCGGTACTTTACGAGATACTGCTCCCTCACCAGTAACACGGAAACGAGGCCCTCACCGGCCGTGTCTTTAGCCGTCGTTCTCGATTCCCGGCATATTCAATTATACCGTGGGTCTGTCTACAAACATCAGCTCTCTTAATTCGAAACAAACAGCACTATTCTTCATCGGATCATTACCACGCTCTCCAAGCTTTCATCCTACGTACCTGAGCATCCTATCATCTACGTCTTTGATTCGGCATTTCCTTTCTCCTCAACTCTGCATATTCTGTATTGCCTTTTGGTGAGATCTCATAACAGGCAGAGATGAATTCCTCCAGTAGCCGCCGTCCAGGCCAGAGTTCTCGAGGACATCGATTGTCCAAGAAGCCAAAGATGAGCGACGACGAATGGAATCAGTCTGTTGCGAAATTCCAAAAGATCGTCGACAGCGAGGCGTCCGATGATCGTTCAATACAAGTGGCCTGGGACACCCTGCGACAAGACTATAGGAACAAGTTCAACGCGAAGGTGTCTCCTCACGCTACGCAACAGAACGAAGAGCCTTTTGGTCTTTGGGCTGCGGAGAATCTAAGCGGACATACACTGGATCGAGTGCTTTGCCTGGTATTTCGAAAAGAATTGGCCGAGTGCAACCACATAACTCTTCTAAGAAGTACTGCTGCGAAAGCAAACATCACAGTAGGGCATATCCTGCTTTACTTTGGCGCATCCATGTTCTCTGAGTCACTTCTCGGTCACGTTAGAAAGCGAATTCGCGTGTTTGGCAAAGACCCTGTGAGCGGATCCTCGGCTTTCAAAAACGCCTATCTGAAAGTGCTTCGGGCTACAGCACAACGTACCAAGGTGGCCTTGGATACAACCTCCATTGCTGCTCCCAATCCAGGCCGCATTTTTTCTAGTCCTGACCTGACCACTATGGCCTCTGCTAACCCCGAGTTTGACCCTCCTTCTATGCGGAGACCGGGCAGCGCCATTGGCAGCTCTCAGGTGCAGGGACAGGGAGCGAAATACTTGGCATCCGTCCTCGCCAGGGACGCGTTCGAGTCCAGCAGCATGGATATACGGAATCAAAACAAGAAGTCGAGTGGCAGTTCCAGCATCCTGGGACGGGAAGATGGCTTGCTCCTTACCTCCACCGGTGGCGAGGTCATCAAACCATCTATTGAGTCTAATACACAAGACCGTCAACCTGGTCGTGCTAGCCACATTTCCACTGGATCACGTTTCCATCGCGCCGAGTCCGAGGGTCAGCGTAGCTACCTTCCTTCTGTCGCTCCAATGCCGCGACCGATTATAGGTGGACACACTAGCACTCGTCGGAATCCGCCACGTAAGGGTAGGCCGAGTCCATATTATGCTGCGATTGCCCCGACCAATGCTGGCGATGTATTGGGTGATGATGATGAGAACGCCGTTGAAAACGGAATCAAGGCCGAAACTTCTGCAAAATCGCAACTCAATAGGTCTGTCGATGAGGACTCGCAGACCAGGGTGGGCTCCACCATCCACTGTGCTCAGGAAACGCTTCAAGCCACATCGAAGCGGCCCCTTCATGTAGAGGAAGATGAGGCCAACACAACGGGCGAAACCGGGACCAAGCGTTTGAACAAGCGTGCTACGCGGAGTGATCTTCTGGACCAGGAGCGGGACTGGGATGATGAGACGGTCCTCATCATCCTCAAACAGCTTGAGGCTACGTGCCGTGCTGACTACATTGTGGTCGACGGCATGAGAGACGGCAATACGAGGACGCAACCCCAAATTACCGGAGAAGCTGGGAAGAGAGGCTCGCTGCTCGTGCCCCTGAAGCTTGCGGACGGACAACGCTTACTGGCGGTTGTGGACCTCGACCCCCCAGGAAAGCCGGGAAAAGGTGTGATGCGATACTACGATCCTGGTGGGCCTCCGGATGAGGATGCAGTGGCGAAGTACATTCCAGCAATGAAGCTCATACTGCTGTTAACTCGCGTCCTGCCTGGCCGAGATCACGATCCGGCCCTTTGGAAATCAGAATACTGTGTCTGCCCTGAGCTCTCCTGTGAGAAAGATATGGGCCTATCCATATGTCTGGAAGCCATGTACGCAGTCGGTGGCCGCCCTCTCCCCGATACGCTGGACTGGGTATTCTGGAACCACCTGTTGCTTGGGGCTTTCTTTCCAGATGACAAAGCTGTGCAGATGCGGGTTGCACACTACCGATACAGTACAGTCCACAAGCTCATCCGTCAGGGACAGATGTCAGATGCAGCACTTGTGCCCCAGGGAAGACTGGTTTCCTCGGACATTGAGTATCTGGGAACCGCAGCTATGAACCCTGTTGATCGGATTGAATGCCGAGCAGACAACACAAAGAAAATTCTGGGAGTCATCCACGAGGGCTGCAGGGTCTTTCACAACCTCCAAGAGCAACTCGACATTGGAAAGGCTGACCTCAAGACCAGGCTCGACAAGAGCATACACATTCGAGATAGCCTGCGTCACAAACTCAACATTGGTGACAAGATTGTGCTCGGGGCACCCCCTACGAAGATAGAGGATGACGATGAGACTGCAGAGTCCTTTAACAGAATAACTCTGCAGCAAGCCATCGAAGAGCACAGCTTTTGCAAGACTCAGCTTGAGAAAATTACAGCCAGTACCGACTCCATCCGCAACGCTCTCCATGAGCTGGCTATTTGGCGTCGTGAGGTGAACGCAGCCGTATTGGAAGATGATGCGAGTCTCTCAAACAAGCATGCAGGTTAAGACACAGAAGAAACACGATTCATTGTCACTCATGATGTTCATTGGAGTCTCCCTAATTGGGTTGATCTTTGGTCAGAAAGGGAAATTGGAAGACATCAAGGAAGAAAAAAAATGGGATAAAGAAGGAATACGAGAGTTGCTGTGGGGTCGGTGTTCGGTTCTCAAGATTGCGGAGACTCAGTCACTACGGGCTGTTCTCACTACAGACATGATCAGGATCAGGACGGCGGTAATCTAGGCTATGGCTCTGCGTCGAGCACTCCTGCTGATAATATGCTTTCAGTGTGGTTTCTGCCATTTTATCGATGTGGTCAGGTGAAGGAGAAAAGCGGCTCTTGAGCCACACCAAGGCGGCATGACCAAACGGAAACGGTCAGGGGTCACTAGACAGGCAGGGAGATCAAGAGGGCGAAAATTGACGATTATGCTTACCAGACATGATATATGGATGATCGCAAGGAACGATCCTCCCTCATCTGGCTTCCGTTCCTGTCATCTTTTGCAGGTGTCGGGCAGCGTAAGGGATGAAGCAAAGCCAGTTTAGTCATCTCGGACTGAGACTTCCCTGACAGCCTGATTAATGGAGAGTTGTCATATGTATAGGCCGCAGCATCCATGAAGAGAAGAATCCTAGATTCCGGGTGTAGTACTATTAGTAGTATTTGAGTGTGCATTATAATGTTGTGTTATTGCCACCACATGCACCCGAGGATCTGGATCAGGCCCACTAGATGCAGCGATCTCACGCGGGCCGCACGCACTAAGGCGCTAAATATAGTGACAGGTGCACAGGCTGGGGGCCTGACAGGCGATGCAACCGGAGCAGTCCCCTGGCGCTAAGGGGGTACGTCACCTTCTTTGAGAGATGATCTTATCTCCTCCACATATCCCTGTCCTGCACCTAACACATGTCTCAATCCTAACCTTCTCCCACTCCCTCTTCCTATGGCTCTTGACACCTAGCATTGACTCTCCCTGCCCTCATTGTCTCATTCGATGAGGACACAATCTCCCAACGAAAGCTTAACAACCGAGACCTGATACAGCAGCCAAGGAAGTATGTGAGCATCTCTAGCTGAAGCAGTCGCTTGACCGCACAGCCCCCTTTGCACACCACATCGTCTCCCATTGTTCGATGCGCAAGATTCCCAAAGAAATGGCATTCAAAAAAGAGATAGCCACAGAAGCTCGTGACCTAAGAAATGGAATGCTAACACGGAGCTCTCCAGCAAGTCGCGACAACCCCCACGACCACGCGCGAGCCGAGCATTACGAGTACGCCGACGAGGACGAGGACGACCGCCGAGGTGGCTTCCGCAAGCAACGACAGGAAACCCCACCAGGAAACGAACACAGCTCGAGACGGCTCACAGAGGTACCCGTACTGCTCGAGGGGTGGGATTCGCCAGCGCTGGGCCGGGAGCAAATGTCTTCCTTCACCGGCCAGCCCGGCATCAAGGGCAGAAATGAGTCCATTCGCATGATGCTGCTATGTTTCATCCACTTTGGCATCACGTTCACATGGTACTGCTTTCCCATAGCTATATTCTCCATACGGGATGATCCGAAGTACTCGACGGCGGCATCGACGCTTCCCCCTTTCCAGGTATGGCCCCACGCAGACCGGGCAGTGTTCGGGAGCGATGATGGTCACAACTTGGGGGGAGGGGGGGGGGGAGGCAAGATGACCCCTGTGCTTGGTTCATACATCATCTTCCAATTCCATTGCAGTCTGAAGAATTTCCCCACTGACTGAATATCAAGGGGGGTCGAGATGACCTATTGCACACCGTATCTCCTCAATCTCGGATTGACAAAGAGTCAAACATCAGTAGTGTGGATTGCTGGACCGCTGAGCGGCATCATTACGCAACCAATTGTCGGTGTCCTAGCGGATTCGAACAAGTCAAGATGGGGACGGAGGAGGCCGTATATCTTTTTTGGGACGATCATCGTCGCTGCGTCGCTCTTGGTGCTGGGTTGGACGAGAGAGATTGTCGCTTGGCTCCTGCCTGCGGAAAGCGATTTCACTAAGAAATTCACCATCTTCTTGGCTGTGTTGGCTTTATACGTCACAGATTTCGCTATCAATGCAGGTGAGTTTCGAAGCCCTTTTGCCCCTACTACTTAGCCTGGGCTAAGACAACATATTGTAGTTATGTCGTGCTCGAGGAGCCTTCTTGTCGACACTCTGCCCATTGCGAAGCAACAGACAGGAGCTGCCTGGGGAGGACGAATGGGCTCCTTCGGGCACATTGTAGGCTATGCAATTGGCGCCATCGACCTGCCCGGAACCTTCGGCCCACGACTCGGGGATACCCAATTCAAGCAGCTGACCCTGATCGCCTCCATGAGCATGCTGTTTACCGCAGGAGTGACCTGCTGGGCGGTGACGGAGAGGGTGCTTGTCTCGGTGCGTCAGGACCCTCGCGGCTCGTCCGAGGGGCGCTTCAAAGTAATCCGCCAGATCTGGTCGACACTCATCGATCTCCCACCTCGAATTCAGATCATCTGCTGGGCTATGTTCTGGGCCTGGATAGGATGGTTCCCATTCCATTTCTACGGGAGCACTTGGGTGGGCGAGACCTACTTCCGCTACGACGCCGCCGCGGCCGCCGCGGCCGAAGGCAGCACACACGCCCCTTCTGACGCGCTGGGCGACATGGGTAGAATCGGGAGCTACACTCTCACCATCTACTCGTTCATGACCTTCGCCGGCGCCTGGCTCCTCCCGCTGGTTGTGCGCGCCCCAGAGGACGAGAAGTTCACCCACCGCCCGCCTGCGAGCATCGCGCACCTGGTGGAGGGGTTCAGCAAGCTGAAGCCGGACCTGCTCACCGTCTGGCAGACGGGCCACTTGATGTTTGCTGGTGCGATGTTTCTCGCCCCCTTTGCGAGGAGTTTCCGTTTCGCTACCGCTCTTGTTGTCTTCTGTGGAATACGTAAGAGACCTCTTCCCCACCTTCTCAATCTAGCCTTCTTTCCTTGCCCAAATCAAAAAGGTCATCTACTAATACACGATGGTAGCGTGGAGTATAGTCTCCTGGGCTCCAACAGCGACAATGGGAATGGAAGTCAACAAGCTCAGCACCACCGACATGAATACCTCATATCGCCGCCTGTCCGACGCCGACGCGGTCCAACTCTCGACAATCCACTTGGAGCATGGGCCTCATGAAGAAGGCACCGAGACCAGCAGCGGGAGTACGGGGGAGCTGTCGGGTATCTACTTCGGTATTCTGAACAGTAAGTCAATTTCTGACAGTCTTTTGACTGGGGACCGCAACCGCCCCGATTTCCTCTTTTCATCTCTGCAAATATTTGGTGAAACAACTTTGCGCTGACAAGAGCCTCACAGTCTACCAAACAATACCACAATTCATAGGCTCCTTTATCAGCACCGTCGTCTTCAGTATCCTCGAGCCTGGCAAGAGCCCTGAGCTGGCGACCGACGCTCACCCCAGCGAGCATCACTCCACCTCTGGGCCGAACGCCATCTCGGTGTGTCTTTTCATCGGGGCCATTGCCGCGTGCGCCGCCTTCGTGGCAACCAGGAGGCTGAAGTATACGCCGTGATTACTTGCGGACTTTTTTCTCTCTTCTACAGGCGATTGGAGGGGAGGCATATACGAGAGCCCTCGAGAGAGGCGCCTTTGTCTTTGTTTTTGGAAAGGGAGCGCGGATAAACTGTGAAGCTTCGTTGGGAGGGCAAGATACCCCGGTGAGGATGCGAGTAGGCACACATTCATACGTACAGGTGAGGAAGCAGTCAGAGGGATCACTCGATAGAGAAAACTCGGAAGCAAGGCGCACGGTAGTCATTGGAGAGGTCTTGTTTTGTTCATTCGCGATTTTTCCACTAGGTCGGGACGGCTTTACATCGGTCAGGAGGCGTTTTCATCCCTTAGTCTTGAAATCAATTTCATGTACAGCTCACAAGGATCCCGAAGACCTGGACATGGGCCTGGGCAGGGTGTCCGCAAGGCTACAGGGCAAAGCCCCGCTGTGATCAAATGCTGATCAAGCTGTACTCGATCAATCGAGGTCATCGTGGTTTGTAGCTTACTTGTTCTCTGCTTGTCCGTTCAGAGGTTGGTATCCCTTCCACCTTGCACGTGAGATGGGGTTTGTCTTTGCAAGACAATTGGTATTATTGCTGGATATCTATCTATCTACGTCCGGGAACGCACAGCTGTGGTCATCCCCCTGGCCCATTTGCTGACTCCACGTATTACTTCAGTCACGTCCTTTCAAAGCTCAAGAAATCACGAAAGGGGCGAGTTGAGACGCGATATATCAGTCTGGTTGTCATGCGTGTAAGAAATAATCGTGGGTATGCGCAATGAAGATCAAAGCAACCAGCTTCCTGCGTAAACCCATAATTCCGTACCGTGTCATCAAAACCACGAACACATGTCTTTCCTACCACACAAAAAGCGGGCATGTCCAGAGGCCCATGGCAGTGGTCGAATCGAAAGGTTGAAAGGAAATGCCCATTGCGGAGTCAATTACAAAAGAAACCTAAGTCGAATCGATTTCCAACCCCAACGCCGTCAGTATATCGGTCTCGAGCCCGGCTCTTCCCACTTCTTATGGACACCCGCTCTATCGACAAAAGGAGTCTCGTCTCCAAGCTGTATATCGTCTGGGCTCATAGAGCTCCGCGCGATGGTCCTTCTTCTCCGGGCGCCGGTCTCGCCCGCCCCACTGGGGCCGATCCATTCCCACGCGCGGCCGATTTCCCCGTTCACACCCTCCCGTTGACCGGTCCGCACATTAGAATTCTGCTCAATCACGGCCTTAACGCGCTTCCAAATCCGCTCGCGCTGAGAGATTGAATGTACAGCTCGCAAAACATCGTCCCGTAGGTTTGGCAAGAAGAGAAATGTGTCAACCTCGCCGTCGTCATCGTACGCCAACTCCTTTTGCGCCGATAATCTCTCGAGAACCAGATCGACCAAGCCGGGAATCTGCGCCGAGATGGCGCGGTGAGTCCTGTATTTGGAACGACCGTACAGCACCGACAAAGCAGAGAAAATCACTGAAACAATGCTGAGTCGATGTCGTTCCAGTCCGAGGCGGACGGAGCGGCGGGCCGCGCACCCGAGCGGAAGGCGAGCGAGAGAGGTGGACGCCAGGTAGGTGTCTGAAACGGTTCCGGAACTGGAAGAAGTTCTGGATCGAAGACAGGTCTGGTTAGTTGGGCTTTGGTCAGAATGAGATCTCTAAAGTTTGTTTTTGGACTTCCGCAAACAGAATAGGAATGATGAGGGCCACTGTCTGCTCGTAGGACATGTCTCCTGCCGCGTTCATGGGACGAAGCCTGAGACTGCGCTCGTAAAGGGGGGGGGGGGGATTCAAAAGGAATCAACAGGAGTCAAACTTACGGGTCTACTGGCTCTTCCTTCTTCTCGACAACGACCTCGTCTCTTTGCTCGATTTCCCCAAGCGCCGCGGTCCATAGATCATCGAATTCCTTCTTGCTGAGCTTCTTACTCCTCTTCTCGCTGACGGTCTCCTTCAGATCCTCCACTGCGACCATAGGGTTCTCGGGCACCTGGCCGTTCTCATTGACGAGCTCACCGCATTCAAACTTGGCCTTACGGTCCCGGAGCTCCTCCACGGCCCTGTCCGCGACAGCCTTGACGCGGCGGAGCTTCTCACTGTCAGCCTCACAGGTAGGCGGAAGTGGGATAAGCCCGTTGGCAGACAAGGGATGGGGCTTCAGGATGAAGCCCTCATCACATCGCACGGAGTGGTCGGCGTAACAATAGGCGTGAGGTGGGCACGGCTCGCATTCAGGCTCGGCAAGCGGAAAGACCCATTCCGGCACGTCGAGCTTGAAGTCTTTATACTCGACCTGCCGGGGAATGATTTCTTGCGCAGGCCTTCCAGCCCCACAATATCCAACTGCAATCTTCTCTTGTCGATACCAGGCGCCGTAAGACCCGAGCAGGACGGTAATGAGCAGCCAGAAGGGTGTTGCCAAATTGGTGGAGCGTCTGGGCTGGCGAACAGGCGCGACGGCCGTCTGTGCTCTCAGGGCATCTTCTTGTGCAAGGGCAAGTTGCTCGTCAGGTGTGAATTCCTCGCCAGCCTCAACCTCCTCGAACACTGGTTCAGGCGTGACAGGTGTCATTGGGCGGGTGAAGGCAGGCACGGGAACGGCCACCGATTTTGAATATCCTGCAGACTCATATGTATCGGCGCTGGGACCATCTGTGCGTCTCCTGGTGGAGGATGCAGTGGATTTCTTTGCAGTGGAATCCTGTCCGGCAGTCCTCCTCCGGTTTGACGGGGTTGCCATGGGGATGGGAGAGCTGCCGCTCTGGAAAGGGTTGTCACTGGTAAAGACGGCGCCAGGCTCGGCGGAGTGCTTCTGATATGGCGTGTCGTCGTCTGAATACTCTTTCTTGACCTCTGGCTGTGGAGTCAGATCTGGCTGACGCGATGTCTTGCGCGGGGAGCGCCTGCTCTCATAGTGGCTGTCGGTGTCGGTGTCTGACTGGGCGAGCTGTCGGCTGGCGGATCGCGCCTGACGTTTCCTGGGACTCAGAGAGAGCTGTGCAGGCAGATGGTCGGGCTCTTCGGAAGCCTGCTTGAAGCTCCTGTTGGACTTGCGAGGAGAAACAGCCCTCCGCCTTGAGCTTGGGACCGGTGCCAAGTCCTGGTTCGCGACTGAGTAGCCCTGGGAGCCGTCTATGTTGGTGATGCCCATGCTGGACCTCTTGGCCTTCTGGCGCTGGGCCAGCAGCTTCCGTGCTCGTGGGGCAACGGTGTCATTGAAGATCTCGACGAGCTGTGCCTTCTTTGCAGTGGCGGGGTAAGGGACATTCTGGCTGACGAGGATGGAGCGCAGGCGCGGAATGGTGACCGAGGAAGGCTCGAACTCGGGCTGCAGGTAGTCGACCTCGGAGTCGGACATGATTGCGACGCGGCGTGGTGTTGTTGGTTGTCGGGAGTCGAAGGGGAGAGGACAGGTGTGCTCGCGCTCGTGCTCGCGCTCCAGAGACGTTGGAGGGAGATGATAAAGATGACCAGATAGACAAGCTTGATGGGATGGATCGTGCTATCTTCCAAGGTTCAAAGCGTTCATCAGCTGTCAGCTAGAGGGTGTCCTAGGCCTGATGCGGATGACGGCATGGGCGGGCCAGGTGCGACCGTGTGATAGGGCGGGGAGAGCAGGTAGCGCGGCTGGCGGCTGTGTTGGTGATAAGCATGAAACCAGCAGCCCTTTGTTGATGGCAGAGCGCGGCGGGCAGAGAGGCCTTCTAGAAGGGTCGCAGAGCACAGCAGCGTTTGTCTTGTTGGACTGACAGACTGGCAGGCTGGTATGCAGATGCGCAGTGTTGCTTTGTCTCGTCTGCTGGTTTATGCTATGTAACAGTAAGAGGGAAGAAAATGCGCCAGGTGGAGTCGGGTGGAGTGGTAAATAAACCTTCACCTGATGCAGTAATTAGTGGTGCCTCCCGAGGCACGGACGCGTTGGCCGGGCAAGTGGCGAGAACGAGGGTAGGGGTGAGCAGGGCAGCAGGGGTGCCTAGGAACTTGGCCTAAGTGTCTAGCTTGGTCCCGTCTTCCGAACGGAGTGGCAACTTTGGCTCCGTCTTCCTGGCTGCCTCTTGTTGACGTCCTCTTAGACTACGATAGAATCCCTGGCTTACCAATGCGATTCTTAATGCATTCTACAGTACTATATTTGAGCGAATCACATGCTTGAGAAATATTGATACTCCCAAAAGACTGTATTGATCACATGGACTGTATGAGTAGAACGAGTGTGTTGATGTTGCCTGAAAGTCAACCTTTTTTTTTTCTCTTTATTTCCTTTTTACCTTTTTTTTTTCTCTCTTTTTCTCAGAATAACTTCAATCATACCCGCGTGTTTCTCTCCTTTCCAGAACGCCCTATATACTTACCGTAGAGATGTAATGACTGTGGTGTGTCCAAAGTAGTGAAGATGGTGAAGATATCATGATTCGTTTCTCAGTGCCACGAAATACATGTGATGCGCTCGGCCTCGTGCCTCTCTCTCTCTCGTGTTGTGTTTCCTCCCATACCAATCTGTGCCTAGGCAATATCAACCTTCCGGACCTCAGTCCACCCACGCTCCACCTTGGGCACAGTGACAACCAAGATGCCGTCCTCCATCTTGGCAACAATGCCCTCGGCATTGACCTCCTCCTTGCTGTCGCCCCTGTCCTGGCCCGCCGGCGGGAGTCCCACGTCGCGTGAGAACAGCCCGACGCTCCTCTCCCCGTTGATCAGGCCCTTTATGAAGTCCTCGTCGCCGGGGCGGTGGACGACGCCGCTGACAGACAGCACCGATCGATCCGCATCCCAGTTGACGCCTACGTCCTCCTTCCTGGCGCCCGGCACCGCAAAGTGCAGAACCCACCTGTCAGGCTGCTCGAACAGGTCCACGGGCGGCGTGAAGGAGCTATCGTCAGCTTCCTCGCCCGCCCCACGTGTCCTGTTGTTGTTGTCGTTGGCGCCCTGTGCGCGCTCGAGGAACTCACGCATGCGCTGCGCGAACGGGTGGCCCGCCACTGCGGCCGCCCACGGGCCAAAGTCGAACCCTGCTCCTGGGCCCTCGCGGCCATGGGGAGGCTGTGGCCCGTGAGGTGGCGGCGGCGGGGGTGGGGGGTGGTGAGGATGCCCATGGGGTCCCGGACCGTGAGGACCGGGCCCGAAGAGTCCAGCGAGGAACGGCGGGAAGGGAGGTGGAGGGCCGTGAGGACCCTGTGGACCGCCGAAGAAGCCGCCGAAGAATGGGGGCGGACCTGGTGGGCCGCGGTGGCGGGAGCCGCGGTGATGGTGGTCGTGGGCACCGAATCCCCCACGGCCACGACGTCCTCGGTGGCCGCAGCCTCGCTGTCGTCGGCCAGGGGTCTCATCTGGGACCTCCTCGGGCGGATCGTCCGCGCCTGGCTCGTCTCTCGCCATCGTATCGGGGCTGTCCACGTCCATCTCGGCCCTGTCTTTCTCCTTCTCATTGTTCTTCTCGCCCTCTGCTACGGCAGCCGCAACCTCGTCATCGGTGATGTACTCGGGAGGGAACGCCTCGTTGTCAGAACCCTCGGGAGTGTGGTCGTCCGAACCGCCACGGCGGTGTCGTCCACCAGGTCCACCAGGTCCACCGCGAGGTCCATGTCCTCTGCCTCTGCGTCCAAACCCGTGGCCGTGACGGCCATGAGGGCCAGGGCCCCAAGGCTCGGAGTTCCAGTCCTCCCAGCCACGAGACTGGGCCCAGCGCTGCCAGAACTCGGGGTTGGTGAAAGGAGGTCCGAAGGGGGCAGGGGGAGCGCGGTCGACGCCAGCGCCAGTATTGTCTTGCATGTTCCAGTTGAAGTTTCCTGGCCAAGCCATGTTGCCGGTCTTTACCTTGTGTGAAGTACTCTGTACTGAATGATTGTGTGTATCAATGAACTGATGGAAGATCAGGTTGTAATGATATGGTGATGATGTTGATGAAGGTGGTGATGATGACAGATGAAATTGAACGAGAGACGGAACCAGAGGTCCATCACAATTATATACAATTCAACGGACATGTGAAGTCTCCGCAAGGCAAGACCGAATGCGTAACGTAGATACGCACTCCGACACATGCCTAGTCCCCATACTCAACACGCCACCAGTCACCAGTCACCGCCCGGGGGCAGGGAGGGACCTTACCTGTCACCCTGTCCACGCAAACCAGGCAGACTTGACTTACACAAGATCGGGGAGGCGAATTAGAATTAGCAAGCCCTCCAGGTGCCTCGAGTGAGACGGTCGAACCATGCACCGCGCCACAGGCTGTCCAGGATGGCCAGGATGGGCGCTGTGGGTTGTGTGTGACACACTTCCCGCCAAGGCTCCCCAATCACAGGCGGCCAGGCGTACGTACGCCCGCGCACCTAGGACTCGACCGTCTCAGACGACAACAAGAGACTGGATGGAGCGCCAGCAAACACATGCATGACTGGCAGCTTCTGGAATATGCAAGAACAAGATAAACTCTCGCCTTCGCCACGCGGCCCCATAGTACGCGTGGCCGGGACCGAGGAGTCACAGACAACTAGCTCATGCACGACGGTAGATGTGTGTATCAGTCCCAGGTTTCGACGACGTTGAGGCAGCCGAAGCCGTCGGGCGGGTCGGGTTGCGCCACACAGCATGCCAGCTAATGCCGTCGGTGGAGCTCGGCTCCGAGCCTGACTCTGCTGGGCGCCACAACTTACAGGGCCTCTCAAACTCGGGCGTGTTCGGTGATTGCTACCGGCCTCGGACTCGGTGCATCAACCCATGGGGGAACTGGTTGCACCATTCCGTGCTTCGAGGACTTCACGCCTGACTGATGACAGAAATAGTATCAACTCTAAATGAAGCACGAACTTTCTCAGTAGACAACGGCACTTCGCATTCTCCAAAGTTTAACTAAAAGCATCTCATATTCACCAAGTGCTGTTCGCAACTGGTTGTTCTGGTCAGTATCACTAATTTTATTATCTCATTTTGTATATGTGGTCATGGCCGTTCTCAGGGAATTCGACTCGGTATCTAAGCGACAAACGAGATTATTGCTTGGTATGTAACAGTCCTCCCAGGCCGCACGTTCAGTGCTCAGATCAACACGCAGGCCATCGGCCTCCCGAACCCCAATGCGCCCGAGTGTAAATGCTAGACCTAGACTGCCAACCCTCTCAACCTTCCATGGAAATAGTAACGCATTGCTCCTGATTATAGTGTGACCGTACACGCCTGATCACCAGCGCCTCCCAAGAGTAGTAAAGGACCGCGTGCAGGTGAGCACCGAGCCTTAGAGTACCGTGGACCTTCTATGCCCGCCTCGAAACTCCAGAACATTAATCAAGTCAGCCATTACCTCACGACGTGACCGCACCCTCCTTTTCTTGTAATTTCTTCTCTGCCAGCTCGGCGCGCTTATTTGCTTCATCCACTTGCTGCTTCAGCAGCTTGATATAGTCGATCGCTAGCTCGACAGTGCTGGCCTTGCTGTTTGGTCCACCACCGCCCTTGGAGTCCTTCTTGTCTCCGCTTTCTGCTCCGCTGTCTTTGCCTTCGGGAATGACCCCACCCGGCAGTAGTGTCGCGATTTCTTGCAAGGCCGAATTTATTCGATTCCGCCTGCCTTGCTCGGCAATCTTGTGTGATGTCCGCTTCGACGTCAGGTTAGTGGACAGCTCGCTGGGATATGACACTCCAGGCACCATGTTGCCCTCCAGAATGTTCTGGTAATTGGACTTGGATGCCAAAAGCTGCGATGCCGAGTCCTCTGCTCTAAGTCCTCCCGGCAAGAGTGGCTTGATACTGGGTGAAATCCTCGGCCGCAGGGCAGGAGAAACGTGGGAAGAGCTGATGCTAGCCCTCTTCTTGCCGCTACGTGGTGCTAGCTGCGGCGTCTTCCTTGGATTCGGTGTCGTTGCAGAAGATCCGGGCGTGAGCTGAGGGCTCTGGCTTGCCGAGGCTGCTGCGCCTGGCTTTGCAAAAATTGGCGAAGGTAAGGGTTGGAAGGACGAGGCCGTTCCAGGGGCTGTCTCCGGGGCTGGCGAGCGTATCTGTGGCGACTGTGTGCTCAAGGGTGCCAGATTTGGCTTCTTGAATGTATTTGCGCTGACCGACTCTGGTAACTCAAAATTCTCAATGTTTTCTGAGGCCATCGGATCCGAACCAGCCAGAGTGCTCGACTTGTTGGCGTTGTTTGGGGACGGAAGCCTCATCAATGATGCCGGTGTTGCAGGTGAAGGTTTCCCGGTAGGTTGAGGAGCCGCGGTCGGTGCCATAGTCGGAGTCGCATTATTTTGTGGCTGTATACACGGGGACGGCTTCGCAGACCTCGTCTTTGGCAAAGGTGGAGGAGGCATTTCCGACAGTGCCTCTGGGGAAACGGAATCATTTTCCGAATCAGTTATTCCTGCCGTAGATGAATTTGAGGCGAACCCGCTTTGTTCCATCTGTCGTGTTTTCTTCGAGGGTCGAGGTTGTAGCTCTGCAGGCTTGTCAGCCTGTTCAGTGAGCTCGCTCAATGTCTGTGCATTCATGAGTGGCGTCGATCCGGTCTTCTTCCGCTGCGGTTTCGTGATAGGTGATTTCCCAACGCTCCCCCTGGACCTGGTCTTCGCAGCATTGGCTTTCCTCCCTTTCTTCGCTAGGTCATTGGACACGGGCCCGGACGATGGAGGCGGGTTGGCCTCCAAGTCCATCCCTTCAGGAGAGCTCGTGGTGGTGTTCGCGTTAGACAGTCCATGTTCGAACATGACAATGGGGTCAGATTGAGCATGCAGTGCTGGCGAAGTGAGTGGACTGAAGTACGCATTGGGTACTGTGAATGCCTGGTCCATGGGAAACTGGCTCTCGAGAGGCGTGACTGCTGGGGATACCAGAGGAGTAAATGACATCTAGATGCTAGTCAGCAGGGCGCAGAGAGAAGTGAGTCAAGTAATACGAACATCCTGCTGTTGCTGCTCCTTCATCCGCTGAAAACGCTCGAACATGTCCTGATGCTGTTGTTGCTGAGTGGCGCGATCTGGCTGGGTGGTATAGAATTGATGGTTGCCAGCCTGTATCTCCAGACTCTGAGGAGTCGGCGGGACCATGCGGCTCTGTTGTTGGGCGAAGAAGGCTGCTTGCTGCTCCTCCAATTGCCTCTGCTGCTGTTGCAGTTTTTGTTGCTGCAGGAATTGTATCTGAGCGTCAATGTCGGAGATGGCGTTCACAGATGCGGCCGTGGACATTATATTCGAGGGTATCGTGGAGTTTGGAGGAGCAGTCGACATGGGGTGCATTTGGTTGTGCATGGCTGTCGACATGAGAACCGAACCATTTGTTCCACTCATGGGTGTATCGAGTGTCTCACGATGTGCGACTTGCATCATGTTCCCCCCATTTGGATTCTGAAAGTCGCCGAAGTCAAACTGCAAACCCTCAGACAGACTGTCCATGCTGTTCATGTTGAGGAACTGCTGGAAGTCATCGTCGGCGCCGGGATGCATGGCGTGGCCTTGGTCGTTCCATCCTGCCGACTCCATCATGATCACAGCGTCGACGAGTATTCAGAGAATGGCAGACCCTCGGTAGGGTCTTGTGTAGGCAGTCGGTAGGGAACTGACTGTCCCACGGGCTGTTGCGCCGATGGCGTGCGGAGTCGTGCTGCCCCAGGACCTGTAGGCTTGGCTGTCGTCGCTGGTGGAGAAATTCCGGGGCGGCGCAGGAACGGCAGGCAGGTTTTGCGGCGCCCAGCTGCGTAGAACAGGAGTAGACGAGAAGAGAGGGAGAAGAATGCGCAGGACTGGGCAAGACGGCAAAGTATTTTCGGCTCAGTCACCCAGCACGCCGAGCGTCGCAAATAGCAACGCCTTAGGCGCGAGGGAGATCGTGAGTTCGTCGGATTGTTGCGATGCCTAGTGCGTGGGGGATTGGACTGTGCTGAGGGTCGATGTTGCTGGGCGGACCGAGTGTGTGATTGGTGGTGCAGTCTCAAGGTTGCGTAAGTGGAAGGCTATCTCATTGGGCCAGATGACATGTGTAAGTCTTATATCGATTCGATTCGACACGGATCAAGCCTCGGAGGGCTGGATTGTCACCGCCAGCTTTGGAGTGTTGAAAGAGGATTGTCGTGCGCAGAGGTGTAGCCTGCTGGCTCACTGGCTGGCTGGTGAGGGTGAGGACGAGGCCGAGGGCGCGTTGAGTACGAGAGAGAGCAAAAAAGTCGTCCACGGAGTCTCGTCGGGAGAAGACGGCGGGGACAAGTGAGGGACCCAGGAAGATTTGGGGCCAGAACGGAAGGTGGTTGCTTGATCTGGTGCCGCAGTTGGTGCGGGTCAGGAGCCAGGAGCAAGGAGCAAGGAGGGGGAGCCTGGCGCATGAGCAGGGTGCAGGTGCAGTTGCAGGTGCAGGTGCAATGGCGGATCTTGGGTCCTCCTGTCAAGGGTCCTGAAGGGTGGGGGCTACACGGCTGCAGGACTGGACACAGGAGGGAGGGAGGTACTGTGCCTTGAACTTTTCAGCAGCTCAACCAACTGGGCTCCAGGCCCTCTCCCGCAAGCAGGTGGCTGCAGGGTTGTGGGGAGCGGTCTAAGACGTGCGCTACACATTAGCGACAATTAAAGCACTGCACAGCGGCCGCTGATAGGCGATCTGGAGGCTTGTCACGAAAACCCAGCCATCATCGCGACGATGTCCATCCCTCATTAAGCTGACCTTCTCTATGTCTCTCCACACCTCAGATTCCTACCGAGCAATTCTCCCCAGCTGATCCCCCCGTTGCACACCACACGAGATCGGCAGTGGCTTTGCCTGTTGATTTCCTCCAACCTGCAAGACGAACGTAGACGCGATGTGCTGCTTCGGACGGCATCCCACGGCTACACGGCCGTAAAGTGGCTGACTGGCTTGCTGGCTACTTACACTACGAGCTCTGCGTGTCTGCTATTCCAGCACGGCATGGCATTGATTTGGATCGGGTTGGGTTGAATTTGTCGAATTTAGCCGCACAAAAAACTTTGAGGTTTTACGATTTTGACACCACCTTTGGCGCCAGGACCATCCATGACTGGCTCCAACACGAGTAGGCACTACGCCGTGCCCACTGCTGTCCTTGCATGGGATGCCCCGACATCCGAGGTCATCCCGAGTCGAGTTCTCATTTCGTGCGTGAACTCGTGTCAGGGGTGAGGCCAGTACAGGCGACAGTGGCAGCCAGCCCGGCGCTCCGGAATGCCTCCAGCAGACAGCCAGGCCGATACCGTCGAAGACAATCAACGCTTTCTTCTGACGGCTGTATTCGAGTAGCAGGCTATCCTGGAAAGTCGTGATGAGGGGTTGCCAAGGGTGCGCGGCAGCCATCGTGAACCTCCAGGCGCACTAGCACGACACGACTTGCAGCCAGCTGTGGTATCATGTACTTGAGTCACGACGACGGGGCTCGACAGAATCCACCATTCTCCTGCCACCCCTTTGAGGCCAAACCAATGTGTACATCGATGTCAAGCTCAGGAATGCAGTCCCAAAGTGCACCACGAGGCAGCGTGGGGAGCCCCTCGCTTGTCTTAATGCACACCCTGGTACCAAATTTATACCCAGGCTGGCTGGCCAGCCAAACCAATGTGGCTCGGCTACTAGGCCGAGACTGTGACCGGCGCGGCATGCAGACCGCAAGCCTTGACATGACGAAACCCCCACGGCTGTCGGGCACCTGTGGGGGGCCAGAGGACATTCTGGACCTGCAGTCCATGTTGTTGGTTCCCAGCTTACATGACGAGAGCCTCATCTGACCCCAGCCATTGACAACATCGACCGAAGCCGTCATAACACACCGCGCATCCCCCTTTCTGAGCTCATAGCAAATCTGACCCCAGGTAATCAGCCTATACGGAAGTGTGTCAGCTGTCCCATCATACCATTGCTAGACAGGCGAAATAGCGGTCGAGGGAAGACCATCTGTGGCGGTTGGTGGTCAAGCCCGACCATACATCGGTCCGGCCACATGCCTTTTCGGGATGTCAGCTGCGGATGCCAGCCGGGATCTCGAGGCATCAATCATCCAGCCACTCACGTCCACCAAGTTGACCCAGAAATATCAAACAGCCGCAGCTACGTAGACTGCTTAGAAGAGCAAGTGCCGGCAGCCGAAGCAAAATCGACTCGAACACTGGTCCACCGTCCTAGGACGTAAGCGCGGCGCCGGGCCCAAGCAATCATGCGAGCTAGTTCTCTGGTGAGAGAGGCTGCCCAGCCGCGATACGCGTACACAACCTTCAAGCCCGATCTAGCACAGGCGCCTGCCCATAGTAACAGCAAAGAAGCCCACGGAAGATGGAGGCAAGTGAGAAACCAGTCCGTGGGTAGGGGATGCTATCGATCGTCTACTGCTAAGGTGAAATTCGAGTTTGTATCTTTAATGGCAATAGGTACCCAGGCATTACATCGGAAGCCGTGGATCTCGAAAAAGCACTTGGGGAGGCATAAATCAATTTTTAGCTATTGACAAACAGCTACCCAGAGCTATATGCTTGGGATGCCTTCTCTATTCAGTGGCATATTTGGTTGATGCCTAGGCAACGAAGAGAGAGCTGGATCGGCAGGACCTATAGATAATACAAAGCAATTTGCTAATCACTCTCTGACTCACTGTCTTGGATTGTAGGCCTCCTTCTCTTGTTCGCAGCAGGTCTTGTCCGAACATCACCGTCTTCCTCATCAGATTCCGACAGTAGCGGGCGTCTGCTCTTCGGCTTACTCGTCTTAGGTCCGCCCATCTGGCTCATGCTCGGCATATCCTCATCGCTAGCCTGGCTTTGTGTTGGTGGCAGAAACTCATACGAGGTCCTCTTCTTCCCCTGCGGCTCCGACACCTGCGAGAGAAGGGTTGGTGAGGTAGCTGTCGGTGATGTCGACCCGCCTCTCACACTCGAAATGGGATCATCGTCGTCGACCACGAAGTCTAACAGGTCAGCACCGTCGTCCGAGTCGTCTCTTTCATACAACTGGCTTGTCCGGGTGCAGTCATCTCCGTAATCTTCAACGAAATCAGTGTTTGTCTGCGGTTTGCCCGCTCGACCCTTTGACTTGAATCTCGTTCTCGATTTCTCAGACACCGCTAGAACTGCGTTCCTCTCAACATCTTCGTCGGCGAAGGGGTCACTGTCAGTGTCATCCTCCGCGTCGTGATCAACAAGAGCTGTGCCTTTGTGTTGCTGATGTGATGCACCATCCGTGGGACCACATTTTCTTCGTTTTGGAAGCGATGGCTTTTTCGAAGGAGACAATGTCCTCTTGTGTGATGACGCTCCAGTTTGTTTAACGTCATCTGCTTCACTATCGGTATCTGCTGCGAAATCGGGCACTGAAAGCTCTATGTATCGTGATTGATCATTTTCACCATAAGGCTGGTGATACACGTCCACAGGCGACTGTGAATTGGCCAGCCTTCTGAAAAGCTTCACACAGCGCTTTGTGTGTCTTCCATGCTGGAGCCTGATATTCGGGCCGAGTTTGCGCTGAGCCTTGGGGTGTCCGGTCAAATCGGGCCCCACGATATCCTCCTGTGATGCGTGCTTGGATGGAAGATTGCGGTAAGTGTCGTTCAGCTCGTCCATTTGAAGGGAGTCTAGAAGTACTGCATCAAGACGAGGCACCTCCGCCAGTGTGTCAACTTCGCGTGGCTGCTTTGACCGAGGCTTTGTGCCAGTTGCGCTACGTCCAAAATTAGAAGCCGTCACAAAACCTGTGATGACTCCGTCTGGCATGTGGAATTTCTTCTGTGTGGCCTTTTTCCTTGGCGCAGAGGCTTTCTTTGGCTCCGGCAGCGACTTGCTCTGAGTGTTCTCGATCGGTATGTCAACCAAGCGCATGTCCACTTCAGGTTTGATGTCTCTTGGGATAATCCTCGAGGATAGGTCGTTTCGGAAATTGAACCGAGTGCCCTCGCATATGAATCTTTGCATCTTCTCGTAATTGTCTTTCGCCCTCCTGAATTGTTCTTCCTCCCTGCCCTTCATCAGGAGTAATGTGATGTTGCCAGCACGTTTTCTGCCAGTTCGCCCCATGCGCTGTAGCATCCGGATTGGCGACGCTGAAGCATCGTAGCAAACAATCAAGTCGACCTGACCAATATCCAAGCCTTCCTCTCCAATTGAGGTTGCAACGAGGACGTTGAAATGCCCGTTTCTGAACTTTTCAATCGTCTCTATTTGTTGTTTTTGCTTCATCCCTTCACTTCGCTTCGAATCTGCCTGACCAACAAAAATGGATGCTTTGATCATAGGCTGGTGTTTGTTTAGGCTGCGAACGATTTCCTCGGCGCTGTCCCTGTATTCACTGAATACTATGGCCCTGGTGTTTGAATCTTGCCCAGCGTCCATGAAATGATTCAACAAATTTTCGCACAAGTATGACAATTTCGGGTGGCCAACAAATCCGTCAAGCCTCTGCCATTTGTCGATTGCATCCATCATCTCTTGGAAGTTTGCGTCTTCAAGAACCTGCTTTTTGTACTTGGAGCCTTTTGCCCCTTTCTCTTCAGTCTCAGACCTGAAGTCTAGCATTTTGTGGTAGAATGGTGCAATTCCATGAAAGTTGAGTAGCTTTATCGCATGCGCCAGACTCTGCAAAATGGTGAATATGTTCATGATCATGAATTTAGTGCCTGGATTTGCGTGCCTGCCTGCTCCCAGACCCCACTGTCTGGCTGACTCTCGCAGTCCCATCACCGTCATCGACATCGGATCTCGCGCTACCCACTTGTTGGCTTGGGCAAGCTTGTTGCACAGGGGTTTCAATGCTTTGGAGAACAGGTCTTGTACTCGTAGCATTTCATCCGATGGCTCCAGAATAACCTGGTCTACTTCGCGAGAATGAACATATTGGCGGATATCGATCGACTCCTCCATCCGGATCTCAACGGTCGAAATTCCCAGGCTGTCGATGACCGCCTGTACGCCTTCCACTGTGGAACCTGGGGTGGCAGTCAAGGCCAGGATTCTAAAACTCGGATTGAACCTTCGAATGAATTCAACGACTTTCACGTAGGCGTAGTCTCCCGTTGCGCGATGTGCTTCGTCAATAACTAGTAGCACAACCGCTTTCGGATCAGCGTATCCCTTGGACAGATCGTTCTGCAGGGTTTGTGGTGTCATGAAAAATAGTCTCCTTTTGTCCCACTCGCCCTCACGTAGAGCTGGTGAGATTTCGCCGGTCAACAGCGTTGCTTCGGATCGTGGAATTCCTGCCACATTCATACAAGCTTCCACCTGTTGCGCAGCCAGGGGTTTGGTTGGTGCCACAAAAATGATCTTGGCAGTCTTTGTCCAGCGGAAGTAGTTGAGCATGATTGTAGCCGCGATGAATGTCTTCCCCAGTCCGGTTGGGAGAGCCACAAGGGTATTGTTGAACAGCCCATTCTTGACGATGCTGAACTGGTAATCCCGGGTTGGGCCCAAGTTGGTGGGATAGATCCAGGTCTCGAGAGCATCATGGTTCAGAACGTGATGAGTTGGCTTTTCCGGGGGCATGTCAGCCCGATAGACTCTCTTAGACTGAACCTGTGACTGGGGCACCTCAGAGTCTCTGACTGCGTCTCCCCAGAGGTTAGTCTGACGGTAAGTCTGCGACGTGTTGGTTTTCTGGGCCTGTGTCGGCTTTGCTGGGCGGGATGGAGTTTTGTTTGATGCAGTCGTCCTAGACTGCACGGGCGAGCTCTCGAATGCATCAGAGGGAAAGTCGTCTAGGGCGTCCAGATCGATGACCGCATCGGCAGGGCTGGCCCGCGATCTCAACGGGACATTCGGCGCATTATTAATGCTGCTTGAGCCTAAGGCGACTGAAGGCTTATTTTGAGAAGCTTGAGTGAGCGCAGTCATGAGGTCCTCGTCGGCGATGTCATCCTCAAAGTCGTCGGAGTCCATTCTGTCTCGTTTTCTCGCCGGTGGCGAGACTCATTCAGTATTGTGTTTGGTAGCTGAGAAGACGGTGGTTCCAGGTGTCAATCTAGGACGCCTCGACTTCGAAGGCAACAGTAAATGTTGGGATGCATTGCATGCCGCCCAACTTAGTTATCGCAGTGCGTGATGTTGTCATGCACAATTAGCAATGCGATGAAGTCGGTTGAAGCATATTGAATGGGCAGAGACGCGACGCGTATCCCTGTCGGCTGGAGTTGGACGGGCAAGCACGACTCTCACACCAAGTCACGGTTTGCTGGGCAATGTAGTGCAGTTGAGCCCGTACCTGGTTCTCAGCAGCACTGGGAAGCAGCAGGGGCTAGCAGCTACTAGAGGTGTAGCTCTGACCACCATGGGGGTACCTACTCACTGGGGAAGACACTAAGATACCTTCCCTGCCACCCACGCTGCTAGGCACCTGTCGTCATGCTGACTCATCCGCGCCGTCCCTGCAAGAATCCACCTAGGCAGCCTGATCGTCAGAAGCAGGTGCGAAGTGGGTCCGTCAACTGTCACTTGAAGCCTGCCGCAAACGATCAGTTTTCCTTCTTCCTTGTCCCAACCACACTCACCTCACGAGATTCACCCAACCTTTGCTGCTCACTTCGTCCCGACAATAGGGGGAGCTTCCCATTTTCTGGTCCTCAAACCTCGCCAGGTTGACGGGCCTATTGTCTCTTATTCACTCCCATTCTGCTGCCCTCACCAGCGGGTACTTCCCATTGTCTGTCCCTCATCAGGGTGCCCTGAAGGTCCGAGGACTTAACCACAGTCCTAGCCTTCGACTTCGTCTCTCTTTCGCCAAACTCACTCATTTAACACTTTTTAAGGTGCGAACACAACCTCACGCGACGTAGTACTTTGTCCATCGCCGACTCGAAGACGAATCCTCGCGCGACCGATCCCTCACGTCTGTCTTCTGTCTTTTGCGCGTCGCGCAACCCAAATCCTACAACTGCCACCATGCCACCACCACCTGGCTCTCGTGGCGCGACCGCTACCTCTACCCGACAGACCCGATCCTCCACAAATGCACCTCGCACGTCTCGAGGTGGCATTGCGCGGCGTGGCCGTCCGTCTGGTCCACGAGGTGATCGCGATGGAGACGTCGACATGGACATCTCTGCTGGCAGCAAACCCAGCAGGTCTGGCGGCGGAATCAACAAGTCTTCGAGCTCTTCGTCACGGCGCGGTACTACAAGATCTTCTGGCCCTCCGAAGACCAATACGAGACTCCAGCAGAACCTTGCGAAACACCTGGGCGGGGACACTTCGCACATCCCCAATGCCCCCAGCGCGGCCAAACTCGCAGCAAACAGCACAACACTCATAGTCCTGGGTCTGAAGTCAAGTAAGGCTACTTCGAATCCCGACGGAGGCATTAAGAGTCTGCTGCAGTTCCTGGAGAGAAAAGCAACACAATTGAAGGGCTCGGGTCGTCCTGTCACGATTAAGAAGGTATGTCAAGGTATCCCACCAAGGGATACGGGGGGTAAAGAAGCGTCGCCTAAGGTCCATACTCGTCATTCTGCCTTGAGTGCCGCACAACGAGCAGACAATCGCATCCGCCTATCGCCGCTCCTACCTTTCCCGTGACCCCCTAGTCATCATCAAGGTTTCCTACCTTGCTAACATACAGTAGTCGCTTGCCAAGGGTGACTCCGTCTACATACTGGCCAGCAACCAAGATGCCGAGGAAATCATCAAGGTCAACAACTTCGTTTTTGCTGGAGCTCCCCTGACCATTACCATGAGCGAGGAGGGCTGGCCACGAACAGATCAGCCCGATTCTGCGAACTTGTCGAACAAAGCACAGCAGGACAAGATGATGCTACAGGGCGTCCTGGAGCGCCGATACGAACCCGGCACGAAACTCCTCAACCTATCGGCTTTGGGTCAAGACCCGATCCTGACCGAGATGGGATTGTTCCAGGCAAAGAATACGGCTGAGAAGACCTTCAAGGTGCTTATGGTCATCTGTCAGGACCTGTTCAAGACTCCGGAAGCGAAGCGTGAGGCAATTGAAAGCGTGTCTCTTGCCGGCAACAATGTCGACTACGTTGGCCAAGTCTATGAACTTGCCGAGACCTTTCCTGATCTTAAACACCTCGATCTCAGCGACAACCAGTTTTCCTCCCTGAAGCAACTCAATCGATGGAGGGGCCGATTCAAGCATCTTCAAACCTTGCTTCTGAACAACAATCCGATCATCCAGGCCGAACCCAACCATGCCACCGAAGTGATGGATTGGTTCCCAAAGTTGCAGGTGCTGAGCAACGTCGTGGTCAGAACTCCTGAAGCCATCGCCGCGGAAGAAGCAAAGACCAGACCGAATCCAATCCCACAACGAGGTTCTGACTTCCGCGATGTTGCTGGACTCGGAGAACGTTTCATTCGGGAGTTCCTCCCAATGTATGACACGAACCGCGATGGCTTGTTAACGACCTTTTATGACGAGCACAGTACTTTCACCCTAGCCGTCGATACTGGTGGGCCGCGGGACACCAACACTCCTGTGCTTCCGTGGGCACCATACTTGTCATTCTCTCGCAACCATCAGCGGATCACTACCGAGCCAGCTCGGTTTCAACGCTACATGAAGGGCATACACATCCAGGAGATCTGGAAGAAACTGCCGGCGACCAGCCATCCAGACCTGGCATTGAGTGACAAATACATCATTGACTGCCATCCCATGACTGGCCTACATGATCCTGTTGCCCACAAAGTACAGGGCGAGGACGGAATGATTATCACGATGCATGGCGAATTCGACGAGCTTGAGGCATCGAGTGGGAAGACCGGAAAACGCAGCTTCTCTCGTACCTTCGTGATCGGTCCCGGTATGCCAGGTCGAAACACAATACGCGTGGTTAGCGACATGCTTTCGATAATGCCCTGGAGTCCGGTTCCAGCAGTCGCCGTGTCTACCTCGGGCCCGTCCCCTGAGGAGCAACAGCAGATGATGGCGCTCGAGCTATCGAAACGCACAGGAATGACTCCCGATTTCTCCAAGATGTGTCTCGAGACAGCTGAGTGGAATTTCGACCGAGCATTGGCCGTGTTTGAGGAAAAGAAGGTGAGAAGAATATTTTATCAGAATGCCCCGTATAGGCGGCAGCTAACGTTTCTATAGTCGGTCCTCCCACCACAGGCTTTTATACAAGCATAACCTGTCCTGCGGGCCAACAGACCAGCAGCATGATGGAACCATTCAACCCAGGCGATATCTCACGGCAGGACACAATCACCACCTCCTACTCGGCCCACCAGGCCGATACCTACCATGCGGGATATCGAAAATTCACATGACTTCAGACAGAAGTCTTGGCTGTACAAGTCAACGGATTCCGCAACAAGATTGACCTGATACACACCAAACAAAGAAAAAAAGAACCTAGATGAGCACAACGCAAACTGAAGGGAAACCAGGAAGACCGAGTTGAGATGAGCTAAGGGCAGTTTGTTGTTAGTCCATGAAAGAGGGAGGGCATAAATTGGTTGATTGCGGCATCAGCGAGGGCGGGGAGGCGTGGGCAGGCGTCATTTGCTATTTCGCTGCGCGCTGCACTTTGAGTGCCGCTGGAGGCATATTGAAAAGGGTTTGATATTGTGCTGGTGGATTTGGAGGGCTCTCGATAATCATCAAGATTGGAGACCTGACCGATACAACGATGTCGGGGGGCGCAGGAGAAAAGATTTGGCAGCCCTGGTTTCACGAGACAAGTCAATAAATTGTAGGGGAGACAAGCCTCCAAAACACATTTTGATGGCCCCGGTTTACAAGTGAACTGAGTGTGTTTGCATTTTGATAGCAGGTGAGGCAAGTTGCCCAATGACGACGGCGAACGTATGAGCGCCGCAATATCGCAAGCCGCGCGCGTCCCACCACTATGCGCGTGAGCACCCCACGGCCCGATTCGACGTGCAGCAGCGGTGGGGGTTTTAGAGGTGATGGCCACAGTATGCTGTGTTCACGAGACTGGCGCTCTGGGCGCTTAGACAGTGCAATGGCTAGGATGAATGACTGACCGCTGCCAGACAAGATCTCGGGCCGCGGCCGCTCACATGCATGTGCTCATCTTGCAGGAGGGAGCCGGTGGGCAGGCGGGCGGGCTGCCTGCACGACCCGGCCCACGAATGGGCCTGTTGATTTGCGAGGATTGTTTCTTACTCTGAGACTGTTTTTTGTTCTAGTGGGCGTTCGGGATAATTTCTTTGGGAGGGAGGGAGGTAGGCGGTTGGTGGGCGATCATCGCTGGGCGCGGCACATGCAGGCCATGTGGCTCGCCAACCGCCCGTGGCAGGACTGGTGTCTACAGGGTTTGTGGGCGATCGTCGCCTGGTGGCTGACCTTGCTTGCTTGTTACCCTTTCCCATGCTCGCATGCAAATACTGCATGCGCATATCCCAGAGGCCACCGCTCCAATGCTACGTCGAGGCCCGGATCTGGCAGGAGTGCGTGTTGATCGCGGCGTGGCTCCTCGAATAGAGTATGCCTGCATGTGCTGGTTACTCATCAGGGGTGGGGTCCGGGGTCGTCTTCAGCGAAGCTGGGCGCTTCAGCGAAGGTTGAGTGACCGCCCAGTCCGCCCCAGAAATGCCCACGTGCGGTAAGAGTCGCGCGAGCTGTCCTGGCTGCATGCTTCCGTAGTAGGTCGATCAGCACTACTTGCGCCAATCCGGGTATAGTCTCATCCTTGACGGCTCATTCAGATGGATTGAAATAGAACGCGTGGAGGGAGATGGGTGGCAGTAACAGGTTAGTGAGGCCTGCCAGGCCGTTTCTCGACTTCCTAGCTGCGACTACGGCTGGTCAACCACACTGACGGCAGGACAAGCCGGGGTCGAAACTATTAAGCTTGGCAAAGTAGCTCAGCGCTTTCACAACCTTTGTCTCTGGGGGCTGGCAGACATGCTGAGTCGGCGGCGTTGATTGCAAGAGGACGAGGCCCCAAAGAATGTCGCCAATGCGTCCACGGAAATCAAGACCCCAGAGTCGACGTTCGCTCTCGGTTTACGTGTGTACTGTACCAAGTCAGACGTTTGCTGTCATCCTATATTGGCAGATGCAACGTTGTGGGGAACCATTCGCTGGTCCTTGGTATCCTTCGATCGCGGAGACCATGGCTTCTGACCATGGTGGTAAGAAATAGAAATGAAAAGTATTAACTGGCCAACGTGAGCCACAAAATCCACAATTCTTGCAAAGCTTGAACGCAATATATTTGAGGCTCTTCCAGAAGCATGGTAGCGGGGACACCGCCGGTCCGGATCTCGGGTCATGATGCCCTCCACTCGTGTGACGGACCCCGGGCAAGCAGCCTGTCCTGAATGGCTTCGTCATTTGCTCGCAAACGTCAGAGCGTGTGCCGAATGTAGTGGGAGGCTTAGGTGGGTGCAACGATGTATACTGCTGCACTCTATGTTTTAGTGTAGTGCAGGTCACTTTGGGTGAGAGCTGGCTGGGGTTGGACATGAATCTGCACGGGCCGGATCGTCGCCTCTCTGTGCCTGACTTTTTACTGGATCCTGCCCCCGTATTGCTTGCGTTAGCCCAGGGGCGTTTCGAAACACTAGTGTCCAAACCAGACCCCACTGCTTCCCGAACGAGTAGGCCGCATGCATCGCAGACGCACGCCGTCCTTCGCAAAGGCTGGGCTTGCTGGCTTGGTGAAGAAGGATCGGGAGACGCTTCCACTTCCTCCCATGTGCTCCGCCGTGGCCCGTCCGAATGTTAAGCCGACGAGGCCGTCACCAAGGGAGTCCGAGGAGCATGCCCGCAGCGGCGGGGGAAAGATGATGCATCGTGGGCTCACTCTGCGGCAACAATGGGGCCACGGCAATATGTCCACAGTAGCCGGCAGCGATCCTGGCCCAGAATTCTGCCATCTCAATCATCTCGCATCTGTTCCGCATTCCGCACCTGTGTCCGCATCCTTCGCTGCGGCGTTGACAAAGCGCAGAGCCGTGCCCGTCTTCGCCCAGGCGGCGACCCTCGCCGAACACATTGCTTCCAAGATGTTTGGTGGCTCTTGTCCGCGCGGGGATCTGGAACATGGCGCAGAAACTCTCTCATCTCATCCCGTTCCAGCCTAGAAGATCTTGTCTTTTTTCTTCTTGTTGTTGTTCCTTGTGCCTGCAACGTGGCGGCACAGGCAGGCTTATTATTAGGTTGAGGTGAGAAAGGATGGCAGCTGGGTGTGAGTGGGATTGGCGGCCCCCTCCCTCTTCATGAGCCACGAACTCGTTGGTGTCGTCTGTCGTCAGTCAGCTGTCGTCAGTGAGTTGTGCGGAGTGTCAGAGCATGACAAGGTAGGCAGTGAATCAATGAATCAATCAATCGATCAGTCGTCAGCCATTGATTCTTATCCGAACTCTGTGGAATCAGCGTGCCATCACTGGGCGTCGGGGTGTTTGAGTCTGGCGATGGGTTGTTTCCATCTCATTCAAGGTCATCCAACCTCGACCCGTCCCCGCCCCCTTTTGCCCTTGTCGTGCAGGGGCCAGGCATCAAAAATATCTGATTGACGCAGGGGTGGTTGCACTTATGAGCTGCAAGGGGTGGGGTTCGCACAATACGGTTGCTGTGGTACGGTGCAGCCGGTAAAGTGAGGCGCGGTACTCTCGTCTCCTCGAAACTCGCTATGGTGTCAGAAGTACCTTGCCAGGGGACGCTGCTTTGACGGGCCGTCCTGCACCTTTGATTGGCAGTGGACTCGACCCCAGCAGCCAGGATGCAGGATGCAGGCTGGGGTCTCCTTGTCCTTTGCCCTGGATCTGCCCGGTCACCTTTCCCCTTCGGTCCACATCGCTACCGTAACCTCCCCCCTCTGGGCATCGATGCCTCTCTGGGCCTCTCTGGGCCTCTGCACTCCGCCGCCGCCGCCGCCGCCCTCTGGTCTATGTACTCTCGCCGCCTCGTGTCGTAGTCATGGTCGTGGTCGTCGTGACACACTCGTAGTCTTTGTCGCCGCCTCGACGACTTCTTTCCAGCTCAGTCTTGCCCTTTCTTGTCCTTCCGTCCCCTCTTTGAACCGAGCTGGGCGCCCGACTATTATCTCTCTCTGCTGTACAACTAAATATTGTATAGTCGACCTAGTCATTCGACTCGACTCTCGAACATCACCTACAAACTTGACACTACCCCCTTCCAGGAAACGACACTATTTGCCGCCTAGACATTGTCATTTCTGCTGCATGAACACACGTATCCACCGTCGTGATCGGCACCGGCGAATCCCCTCATCCTACTGAGCCTGAGCCTGAGCCTGAGCCTGTACTGTACGTCTCTCTGTTCCATCCGCGCCGCCCCCTGTGTCCCATTGTGCTGTACTGTACGCCAAACAGGCGATTTGTGCCTTTTCACGGGGCTGCTGTGCTTAAAACATCCTGACAATTGTTCAGGCCAAGGGGCCATCCTGCCTCCTGCCGTCCAGCAAATACAACCACGCGAATGAGAGGTCAGCAAAAGTGGAGCAGGAACCGACTCCTTTGCACATCGTCCCAGAAAGGCAGAAGCCCCCGATCCTATCCTGGCCCTGCAACGGCGCATTCCCGCGTCCAGACCATCGTGCCTGTGTGCCTGTCCTCCCTTCTTCCACACCTGACCTACCACCCTCTGGGCATCCTCAGCAATCACACTCACACTCGCTCTCTACCTCGTCTCTGGCCCTGGCAAATCGTCCAAACTCCATTCTACCAGCAGATCTTAACCTTTCTGAACTGGGGACAGGTCCTCAATTCCCTCTAACCTACCTCCGCTTCATACTCAAGCCTTGTCTTGTCCATCTTCACTTCTCGACCGACTCTCATCTATCCACGACTCGGGCCACAGCCGACGATTTTCTGGTCTGCCGACCGTCCATCACTTGACCAAGGCCTCCACCGCCCTCGATCGATTTTATCTGCGGTGCCCTGTTCATGACAATTTTCCGCGGACTGTGCAACGCTGTACAATTCTTGGCCATTTACTTGAATTGATCTGCCCCTTTTCGCGACAGTCTGTCGTCCAGGCCCGCCCAGATCGCACCGCCTGCCTCGAACCCGCGAACGACTTGTCGACCGCTCGACTGAAATCAATTCATCCGGCCGCTTGCTCAAGTCGTCATGCAATTGCGCTGATTACTTTTCTCCGCTTGAGGCTTTCCTTTGGTGTAGAACTCGCCCGATCTGCGTCTCAGAGAAAGAGTCTCGATTGCGGTCCTATCATTCACGATGTCGATGTCGATGTCGGCCGGGCAGCCTAAGCCAAAGGTTGCACTGAACAACATATGTTCTGTCATATATAATAACACTTTGTATACTTACTCAGCAGATGCCTTCCAATCCTTAAGCCTCGAGCAAGGCTCGGAGTGGAAGACGTTGAAACAAGGGGAGGAGGTATCGGGAGCTGCCTGTGTCGGTTCGAGCTCAGCATTTTACGTCGTTGGCGGGACTGGAGGCTCGAGCGACTATCAAGGCCTACAGAGGTACACGTATTCGACCGGCACCTGGGAATCGATCGATCCCGTCGTTCCCGTTACTCAGAATAGGACCGACCACGGCGCCGTTTATTTGGAAGGCTCCGATTCTATCGTTGTCTACGCTGGCAGCCAGGCCGGCGACCCCAACCTCTCGACGCAGACATTCAGCATCAGCGCCACCGCGCCTTACTCTGTGCTCGCCTACCAAAACGAGGGTGCACCTCCGACGTCTAAGCCTATCTTGCTTAGATGGTCAGACCAACAAGCTGCCATGGTCGGTGGCAGCGCCACAAATACTCAGGTCATGCTGTTCACAGTCGGTTCTGGGTGGTCCAACTCTGGAGCCACACTGGCATCTCCGCTGAAAACAGGATCTGACCAGTGGCAAGCTGTCCTGATTACGGGAGACGACGGATCCAAAAACCTTTATACTTTCGACATGTCGGTCTCGCCCAACGTCGCCAATCGCACCGTTTTAATTGATGAACATGGGGCGCCGGTTACCAAGGCAGCGGCTATCACGAAGCGATCAGATGTTTACAAACGGACAGGGAAGGATGAGGTCGAACGCCGGGCAAACACCTTGACGCAAGAGACTTGGCCAACGTACAACAGCACATATGCGTCTACAGCTGTCCGCAGCAACTACGCTGCCGCAGACTCGGATGACGGACAGGTGGTGCTTTCGGGCGGCAACGAAGAAGATGTCTTGTGTATTTTCAACGCAAAAGCCAACAGCTGGGTGAATGCGACGGAACTCTTAGCCTCCGACCAGAAAGTTCTCTCCGCATCTACGTCCTCGTCCTCCTCCTCGGCCACTGCTACTTCCACGACAGCTAGTGGCACCCTATTTGCCACGCTGAATCCTACAACTACTCCGGAGACCACCGCCGCAGCTGGATCGACTACCACATCTTCGACCCATTCGTCTTCAACAACCTCCTCTTCGTCCGGTCTGGGCACCAATGGTATCCTGGGTGTTGTTCTTGGCTCAATTGGCGGTGCTCTGGTCCTCCTGATTTTGCTCTATTGCCAGATTCGAAAGCGCAAGAGAACGCAAGATTTTATTCAAGCCGGCCATGCCAGACGAGCCAGCGGAGCTTCGGAGAGACCGGAGAAGGAAGGGATGGCTATTGTGACGGAGAGCTACCCGCGCTCACCCACAAATCCCACGTTCATGCGCGGGCACCAACCGAAGGCGTCGACAGGATCATTTTCATCAATGGCGATCTTGATGGGCAAGGGACCCAAGAGCTCAATGGAAGGCGGCCCGAGACCTGGTTCCAGCAAGCAGATGAAGAATGTGCCTACCGCGGGTCAAATGGGACCTATGCGTCCTGTTCCGGCCCTTGCACCAGAACTCAGGGAGGAGAAGGGTGTGTCTTTCGCCGCCGATACAGCTGAACCCCGACCAGGTTTGCGGGTACCAGCCGATCAGCAGGATGGGATGCGACGCAGCTCCGGCTGGAATCGTTACTGGTCAGGCGACAGTGCTGCCCTCAACATCTTGGGCTATGGAAACGGCGGGCAACAAACGAATCGAAACACTGTCGCTTCAGAAGGCTCACACTACTCCAACAACGGGCCTGGTGTCGATCCGCGCTACCGCATGACCAAAGACAGTGCAACGGTCCCACCACTCAATGTTGACGATGGACGGCCTCGATTCAATCGTGTCAATTCCGGATCCCCGACCGTCAGCAATTACCCAGCTGCTGTCAAGCAGCATATGAGTGCTGAATATAGCGACCGAAATAGCCGTGACTCGGATTTCTCTGGCTATTCCAGTGGCATTCCTGCGAGCGTGCATGACACTTGGGATCCAACCGCAGCCTCGGGAAAGCCTTGGACGGGCGGCGGTCGTGCGACGAGCAGCATGTACAGCAATGCGTTCCCTATGCCTCCTACTCCGAGCGAACAAAGACCGCCAATGCCACGCAATATTCCCAGTGGCGTAAGCCAGCAACCGCAGCTGGACAAAGCGCACACTTCAGACATGAGCTGGCTGAACATTGGCGAGCAGCAACATCAACAAAATCGCTACTAATTCCCGTTGCTCGCCATCCTACCACCACTACGGCACTCATGGCTTATTGACGACTCTTACCTGACGCTCTTTCCTCATGCCCTCGGGCTCGTTTGCGGTTTTATGCATTCCTTACCAGGCGAAAGCATGTCCTAGAGCTTTTGTCACCATTATAGAAAGACGATGGAGGCTGCGGTGAATTGATCGCTTGGAGCCTCTCACCAATCAAGTGGCCGCGTTGCTCTCTCAGTCACCATCACTCGACACCTGATACGATCTGGCTCCTGATCAGTTTCGAAAACAAATTATTTTCATACAACCCGTCGGGCGCTGCCTTCACCTCTACCAGCATCTGTCTCGCGGAGGAAATGTCGGCATTTCGGCACTTCTTCCGCGTCACCGCATCATCGCATCAGCGTCAAGCGTGTTTGTACCATCATCACTTCTATTCGCATTGCACATATTTCATACAGCTCGATTTTGTTTTCCTCGCCACGTCTTGTCTCTACTATCGGCCCAGGTTCGGCCAGCCAACCTATACATACATTCGCTCATGCTCTATGATATCCACGCTACCCGTCCTCGCATACATATAGGGACCGGTGGCACAGCTCATCATCTCGGAAGCGTTGTTACACTTTCCTTTCCTGTTTTGGAAGTTGATATATTCCCGGTGGTCAGATAATGCAGTAGCCCCGCCGAGGTTAGAAGTTACCCGGGGCGGTGTCAGTCGGAGGCGAGAGGGGAGAGGGGGAGTGTAGCAGGAGGCGATATTTGATGGGGAAAATGGTGTAGATGGAGGCCAACGATGTACGAGAATAAGGAGGGAGGGGGGTACGTGTTCTATGCCTTTGCCTACCTGTCCGTATATCTTGGCGTATGAGAGCGACGAGAGCTAGACTAGTCCGTGAACGTGAATATCTTCGAAAGTCATACCTGTATACACCATGTGTACCGATGCGATCATTTTCTTGGCCTCACTGCGATATCTATCGTTCTGCAGCAAGTCCGGCTGTAGACGGCAGGTGTTGACTTCTTAAGGGATGCTCAACTCATGATTGGCAGTCCGACTCTGGATTGGCAGTAAACTCAAGTAGCCCCGGCAATTGTGATTATCTAGTCATCCTTTCGTTTGAGAAGAGATACAAGGCAGGTCAAGGAAAGTCGAGTTGGAACTGCGAGGCAAACAGCGGCTCAGCTGTCTCACAGGAGCGGGAACATTCAGTTTGTAAGGGTCGAAGTTGAATCCCATGGACAACAACCACACTTCCACGCCGGGGTTATAGAGCTGTCACTTGCAAGCTTACCTCGACGCACACACTAGGCGTGACGGCGAGAAGAGCAAGTATTGGTGATCATCACAGCCAATTCTGCGATCCGCTCGGCACGAAGCTACTACTTCGAGATGAGGACGTAGTCACTTTGCAAGACGTGTGCTATTGCTCCTTCGTGTCCTTGCCAGTGATTTCCAGTCGCACGGCCTTCGGCTCGCTCAGGATCGCTTTGACCAAGAGGAATCACGACCACTATGCTCAGGGCTGTCAATACATTGAGATGCTGATTCAACTTTATCGATGAATGGGAAAGATACAGAGGATCTCAAACATCTTTCTGAACAGGAAACCACCTGAACTTTTCTTAGATCCGAGACGGTCACTTTGGACAGGCTTGATGGCAACCAAGCAGCAGCAAAAATGTCGATCAACCCAAAGCAAGGAGAGAAAATGACAAAATTTAACATCATCAATGGAGACCTCTGGAGCGTCTGTATATGAATTGTTGTAATTTTTCCTATCTATCTAATGACTACTAGAGAGAGAAGTCCAAAATAGGAGCTGGACAGATTGAGGTCCAACCTGTTCATCCATTTAGGTCAAACCTACCGACCCTCACAGAGTCATCAACCAGCTGGCACAGGGCGCTCAACATGGACCGGAACATCAGAGCGGCAGCTGTCACGCGTACCAGAGTCCACCTAAGTTCGAGAAATGTCAGCTTCGAGTCCACAGTATAACGCGGCGGCGGACAGATCCCCCTCCTCCCCATCAAGAACAACAGCAACAACCATAGTTATCAGAAACCCAAGATTTTAAAGCACTACCGTCCCCACCCCCTCCGCCACACCACATCCCCCCCGATCCCCGCCAGCATGTGACGATGCAGGCGTTCCCAACTCTGATGGAAGGGTAGGGTTCGTGAGGACGTGCTGCGGAGGCGGGCCGAGGGGATTCGCGAAGAACCCCGAGGACAGTCTCAGACGGCTCTTCCTATTTCGAGAGTAAAGGGTTTTTCAAATGCAAAGATTTGAAGACTCATCATGAAAGGTGGTGGGAGCAAGCAGGGGAGAGGCGCGGGGGCATCACAGAGGTGATGGGACTGCGGGAAAGTCGAGCTTACCTTGGGCTGGTCCTCAGGGGAGGGAGGAGGACTGGTCTGCGACGACGATCCTCAAGATCAAACTGCTTTGCATTCCGAAGGTGGCCGCATCAGACCAGGTGGGCGAGCAGAGCCTCAAGCCGAAGCGGGGGAAAGGGCGGGGAGCATCGACCGATCCTGAGGGGTTAGCAAACGGTGTGCGATGCGCGATGTTGGATCGCGCATCAAGCGAGCGGCCGGTTGAGGCATGGCTGTGCCTGCAACGGACGATCTGTTGCAGGCTTGTTGGCGCCGAGTGACGAGGTTGGGGTTGGAGTCGGGGGAAGCTTGCGGCAGGTGGAAAGAGACTTTGGCGGGAAGGGAGGAAAAAGCTTTCAAAATGGAGCCAGCCAAAAACGCGGTCACGTGGGGACGTGAGCAAAACTGGTTGATTTTGAGCCTCAAAAAGCGGGACTGAGACAGCGCTATGTAACTGCATGGGCAACTTAGCCCGCTCACCTGGCAGCAGCACTGCCCCTCCTGCAAGTCCAACGCCCGCTTATCTCGCCAGTTGCATTCAGACGGTGAATCAAAGCACTGCCCCTTCGTCACGCTGCATTGCTGCATGGTTGGCGTCATGTATACAATCAGGGGCCTCACTGCATCGACAACTGGGCGCAGTAATGTATCATCAAGAGTATCCTGTGCACACATGCATGATGGATGGAGTAATAGTACTGCGTAATGACGTGAATGTAGTCTTGTCTGATTTGTGAGGTTCTACCATATGCCACCAAACGGTTCTCAACTCTCCTATCAATTACCCAAACCTGGTGTGTAGAGCTCGTCTCGGCCTCGTTGTGAGGAACCTGCTGCTTGACTGTTTTTTTTTGTGTCTTTTTGTTTTCTTTCTTGTTTGTTCTCCCCCATTTCCATCTCAAGATTCCTTTCGAAGCTTCAGTTGACGAATGATGAAGACCAAGGTAGGAGACGCTAGAGCAAATAGAGCCGCGAAAAGCGGCTCTCATGAAATGTATGTATGTTTACAAGAATTGCACAAGTCAACCATCTTGAAGGCGCAGCTGCCAATCTGGTGTCGCCATCAGTCGCCGTCATTGATTTTCAACGCTCGCTGTCGTTAAATCATAAAACATAATCGCCCATTTTCCCAAAAATCGCCATGTAAGGCTGGATAGTTGGCACTGTTTAGTGCTGGGAGTATCCGTACTGGTTGGCGGACCAGTCAACTCCCCAAAATTCCTGTGAGTTCGGTTGCGAGTAGCCCGCCGCAACTGAAGGAATTTCATTGGTGAATAGAGGAGACTCGTTGAAGGTCATGGGCTTCGCCTCAGCAGTGGGTGGGAACAGGAGGAAGTCTGCGCCGCCGTTCATCTCAACAGGGATATCGTCGAACCCGTCGTCAACATCTGCCAGGGAGTGAGGAGTGAACAGCATCGCGTTTCCTTGTCCAATGGGGGAGATATGAGGCGCGACCTGCGTCTTACAGAGCTCTGCCTCTGAGAAGGCAGCGAACTGCATCGCGAGCTCCTTATTGAATGTCGGAGCGGGCACTTGCGCCTGATTTGCACTGTAGATGTCATCCCATTGGTATTCAGTTGTTGACGCGTCTTGGAATGTGATGGACGAGCTGTCCAAGCCAGGATCTGTGACGGGAGTTCCATTGTCGATCGGTGAATAATCAGAGTAGTCCATTGTGTCCAAGTGAATCTCCTGTGGCAAGGTGTTGAAGTTGAAGGGCTCGGCCTCGGGGAGATATGTGGGGAATTCAATACTGTTGGGCTGGTATTGAAGCCTCTCCTCGGGGGGTGTTGCCATTCCAACACTGGGGTTGCTGATAGGTGTGGGCAGTCCCTGGATCTGGGGTGTTCTGTGGGTAACACTGCCGGCCTTGCTTGATGTCTTCTTGCCGCCGTTCGTCTTGGTCCTCACGTACTGCCACCCATGAGCCTTCTCCATGTGCTGCTTGCAGTTGGACTCCCTCTTAGACTTATAGGGGCAAGGAGGGAACAAGCACTTGTACATCGGTGGGTCAATCGAGTGCTTGTCATTGCAGTGACGATCCATCTCCTTCTCTGTGGGCCAGCCATATTCGTGATATTTGCAAGATTCGATGGGGCACTTCCAGGGACGAGAATGAGTCTTCTCGTGCTTGGTCAAGTCGCAAGGTCGCTTGAACTCTCTTGTGCAGCCCGGCTCGCGACACTTCTTTGGTGCGAGCTCCTCGGGGCTTGCGTTCTTCTTCCGTCGGGCCATGGAGCGCATGATCTCCTCTTCATCGGCCAACTCCTCGGAAGCAGACCGTTTGACCTTAATGGGGCTATCGTTGTCTTCGTCCATCTCGACAACCTCACCAGTGGCGAGTGAAATCGCCTTGCCGTCCTTGTTCACGCGGACAAGCTCTACTGGCCGGCCGTTGACATGAATGCCGCCGTGCAGCTTGATCTCGTCGGAACTGGTCAAGCCGTTAGCAAGAGCTTGCTTGACAGTCAGGAGGGGGTGAGCATACGCATTAACTTCCATACTGTCTCCGGTAGGTTTCTTGTCCTTGGCGTCAGCAATTTGTTTGGCGTACATCTGTAGTTGTTCCACAAGGTCGATGAAGTATCCGCTGCCGTAAGGAGGGTCGCGAGGTCGAGTTTGTTCTCGGTCACTAAGGTACTCAACAGTCGCTTGGATGCAGTGGACCGTGGTGAGGCAGAAGTCGAGCCACAAGTCGGCTACTTTGGTGCTCTCCTTTGAAAACAAGGCCCGATAAGTATTTCCCCGAAGACCAGGTTCTCTTTGAATCTCACTTACAGGAGCAATGAGTAGAAGCGTCTTCTCGAGGTCTCGAAGACAAAGGATCTCTTTCTCCTTGATCCTTCTGGGACAATCAATAACAAGAGGGTGGAAGATCTTGAGTTCAGGTTTTGCGAGGAGCGGTTTCAGAACATGCTCGCAGATTTTGTTTGTGGCCCGGTTGCTCAGGCCAGGCAGGGTTGTGGTCGCGGCGGCAGACCGAGTGACAGTCGACGCCTTGACAGATGACGTCTTGCCCTTCTTGCTGGAGTCGGCGGCGGCTTTGTCTTTAGATGTAGCGACAGAGGTACCGAGCCCGCTGTCTGAATCGTGGTGTCTGGCGGGGCGACGGAGAGTAGATCGTGGGCGCAGTACACGGCGCTCCTTTTCAGGTTCGTCCAACATGGCGACGGAGTGCTTGCGAAGGCCGTCGGGGAAGGGGAAGGTTTTGTCGACCAAGGTCTTGGACTCGTCCTTGGAGGCCGTCAAGGTCTGGTCGATGCTGTCGAGGGTGATACGCATTCGCCGCTTATGGGCATCGATCACGTCGTCCAGGCTGGTCTGTGATCGACGTGGCAGAGACGGGGGTCTGAAGGCGGAAACGTCTGAGCCAGGAGATGTAGGAGAGTGGAAGGTGAGGCCTTTCCGGAGGGGCATGTTGGTCTTAAGGGACAAGGCCCCGTCCGGGTGAGTCGCCGGAGTCCTACGAGGATTGGACATGTTGAGCCGGCTGGTGTGGGGTTGGCTAAGGACTAAATGGTTCTGCGTTGGACGGAACACTGTGTCGACTATGGGCAGGCCAGCCAGGGTCAGTGAGTGTCTTGCATGTAAGGCTGAGCGCGGGATATGGTTCGGTGGGGGGTGAGTCACACGGGTGCGTCGATAGTACGAGTTGCAAGCGCAGGACATGTGGCCCCGATCTCGTCTCGTCTGTGACGACACACGGTGAGGCCAAAGATCGGCCGACTTGGTCGGGGGAGATGAGGAGATAGGACTGTCACAGAGGACGGGGATTGAGGGAGGGAGAGGACAGAGAGAGAATGGAGTCCTTACACGTCGACAGACGGTACGCTACGTTGTGGGCACAACTGTGACTTTCGCAGGCCAAGTTGACGGCCTGTGTGTCAGATGTGAATCGAGGTCTGGATGTGTCCACGAGATGTGATGCCCGGAATTGCCCAGGGCCGCGGCGAAGATGCAAGGAAGGGCGGGTGGCGGGGAGAGAGGCCAGATAAAAAGACGCAAAAGCGTGAAGCCTGGAGGGCGAGGAAGAGGAAGAAGACGAAGACGGGAGGAGAGTAAGACGGGGACGACGGGCGGGTGGCCAACGAGGCTCTGGGTGTGAGACGGCGGCAGGTGTCTGGGGTTTGGCCTCAGGGGGGTCTGTCTGTCTGGTGTCTGGCTCTCGCTCGGTCGCTCGCACTTCTCTCTCAGCTGGAATATTGGATTGGATTGTCAGGTTCCACGTTGGCCTCAGGACGCTTTGGAGTCAGCGGCAGGAGGATGGAAGAAGGTTTTTAGAGGGTGGGCAAATCACAAGAACAAGCAGCACCGGCGTGTGATGGAGCAGGGCGATGAAATGAGGTTGAAGAGGAGGAAAGAAGCAACGGGTGGAGCTGGGCGGGCTGGACGGGGTTGGATGGGGTTGGAGCTGCTTGGAAAGCGCGGACCGGACGGACCAGAGGTTTAGGCAACAGCGACTTGACCCGGCTCAATGGGGCCTAGCTCGCGCCGGGTGGGTCTGCGGTGGGATGAGCCCTGGAATGCCCTGGACTGCCTTGGACTCCGCCTCGCAGGGATTGGAGCTTGGGGGCAGCACCCTCGTCCACTCAGAGGCCGCGACGCCAGTTGCAGCGCCCCGTTAGGATCTAGCGCCAGAGCAAGATTGAGATTGTTGGTCCGCTCCCCGACAGTTCGGTCAGCACAGCACCACAGCACCAGAGCACCACGGCACCACAGCACAGGCACAGCACCCAGCACAGCACCCGCGCACCACCCGCAGCACGCAAAAGCACGCAGCCAAGTCACACATCTGTCAGCGAGGTTGAGGCTCTGCTGTGGGGACGGTGACACGTTGTCTCTCTCTCTCTCACCCCGTCTCAGTCCCGTCCCGTCCCATCTCGTTTGTTTCTTCTGCTCAGCTGCTCAGATCTGCGCTGCTCTCCGCTGCTCTCCGCCGCTCTGCTCTGTTTCACTTCCTGCTGCTGCGCACTCTCGCATTCCGGTCATCTTTCGTCACTCCTGCACGTTCCGATTAACCTAATGCTCGAGTCAGGTTCTGCACACGGTCGGAGTGCGGAAATATTCAGTCGATTGGTTCCCCTGCGATGCAATCAATATGTGCAGATAGACGCACACACCCCACCCCACCCCTTAGGTAGGGTCACGAGCACGAGAACGAGCGCGACTATGAGCACAATCACAAAACCACCTTTGCAGATCCGCGAAGCTCAGTCTCGCAATTACTGGCAATTACCTCTGCCATCCTGCTACCACCTCTGCCCCCAAAGAGGGTAGCTGGCAAGTCAATTATCCGCAATGGCATCATTTCGGGTGGCAGTGGCGGCCACTCGACTGATAGCTGACTGCATGATACAACGCATTTCGTACACTTCTTGGTGAGCAACACGGCGACGGGGCCATAAAATGGTCCGTGCGGTGCCAACGGCCATCCCTGCTCTCAGCCGTCTGGCAGATCAACCATCAATAATCTTGTCTGGGGCAAGCGCTTGAGCTGGGGTTCGCGACGTACCCACCCGACGAGGTCCTTTTGTACGTTTCCACATCTCCACATTTCATCTACTTCGCGAATCCGACGTCCGTCGTCGGTTCTTGTCAGTCCTTGCCAGTCCTCACTTGGGCCTGGGCCAAGCCAAAGATCTTCCAGACAGTCTCCTTGGCCGTCATCAACAATGTAGCTAAGGTCCCTTGATGTGACACACAATCGCCGCCGGCATCAAACTGAGTCGCAACAGCCACGGCCCCCTATTCCTGACTGCTCAGCCAGACCATTTCTGTGGCCTCATCAGGGTCTACCGCAGTGATGGTCTGACCAACTATCCAATGGTGGCAGGGAGCGCAACTGCCGCTGTGTGTTGGTCAAACTCTTCGCACCAAGACCACTGCACTCCTGCGGCTCAGCAAGCCCACCAATTACCCCCAGAGAGCGCAGAGCAAGTCGATTTGCCCGGAATACGGACCTGGCACCACCTGCCAACCCCGATACAACCTCGCCAAAGCCCGCAGAATCCTTCTGCGGCCTCCTCCTGCTCAAATGTCTCATTCACCGTGATTGACAATGGTTCCCGTGAGGTCATGAAGTTCATGCGTGCATGACATCTCGTGTTGTTGAAGTTTGTCCTCGTTTGTCCCGAATGGAACTGTGCAGCGTAACCTGATGGTGAAGTCTTTCCAACCTCTGGCCAACAGGACGAGCTCATCCATGGACCTTGCATGCTCCACCGGTAGGGCTGCTTCACACACCCACGGGATTGGGAAGCCAGAGAGAGAGGGTGAGGACTCTCTCTCGAGACAAGCTTACCCGACTCCCCCCTGGACGTCGTCATCCGTGTTCCAATCAGCTCGCCAAGCTCGAGTGAGGCCGACTCTCCGCAACCTTCGCCCACCACAAAGACACTCGGGCCATCCCTACCGTCCCTCCAACGTGCGTTGACGACGCCTCCGTCGTAGCCCGCAACACTGCATTACATGGCAAATGGTTCCTGAGGACACCACGCAGCTGTTCGTTGCCCATCAGCCCTATGAGACGTTTATCGCGCAACCTAGAGTACCCCACCCACAGGCTGGAGACGCTTGGCCCCCTGACCACTCAGCGTCCAGAGAATCAGGGAGCCTATCAAGACGACGAGTCTCGCGTACGTACTTTCACCGCAAACCAAGGCCTACCTCTGCACATCTTGGCTCGGCGGGCCACAGGCTGCGACATTCTTTTTCCGGCGAGTATGCGGGCCGTCTTGAAGTCGTCACGGCTTGCATCACTAGTAGACGTGACCGCCGGCACAGGAGGTCTAAATGGCGGCCTTGGCCCAGCGGGCTGGTCGTCGCAAGTGCGTGTCCATAAATCAGGTACCAGTATTTCGAGTCGATCCGACTGGCCCTCGTCTCAGGTGTCTCTCCTAGGTACCAATATTGCAGTCCCCATAATGCTGCAGTGCGACTGCAAGTGCGGTCTCAGGTGTGCCCAAATCCTCGCAGTCGGGCCATGAGTGGCATGCCAGACCTGCATGACCCAGCAGCCCTGTGGGCGATCTCAGGTGGACTTGAATGTCAACAAACTACTGTCAGGTATTGGGCAGTGCCTCTCGCCTGCATATACGACGGCTACGGAAGCGTAATTCGGATTGATCACATTGTTTAATGCTCTATTTCATAGTGTGGTGTAGTGGTATCACATCGTATCCTATGAGAAGGTGTAATTGTGCTTGAACTTCACTTGGGACTTAAAATCTACAGGAAAAAGTGTGGAAATTACTTACCTATTGAGTAGAATAGAAATCCGCCCTTTTCCGTTAGGTCAAGGACGGGGGTTAGTAAACATTTCGCATTGCCTCACTTGAGGCGTGTCACGTAAACATTGTGACGCCAGGTTCCAAACGCCCGTAGCTGCACCGTGCCCAAGTTTTTTTTATAGGGTTTTTTGTCCTCCCCTTTCCGCATCTCTCGACTTATGGGTTTGTCGAGAAGTAAAGCAGAAGTGTCACGTTGGCACTTTAAGACCACGGCTCAGGTGAAACAAGGCGTGGGCTCATAGGGCCACTTTCTACAGACGAGACACTGCCGTCACGAGCATGCGTTGACGTGACTGAAGGCAGGATATATGGACTCACTCTTGGGCGGCCAGTAGCGGCGGGAGAGGGAGCAAAGCGCGGCAGCGATGCGACCTGCGCGTTGAGAGAGGCCTCGTGGTACGAGTCTGGCCTGCCTCGCGCCACGGGGTAGGGAGGCTGCAGTTCATCATCGCTGTTGTCAAGAAAACGGGCCCTCTGAGGACTGAGAGGCACAGGGTGATGGAGGCGGGGGCCGCCCGCCCGAGGCCTTGAGGAGATGGCGTTCGATCTAGTCACTTGACAATACGAACGTGTCTGCGGTTGCTGTCGCGGTTGCGGCTGCGGTTGCTGTTGCGGCTGCGGTTGGATGTTTCGAACCACTGCTGGTGGTGGGGGTTCAATAGTAAAATGCGGAAGGGCCGTGAATTCGCGGTTCAGTTCAACATCGAAGAAGCTGTCCCTGTTTCTGGGGTTTCTCCGACGCTCTCGAGCTTCACGCTCCCGCCTCTGGCGCTCCTGGTTCTCATGGCAAGTACGACAGACTCCGTGAGAGTAAACATGATGCTCCTGAAGGCAAGGTTTTGATTTTGAAGTTGACCCCGAGCCAAAGCACCAAAGAGATTTCTTGGTGTGCTTGCAAGGGACTTTTTCCATATGCGAGTGTCCGCACCCTCTGAAATTTGTGATGGTAACGCACATGGTGACTGTTGTGACTTCTCTTGCCTTAGCCTTTGCTGGATTTGGTTGATCTAGTGGGTAGCGACTGGGATATTACAGCTAGATTAGACGTCTATATATACTTATAGGGCTTCCTTTGATTCCTGTCCTTGACAATACCTTGTCATCTGTGCCGGGACGAGGACTTTGGAGGAGACTATGGCATTGTATACTCGTCTTGACAAAGTGAAAGTATTTCGTATGGTATCTGTACATTCTACAGTCACGTACAATGGGGTGAAGAGCGATCCGCACAATTCATAGAAGCGACGGCACAAGCCGCTCACCAATAAAGGCTGTTTATTGTCTCTGGGACGGTCTACTTTTGTTCATGTTTCCTCTGACAAAGTTATTCAAGGTGGCATGCAAGTTTCCTCCCAGCCTAATCTGTTAAAAGTCCAGAGACTCGCAGGTACCTGCCGAGGGCTGTTGGACTTTTGGCATTTCTCTCGGTCGTTCAACCTGTCTATATGCAAACCATAGATCAGAAACAGTCTTCGCACTTCAACTCAAACCCGAACAATGCACTTTCCTTTCTGCGATGGGAAGCGCCGCCGCGATGCTAAGCTCACCCAAAGACACCCAATTAATTGGACTCCAGAGCCCCATGGCCAAACTGATACAAATCGTTTTCTCGCCGGCGATGTGGACGCGGTTGCAGACCTGACTACTCTTATCGCCCGAGCTGGTCTCACTTCTGCCCGCGTTCCACACCTTAACACCAGCGGAGTAGTGGCTACGAGTGAGCTGCTTCATTGCGGCAATGATGAGTCCATCCGCAAGCTAGCCGAAGATCAAGCGATTGCGCAACGGCGATCACAGGCGGCGAGGCCATGGGGATTACGATCCCTTTTCTTCTCCAATGCGTCGCTCATAGGTGAGGATTTTCAACAGGCCCTCATGAATCTTTATGGTGAGAGCAGTGCGTCGTCTGTCGATAATGATAAAAAAGTGTCACCCAGTATCGCATGCCAAGGTCACTGGAAGCTTGTCTATTGTTCAGGCAAGGATTGCGATGCCCAGCATTCTCACCCGGAAATTTCCCATAGCGGCCCACCTGTTACTCAAAAGGTTCTTTCCGTGCCTGTTCAAGCTGATCAAAGAGTATCTCTCACTCAGAGTCTCGAAGAAGAGCTACGAGCACAGGAAGTAGACGAGGGGGAGGAGGAATTCCCTTTCGATGCCCATCTAGGAGATGAGGCTGAGTACGAGCAAGCGCTCTGTGAGGTAATCGCCATTGCAAGCCGGCCTGGCAGCGCCAAGCTTGTTTCTCTCGGCAGAAAGAAGTTTTTCCAGAGCTCTGGCACTGTGAGTGCAGGCGCAAAGAAGGCTGAAAGCTCTGACGAGGAGAGATGGTCCACGCAGCCTCAGACAGGCTGTCCCGAATCGGAGTCACCACGCCGTGTCCGTCTCTCTCTAATGGGTCCCCCATCTGGCCCGCCCGCCATAGCACTCCCTCCGAACCCTCCTTCGCCAGCTATTTCCTGGCCGCTACGTTCTGGCCGGTAGCCTTCTTTGTGTAATTCCAGATTCTCGCAAGTGAGATCTTTCGATGGCGCTTGGGGGGAGTTCAAGGGATACCTTAGAGACAATATCAATTTCTTTATAAATCAGGTCTTCATTCCATCGTGCCACGAAATACAGTAGGCCAGTCTAAGACACATGCCGCTTGTAAAGTGTATTACTGTAGAAAGGTTGCTTTTCGAAGATGATTTTAAGTTCCTAGCCCGTTTGCGTCAGTTTACCAATTCAATAATAATGTGAATGTGTATTTGCTCAACAGCATCAACTGGTCTATTGCATATCACCATACTCAGGAATGAGATCTATAATATGCCACGAGTTGAACTTAATCGCCTTCCAACTGAGAAGTTTCCTTTGAAAAGTCCTCTACTAATCCGTGGCGGTATCTCACTGAGAGTCAAGGAGGCACTGTTGTTGATTTTCTTGAATCGTGAATATGACCATCCTCCTTGTTAGTCTCCAACCTGGCCATTCACAGTGCATTACATAGCTGTAGAAACTCGTTCAACCAAAGTCAATTTAAGTCTCTCCAGGATACCCATCACTGAGATCTGCGTCGAGATATACCATCACCCTCTAAAAGCAATCCCAATGGTAGGGCTAGGAAGGAAAGGACATCATAAGAAAGTGTGCAACGAAGCCAGTTTTATAATCACAGATAAAAGTTCAATCCCTGCGACATTGGCGTTGGACATTGAGACACGTTTTACCTTGGCCCCATCAACGCCGGCAGTCCGCCCTTCCTAGCTCAGTAGTAATTATGAGCAATTCAAGCATATACAGTCCATATAGCCAATGACCAGAGATCATCCTCTCCCTCGTGTTGGATACTGAATCTGTATCTCATCATTCCTCTTGCTACTCCCTGAAATCCTTTGTTGGAGAGAAGAGCCCCGCAGGCTACCTGCGTTACCGACCGTAGAACCGAGAAGCCCACAGATTCCACAAGTTCCATGTTCTCCATTGTAAGCCAATGAGGCAAGCCAGCCATTTGCTAAAATCTTACACAGACGCCCGGTTTTCATTTTTCTCGCAGCGTCAAAGGTTGATACCATCATCGCCTCGTTTTCACTACTTTGCGAAGTGAAGATCGTAACCGAGCCATTTCCGTCTCAATACTTGGTCGACACTGAGACCAGGATATCCGTACGTTAGAGGCAGGAAGAAGTACCAGCCAAATGCTGCCAAAGCCAAAATGACGACACATGCAATCCACGCGCTGATCATGCTCTGGCCGGCGAATCGCTCGCGAGCCGAAATATGTCTCCTTGGCCCAGACTTCTTACCGTTCTTGACAGATTCAGGAACTTCCTCGGAGGTATCCGCGTTAAACACGAACTCAAGCAAGGCACCTGTTACAAGCGTGGAAGCCAGATGAGCAGGGAGATAATGATGCAAGAACAATTGACGGCCCATAACGTAGAAGGGGAAGTAGTGAGTCGCCCACGCCAAGAAGAAGAAGCCAGTGGAGTTGTAGAGACGAGATCGGGTTCCTATTATAGATTAGCTTCCAGCCCTGTGTGTGTGTGCCTATTTTTTCATTACTCACTGTGATCCAAAGCGTCAACGCCCCGCCTAAGAGAGAATTGATCGGCAGCAACGATACCAGCATAGACGGCGAGCAAGCTGCTTGCAATCCACCAGCCGACAGGATTGCCTAGGAAGTAGATCTGCTGACGAGTGTCGTTCTGGGTCCAGAAACTGACGCCGCGGAGCAGGAACGGCCACTGGTAGGGCTGCGAGGCGTACGGGTGGCTGCTGGTCAACTGGTTGTTGTGCCAGAACATGGATCGCTGAAGCTCGAACCACTTCCTCAGGAAGGGTAAGGTTTTCACCTTGCGCTCGGGTTTATCCCTTCGTTTGTCGTCCACAGGCAAGGAGGGAATGTCCTCAACCAGCCACACGTTGGAGCTTGGTGCGATCTGCTTGTTGCCGTTGATTTCCTGTTGCTTGTGACCCCACTCCGGGAGGGGTGTCGTGTGAGTCCACATGGCGACTTTGCTGGGGTTATGGATGAACTTGAAGTGGCTGGAAATGCTCTTGAACTCCTGGTTCTTCTTTCCACCTTCGATACGAATCTCAAACAGGGTGTCTTGCAGTCTATCGCCATACGCATCCGTCAGCGGAACAGTTGTAAACTCCTGGTTGGTAGGGAAATATGGCGATGCGACGTCATGCGACAAGAGTATCGTGTCGGTGACGATGTGGCGGAGGCGCACAAGATCGTGGTTCTTGACTGCGCGGCCCAACTTCTGGTCGTCCTCCACCGGAATAATCTGCCAGTAGTTGTTTGTGTCATTGTAGGGGTATCCGGTGACCTGCTGGCCCTGGCTGGAAACTCTGCCATCATCGTACCGCAGAGGGTAGCGGTCCTCATGACTGTGAAGGTATGTCTTGGTCTCCTTGTGCTTCAAGGTAATCGAGTCGTAGTAATTGACAGTGACCGCGTTGGACAGCATAACATTGTCGCTCAGGGTCTCCTGGAACTCTGGGGTCATGAAGTCGTCGCCCGGCCCGGATCGGGTCAGGACTGCAAAGTGCACCTGGAACCAAAAGAGGTAGAAAATGAAGGGCATGACGATCAGCCCAAATGCTCGTGCCGCAAAGTGCTTTCCAAAATCAGGCATACTCAGTGCCCCTCCAGGACGCTTGACGTCCAACAAGTCCCACAGGTCGATAGCCACAGCGGAACCAATAGTAACAAAGGCGAACAGACCGACGTATTTCGTGGAGATGTCACAGGAGAGGGCGAAGCCCGTCAGAATCAGCCATTTCCACCACTTCCTTGAGAAAGCCTCATGTCGGAGCTTGTAGAACTTGATGTAGGCCAGCAAGCTGCAGGCCATTGCCAGGACAAGCGTAGCGTCCAGCAGAATCAAGCGCGTCTGGCCAATGTGGGCATTGTCGAGCAGCACCAGACCAGCAGCGACAACGCAAGCGGGCAAGCTGTAGCCAGACTCCCACATAATCATGTAAGTGACCGAGACGGTCAGCGCGCCGAGAATCGCTGGCAAGGAACGGAAAGCCACGAAGGGAACTTTGTTTGCAACGTAGGAGTCCCCAATGTTCTCGAAGTGGAAGTGCCCATCGTAGCCGACCAGCCATCCCATAAATGCGAAGAGAAGCTTTCCGAAGGGCGGGTGCACATCGAAGAAGTAGGTTCGTTCTAGATAGTAAGATGCAAACTGCAAGCAAGCCTTCGTCAGCAAGAGCACGCTGCAGAAAAGCAGTGAGCGTGGCTAAGAAGATGCGTACCTTGCCAAAATGGACTTCGTCAAAGACGACCTCGTTAGGGTGGCTGATACCCCAGAATCTTGTCACGAAGGCGAGGGCGGTGATGACCGCGAGAGCGATCTTGTATTGTAGGTCAGAGTTGTTGGTCGGCGCATTGGCCTTGATGAGTTTGTCGAGTTCAACGTCGTCGGGTGACGGCGAGACCGCCCCATTCTTCTTGGAGCTGGCCACATTTCGCTGGCGCAAGCCCTCCTTGGAAGTCGAGCTTGAGACCATGATGGGCCTGTGTGATAGGGAAAGTCTTGCAAATTGAACAAAATGTCAGCTGCTGGACTTGAAGGTCCTCGTGTAGGAAGGTAGTGCAAGAAGGACGAGAGTCGCAAGGCAGCATAGCAACAGCTGGCAGGATCTGGAAGGTGGGCAGACCGGACGCCTCAGACCAACCAATAGCTGGACTAGGGGGTCGACTAACAGCAGGCGCACAGCAAGGGAGACAGATGAGGGATGCTTACAAGCAGAGCGTAGACCAGGTCGAAATGAAGAGTAGAAGAATGGTGCCACTAATGAGCGTGCGAAAGGGAAGAATACCTCAAGGAACCATGGGAGGAAGAAGAAACTTGAAATTGTTTATAAACAGTCCCCCTCGAGAGGATTGCATCTGGCGAGAGGTATTGAAGGACGTCCCAAGTCGATTGAACAGAGCGGAACCTAGTTAATTTTAGACGACAGAAGACGACAGCTTGGCATCAATCTGGCCCGTCGTAAGCTCCCTGAAACATTCTGGCCCAAGCTCCTCCGATAAGATAAGGGCAGATGCAAGCTACCTGAGGGTTCAGGGCTGGGCTCTGTTCACTGTCAAGGCCTAGACATGCTGCTACATGACCCTAGAGGGTGGTTGAATTTGAAAAAGATTAGGAGCAGTCAGATTGGCTGATCTTGTATTTGAGTTTCATGCAGGCTTTAGCATAGGTATACCGTTATCGATACCGACGTAAATCATTAATCGTATGCTCCAAGGACGGCCTATTCTCACTGGGGAAGGTAGGGGCGTCAGCTCGCACCCAATGGGCAATAAATTGGCTTCCTGTCCGAAGACGGAGATTCACGCTCTGCATGACAAAACACCGCCCGACCCGGCATCATATTCAAGACACTTTTGACTCAAAATCTCCTCAATGCTTCCATTGCGCAGACTCACCCGGGTTTCTCTTTCGTCCTCTTCTGTGAGATCGTTGACAGCAACTACTCGTGCCGGCCCAAGCTTTAGCAACTTCATCCGCCCAATCTCGACCATGGAGCCCGTTTTCACCAAGGATGCTGCCCCGCGTGCGTGGAACCCCTCACAAATCCCCATTGACAAATACTGACCCTTGGAACAGCTGCCGGGCCTTACGTGCGTAGACTTCTTTGAAGATAGGATGAGGGCCGTCTTACTAACACCTCCTGGCCATTGAAGTCCCAGGCCATCAAGACCCCAACTGCAATTTACTGCTCGGGGCAGATCCACTTTGACGCTGAGGGCAACCTGCTTCAGGGCACCATCCAGGAGAAGACCGCTGCTTGCATCCGCAACCTCAAGGCCGTCCTTGTTGCTGCTGGCTCTGATATTGACAAGGTCGTCAAGACCAACATCTTCCTCGGCGACATTAACGACTTTGCTGTGCGTTGAACTATTGACAAATTTTACGGCATCGTGGCCACCAAGCTGACATTGATTCGCAGGCCGTGAATGAGGAGTACGCCAAGTGGTTCACCCACAAGCCTGCTCGCAGCTGTGTTGCTGTCAAGACGCTCCCAAAGAACGCCGACGTTGAGATCGAGGCTATTGCCCTGCCTTAAGGATGCCCGTCAGAGGAACATCTCTTTGAGGAACCAGACCTGGCTTACAACTCCACTCCGCTTCAAAAAGCACAGATAGATTGAAATCCAGCAATCTGAAGCTTGCAAGCTCGGCTTTTTCAAGCCATTCCTGCCAACCACACGTGAATTGACTGGGACGAAGACGCGCAAAGAGCATAGTCGAAGATGCTTGCCTCAATGATATGTGGTAGTATGTGACCATATATCTCACTGCCGTGTCGATAATGTGCATCCTCAGCGCAAAACGATCTGTCTGCTATGGCCCTAAGTTTCCTGAGTCCATATATTCCCTTTGATGGCCAAAAAAGGGGGTGTATGGGCTGTGCTTCTAGTATGGCCCGTACCCAAGCCCGGCCGCGTCCATCGTGGAGACTACGAAGAGCTTTGTGTCGAGGATGGACCGGGCTTTTTCTGGGGAAATCGAGGGTCCGTCTTGCCTTCTAGACTGTTCCTTCGCATGTGGATCATTTTCAGTGACATGCTAGAACTCGACCTGTTGCACGTGTCCCTGGTGAGAACCGAGCTGTGAGGATATGCTTGGGGTCGAAAGACTCGATATGGGGTCTCATTATCAGGAAACTGACGACATATGAAATGCCCAAAATCGTTGGCGTTTGTTTCGAGTGTCACGGAACCCATCTGCGATAATGGTGAGCCTCAGGAAGCACAGCCCATGTGACCTTTAAGTCAGTGGTTACTTTTGGTCCCGAGGGCTTGCCGACGATTCTCCATCTCCTCAGGTGGGCAATCTCTCATAACTGAATATTTGCGTACTACGGAAGCCTGGACGATTGATTAACCAACATGAAACAGCCTTGCCTGCTGGCATCCGTCGAGGGCATGCAACATATGGAATCGAAAAGTTCTTGACATTGAAAACAGTGAATTCTATCACCAGGAAGCAAAAACGAGTTACTTTTTGTGTGTGTTTTCAGCCGAGCTTCGCCATGCCAATCGCCCAGAGCCACCGGCCTACCCACGAGACAGCCCATGCGGCCGCGACGGCTAGTAAGCCTAGGGCTACCAGCACTGTCCCTCGAATCTGAAAGGCGTCATCGGCCTCCATCTTCATGAGCTTCCGCTGCTTGCTGTGGTAGTACCACCTGGTCCCTTCACTGCTTCCTGTCGGAGGCTTTGAGTGAGACGCATCGACCTTGACATACTTGTATGGGGCCTCTCGGTATGTGATGCGATGAAGCCATCGGGGCAGCTGGCTGGGTTCCTCGGAGTGGCTATGTGACCGCATGATGGAGTAGCGGAAGTCAACCCAAGCTAGTGAGACCAGGAAAGAGACGAAGATAATGGGCGTCATGACCAGCTTATGTGAATGTCAGTCTGGAGCCTCGTCAGTCGGAAACGGCGTGCTTACCTGATAGATGGTAGTCCATTTGGTTGTTGAAGCATCCCCTGGGCTTGGGGCAGCCTGGGTACGAGATGACGACATTGCGAAGTCCAGTCAAGCCTCGTTGAGGTCAATATTGGATGTTTAAGGGTGAAGGCGATGAGAGGACACTAAGATCTAACAACAAGATGCTGTTCTAGATCTTATACGCGTTGGAGGTTCAGAAAGATGCGGCCCGAATACGAACCGCCACGTCGAGAAGCAATTGATTGTAACACAGTACTGCACCTGGTGTGTTGACGCTGAGCCGCTCCAGCTGCCAGCGCATCAGCCTCGAAACCGTTACAGTTACCGTCGTGCGTATGGTAAACCTCCCGATCACTTCGCATTCCACCAGTACTGTGGCCAAGATGGCTCTGCCGAGCCTGCCGGCAAGCTGGAAAGCTGGAAAGCTCTCAACTCTAAGCTCCCGGGACAGCCTAGCCCCCCACGCAATGGACCCTTGATCTCACCCATATGTGCCTACCTAAGCATAACCTCATCTGTTAAGCCACATTTTATATGTCTTTGTTCCCCTGCCGTCCGTTTCACAGTCATGAAGACTGGCTCATACAACACCTTCTAACCCCAACCACTAATCCCGTTACGGGACAGCCGCAAACTTCACAAGCTAGAGCAAGTGGAGGGAACAGAGCCCAGGCCGGGCATCAGATCAGGTCGCATGAGAGTGGAAAGAGCAAGCGAGACTTTTTAGACAGGTAGACGATGTGCACAACCAAATCTGTGTCAAGGAGATTAATAAGGCTGTGTAAGGCGGCTATGGGTCATCAAATACATCGTATAATATTAAAAGGGCGGGCCTAATCCAATCTTTCATGCGAGCCATCACGGCAGCACGAGGGCACAAATTCTAGCCCTCTCAGCAAAGATGGCCCACGGCCAGCAGATATCTCCTGAACATCCTGCTGAGACTGAGTAAGACACACGTGTGCTCGACAGAGTTGGTCTTCTTCACAAGGAACAGGACTTAGACCCCTGTGGTTCAGCAGATGGTATTCTGGAAACGGATGCGCGCTGGGTGGGCAGCCAAAAATGGTATTTTGGGAGGGAGATGAAGTTGCAAGGATGGCCCCTCCCTCCATTCCCTGGTTGCTGTGGAAAGGCCCAGTGCTTGCAGCAGCGCGTCAACCGTGCCATCAGCCCTAGACACGTCAATCATCAGGGTCTCTTCGATTGGCTTCACCGAGCAGTCAAGTCAATAAACACCATCCATGAGGGTTTCAGGATGGGCCTGGCTTCAGCAGGCCGGCCGCGCTTGAGCCTTCCCCTTCCCCTTCCAGGAGGTCCGTAGAGCACCAAGTCGCAAACACGGCTGATTGAAGTCCGACACCAAGATTACCATTCAAGATTGCCATTCGACGCTTTTAATTTCTTTCATTCTATTCACCCTTCGACGACGGCCGACACCACCAGTGATCCCGTATACTCCCCAGCCCTACTTCTTTCATTGCTGTCTTTCTGAAAGCATCCTTAGCAACCTATGTCCCTTTCACATCATTCTTAACCTCGCTTGGTGGAACTCGAGCACAAGCCCGTTCGCTGCACCAGTGCAAGCCACCAGAACCCTTCCTGACGTTTGGCATAGCGGCCGGGGAGACCCTCCTGTTACACTCCGGTGAAGGGAAACCTTACGAGACAGACAACCCAAATACGACACATCTGCACAACAACAGCGCCTCTGCTGCGAGTTGCTCTGGCTTGTGTTCACAAATCAGGCAACTTCGGACTGATAGAAATGCCCCATTTCTTTTTCAACTCATCGAGGAGGCCCCATTCCTCGAGGAATCCTGCCTTTGCGATCCACCAGGACAACAAGGGTACGTCAGTGCTTCTGAAACATCCACACCTACATGCAGCCACGCAGGCCAAAGCGAGTGAGGCTCCACAGTCTGTCATTTGGCTCGGCACATTGCCCCTGATTTGTTTACTGCACGCCGAATTCCCTACTTCGAACTCTACACTTCCAGGGACCAGGGCCAGACACGACAGTGTCGTGTTAGAAAACCTTGTCCAAAATGAGGAAGCTCATGTTCTCCCCCAAGTCTGGCAAGCCCAAGAAGCTGACACGCCACGACAAAGAAACTCCAAGCCCGCCCAGGACAGCCGATTCCTCTATATCCAGACTATCCATCGATGAACCATTCAGATCGCCCAGACCAAGCCTAAGTTCTGCTTCCCCGGGGACTGCAAACTCCAGGGGCGCTGCCACCGATAGCCTGTTGACCCAGGAGTTGAAACCCCCACACAGCTCCCCTTCCGAACGTCGCCCGTCCTCAGCCCTGGCTCCTGACGTCTCCAACGGCACGCCCCGGAGGATGGCATCGATTCGGCCCGTCACAAGCTTCGACGACGGACCTCCACCCCCAGCCGACTCCTCCCTAGAGGCCTCACCTTCGCTTTCCAACGGTCGCTCAAACTCGGTGCTCTCAAGTTCTCCAAACAGCAACGCCAGTGCAATGTCACCTACAATGGAGAGAAGGCAACATGACCAGAATGGCACGTCAGACAGGATACCAGCCGGCCGCCTAAGGCCCAAGATATCAGCGCAATATTTGGCCAACGCAAGCCACGATGGAGGTCGACGCGCCATCTCTCCAAGACCAGTCGAGATACCACAGAGGGACAGCAGCATTGGAGGGGCTGAGCGGTCAGCAGCCAAGGCAAACGCGGATGGGCAAGACGAAGCCGGGTTTGACTCGGCAGTAGGCAAGGCTGCACTAGGAAAGACTGGCCGTGTCATGAACAAGCTTATATCTGAGAATGAGGCGCTGAAGCGAGACCTACGGATTGAGAAGCTCAACTCGGAGGAATCCAGACGGGAGGCCAAACTTCTCCAGGACAAAATGGAGAGGATGGTTGCGGACTATGAGAGCCGCCTGCTGGAGGCCAACGTCACCAAAACCCTGCTAGCCAGGAAAGAGCGTCAGGTCGAGGGCTTGCAGGGAGCTGTAGAACTCGAGAAGAAGCGAACAACCGATGCTCAGAGTAGAGAACGGACTTGGAAAGAAGAGATGGAGAAGATGCGAGACGAGACGACTAGGAAGGTCGAGGATGCCACAAGTCATGCAGCGCTGATGGAAGGCCGGTACAACGCCATCAGCAGCCACTGGAAAGATCAAGGGGAGGAGGTCAAGCGCGCTACAACGAAGATGGGCAAAGAGGTAGCCAGCCTGGTTGCTGAGAGGAAAAAGGATGATGAGAAGATCACGACCTTGAGGGATCTCTGCGACCAGCAGGACGGAAACATCAAGGACTTGCTGCAACAGAAGGATGCTCTCGCGCGACAGTTCGAAGCCTACAAGAAGGAGCAAGAGGCTCTGCTACAAAACATCAAGGCGAACGCGTCCAAGACCGAAGAGGACCAGCAACGTATGCTACTGGAGGCCAAGGAGACGCTCGACAAGCTGAAATGGGCGCTGAACATCAAGGAAAACGTCAAATGGGCCAAGTGAGCCCGGCCAAACGCTTCACATCCCTTGCCAACCTCGTGGGCTCGCTCGCAAACGACCTTCATCTATCGAGTCGACCCATCTTCTATACTCTACTTCACGACATTCCTGCTTGCTTTCTCTGCGATTTGGAGACGGAGATACCCATTGTTTCGAACGCTTGATCTCGGGAAATGTACCTTTCCCCTCTACGACAAGGGCAGATGTCCAGTCTTCGGTTTCCTTACTACCCAAACTCTCATTAATTCAACGGCCACGTGCAGAGGCAGAGAAGCCCCGCACAAAACCCAGTGGGCTCTTCGATTCTTCCCATCATCTTTCCACGGCATCATTTCGCAGCGGCGCATCAAGATTTGCCACATATCACGGTGTTTCAGGGAGTCGGGAGTGTCTTCTGGGTTGAACTTTCCCAATATAAAAAGACGCTCGCCCATCGAAGATCAAATGCACAATGAAGGGCCATCTTTCGATGATGTTATGACTTCACTTCCTGTATGTATAGATTCAAACTTGTCTCACAATGGGCACGAGACTTAATCACACTTCACACTCAAGGATAGAAATGGCATCAAAGGACACTACTATTGAAGAAAGAATTCACCATTACAGGTCTGACACAATCTTGGGCACTCTTTACCCAGTCGACCCTTAGGCCTGTCAATGCTCATTATTTGCTGAATGTGTGCAGTTGATCTCTGCCTGCCTCTTCGGCTCAAGGCCCAAGTTTCCTCTGTGTGCACCTGCTCGATACGTTAAGCTTCTGCCCCTTGTGATCAATCCTATTGTGTTGTTTTTATATGCCACTCTGTAGCGCAGTCCTTCCAATATCTGTATTGAAAATGCATTGTCCCGATTTCGATTCCTAGTATCATCTTCTGGTACTTCAGAATTCGCCAAAGACCAGGCTTCTTAATTTGTATTCTTGTTGGCAAGTGAAGCCTAGAAGGGATGAAAAATCATTGCAGTATTGTTCGCGCTTTCTCCCACCTATTGTCCTCTTTGTGCCCAAGGTTCATCTGGTATTATTCGCGCTCCAACAATATTCATTTCGATCGTGAAAGCAAATTCCAACCGCCTGATTGGCGAATTCCAAGGACGCGAATAATTGCTGTCTATTCACTTGATGGCACCTGCCACTGTCCAGCCTTTTAAATTCGCCCCCTGCACCTACTTCGTCTCTCCATTTCTGTTTCGTTTTTGATCCACAGGTGCTGACTTCCTCATGCTCAGCAGCTTCCTCTCACCTGCAACCAGTCATCCTTGCACACAGAAATCGAAACGGCCGGATCGTTTCCTCAACCTCTCTCTTTCTAACATCCTGAATGCTCGGTATGATTCCCGTTACTGCTAAGATGTCAACTGCTGACCAGTTTTGATAGAACGACCAGCATCTTCAACCAAAGAAGCCAACCAGCCCTTCCCATTTGGCCAGAGTCACGTGGGCAACATGGCTTTCGAACCATCCAATCACCGAACTGTTGAGTTCTACCTGTCAAGCCTCTGGTCCTGGCAGCCAGAGGGCCGCAATCGTATCCTTGAGAATTTGCAGGGTTGCGAGTTGGTAGGTGCTCCCCCATAAGACTGACATCCTAGGCCATGATGCAGAGGCTACAAGAGAAGTATAGTCTTGCTAACACAGCGTAGGAGAAGGCAGACTTTGCCTGGGACGACAAGCGCGATTGGCTTCGGGTCCAGTGCCTGGAGGCCGACAAGGACTACGTCCTGAAAGAATACTTCAAGGCTCAGGCGGAGATGGAGAGCGAGCTCAAGAAGAAGGACATGATCCAGGACGATGGCAGCCTGATCCCGAACGTCGAGAACGAACTCATCAAGACCTCGCGGCCCGCTTTGGCCGTACCAAACGAAACGATTGAGACTGACGCCCCTACCGAATCGCGCGATCGCAGGGAGGCTGTCAGGAGGATGGATTATTTTGGTGGTGGCTGTGGCTACAGACAAGGTCTTTACACGCGGAAGAAGCGTCAGGTGGACGACAGCGACGCTGCGGCTTACTTGTTCTGAATTTCGCTCAGGCAGAGCGACTTCATGGCTCCTGGTTGTGTCTCAATCGTCCTCTTGCACCACTTCTGATGAGTTCAAAGGAGCCATCATCTACAGCACGGTGGTCCGAGGTCGTCGCGCCGACGCAGCAAAGCACCACTCCTTACCAACAGTTGCGGTTGATTTATTCGGAATGACGCGTCGTTTCCTGCCGGTGGGCAGCAGGTTTTGGGGAAACCTGCGATGGATTGGACCCTTTCGATCGCAGAATAACAAGGTATCTAGCTAGTTCAAAAGCAACAAAGATTGCATCTTCGCAGATATCATCAAAATGAAATGTTCCCAGTTCACTGTTCCTGGCCATGAAAGAGAGAATGAACATCGAATTTGTGGCTGCCTTAGCTTGGACAATTCGGTGTAGTCGATTGAGCGTTCAGGGGTAGGCCTGTGTCACGGTAGTGACGATCACCTCCACATGGACCGTGGCTAGATTCTCAGACATCTGGCATTACGAACTTGCTCAGACGTTGCACTCAGTGAGATATTTCTGCCTGTGCTTTCTTCCCCTCTGCTGTCATTAGATAGAGTCGTGCACAGAGAGCACACTAGCTCGGACCGTCCGCTCGGCAACCCGTGTCTATTTGCGAGGTTATTTCCCCATGCACCTGGCAGCTCGTCTACATCCATCATCTTTACGGGCTCATCACGCGTCGATTCCAGGAGAACCACTATAACTCCCACCATGGGGCTCAATACGGCTTCGGCGGCAGCCGCCGCCGTCATTGCTCTGCTGTTCGTTTATCTGTACAGGGTGAATCGGGCCATGAAGAATGTACCAGAAGAGGCGCAGACATGGCGTGGCCGCCCGTGGACGGAGCAGGAGATCAAAGAGACATACGAGAGGATGAGCAGTCAGCCGATTGATTTTGCCAAAGTCCTGCCGCCGAAGTTGGACAGGAGGTACATTGTATGCGGCGGGTCAGGTCTGGTTGGGGGCAACATTGTTCTCAACCTCCTCTCTCGGGGCCAGCCCCCCTCATCTGTGCGCATCCTGGACTTTAGCAAGCCCTCTAGGTCCGACATGACCCACGGCCAGGTCGCCGCCGTCGACTACGTGAAGACGGACATTACGGATCCGGCCTCGGTCGAGGCAGCCTTCGCCAAGCCCTGGCCCAGCGACGTCGCGCGCCTCCCCCTGACCGTGTTCCACACCGTGGCGGCGATCCGCCCGGGCGAGCGCTCGCTGCTGCTCTGGGAGCGCACAAGCCGCGTCAACATCGACGGGACGAAGAACGTCCTCGCGGCCGCCAAGGCCGCCGGCGCGGACATCTTTGTCGCCACCTCGTCCGCGTCGGTGTCGCTGCGCCCCGCGCGCTTCCTCATCCCGCCGTGGCGGTCCCAGCCGCACGGGTACTACCAGGTCTGCGACGAGCGCGACTTCGACAAGCCGCTCAGGCCGCACGGGGAATTCTTCTCCAACTACGCGTACTCCAAGGCCGTCGCCGAGCGGGAAGTTTGCGCCGCCCTGGAGCCGGGGTTCCGGACGGGTTGCATCCGGCCGGGGAACGGCATCTACGGCCAGCCCACGGACGTGATCTGCGGCAGCATGCTGAGACAGCAGAAGGTGGCCAGCTTCACGCCCCACATCATCCAGATGCAGGTGAGCGGGTGGAACGTGTCGCTCGCGCACCTGGCCTTCGAGGCGGCCCTGGCGGCGGAGGAGCGCTCGCCCCTGCCCAAGTGCGCGGGCCGGCCGTACGTCGTCACGGACACCGGGCGGGCGATACAGTGGACCGACTTCTTCCGCGCCGCGCGGCAGCTGGCCGTCACGCCCATGGAGGTCACGACGCTCGCGCCCCTGCCGCTCTACCTGATCGCGCACCTGGTCGAAGGCTGGTCCCTCCTGCTGGCGAGGGCGCCGTTTCTCACGAGGCTGGGTCTACGCGAGCCCAAGGGCCCGGCGAGGGATCTGCAGCCGTCGATCTTCACGCCTGCCGCCTTCATCATGGTGGTGGACGAGCAGGCGAGGAAGACGGTCGAGGACGGGGGGCTTGGATACAAGGGGCTCTGCACCACCCTCGAGGGCGTTTGTGACCAGATCTGGCGGTGGAATCAAGAGCATGAGAGCGAGGCAGGTGACGTTGCAAGAAAGAGCATCCTAGAAGCTGACATTGTGGAGACACACGTTGCTGCTTAGGAAGCTGTGGTGAGATGGGCGACGTATGCTGTGGAGTAGAAAATGCGGCAACGTATACGTAGACGGCAAGGCTATCTCGTCCGAGGCCAACGCTGAGCATCGCATTGATATATACATGGGAATGTAGACTTGCTACTGTGCATATGTCAATTCTTGCTGGAACGTAACTACAAATGAAGGTTGGTTTTTTTTTTTTACAACCAAACAAATGGTGCCATGCAATCACCCGAGTTTGGTTCACCCTGCGCAACCAGCTTCGTAACCGCACTCTGACATGAATGTGGAAACGTCATGTCGCAGAAAGATCGTCTCTAGTCTCGCTCACCACCCTGTCCACCTCCGAGCAGTCGGACAACGGCCGAGCGGACTGGAGGCCTTTGGCAGGAATCTGTGGTAAAGTGAGTAGAGCAAAACACGTCGGAGGGAACTTAGTGTCGGGGATATGATCTTATCAAAAGAGTATCGAGCTATATTATCCGGAATCTCGTGGCCGCTTGCTGGTCGGCTAGGCGCTACAGTATATCGTAAACATGCGTCTTCGGATGGTGACGTCTTTTGTGTGGCCCAGTCAGTACGAGACAGAGGCGCAGGCGTGCAAGTCACTTATAGAGGCGGCGATGCCGCAAGGATGGGGCCATTGCAAGCAGACCACGGCCGTTGCTACGCCGGTTGAGTCGGTCTCTGTGCAACGGTTGGGTTGCAACAGCACGGCTCGGTTGGGGGCGCTTTGAGAGAAGAAATGGAGCCAGTATTGCCGTATTGTAGATCGCGGATCGCCGGACCATGTTGGCGCGTGCTAACGATTTGGCTAGTAGGGCAATGGCATGGCGGATGAGAGCTCCAAGGAGCTGGTGAACCGAGCAGAGAGAGCTTCTCGGGAGGTTGCCGGGTTCCAGGAGCCAGCAGCCAGGTGTGCAGTGGGCGGCCCCTCCACGCGGACTCTCCACCGGTGTGCAGCAGTGTAAGTACAAGGTACACGGTATCGGTGGGTGTACGTACCCACACATGCTAACTTTATTAGCGTGGTGTCCCGGACGACACCCGCTGCAACGCAGATATGTTCCCTGTCTGTATGTACAGTAGTAGCACCTGCACTGGCTCCTGCTTGCCTGTCCATCATCTACCCGTCTGCTGTCTTGGAGCTGCTCAACATGGTAAGCCGGCTGGCCATCTTGTGATAGCTACACAGCACAGCATGTTGCATAATCATATGCATAAATGGGTTGCACAGACAAGCCCACACATACACGGCAATGCACAAGAAATGTGCAACGGCCAAGCCAAGCATGCCTCAAGACAGCCAGGCCGGACAGGGAGCGCCGGGCATTGGGCGACAGTGAGTGGTGTCTGTTGGAAACGACCTGAGACGCTGCAGCAGGTGCCCAGGCGAGGCGATAAGAGGGAAAAAAAGCTCCCTAAATTGGACCATGAGTAGGCCCCTGTTCCATGTCAAGCCCATGTGCCGCCGCCCTTTGCCCTTTTCTGCCCAAAGGAGACTGAGGAGCCACATGCGATGGCGACTCTCGGTGATTACGACTCCATCCAGACCAATCCGACCGAGTCGTCGGGGACGGCGCCAGCAGAGCGAGCACGTCGACAATAAAAAACACAACAAGAGTAGTGAAATTGGCCTGTCTGGCCTTGACAAGGGCCATGGCATTTGCCTGGGCCCCCAGCAGACTGGTAGAGTGCAGTCAGTGTAAAAGACAGGTAGACCGAGCCGGGATTTCTATGTGAAACAATTGTAGAGTTCCATTCCAGTTATCGGCTATGCCTGGGATATATACAATACACACACACATACACATGCCTGGGGAAAATTGAGTCGATGAGACCAGCCTCCCGAAATTGTTCACATGCTCCCCAACAGACAGACAGACAGGCAGGCAATCAATAGAATACGATACAAGCTTGTCAGGCACGTCCCAGTGGCCATCAGGCAATCGTGATCGGCTGAAACGGCAGGGAAGGGGGCAAAGTTCGAGCGAGGGAGAAAGAGGAGGAAACTCAGAGGAGGGAACGGACGCAACAGAAAAACCCACTTGGCAGTGACGGCCTCCACTGAAAAACCACGCGCCGAGCAGGAGCGAGTCCCGCAAGCTGCCCGATGCTCTGTCGCAAGCAGTCACAGGTACCTAGGGTGGCCTCTACTGTGGTAGGTGCAGCCAATGATGGAGCTCAATTCTTCTCTCCAGATTCGCCCTGAACCGGGCTAGACCGAAAGTCCGGAGTTTGCACCACCTGCACCACCAGAGCCGCCCATCCCTGCTCCTTTTCCTGCAGGTCTCATCGACGAGCTGCCAGCCACCCCTGTCTATCGTGACTGTTCTCCCCCCGGCCCCCCTGCTTTTCTCTCGGCTGCCCGCCTCCTCTGAATTTCAAAGTTGCCTCGAGAGGTGTGGTACGACTGACTGCCCCCGGGCGATAAAAGCCGCTTGCAAGAGAGAGTACCTTACCAACGCACCTTCTCTCTTAAAACACCTGCTCGCCCTCTGTTGTTCCCTTTGGACCTCGTCACGAGAGACCTCACTTCTACCGTTTCTCCAACTGCTTCTACTACCTCGCACAGTAGATCGGTCCGTATCCATACCAACAACAGCCGACTCACACCCTCCGGCCTCACTCAGTACAATTACCGGTCCATCCGCCCGTGTATCTGCCGACACCAGCTCGACAACCAACAACAACAACAACAATTGTTTCAGGATGCGTTCTTTCATCGTCGCCTCCGCGCTCTCCGCGCTTCTCGTCTCCGCCCAGAACTCTACCTTCTCGATTGATCCCACCGAGGTCACTGCCACTCTCAGAGGTACGCATATTCCTGTGCCACTCCCTCCCCTCACCGTCGTTGACATCAATTGACCCTCCAATAGCCCAGTGGTGCTCGGCCCAGACCTCGACATGCAACACTCTCTGCGATTCCAACCCCAATGACAACTCGTGCGAAGTTGTAAGTTCAACCCAACGGCATCTTTGCTACCCGCGAAACCAGCTAACAGGAGCATACAGGATTCTCTCGACTTCAGCTGCACCTGCCAAAATGGAAGCGCCCCTGGCCTGCAGTACTACACCCAGACTATTGATACTGTAAGCCCTCTCTCGGCCCATTTCTTGCACCGTCTGCTAACCTCTGCGCTACAGTTTGTCTGCCAGCAGGCGTTCACGGACTGCAACGAGGCCAATGTTGGCAATGCCAAGGGACAGGAGAACTGCACCACCAGCATCCAGGACCACTGCGGTACTCTAGACCCCGCCGACTACTCCGCGACTCCCTCCTCGACCGGTTCATCCACGGCTTCCGCTACCTCGGGCTCTTCTAGCTCCACTGCCTCGTCGGGTAGCGCTTCCAGCTCGTCCTCGCAGGCTGCTGCCCCCACCAACATCCAGCACCTGGGTACCGGTGCCCTTGCTGCTGGTATGGGTGTCCTCGCCTACCTGCTGTAGTAGAGTGGTAGCAACGGACATTGTCCGCCTGTGGCCGGCCGCAACCGCGTTGCGCTGGACACCTCCCTTCTCTGCTTCTTGTACCGAATTTCAGCCAGCCATGCATCTTTACTACGACTAGCCACCTTCATACCTCGGTGGTCTTAATATTACGAGAAGACGACGGATACCTGCTTTGTTTTTTTCACGATGGACTTGCACAGCCGATGATTTGATCGTGCGGAGGCGGCCTATCAGGGGGAGGAGGAGGAGTGTGTGTGGAAGCTGAACGTTTTGCTATTTTCGAGGAGGAGTGGATGAGAGACAACACACTGCTACGAATACGAGCAACCATCCCGGAAGGGGCTCATCTCGAGGCCAAAACTCACCGTCCCATTTCTGCTCAGTGACTGTTCGCCGTTTGATTGAAGCTGCAACGACACTCCCAGAACCTAACACATGAGGGAGCTCTACGTGCCATTAGACGTGGAGATGCTCAGGGCGGGAGCATCCGGGAGGGACCGGGAAATGGAAGTGTCCTGGCGAGGAGAGTACTCGACTGTGCCATCTTCAAGCGGAAGATGAGCTTGGTGATGCTCTGGAGGGCCGCCAGACCTGGGCGGCTGGCGGTGAGAATCGAGGCTCTAGGTTTGGTACGCCGTGAAGGCCAAGGAGATCAACAGTGGTCCGCTCTCTTGGCCTTTAGAGGACCTGTTCGCGACGTACTGCCCTGACCTGGAAGCCCGAGTGATAAAAGCGGTACACAGCATTTCTGACCTTAGCTAGTGAGACCAACAACCCGCCGCCACCCGGCCGCGCTATGAGGCTCAACAGCGTGTCACGTCCCTGGCTACGGTGAACGCGAACAAGTCAAACATCGCACAAGCCTTTCAGCGACCGCCCGCAGACAAACAGACAAAGGAATGAGTGTGGCCCACGTCGGTGGCTGGTGTGATGAGGCTGTCGCTCGAGGCGTAGTCGCATATCGGGCTTCTCTCCCTGCTGCTCTGGACTTGTCGTCAATTGTCACGGAGTGATTTAGAACATGACTTCAAATGCTCGGCAACTCATCCGGGCTCGATGCTGATGATTGGCTCTCGATGTCGAGTCATATGAAGCCCGAGCTTGGGGCTCTGTGAGCGGGTGGCTATACTGGCTTGACTGATGAACAGATGAGTCTTCGTTGTTTTCGTCGTCGTTGTCAAACGGCCACTGACAAATAACAATGAGGTCTTAGGCACTAGCATCTAAGTGGCTGATATAACAAATCCTCCTAGTAATACTTGGTCTCTGACATATTGATCAATGCGTACAGAATAGTCCTCCAATGATGAGCGTGATCGCAGTGCCTGAAACTGAGAGTGCCGCCAAGACCAGTGGGCGGCGGGAAGCCAGGCGGTGAGAGTGTGAAAGTGTGAGAGAGGCGTTGCTGGTCGAGTGATCGCTCACTTGCTGGTGAGCTCGGTGCTCAGGTGGACACATGGTTTGCAATCAACAAGACACGGTTGACGCGCCCCACCCGCAGCTGCACAGCTGCATGCACAGCTGCGCTCTGCCCCTCCTTTCCCCTTGGGAAAACACCAGGTGGGCCTGGTTCGACCAACCATCCCACGTACCCTCCACCCCCCCCCTGGCTGCCATCTCAACCTCTCCCGCCCACAACCTTCACTCAGCTTGGGACACTGCTTCGTTGCACCTCGCAAACTCCAGGCCAGGAAGCATCTTGCCCAGCTTGCTCTCTCTCTCGCGCGTCGCGCAGACACATCGATTGCACCAGAATACCCCCTAGACATCAAACATGCACGGAGAGGTGAGTTATTCTGGGCGCTGAGCCAGTCCCGATTGAGTTCAATTGAACCCCTATTTCCACACGTGGAGCGAACCTCGGTGAAGGTCTGTCGCAACCCAACGCAACGACCACCGGCGTCCGTCACGAACCTTTTCTCATCTCGCTCAATCGGCCATCCACGGCTTGGACGTTGCCACTGCCTAATGGAGACCTGTCTCGCCTTTGACGGCCGACTCCTGTCACTGCGACTAGCTGTCTAGTGGTTGGATGCCCCTATTCATCGCCGGCAACGCTACGACGTCCTCGCCCGTTCACCAGTTCCATCTCAACACACCATGCACGCGAATACGCGGGAGACCTGTCTCGATGTGTGAGACTGACCCTCTTGCCACAGGTTCTTCACCTCCACCTTGGCCAGGCTGGTACTCAGCTGGGTAACAGTGCTTGGGAGCTGTGAGTAGTACACCGCCGATCTGTCTGTGCACCGGCTCGTAGCTAACCTGTCCCTTCAGCTACCTCCTCGAGCACGGCCTTGGTCAAGATGGTCGTCCTGACCCCAACCTCAAGGATGTCCCCTCCGAAGGCTCCTACGAGACCTTCTTCACTGAGACCAGCAATGGCAAATATGTGCCCCGATCCCTCTTCGTCGACCTCGACCCCTCCCCCATTGACGAGATCCGCACTGGTGGCTATCGCTCTCTCTTCCACCCGGAGCTTCTGATCAGCGGCAAGGAGGATGCTGCCAACAACTACGCCCGTGGGCACTACACCATTGGAAAGGAGATGGTCGACAATGTCATTGACCGCATTCGACGTGTTGCTGGTGAGTAGCTTCCTGGGGGGTCCAACAGACCCATCCCGAGCCGAGTCGCCAAGGCGTGGTGGCTTACAACAGCACAACAGACAACTGCAGCTCTCTGCAAGGTTTCTTGGTCTTCCACTCCTTTGGTGGTGGCACTGGCTCCGGTTTTGGCGCCCTCCTCCTCGAGCGCCTGTCCACCGAGTACGGCAAGAAGTGCAAGCTGGAGTTCGCGGTCTACCCTGCCCCTCGCGTGTCCACCGCTGTCGTTGAGCCTTACAACGCCGTGCTCTCAACCCACAGCACGATCGAGAACTCCGACTGCACCTTCCTCGTCGACAATGAGGCCGTCTACGACATCTGCCGTCGCAACTTGGACATATCTCGCCCAAGCTACGAGCATCTCAACCGCCTGATTGCCCAGGTCGTCAGCTCCATCACTTCCTCTCTCCGCTTCGATGGTGCGCTCAACGTCGATTTGAACGAGTTCCAGACCAACTTGGTCCCGTACCCTCGTATTCACTATCCCCTGATCAGCTACGCTCCGGTCATTTCTGCCCAAAAGAGCTCCCACGAGAGCTTCAAGACTTCCGACCTTACTTTCCAATGTATGTTACCTCGGGCGAAGCACCCAGTTCCGGTATACGTTGACTGACGCTCTCCCCACAGGCTTCGAGCCCAACAACCAGATGGTTGTCTGCGACCCCCGAAATGGCAAGTACATGGCCGTTGCGCTGCTCTACCGCGGAGACGTGGTCCCCCGCGACTGCAACGCTGCCGTCGCGGCCCTCAAGGCCAAGTCCTCGTTCAACCTTGTCGAGTGGTGCCCCACTGGCTTCAAGATCGGCATCAACTACCAGAAGCCCGTTACGGTCCCGGCTACCGATGGTGGTCTGGCTACCGTCGACCGGTCCGTGTCTATGCTGTCCAACACCACTGCAATTGCGGAGGCTTGGTCTCGCCTGGACCACAAGTTCGATCTCATGTACAGCAAGCGCGCCTTCGTCCACTGGTACGTCGGCGAGGGTATGGAGGAAGGCGAGTTCAGCGAGGCCCGCGAGGATCTTGCTGCTCTCGAGAAGGATTACGAAGAGGTCGCTGCCGACTCATTCGAGCCTGAGGAGGATGTTGAGTACTAGGCGATGCTTCCTGTCTATGGACAGATTTTGCAGCGGAGTTGATTGTTTAGAGAAACCTACGGGATACCACCTTTGTTGTAGTTGACAGGAAAAGAAGCTCGGGGAGATCTTAATCTGCGTGATGCAGGAACTCGATTTTGATTCTTTCAGAATACCACTGACACTGTGGTGACCCCTGGGAAGAGCGGAATTTGTTGTAGTGGTATTCAGAAATTGGAGTGAAACGAAGTTACGAAGTATTTCTTTGATCTCGTTCATCATCAAAGCATTTCTGCCAACGTAATAATTGTAAAAGATGCCAACGCAAGCAAAAGTCCAATAGTCTAGGTGCCGCTTAAGGTTTTTGAGAGCACCACTTCTCCAAGAATTGAGTGAAGCAAGGCAGGTATGCTGCAAAGGCTGTGATCTCCTGTAGACGCGTACACCCTTCACACACACAAACACCCATTTTATTGCCCCCTCCAAGCAGCATGGGGTCTTCTTCCATTAACGCAGGCCGGCATCACCTGGCGCCGGCCAGGTACATGAGCGTCGAGACGCTCGGGGACCTGGAGCGCTCGCGCTTGGTCTTCTTCACGACGACCAGGTTGTCGCCCGACTTGTGGCGGTGGTGGTGGTGCCCCCGGTCCTCGATCGCGAGCGTCGTCGTCACCTTCTCGCGCCCGTCGCGGATCACCTTGGTCAGCGACCAGAGCTCCTTCTGCTCCTCTGGCGGCACCCAGCGCTTGATAACCACGTAGTCTGGGTTCTGTTTCGCGGCGGGTGTCAGCTTCGTTGTCCAAGTATATAACATCGGAGAAGGATGCCGAGATGAAGGTGTGGCAATGATACCCCGTGGGATGGCATTCTTGGAACATCCTCTTGGAAATACCTCTAGGGACTTTGGGATGAACAGGGGAGGGGGAGGGGGGCAAGGAGTGCCAACAACATACCGAGTCGAGCTCAAAGTCGATTCCTTTGACCTTCAAGCACTCCAAGCTGAGATGCCGCCTGGCCATCCTCGTGTACGTCGTCTTAGTCGTTGTCATCTGCGTGGACATCTGCGGTGGCCGTGGCATCATCGGCGGCGGCGGCGGCGGCCCCGGGAATGGCCGTGGTGGAAAGGCCCATCCCTGGTTGATCTTCTTCTTCTCGAGGATGGCCCTGATCTGGTCCTCGGGCAGGCCCGACGCCCGCAGCTGGCTCACCAGCCGGTTCGCATACTCGCGCTCGGCTTCCTCCTTCTCGCGCTTCTCCTTCGCCGCCTTCTCGGCCTCCCTGGCCTTCCACCGCTCTACCGCGGCGGCCTCGTCCTTTTCTTTCTGCTTCTTTTCCTCCTCGGCCTTCCGTTGCTCTGCGATCATTTTGGCCTCTATCTCTTTGCGGATTCTTTTCTCGTCGGCCTCTTGTTCTTCCATCATTTTGACTAATTGTGTGTGAGCGAGCGTTCCCGAAACGGTCGTGTGGCGTATGACTGCAGCTCGCCATCGGCTGTCGTCGTTAGGGGGGCTTGATAAGCGACTTACTCCTGTCCAGTTCTTCCTTCGCCACTCTGAGCTCAGCCTGGGTCCTCGCCTCCCTCATCTTCTCCATCGCCTCCTTCTCCCGCTGCTGCTGCGCCTTCAGGTCCTGCAGCTCCTTCTTGGAGCGCTGCAGCTCGTACGACTCGTAGTCGGCGGCGCGGCGCTCCCGCTCCGCCTTCTCCCTGGCCTCGCGCGCCTCGCGGGAGCGCAGGTCCTCCAGCTCGTACTTGGACTTGCGCAGCTCCCACCTCTCGGCGTCCTCGGCGCGCTGCGCGTCCCGCTCCTCCTTGACCCGCAGGTCGTCCAGCTCGCGCTTCAGGCGCGCGAGCTCGTACCGCTCGGCGTCGGTGTGCGCGGCGGACGACGACGACAGCCGCAGGGCCTCGAGCTGCCGCCGGTGCTCCTCCAGCTTGCGCTCCAGCTCGTACCGCTCGACCGTCATGTAGGCGTCCGACCCGCCGCGCGAGTGCGAGTGCGAGCTCCTGATCGAGACGTGCGAGTGCGAGCGGCCCCGGCCCCGGTGGTGGTGGTGGCTGCTGAGGCTGCTGTCGTCGTCCGACGAGTGCCGGTCGTTGGAGTTGTACTGCTTGATGATCACGGGCTGCTGCTGCTGGGGCGGCATGACCACCGCGGGCGGGCTCATGGTCGTGGGAGGGCTCCGCCGCTCCCGCGAGCGTTCGCGCACCCGGGTGATAGCCATGGTCCGCTCTGTTACCCCTGGGTTGAGGAAATCTACCCCGTGGGGATAGCCCCGGCTGCGAGGCCGGTCTGGCCGTGCTTGAACATAGTGTACAGGTGCCGGGGAGGGGTCGCGGCCCCTGTAACGGCGGTACTCGTACTCGTCCTCGTCCGAGTAATAACTCATCGTAGTTACTGTAGGTTCGGGCTATGGCTCTCGCTTGAGATATCCAGTTATCTGTGGGGAGTGGGTGTGTAGGCCTGTTTTTGCGGTCCCAAGCTTTCTCCGCGGCCTCGGGGAACGGTCTCGATATACAGTGACGGTATAATAAAGTCTGGGAAAGGGCTATGCGCTGACAAATAAGCCCCTAGAAGCAACAAAGTGTTGGTCGAAGAATATATGAGAAGGAGAAAGGTGAACCGCGCCGCACACGAGGCGGGGGCCGTAAGCATTTATTGCTCCCGGCTGACTGGGACTAGGGAGTGGCCATTTCACAGCAGGACCAACGAGACAGGTGAATAGAGCGAGCTTGTCCTCCCGTCAGCTTGCGGCAGACGGCACGGTGCGACGATGGGACTGGGGCCACGAGTCGAGACCGGCGCAATAACTGCGTGTTTTGAGGAGTAGCTGTGCCGCATGGATACAGCTCCTTAGTTGCAGGGCATTGGCTGGAGGCTCAAGGAGACAAGGTAGAGCGTGGTGCAAAGGTCCGCATTGCATCAGACTCGGCCGCAACTGGTTGGCTGGTTGCGTCTCACCTTACCAACAGCTGCATGATACTAGATTGTCAAGTGCACAGTAGTCTGCGTGGGCGTTGGACATGGGGGCGTCAAGCTGATCACACGTTGGGCCAGGGAATGGAGGAGGCTAGTCGATAGCCGGTGGAAATTGTGAAGGGCTGAAATCCAGCTGAGAGAATCCTCCGTTCCTAGTGTGCCCCCGAAATAGAAGCTACCGAGGTCAGATTGCATTATATCGCGGTTGGGTGTCGATCAGCTCCGTGGGTGTGGTACAAATAACAAGAGCACAGGGGATGTGAGAAGCAGGCTGCCCAATCTCGTCCTGGATTCAGGATCGACCTTCTGAATGCAGAGGCAAGCTCGGAAATACATTGACGACTGCTGTGCTTCGGAGGACCCTTGACAGAGACAGTATACAGTACTGACAGGGCTAAACATATTATTAGTCTGATAAGGCTGCGGTAAGGATGACAACGCTTTGACAAGCCGTTCGGACGATCACTGGACCCCAATTGAGCATATCCATGAAGCGGGGTTTCCCCTGCGCCTAGGCTGGGAAGCGGCCCGACACCGAGGGTTCGGCAAAGACTACACAGACAGTACAGCAACAAGACGAGATACCCCAGTTCAGCCAATGCCGCTGTGATGGCGCTCTGGCGCTTCGGTGTTTTGCAAGTGTCAGGTGACAATATTTTGAAGATATCTTCCGTCCGATCTTGAGCATTCTCTCTGGGCACATCAATGACCCTGTACTTGTAGACCTAGCGTCCTGCGCTAAAGCGACCGATTAGGCTCTTCGCGTAGTGGACGTTGAGTCGCTTCGAGCGGCAATTGAAACATGCCGTCAAACTCTGGGCCTAGAATCCTTGCCGTCACAAAGATCTCACTACGAACTGCGGCCCAGTATCGGGCCTGCTGGTGCTGGGTCTCTCAGATTGCGAACGTTGGTATTTGCTATGGTGCTTCTGGCCGGCGATGTGGTCTTTGAACTTCCTTGTTCAAGGCCCAACTTGTAGGACGTTGACTCGGTGCCAGATCACCGAACTCTTCCGCTGATAGGATTACTGGTCGCTGGGGTTGAGTTGCAGTGGCGGCAAATTGTGACTGAATGCCCAGAATGTGACTGACTGTTGGTCACAAAATCCAGCGGCGCAGTGCAGAGGTCGAAACCCTGGGTGAGCACTTTGTATCAAGGTCTCGCTTGCTCGGCTCGTCAGGAGCCGCCGGCACCACCTCGCCTTAGCATTGCCTCGATGTGTTCCTGGCTATTCTTCGCCGTTGTCTCCAGATAGTGGAGCCTCTTACTGAGGCCATCAATGTCGGTGTCGACTTGCTTCATCTGCGACTCCAGCTTGTCCTTCATCTCAGGGGCTGGTACCGCCACGAACCTGAACAAGGCCCGTTAGTGCCATCGGACACAAAGTGTGATGCATCGATGGATCCCTTGGGATGGCCCAGGATCCAGGAGCCTGATGGGCGGTAGTCACTTACATCTTGCCAACTCCCTCATACAGAGGAGTCCCAGGTGCGAGCGATGAGAGCTCGGTGCTGGTCAGCTGGGCGAGACGCTTCTCGCGCTGCTTTGATGCCAACTGTGAGCGTGCAAGGCTGATCTCTTGCTGTGACTTGACGTGGTTTGTCTCAATCTCCCGCAGCAGCTGCGTTGACGCCAGTTAGTCATCAATATGAATCTCATCAGGCCCGACATGGGATGCAACTCACCTTCTGCAGCGCCTCATTTGAGATCGACATGACGGCTGTGGGCGTGGAAGGGGTGTTGATTGATTCGATCAGAATCCTACGTCAAAGCTTTGAGGGAGTGGGTTGAGCCGAGAGTCGCGGCTGTCGTGTCGTCGTTGAACGTCGATGTTGAGTTTGGCTCATTGAAGTTGGGTGGTCAAAAGGGGCCGATTCCTGCTCTGGTGCCCATCCAGTAAAAATCAAGCTGCAGCACCAACCATGACATGCCATCGCTCACCACTCAACAGGTTATCACTTTGTTACCCGGTGACAGAACACCATTTTCTCGGCAAATTACTGCATTGAAGACAAATGAAAACGAAGTTCAAAAACCTATATCACCGAAGACCACTTTGAACGTCCGCGATCTGCCTCTGAGGCAAAAACCACGAGCACAGCAATGCCTTGAAAGCACTCAGGGTCAAACCCTGCCTTTTTTTTGAGGGAGGGGTGGGGGGAGGTAACGAGTTCAAGTGAGACTACATACTATATCTACTGCTTTTGCACACGTCGATCAAATTCGTCAAAATCGGAATCACGGCAGGCTATTTATTTCCATGATCAGCTCCAAAGTGCTTCGATATCGTTCATATCATGCAAAAGATTAGTACCCATCTGCAGAAAGTCTTCGACCCTCCCCCCACGTGGCCCGTCCACACATAGCCGTGTCTTTGGATCTGCAATCACTATAGTATGCCTCTATACTCCGTAGTATTGGGATTTGAGGAGGAGGACGGATTTGATTTATTACTAATTAGCCTACCTCAATGTTCGAGATGAATGAGACCTCAAGAGTAAGAGAGGCAGCGGTGTATGATTTCCGAAAGCTGATTCCGGACATCGGTGAAACTGGCTAATAGTTGCAATAAGAGCCTTACTGACAACTACTTGTCCGACGACATTAGACTCCCCAGAACGGAACAGGGGACAATGTCGTCAACCCCCCCCCCCCCCGAGAGCTTAGTACGATGTCATGTCCAGGCTGGACTGCCGAGAATGGAAGGGAACTACCACTTCCTGTTCACCCAAAGATTGAGCCCGAATCGCAGGATTTAAGATTGTACGCTGCGACCGAAGGATAACATTCAGCAAAAACTGGCGAAGGCCAAATTTAAGTCCCCTTGAGCCAAATGCTGTATTCATGAACTCACGTTGCTCGCTCTCTGTGACCTTAGCGCATGAGTTCAGGTGTATACTGAGCCTACGTTCTCTTAAGATGATTTCTATCTTATGCTGTGGCTACAAAAAAAATTCCCATTCAATTTAGAAGGTGAAGCGATTCTTCAACAGAACATAAAGACCGAATCCTGGGTGATTGGAAAGCATACTGCAAATCACCAAACAGCTTCAGGAGACACGACGCGTACCAATGGCTTTGCAGCAAATCTGTAGTATGGGTAACCGAAGCCTGGAGCATTCCCCAGAAGAAGGGTCCCACAGATACAAGGCGACGTAACACCCGCACCGCGTGCCTGGGCCCAAGGTACAGAGGCAAGCTTGGTGGCAAGTAGTCAGGCTCAACCAGAGGTAGTCCATGAATCAATTCCGGAGCTTGCCATTGGCACAGAAGCGGAGGACTGTTTGGGGCCATCCCGATCCCTGTGGCCCCCCACCAAGCGGGCCGAGAATCGGGGGCACATGCCAAGCGTGGGCGCCCGCAGTAGATTTCTCGCTCGGGAGCCCCCCGCGATTTTTGAGCCTTTTTCCCTTCTGATTCTACGGGCATTGCGTGTGTACGTCCTGCGAATTCAACCACCATGAGCACAATTATCCTCGGATCGCAGTGGGGTGATGAGGGCAAGGGAAAGCTAACCGACATCCTTTGCTCTCAGGCCCAGATATGTGCGCGCGCCGCTGGCGGCCACAACGCCGGCCACTCCATCAAGGCCAACGGTGTGTCATACGACTTCCACCTCCTGCCCTCAGGCCTCGTCGCGCCTGGCTGCATCAACCTCATCGGCTCTGGCGTCGTCTTCCACGTGCCCTCATTCTTCAAGGAATTGTCCGACGTGGAGGCCAAGGGCATCAAGGACGCCCGCTCTCGGATCCTGGTCAGCGACCGGTGTCACATCAACTTTGACCTACACGCTGCCGTGGACGGACTCGAGGAGATTGAGCTCGGGAAGAATGCTGTAGGCACCACCAAGAGGGGCATTGGCCCATGTTACAGTACCAAGGCGTCCAGGAGCGGCGTACGCCTTGCAGAGATGTTTGACAAGGAGCTCTTCGAGCGCAAGCTGCGACAGCTGGAGGCTGGCTACAAGAAGCGCTATGGCGACCTCTTGAAGTACGACGTCGAGGAGGAGATCAAACGGTTCGACGAGTACCGAGTCAAATTGCAGGACCATGTCGTCGACGCCGTGGAATTCATGGTACGTGATCAATGGCTTTGCCCCTATGAGTCATCAGACTGCTGACCTATAATCCACCACACAGAACCACGCGCAGGAAACGAACAAGAAGATCCTCGTCGAAGGAAGCCAGGCCCTGCTCCTGGACCTAGACTGGGGAACTTACCCATACGTTACCAGCTCCAACACCTGCCTCGGCGGCATCGTGTCCGGTCTCGCGCTCAAGAGAAGGAACATCAAGGAGGTCATTGGAGTCGTCAAGGCGTACACCACCCGGGTCGGATCTGGCCCATTCCCGACTGAGGATCTGGGCGAAGTCGGATCAAGCCTGCAGAAGCTGGGCGGCGAGATCGGCGTGTCTACGGGCCGCAAGCGAAGGTGCGGATGGCTGGATCTCGTTGTCCTGAAGTACTCATGTGCGATCAATGACTACGACTCACTCAACCTGAGCAAACTCGACGTGCTCGACACGTTCGACAAGATCAAGATTGCCATCGCATACAAGGACCCACAGACCGGGGAGCAAATGCAGTCTTTCCCCGCAGACCCGGCCCTCCTGGACCGTGTCGATGTGGTGTACCACGAAGTGCCGGGCTGGAAGACGAGCACGTCCAAGACGCGCGAGTGGTCGGAACTTCCCAAGGAGGCACGCGAATACGTCGAATACATAGAGAAGTTCGTCGGTTGCAAGATCAAGTGGATTGGCACTGGTCCTGACCGTGACGACATGATCGTTAGATAGACGTTCCTCTGGCTTCTCAGGCTTGCTACAGGCGGGTGACGGATCTGGCGCGATTTATACGGGTATAGATCCTGGTGAAACCTGCAGAGGTTACTTGCAATTCAAATCAAAAGTTGCGGCTCGTATCACTGCCGCGGACAGATACCACGGGGTCTTTTGCATGTCTTTGCTTAGATGGTGACATTGCTGGTCAGAGAAAGATCCTCATAAATGCCTCACTGTGTAAAATCGTAAGAGCCGACCATGTTTATCTGATTCGAGTACAACTATGACATTGAACCATTTTACTGAAACAACGCCGACGGGACGAAGAAGGCTGGCTTCATCCTTACATTCTAATAACGAGCAATTTGCCACGGGCGAGAGGGGCAGAGTACCTGGGTACATTGAAAGAGGGAGTAGGAGACAGAGTCGGAAGAAAGATGTCAACAACATTAAGGTTGCGCTTTGGACATTTGAAAACCAGAGTCTCCTATCTTTTGTCGTCTGAGCACACAGAGACGATGACTGTTGCGTTGCACGCAGACGCTTGCAGGTGCAGGTGCAGGTGCAGGTGTACATTAGATGCAGATGCAGATGCAGACGCAGACGCAGACGCGAGACGCAGATGCAGATGCACTGCGCCTTGCTGACCAAAAGGCCACCGGTACTTGCCTGACTTGGCAGCTGGCAAGCCCCCCGACCAACTTCTTCTCTCGTGAGTCGTGGGTACGCCTCCACTCCCATCCCACTCGCTCCTCGGCTATAACAAACCACGCGTTGCTGGTGTTGCTGCCGTCCGTTATTGGCGAGCCTCAAATTATCCTCGTGTCAACTTCCCGCATGACGTCGGCTGAGGCGTCCATTGAGTTTTAGCCTCACCGAGAGCTCCTTTCCCCTTTTGTATATAAGCAAACACATCGTGTCTCTCCCTTTCGCCCTTACCCACTCACGAAATTCCATACTAGCCTCGGCGCCCAGGGTCCTCTCGTCTGCTTGGAATCAAGCTCGGCCTCACTCGAGTCTTTTAGGTACCTCGATTGCCGACAACACACACTCTCCCAAGGAACCCCCACAAGCGCCGAGTCCAGCACGCCCCGGCATTGCTAGTCTGCTCCTGCGCAGCTGTGCTTCATGCGAACCAGGTCGTCGGGTCTAACACAGCAGACATGCCTCTGAACCTCCAATGGCCTTACCGGGAATCCCGGGATGGCCTCTGGAGCCCTCAAACCTCGACCTTGAACTGGTGCGAAGAAGTAAGATGCCCGGGACTCCCTTCAATTGCTTGGAAACCAGACATGCTGACACGCCGCCCTTAGGACTGTACGTGTGAGCTGCTTGCTGTCACGTTTCCTGGTCCCTCCACCCTGGTGATTATAAGCTGGTGATGTATGGCAGTAAATTAACTTACTGCATGGTAGATAACATAACGCCATACTGCGCTGAATTCGTCAACACCGTGACCAATGTGATCTTTATACATCTTGGCATCATGGGTATCCGCGACTGTCTGCGCTATGGCCATGACCGCGTCTTCATCATCTCCTATCTGGGGTACATCATTGTTGGTCTCGGCTCGATGCTGTTCCACGCCACTCTCAAATGTGTGTCTGCATCATTCTGTTCCTGAACCAGCCCTATCCTCCCTTGGGTCCCAGGCTGACACGCCCCCTTCAGACTCAATGCAGCTCGCAGATGAGCTGCCCATGATATACACCACTTGTATCATGGCTTTCGCAACGTTCTCCTATTCACGGCCCAGACGCTTGACCGTGTTGATCGGACTCGGCCTATTTGCCCTCGCAATGTTCATCACAGTCTACTACCACTTGTCGCAAAACCCGGTATTCCATCAGGTAGCATACGCTTCCCTGACATGCGCCGTTGTCTTCCGCGGGATGTATGTCATGGAAGCCCATCTCCGTCCAGCATTGAAGGGACGAAGCGAGACACCCGCCCATGCCGCACACATCATGAAGCAGATGTGGAAGATGGCTGCTACAGGTATCGCTCTGTTCCTGATCGGCTTTTTCATCTGGAACATGGACAACATATACTGCAGCCACCTTCGGAGCCTTAGGAGCTCCGTCCTGTTGCCATGGGCCATGGTCTTCGAGGGTCACGGATGGTGGCATATCTTCACGGGGCTTGGGGCCTACTACTTCATTATCTGGCGAGTATGGCTGACCCGCTGTCTCGATGGTAGCGAGCGCGACTTCATGCTGGACTGGCCTTCTCCGTTCACATCCGTACCGAAAGTTGTCCCCAGGCCCGGTTCTGCGAGGAAGACAATTGGTAACGGGCATGCCAACGGCGTCAACGGGTCAAGTAAGAAGGCGCTATAGTTTCTAGGAGCGCACAAGTATGGTGACGCAGTCATATCCAGCAGTAGATACTCACCTGTGCTGCTTGTACAACACCTCAGTCTGAACTTGTTACAAGGCACGGCGAAAGCGAGGACATGCAGACCCTAGATTTACACACTATCCATAAGCAAAATAAAACATCACCTTCGATATGTCATCCCGGCACTTGCGGTCGAACATCTTACACTCCGGACTGTGGACACACAGAGGGCTGCAAAATAAATTACCAGCTCGCCTCTGTTGGTGGGGACCCCCGCCTGCTCCCCTGCGACGGGATCTCCCTTGGTTGCAGTGACGCACCCACCCAGTTGGGCAATGGGTGGTGCTGGCATGCTGCCCCCGCGTCCCGAGCTGGTGGGCAAGGTCAAGGTTTCGTACAGCTAGGCAGATCGGTCCCCCATAGGAAGTCCTTAGCCACAGCAGATACGGGTATACATACATGCATACATACGTACATACAGTCAGATACAGTACGATCCAATCCTGATCCTGATCCTACAATCCCTCTCTCGGATCCTGACGTGCATCTCGTCAAAGCTTGGCAGCCCCCAAAGAGGGTCGGATCGTGCCACCCAGACATGGAAAGTTTCTTGGTTTGTGCTGTGCTGCTGCGTTGGGGCCAACATGGAGATTGCGGACAAGGCAATACAGAATCACCAGGGCTAGCTGCTGTTGTACGTAACGGGGAGTATAATCTATTTCGGAATTCTGCTTGGGCCTTCTTTTTTATCTAGGCAGATAGCCAGGTACGGATAGAATCAAAAGCAGGCCTGGTTGTTCTTCGCATCGCATTATTTGCGCGTCTCAAACGTGTTCGCATGCAGCACAGCCAGCGGCTTGAGATGGCATGTAAGAAGATTCTCCCTCGGGGTATATGATTCCGTCTTGTTTCAAGCTATTCCTGTACCTTTGCTGCTCATGTGTGCTGCCTGGGTACAACTGCAGAAGGGTGTAACCTGGGCAGGTAGGTGGTGCTCGTCTGAGATGGGGCCCGCATTGGCTGGGCTAGGCAACCTTGGAACGTCTACTGCACCTGCGCCCGCATCTGCACTGCCCATGCCACCGGATGCCGGCCCACGGGAGCTTTCCAAGATGGACTACGTAGGTCTATATGGTCTGGTTGGTAGCGTGGCTAGGTAGTCTACCTGCTGTCATCAGCACCCCCAGCGCTCCAAAATCACGCCCAAGTCAATAATAAACTTCCTTTCGTTACTTGTCTTGGTCCTCTCCAACGAATTTGTGGTCTCATGCCATGATTCACAAAAATAACAGCGTTTCGCTTCCGCTATCACACCCGCAATAACGCCCAGACAAGCTTCGAGACACCGCGCGCGACTGATTCGAACCCCGTCGCTCCCAATTTCTCCCTCGTCAGGAAACGGCATCCCACTCAGCATGCCATCTTTCGATACACGGCGCCCCAAATTGTAGCCGACACTTCTGCCACCCACTGGATGGCCACGTCACTCTCTAGATCCCCTTACTGAGGAGTCATGTCAGCTCAAGGAGGAGGCGGCAAGTCGAGATGGGGCTCACTTCTTTCGCAGGCCGTCGCCGGCGTCGAGGCTCGACTCGACACCATTCTCGCTGAAGAAGACCAGCCCAAGCCCACATCGAGCCCTACCCCCTCCCAGCAGTCGAAGCCAAGCCCAGGTACGCCTCTACTCACAAAAAAAAAAAAAAAGAAAACACCCCGACGCAGCTGTCACGTAATGCATGCTGACTCGTTCGTGGTGTAGCACCGTCGAGATCCGATTCTACGAGGAGCAAGGCCAACGACAGGCTACAGGAAAGACTGGCAAGGGCTGTCGCGGCCAAACAGGCCGCAGCCAAGGGAGAAGGGTCGTCAGCGAAGGCCACGCCGACAGCCAGCCCCCGGCAGAGCTTGGATGTGCCGAATCGGAGCTCCACGGACAGCGCCGCACCCGGGCTGTCGACCCAACCGAGTCCCAAGGCCCCTTCGTCGCCCCGAGCCTCGCAAGACGACGAGAGGAATTCAGTCGAGGTAGTGGATGAAAGTGTAACAGATACTTCAAGCGCGCCGCCTGTATCACAAGGCGTGCCCATCTCGGAACCCAGCAATGGAATCACTGCTGAAACGACGGAAAGCTCAGCGGGGCCCCAATCACCAGCCGGCGCGGTCACGGAACTGCAGGAGGACCGTATCAAGCAATTGGAAAAGGCTCTGGAGGAACTTGCGGCACAGCAACAGGAGGAGACCCATAACTATGTCGAGCAAATCGATGCGCTCCAAGCGAAGCTGCAATACCTGGCCCGAGAGGCTTCTGATTCAGCAAGGAAAGCAGCCCAAGAGGCGCCCGCCGGAAGCATGGAGAAGAAATTGGCAGAAAAGGACCAACAAATAGCTGGGCTCATGGAGGAGGGCAAGAATCTGGCTAGCACGGAACAGAAGCTTCGCACCATCATCAAAAGCTTGCGATCGAAGATAGGGGAAAATGAGAAGGAGATCAACAACGTCAAGACCTCGAAGAGCAAAGTCGAGCAGGAACTGGAAGCCACGCGTAGGAAGTCCCGGCGCACCGACGACCTAGAGAAGTACCAAGAGGAGCTGCACAAACGGATTGGACAATCTCAAAAAGAGATCGACGCCCTCAAATCCGAAGGTTCCAACAAGGATAGGACTATTGCTGATTTGAAAGCACAATTGCAAAAGTCTGCCGAGGATAAAGAGGCCCTCTCCAAAAAGGTCAACGAAGAGGCACTGGCCAAGGAGAGAAAGAAGGTTCGAGACTTGGAAGAGCAGGTTTCCGATCTAAAGGTGGAGAAGGACCTTGCGGTTGATCGTGGCAAAGCGCGAGAAAACGAGCTGCAGGAGAAGTCAGAAAGAGCTGCGGAGCGCGCCCGCGCAGTTGAAGTCGAGTTAAAGGCCGAGATACAGGTAATGGAAAGTAAGATGGAATCTATGAGAGTGATGGCCGAAGAGGTTTCCTCGGGGGCCATGGGCGACTCTCAAGCTAAATTGTTACGACAAGTCGAGACGCTTCAAACCCAGTATGCCATTGCGACTGAGAACTGGCAAGGCATCGAGAGCACACTGCTTGCTCGAATATCGAATCTGGAGAAGGAGAGGGACGAGGCTCAGCATCGAGAGTCGGAAATGAGGAAGAAGGCTCGTGAAGCTGTGAGTAATATCGAGATCAACTGGCTGATGCTCACGATCGCTAATTGTACAATAGGCTCTCCGTGCCAAACGTCACGAGGAAGAGCTTGAGGACACCAAGACACAGCTTCCTACTATTCAGGAGACTGTGAAGCTCTACGAGTCCCAGATAGAGACCTTGAAGACGCGGGCTGAAGAAGCCGATGCTGCTGCGGCCGGCGCAAAAGCGGAGCTCGAACAGCAGAAGTCTGCTTGGGCAGAGGCAAAGGCCGCGAAAGAGCAGGATAGACCCGGCCAGTGGATAGATGATGCGCCAGCACCATCCTTCAGAGGCGGCAGTAGGCCGGAATCTCCCGCCATTTCCATGCCGGCGAGAAGCTACAGCACGGAGCTCCTTGGGTTTGGATCACTGTCAAACAAATTCCGCAAGCACTCGGCGCCATCCAGCAACGGGGATCCCGTGGAACGCTATACCTCACGGAGGACTTCGGTACAGCCCTCAAGCAGGCCATCTCTTCACACAGCGAACTCCAATACCCTCCCTCCAATACTCAGCCCCACGATAGAAGCGTTACCGGCCGCACCGTCAATACACCCACTCGAAAGGCAAGACACGTTTGACAGCGCCGAACTGTCATCCTCGCCAAAGCAGATCGTCCAGGACATGGTGTCCGTGTCAACAGTGGCAGCAGGGCCGTCGGTGCAGTTGGTCGAGAAGCTCAGCGCCGCGATCCGCCGCCTTGAGACAGAAAAGGTCGCCGCGAAGGAGGAGCTGACGCGGATATCGAGCCAGAGGGACGAGGCCCGGGCGGAGATAGTAGCGCTCATGCGGGAGACGGAGAATGGAAAGAAGGCAGCCGAGGAGGTCGCGCGGCTGCGGGCCGAGGTGGCCGAGGTCAACGAGCGCTACGAGACGACGCTGGAGCTGCTGGGCGAGAAGAGCGAGATGGTGGAGGAACTGAAGGCCGACGTGCAGGACGTCAAGGCCATGTACAGGGACTTAGTCGAGAGGACGATTAAATGATTAGAGGGACAGATGTAAGGAGCCAGTGTGGGGAGGGCTGTTACGTGCACAAGTCAAGACGGTTACGTTCTAGCGGGGTTTAGGAGCCCATTTTCATGATATTCACGATTATCTTCCCTCATCAGCACACGGGCGTGCCCTACAGCTCGATGCCTTCGTTCTCCGCCATCCGCTCAATGTACTTGCGCACCTCCTTGTCCGGTGCCAGCTCCAGCGCCAGGTGCCCTTCCAGGTCCCTCTTGTCCGACTCGGCGCCGGCCTTGAGGAGGGCCACGGCGGCGTCCCCGTGGCCCTCGGCCACAGCGTGGTGCAGGGCCGTCTGCCCGTCGCTGTCGGTTGCGCTCAGGGGGCTCCTGTTCTTGATCAGAAGGTTCACCATGGGCACGGAGCCGATGGCTGCAGCCCTGTGGAGGGCGTACTGTTTTATTGGCTCTGTTAGTAGATTGATCAAGTAATGTAAATATACGTGTGTGCTCCTGGAAGCCGACAATGTCAATTTCGCCAAAAAGCGATGGAAGCTTTACCTGGCCCCTTTTGTCACGAATCCGTGCAGATGCTGGTGGTTGGTTCTCGAAGAGCCTGCGGGCTATGTCGATGTTGTTCTTGGAGGCGACGAAGTGGACGACCGTCTGGCCGGTGTTGTCTACGAAACTAGGTCAGCTGCAGGATTCTACAAAGAGCTTTTTTTTTTTTGAAAGGGGGGAGGGGGCACTACTCTTCTCGTTGGGGTCTGCGCCCTTACTCAGGAGGAACTCGACGAGCCTCTCGCTGTCCTTGACGCTGGCTGCGATCATGAGCGGCGTCCAGCCTATCTCGTCCTGTGTGCGATGCTTTTCTTCAGCCACGAGCCCACGGTCACATGGTGGTGGGCGAGCTCTCCCCACATCACCCGTCTCGGCTATGATCGTACCTGAACATCGACGTCGAATCCTTTCTGCTCTGATAACAGCTGGACGATGTCCAGCTGGTTTGCAGAAGCTGCCCAGTGGATGGGTAGCCGTCCGTCGTCGTCTTTGCGCTTGGCGAGGTTTGGCTCGGCCTGAGGGACGGAAGGCGAAGGAGCCTCCTGGTTAGTATGAGAATTTTCCGTTTCGTAAAGATGGGTAAGCTTTCAAACTCACGTTCAGGAGAGACTGGACGGTTGAGACTGTGAGGTGTGAGTGAGCCCGCAACTCAACTCGGTTTTATGTGGATGATATGGGACAAGACTCACGCTTGCCCTCTCTGCAAGCAGCATGGATGGCGTACTTGGATTGGTCCGCCATCTTCTTCCCCTGTATTTTTTGAGCCCAGATATATCCAATAGATGTTGGTAACAGGTTCGAATGTTTCAAAAATGATGTTCCTGGTGTTGGTGGATGCCTTCGTGATCGCTCGTGGCGTCAAGTGAGCTGCGTTTGTAAGTGTTGCCTGTAAGTGATAATAGACTGTGGTTTCATTGCGACTCCCGGCCCATTAAACTTAGACCCTCGATCCATCCCTCCGGTATCCAACTTGGGCACCTTTGCTTGTAGACATAGCCCGCAGGACGCCTGAGATCTGCAACATTCATATGGAAATTGCTGAAAACTATTGTCACCCAGATATGTCTTCACAACAAAACTGAGAGATTATCTCAAATGGCGAGTTGTTGCACTGGAGGCTATCTCAGAGGTAGTCACCCTGCACATGCGTATCCGGTCGCATCCATGTGACCTGTACAGAATATCAAAATACCAGAAACTGCCAGAGTATACCGCAGCTTTTGGAATTCCATTGGAAGGAATTCCCAATGTTTTCTTTTGAAATGTGAAGCGCTACAGTTTGGGCAAGCGAAGTTGTAGCACATCGTGCCCAAGTTCCCCTTTCAGACCCCATTCGAGCCAGCCCCCTTGCGATTGCAAGCACCTGTCCTGCTCCTGCAGACCACCATTGGTACCTGGCAACTGGCTGAGCTCCCGAATTTTTGGGATCGCGACTCCAAGCTCTCTTTAAGCCAACGTCCCATCAACACAAACCACCATAGGAAACGACTTTCCGCACCGCACAACTTTGCGCAAATACCACGACCCCTTCACTACGTAGAATTTTATCGCCCGGTTCACTCTCACATCGGATTACTGGCTGAAGAGTAACTTTCCAACGGTGATGGCGGCCGACGTTTCTTCGACCGGCCTGGAGTCCCTCATCTCGAAGAATGCAAGGGCTACGCGGCTCGCCTATGCAGATCCAACAGGTCGCAAGCGTATACGCCTCGATCCCTCAATCGATCCCGAACCCGAAGCTGACAAGGACGCCATCTCGCTGCGCCTACACGCCGAGTACAACGATGTCCTAACACTACCCGCGCCCCTTGCTGCGAAGCAGGCTGCCGCGGCCGGCGCAAGGAAGAAGGCGAAGAAGACACCCGGGGAAGCAGCACCGACACCAGCCGAGGAAAACACCAGGAAGCTGATTGAGGGGATACCATCAAAGGCGCCAAATGGGAAGCCAGGAGCTGGGCCACAATCCAACGCGCTCGTGCGCCGAACGCCAGGCGCACCAGGCGCGGGTGGCGCTGGTGACAGAGGCCAAGGAGGCACACAGACAACGAGCCTGATCCGCATGTCAGAAGCCGTGAATGCGCAACCCAAGCCAGAGTGGCACAAGCCATGGAAGCTGCACAAGGTCATCTCAGGCCATCTGGGGTGGGTGCGCAGCGTCGCGGTCGAGCCGAACAACAAGTGGTTTGTGTCAGGCAGCGGTGACAGAACAATCAAGGTGTGGGATCTGGCATCTGGGCAGCTGCGGCTGACGTTGACGGGACACATCAGCACAGTTCGGGGCCTGGCAGTGTCACCGAGGCATCCATACTTGTTCTCATGTGGCGAGGACAAGATGGTGAAGTGCTGGGATCTGGAAACAAACAAGGTCATTCGGCACTACCACGGACATCTCTCGGGCGTCTATACTCTAGCACTGCACCCTACGTTGGATGTGCTGGTCACAGGTGGTAGGGACGGTGTTGCAAGAGTATGGGACATGCGGACTAGGAGCAACATACACGTCCTGAGCGGCCACACTGGCACGGTCAGTAGTTTACTCTGCCAGGAGGCCGATCCTCAGGTCATCACAGGTTCTCTTGACAGCCAGTGCCGGATGTGGGATCTTGCTGCAGGCAAGACTATGGGCGTCTTGACTCATCACAAGAAGGGCATTCGTGCTCTGGCATCACATCCATCTGAGTTCACATTCGCTACCGGAAGCACCTCCAGTATTAAGCAGTGGAAGTGCCCCGAGGGCGCTTTCATGCAGAACTTTGAGGGCCACAACGCCATCATAAACACGCTGTCCGTGAACAACGATAACGTCCTGTTCTCCGGGGGTGACAACGGCTCTATGAGCTTCTGGGTAAGTACACTACCACTATCTATTTCCTTTTTAACCTCTTCTTCCGTCGAGCACCGGCTGACAAGGAACAACAGGACTGGAAATCTGGCTACCGTTACCAGGCCATGGACACCATTGCACAACCCGGATCGCTCGATGCCGAGAATGGCGTGTTTTGCTCCACATTCGACCACTCTGGATTGAGACTCATCTGTGGCGAGGCGGATAAGACCATTAAAATATGGCGGCCAGACGACGACGCGACGCCCGAGACTCACCCGATTGATTGGAAGCCTACCTTGCAGCAGAGGCGGCGATTCTGAAGGCCGTTCTACGGCGGTGTCGGCGGCCTGGATGCGTAAATAGACTTCCCATCAGAAGGATCCTCACATAGACATCAAGTCAGAATGCAAAGCTGTGGCATCGAAGATGTGTGGTGGAGGGAGAAGGCTCAGGCTCCGGCTCCGTTCGGTAACACATGTTCTTCACATATAGTTCACCCTAGACGTCGCCCGTCATATGACCCGTGAACCGAAGTTGATGAAAGCGGCCTCTTTGGCACGTCTCTACATGAGGGTGCTCAAATATAATGACAACGGAGGCAAAATCTCATACGCCACCCCTTCGTTGCGATTAACAAATTCCACGCTAGAACGATTGATTCTGGCGTAAAAAGCTTCTCTCGGCACAACCCTGAAATCTACATGATGAGGCTCAGCGCCTTTATCTCAGGATCGTCTCGGAACGCCAGCCGGACCTCCTCGTCCCCAACTGCGAGGCGGATCTTGCTCGGCCGCTCGGCTTTTTGTGCCTCGAGATTGATGATTCCCGCCCCTGTGAGATCGACGGCAGCAGCCCCTAGGCCCGCAAGGCGAACACCCTTTGCATCATGGCGTGCTCTATTCTCCCACGAATTGCCACTGGCTGGTCGTGCTTTTCTTTCTAGTAGCTGCAACTGGCGACTGTCAGGAGCAAGCTTCAGCGACCGCTGCATCTCCTCGAGCACGTCTCCGTATGTGCTCTCTGCGAGGCCAGTTCGCTGCGTCCTCGCCAGGAGCGCGGACAGCAATAGCCTTGACGCAAAAGGCAGAGTACGCAGGTACTGTTGTAGTGGGCTGCTCGTCGCCTCGTTGATTGCTCGCCGTACCGTGTCAATAGTGACCCTCCCGAGATTCTTTTTTTTGCTTGGGGCCTCGCCCTTCGCCTCCTTCTCCCTCTGCCTCTTGCTCGGCGTCGAGGGCTCCGATATTGAGTCTGCTGTTTTAGCCTCCACCTCTGCCAACTCCACCGCTCTTCTGCAAATATCAAGCGCCCGTCTGGCATCTCCGCTGACGGCCGCGACCTTGCGGCTTGCGAACTGAATGGCGTCTGGCTCGACAATGTTTCCGGGGACGCCTTCGAGTCTGGACTGCACGATTTTCATGAGTTGCTCGTGGTTGTATCCGGGGAAGGTGATTCGCGTTAATCCCAAGCGACTGCTGATTTTGTTGCTCAACGTGCGCTCAGGCAGATCCATAGTGTTCGCCACAGCCAACACAATCAGCCGGCTGTGTCTCAGTCCAGGCCAGTTGAAGAAGTTGTACATGACTCCCTGGTTCTTCGTGACCAGCTGGTCCAACTCATCCATGAGTACCACACATGGCACGCGACGTGGGCTAGGGTGGCTGAATTCTCTTTCCAAAAGATCCAGAGCCTGCGCCGGGCTGACTCGTTGCCCCTTAAGCGCCTCCCACAGGAGCGAGTATGCCTGGTGCGGATCCGTGATCTTCATGCCGTTGATCTCGACGAAGATGAAATCGTCCAGCTCGTCCGATCTCACGGACTCGTCTAGCCGGGAAACCACTTCCCTCACGGTTGCAGTCTTTCCTGTACCAGGAGTTCCAGAGATGTAAATGCAGGTTCCCATGCCATCTGTGATAGCAGCCTCGAGGTGAGAGTAGACAAGACTGAATTCTGCCTCTCGACACGGGAGGCTGGTTGGCACGGACGCAACATGAAGGTTGGCTCGGGCCAATTGGAACGGAGAGGATTGATGGTGGCTTGGTGAGAGGATGCGGGTCGCCAAGGGCGTGAACTCGAGGTGCTTCTTCAACACTATCCTATATGACTGTCAGCGTGCTGGAGTTGCCATGAACAACTGAATCACTTACTTTCTGTGAGACGAGGGTGTCACTGGCTTGCCCGCAGAGCGTGGTTTCTTCGGCGTGCCAAGGTGGCTGGACGGCTTCCGCGGCGTTCGCTTCTGGCCCCTTTCCTCCTCGCCACCTTCCTCAACAGCATCGTAAAGGGCGTCCGGAGTTGCTTGTCTCGCTGCTTTCCGTTTCCTCGTCGGCTTCGTTCCACCTTCAACCAAGTCTTCCAGCTCGTGGATGTCGTCGAATCCGTGATAGACGTCTTCCCATACAAACTCATCAGTGTATGTGGCCGTTCTTGTGTTACAACCTCTGCGACAAACAAAGATTTTGCCATGGTCTTTCGAGCTCCTTGGTACCTTCCCGTTGGGATAGAGTTTTTGGAACGCTTCCAGTGAAACGACCTTCGCCCTCCCATTGATAGCTGCCAGGGGGTTCAAGTCCGAGGTTGGAGTTATGTATAACTCATTCTGTGGAAAGTGTCAGGCACACTCGTCATCACATTGATTTCTCGTCCCTCTCATGGCATTTTTGGGAACTACTTACCCAGAGGAAATCCATCCTCTTCTTGTGTTTGTTCCGTATCTCCTTCTCGGACGAGAACCACAAGAAGTTGGCAGCCATCTCCCCATCATCATCCTCTAAGAATTCGCGTATGATAGCGATCCAGGCTTCACCAGACGTCTCTGCTTTTAGGAGGACAATATCACCCAGCCGACACGCGAACGAGCCCATCCTTGCACCGACGATCTGCGCCTCTTCGTCCTCCAGTGCACGCTTTCTCTTGCGGGAAGACCCTCCGACCGGCGAGTCTTCTCGGCTGTCGGCGTAGATCCATTCCCAGGGGTGATCATCAACGCCCAGCTCGTCGTCGGAGTCCTCTCTTGCAATGCCTGGCAAAACGGCCGGCTTGCTCCTCCTCGAGGGCCGTGATGAAGTGGCAGAAGGCATAATTTTGGTTTCGGTGAGAAAATGACAACTTCGGGACCTTTCCACGCCGAGCCAGCAGACTTGGCTAGTTGTCGTCCTTGCAGTTCAGTTGCATTTATTCACAGTTTGGATGTGGCGCGTAAAGTGGTTCTGCCTCCAGACGCGGTGGCACGCGAATCCCTGTCGTCTGAAAGCTTACCGGGTACCTAGGTACCCGCTGGCATATGACGTCGCCTGGAAGCATGCAACTAAAGGAGTTATCCGCCTAACACAGTATCAAAACCTCCAGGCTCTCACACTCTCATGATGGGTATTGTTGCTGGAGGTTTTCCTATTCATCCAGCTTGGGTCTTTTCTACAATGGAGACTACTTTCATTGAGGTTTGAAGTAAATCGTCGATGCTGCTGTCCTGAATGGGCTTCCAGCTTCACAATGGACAAAAGGGATGAAGACAAAAGCTTGTAGAGCCCAGCCTCCAAGTGGAAGCTGCTTCGAGTGCGGTTTCTGTTTCGAGACCTTGTGCGAAATTCGCGGCCTGAGGGCCAAATACAAAATTTCGAAACATTTCTAGTTCTTTTCCATTTGTCTTCGCGCCACCAATTTGTTTTCAATTGCCGAATAAGAACGGCTCGTCCTTCGTACACCAGACTCACTCGACGCCTGAAGAGGTGACAGCCATCACTGATCACCCCATCACTATCTATTCCATCACTGCTTTCCTTGCACTGCAGACTCTTGAGAACAAAATCACCCAACTTTCGTCGCCAGCATGTCAACAAATCCAACAATGGATACCATGGAGCGGTACCGTGCTCTCACGGCCAACGGCCAGGATTCTCGACGGGCCTATCTCGAGCACTTCACTAAAATCAAGAAGGTCGAGAAGGCCAAGTTCTTGGGTGACACCCCAAAGACTGGCATGCTGGTAAGGCGTCTGTGCTCAAAACTACAACATGTGTCGCTGACCGGGCATAGGAGTGTCAGATGGCTTTACCGGGCAACACTGTCGCTGAGGACTTCATTGACGAGACCGACCCGACTACAAAGAAGAAGCTCGATGAAATCAAGACCTTGTACAACGTCTGGGTGAACTTTAGCCCTGGAGATCGCTTTGTCAGCCTGACCGGCGAGAACACAGAGAGCTTGAAAAAGGCAAAGGATGCACTGGGAGCTTTCTTGCTGAGCATCAACCAGAATGTCCAGAGTAAAATGATCACCCTGACCCATCATTCCATTGCAACAACCCAAGTTCATGTTGAGATCAAGCCAAACAACCCTGATCACTCGTCTTACCGGCCCGTCACTCAGAAAACTCCCACAGAGAAGTTGAGCGAGACCCCGATGGAGGAGGATCTCATTGATCTTTCTGATGACTTGGAGGAGAGGAAAGAGAGAAGCTTTCAGCACGGTATTGATGGTCAGGGCTTTCAACAGATCTCTGATGCTACTCTGGCCGTCCTGGTGGACCAATTCGAGGCGCGCGTTCGCGAGGCTGGCAAGCGCCTCCGCCCCGTTGCCGGCGAATTCCGGGTGAGAGCACACATGGGAACGTTCACGGTCAAGAAGCGGCAGTCAAAGAAGGACACATACCACTCCGATGAGGAACTGGAGAAGTTCCTAAAGATGGGAGCCAACAGGGGCTACATCTTTGTCGGCCATAAGCTTGGTAATGAGTCCTGGGCCGCCCGGATGCTCGAGATCATCTACCAGACCGAGGATCTCAACAACCCCATCCTTGCTGAATTCCTGGCCGCAGAACCGACGATCATCTCCATCAGAGATATCAAGCCTAAGTACACCCTGGTTCTATTCGCAAAGGACCTCAAGATTGAGGTGGATGTTGCGTACTGCCCCCAGTACCGTCGAAACCCAGAGGCTAGTAGTGTGCGTGCTTTCAACTTCAGCCGAGACAAGGTTGTCGAGGTTGCTGTGTCTTGCCCCGATAGGTATTTGCTCAAAATGTTCTTTATGTTGGCTCAAAGGTCTTACAATTTCACAGGAAGTTCGACTGGCATTTGGCCATCGAAGCTGAGAGCCCAGCAAACAGGATTCCTACAGAGATACAGGACTTTATCGCTCGCGGTCTCAAATTTAAGCGCCCAGTCTTGAAAGAATCCGGTATCAATGACGACTTCCCATTCACAGAGATGGACCCTTACATGCTCCGCGCGGCAGGCATCGACCAAGTGGCCTGCAAGGTCTTCTGGACCTTTCAGACTGCTGAAAAGCCCTATTGCCTCGAAGTGTCGGTCTATCACGAGTGGGGCGCTGGATTCCCCCAAGATTCCAAGCCCAATTACCAATGGAAGGCCCTGAACACTGCTGCTGTCCCACGGCCGATGAAGTCTTGTGGGGTTTCCTTCTACGGACAGGATTGGGACGACAAGATGCAAGAGATGAACAGGCCGGGTGGAGGACGACAAGCCGACTTTGCCAACGCGTTCCCTGATTTGTTTGTTACTGAGGACTCAACCTCCGGTATCGAACAATTCTTGCGAGAGATGCAGCGTCTGCATGATTTCACGGAGCTGGCGAGTGTCACAGATCAGAATTAAGCCGGTCGCACTTCTCAACGAGAACGATTCATGACCTAGGTACGTCGAACAGCATCTCGATTTTACACTGCTGCAAATCTAACAGATCCGTACAGAGTTCTAGGCAGCATGCTGCTTCCACGGCATCTTGGTGCAAGAGAAAGGACCGGGGAGGTAGACAAAGGTTTATTCAACGCCTTTGCCTCTTGCGCGTTGCTGCAAGCCTCATGAAGGGGACTGTTGTGGTTGGGCAAGAATTTTTTGCTTCAGGACTATTAGAACAGAGTTAGCAAAACCTATTAGGCCTCAAGTCATGTCGGCAGCCCTTACCTTCTTCAACAGCCCGTAAAGAACTTGATTTGTTCTGAATGATTGCTTCCAGGTCTGTGATATTGCCAGCCAAATCCTTCACCTTTCCCTCGTAGAACTCTGCAGCGCTCTTCACATTCTGTATGGAGTCAGAGAAGAACCCTAGTCGATGTGTTTGACAAACAAACCTTTTCCACGTAGAACCCCGTGCCCACGTCCACCAGCACTCGATCGGGGCTTGAGATGTTGCCCTTGACATAGAGCGAGTTGGTCAGGGGTACTAGAATATCTTTCTTGTCTGTTCAATGATGCTCAGCATGACATTCATAAGAAGAAAGCGCACGAGCGAGTCTCTGTGGCATGCTCACCTGGGGTGCCACCCTGGGTCTTTACACAGCGCAGACAGTCCTTGAATTTGATCTGTGCGGCCTGCAGTTGCGCAAACGATGTGGTAAGGTGCTCAACCTCCTCATCCAACTGCTTCTTGACGGCCGTGAGCTGTTGGGCGCTCAACTGATCGAGGCTCACTGTGACGATGATCAACTGTTGTGTTCAGTGATAAAAATGGTTTGGTTGATCATAAAGTCTTACCTCCTTGTTGCTGCGCTCCTCCTGACATGTTGAGTGATCACGTCTAATGTGATGTTATTCAACAGGGAATTACCAAGTCTTTCTCATACTGCGTGCGACCCCTGGAGGAAGTACTTGGTGGCCGACAGTGGCTTGAGAATTTGGCAGGGATGCCAGCCCAGCACCGTGGGTGGGCTCTTGGAGCTGCTCGATAAGATAAGCCCACGTCATGTCAACTCCAACGGGGGGCAGCTTCACCACCCTCACCACAGTCTTCCTTCATCCCCTAACCTCTTTGACCACTCATTCGAGTGAAAAGGCAATATTTGCGACACAGAGCACTCACATAAATCTTCAAGGAATAGAAAATGGACCGGTTCGAGGCCATCTACTCCAACACACCGCCTGCCCCTCCACCCAAGCCGGGCAGCCACGATGTCTCCCGAATGAGCACGCCCATAAACACACAATCACCTGGCGTATCACCACTCCCAGACCAACAGCAACATTCAGATCTCCCAGAAACAGCAGGCATCCCAGCTTCACAACAAGCACAAGTCACTCGACCGCAGACAGTCCCAGACCCTGGTGACCAATGGTTGCCCCAGTTCCTTGAAGACAAGTCGTGCGCCGCCCCAACTCTATTCCCAAATCGCCCAAGAAAAAGCGGCATCCTGACTATTCTATATAAACACAGGAAACAAGACCTCGCCGAAATAATCTCCACATCCTCCCTCCTCTCCGGGCTCACACACGGCCCCTCAACGGCACACCCGTCCCTGACCGCCAACACCGAGGCGCTATCGACGAGCCTCTCGGCCAACATCGACCTGGCAACGCACCTGCTTGAGCTGGAGTCTCGGCTGGCGCACGCGCGGGGATCGGCGCAGGCGCTGCTGCTCAGCACGCACGCGTCGGAGCGGCAGTGGCGCGCCAAGCAGAGCGAGATGGACCACGCGCTGAGCCCGTTCGCGCCCGCCAGCCTGTACCAGCGGCTGGGTGCGGGCGTCGCCGAGCAGGGCCAGGTGTGCGCTGCGCTCGAGGAGAGCTTCCTCGAGGGTGAGGGCGACGACGGCGCTGCCACCGAGAGGGAGACCCTCGACTGGGTCCGCCGGTACAGGGAGGCCAAGAAGCTGTATTACCTGCGCCAGGAGAGGAAGGAGAGGTGGGATGAGGGTAGGGTTGGAGGCTGGAGATGAGAGGCGTGTGGGGGTAGTGGGATTTTCTGTCTACGCTCCGGCTTGGAGGGCTACCTGCACGAGACTGGCTATTGATAGTAACGTTGTCCAGTGGTGGCCTCCAGCCAGTGAGCAGGCATGGTGCCCTAGGTGCAAGACTCCGAAAAGGGACAGCCACTGCAATTTTCACCGTGGCGTTGTGTGGTGCTCCGTGTCCCCATACTTGGATCAGACTGGCGGTCAGACACAAGTCGCCTTGGGCACTTTCGTGGGAGACGATGACACATCAGAGGAAAGCGCCGGCGTCATGCACATCACTTTGTGAATGGTTGCAAGTATGCTGGACGTATTTTGAAAAGTGGCCATGAAGACTGGCCAAGAACGAGTTGGGGCTTCCCGCAGGGGAATAGGTATCTAGATGCTATACTATATATAACGAGCCGTGCGTGCTCAAGGACAACCAGTCTTCAGTGCCGGCTGATAGGAATCGAACAAGGGATGATGAAGTCCGAACCAAGATGCTGTCGGCTGAAGTCTGAATCGTCGTTTAAAAGTAAAAAGTATATCCGCGGAACTGTCGAGACCCTGGGAAAAAAGTATGGAATTATACTTTCCCGGGGTGGACGCGTAGAATGTGGTGGGAAGAATAGAAAGAAAATAAAAATAAATGATAATCCCAACACCCTAACACTTCAACATGCTAAATGGGCTTTTCGCCTCCTCTGGACTCCGGGGGCTCATCGGCAGTGCAAACAGGTCCTCCTCTGTGTCGACATTCCTCTCTGGGGCGGGCGCGCCCGCTCCGCTGCCGCCCTCGATGACGGCGCTCAAAGAGGCCATGCCGCCAGGGCCAGCCGGGCGCCCTAGGCCTGCGCCCCCAGATGCTGGGGTGAAGGCCGTTATTTTACGTTCAGCTGCTTGGTTCTTCGACTCGTTGTGGCTCGCTGTAACACGAAATGTTATCAATACGTCTCTTTCAACCAGCTCTACATATAAGGAACAGGGACCAAAGACTTACCCTCCTTCGCAGCGGCAAGTTCCGCGGGCGATGTCGCCAGCTTCAGGCCCTTGAGCCTCTCCCCTAGCCTCCCACCGATCGGACTCCTGGGGCTTACGGGGCTAGAGCTGTCCGGGTTGTGCGGCGCCAGGGGGATGGCCTCGGCGCTGGAGGTGTCGATCTGGAGGCCGAAGTGGTCGACAATCCACTGGCGCTCCTGCAGGGCCATCTCGAGCCCCACGCTCTCGCCGTTGTCCCTCATCTCGGCCTCGATCTCGGCCTCGAGCTCGCGCAGCCTCCTCTTGGCCCATATCGTGTGCAGCACGCCCCTCGTGCCCTTGTCCTCGCTGACCAGGCCCTCGGGGAAGATGGCGGGCAGCGGCTTGGTGCGCAGCTCGGTCAGCCCGGAGCGCTTGGAGATGGTGACGAGCGTCGGGATCGGCGCGCCCGGCGGCAGCAGGAAGTAGACGCGGCGCGTGCCCTCGGGGGCGTCCGTGTCGCGGATGGGCAGCACGATGTTGTCCCCCCGGTCCCGGCGGCCGCCCTTCTTGTCCCCCTCCTCCTCCTCCCTTCCCCGCTCCGCCGAGCCCGGGCCCTTCTTCTTGCCCTCCCACGTCACCTCCCAGTCGTCGCTCCCGTTCTGCGCCTGCTCGCGCTCCCGGTCCGCGTCGCCGGAGCTTGCCGCGGCCGCCTCCGTGGCGGCGCGCGCGTCCCACTCCACCATGAGGATCTTTGTCCCCTCATTGCCCTTGGTGCCCGTCTCGAACTCGAACCTGGACAGCGTGAAGGCCGACGAGGGCGACGTCGGCGTCTCGACCACGTTCACGGCGCCAATGCCGGCGGGCGGGGCGACGGTCGGTTGCTCCGGGGTCGCCATGGTCTCCTATTTTTTTTTCTTGGTTCAACAAGGGCTGTGCGCGTGGGGTTGTTGCCCGGGGCGCTTGTAGGCGCGCGGCTGGCAACGGGGGTGTATCGCGGCGGAGGATGGTAGGTTGGGGGGGTTGTATGTGTGGTTTCGCGGAGGGTTGTTGAGAGGCAGATCTGGATCTGGGAAAAGAGATACACGCGAGGCAAAGACAAAGCAAGGCACGGCAACGGCAAGGCAACCACACGAGCAGCAGCGGCAGCTCTGCAAGTCCGGGAGAGGGAAGCAGACGTAATACTTAAATTGATGCGCGCTGGGGCTGGAATCCCGGAGGTGGATGACTGAGGCGGGGCTCTGGGGCTCGACTTGCAACCAACAAACGCAGGGCCGCCACCTCACTGGTCTCGATGCTGGTGGCCTGAGTAGCTCGGCGACATATGCATAAGGATGATCTGCCTAGAGCAAAGTCTTGGTACAGTACTTGTGTTATTGAAGTGGCGGGAACGGATCAAATAGGGGAAGGGGTAAATGCAGGGCCGGGCAGGCCCCGGGCTGTGGTCCGGATGTTCAATTTTAATATAAAGTGGACAATGAATGACCAGGAGCTGGAGGATCAGGGCAGGACAGTAATGAGCATATCATGTAGGTATGTATTCCTTCAGCACAGAGTGCTATGTAGAGGGCAGAGCAGAGCAGAGTAGAGCAGAGCAGAGACCAGATGCAGACGACGCAGATGTACTGTGTACTACCACGCATGTATCATTGAGGCGCGGTGCGGCGGCGGGTGGGCATCGAGACGTATACGTCGGGGCCCTCGTCGCAGCTGGGTGGAGTGGCCCTATATTGGGGCTTCGGTAAGATGGGAGCACCCTCATACCGACCGGCGGGCTGACTGGCTACTCTCAGTGCAGCTCATGGCTCTAAAAGTACAGTAGTCTAGCATATGTGGTCCACCCAAGGGCACCCAAGGGCACCCAAGGGCAGGCAGCCAGGCAGCCCAGGACAAGACTAGGTCAAGACGTCGGAAGCCAAGGAGAGAGCTATGCGTTGCAAGGATGCCGCCGGGACCAGCCCGTCGACGTTGGCAGGTCAGGGCTGCTCTGCAGCTTGCCAGCCTGTGTGAGACACCCCGCAAGAAGCAATGCTCGAGTCGAGGGGGGCTTTGTGCTCCCCTCTGGTGCGTTGACGTGGCGGGGATAACACGTCTGAGTATCCAGGAACAGGCCTTGGCCCTCCGCGAGATGCATACCCAGGTGGGCATGGCAGGCAGGTGTGCGAACACAGGCAGCCCCCTGCCTTTTGGCCGTGGTACAGGCAGGCAGCAGGAACAGGCCAGCCAACGAAGCCTTGCTGGCTTTCGATTCCGGAGCCCGCACGCAAAGCGACAACAAGAAAGAGGACGAGTTCGAAACATCGAGACAGGTAGGTGGCAGCGAATCGCACAGCTGCTCGAATCAAAGCGTGAGGAAGAACGTGTGGCGTCCCGTGGCATCCGCCCCCTCGGGACTGGGCGCCACGCTACTGTCGACAGACGGGGCGTGCCTAAAAATAGCAGCCCATCCCACGAGGTGGTGCACAAGCACAGTGACACAACGTGCATGTAAATACTGGTACAGTGCCGTGCTGCGCTGTGCTGTGCTGTGAACATAGTGTCACACACACACACACACGCAGCGCGTCGTCCACAACAAGTCCACATATCCGTGCGAAAACGTATGTGTGCACAGGCTTATAGGCAGCAGATTATTAGACTATTTAGTATACTGCTGAGATAGCCTAGGTGCCTGGACTACATAGTACGCGTCGTTCCCCATTCCGGTCAAAATCCGACTCCTTCGTTCGCCTTCGAGAATGATAATCTCACCAACGCAACCAACGCCCAACGGTTGACCGCACCGTCACACAGGCCTCCCGTTGGCCTTGCTTATTGCCACCAGTTCGTCCTCCTTGCAGCAACGGGTAAGATCCGATCCGATCCGCGTGGGCTAGTGTCTCGCTCATGGATCTTCCGAGCCCACTTCAGACGAGATGGAAAAAAAAACGTTACAGTACAGTAGAGCAGATCCTGTCAATGGTGAGCTGACTGCATTAAGTACCGCGCAAGGGGTTGGGGGGAGGGGGAAGAGAGGCTTCGTACAGACTGATAGATACCAGAGTGTATGCTCAAATGCACCGAGAAAGATCTTTCAAGACAATGTCTTGCTGATTATCCACAAGACACGAAAACTTGCTTCGTAGTAGAGAAGGTTGTCCTGAAGGAAGCTGTCTGGCGTGCTGTTTCGGTTACTGTACGCATGCCTTCAAAATCTAGAGGCTCTACTCAGCCTGTCAGATCAAGTGTGGTATTTCTGGACGCACTCAGTCGCTACACGTTTTCTACTGCACACACCAGCATAGCAGCAGCCTGAAGCGACACGCCATGCCATGCCATGAAACGAATGCAGGAGCCGGCCGCATTTGGGGCCTCGGGAGATGAGGCAGGATGCGCGGGATCTCTGGTGCGAGCTCAGGAGCTCCTTCAGCTTCCCCGGAGGTGACGCTGTGGCAGCTCCGTATGACAGCGAATGATGATGCTCGCTCTGACGAGGGACAAGCGCGCAGTCAAACCATGCCGTATTTTGGCTGTGTGAACCGTGACATCCTGTGCCCTCAGCGACGTCTTGTGTTGTCGGACACGGTGATTGATGGAGATTGAGACAGGCCACGGGATTTGAGGGCAAAACTGACATCAAGGTGGTCTAGCCAACAAGAGACCCTGCGGGTAGGGACGTCATCGTGCTTCCCAAGTATTGATTAAGATTCCGTCAAAGGCCGGCCGGGTGGTAGGTTGGATTCTCTTCGTCCGGGTCGTAAGGCTAATAAGGCCAGGACCAAGACGGAGGCCAGGCGCCGTTGAAGGCCGGGTGCTTAGGTCCCAGTGTCCCAGGGTCCCGCGCTGCTCCGTCCTCTGTGGCCCCCACTGGCCCGGGAAGGGAGGCAAGGAAGGCCTTCGCGCCCGGCCGTCTTCCCCACACGAACCTGCTGGCTTCCCCGGCTCCAGCTGCCCCCAGGTCCCCAGGCCCGCCTTTGAGCCCCAGCCGACAGGCCCCAGTCTCCTAGTCTCCAGTCCCCCAGGTGTCCACGCTGCCCATGCCACTCTGACTTCACCTGGCAGGTGCTGACCTGAGGCGCGCTGACCGGCCCCGTTGAAGCTGTGTGCCCTTCCTGCGCGTGACTGCATTCAACCTGGACGTGGACTGACATTGCCTGCAACCCTCATGAGACTGTCCTCGACAATCACCTGTCTTCCTTGTTGGGAATTCAATTTGTCCGGTCCCAATTGTGGATTGCAAGCGAGAGCCCGCCCACCTGAACAGAGCTTCACAATGCCCACGCAATGCCTCCCAGTCTGTCCCATCCTCTGCCTGCCAGCCGGCATACAGGTTACACAGCTCGTGCAAATATGGACCGACTACGACCAATCCCTTCTATCGCTTGCAACACTACCACCCATCCGTCCAAATCCTCGTGTCCGTTGCCCAGTACGACACGCTGTATGCGTTTGTGCTACGCAAAACAGCACTGCTTACCCACCCCCAATGCCCATGGCAGCCGGCCCGTCCTTTCGGCACACTGCAATCCGAGTCAGCACCGTGACACACATGCCGTACAGGTTGCAACTTGCAGTGTGCCGTGCGAGTCGCCTGGAGCTTGCCTGGAGCTTGCCGTGGCCGCTGGTTTAGGTCTCCTGTGCACACTGGCATGCGACAGGCCGACATCTAGTCGCTACGCTCCCACGTCACAGATTGACTGTGCCTCGGTTTCGACATGTCAATCCAGACATTAGAGACGCAAGAGACTCGGCGGATCCACCTGTCCAAGGGCTCCACTCGAGCCTGTATGCCAGGCTCTCTTCGGCGTTGCACCTCGCGGGCCACCACAGCCCAGGACGGGCCCATCGTTTGAACAGGCCACCGTGCCGGTCATGGCGACTCACGGCTCGGCAGGATCATGACATCTCCAACATCCTTCCGCCGAACAAGTCAAGATAATCGGTGGACCACCGCCAGGGAAGGGAGCCGAGAGACGCCGCCAATCAGCGTTGGCGTAACTGAAGATGCACGAAAGACGCCGGAGAAGGGCCGGGGCGCGGGACCCTCGACGTGTGTGCCCGGAAGACTGACTCTGCCTTTCCGAAAGCTCCGGCCCCATATTGCGCTGCGACTTTGCTCGTGCCATCAAACACCTTCGCTTGGGCGTAACACGTTGCAGAGAGCGATGATAATGTTTCGAGCGCAACATGCAAGAAATACCTGATGTTGTTTGCAGCTCAACAGGCCCGAAGACGGGTCGCTTCGTAAAGTCCCGTCGCATTCCTTGACGGCAATGATACTGGAGGCATGAGACCAGCTTCGCACGCGCTCATATCATAAGTAGGCATCAAATTGTGGCGAGAACAGTGACTAGGCCGGAATGCTGTTAGAAATAGACCGAGTTCTGGATCGTGTCGAGATGCCAACCCCACGCCCATGTGAACCATCAACTGCCGAAGCTTTCAGGGTCGGTTGCATCACACCTTACGGCCCCCCTCTTTCAATACGGTCAGAACCACTTGACACTAGACTGACAGAGCCAAGTACAACCAGATTCAAAGACGAGCCTTTCGAAACGTCGTCTTGTTGACGGATCATCTGGGTCGTATAATAGTCACGATATGGAGAGACGTCTTCATCTCAATTCCATGCCATGGCAAGACTGCAAGCGCAAGGTTGTCTGGGGTCCGTCGAAGCAGGCCGCTCAATGATCGACAGTGATATCACATCAGTGTCCCCATCATTCAGCGCGATATCACCCTAGAACACACCATCCAACGTTTTTCCGGGATAATTACGGAGGCGAAGGGACAGGTACCGCACACCTTCAGCAGACCGGTTGGGCCAGCAAGCAAACTTGCAGCGTTGATCACTGCGGTAATGACCTGGTAACGTCCCTGCCCGAATTTCCCAAGACTGCAGCTCTCACAAATCTGTGTTGTGCGAAGGCGTAACGTAGCGCTGTGCCGAAGAAGCATCGTGAAGAGACTCTCGGTAGGGCTTCGCCGTTTTACTCGCACCTTTGCTCCACGGGGATAGCGAGACACCCTGGGCTTTCACCCGGTTCTGGGCATTTCTGTTTCATTGGCCCCGGCTAAATGAGCCTGAGCTGCGCTCTCCGTTTGTCCCTCATGCGGCCTGCTGCACGATACATACGATGTAGCGACCATGCTGCAGCAAAGAACTGAGGTTGCGGCCTGCTGCAGCTTGAAGTCTTCTCCAGAGATCAGTTGTTGATGATGATGGTGACTACTGCGGCGTCAGAGTCTCGTAGTGGTTTATAAGTGCTACTGTGCCATTTTTGTCACCATATAGCCGACCATGCAGCCCTGTCACAAACGAAGAAGATCCGTCGGAGCAGATCTCGGCCGTACTCTGTGCATGGTAACTTGGCGGGCCGTGGCCTCTCGTGGCCGCTCATCTCACCACAAGCAGGAAGGCCCGAATTGGCGACAGAAACACCAGAGAAGCCCCAGTCCCAGGGAAACATGGGGGGTCGACAATCAGCCGCGATAAGACGCTACCTGGGCTGGGCCCGTCCAAAGCATGCATGGCCACCCGGCCCAACAGGCCCAGTTGGTACACCCCTATCAGGACTGGATCAAGGCCGTGGAAGACTGAGAAGCTTCTGGGGTGCCGCTCGAATCAGTGGACTCTCGCCCGATAACCCTCCACTATTTCGCCGAGCCAAAACGCCGTGGTCCATCCGGATCCATATCGAGTTCAACCCATTCATTCACCTGCCGTTTTTCCTGCTGTCTTGGCGCCGTGTGCGTGTGCCTGCAACCGCTCTCCACCCCATCTCCAGTCTTTCCTCCCTGTGACGACCTCTTTACAGTATTCGCTGCCCCGATCACGATTATTCCTCCTGCCGTCCGATGACTGTGCGTTTGCGTGTGTCACGGCCTTGTCCCCAACACGCAAGCAGTCGCTGAACTGGTTCGACGGGAACCGTCCAACTGTCGCCGTCTCCTCAATCTCGACTCCCTCTGCGTTGTCTCGCCCTCCATTCTCCCGCTGCGCTGCGCTGCGCTGTGACGATCTAACTGCGTTGGGCCGCAGTCTTATTGCCGGCAGCTGCCCTCCTATGTAGCCAGACCAGCGCCCTCTCCGCTCTCAGACTTTCCAAAAAACAAAGACACTTTCGTTCCGTCCTCGCCAAATCACTGCAAATTACACTCGTATCCATCCATCGCGCTCCGGCTGCGTCTCGGGCTTTTTCACCCCGTTTCTCTGCCAGGCCCCATTGCAGCATTCCCAATTGGGCACCCCCCGCAAGAAATCGTCGCTGGAACTCTGGATAACCTCCGGGCAAAACGCCGTACATCATCGCGCACTGGGACCGCCCAACTAGCAAGTTCATCTCGACCTAGACCACCGCTGGGTAGATCCGTTCGGGAACGTGTGCCGCTATCGCAGCGTTCGGTCAACCTCCGCCACGATTGTCCCTCTGGGTAGCCTACGCAATCTCTGGCACCCTCTTGCAAGATAACCAGGCGAAATACCTCAGAGTCCTTGACTAGGATTTCTGCTCCTGTCGCCTGCCAATCGCAGTGAACGACACAGGTCACCGTCGGTCTTTTGTTGGTCTGTGATCCGACCTCTTCGCACTCACTGGCATCCATTCTCGGGCCTGATCACTCCCCTCGGCCGCCCGACGCAAACCATCTTGGACTGCCCAGCGAACATCGCTGGTGTACATCCAACAAGTCACTCGTTCGAACCACCGTCGATCCCATGTCTCAACCATGATTGACATGCCAACATTCCGAGTCGTTGATAGCTCTGTTCTGACGTAGGCAACCACGGCGGTTCCTCAGAGGAAGAGATACGGACACGACAAGCGGATCGCTTGTACAACATCGCCAAACATGGATCCACCACACATCACCGAATTCGCCTCAAAGCGCTACTTTGAGAAGATTAACCAACTCCCCAAGGACCACCAGCCTCAGCCGCAGCAACATAATGACAGCACGGTGGTGGAAACGTCCTCTTCCAGATTCATACTACCAATTCGAGGAGCCGAACAGCAAGGGTACGACCCACAAGCAAGACATGTGGAACAAATCAAGCAGGAGAAGGAAAAAGAGAGGGAGAGGCGGAGTTTGTTTGGATTTGGGCGATTACGAGGTCCGAAGCCAACCAACTCTACGCCGGAATCTCAGGTGCCAACATTAAGACGGCCGTCGATAGTATCCGATGCGTCGGCAAGCTCTATAGCACAGAGTGCCGCCGCCAGGCCCAAGAGGTATATACCACACCCGGCCTCCATATCTGGTAAATGACTAACCTCCAATCCAGTCTCCCCTTCGACCAACTCTTCCTGAGTTTACCGAATGAGTTGCAAATTCAGATCATTGCCTACTTGCCATTGTCCGACGTGCTCAATCTGCGCCGGGCATCCAAGGCATGGCATCACATGATCACAGTGAATGAATTCCCAATCGTGCGGCACCAGCTCCAGCACGAAATCCCCGCCTACGCGAAGCGACTCTATCCTGTGTCGGATACTTCCGGTTACACTCTTCACTACCTCTGCGGCTTGTGGCATCGGCTACATGTCGCTGCTAAACTGTCGGGACTAATGTGCGATTGGTGCACAAAGGAAATTTTCTTGAAAACAACCAAGGATCAAATAGCATCCTTTGCCGCCCAAAGGGAGAGGATGTACCGACGACTGATACCATTACTCTTTACCATTTTTCACTTTTTCGAAAACTACCGGAAACTACACCTACAATACGTCCAGGAACACGGCCACGGCATCGAACGGACGCCATACACCCTCAACCCGATCGAAACTCAAATTATGAGCATGTACGATGATCGGACATTATTACACGTCCACCAAGTCTTTCCGCTTGTCGTGGCTTCATTTTGTCGGCGTCTGCGACCACCGTCCTATGTTGGTCGTGTGGAACGGACGGTTAGGGGTTATCTGCGAGAAAAGCCGGCCGATGAGGTACACACGGCTGTGCTTTGTCTGGGCGGCTTGAGGCAGGTCTTGAGGCTATGGGAAGTACGAGGCTACAACACGCGGAGAGGTGCGGTGGACACGTGGTACAACAATATCCAGGAGGCGAGAGAATCACCAAAGACTCCGGAAGCCAGCAAGGAGACGAAATCAAGGCGAGGGATCATGAGTTTGGGGCGAAGGAAGTCAAATTGGCAAGTGCGAGATGCTTCGAGGGCCGACGAGATGCCGGAATTACCGAACCGCGGCTCGCTGGAGCACACGGCGACGAGGAGGTCGACGGTCACGCAACCGAGTCTTGTTTTTCACACGAGCCTTGCAGCTGGGATGCCGATGGACTGGCTCGAGCAGGACCAGTACAAGCTCTTACTACCGGACCTGCCCGTGCTGCAGAAGCTCTGGCTGTCGACCGCCGAGGCCATGATCCTGGACCGCAAGATCGTCGAGAGGTCGGTAGACATCAAGCGCAACGCCCAGGTGATGCTGGACCTGATCAAAGAAGACGGCGGCGAGGGCGAGGACCTCTGGTGGTACGAGACGATCCAGCCGCCTAGGGAAGCCATCGAGGAGGATACACTCGAATGAGTCGCGGAGGAGTTGTGTGGTGGGAGATGGGGGCGTATATCCGTGACTTGAGAGGATAGAGGCGGAGGAGATACCAACTTTTGAGCCGACGAAGGGGAGCGGGTTGTCTTTTTGGTTCCATCAAGCGATTGTCATCATCTGACTATATTTTCTATGTCACATCTGCAAGGAGGCCAGCATTGAGAGGCGTTATTTTGCAAACAATATTTTGGGGGCTATGCACACACACGGCGCGGAGAGCGGACACTAGTCTCGTCGAGATTTTTTTCCTTGATATATCATCATACCATACATACCATCAATCATCTACGACATGCTTCTGCCTAGCAGCTCAGATGTCTATCCTGCCTTGTGCGTGACGGCCTGCGTTCATTCGTGCCTGATTTTCCTTGAGAGGCTACGTGAGCGATCCGGTTCGGGCAAAAGATAGGATATTCCTGTCATCAGACTTCGGCCGAGTCAAGACAGCATGTGTGCTGACAAGCATGCTGGCTGAAGAAGAGGGTTGATGAAAACAGCCTACTATCAAAGCAAGGGGCTCGATCAAGAAAACAAGCGGCCGGATTGTTACAGTTACAATATTCGCGGTCGAGTGGGAGCATGAGAAGGATGATGGATACGAGACATAGGCTGCCCCGGAGGAGTTTTTGAAAGCTGACCTCTCCAATACATCAAGTCTGCCCATAGAAACCATCGTGTTTTCTTTTTCTCGATCCCTCATTATCCAAGGGACATGCAGAGGCTAGGCCTTCTTCCAAGAACAGGATCGTAAGCTCTCTTCGTGCAAAATGTCAAGGCCCGATATAACTCCTCGCCATATCCCACCTAATTTGTTCACGCTGTAGAGGAAAGTTTTTGCTAAAGAGGTATCAACGCAACCAGGATCATGCTGCAAGAAACACGCAAAGCCATGCATGGCCAGAGGCCGTTCATCAGTCGCTAGTCAATGAAACCCGTGGCAGTACAAGAGTACAGATAAGATATACATCATTGGGGCGACGCCGCGCCCCATCTCACATTACGGCGATGCGAAGCGCGAAGAAAAATCGATACTACAGCTGCGCAGTTCCAGGGGGGTTCCCCTTTGAACCGAAAGCTGCAAGAGCCCACCCTGCTGGCAGAGGTTGAAAGCAAGATGCGTGTGAGGAGGCGTGCGCAGCCCAGGAGCTTTTGGTCGAGCCACTATCTCCGACTCGGAAGTCCATAACTCGAATATGCGTCATTACGGAGGGTCGAGTCGAAACTGTTCATTGACGAGAAGTTGGCTGCGCCAGCCGACGATCTTCCCGACACATTCCCAGCACCAATATTGTAAGGTGCAGGATTGAGACCCAGACTACCGTGGCTAGCGGCAGAGTTGTCAAGACTCGCCATGTCGAATCCGAGGTTGCCAAAGTCGGAGAAGCCGCCGATACTCTGTGGCAGACTCTGCACGTTCTGTACAGGTGTGTGCTGCGAGGTGCTTGTTGGTAAAGGTCGACGACTGGTTGCGTAGGATGAAATCTGCTGATTCGGACTGCTGTATGAATTCGTCGTGGATGATGGATACATATTATTGGACCTTGGTGCATTCGACGACTGATTCGATCCATACGTGGAGGTGCCAAAGTTCATGCCAGTCGATGAGCTTGCTCGGAACGCTCCATCATTAGAGTTGTACCCCGTTGTGGTAGAGGTACCGTACTGTGGAGACTGCGAAGCTAGGGACTGAGACGATGTAGAAGTTGAGGTCGTGGTGTATTGCGGCTGCTGAACGCGTTGCTGAGACGAGTACTGTTGTGACTCTGAGTTGTACTGTTGCTGGGGTTGCTGTGTTGAGTAAGACTGCTGTTTCTGCTGCGAGTACTGCGGCTGCGGCTGCTGGGCAGTAAAGCTTTGTGGCTGTTGCGACGGTGACTGTGTCGAGAAGCTTTGCTGTTGTTGGGGCTGCTGCATATTGTACTGCTGTTTTGACTGCGAATTGGCGTATTGCTGGGGTTGCTGCTGGCTGTACTGCGACTGAGTTGGCGGGTTTTGCTGGCCGTAGTATGCCTGTGAATTCCGTGCTTGCTGGCCTTGAACCTGTGATGTCACAGATGTCGGCGTCTGGGAGTTAGAGACGCGCTGTTGTTGCAGGCTTGGGGACGCTGAGTGAGCTGGGTTGATATTGGGAGAGACAGACTGGACACTCAGGTGCGGTGAAGCTGTAGCAATGTTATTGAGGCTGGGTGAAGCTGTCCGTGCCACAGCTTGTTGCTGTGCTTGTTGCTGTGCTTGTTGCTGTGCCTGCTGCTGCGCCTGCTGCTGTTGCTGCTGATGGTAATGTTGTCTCTGGCGAGCAATCGCAGCTTGTCGCTGTTGCTGATCGGGCATTTGTTGGCCATTCTGAGCAACTTTTGGTTGCTGGACTTGTTGCGTTTGAACCTGTTGAGTTGGCCGGGGCGGCGGTTGCGGCTGCGGTTGCGGTTGTGGTTGCGGCTGTGCTGGTTCAGACTGTGATGAATGGACTTGCCTCGGAGGAGCCCGCATAGTGGCGATCTCTGGGGTACGAAAATTCTGCTCATCATGCTGCTCCAGCTGAGCCTCAAGTTCTTCGATGGTCGGACTGGTGTAAACCTGAGGGTCGGTTGATGGTTGAGCTATTGGTGCGGGCGGTAGAGGAGTCTGAGTAACATGTGGTGTCCTCACTGCTGCTGCGTTTAGGTCGGCAACAGGTGCAGTATTCGCTACAGCACTGGCTGCCGGCTTCGCCTTCTTCCGTTGTCGTTTCGGAGCTGGTGGGGCCGTCACTGTTGGGTCTGCTGTGGCTGTCTCCTGAGTCCCGTTCCCGTTCACAGAAATCGGGGCCTTGGTGTTGGGCACTGCGCCACTTGTCGCTGGGGCTGCCCCAGACACGGCTTGGCTCTGGGTAGTCTCATTGTCTTTCGCGTTTCTCTTCCGTTTCTTAGCCGGTTGTGCCTTCTCACTGTTCTTGCCAGCATTGGTCTTTTTGCCCTTCGCCTGTTGCGTCCCGGACGCAGTAGGTCCAGGTGGCGCAGAAGTGTTGACAGGCTGGAACGAGCCTGGCTGTTGTCCTGCCTCAACTGCATGCGACTCATTGAAGGCTTGCAGAGCAGCTAGCGCAAATTCAGGCTCACCCTGCTGTTGTGGGCCCAGAGTTGTAGCACCTTGGGCTTCTGTAGCTACTGCCTGGGTGGCAGCAGGGGCAACCGTCGCAGCCGAGTTGTTGGCTGCCGTCTCCTTCGGCCGAGGCTTCGAGCCCTTTGCACGGGCAGCCTTCTTTCCAATGCTGAACAAGGCGGAAATGGGCTGAGGATTTGTGTTTAAGCTACTCTCCGTCACAGCATTCCCATCCTTGGCTTTTCCTTTCGATCCTTTAGGCCGACCTCGTTTCTTGGCGCTGGCAGTAAGATCTACTTCGTTGGGAAGAACCTGAAGATCCGGGGATTGTTGCCGTGCCTGTTCGCCAGTGACGGCAACGTCTTGGTCCTTGCCCAAAGCGGATTCATCCATGTCCACCCAGCTATCGTCGTTCTCTCCGCCATCAACTTCCAAGCCATCGGCAGCTGATGGCTTCTTAGGACCTTTTTTCACACCCTTGTCGCTCCTGAATTTGGTAGCCTTGCTGCCCTTGGGCCTGCCACGCCCTCGCTTTTCGACGCTCTGGACAGTGGTGGCGGCAGTGGCAGTGGCAGCGGCAGTGACAGCGGCGGCAGCAACAGCAGGGTCGGGAACTCTAAAAGGCCTGGTCTTGCGTCTTCCTTGAGCATCGAGATCGGGGAAGATTTCTGCAACCCAGCCAACGAAGACGGCGCCCGAACCATTTGCCTCAGCACTTTCAGGGAATCTGCCATCCTGAGGCGGGGGAGCTTCAGGGACGCCCCCAAAATAGGCCAACGCCTTGCACAGTTGATCGACGACAGCCACGGGTTGCAAAGTACGTAGGAGCGTAAGTAATCGTGCTTGTTGCTCCTTTGTCTCGCTAGGAGTTAAAGGTTGAACATCGTTCGTCACTGTTGCCCCCGATGCCACTGATGCCGTCGGCGCCGCTGGTGCTGGTGGTGCCACTGATGTCGCCGACGTTTCCCTTGCAGGATTCGGAGTTGGTTGCTTCAGACCATATAATGAATGATCATATGGGGTGGTTCCAGTGAAAGGCACACCGGGCTCGGGCGTTTCCTCGGGTATTCTCATCCAATTCGATTTTCGGTGAGGTTGATATCCGCTCTGGTAGGCCATCCTGGCCGCTAAAGCCGTGTTCTCACTTGTGCGTTTCGCGGCGGCGTCCCTGTCCGTAGCGAGGTCTTTTCCCTTGATGTCCATATGCATCACACCGAAGCTGCCCGAGGAGTTGCTCGTCTTTCCCTTCAGCTTGCTAGGAACTGGGTTCCTTATTCGGCCGTCTTTATAGGGCTGCCCTGCAAGCTCCATGGAGTCGACATATTCAGTCACAGGCATACCCGTGTACTGTAGCTCGGGGGAGCCGTTCGCATCTGGAGCAGGTGGTTCGCTTCGGGCAGGGTCTTCAGTGGGTACCAACTGGGCCGTTGTATGAGCATTTGCATTCGAGAGCACAGGTTGTCCGCCAGCCCCGACCCTGGCCAAGTTGTAAGCCGCTTGAGCAGAAGTGGCCTTCGAAGTGGCATTGGCAGCACTGATAGCAGTGGCCCTGGCGGCCTTGGAAGCTGTAGAGCAACGTGATCACGATCAGTTTGGGCACTTGTGTAAAGGCGGATGGACATTGATGCGGCAGCGTAACACACCTGAGCCGGGGGCCATTCTTGCAAATGGACCTGGCGTCCACGGAACCGTGTGTATTTTCCTCTTCCTAAAGGGGATATCTACGAAGGGATAGTATTGTGGTCGCGGTGTGGACACGGGTCAAGCGGCCAGCGACACGACGTCGGCAGGTGCGTCAACATCGACTATTCAATGGCATCCCGAATGAGTTGTCCAATTTGACGGGTCCAAGCGCAGATTACGGTGTCTCCGATCGTGTCCAAGGGCAGTTCCTCTGTTCCTCGGTGAACTCGGGCGGGGGGCGTCAAAATTGATGCAGAACGGCAAAGTCTTGCGAGAAGAGAACGCGTTGGTCGATTTCTGGTGCTCTCGCCGTCGATGATATTCCACACAAACAGCAGTGCGCACGCAGATGGACGGGAACCGTGACGGATCTGGGCGGTATACAGCAGAGGCAGAGGGAATGCGGTCGTAAGCCAATTGTTTTGGAAGCGAACGCCCGTTGGCGCGACGTTACTCAGTCGCGCAGGTCTTGTCTGGCTGGGGCCAGCATATGCACCTGGACGCTCGCGAGGTGGCTGCTGATCTCACGGTCGACGTGAGATGGGACCCGTGACCCGTAGCCCACAACTCGTGGTCGAGGCCCCCAGGGACTGTCAATTCGAGCTCGTCTCTGCGATGGCGAGAGACTGGATCTCCGTGCCGTCTCAGGCGTGCCTGTGGTCGAGGATGAGACTCACCGCTGAGGGGGTGGTCTAGCTGTTGTGGCGTTGACAGCAGCTATAGCCACGAGTAGACCATCAATTTGATCGTCGAGGATCAGTTCCTCGGGCGGGATGCTGGTCGACCGGGGGCTCCCTGGCTTGACTGTCTGGCGGTACACTTGCCTGGCCCAGCTGGCACATCAGCAGCTATTCCTGATCTACCCCACTGGTCGATAGGCGTCACTTACTGCCCAGCTGCTGCACGCCTGGACTACCACTCGCTTACCCAGCTCCTTAGCTCTGCCTTCTGTACGTCAAGTCTCACCAGCTTCGCCAGCGTGGTTTCCAAGTCAATCCTTCCTGTATGTCTATATGATCCCCACCTGAGTGTTCCACGAAGCAGCCCAGCCTTCATAATTGCTGCATTCACCCCAAAGAGAGCTCCTGCGGCTGGCTATCTGGCCCCAGGAAGACCAGTCAAGTTGAAGGGCGACTTCGGCTAATCACTGCACTCTGCTCAGCACGGTGACGCATTCAGTTCACACCCAACCTGCTTCACACGAGACACTCGATTAGGACGCTCGAGTCCTCTCGAACGACTCCCAACCCACTCGTCAGGCCGTGGCATGCGGTAGAATCGGCAAGATGCCGTCACCAAATAGCTACATTGCCCTCTCGCTGCCGCTGAGGACCTTCGACACCGGCGACAAGGAGGAGGCCATACAGTCCTTGAGCGCAACCATCGGCCCCGAGAATGGCACCGTGACAGGCTTCCCTATACCTTCTTTCAAAATCGGCACCCTCGATGCGCTGGTGCAGCAGGCGGACGAGCTTACCAAGCTCCACACGGGCTGCGAGGGCGTCGTCCAGAGGGTGTCTGATTCTCTGAAGACAATCCTGGATGGAGACGAGGAGAAGATCGCACAGAATAAGATGGTCAACGACAGTAAGAACGCGCTGGAGAGAGGCCGCAAAGGGGGGGACTGGCAGCTAATTCCCTCACAGAGCCTACGGACCAATACTTGCGGACCTTCAGCTGGAACAAGGTCAGATACCGAGCGGATCGCCCGCTGGGTGAGTTGATTGAGAACCTCCAAAAGGTATTATAGCCGGCCTTTATCATGTCACCGCTGTGCAATCCGCTTACAATGCGACTCAGGAGCTTGTCAACATCGACAACGACGTCAAGGGGAAGTTCAACCAGTACAACTCGGTCAAGTCAAACCTGGCGGCTCTGCACCGGAGACAGACGTGAGTGGCAGCCACAAAGCCGGGAACAGAGGACGGTACTGACAGGGGAGCAGCGGAAACCTGACTACCAAGTCACTCACGCCGATCGTGGATCCCTCTCAACTAATTACAGACTCCGAGTATCTCGAAACGCACCTTATTGTTGTCCCGTCCAACATCCGAAAAGACTTTCTCAAGAGCTACGAGTCTGTGGCGCCCATGGTTGTGCCGAGATCAGCCGTGGAGTTGGCTAAGGACGACGAGTTCATCCTTTACGCAGTGACAACCTTCAAGAAGCACAGCAACGAGTTCCTCCAGAAGTGCCGTGAGTCAAAGTGGACGCCCCGGCAATACAAGTACGTCGAGGGCGGCAAGGAAGAAGAGCAGAAGGAGCTAGACCGCGTGACCCGAGAGGAGAAGAAGGTGTGGGGGGAGGCTCTCAGGCTGGGACGGACGGGCTGGAGCGAGGCTGTGATGGTGTGGGCCCATGTCATGACGCTTCGGGTCTTTGTCGAGACGGTCTTGCGCTACGGACTGCCATTGGAGTACGTCAGCGCCTTGATCAGGGTGAGTAAATCCGCGAGAAACCAAAACAAGCTTGTCTTTCTAACCAAACCCCAGACGAATCCCAAGTCGGCAAAGAAGGTCAAGACTTCTCTGGACTCAGCATACTCGTACCTCGGAGGAAACGCATTTGGGAGGGACAAGAAGGGCAAGGTGCTGAAGGACGACGCGGCTCTCAGCTCGGAGATGGCAGCAGCCGGTCTTGGTGTCGGGGAAGGGAACGAGTATACGGCATATGTGTACTATGAATTTGAGTTCCCTTAGACAGTGTCTAAGCAGATCTCACGGGCCATCTGATCTGTATGCATGAGCAGGGTGTATGTTTTGTCACTCAATACCACAAATACGTTCACAACAGTCCACATGTAACATCACGACGCCATCTTTCTTCGCGTGACCGACCAAGACAGGCGGGAATTCTACTATCAAGGTATGCACAGTTCTTTTTTAAGCCGCAGCCGTGACCAGGCCCTTCTCCTGCAGGTACTTGGTGATCTGCGCCACGCACTCCTCGACGCTGTTCTCATGAGTGCGGATGGTGATCTCGGGCTCGAGCGGGGCCTCGTAGGGGGCGGAGATGCCGGTGAACTCCTTGATCTCGCCGGCGCGGGCCTTCTTGTACAGGCCCTTGGGGTCGCGCTGCTCGGCGACCTCGATGGGGATGTCGACGTAGACCTCGATGAAGGCGAGGGGCTCGTCGCCGCCCTGGGCGCCGCTGGCGGCGTGCAGCTCGCGGGCGACCTGGCGGTCGGCCCGGTAGGGGCTGATGAAGGAGGTGATGGCGACGGTGGAGCTGTCGGCGAACAGCTTGGCCACCTCGGCGATGCGGCGGATGTTCTCGTTGCGGTCCTTCTCGCTGAAGCCCAGGTCCTTGTTCAGCCCGAAGCGCACGTTGTCGCCGTCCAGCCGGTACGCCGCCACGCCCAGGTGCAGCAGGTGCTGCTCCAGCGCCGTCGCCACCGTCGACTTGCCCGACGCGGACAGGCCCGTGAACCAGATGGTGAAGCCCTTTTGCTTGCGGAAGCTCTCGCGCTCCTTGCGCGAGAGAGAGGGGTGCCAGGTGATGTTGCTGTCGCGGAAGGGAGAAGTGTCAGCCGATGGCCTGGGGAGAGCAAATGTTCCCCTGGTGGCGGTGATGGCGGGGCATTGGGGCACCGCGGGGTAGTGTCAGAGGGGAGAGGGATGCTACATATTTACTCACGTAGCCATGTTTGGATGACAGAAGCCGGGCGATCTGAATTTCTGGGCAGGACTGTCAGAGGTTCGAGAAGCAGCAACAGCAAGGGAGAGTGAAAAATATGTACGATTGGAGAAGAGCGTCTAGTATGACCGAGGGCTGACTACCTGACTTTTGACGTGCTCGCGCCAAACCCGTCAATTTTACAAAGAATTGTGACTTGCGAGGACGACGGCAGCCGACAGCGGAGAGGCGACTTCTTGGAACCCGATGATATACAGCCTCTCTGGCCTTGTTGCTTCCAACTTTTGCTCCTTGAGCCAATGTCTCGAGTACTTGTGAACACAGTTACAACTTAGTCGTCTTGATATTGATTTCGTCTATCTGAGACCCTGTTGAAGGCTCATTGCGTGGCTCTGGGCACCGGTATCCGCCCATGACGACAGAGTTGGAAGCTGGCCCGTCTGAGAGGGCCACCGAGTCCCGGAAAGTGGGAACCACACTCCTCTTGGTCCCCATACGCTGGAAGATGTACTTGGAAGTGAAGTGCATTGTACACATGAATTCGCAGGCTTTAGCAAAAAGACGCCTCCTTTTTCAAGCAGAGGTATCCACGGAAATGCAACTCGCGCGTGGGTCTGTAGTTCTTACTCCAGCCTGCTCCTCCAGATCGTGGCTTACATGTGAGCAGGGTCAGCCAACCCGCGCCGATCCTTCTCTCCTTTCTTCTAAAGGGTCTTATCTTGTTCACTTATCCAGGCACTGCCAATAACTGAGAGTCCTTCTTTACCGCTGAAAATGATATGTCTGCCAGTCTACATCAGACTCGCTCTCTCACGATCGCTCTAAAAAATCATAATCTAACCCCAATGCTTAAAAAAAGACAAAAACAGATCTATGTCCTGCCCGATCATTACTCCTGAAGACACAAAAGGTGAACAGGAAACCACAATGTAAGCTTTATGTAGTCGGAGCTGTAGGCGCAGCGTAGTTGCGCAGAGCCTGTAGGAAGGAAACACAAGGTCAGCAAATCAACCATACGTTGACACCGCACGAATCACTAGGTAGACCCACCGCAGCCTGCTTTGGCTCGATGAAGAGCGCCGTAGCATTCGCCAGCTCCACAGGCTTCTCATCGCCCTCGGGCAGCGTCTCGATCCTGCCCTCGACCCAGGCCTTGCGGCCCTCCGTCTTGGTCACCTCGGCCTTGAGCACGACAAATTGGTCCGCCTTGCACGGGGCCCTGTAGTTCACGTTCAGGTTGGCCGTCAGGCCGACGCGGTGCGGCAGTGCCTCGAAGGCGGGCCGAGCCAGGCCCTCATCGAGCATGGTGGCCAGGAAGCCGCCGTGGACGATGCCCGGGTGGCCGCACAGGTCCTGGCCCACGAAGCTGATCTGCACGAACTCCTTCTTGTCGCCCGCCGTGTCGATGAACCCCAGCGGCGGGATCGGCACCTTGCCGGGTCCCATGAGCGTGCCGCCCGTCAGGTTGTGCGCGCGCCACGCGGGCGGCACCTTGAGGTGCGGCCGGTGCTCGACGAAGGTCGGGTTCTGCCGCAGCGATTGAATGTACGCGTTGGCTTTCAGCTGGTCCTCGAGCGCCTGGGTCTCTGCGTCTGGGGGCGTCCACATCTGCAGCGTGTCCTCATCGGACACGGGCGTCATGTAGCCCGATACGGTTTGGTAGGCGGGTGACACAGCCATGGCGACTCCGATGATAGTGAAGGTAAGGGCGCGGGCGGTGTATGCGAATGTTCGGCGGAGGAAGGTGGGTCTTGAAGGCGAGGCAGTCCCTGGGTTTGAAGTTGTAAGCAGTAAGCACAAGACACCATTGCGCGTACCATTCCGCCTGAACGAGTAAGCCTCCGAGGGGGGTGAGACTGGCAGGACATACCGGATGCAGTGGTAATGGAGCGTATTGTAGACCGCGGTGCTAGTCTAATCTGCGCAACGTTGGGTGTGAGAAATTGGCGCCGCGATATCTGGCGCATCAAAGGAGCCACGGTTTGCAGAGGTCGAGACATTGGGCTGGATGGGGGCCTCTTTATGAGAGGACAGGGGCAGCGACACCAAGGAACCGAGGCATCCGTTCTCTCTGCGAATGAGTCTGTCCGCTTCGGATTGTCCAGGGGCCCGGCTTGTTGGGTCCAAGACGGAGTTGAATCGCGTCAATTTGTTGAGTATCTCGACTGCGGCCCGCGGGCAGGGGAGGAAAAATCCCAAGAAGAGCCGAGGCACCGGAGGCGAGTCGGCATCTAGCCCCTCGGCAGGCTAACAGAGATTGGCTTTGCAGTCTCCCAAAGCCTTGGGACTCCTGCTGCCGGGGGGCTCTATTTTTGTCTTGCTAGCTGCTGAGTAGGAGATGGTTAGACTACTAGTCTACTGCTAACTGCTAGCTTGGTGAAGAAACTGGCTGACTGGCGTGACTGGACTGGGACTGGCGACCGTTGTTTGTGACACTCGAGCCGTGACGTGTGTACTGTAATGCTCCAGATGTTCCTGGTAATAGATAGATCAGATAATCGAGATCAGTGACCGGTATCCAACTACCGCCCTGCCGCCCTGGCTCCCTGGTAGTGCCTGGCTGTGTGTCTGCGTGCCTGGTTCTTGCATGTGGCATTCCAACTTGGAAACTTGACAGGCGCCAATCTGGACCCTGGAGGCCAGCTCTCTGCGGGGTGCAACACCCACCCCGAGCCCCTCAAGCCTGCGCATTGGCTCATCGACGATTGTTTCGCAACGAGCGGAGCTGCAACGCCTCTTGGCCAGTCGAGCTCAGCCCTCACAGCGGTGAGCTCATATGTTTAAAGATCAGTATATGCTGTGGTGTTCAGGATATATCTAGATCCTGAACTAAACAACCTCGATCCCGAGAATCAATCAAGCCCAAAAGCAAATCCAAGACTTAAAACTTAGCGCCACATCTGAATCCAAAATGGTACGCCTCACATGCATGACCTGAGCCGCGGGGTATCAAGCTCAAGGCTGAGCTCCCTGAGGATGACGAAATATCAGAAGCTCACCAAGATGGACAGGCCACCGCTGAGACCGTCGACCTCTCCGAGGCCCACGCTCCCAAGGACGAATCGATCAAGTCCTTCAAGGAGCTAGAGCAGACCCTCAAGAAGGAGCTCGTTCACCTCCGCCACGACCACGACAAGCATGAGAAGGAGTACTTCCAGGCAGTCGTAAGTTCAGGGCCACCTCATGAGCCCACCAACGAAATCCCCATAAACTTGGGCACGACACTTACATGTAGCTTGCATAGGCTCACCTGAGCGACCACGACCTGGCTGGATTCACTCTCGAGAACTTCGAAGAGGTCCGTGTCGGATTGTCCGCCTACGGGTACCATCTCTTCGGCCGCATCAGGATCCCAGCGCTGCCCGCGGACGGCCCGTGCTACATCTTCTTCAGGGCCTTTGACACAGGCAAGGACGAAGAGGCCAAGTTCCACAGCTTCCACACCGAGGAGGCGGAGGACACGGTCAATGGAGGGAAGAAGTACCGTGCCATCTTCACCAAGGACGATCCTCTGGAGTGGTTCAACGAATGAGCTGGTTCACGTCAGGGGTCAGATCTAGTTGCTCTACTGCGCTGAATGTATAAGAAAGTCAAATATGCCTGAGTGTTCCTGAACATGTGCGAAAACTGAACCCTCTGCATCAGCATGGCCCCTAGACGCATGCAAATGGTCACAATTGGTGTCTGTGCCTTGCCCACTCCACTAAATATCTTCATCATCCTCTTGCCCCAGGAGGCCAGCATAGTCGTCGGCCGTCGCAAACATCGGCAGCTTCTTGAGCTCACGCTTCCGCATCCTACCCTTGCTATCCTTGCCCTTCTTCCCAGCAGGCTCTTCATCGCTGTCCTCAACGAGATCGGCCCCATTGACCCAGCCATCCTCCTCTCCTGGAACATCGCCCTCTACCTCCTCGGCGCCTGAATCCATGTCCTCGTCGTCGTCGTCATCATCGTCGGACATATCCTCGAGCAATGAGCCAAGATCGTCATCCTCATCGCTTCCCATGTCCAAATCAACATCGTCATCGTCTTCTCCAGCAACCTCAGGGCGCGAGTTGACGAGAGCATCCCAGATCTCGTCCTCGTCCGCCTCCTCATCTTCGCCATCTGCGGCGGCCTTCTTCGCTTTCTTGCCCTTATCTTCCTGGCCAGCTTTACCGATCTGCGAGAAGTACGTGTGGAAGAAGACATCCTCTGCCGCAACGTCCTGCTGCTTCATGTTCCAGAATGCAGCCGAGTTCACCGTGGGCTGTTGCTTGACGCTCGACTTGCCGGGCACAACGACGTGCGCGGAGCTGCCGGCTGCAAGCACCGGCTGCATGATTGAGCCACCACGCTTGCTGTCGGTGGCCTTGGGGTTCTTGTAGACAAACTTGTCCAGGAAGTGCATGAGCGTATGGTTGGCTAGCTCAGGCTTAGGCAGAGCTTTTTGCCGAACGAGGAGATTCTCTGCGAAAACTGAGACTGATGGATGGAAGTGCCTGAAGTAGGGAATGACTTCCCACAAGCAGCTCTGGTCGGCATTGCTGTACTGTGGGTCTCGTTTGCGCCCATCGTAGGCAGACTTCTTCTGCGGGGAATCTTGCGCAGTAGGGAGGTCTTCATTGAGCCCCTCTTCAGGAGCATCCTTATACACTTCCTCTTCATCGGCGTCTGCTTCTGGGTCATTCAGAAGAGTCTTCAGGTCTGGGAATTTGTCCTCCAGTTGTGCCACCAGGAACAGTATTCCGCAGACAAACGAAGGCTGGTGAAGATAGCAGATCTGCAGCATTCGCTTGACAAACGCCTTGACGCGGCGAACGTCAACGTCGCTGTTCAGGGACCGATAAAGGAGGTTCAGATAGTCCGCCTGTTTTGAGGAGTGAATGAGTCGTGGATCTAGTAGCGACTCGTATAGGGTCCTGTAGAACCGATCGGTGGCGATATGCTTGGTCACTGATAGCTGTTGTACCAGTTTGAGGGCCTGAATGCTAGTATTGAAGTTGGCAGAATGCGTGATCCGGAATAGGGTATCGAGATGCTTCTCCAACGTCTCCTCATCCGCAGTACAGAAAGGCACGGCACGGTTGACACCCGTGAGTATAGCAGACACCAGCTTTTCTGCAGTCTCTGTATCAGGAACTTCAGGGACCTTGACAGTAGTAGCCTGAACCTTCCTGGAAACGGGTTGCTTGTTGGCCCCCGTCGCCCTCTGCTTGGTCTTCGCATCGGGAGGCCCAGATGCGCCCAATGCTCCCATCTTAAGCAAGGACACAAAAAGGTCGAAGTAGATCCTGACCAATGTATCCGCAATCTGCGGCTCCTTATTGCTCAGGATTGTCTGGTTGAGGGTAATGATAGCGTAGTACTTTGTTCGAATGGTCTGGCCTGGACGAAGCAGAGCCTCTTGCTCAATCGTACTGATGACGATAGGCTTCATTCCTGGATGGAGCAGAAGAAGCTGTAATATGAGATAAGAAGCCCTGGACGCAATTTTGCGCTCACGGTCGCCAAGCTTGTTCACGAGCAACCGCAATAGATTGGCTTCCTGCTCTGGCTTTTCTTTCAAAAGACCGTACACAAAGTCAAGAGATCTGTGCCTGGTGTACTCGATCTCGTCGCCACACCAGAGTTCCAGGAGCTGAATGATCTTGAAATAGGTATCTTTAAGCCAATCCTCGAACGCCCACATGATCAGATGTTCCTTGGTGATTTTTCCAGGTAGAGGCTTTTCGGGTTTCCAAGCAGTCACGGAGTGCTTCTGCAGTGTTCCTAGCAGTCCGGGCTGCGTACGAAAGAGACGCAGGCGCCGGTCACCAGGCAACACCACACCATTTCCGAGGAGATCGACCAATGCGCCAAGGGCAGCGATTGCCTGATCACGGCTCTTCTTTCCTGCCAAGTTCAGCAGGTTCTCCAGCGCCTTGACGTTATGCACTGGAGATTCCTGCACTGCCAGGGTCAAGGCAGAGACTTTATCTGACATGGTACCTGAAGTCATAATAGTAGACATGAACTTGCGCGTTGATGATGCCGCCACGGTTGTGTTATATGCAGCTGCATCAGTCTCCAGCAATGTCTTTGCATATTCGTGCAAGCTGTTTATCGTTGACGAGAAATTCCGGATATCATCTGCTAAGGGAGCTGGCAGGTTGTCCTGACTGAGAACATGCCAGTCAGGCTTTGGCTCGAATATCTGAGGCGAGTTAGTGACAGATGCTCGCATGGTAGGCCTGACCAAGATGGCGCATACTGACCAACTTACCAGCTGCGGAGCGACTTTGCTTCTCAGCAGGTGGTTCTTTGGCAACTTGCTCTGGCTCATCTTCCCATTCGTCTTCTTCCCCGTCTTCTTGCTCGTCAGCGGCCTCCGACGCTTCTTCAACTTCGTCTTCCTCTTCATCGTCGGTGGCGGCGTCTTCATCCCGGACCTTCTCGAAACCAAGACCAGCCGCAAACTCTGCCAGTTCATTCTTCAGTGCTTTGTCCAACTCAGCGAGTGCCTCTTTTTGCTTTCGCACCAGGCCTATCTCTACATCAGAATCAACTCCGGCGACGATATCTAAATCATTCTCGTCCCCACCCAGGGCCAGTATTTCCTGGAGAAGCTCGGCGTTCTTATCCTTTGGAGTCTTGCTCTCTTTTGGACCCTTCTTCAAAGACTTGGCAGGCCTGTTCTTGGGTTCTTGCGCTTGCCTTTTGTTTGGGGTCGCCTCTTTGACATCGTTTTCGCTGCGCTTTCTCTTTGCAGGACGCTCATCTTTTTGTTTTTGATCCTTGGGCTTCGATTTTGGCTTGGTATTGGACAGATCCGTTTCGATTTTGGCCGTTAATTTGGATAGGGCGGTCTCATCGAACGCAGGCTTCGCCCCGTTCTGAGCCTTGGTTCTCTTCTTGCCCATTGTCGGTGTCGGCGCTGAATGCGCTTCAGCGGTGGAATCCAGAAACTTTGAAGCAAAGCGCTTAGATATGGCACACTTCTCACGAGTCCCAGAAGGAAGAAGTGAACATGTACAGAATCTGTGTTGCTACAAAGTCGATTGCACCCCACGCGTGGAGTGCGTAAGTCGGAATGATTGAAGTTTTGGGAAATTTCTGGCCTGCCGCAAGCCGTTCCAACTTTATTGTGGGGCCGTTGGCTTTAGCGACAGGGGTAGCTCGATAAGATACCTGGACCCTGAGATAGAAGCATCCTCATACTCAAGTCGGCGCATTGCGTTCCTCTAAAATGAACGTTTTTTACTGATACCTTCATTTGACTCTCGTTTCATGCCTGGATGCGATTGTCGCACTTCAACCTCCGCTCGAGGGTCAAAGTGTCAGTTCGCGGGTGGTAGGTTGCGACAATGTCATATTGTTTGAGATTGCCGGTGGTGCGCCCGATATTGATGCAAAGGAGTGGCTTGACATTACATACATGGCAGTCACAAAGAAGAGCGCCATTGATTCATTCTCAAAGGCTTCATATCGATGGCAGGACACGCTTATCGAACGAGTGGGCCCCGTCGGGGGGCATAGCTGCAAGCGAGAATGAAGGTATGTCATCAGCAACTTGATGGATCATGAAAGAATGGTAGTAACACAACTCAGATGCGCATTCAAAGCTGATCCGTGCCGGATACCTGCGACAGGTGATGATCATTCCTGCGAATTTATGTAGAGAGATGGCTTACAGTTCGATAGTCTCATTCCGGCATTTTCCACCTGTTGCCTCTCGGCCTGAGGGTTCAAGACAAGCTCATCCATCTGGTTGATCGCTACATGCGCGGGCTGGGTATGCAATTCGAAGCCTTGCCGTTGACCACCATACCTAAGTCGGAACCTAACTAGATATTTTCAGGAGCATCGCGAGTCCATCTGTCTACCATATCATCCGAATCACTCTGGGAGCAGAGTGGCCGCCTCAACAAGATCGGTTCAGAGGTGGGTTCAAACACACGTTTTTGAGCATTGGGTATACCCTAACGGACTCCAAGCTCTTCCGCTTCAGCGACCGCAAGGAAGGGAAATATATTCTGAGCCCTACTCATGAAGAAGAAATCACATCTCTGGTGGCGCACTCTGTGAAGTCATACAAGAACCTACCCTTGAGGCTATATCAAACAAGTAAGGCGGATACCCTTAGATTCATTGTCTTCGCATAATACTTGTGTCTGATCATACACCAGCACAGAAATATCGAGATGAACTCCGCCCTCGTCACGGCCTTCTTCGCGGGCGGGAATTCGTTATGAAAGACTTGTATACCTTTGACTACTCTGTGGATGCAGCACTAGAAACCTACGAAGAAGTGCGAGAGGCATACTCGCAGATATTTATCAAGGAGATGAGACTCCCCGTCCTCGTGGCTCAGGCGAGCTCCGGCGATATGGGCGGCAGCTTGAGCCACGAATACCATATTCCCACGGCGCTTGGCGAAGACCACGTCATGAGCTGCCACAGCTGCGGCTATGTCGCCAATGAGGAGCTTGCTGAGAGCCGTCTGCCTCCTGCTCCATCTGATGACGGCGCCTACCAGCCAAGAGCGTGGAGAGGGATATCAAAAGACCGCAAGACCCTCGTGCAAGTCTGGTTTGACTCGAACCAAGCTTCCGAGGAAGACGTCAGCACCCACGCCATCAAGCAGGTCTTCCCCGATCTTGATTCCGGGGTCGAGGATCCAATGCCTTTCTGGACGGCCGCAATCAAGGAATACACTACTACGGAGGATTCTTCGGTCCGCGTCATCAATATATTTGATTGCAGACTTCCCAAAGGCAAGAGCACGACACCCAGCAACCCGGACAACCTCGAAGGCTTGAGCCGCCTTCCAGTAACCAACTACCAGGAAGACACCGTCAACCTACTCCGTATCAGAGAAGGTGACGCATGTCCTAGCTGTGACGATGGCACGCTCAAGGTGCAGAAAGCCATCGAGTTAGGCCACACTTTCCACCTCGGGACGCGATACTCGGAACCGCTCGGCGCCAGCGTCAGCGTGCCCGCACGCCTGCTTCCCGAAAATCATGGCAATGAGTCCCGGAGCAGCGAAGAGACCGCCATAGTGCCCATCCAGATGGGCTGTCACGGCATCGGTATCTCGCGCATCATCGGCGCGGTCGCAGACCACCTCGCCGACGAGAGGGGGCTCAACTGGCCGCGCGTCGTTGCGCCGTACCACGTTGTGGTCGTGTTCAACGCCAAAGATGAAAGCCTCGCCGGGGATGTGGAGAAGGTCTACGACTCGCTGGTGACCGGCGGCCAGACAGAAGAAGAAGTCGATGCCATTATCGATGATCGGCAGGACGCCAACATGGGCTGGAAGCTCAAGGATGCGGACCTCGTCGGGTACCCTGTCATTGTGGTGCTCGGCAGGGAGTGGAAGGCTTCTCAACGGCTGGAAGTGCAATGTAGGAGGCTCGGCTACAAAGAGCTGGTGCCAATGGAGGATCTAAGGTCTCGCGTGGAAGCCCTGCTGAACCAGCTCTAGGTGGTCATGCTGCGGCTCTATAACCAACCTAACACTGTAAGACTTCTGTACCATATGTGACCAAGTAAACCTACATAAAACCATCAGCAATCTCATGCTCAGTCCTTCACTCAAATGAGTTGCATGACAATATTGGCAACCTTCACTGGGCGCTGCCCGTTTTGACAAAAGTTTTGACATATTGCAATTCCCCGTCGAACCATATTGGACAAGGTCTATGGCAGCTTGAACGCAAGAGCAATCTTGCGTGTATGTTGTACTCCCGAACCAAATACAAAACTAGAACTGTTGTTGAAATTCAAAGTTAACCCCAATCTTCTAGAGGTATCATCATTATGGATTCTTTTGCTTCGTCCCTATCCGGTGGCTCCATACCAAATCAACAGAATGTACATTTTGCGCCGTCCTAGGCCAACCTTTTGTCTCCCCATGCTATGCTATCACAGCCTCAAGAAGAAGGCTTCACCGTCCAAAGCTCCCTTGACCATCCCATCTCACGCATCTTCTTGGCGCTCGTGTGGGTCCCTTTCTTGTGGTCGGCAGAATGGATCGCCAGCGCCTTGCTGCACGACGCAAATGCCTCGACCAGCTCCTTCATTCGTCCCGTCTTCACAAACAGTGCCGCAATGTCCGAGTCCTTGCCCGCGATGGTTGCTGCCAGCTCCATCGCCTCCAGCATGTTGTCACGGGTGAGGGTACCGCCAGTGTACTGCAAAGCAGCCACAAACGCGATGATCGTCTCTGGAACGTACACCTCGCGCAACTGGGTGAATTCCTCGTCCTTGGTGTTGGTTTCCATCAGCCAGCCCTTCAGAACTGGCTTCATGCCTGTCTTTGCCGTGCGAATGGCCGTTCCAAGATTTTCGAAGTACTCCCTATTGGGTGGGTTGCTTGTCTCGGGCCTATGAAAAATTAGTACGTTCCAGGTGACATATCCAGGTGGATGGATTGCTTACTCCTGAGCGAGTTGGGCCAAAGTCCCCACTGTCTCGATACCATCCAGAGCCATGACAAAGCATTGCAGTTCCCACATATTCTTGATAGCCAGAGCCAGCCGCGTCTGGATTGCGCCAAGGTCCTCGGCCTCGTCTTCTTGGACTTCTCCCAAAAGTGCGTGCTCATTAGTCAACAGATCTTGGACGAAGTCCTCGACAGATCCTCCGATATCTCGGTTCGCCAAGACCTGTACGAGATCCTCGACTCTCACTCTCTCATAGAAGTCGCGGGCGGCTCCCAAGTGCTTGTGCTCTGCAACGATTGTTAGGGCTTCGGCTCAAAAATGAGAAACGGGATCAACTTACTCAGGAAGTATTTGTAAATCTTGACGCCGAATTCGCAGGCCTCGAGTAGGTTACCTTCTCCCGCAAACATCCACTCCATAGATCTAATCAGGTTTTCGTGAACAACCTCATTTCTTCCATCATCGCCGATGAAATCCGGAACAATGCCGCGACCGTCGAGAAGTTGTGGTAGGTTGTGCTTGAGAATCCGGAATTGACCCTTTGCAGGAACTCCTTGGGAATCTTCAAGCTGTTTGAGGAAGTGTTGCGGCTGCTCCCTGAGGAATGTCTTGATATCCATGCCAACCCTTCTAATCTGGTTGAGCAGCGCCAGTTGCTCTTCCCGGTCCCTCACATGAATAATGTTGAGACTTAACGTCTCGTACTGCCGAGTTTCGGAAAGCTGGGCGCAATAGAGAGGAATCAAAAGCTCGAGCTGAGCAAGGCGCAAGAAACTGACATATGCCGCTATGGCGTGCTCCCCGACAACACGGCGGCCCGGGAGGAAATCCTTCCCTTTCTGAGCGATGGATTCTAGAGCATTGATCATGATGACCACGTGCGTGATGACCCGTAAGCCGTCGTGTTCCGACATCTTATTGTATTTCAAAATGTTGCCTTCCGACGATCCATAACCGTAGTCTGGTATCAGGTACGACTTTCCTTCCTGGTTGGCTTCGGCTGACAGCGCCAGTCCCTGTTGATAGATGTAGGTATCGAGCGTGTCGGCGATGATCGCCCCTTGTAATGCCTTGGCTGCCGTGTTGGCCTCTTTGTTGACTTGCTTGAAATGTGACCCATCCGACTCCAGTTGACTAATCAACTTTTTCGCAACACCTGGACCGTCACCCAGATACTGCACAGCGTCGAATGACGGAAGATACTGGGAAGACGCCATTCCCGGCCCACACTGTTTGATCAGATACGAGTCGAACTGCGTCCGAAGGAGGGCGTTGTAGTGTGCAAAAACGTAGTCATCCCAGGTCTTGCACACAGAAAGCACGCTGTCGATGTCGCCAGAGAGGATGCCATAGGTGGCACGCTCCCAATCGTCCGTACCACCCGATTTCACCAACGCGTAGCACATGCGCCGCCAAAGTATGAAGGAAGACAGGTCGAAGTTTGGCAGCTCGTCGTCGCCAAGTGTTGATAATGGCAGGGCAGATATTGTTGCGGCCCGCCATGCCTCTGTCCTCTCCAAGCACCAGTCGCGGATCTCGTTCAGGGAACTTCCTCTCCGTAGAAGATGGTAGCAGCCAACCCAAATGGCTCTCTCGAAATATTCATCGTGAGGCTCAAGCTTCCGGCCCTGTCTAGTCATGGCATCCGGGTCCAATTGAGTGACGTAGGAAAAGTCGGACATGTTTGAGTTGGGTTCGAGCACATGTGGGATGGCATTCACGCTCTTGTGCAGCTTTATTGCCTCCCGAGTGTGCAACCAGCCATGCGCGACGAGATCTCCCCTGTCTGCCTTTTGCTGGAATTCGTGGACAAGCTCGTCGATGTCAGGGCCCGTGCTGGCGGTGGACTGCAGCCACTCCAGAACAGCCTTACGTTCCTGAGCCACGGAATCCGACAGAATAAACTCGTCCCAGTATTCCTTTCGAGACTGCGGCGTGGGATTCGATCTGGGTGGCTTTGATGAAGGTTCCGGGTGTCGCAATGGTAGTAGTCGTGACAGCAGGCCCCAGGTTTGTGCTTCTGACGCCCATTTGGCCACCTCATCGACGTCGTCGGTGCCTTCTGCCTCGTCCACCTCCATGTCGTTAGCATCATCGCTGGACTGATTGGGATCCCATCTCCGGCCTCTCGCCAGCTTTTCCAAGCGCCGTCGCTCGGTCAGCACAGACGCCTTCTCTTGTGTATAGTCGTTGTAGCGGGCGACGAGCTTCAATATGCGATCGCGCTTTTGGTCGGGTGTCGCGTGGGTCAGACCACACTCGTCGAGCCATCTCCCAAACTCCTCTACCTCGGGGCCAGCTTGGATGCGGCTCTGCCGATACGTGTCTTCGAGTCGAGCCATATCCTCATCTGCCACGGTGCGCGTCGTCAGTCAAAGCCCAGGGACAAACGGACAAGGGCCCCGTCATGTCGAAGTTGAACAAACCAACCTTCGTCGCTGTCGTACCCGTAAATCAGACTACGACGCTTGGGAGAGAGGAAGTCCTAGCGAGTAGAGAGCGTGAGCCACCAAAACTTAATCTGAGGGAGGTTCCACTGCTCCTAGCCTCCAAGCTTTTGATAAGCTTGCAGCTTGTGTACCGCATAGTACGTACCATGGTGGAGGGTCCTTGTAGGGCGTTGATTTGATTGGCGACAGAATGAATGGGCCCGCAGAAACCTGAGCGCGTATGTTTTGAACGCTATGAGGTCAATGGAGCGACGGCAGCTGCATGTGTGCACTATCCGCGCTCCATGAATTATGTCGGCAGAAGGGCAAGGGAATGAAGTTGACGTGGGTGAATTTGGGACTGCGCCGAACAACTGCCAGCCAAAACGCGAAGGGGAGGGCAGTCGCGGTTGGAAGACAAGGGTCAGTCAGCTTTGTACCTAGGTACTAATTTTCTTAGCGTGGGTCTCACCACTCCCAGTTTGATTCCAGCATTGTCTATGGCCCAAGTACATCTCTTTAAGCACTGGGTATAGATTCCATGGTTTTATTTATGCTACCGGCCCCCAGGCCCCCAGGCCCCCCGGAGCAGACGGGCGCCCGGGTGGGCAGACGGCCCCCAAGGGCTGCTTAAATAGTAGCCCAGGGAGATGTTTTCTTAGGAAATCCAATAGAAGCATTCTCTCCCCTTTACAAACCGCACCAGTATAGAACTCCAACCGTACACTGCGAAGCCACCATAGCCGAACTACATGCCATTCGAATTTCCTGATCTCAAGCTTGCTAATCATACTATCTTCACTTGCACACCATCAAGATCCGTGGAGATACGCTTGTGTGTTTCTGCATCCAACTATCGTTATGCAACCCACTTCACACACACGATCACTCGCAAGTAGACACCGCAACAAATCACGCTGAAGTTGACAGTATAGTCGATTAAGGCTTCGGCATCTGCAGGCCATAGCCTCCTTAGGAATGCCTCGAACATTACCAGGGATCCAAGACAGGAGTCTTGTATTACCCTAGTAGGTTGTCTATAAGCCTCCATGAGAGTGCCCGCCCCAAAGTAGGTTCCCCCATCGGGTTATCCCAAGGCGGGTTATCCCACGACAGGTTATCCCACGACAGGTTATCCCACGACAGGTTATCCCACAACAGATTGTCCCCTAGGAGAGCAGGCCACCTTAACAGGTTGGTCGAAAGACCTGCCCATCAACACGCTGTACACACACAGACAGGTCTCTGGTATTATCTATGCTACATAACGCAGTGATCATCTTAAATTTGCCTTGATTTGGACGTTTAAGACGCGTGTATCAGTTCTATACTGGTGCGGTTTGTAAAGGGGAGAGAATGCTTCTATTGGATTTCCTAAGAAAACATCTCCCTGGGCTACTATTTAAGCAGCCCTTGGGGGCCGTCTGCCCACCCGGGCGCCCGTCTGCTCCGGGGGGCCTGAGGCCCGTAGTACCTTCATTGCCCGCCTTGTCCTTGGATTGCCAGAAGACTTCCCTTCGAGCCGGACATTAGTGCCAGTGAGCCGATGGATATGCTCGAACGGCTTGGGTAGCATTCCCCTGAATTTGCTTTGGTCCAGGTGGTCAACGAAGGGAAGCATATGTACAATCAGACCAAGTCGAGATTCCTTCCCTGGATTATGTGGGCCGGCCAATCATAGCAGTACGCTGGAGTTGGGGGCCCGTGCGGGACGGGCTCCACTAGTCGGAGCGAGGGCTGCTCATAAAAAGGCTGACTTGGAGCGCGCCTTGTACTGAGTTTTCTCTTCTTTCTCTTCACACAATGTTTCGGCAATGCACTCTTAGAGTCACGAGTTGGATATTCAATGTCTAACTAGGTCTACGGGCCTCTTGCGCGCTAATGCTTGCCCAGATTGATTGTCGCTATCCTTTCAAGTTGCCTGACTAAATTCGTGTGGGCATACGTTCGTCGGATCAGTGATACATCCCGTATAGAACCCGATAGGTACTTTCCGGCCCTATTGACGGACGGTGCTGTATACGACGACTTGCAGGTCATCGAGACTTGTTCTCCGTCTTCTTCCTCATCTTGAGCTTCAGCTTCAGCAGATCTGGCTTGGGACAGCTTGCGGCGCTGGCGCCCTCCCCGTTACGGTCGTAGAAGGCTTGACAGCAGTCGTAGAGCGCGTCAATCACGCCCTGGCACTTGTCCTCCTTGTAGGTGTTCCTCTTGAGGCAGTCTGGCACAAGCCTTAGCCGTGATGTATCGGGACTCAGGGGCGATGCAAGCCCTCACCTTGGATTGCGCACTGCAACGGAGGTCAGCTACCTTCTTACTATCGGGACGTGGAGGATGACAAACTGCTCGGGGATGGCACGGAGGCTTAGCCTGCAAATCTTCTTCCAGTCCCTGTAGACGACGCTGTGGTTAGATCACGCTGTGCTGAATTGAGACCATGGACCGCATTGTGCTCACCATGGTCACTTTTTGAACTTCAGACCGGATGAACTTGGTTGGTGCTGAAAAGCCTGCTGTGAAATGGATGCGTGGTTGATGGATTTGGCTCGTGTTATATGCTGTCCACAGTAGCTCCCGAGGCCTGGCAGCCCCAGGTTACGGGCCCTCCCTGGTCGCCGCCGCCTTGTTGAATGATGTCAATTCTACACAAGTGAAATCGCAGGCGCGCAACTCGCCTAGGCCATGCCAGCTTGAGCGGTAAGACCACTTTCAGTCTGGTGGTCTCGGAACCTCTGCTACGGTGCATACACAATAGAGCGTAGTGGTCGATTTGTAAACATGGGCGGTTCCGAGGTTTACCCCCAGACTTCCAAGGCTATCTGGATGTGATAACTCGTCCCATTCCAGCAGTTTCTCAAAGCAGCATTGCGATCCAAAACCTGCTTTCCCTCAGAGGACCAGTTATCTGGCTGGATCAACTACTGTGCGTCGGTTTTAAATAGGATACTTCTTTGCCTGGTGCTTAATAATTGAATCGAAGGGGGAACAAGGACATTTCCAAAGTACTGAGAGGCAAAGGCACTGATCAAGCAGTCAGGGAAGGAGGGCGCTGAAAGGTTCAGAAGGTGGCCCGTGCGCGTGAGCCCGGAGGCGCCCCTCAGAGAAACAGCCCCACCATTCCCCCCAGAGCGGCTCTTTGGCAACCTTTTATCATTGCCGCCCTCCTTCTCAACTCAACGACACCACTCTCTCAACCTCGCGATCTTTGCTGCACACCTGCACCCCCGCCCCCGGTCGACGACACCACGCCCACACTCTCGTGGTCAGTACCAAGCCTACAAAAAACTGCTAACAGGTAAGTCCGCTCTCTCCCTCATTTTGTCGCAGCCTCATATCCGTACTCTCCCATCGCCGTCACCACCACCACGACAACATCACGCAACCACCAAAACTCACTTGACACGTTACAACCTGCCATCATGCGTGACACATTCCATCCAGTCGTCGTGGTCGACGCTGACTTCATAATCAGAACGCTCCTTCAGTTCGGCATACTTTTCGCCTACGGCCTGATCGCAATCCTCATCCACAAGCTCATCTTCGACTACTGTTTCCCCAATGTCTTCGGACCAGCACGAGAACGGGTCCCCGGCCGCCGAGCGCCAGGAAGCCCCCGCCCAGACGGAGCACCTCAACATTAAAGTCACGGATAACAACAACGAGGTCTTCTTCAAGATCAAGAAGTCCACCAAGCTCGAGAAGCTCATGGGCGCCTTTTGCGAGCGTCAAGGCAAGACTGTCAACTCGGTTCGGTTTCTCTTTGAGGGCCAGCGGGTTCAGCCAAACGATACCCCCGATACGGTGAGGAACCCCCTCCCCCTTCCTGTCCAGCTTGCTGGCTGTCTCAAGCCCGCGACAAGGGATACGCGCGTCGCGCCGGAGCACTTTCGCATCGTATCACATGTAACTAACATTTGCCTCACCTTTCAGCTCGAGATGGCAGATGGTGACACCCTTGAAGTTCACCAGGAGCAGGTGGGCGGCAGTGGACTTTTCTAGGCGATTGGAAGGGCACACGGGTGGGGGACTTGGTCCTCATCCGGCGGTTCAGACCAGGCATGGAAAGGGACAGCCAGCTTTGAAATTCACCCCGTTGCGGTTGGCGTGACTACTCTCTCGGTATTGCAGGGAATTGTTTTTCATTCAAGGAGTTTGACAGGGAAAAGGATAATCGTGTTTTCTTGTGAGGGGCATACACCACTGGTTTAATTCTCCTAACACCACCGATCGGCGACACAGCTCGCTAATCTGCGCGACAGTCGAGGAGATGTACTATGGAGGCGAAAGAATCCAACGAATGAACATGCCTATTTTTGACTGACAAGACAGTCTTGCAACTTGCCCTTCCATCTACGCATCACGTGGATCGTGATGCCCAACTCGGTGTATTTTTGTTTTTGACCCCGCTGACAGATCAGGCTCCCGCCGAACTTCAGCTCGCGCGGCCCCCGGGTTTTGTCGCCTTAACACCGAAACGTAAACGAGGCTGTCACATCGGCGCGGTGCCACTCGCCAGGTGAGGCCATCGGGCAAGGCTTACCAGATCTCCTGCCGATTTCGGTGATGAGGCGTTACGACCTTCACGAGCTGGCACTTGACCTCGATTCGCATCCCGAGAGCCCTTGCAACGTATCTGGTCTCCGCAGTATACGAACGCCACCATTTAGCATGTTGGGTCAAGCATATTTATGTATTGCAAATGTAGAAATGGAGAGGGTATATCATGGCTGGCTGCCATAGAGTTGTCCAAGATGAATTACAACTAGGACTTGAATCTCATCGTAGCATTCATGGCCACAAGCCAGGGATCTCGGTACTGCAAAGCTACGGGTACTGGTATCAAGTCACGGATTCAAGTCACTGAAGCCTCGGACTGTGGTGGTGTGAAAAGCAAAATGTTCCTTGTTTCAATTATTTCTCCCAGCTGGCTCGCTCTAGCCAGGTAAAATGCAATATGCACGCATGCTCGATGCTCGAAAACCAAATATTGTACAGTGTGTCCGGACAACATGAAGCAAAACGAACCCGTCCGATTAACCAAAGAGCAAGCGAGCATTCTGGTTTCGTTCCCTTAAAAAACAACAGACCGAACTCCAAACTAAACCAAAGCAATGCAATAAAAGCCACGGAGCACATCGCGCGTAAGCCGTCATAAGCATGGTCCACCATGTCATTCTACTGGTAGGAAGAATGGCAGGCAGATCCTACTTACCTTAACACCACCGTCGATCACATCACCGAATGCAGACGACCCTCACTGTCGTCACTAAGATAGACTCCGGGGTTCCTAGCCCTTGAGCTCCCTCTGACGACACTTCGTGCAGAGCACCAGCATCATGTCGTTCCCAATGTCCTTGGGGAAGATCTGCCCATCATCGAAACCATTCTGGCATGTCGCGCATCGGAAACACTCGTCGTGCCACTCCCCGCCCAACGCACGAATGTATTGCCCGATGACCGCCTTGCTGCACTTTCTGCACTTGGGAGCCCGCCGCTCAGTACGTTTTGTCTGGCAGTTGACGCACCATGCGTAGCCGTCCTTCTCGATATGCGTCATTCCCTGTTCAAAGGGGTCGCCACACTCGGCACAGAAGAAGTGCCCGTAGTGCCAATGCTCACCGAGTGCGACAATGTGTTCGCCAAGGATGGGAGTCTTGCAGTGCTTGCAGCGAGGGGCGAACAGCTCATGCCAATCAAGATGACAATAGAACCGCAGACGCTCATCACCGTCCTCGGCCATCGTCTCGCCGGGCTTCTCCTCGAGGGCCTCTCCCGTAGCACGCCGGCGGATACGATCCAGCCGGGCGGCACGGTTGGCGTCTGGCTCAGGACTGATCTCCAAGGCCTCGAGTGAGGTGCCGCATGAATAGCAGGTGAAGCACTGTGGATGGAACCGCTCATTTGTGCCTGCGAGGGCGACAAAGCGTCCCTCGATAGGATAGTTGCACTCATGACAACGGGCCGTGGCTCGATGACCGGCTTGACTTGTGGGGGACGGGGACCAGTGGCTTTGCGGCCTTCCACCAGGGCGGATTCGTGGGGCATTCTTTTGTGGAGTCGGAAGTGGACGGCTGGTGGGCTTGCTAGTGGAGTCGTCAGGGGTCACAATGACAGGAATGCTGGGGCTGTTGTCGTCACCATTGTCATCTCCAGGAAGCACAATGGACGGCACCGCCGGGCTTCCGTCGTTGACGGCGATGCTCGGGATTGACGGCTTGACATCGTTTACGGCAATGCTGGGGATCGACGGACTTGGCTTTGCCCCAGAACCATCTACCTGGATAGATGGTAAGGGGCGACCGCGTGGCTTCGGGGACGCCGGCGGCTCGCGAATCTCCGCAACAGCGATAGAAGGGATCGGCGGGGTTTCTGGGAGGCGGCGGTGGTCTTGTCGGGCCTGGAAGGCCCCGAGCGGACGACCTTTGGTGGTGTCTGGCTTCTCATCAGTTGCCTCGTCCGGAGCCTTCCAGTTTTTGTCAAAGCTTACGATGGGTCGTCCCAGACGGTCGCTCACAGCAGTAGGGGTGGGGAGTTTGGGGCTGCGATCCTTCAACCTCATGGAGGTTGCCTGGCGAATATCATCACCCCTGAGCTCAATACCATGCTTCTTCGGCACATCCTCACGAACAGGACTCTGGGAGGGCGAGTTCGAAGTGTACTGTGGGTCCCGAGACTGTGATGGTGGGTTGCGGTGGATCTCGAACCTGTGCAGCTTGGGGGCGGGCTGTGGCTGGGAGTCAGAAGACGATGGTCTCTCGGGTGCGAACGAGACTCTGTTGAGTGGGCCCTTGGGCTTCGTCCGGAGAGCCTCAGTAGCGGCTGGCTCATCCTTGTTCGGCGACGAGGTCCTCATGCTTGAAGCGCTCTCGGGTTCTTCCCAGATCTGATCACCTGAGAAGGGCCTGCCGCCACTGTTACTTCGCCTCGTGCTGCTGCGCCTCCGCTGAGCGAGGGAGCCGCGTGAAGTGCTGGACAAGCCAGTATACGGCTTGGAAGTCTTGGGTGGCGAGGCAGACCGTGACTGCGCAGGGGGGCTAGGGCTCTTTCGGGGACCACTCATAGACGCATAGGATAGGCGACTGCGTGACGTTCCAAAACCGTCGCTGGAGCTAGAGCTACCTGACATGGATCGTGAGCAATGGTCTCGTGCGAGGCCGCTCGGTTCGATCTCATCGCCGTACATGCCAGCGCTTGCTGCTCGAGCATGTGCATAGCTGTTCCTACGCATGTGCGGTTTGTATCGGTATGGGGCACCAGGCTCTGGTGGTTTGACACCATGTTCGTGTTGCCATACGAGTTCCGATGCCTCATTCAAAGCAGCTTCGTAGAGGCGGCCATCGTCTGAGGTTGGCGAGGTCGGTGGGGGACTGTCCCTAACATCCTTGTCCTCCATTGCCTGCCTCAGCGAAACGGCCTCCTCCTTCTCCATCCATCTTTGACCTCTCTCAATGTATGTGGCACTAGGAACGACCTGTCCAGGCTTGAGAGGAGCTACTGACTTGCCAGGGTAGTAGTCCCGGCCACTGGTGGTCGAGTATCTGGAGGACACACTGGGTGCAATGCTGGGTCTGGAGAAGTCCCTGTGATCAATCTTGGGAGGCGAGTAGGATTGTGACAGAGCTGGAGATGGCTCGGACAAGGGGGGTGGAGTTCCTGTGGAAGACCGAGCAGTCGAGCCAAAGGATGAACGAGCAGCTGCACCCAGTGAAGGGCGGCCGTCAATGGACTGGCGAAAGGAGTCGGCCCGGCTCGAGCCTGGGGGTTGTGGTCTCGCACCACCAGGCCTCTGGACACGATTGTTGCGAAGATCTCTGAGGTATGCAGCTGCAGAGAGGTTGGTACTGGTTAGCAAAGAAATTTCTACGCGAGGCAAGCTTGGCCGAGGTGGTGAGACGAACCGAACTGCTCATTGTTCATGTGGCTGCCCTGGGAGGGAGCCGCCTTCTTGTCAGGAGACGACGGCCCCGAATCCTTGGGTCTGCCACGGTCGAACATGACTCCAGAGATCTTGCACAATCAGACAGACCAGAAGGTGGTGAGATGGGTTGAGGTTTTCCCCGTTGCAGATGCAAGGAGAATGGGTTGCAGAGAGGGAGAAAGCCAAGATGGCCCGGGGGGGCCAGAGGATAAGACCCGTTTATAAAATTGCAGAGGTTGCTCCTTTGGGAGGTGGTCCGTCCGGTGAGCCGGTGAGCTGAGGCCGGGGGAGCAGGCAGCTGGGTGGGCGACAAGAAGTGGGTACTGTCCGTCACAGTGGAAATGGGAGCTCCGTGAGTCGTGTGTTGAGTTGAGCTGGCTGCGATCCGACGGGGGGCTGGTCACGATACCGGATTCAGCAGTGCGCCGCGAACGGTCGGAGGCAGAGACGGAGATTGACAGTGCTTTGTTTGTGATAAGTATGTGATGATCTGATCAGAGGGTCACGATGCGTGTGAGGATGATGAGGATGATGATGGGCTGGACCAGAAAGATGATAAATGAAGGGCGGTCTTGGGTCGGAGATGGAGAAGGAGAGGCGCATGAAAGTAATAAGTACTGGCGGTTGTACTGGGCGATAACGAGTGTTTATTATTACGGGCTAACAGTAGAAGAAGTTTAAGCAAACTAAGCAGCGTCGGACAGATGCAACCACTCCCGCTGGGTTGCTAGGCAGAAATAGAGGGCTCTGGCAGACATGCATGAAGGAGAAGTGTGTGAATCATACCCTCCCTGCCTTGATCTTCAGTCAGGTAGCGGTGCTGTACTGTACAGTACGAATGCGCAGGTTGTTGGGTGGTGATGGTGGCGTTGTTTACTCCAGCCTGGCACAGCTCGTTGCCGCAGCACTGAGCCTCCTGCCGCTCGCCGCCTCACTGGAGTTACTGCGAGTCACTGCGCTACTGTGCCTAGCTCGCGAGGAAGCTGCACTGCACCTCTGCAAGCATCAGGCACGCAAGGTACCACATAGTGACCTTGTCCACATCGTTGTGCCCACGACGACACATGTATCTGTCAGGTAGCCCGTGTGATGCACCCACACCTTTGCAACCCATGGAAAGTTCCACGGGAGCTTGAGCTTGAGCTTCCACCAAAATCTGACACCGAGACATTGGGCATCTGCGACGGACGCTGACGACAGTTCGACTTAAACTGTTGTTGTTCATTGTTTTAACCTCGAGGACCCCTCTTGATACCCTCATCATGAGTTAGCCGGAGAACATCGTGGTGCATCATCTTGGTCAGAGAACAGGAGCGCCAGCAACAGGTTAGGCGGCCATTTCCTCAGCTCAGGAGGAGATTGCACAGCTCTTCACGGCGGTACATCGACGACGCCCCACTCCCATCCTCGAAACAAAGCACACCAGGCCGTCATATTCTTGGCTGGTCTTCGCACGGGCATTCGTGTCAGCCAGATGGATTGTCACGGAAAAGGAGTCTGCATGGAGCAAGATTTAGGGGTAGGATCGCTGGGCCAGATGCATCGTGGAGCCCTCCCCAGAATCAAAGACACAATGCGTGGCCAGCAGCATCATACAGCCAGCACGATGACATGTCCGGCAGCGTCAGCTTTGCAGCATCAGGCCAGCTCGCCAGCTAGCCAGCCTCTGAGTTTCCAGAACGCTCCGTGCAGCAGTACAGTACCTGAGTAGACCGGCGACCTTTTAAGTCTACCCCCATGTACACTCTTGTTCACAAGTCAGGTCCCAGCAGATCGGCGCCGACCTTGCCGGCAACAGGCCCCGTCCTCGGTTGATGACTGGCATCACTCAACCACCTGGCAACGGCTTTCTCATACCAAACAAGCAGGGTTCTGCTGATGGGTCTACCAGGTTTTGAGACGCCTGTGAATCGATCGGCCGGGACGCATTACCAGCAACCAAGATGGCGAGGGGTCCATGGCCTAGCCCTGGCCCGACAGGATGACTCAGTCTCCGGTCAACAACAACACCTGTTGCTCCGGGAGTCACGCGGCTGCACGAAACCCCGACCACGAGGCGGTCTCGTAGCCTCGGCGTCCTGTCCTATGTCTAAAGGGGCTAGGGACCAGGAACGACCTACCGTCTTTGGGACCTACGCCCTTCCGGCCTTTCGGCATCCCCTATGCTTTACCGCCACCGGGTCTTTTATCCGCTCTATTCCCGACCGGCCAGTTCCCTCGTATGTAATGCTGGCGATGTCGGTCAGGAAGTTCTAATTAGTCATGGAATATTCTGCCTGCGTGCCCGTTTCGGCATCGTCTCTGCATAATTCTCTTCGCAACTGTAGCCGTTGTAATGTCTTGAGTCTCGATAATTTGATATTGTACCGTCATACGCTGGACGGGTCGCTGGTCTAGTTCACCGAGGTTGTACACTTTTACTTGGCTCCCGTGACGTAGATCCAGTACGTCCGCAGACGCAGTCGGTCGCTGGCCTGCCATGACGACCCCTTCGACGGCGGATTCGCCCACGACGTCCAAGGAGACAATGGTTGATGAAAATGGCATACTGAGGACCGATACTCGCCATGATCGGGTTGTGGATATCGATGAGAAGAGCAAAAAGGACGACAGTGCCGTCGACTCAGAGTCCAGTGATCATGAGCAGCCACAAAAAGAGTTTAAGGAAGGTGGATATGGCTGGTAAGACATGTACTTACCGAGATATTGGTGGCAGTCACTGTACTGACCCATCTTTCAGGGTCGTGGTCCTAGTCGTTTTCCTGATCAACTTCCATACCTGGGGCATGAACTCAGTAAGTTGTCGTCGTGTTGTACTGTATCTTGGTACTCCAGTACTGACTCTCATCTCAGGCATACGCTGTGTTCTTAGCTTACTACCTCACCTCTAATGCCTTCCCGGGATCAAGCGCAATATCCTTTGCTTTTGTTGGTGGTCTATCCATATCAATAGGCATGTTTCATCCTCAAGGACAACCGCCCTCCCGTCACTAACCTTTCCCTCCGCAGCCCTTCTCCTCGCTCCACTAGCAACAATTTCCATCCGGAAGTACGGTACCCGCACCTGTCTCCAGATCGGCGTGATCCTAGAGACAGCTGCTTTCATCGGCGCTTCGTTCACCTCCCAGATATGGCACCTCGTCCTCTCTCAGGGAATAGCCTTCGGTGCGGGCATGGGCTTTCTTTTCACAGGCTCGGTTGGCCTGATACCGCAGTGGTTCCACCAGAAGCGCTCTCTTGCAAATTCTATAGGGACTGCCGGATCCGGCTTTGGTGGTCTGACGTATTCCCTGGCAGCCCATGCTATGATCGAAAATCTCGGCCTTTCATGGGCTTTTCGAATTCTGGCCATCCTGGCGTTTGTCGTGAACGGCGTCTGCAGCTTCCTGGCGCGGGATAGGAACAAGGAGGTCGGCGCAGTTCACCAGGCGTTCCACAAGGAGCTTTTCAAAAAGGTAGAGTTATATCTGTACTTGGCCTGGGGTTTCTTCTCGATCCTCGGATATATCATTGTCGTCTTCTCACTGGCGTCCTACGCCTCGGCAGTGGGGTTCACGGCAAATCAGGGGTCTATTATAGCAGCCATTTTCAACTGTGAGTCCCTTTTCTCACCATATCAGCGGCACAAAGCCAGCTAATGGACTCTTCTAGTGTCTCAAGGCTTGGGAAGACCAGTAATAGGCCTGTTCAGTGACAAGGTTGGCCGGATCAATGTTGCCGCCCTGGGCACACTCATCGCTGGCCTGGCGGCCTTTTTCCTGTGGACCTTCGCGGCCAAGAACTTTGCTGGCGCCATTGTCTACAGCTTGTTCGGTGCCTTCGCGGGCTGCATCTGGCCCTGCATAGCGCCTGTCGGCGTCGAGGTCGTGGGATTGCAGCTGTTGCCCTCTGTGATGTCCGTCACATGGTTGGTGCTGGTCTTGCCTGCAACCTTCGCCGAGGTCATTGGCCTTAGCCTCGTGGAGCCCGGGAAGGACGGGTATCTGCACGTGCAGGTGTATACAGGGGCGATGTTCGTCACAGCATTTGCTGCTCGTAAGTCACGACTCTCTCACTGGATATGGCTTAATTGCCGTGTGGAATCGTACGCTGACATTGTTTAATGTGTAGTCTGGGCCCTGCGGGTATGGAAAATACATGTCATGGAAACCGCTAATCTGACGGAGGAAGAGAGGGAACGGGACATTCGCAACCCTGATGCCGTGGGGGCGGGAACGCATGCTTCATCTGCTGGCCATAATTCATTCTCGATGGCTTTTGCTCTGAAAGCCTGCTTTTCTCTGACCAAAGTATAATGGCGCAAGAACAGAACGATTTGTATCTGAACAAATGTACATATTCTATGCCGCGAATATATACTCTACATAGCATGATGAACGCATAGCTACATGACTTAAGGCAATATGACCAAACTCTAATAATTACGCCTTTCCTACTACTTCTGACAGTTGCAACTTCTAAGACTACGCAGCTTCCTTATCGACAGCTTCGCTTCGTGCGACAGCATCATCCGCAGCCTCCTCACTTTAAGTCGTAGGTTCGATTATCTTGCGATCCACAGCCTCAGACGCCTCCTCGACCGGCGCCGTAGCCTCCTCGGCATTGCCAGTTTCAGACTCGTCCACACCAGGCTCGCCGCCCGCGAGCTCGATGGCCTTCTTTGCGGCCTCGTCGAAGTCGTCGAATGCGTAGAGCGGCAGGCCGCTCTCGGCGACGATCCGCTGGCCCTCCTCCTCATTGGTGCCGCGAATGCGCACCACGACGGGGACCTTGATGTCGACCTCCTTGTAGGCGAGCACGATGCCGCGCGCGATCATGTCGCCCCGCGTCAGACCGCCAAAAATGTTGACGAAGACGACCTTGACCCGGTCGTCCTGCAGGATGACCTCGAACGACCGCTTCACCGTCTCGCTCGTGGCCTTGCCGCCCGTGTCGAGGAAGTTGGCGGCGCGGCCGCCGTGGCGTCCCAGAGCGTCCACTGTGTTCATGGCCAGGCCCGCGCCGTTGACGAGGGTGCCGATGTTGTACGCCCTGTCCTCCGGGTGCAGCCGGTGGTAGACGATGCCGTCCTTCTCGGCCTCCCTCGCGCCCGGGTCGCGCGCCTCCAGCGCACCGTACTTCTCGTGGACGTCCCCGAGCCGCCCGCCGCTGCGGGACGCCGCGTCGTCCAGCTCGACCCGCATGTCGTACACTGGGAACAGCAGCCTGTTCTCCTGGGAGCGCACGCCGAATTCCAGGCCCACGTGCTTGGCCTCCTTCTCCCTGAAGACGCGCCCCAGGGCCCGTAGCACGTTGCTGAGGCTGGCCGTCGACCCGCTCGGGTCTTTGATCTTCAGCTGGCCCATCAGTTCGGTCACAATCAACTCCCATTCTTGGGTGCCGTCCAGGGTGAGAATGTCGGTTGCGCTAGGGGGCAGGAGGATCTTGTTGAAGTTGGACGGGGCGTACCAGCCTTTTGTCCCGGGCAAGACCGCCGTAACCAGACATTGCGAGCGGGTGGCTCGGTCGATACTAAGTGCCAGGTAGCGGGTCCGTCTGCTGAATTGGAGTTGTTCGCTTGTTGATGTTTCTTTGAGGAGTCGCTGGCTCGCTGCGCGGTCCAGATGGAGGCTCCGGGTCTGCTGAAATGAGGCCTTGGGATATGATCTTCTGGGTACGAAGTTGCTGAAAGAACTCCGGACAGAAGTATGCAGACCGCGTCTCTGCTGGGCGGGTGCCACTCCCGATGCTGCTGTGGCGAAGTCATCTATAGAGTCGAAGACGCTCCCTTCTTTGATCTCAGTCGTTCTTGCAGCACTAAACTCGATTTGCTCCTTCAGCGCTGATCCGAACTTGGATGGGTGATTCACAATCGTCACTCCGGCTTCTATGAGGGCTAGAATCTTCTGCTTCGGAGTCGGCTCTCCTGGGAGCCAGAACGCACCGGCGTGCCCCATCACCCTGTCCGTGGGCGCCATTTGTCCCGCGATGAGAGCCACGATGGGCTTTCTCTGGGCCAGGGGTGTCCGGGCGTGGTACTCTTTAATCCACTGCGCAGCGAATATCTCACCGTCCCCGCCAATCTCCCCGATGAGCGCGATGGCTTTGGTATGGGGGTCATGCTCCAGTACCTGCAGAGCCTCCACCAGGTCCGTCCCGGGCAGGATATCCCCTCCTACACCGATGCAGAGGCTCTGACCGAGTCCCGCCCGCGTCGTGGAGGCCACAGCCTCGTAGGACAGCGTCCCGGACTTGGCAGCGATCCCGACACAGCCCTCACTGAAGCAAGGCAGCGGCTGGAACCCGATCCTGCACCTCTCACCCTTTGCACTCGAAATGATTCCCGGGGAGTTGGGCCCCACTAGCCTCGACTTGCTCTGAGTTTTGAGCATGCTATGAATCCTCAACATGTCGTGCAGGGGGATGTGTTCCGCCACGGCCACGACGAGCGGGATCTCGGCCTCGATGGCCTCCTCGATCGCCTGGGTGGCTTGTGAAGCTGGGACATAGATCCCTGTGGCATCTGGTTTGAGCTCCTCCATGGCCCTCCGGACAGACGGAAGGACCGGGAGCCCGAGATGCTCGCCTTCCTTGCCCGGCCTTACGCCGCCCACGATGTTGGTGCCCCATGCCATGGATTCCTGTGCATTTGCGGTGGCCTGGCGGCCGGTGAAGCCCTGGAAAATGACACGGGTTTTGGAGCCTATGCGGAGGTTCTCCAGCGTGGCGGCATTGTTCTGGCGGCAGCCGGAGAAGCTAAAGAGACGGCGGGGGTTGGTTGAGCCATGCCAATGATGTTGATGATATCTCGTTCTACTTGCTGAACGCAAGTTACATCTCATTACGGACTGCATCCTGCGTTTGGGGATGAGATCTCCAGCACAGACGATCCCATTGAAAACAGTGCCTTATATATGTCTACTGCATGCTGACGTCCATTGGGGAGAAGCAAGAGAGGTGGAGCTGAGTTTGGTAATTTATTGGGTTGTTTCCTCTCCGACCTTGAGACTGATTTTCGAGAGTGCATTGAAAAAGCCGGACGATTGACATGATTTGCAAATCAGTCTTTTGCGTAACGCGGGTAGTGGGCGGCAACGTCTGGAAAGTGTCTTTGCAAGTGGAGCATATAGCCGACTTACAAGAGGCACGGATTTGACCTCATCGAAACCGTTATTCCCCTAGTTCAACCGCCGCTTTCAATGCGCAAAACCTGGCTAGTCTTGAGGTCGAGTGCCGTACTTGGTTACCCCAAGTTGTTAATTGAGTGGACCAGCGGGCGAGCAGGGGTCCGAGGGACAAAGTGGATGTGATTACTGCCACAGGCTTAAGGCATTACTGAAGTAATTCACGACATCTCCTTCAAGATCTATACGCGGCAATGATACTGTCAAAATCAAGTTCAAGAGTTAGACTTTAGCATGGTACTGAAGAGATGGAGACTTAAGTGGCCAACGGCACAATCTGTGGCATTCGATCGCTCAGTGCATAGTGATCGTAAGAGTAGGACTGAGCTTGTGTCTCTGTTGAGTGTGATCCTCGATGTGCATTGTTATGATATATTTCATCGCTGCTTTACGCTGGGGTTGAAAAACAAATCATAGCCCTTGTCCTATTCCTCCATCAAGCACCCATGGGCCCAAACAGATCAACAGATGCAGAAACGACATAATCAGCTTTACCGTCTCGTGTCAGCATGCTTGGAGCAACGTCGTCCCCGGCTCACAATTGAGAGGAATCGGTCATTTCCTTCATTATCGTCTTCTTCCCCCGCCGCGTGATGCCCGTGGTTTGCCGACTCGTTTGCAGGCGACTGCGCACTCCCTTCGCTACTCGCCATGTCTGACAAACTGAAGTTTCCTGCGGCCTCAACGAGATCATTGGCGGCGTTCTGTCCATGTCTCGTGCCCCTCAACTTTTTGCATGCCCGCCTCAAGAGAACGAAGATGATGCAAATTGGCCACAAGAGGCCCGGCCATATGAAAGCCAGTATGAAGTGGATGCAGTAGTGGCGACCAGGGTGCCGAGACTGTTCGTCATGAAGCCCCATCAGGGTTGCAGTGAGGACCCCGAGAATGTAAATCGCAATGATGGCGGATAACCACACCTAGAGGTCTGCGTTAAACAAGTCCGACTCATGGTGGATGTGGGGGTGCAGCCAGAAGGGGTATGTTTTCGCCATTGTTTGTGCGTTGGACGATGTCTTTGATGTCGATTCGAATGGTATGAATGAGACTTGACAGGGACTGGTGAAGGTGTTGATGATGATTTGGAATGAATGAGAATTGTCAGACACTGGTGATGTTGATGATTATGGTGGAACAGAAGTATTGTTGACGAAGGTCAATTTTCAGCAAGCTGAGCAGCGTGGAGGACCTCTTTTGTTGACAACAGCCGGTTTAGTTGGAGGCAAGGGCGTTAGGTCCAACGCGCTGCCTGCGATCTTGTGGGCATCTCCTTCCGTCTCACAACTCCTATCAATATTTTTGACATAGTCGCGATTCCGTTACGCAGCCACGCGGCACCCAGACCGTAATCAACGGGAGTATGATGCCACCAGCGGTTTACATGGTCGCCTGAGCCTCTAGGCTGGTATCAGGGGACGACGGTGAGCACGCGAGATTCAGACTCATGCCCAGGTCTTCCAGGACTAAAACAGCACTCGCACAAGCCGTGGCTCAAGCCTCAAGTGTCGATATCCATGATTGCTTCGGACATTTGCTGTCGGGTTGCTCGTTACTTCCTCGGGTGCTTGCTGGCCCGTGTTCTATGCTCCTTTGCCTTGAGCGTCGCTTCCAGTGGCTGACTTGCTTGGACCAGAATCCTGTGCAACATTTTGAAACCCAAGGTTCTTGAAGTCATCTTTCGCCATCAGGTCCCTGCGTTGAAATACCTCGTTTAAAATTCTGTTGCCCAAATAGATAGGTGCTCTTCAGAAGACTCACCGGTCCATGCGACAGGACAGATATGCCTTGGCAAGCTCCCGACAGTGGTTCTCGTTGACGCCCTTGACTTTCTTGATACATGCCAGATATTTTGTCATGACATGCTTGCACTCGCCTGATCGTCAAGTTAAGTCAAGTCAAGTCAGCTGATCTGGTCCTGCTGCGTGTATACAAGGTGCGCCTCTCAACATACCATCGTGATCAAGTGGGAAGCTGCCCCTCTGTGGTCTGTAGAGGCATCAGTGATTGGTCAGGAATATGAAGTATACACAAAGACTTACGGTACAGGTTTCGTGTACATCTGGCCCCCGCCAGGCCCGTAGCCACTCATGTTGAAAGGATCTTCTCTTACGAGGCGCGAGGCACAGCTATATCCAGACTGAATGAGGGCTGGAACTGTCTAAGACCAGTTCGATATATGCGTCACCCCTGGATTACTGAAGATAGTTCTTCCGCAGATGTCGTTGCTTACCTGCTTACTTGGGTGCGGCTTGCTGGGGTGCTTCTGCAGGAAGACATGTGACGGCCATGGATCAGCAGACGGGGAGCTGTGGCGGAAGCTATACCCACCTGGGTGCCCAGGTACTGAACCTATGTAGCCAGGCATGTAGGTACCAGGCAGCTTGCAGCTGCAGCCGACAGGGTGCTACGCTGTTTGGGTTGCCTGAGGCAGCCAAGCTGACAGCCAGACAGCCAGACAGCCCATGTGGTGGGGACCTGTGCTGCGCTGGCGGAAGCAGAGGCAGGGGGCAATGCCGTGCATGAAGTTGGAAAATGACGGAGACGCGACTGGTAGACAGACACAGACACATTGTATTCAACCCGATCCCCTCCACCACGTCCAAATTTTGTTCAGCACTGCACCGCGGCCAAGGGAACAACAGCATGCAGTACTGATCCTGGTGGCTGCTTCACCACCCTCCTCTCTGTCTGTCTTGACCATCCTGCTGTCACCAAGCCCGTTCCTCGCCTGTTTCGAAAGCGGCTCTTCGTGTCTTAAGGAGTTGGGGCGCCTTTTGGTCGCAGATTTTGTCTGTCCTGCGCTATCGAACCTCTCTCCCTGCTGTCGAACAGACCTCGACACCTCTTCGTTGTTCCTCTGGCTCTGGGTGATTGACTCGTCCGAGCTCCGCATCCCTACTGCTCTACTTGCTCAACAACACACGAGCTACAATGGCTGCACTCGGCGACGACCTCCTGTCCACGGTCAACAAGCTGCAGGACCTGGTCTTTAACACCATCGGAAACGACTCCCTCGATCTCCCCCAGATTGTACGCTCAAGCTGCACCTTATCTGCAGAGCCGCAGTGTCGCGTGTGCCTATGCTAACCAGCATTCTACAGGTCGTCGTTGGCTCTCAGTCTGCCGGAAAATCGTCTGTACTCGAGAACATTGTTGGCCGTGACTTTCTGCCCCGCGGCAGCGGTATCGTCACTCGCCGGCCCCTGATTCTCCAGCTCATTAATGTCCCTGACGACGGATCCGACCCTCTGCCTCAGTCTTCACACCCCTCCCAGTACAATGCAAATGTCGCGCGGCCCGGCGAATGGGCCGAGTTCAACCACATCCCCAACAGGCGCTACACCGACTTTGGCGACGTCAAGCGCGAGATCGAGAATGAGACCGCTCGAGTAGCCGGCAACAACAAGGGCATCACTCGCCAGCCCATCAACCTCAAAATCTATTCTCCACACGTTCTAAACCTCACCCTGGTCGATCTCCCGGGTCTCACAAAAGTACGTTCCCTCGCCTCGAGACGTGAACTCCTGTGCAAAGCTAACTTCATCCGCATAGGTTCCTATCGGTGACCAACCCCCCGATATCGAGAAGCAGACCCGCAACCTCATTTCAGAGTTCATTGCAAAACCAAATAGTATCATCCTCGCCGTCTCTCCCGCCAATGTCGATATCGTAAACTCGGAGGCTCTCAAGCTTGCCCGTCATGTCGACCCCTTGGGCCGGAGGACTATTGGTGTTCTGACCAAGGTCGACCTCATGGACCATGGCACAAACGCCCTGGACATCCTCTCCGGGCGAGTGTACCCCTTAAAGCTGGGCTGGATTGGTGTCGTGAACCGATCACAGCAGGACATCCAGGGCAACAAGCCAATGGAAGAGGCCCTCAAAGACGAGGAGAACTTTTTCAAGCTGCATCCAGCGTACAGGAATATCGCGATGAAGTGTGGCACCCGATTTTTGGCCAGGACCTTGAACACCACCTTGATGGCACACATCAGGGATCGCCTGCCTGACATCAAGGCTAGACTCAACACGCTAATGGGTCAGACCCAACAAGAGCTCGCCAGCTATGGAAACATGCAATTCAGCGGTAGGGAGCACCGGGGCTCTCTTATCCTGCAGCTCATGACACGATTCGCCGCGTCTTTTATGTCCTCGATTGACGGAACCTCGACAGAGATCTCCACCAAGGAGCTGTGCGGTGGCGCCCGGATCTACTACATTTTCAATTCTGTCTTTGGTAGCTCGCTAGACACCATCGATCCTACCTCCAATCTGTCTGCTTCCGACATCCGCACAGCAATCAGGAACTCCACAGGTCCCCGACCCAGCTTGTTTGTTCCTGAGATGGCATTCGATCTTCTTGTGAAGCCGCAAATCAAGCTGTTGGAGATTCCTAGCCAACGTTGTGTTGAGCTGGTCTACGAGGAACTCATCAAGATCTGCCACACTTGTGGGAATATCGAGCTTTCACGGTTCCCAAGGTTACAAGCCAAGCTCATAGAGGTTGTGTCGGACCTCTTGCGAGAACGTTTAGGGCCCGCGTCTAACTACGTTGAGTCCTTGATTTCGATACAGCGGGCCTATATCAACACCAACCATCCAAATTTCCTCGGTGCTGCAAACGCCATGAGCAATGTAGTAGGCGCCAAGCAAGAAAGGGAACGCAAACGCCTGGTCCAGGAGGAGCGCGAGCGGAGAGAGAGAAGACGCGCGAAGGAGCTCGGAGCTAATGGCACGGAAGAGGCCGACGAAGAAGAGCATGGTGTCACTGAGAAGGCAGAGCACGCGTCTATCCGCAAGGCACAAGGCAAGGGTGCGCGAAGCATGTCACCGGCTATAAGAGAAAACGGCACAGGTGGCATTACGGCGGCGCTGAACGGAGCGCGCTCTGCTTCTCCGATGATGTACAATGCTCAGGCTGCTGGCGGTGCCAAGGACTCTTTCCTGAATTACTTCTTTGGAAAGGATGGCATGCAGCCAGCACTCCCACCGCCATCGCATAACGCAAATATCGGTCGGCATGTGAGCCAGGGCTCGGAGCCGTCCATCAGCCAGAGCTTCAGGCACCAGGAGACGGCACTCCGTTCTCCTATTCAAACCACAGCACCGGCTAGCCACGATGAGGACTTTGTCTTCGGCTCGTCGCTGCCCCGTGGTGCAGACTTTGTGAGTCCTCCCAGCGAGACTGATGTACGATCGAATTGGAACCCCTAGCCCTGAACGTTACCCCTTTCCTTGGCTAACCATGTTGAATAGGGATCAACCGGCGAGCCGGCCATGACCGAGCGCGAGCAGATGGAGACAGAGCTCATCCGGGCCCTGATCTCCTCCTACTTCAACATAGTGCGTGAGTCGATCGCCGACCAGGTTCCCAAGGCTATTATGCACCTGTTGGTCAACCACTGCCGCGACGAGGTGCAGAACCGTCTGGTCAGCGAGCTGTACAAGGAAGCGCTATTCGAGGAGCTCCTATACGAAGACGACGGCGTCAAGAAGGAGCGCGAGAAGTGCGAGAAGCTGCTGCAAACTTACAGAGAGGCGGCCAAGATCATTGGCGAGGTGGTATAAGACTAGAGCACGGGAAAAGACCAAGGAAGCGAGCGGGAATGGAGGAGACCTTTTCTACGCTTGCGCCGGCCGGAACGAAGAGACGAGAGATGACGATAGATGAAGGGTGCAGGTCTTGGAAGGCGATACGTGTTATTGTACTTTTATGTACTCTACTCCCATCAACTCACACACACACACACCCCCCACCCAATCAAACCACCCACGGACCAGGGGACGAGCCTGACTCCATCACCACCGCCACACCACACCTGTACGCAGAAGAAATACCGCTTAAAGGAGGGATATCGTCTGTATATAGAACAGGCAGCAGACATGGGACCTGACGAATTTTTCTGAAGATTACGTGTTCACACAAAACGTGCTTTGAAGGGACGAATACAAAGTAGAGCACGGCTTTTGTTCACTTGACTGCTGCTCCTTGAACGATTCATGAAAATGATCTTGCTTGTGTCCAACTTGCCTGCATTGGGAACATGTATTTTGTAGAGGCGAGATTGGCACAGGCACTGGGCAATGTCATTGCGTACGTTTCTCAATATTATATCGGCGTGGATGGAGGTTCATGATAATGTTTTGAAATGATTTTGTTTTTGGCTAAATTGTGTCATAATTATACTCGTAGCGGTCCTTTCCATGAGCCACATCCTGACGAGACGGGACTAGACCCTCGTCACCGTCGCCACTACTGATACCTCGGCGCCCTCGAACCTGTCGGAATGGGAGCGCTTGGCGGCGGCACCCCGGCCGGGTACCGTGGGTCGTACTCCTCCTCGTAGTAAGCCGCGTCGTCCCGTGGTGGCGGGGCCTGAGGCGGAAGCTGGGGCTGGGGCTGGAAGTGCCTCGGGGCTGCGTCGGAGGGGTGACGCGGGTCATAGCTTCCAGCCGCGGGCGGCGGGGGCGGAGGTCCCTGAGGTGCGCGTGAGTATGCTCTCTCGAAGGGCGGACGGTATGGCTCATCGAGCATTTGCGTGGGCCGAGTTGGTTGTTCACGACGAGGCGGCCCGGCAGGATAAGGATCCCCACGGTCATAGGGTGCCGCAGGGGGTAGTGCATCCCGGTAATATCTTTCAGGTTCGGGATTAGGGATACGACGCAGAGGGCGCTCCTCGATCCAAGTCTTCCCATCCGGCCCGCGGTACTCGATAATCTCAATCTCGATGACCTCTTGGGCACGTTGGCGTGGAATCGGCTCATCAGGATAGCCACGGTAACTGTAATCTTCGCGAGGTGGCGGTCTCTCGTAGCGGGAATCGTCCACGGGGGGTGCTGGTGGTAGGTACTGGTAATCGTGTTCTGGACGGGCCGGGCTCCTCTGGCGATATTGCTGGGCTGGAGGTCGGCTGTAGTTCGCGTAGACTGGGGAACGAGACCTGCGAGGTTCAATGTCCCGCGAAGGAGGTCGATTGTATTGTCCATAGTCCTCAGGCTCGTCCCGATTTCCATCCATAAAAATCACGTTAGAAAGCCGGTGCTGATGACCACGGTAAGCCGCCTCCCTCGGATTCGGACCACCCACGTCAGCTCGAGGAGACGCCGCATCTGTGCTCGGGGAGTCTCGAGGCCTAGACTGGAAACGCTGGCGCTGCTGAGGTGTGCCTGGCTTCGAGCCATGTTTTGGCCGTTGAGCATTCCCACCGTAGGCGTTACGCTGGGATGCCTTGTGAGATGCGGTACCGCTAGGCGTGTTTCGGCGGGATGGTGTATTGTCTGCTGTCGGCTTTTCGAGCCTGTCACTTTCTGGAATGGCGCTTTTGCGGGCAGCTTGGGCCCTATCAGCTGCCCACATCGCTCGAATAGCATCCCCTTCACGCTCTGCTTCTTCTTCAGCCATCTTTTCCTCCTCCTCACTCCGCTTCAGCGAATCTGTGTCATTGCCATGAGCGCCCTTCCTATTTTTCTTCTTATTTGGGCGAGAATTCTGCTCGCGTTGGCGGAAGCCTTGAGATGATCGCCGCTCATTTTCACGGCCCAGTGCTGTGTTTCCAGGAGCAAGTGCGGGCGCGGGCGCGGGCGCGGGCGCTGCAGCAGGCGCAGCAGGTGCAGCAGGTTCTGTCAGGGCGTGACCATTGACAGTGCCGATCGGGTTGACTCCGTTGTGAGATGACCCAGAATGATCATAAGGGGCCGATGGTTGGTGAGGGTATTGTGTGGTAGATAGGTTCTGATACAAGTTTGCACCGCCGATCTCTGCAGAGCCGCCTGCCTGAGCTTGTCCATAGTACGTGGCATGGTCACCAACAGCCGCATTCTGGTAGCCCTGATGGTAATCATTCTGACCTGGGTAGACTGGGGCCATGTTCGGCGCAGCTTCCGGCATGCTAACAGGGCCCAGGAGATGTGGAACTACCTCGTTTACCAGGTGGTATTTTTGTCCATCCATGCTAACTGCCGAGCGCAGGTTGGCGACTGCCGTAGGCTCTGGCAATAACACCATGTCGACTGTCCATTCTGGCGGTTGTCCATATTGGCCCATTTGCACAAATGGCTCCACGTGCTTGCTTTGAAAGTGTGCTGTCAGCTGCGGCAGTGAATACGACCTTCTTTCCGCCTCAGATGCAACATAGCCACCAATCCCTTGATGACAGACTCGGCAGACCAGGCCATTGACGTTGCGAACTGGTCGCATATCCTTATGATCAGACAAGCCATCGATGAAAGTAGCGAGTGGTAAGGGAAGACCAAATCTTGTATGAAAACGCTTCGCAAGATGATGGATTACGACTTGGACTCTCACGATTGACAGGGTGTCCTTCATGTTGGATGTTGCATTCCAAAGTTCTCGGGCGATCCGTGCCATATCCTCAAGCTGAGTCTGGTATTGAGGAGAAAGTGTCGAGGGATGCACTGCTTGGTACCCGATCTGTGCATTTGCCTGATATGCTCCATAGTTGTAATTATACGGTGCTGGTGGCGCTGGCGGGCCCGGTAGACCTGGCGGACCAGGAGGCGCAGTAGGAGGGCCCGAGTATCCTGGCGGATTCCCTTGAGCAGAAGGATAAGGTGGGTGTTGGTAGATATCCGGAGGAGGGTATGGATGTGTCCCATAGCCTTGAGACGGATAAGGAGGGTGCGAGCTCTGTGGATAAGCGTCGCCGTAGGACGGAGCTGCTCCATACGGTTGTGCTGGACCTTTTGGATGAGCTTGGTACGGCTGAGAAGGAGTGGATGATAGACCTTGCTGGAACGCGTTGTGGGCCGGAGGCGGCTGGCCTTGATAGAAACCGTTCTTTGCGGTTCTTGGCTCTGAAGTGAACGGTGGTTGCTCTGGCCACTCGGCCCTCCAGTGCACGACCACATTGCCAATGCTCAATGAGGTAGTATGTTTAGCCGCGTAGTGCTGGATGACACCTTCGAAACCATAGTACCTAACAGTAACCTCACAACCGTTGCAAAGGAAAATTTCCTTTCGATGTCGTTCAGTATGTGGCTTAATTTTGATGTCGAAAACCCACTTCATATTCTCCAGTGTCAGTTTCTGAGTGAACGGCCCTTGAGGTGGATCGACGATGGGTGTAGCCCCGGACGCTCGAGCTGCCGCGGCGTCTTTAGCGACTTCGGCATAGAAGCGCTTGCGGATGTAGGTCAACACTTCTACCGCGAACTTCGAGCAGCTGTTCCTGTCGACCTTGTCGCCGTTTTCCCAACCGTCTCGGATGATCTCGTCAGCGAAACCAGCGATTCGCGCTCGCACAGGCGCCTGAACCTCATCCCAGTCAGCGTCAACCGCGTCCCGAGCTTCCTTATTAGCAGCAGCGGTGAGATTTCGCTTGTCGTCCAACTCTTGTTGCCGCAGCACCTGAGCAGAGTTTTCTTTCTCCCGTTGCTCAGCATCGGCTCTCTGGGCTAATAGACGTGACTTCAGCAGCTCCCAAGCTTGTTCATCCAAAGGGGTGATGATCTGGAGGGCAGCTTGGAAAGAGGGGATATGCGCTAAAATGCTCGGTGGCAAAGGGGGATCAAGGGCGAGCGCTCGTCGTTCTATCTCCGCCTTGCGAGCGGCTTTCAGCTCCGCAACCTCTTCCTTCGTTCTCTCATGGCGGCCTGAGGGCAACGACGCGGTTCCAGTTGACGACCGACGGAAAGGATCCGGGGTGGCACCATTTCGCTGACTCGAGCTTATGGAAGGAGTTGCTGTTCCGCTATGGTTGCCTGCGGGATTCAAACCGGGAATCTGAACAATAGATCCGGACCCTGCCATCGTTCTGAGGCCCGCTGCAGTGCTAGAGCTGACGGGTGCTGATGGTCGGTAACCCGGGTATAACACGTTCTTCATCTGGCTCAACCCATTCGCAGCGGCCCAGTTTTCCCATCTCAAGGCATCACTACGACGTTCGTGACCACGACCTTCTAGGCCTTTCAGCCATTCCTCTACTGTAGCGGTGCCCATGGTCTTCACGCTGAAGAACTCTTGCTTCAAGGCCTCGACGTGCTCGGACCAGAATAGCTTCGTCAGCGAGGTATTGGGCGGTGCCTGGCTCCGTTCCATTGTGGCGGGGGAGATAACGTGAAGCTCCTGCGTGACAAAGACGAATGGTAGAGCAGCAGCCAGAGTGCTGGGAAAGGACGATGAAAGCAAAATATCGATCTCCTGTGGCTGAGTTAGAGAGAATGCATTCAATATATTCCGGTTCCCTGAAAATTGCACAAACCTTGATAGATTTGGTCAAGAGACAAGTGCCACATGATCGTGTCGCGAATGCCCATACGATCGCAACGCCATCTTTGCCCGGGCCGGACTGCCACGGACCTGGCGTGTCCTTTGCATGCACTGTACCTTGCTTACGGCAATGTTGACATGTAGTAGAGACAGACAACTGCCACATGTCCAGCTCGGTTTTGTCCTGCAGAGGACTCGGCATGCTTGGCCAGAAACGGCGTCTCGAAGACTGCCATATTGCCGTGGGCTGCAAAGGGGAGAGTGCGCCAGAGGAAAGTGATTGTGGCCGATCGCAGCGTATCTTGGACGAGGAGTCAAGATACACGTTGAACAGGCGGTTGACACAGAGTAATCTTCCTAGAATTCTAGGAGGACAGAAAGTGAAGATGTGATGCCATATCTCAGCAGGCAGAGTAGACCTATCAACCATGGAGCCAGACCCTCGGTCACCTTGTGAATCTTCCTTGGACTGCTCCAATTTCAACTTTTTTGCTGGATCCAGAGTATTCGACCTGATTCCAGGCAGTGAGGGATCCTCGGGAGACTTGCGCTTTCTGGACGCACTCCCATCCGGCTGGCTGTTGGAAGCGAATTGCGAGGCTGTGGAGACAGCGGCATCAACGAGGGCCGCCTGGGTGTGTTGTGTCGGGAGAGTCGCGTCGTCTTCATCTTCGGACTGAGCCTCCATGGAGACATCGGACGCGGAGTCATTGCCATCAGAACCATTCAGTGGCGACTGCTGGGCATTGCTGCTGTCGCTGTCATCCAGCGGGAGGAAGTCGGTTGCAGAGGCGTCAGGGTCAGCAGCCGTGACGTCGACGGCCCCAGAATATCGGCGCCCATCAGCCATTGTGTCGGGGTTACAATGGCTGCACCTGTGATTCAATTGAGACAAAAAAGGGAGACAGGGAGGTCAGACGGGTTGCCAGGAGGCAGCTTGTCAGACGGAAGAGAGGAGATACAGTCCAGCAACACTTGTCAGGCACTGAACAGGGACGAGGGATGAGGGACGAGGCAGGGGACGCGACAACGACCAAAGTCGTTGTCGTGGGGGATGATGGATGCTCGGCAGGACAGTGAGCCTGCCTGGCCGCGTTGAAGCAGATGCTGGACAACGTCTCTTGCGAGACGAGCCCAGATGACCAACGGGAGTGAGTGTGCAGAGGTTCAAGGATGAAGAGGCATGTTGCTGGATGCGAGACCTGCCCTGTTGGTTCGATAGCGGAGAGCTGTTCAAGTTCAGGCTCAGGCTCTGGTTCAGGTTGTCGATGGAATGCGGAGGCTCAAGCCGATAAGGACAGGACAGCCAGCGCCAGAGGGACCTTGGACAAAGAGTTCGCTTGACACAAACGGCTCCCAAGACCAAGACCGGCACCTGTAGACACTATGCCTTAGTAGGTCGAGGCCTGGCGGTGATGCACGGCGAAGGAGGATGAAGGCTTTCCACGAGGGGTTGCGAGGGATGATGATGTGTGGAGAGAAGGGAACGCGGCGAGCTTCAATCCTATTAGATTACGAGAACACACACCTACCTACCTGCCAGAGCTGCCCGCACACCCACCTGCAGATTGTTGAACCGCGGCAGGGTGCAGTGGGGCCGGGGCCCCGCCAGCAGAGGAGCCAAGCTCCGGGCTCTGGGGTACTAAGAACCAAGCGCGTGTACCTAGGTACCTAGACTGCATTAGGTAGGGTTTGTAGAGGTCCTAGATTTGTATTCTTGGAATAACCTCTTCTACGATGACCTTTCATAATCTGCAGGATAGGCCACCGTCTCTTGACAGGTTCTTGTTATTTATTCCCCGTGCTATTATGTACCTAAGACTCATTGGAGATTACCACCAACCGCAGATCGGTCTGCTATGAATATATCTTTTGCATGGCATGCTTAGAGCGATGATTTCACATCACCCCCATAGGCCAACTTTCTCAATATGCCCCTATTCAGCTCTGCCACGCTCCTGACACAGCATAGACCCAGCGTCTGATCGATCTCAGCGAGCAGCCCGGCGAGGACGTGTTTCGCGCCCTCCTTGCCTGCGATCCCCAGGCCGTACATGACAGGCCGTCCTACCAGCACCGCCTGCGCCCCGAGGCACAGCGCCTTCACGATGTCTGCTCCCGTCCGGATACCCGAGTCGAACATCACCGTAAGCTCCTTGCCCACAGCGTCCACGATCTCGGGCAGCATCTCGAGTGACGGCACCGCGCCGTCCAGCTGCCGCCCGCCGTGGTTAGACACGATAATCCCGTCCATCCCGTGCCTCGCAGCCGCCCGCGCGTCCTCGACACTGAGGATGCCCTTGAGCACGATCGGCCCGTCCCAGTGCTTCCGAAGCAGCGCCAGGTCCTCCCAGCTGTGCGCGTGGCCGGAGAAGGCCTCGCGGATGAAGGCCTGCGCCGCGAGGAGCGGGCTGTCCTCGGGGGTGTCGCCGTCGTTGGCCTCGGCGAACTTGCGCCGGAAGACCGGGTCGCTGAGCCCGATCTCGATGCCCTGGCCCTGGATGAACGGCAGGAAGCCGCCGTCGAGGTCCAGCGGCCGCCATGCCAGCGTGAAGGTGTCGAGCGTCACCACCAGCACCGTGTAGCCGGAGTCTCGCGCCCGCCCCAGCAGCGACGCCGTGATCTCGTCGTCCTGCGGCCAGTACAGCTGGAACCACCGCGGCGACCCGGCCCCCGACGCCGCTGCCACCTCCTCGATGGTGCTGGTGCTCGCCGTGCTGAGCGTGAACGGCACGCCGAGCTCTGTGCACGCCTCTGCCACGCCGAGCTCGCGGTCCTGGTGGTATGCGCCCTGGACACCAATTGGTGCCATTGCCACAGGGCTGGCTAGACGTATTGACTGTTAGGCTTCCCTTTCCTCACTGACGCTCTACCTGTGGTGGCAAGTCTGAAGGGGGCAACTCACGATACTTCTTGCCAAAGAGTTCCACGCTCAGATCCCTCGGTACCGTTGGCCTCAGCACGCGAGGGATGATTTTCCATTGTCGGAAGGCCAGCCGGTTTGCTTCCATAGTCGCTGCTTCTCCAGCGCCCCCGTAAATGTAGTTGAAGGGCCCCGGTGCCATGACCTTCCTTGCCTGTGCTTCAAGTCCGTTCGGATTCGTCGTGACCACCGGCGGCTCCCCTAGCAGAACCCCGTTCTTGTATAGCTCCAACTGGTAGTCCCCAAAGGGAAGTCGGTCATCACCATTGTCATCTGATCCCGCCATGTCTGATTGAGGTACTTTTAGAATAACACAATAATGGATGTGTCCGCGGTCAGGTGCTTCTGTGTGACTCCAGGTGTTTTTGGAATGGCCTTTGCCAGCTTTTTATTTGAAGGATAGTCCAGAGATCGTCGTCAATAGTACGACTAGGCTATGTGGTTTTCAGCTGCCTCGGCAAGTCTGTAACTATGCGCTTGGCCGATCTGGTCTACATTATTCCGCCACAGCAATTCAGACTGGCTGAACTTGACTGGCGGACAGCGGAGACGTCGAAAGAGCAGTACATACTTCTTCATCCATGGCACATGCTCAGATTGGCTCTATAAATGCCAGCCAGCTTCAAATTCTAGCAAAGGCTTCAAGTCGCCTGTTATAGGCCCAGGAGACCTCAGCTCGACAGACTAAATCGGTTTTATTAACAAGTTGCCTGCATATCAACAACGTGTGAAATTATAGCGTCCAACTGCCCTTCTTCGCGTCAGGAAAGCATGATCTATAACTCTTGACGTGTTTTTCAATCCCCTGTCACGCTGATCACTTAGTCTGACAGCACGAAAATTGATGTCATTTTACGACCAAACTTGATCACCGTATCGACAAGTTTTGGGATGCGCTATTAGCACGTATTCGCAGCAGCCAGCCAGTCACGCACTTCTTTGCAAGCGTGATATGAAGTAGTCTTCGCTTCCTTATTTTCTCCATTCTCTAGGCTATTTTTGGGTAGTAATCAACCCCATTCATCAATGCACTCACAAGTGAGAATTTAAGAATCAAGCTCCACATAGTTCGCAGGGAAGAGTCCAGACTTGCCCCCACGGTGACCGAACCACCAGTCGTCGTCTGGGAATTCCAGGTTTGTGATCTTGTCTCCCTCCGCAAAGCTCAATTCTGCGAGGGTATTAGTGCCTATCATGAATGTGTGTAGACGTTTGTACATACCGTTATCTTCAGCTGCCTCATAGTCAAACAGTGCTGTCGCCACAGCACTTCCACCCGCGGCGGGCTCGGGCTCGGGCTCAGCGGCAGGGGGCGGGGGTGGGGCAGCAGCATGGCCTGCACCAGCGGTGGCATCGTCGTCGTCGACCAAAGTGACGTAGTTGCTGGGGAACAGGCCGATTTCGCCCCTCGAGTTCGTGCCCATCCACCAGTCGTCGTCTACCATGTCGATGTTGGTCACGTACTCTCCTTCCCTGAGTTCAAGCTCGTTCTCCTCTGCCTTTTCGTAGTCGTACTCAATGATAGCGCGCTTGCCACCGGCAGCGCCAGCTTGAGCCTCTTGCACTTGATCGTGACCAAAGGCCTCTTCTGCCACAGCAGTTGCTGCACCACGAGCTAGGTCGTGATCTTCAGGAAGCTCCTGCTCCTGGGGGATCTCTTCGGGAACAGGTATGGGACGTGATGGAAGTTGTTGCGGTGCTGGCTCAATCTCGGGCTCGGGAACACGTGGGATGGGTGCAGCGACTCGGATCGGCGAAGACTCTCGCTCAGGCTCCTCATCAACCTCCTCGTCGTCAGCCGCAGGTCGAGATGGCAAGCCTGGCAATGCGAACCCGTCAGATGGGCGGCTCGCCTCTGGGGGCGGCGGTGGTGGGGCACTATCACTGGCACCTGTGGCAGCTCGGGGGATCGCGGGCGCAGCAGCACCCATTGGTGGTCCCCCCTTGAATCGATCTTTAAGAGCAGAGACGCCACCAGACGGAGAAGCAGGCTGCTCCTGGTCATTGGAGCCCACTGTGTCGCCCGTCTTCTCTCCCACAATGCCTCGGCCGTAGGCTCCAGTCTGCACAGTGCCCCAGCTCTTACCGCTGTATCCGCTCTTCCACTCGCCTCCACTCTTCTGAGCAGTCACGGGAGAGGTGGCTGGAGGTGCCAGGTCTGGGCCTGAGCCCGAAGCACCTCTCTCTCTAGCCTTCTTCTCCGCCCACAACTGGGCGGGAGTCTTACCGCCTTGATCCGCGAAGGTGCGGCTGGCAGCACCAACGGGGGCTGCTGCAGGGGCTGCAGGGCCGCCGAAACCCAGCCCGCCAGGAGTAGGAGCCTTGGTTCCGGTGAAAGTGCTTGCTCCGCCGAACTTATTGGCAACTTTAGGCTTTGGTAGAGTGGTAAGGCGTTCCGACTGTGCTGGCTGGCTGAAGGCTGAGGTTCGTTCGGAGACTGAAGGACGAGGCGCTTCTTCATCGGCAGATTCGGCTGGCTTTTGGGCCCTGGCTCGGATGGCGGCAATGTCGACCTTGCCAACAGGCTCATACGAGCCTTTGACGGGTGTGGGCCTGAGATCGTCCTTATTCTTTGCTTGCGCTCGGATTGCCGCGATGTCTACCTTTCCAACAGGTTGGTATCCGCCTCTGACAACATCACCGGCAGTATCATCTTGCTTGCTAGACCCATTGAACCTAGCCGGCTCTTGGTTCTTGACCAGATCCGCCAGGTTCACCTTGGTAGGCTTGTAGGCCGAGTCCACCTTTTCCAACTGCGTCCTGGTCACGGGCGGCGCATCAGCGCCCCAACCATCTTCGTCAACGTTGTTGTCTCTTCGATTACGCGCGGCCACGAGGGGGTTGAAGGAACCCCCAGTGCTCGTGGTAGGAGTGAACACGGGCTTCTTTGCCACTGGAGGGGCAGCTGGTGCGGGCATGGGAGCGGAGCCACCGGCGGTGTACTTGGCGCCAGAGGCATCAGAGACCTTTTGTATGATGGCGGCGGGCTCGAGATCGCTGTCTGACCGTGCGGTTATCTGGACGTGGTAGCCATGAAGGACTTTGCCGACAGCTGCCGTGTGGCTGGTAAAGTAGCCTTTCGTTCGTTCGGGTACGCCACCTCCACACCACGCAATGAGCACGTTCTTCGGTAGAGCAGTGTTGGGATCCTTGACCTTGACGAAGGCATACTGGATACGGCCTTCGCTGAAATCTTCAATCAAGTCGGCGAGATCACCCTCTGAGCAACAATACTACTGGTCAGCAGGATGACGACGCGCAGCTGGCTGGTGGGGTGCAGGGGGGAGGGGAGGTTGGATGAAGCTCACCTCCTTTCGTTTCGACCTTGAGGATGCTCTCCTTAGCCCCGCCATCTTGGAAGGCATTGAGCAAGGGAGCTTGAACTGTAAACAGAGCCCATTGGGCGTAGGTTGGCGAGTCTGACTTTGGGAGTTGACCGTTGACGACCCCCTGGTAGCTACTCTTGATGGAGGGACCGTTGATGGATAGGTTCAGCGATGCCATGACGTCGGTTCTAAGCAGTGTAGGGCATCCGGAGGAGGGGAGGTGAAGCTGAGGTCTGCCAATGCGTTGTAGAGTGCAGAAGGTAGATGAGCGCTTTGGTCCTGCTCGCAACCCGAGTGGTAATTAAAGATGCGCAATTCGAGGGGGGCTGAGCAACGGAGAGCGATGATGAGGAAGTCCGTCTGAATTGATACAGTTAGGTTGGCAGGCTGGCAGGCTGGCAGGCTGGCAGGAGCTGGTCACTGACTGCTGAGGGGCGGGCCCACCGGGGAAAGGGGAAGGCGCCGTTGGGCTGCAGCTGAGGTCATAACCCGTACTGTGCGACTAGGTGCGTGCGACCACTACTTGTGTGCCACCACTAGTCATGTCACACTGTGATCCTGGGTGCTTGCCCAAGGGCCCAAGGGGCGAGCACAGGCGAGCACAGTACGATACCGAATAAGAGACCGTCCGGATGGGCTGGAAATGCCCAGTTACCTAAATAGCGATTTGCAGTTTGTTTTTATGTCATTGCACATTGAAGAATAGATGGGATCCCGGTCACAGAGAAGTTTTTCCTGCAAATTAAATGCGATTTCTTTCTTGATACGGCAGAGAGCGAGGGAATGTCCAGCTTGCCTGAGACATGTAGGACTGACTGTCCTTGACTGCGTGGAGGCACAACTCCTGTACAACACCTGGTGCCCTCAAGACGAAAGCAGATCAAGAACCTGACCTGGACGATTGATGATGCATTTCGGACCGCGTAGACGGAATTGAATTTGCGATGGGAGTCAAGACCCCCTTGATAAAACCGGATTCCCCAATCAGCCCCCATAACTAGTGAGACTCATTATTATTTGTACAATGCAGCCCTTGCCTCTCGAGCGAGCTGCCAACGCCCATGTGATATCCATCAATCATTGTGTTGCGTGTTGCGTGTTGTGTTGAAGTATACTGCTTCCCACCCTTGCAGTCACCCCAACAATTCCATTCTCTGGGAGTCATTACGGCAAAGTCGTCGCGATTTTGCCCCCACCCCCGAACCCGTCATCGCAGCAGCGCGTGGTCACACCATCCGGCCATTCCTCTGGCAAATTCCATCAGCAGCACAACTCGGCGCAATCACAACATGATTCGCAGACGCAGCAACAGCACAGCGCTGCGAGAAAGCCCTGCAGACAGCCGCCGCCGCCACTCTTTTGGGGGGGAGGAGCTTGTTGTTGGTATTGCATCGGAGGTGGTCCTTGCTGGTAGTATCCACCACCTTGTGGAGGAGGAGGGCCGTAGGACTGTTGGCGACATGGTTAGCATTGAACAAGATGATTGCAACCCAATGTTGGGGCGTCAAAATGGAGGCGTGTTGTTTACCTGTTGGGGGTATTGGGGCCCGCCGCCGTAGCCCTGAGGAGGTGGGCCGTGCTGGTAGTAATCGTTGGCAGACATGTCGGTCTTGGTCGAGGACAATCGCGGACGGGAAGAAGGCTGTTTGGTGACAGTCCAGCAGCAGTTGGGCGGCAAGAAGTCGAGAAGGAAAGGAAGCCAAAGGGCGGCTCGACTTGGCAGGGAGAGAGATAGGGCTGAATGGAGTTGCCGAGAAATGAAACTTCAGTGGCCAGGCCAGACAAGGAGAAGGGAAGGAGAGAAAAGGCAACGAGAGGTACGGCGGTAGGTTTTAAGTTATGCGACTGCCCCAAGGGACCGGGATCAGCGTTGGCAAGTCAAATGATGTCTGGGAACCTTATAGAAGATGTGGGGCACGGGTAAGCATTCCAGGACCGATTGATTCCAGGAAGACAAGCAGGCAGGCTGGCAATGGCTGGCAGGTAGGTGACCGACTGTGTGTACTGGGTCTAATGAATGTGTGGCTCTCAGATGGCTGCAGGTCGATAAACACCTGGTCGACATTGAATGGGGCGATAGGTTGGGGCCGGCTAAGACGGCGTCTCAACTACCTGGGCGTGCATGTACCTGAAGCACCCACCACACCTCGCCCCAGCAGCCCTCGACGGCGTACGAAGTGTGGCTCTGCTCGCCGTCCATTCGTCACCGTGGATGTATAACTGCGCAGCAAGTACACTAGCCACTCACTCCTCGCATGCGTGATGGCTGCCACATGCACCTGCAAGCCCCATGGGGCCGTGCTGGGGACGCTGGCACGCTGAGACGATGCGACGAGGGCCACCTAGAACTGCCGTCTTTGGCCCCGGAAATACATGCATAGCCCACTTCAGTACGCAATCCAGAGCTACGGCGCTATGTGAGAAATACGCCAGCAGGCCTGTGAGAGGCTCGTGGGTACGCTGGAGTTGGAGCCGACCTCGGAACAGAGCAGAGCGCGCGCTACCCTAGGCCATTGTAGGCGGCGTAGCACACAGCAATACGGAGTCGAGTCAAAGATTTGGTTGGGTATGCAGGTGGTCTGAGGTGGCAGTGCTCGTTTTGCAGTCCGCTCTGGCACTCGAGACACTCCAGACGCTTCTGCTTCGTGGACTGCGCGTCGAGTCCAGGCCGGCAAGACTTGGCCGGCTGATCGCGACTTCATTGGCTTGTGCCCATCCTTTTTTCCCAGGACACAGCCCCCTTGACCTGTTGGTGTCGCAGTCTCGGCGCAGAAGCGAGCGCACTGCGGACCCGTCTTGAACTTGGCAAAGATCCTTTTGGAGGATCATGATTTTCCCCCCACGCAGTAGAGAGAGACTCGGTTTGGAAAGGCGCAAAACGGCCAAAATGGTGAAGCCATCCATCCTGGAAAGGCTGATATCCATCAAGCCTTTTCCCCCTGACCAAGTCGATTCATACCATACATGACAGAACTCGAGTCCTGTTCCCTGGGTCTGCAGATCGGTTCATCGTGCATATTACCCCTGCCTTCTAGAACGGCTCAAGAACCAGCAGAAAGGGCCAACAGCGGGAGTTCCCGTTCCACGCAGCACCTGTGTGCATTTTCACTCGAGGCTCCCAGGCCCTGCGAGCCCAGTGAGTGGTGCCCTGAGCAAACGACGTGGGTGAGGACTGCGTCGCTACTGTATGTACATACTTAGGCACGGAGGTATGACTCCAGTATCAATGCTACCCAGGGCTGCCAGGTAGGGACCATGAATACATAAGTAACATACTGATTGACAACACCTGTGAGGCCATGACGCAAGAACCATACGACCAATCAGAGCTTATCAGTCTGTCTTGACCAAATGGCGGGGCACTCGCTGTAGTGTGCAGCTGCATCTCGACCTGAATCGGAGCTGATTCAAGAATCAACGACGACAGGGACTAACTTTGTTTCTAAGCAATTAAGCAACATCATCCCTACATACTAACACAGCAGAGCCAACAAGGGCGTGTTCAGTTGTTGTTTTTCTCACCTTCCTTCTATCTCACAACAGTCACAACCCGAGGAGCTCTTGGCCCAGCCCAACACATAAACCTCTTGTCCGACTCAGGACCAGACAGTCAACATGGCCACAATCAAGGAGATCACCAGCTACTCTGAGTGGGATGCCCACCTGGCATCCCTTCCTCCATCTACGCTGCTCATCATCTCATTCCACGCCCCGTGGGCCGCACCATGCGCCCAGATGGCCACAGTTCTCAGCACCCTCGCCTCCGAGTACCCCGCCGACGGCTCAACATCCTGGGTCTCCCTGAACGCAGAGGAGCTCTCCGACATCAGCGAGAAGTACGACGTCACCGCAGTCCCATTCCTCGTCCTCTCAAAGAACGCCAAAGTCCTCGAGACCGTCAGCGGCAGCAGCGCAGTCAAGGTGCGGAACGCGATTGAGACACATGCGGGCAAGCCTGGTGCGACAACCGCCGGCGCCACAAACGGTGCCTCGGCGGGAGACGCCATGGCCGTGGACGAACCGGCGGAGACAGACCCAGCAAAAGCAAAGGAGGAGCTCACCAAGAGGCTGGAGGAGCTGGTCAAGGCGGCGCCGGTCATGCTATTCATGAAAGGTACCCCCAGTGGACCGCAGTGTGGCTTCTCGAGGCAGATGGTGGCGTTGCTGCGGGAGAACTCGGTCAAGTACGGCTTCTTCAACATTCTGGCGGATGATGAAGTACGGCAGGGCCTCAAGGAGTTCGCGGACTGGCCCACATACCCGCAACTATGGATTGAGGGAGAGTTGGTGGGCGGTCTGGATATCGTAAGTTTGTCCTCTGGATGCTTCAGCCGCTTGTTCAGTGAAGATGCAAGGCTGACAACTTCATTAGGTCAAGGAGGAGATTGAGAACAACCCAGACTACCTCAAGCCGTACAGCGTTAAAGGCAACGGCGAGTGAGTGAGGGGGCAACAAACCAAATTCACGCCAGCGCTTGTCACAGAAAATTAGGCACATACACACGCCACGAGGGAGAGAGGAGGTTCATCGAGTCTTAAACCCATTCCAGGTTGCACGATATCGATGCCTCATGCAGCGGCAATTCCTCCCCACATATGGACCTCAGTTGTGGAAGGTTGGTCTGGGCTGCCGAGCAGCGCAAGTGTCAATCTTGCCCCTGTGCCTTGGGTCAGCCAGAGGTTCAGAGACTAGGGGAGGGAAAGTGATATCAGGAAGGGGAAATCTCACAAGAATCCCATAATAGTACAAAGTCCAAGCTTTGCCTCTCTGATATGTGTCACAATCTGTACAGCTTGACTATTCTTCACACCTGTTCTCAGGCCCTGCACCCGTCTTCTGAACACATCACCACGTGTCCCGTGATATTTATGGCACAGGCTTGGATTGTTGTTTTCTATTCTACTCCAGATAAACTTTTTCTGACACATGGAAGGAACAATAAGCCTTGTCGTGATTATATATTTTTTTTTGCGGCTAAGCCACTTGTATTGATGCTGACCCATTTCAAACACCATCTTACCGGTAGAGTCACTAACAAACGGTCTTGACCATCTGAAGACTTCGCTTCTCTTCAAACACTTAAGTATTCCCATCTTCTCTTCCTGATCTTCACAGTCCGAGATCTCTGGGTCCCTTATCGATTACGTCCTTAGCGTTGCTCTCACCAAGTTGTAGACCTCGTTATTTCTGAAGGTTGCACCAGCTTCTAATCCAGGCAACCGCAACTCTACCTCTTTCAGTACCACTTCATGCGGCTAAACTAATTGCTCCTGCAGTTTCGCCCTGCTTTGTGACCACATCTAATCTTCCAAAATTAACTGCCCTCCGTTATCTGATCTTTACCACAATTGAATCCCATGGGCGGTAAAGTCTTCTCCTCGGGGCCTGATCCCCTCGACACTCCTCGCATGAGCCAGGACGTCTACAAGCATGTCAAGAACAAATGCACCAACGCCCTCAAGGATTTGGGCTTCTCCCACGTGGTATCACCCGTCGAAGCCCCGGAGAAGAAATCTTTTGGCGATGTCGACATTCTCGCCTGTCTCGAAGGGACTAGGTTTCTGTCCAGCGCTCAACTTGACAACTCCACGTGGGCTGGGATCGAAATGGCTCTGGATGCTAAACGCAGTCACTCCGAGAGTAGGATTGGCCCAGCGAAGCAGCGCATTATTGATAGCAAGAGCTTTGCTGTCCCCTGGCCTGCAGGTTTCGCTTTGGGTGAGGATGTTCAGGGCTTGAACAAGACTCCGTCTGCACAAGCGAAAGATCTCAAGACCGCATCCGGTCGACAGTTTATCCAGATTGATCTTCGCCTTTGTGATACTCACCAGGAGTTGGAGTGGCGTATTTTGTGAGTACCAAATATCTCAACTCGAGCCAGCTTACCAGTTCCACTGGGACACTTGTCTCGCTTCTCCCCACTTACACGTCGGTCGCCTTATACGTTGGTCGCCTTATACGTTGGTCGCCTTATACGTTGCATTTATCGGTACAGCATGGAATACCTCCCCCCCCCCCCCCCCCAAAAAAAAAACCCCTCCCAACCACGTTAAACTGCATGAACAGCAGCATGCTGACATCCACACAGCAAGCACAATCATGGAGATCTGTGGAATATGATAGGCCAAACGATCCGCCCTTTTGGTCTCACAGCTGACGAGATTGGTCTGCACATCCGCATACCAGAGATTGAGAGGCAGGACAAGAAGAAAGCTCGCGTTCTTCTATCTAGTGAGCCGGACAAAGTGATCGAATTTCTTGGCCTCATGCGACACAAGGGCGAGAAGGAGAAGCCATTTGTTCCCGAGGAGGAAGAGCCATTCGATTCCGTGAAAGACCTCTTTGAGTATGCCGCAAGTTGCAAGTGGTTCATGTTGTGGCCTGAGAATCCAGAAGAGAAAGCGACCACCCACGACGACACCGAAGCCAACGCCATCAAGCAGATCGAAGCAGAATTGAAGAAGCTCAAGGCGAATGATAGGGCACGGATGAAACAGCGCCCAGTTTTCGCTCGCTGGGTCGACGAGTTCATACCAGCCTGCCGCGCGCAAGGCCGCTTCGTAGTCCCCAATCCCGAGAAGCGTACCTTGGAGGATGTCCGCAATGAGGTCCGCGAGCTAGCCTTCAATACCTTCCCGGGCTCGGAGGCGGATTACAACGCCTCGCTCGCGGACTGGAACAAGGAGAAGACACGTATCTTCGTCAAGAACAAGGTTATCAAGGAGGACATGTGCCTTCCCACTAACATCACGGCGGTCCTGCCATCTCCCCGCGAGCGCGACGGCGACACGAGCATCAACCCACAAGACCTCGAGAAGAACTGGCGCGGCGCGCTGCGCTCGGCGCTCGCTAAGGTCATCATCGACGATGACGAGACCTTTGAGGGCATCGTGCCCCCCAGGCTCCGCGATGCGGACGGCGTGCTTGAAGTTGACGCTGTCAAGGACTGGATCAACCTGAACTGGGAGGAGGTCGGACGCGTGGCGTGGAGGTCAAATTATGCGCGTGCCGAGGAGAGCAGGAAGCGCAAGGAGGCTACTAAGGAGGCACAGGAGGGCAAGGCTACTGTCACGATAATAGGCGGCAAGCCGTGATGTACTGGCATTGGTGTCTGGGCGCTCTTTGTTTCTGCTGCGTGGTCCGCCAGGGACTCTGATTTGCTTCGATACTGGCGCATGTGGGTTGAACAACTAGCAGGAGCATGGAGTCTGGTGCTGTTCATTGGCGAGCGTTTGGCGTAGACGGTACAGGTTCAAGCGGTGATATTTTACATCGCGAGAGGTTCCCAAAACCAATAGACATGTGCTTGGCTTCAAGTGGCCTTTGATGTTTTTTCTCTTACATTGATGGCTAAAATTTAACCCTACAGTGACCAGTGAAACGAGCCTTGGCCATCGATGCCTCCCTCTCAGAAAAGTGTCCTCCTTAGTGACAGCATCAGCCATAGCCAGCTACTTGATCCACCCCAGACCGCACTATTGAGTTCGACAGCTCAGACGTGACATGTGACAGCAATTGATCCCCTTCCCTCTCCCAGTGAATGATGGCCTCGACCATCCTCTGCCGCTCTAAACAGCAAAAGAACATGTGCGCTCAAAATCGCGGAGGGTGGTGAACCAATTGTTCCAATACACTCATCAAGTTTCCCCCTAAATGATCACCTACATATCGCTTTGCCGCTCCAAACGGCGAAAGCAACAGAAGAGCTCGAATCGTCAGGGGAAGGTCGAAATGATTTGCTAAGTGTGCTAGGTTATTTGGCGGTGGCATCGCCCATGATGATCACTTCTCACGTTCTCTGCCAGCTGAATGCGTGAGAGAGCCTCGTGAATCATGGTTGGGAGTACACCTCAGTCGTTGGTGTTATCCAGACAGCGAAGGGTTACGAGGCGGCAACGATGTCAAAATGCCTCGCCGCGTCGTACGTCTTGAATTCCCGAGGCCTATAGCCGTTGCACAGTGCCTCTCTGATGTAGTACACCGAGGACATGAAGCCTGATGTTGGGGTCCGGCTGTGCCAGTAGCTCTTACTTCCGTCTCACATCTCTTCCGTTCTGACCCGTCGCCGGGGAAATTATTTATCTTCGTGGTTCGTCATTGTTGTCGTGTAAAAACAGAGCTCAGCCACCAACTCCATGCGATGTGAAAGCCAGAAAACGCCGACGCATGAACCCGTTCTCCATCAGGATACTTAAATTCAGAACAACAATCCGCTCGTGTTTTCAACAGCGGTGTATAGTACAGCATATGTAGACAGTGGCGCACCCTTCGCCATGATAATAGGTGTGTTGTAGAACCGAAATTGGTGTGCGGATTGGGTTGGATTGGGGTGTTTCGGTGGCAGTGGATGATCCTGAGGGAAAGAACCTGAGCGTAAACCTGGCATGTCCTAAATTTCATCGAAGATGAATCCTGCGTCAGAACCAAATCGTCCGTGCCGGCTCCTGGTTATCCGAGGCTCTGGAAAGAACGTCGTCTTTACCCATGCTCTCCTCCGTAGGGCTGCCATGTGGCCCACGGTATGTCTCGCCGTAAGCCTCGGCCTCTTCCATCGCCAGCGCCTCCCGCTCCAAAGCCTCAAACGCAGCCCTGAATTCAGGTCTAGGTTTCCACTTTGGCCGCAATCCCTTCTTGTCAATGCGTCGGAAGTGCTGCTCTCTCCTGGCATAATCTGAGATAGTCCGAAAGTCGACGTTGCGAATGTCTGTGCCTGTCCACCAGTCCTCGACGTCCGCGAGTAGGTCTGAGGCTTCGTCCAACCAGTGAGCCGCATGCGGACGGACCATGCCACCAGTGAGCCACTCATCGAGCTTGACAGGCAGTACGTAGCCGTAGTCGGGCTGATCTGGGGACCAGTTGCATGGCGAACCCCGGTAGCAAACATACTGCCTTCCCCAGCGCTCGTAGAAGGCATTCTCCAGGAAATACCAGGACGTCAGCAGGAGCACTAGGATACCAAGCCAGGTGGGCCTGACTCTGGGCTCAGTGCGATACAATCTGGGCACAGGTAGAGGCACATAAGCTAACGTGCTACTGCTGTGTTGAATCGCATCACACTGGGGGCAAGCCCCATCGTGAGAGTTGTGAAAGTGATGGCTCATGGCGGTGTGGCCTGAAGTCTGGTCCTTAACAGATTCATGAGCTTGCTCGGATTGTGCAACCCGATCTTCAAGACGCTCAATTCCCTGTTTAGCCTGTCGAATACCAGCAAGGCCTGTGCTCAAGGCCTTACTCATGTGATTCATCCTCTTCAATTGCTTGTCGTAAGGCAAGCCGTCCGTATCTTCGGAATCGGACAACCCACGGCCCAGGTTTTGGTTGACTTCATCGGGGTCTCTAGATGAAGCTATGAAATCAGCGAAGTCGTCGAGCGTAGAGTCATCGATGTTGTTGCTCAGGTGGATTTGTTTCAGGTCTTCTTCCACAGTAGGCGGCTTGACCGAGTTGGTCAATGGTGAGCGTTTGCGCGGAGTTGATCTCGATCGCCGCGGTCTAGGGACGGAGCTGGACCGCACGCGTGCTCGCTGGCCATCTGACTTCGATGAGCGGAACGAAGTGCTAGAATCTCGATTCCGTAGCCCAGCCCTCTTTTCCGGTTCTCGTGCCGACGTGGCTGCAACTTCCTTGATATCAAGCTGTTCAGTCTTGACCGTCACGGGGGTCTCGACATAGGCACCCGTGACTTGTGGAGTAGGCATAGAGAGAGGGTCGAATTGGTCGAACTTTGGGGGCCGAGGAGTCTCGTCTGCCTTTTGCTCCTCGTCTTCGGATTCAGACTCGACATCCGGTCGAGGTGACGGAGCCCGCACTGATCCTCGCTCAGACATATTGTCCAGGAGCGCGAAGAGCTTCATCTCACCCTCAATCCGTGCAGTTGGATCTGCTGATGCTCTGCTCTGCGTTGATGACACACTCTTAGTGGACGGGGACCGAGAGATACCTGCAAAGCCAACTGTGGGTTTGGCAAGAGCATTTGGTTTGTTGATGCCGGAAGACCGATTTGATTCAGCTGCAGTGTCGTTCGTGGCAAGTTCCTCTACTGACTTGTCCTTACTCCCTGAGACTGGCAACGCGCTCTTGTTCTCTTGCGGGGCTTTGTCCACAGCTATCTCCTGAGCAGGACTGGGGCTTGGGCTCTTGCTCGACGCCCTAGCCAACCGTCGGAGAAGATCATGGGAATCTTCCTTTGCGCGAGACACACCGTTGGCGGGGTCGACCAAGGAGGAAGTGGTACCCATGTTGTGGCCGTTCTGCTCATTCGTGGGCTGGGTCGGAGAGGTTTTTCTATAGATTGTGACAGGTGTATCGGGTATCTTTTCTCCGTCTAAGCCATTGTAGTCGTGGTTGTATGGTCGCGTCTCGAATTCGGGGTTGACAGGGGGCCTAGTCTGATGCTGTTGCTCGCCATTAACGTTGCGCTCGGCCCGTGGGGACAGCGAGCGGGCATCTTGTCGTTGTTCTATGGTCTCCTTCAACTGTGTTGACGCGGGGGCCTCCTCGGTGGGGGCCTCAATACCTTGTGAGCCGTGAAACTCGCCTTCGGGTCTTGTTGATTTTGGCGATGTAAACGATCTCCTGTTTTCGACGCTCCTTGGAAGCACGTGAACTGGTTCTACACTTGGCTCTTCGATCCTGGGAATCGGGTATTTGCGCTCAGCTTCTCTCTCCCGCTGCAAGATTTCGTCGAGTTTTGTGTTTGTGCGCTGAGCCACGAACCGATGATTCTCAACGGGATGGTCCAGCTCAGCATCAATCTCCAGCTTCCTAATTTCATCCAATTTCGTGTTGGCACGCCCGAAGCTCAAGGGTGGGCTATTGGAGACCTGCAAGTCCCCAGCCGTGAAGTCCTCGTCAACTTGCCAGGCATAGCTCTTGTTTGGAGATTGAATCGGGGCCACTGTGGCTGGCCGTGGAATCGCCGACGCTTTTTCCTCTGATCTCAGTAGACTCTGGCTTGTCACTTTCTCCTTCGGACCTGCCACGCGGCTTCCAAAGCTCGAAAACCCCTCTATCCTTGCTTGTCGGCCAGGGGCGAAGTCTAGAGCCTGTTCTTCGGATTTGAAGCGTTGAATCCAATCGGGATTGGCATATCCTGTTTCGGCGAAACCCCACGATTGTCGCGATTCCTTGCCGTCCGCACCGCTGTTACCGAGGCTGCTATTTCTCGTCCTTCGACTCGGTGTGGTGTTGGTACCAGCACCATTGGCCCCGAATTTGGGCTTGATGAATAGCCCCTTCTTGTCTTCCTTCATGGATCTGATGATCTTCTCGTCCTCCTCGAACTGCTTGAGCTTGCGATCGATCTCACTGTCCGACTCGTCCCCCTTGCGCGACGAGGACCCAAAGCTGTCCTTTGAGCTAAAGGTCCCATCCCGACGGGCCGAGTTGACGGGGCGCCTGTTGCCGAGACGGCCCAAATCGATCGGCCTCTGGGAGAACATGTGTGGTAGAGGCCTGTGATCAGAGCTCACGGAGCCGGGGCGCGTGGGTCGGGGCGCTGGGCTGGGGGAGCCTTGGGCAAGTCGGGTCTTGGCCCAATCGGTGGCTTCATCGAGGGTAAATGGTCGACGCGTCTGAGGACTCGCGCGAGAGGAAGGTCGCGGAATGCGCGAAGCATCGGGCGAGTGTGATAAGGCATCTGAGAGCGAACTCGCACTCGGCTTTCGTGAGTGCGCGCCGCTGGCCATCGTTGCTGTTGTGTTTTCCTTGCCTGTCGCGCCGTTGGGTTTGGCGGTCGCGTCGGCGGCGGCAACGCCGCTGGTCGCAAACACTGGCAAGAAAGATTTCCCGTTGGCGCGGGCGCCTAAAATATTCGCCTTGTCTTTCTTGTCGTCCCCGCCGTTCATCTCAAATTGGGACAGTGGTTGCTGTTGCGACTCGAGCAAGCGGAAGCGCGGGAAGCCGTATCTTCAGCGATATGGTCGTGATAGTCGCGTCGCGTCATAATAGGTCGCGATCTGGACGTGGATTGTGTCGCGGAGGATGGGGCTAAAGTCAATTTGAAGTTTAGAATCGTGAAGGACGCGGTGCTGTCGAGAAAAGGCAGGCAGGCTCTAGGTTAAGTGAGAGTGAAGGCAAAGTGAATGTTGTCGCCGGTGCTGGTTTAGCGCATCTTAGGATGTCTCCAAGCCCAAACCACAAGGTCGGATCGCAAGGAGCTTGCGGTGCTTGCTTGGGCAGGGTTGGTGCTGTCTTCATAGGACCCACCACTTGGCGGGGTCGGCCGGGACGCACAGGCCAGCCACCAACTGAGGTCACCTTCCTACTGGTGCAGGCGGCAGAGACATCGACGCCTTTCAGCCTCAATTGACGCTGGCTACCTAGGCGGTTTAGCAGGTTGCTTATTGGGCTATAACACAATGCGATATCCTTTAAGGCTGAATTGACATCACCCCGTGTTCTACCTGTCTTTCTGCCAGGCAGCACATGAATAATTCGAAACGAAAGGACCCGCTGCAGAATGTTTACATATTGATCCGACGCTCAACGAGAATGCACACCCTCAAGAAGAAGGCATCTCGTCTCGCGCTGGAATGACCTTGGTGTCTCGATCTCCGCCAGTCTCCAAAACTCCTGTCGCCCGGCAGCAAAGGATGAGGGCGACGATACACGGTCCGGCTACGAACACGTTCTTGTCTGCGTCCGCTGCTTCTGCTGGCTGGGTTGGCTGACTACTCGTGCGCCGCCTACCCTGAGGGACTTCTAGCTAAGCTGCTGTCACTACGCGAACGCGTCTCATCCAGCCTGTATCGCCATTTAACCTCAAGGGTGCGATGCATCACACACACTATAAGGACTACACGGTCTACTGAGAGACGATGTCGAGTGTCAACCACTCGACGATTATGTCCGCATTCCATTCAGGCCTTCGCGTAGCGAGGAGACCACCTCTTCTAGCCAGGGAAGACCGACACAATTCTTGTGCCTGCTCGCATATTCGACTATGAGCTCAAGGGGCTCACAACCTCGAGCCGGAATGTTACCGACATCGCGGGATGGAGACATTCATTTCTTTCTCGGGGTCGGAAAAGCCGGCTCACTGTCGGCCGTACGCCCTTTACCAGGGGACCCAACAAGAAAAATCCATAGTGCCTGCTAGGCACGCCTGGGATTCTGGTTGGGTACCAGCCCGGCAGCCTGGTGGCTCTGGAGTTCATCCCATCCCCGCTGTCCCCCACGTTCCCTTTCGCCTCTTTGTTTTATGTTTCCTTCCAGATCCACCTTCTCAATGCCCCGTTTCTCTTTACGGACTGATCTGCCAGGGAGCCCTGCATGCTGTTGGCGCTTGATTGTTTTCTCAACCAGGTACACAGCATGTTATCAAAATGAGAGGACTTCTTGGTGGCTAGCGCAGCCCTTTGTTTCACATACTGCAGCCTCTCCCGGGTTGTCACCTGAAGGACGCTGACAGCATTAAAGTAAATTGAAGGCCTCTCTAGTGTGCGCCTTCTGCAATCCGTCTCTGGAGCACGATAGCTGCCACGGGCATGTACAATAGGATCACGGACACGAGCGAAGCCCCACGAGTGACCGCACCTGGATTCGGGAATATTGCAAGAATCGATGGTGCGTTAGAGAATATCCCGTCCGAGATGAGAAGCAACTCGGAAATCGGACCCTTGTGCTCATGAGGATCAACGGCGTTGAGAGATCGTCCGAAGCGAGCCGTGTGGCCGTCAAGCATGTGGCCCTGCAGGCTGGATAGCCGCGCTCCACCCCCTTTGTTTCGAAACCGCTCTAACCAGTGCTGTATATTGCAGATTCCATGTCCGCACCTCGGTACAACCCCAGGAGGCGACCAAAAATCCCCGTATTGCTCTCCTTCAGGCTCTTTATGCCTTGGCAGCTCTCCGCTTTTCTCGCATCCGATCGCTTTGGTCCCGACGAGCAGGCGGCTCTTCCTCCTTTCCTGGCAGGATCAGGAAGTAAAGTGGGACAAGCCGGAACTTTGCCAAGAGAATGGAGATTGAGCCGCTATGCAAACCCTGGATCTGTGAACAGAGATGATCTCGAAGCGAATCTCATCCCGATGGATGGACTGGCAGGGGTAACGGGGGCCAGGGTGAGCGCGACGGGCTGCCGTGAAGGTCAATATAAGTGCAGCTGTCCTCCCCAATAGTGACAGGAACACTTCAAACTTTTATTCAGTCTTTCGCTCGTGTTGTAGTCGTGTTCCTCGTTCTTGTCTCTCTGACTTGCTCACATTCTTTTCTTCTATTTTACATTATACATTCGTTGATAGCACAGGATGCCTTCTCTTCTCCTCCGCGCCGCTCTCGCCGGCAGCACTATTAGCCAAGTCGCCTACGCGTACACGCAGGCCAACGTTGCCTCGCCTTTTATGTACAAGAATGTCGACCCGATCGTGTTCCCGGGCCAATATGGCGTCTCGCATATGCACTCGTTCTTCGGCTCTGATGCCGTTACTGCCTCGACCAACACCAGTGCGGAACTGCAAAAGGGCTGCACCACTGCCGACAACCCCAATGACTTTTCCGTCTACTGTGAGTTCCAATTCTGTCGCCTTTCTTCCAGCCTCGTATGGTAGCTAATTACTTCATATCAAGGGGTCCCATCCCTCCTGTACACAAAGGACAACGGTCAGACCTATGATTATGTTCCCGTCATGCGCTTCTCGGCCTACTACAACCTAGGCGAGACACCGGCCGAGATCCCCATCCCGCAAGACGTGAAAATGGTTGCAGGCTCCGCCTCCGCGACTACCGCGGCTGATTCTCCAGCGGACGCAAAGGTCGAGTGGTTCTGTGAGGGCGATGACGGCGGCTCGGCGGACGAGAACGGCTTCCCCAGCTCCACGTGCAGCACCCACCTGCAGACGCTCCTTTACTTCCCGCAGTGTGTCAACCAGGACACGCTGGAGACGGCGTACAAGAGCCGCTCCTACGGCACTGATAACTGGTGCCCCGAGGGCTCAAAGTCCATGCCGCAGCTGCGTTTCTCCATCCGTTACGACCTGCGCAAGGTCCTGCCCGACGGATGGAGCGGCACCGCCCCTATCAAGCTGGCCAGTGGCAACGCTTGGTCTAGCCACGGTGATTTGTGAGTTCCCTTGCTGAATATTTCTCCACTTACCCTGTGCTAACAAATATGTCTAGCATCATGGGTTGGACTGAGGATGCGGCTCAAAACATGGTCGACGCAACCGCTGCCGACTATAAGTAAGTCTCCGGACAATCGAAGTTGCCATTGGCCCTTGAGAACCAATGCTGACTGAAGAATGAACAACAGGTACCACTACTACGCTGTCGACGGCAAGCTGGGCACAGCTGGCACCGAGCCTACGTGCACCGCAACCGATGCCGACCCCGACAACGGAACCAGCGACTACGCCGAGTCTGTCAAGGAAATGAGCAAGCGTTCCACCCCCATGGGCTGGACATCTCGATCCCGCATGGCCCGGGCTTAAATCAGCCCAAGCTAGTACAAGGTGTCAAGGTGATAGGGCGTGGATCGCGTTTTGTTGTACATATTATGGGCTTTCTGCACATGCAGAACGCCTGCACATATCTCGCAGGCAACCAATAGACCTTCCGAAGACTGTTTCTAGAGCTTGCAATGCATCTTGTCCTAGTACTGTGCTGTGCAAATAATGCATTGATGTCTACTTGCTTGTCGCCAATTCAAGCCACGGAGCTTCTGCAATCAGGACTGTGTGCTCACTGACATAAAATCGGTATTTCTTCTCGTCACTCAATGGGACAATGAAATATGTAAGATTCAACAACTCTCTCGAAAAATAGGACCAGGCGTTCCGCCAGAACGGTTGCTTGGTAACTCCCCACGTATTTGATCTTGAATACCTGTGCGGATCTTTGAGATGACTGCGATCATAATTGTGGTCACAGAAATCCCCAGAATGCATCAGATAAGCGTGTTGAAAAATTGCGAGGATATTGTTGGTCGAATGAATACATTGGGGTTGGTCTTGCCTTAACATCTCAAGTGCAAGAGGCGGGATCTGGACCCCCTGGCTCCTAATATCTCGGGAATATCAGGAATCTTCAAAACTCCGTACGGCGCAGCCCTGCTTTCTAAGCAACCCATGTCCAACAACAACTCGATGGCTTTCACATAAATTTGCTTTTAAGTTTGTGTTCTCGACCTGCAAGCAACAGTATGGGGCCAAGAATTATCAGGCAGTGTGGTACGATGTAGGCTGCATCTCCTTCCCGCGATTTCTATGGCTGACCACCCCAAGCGAGCATTGGTCAACCTCACGGCACGCATTCGGCGTCTACACAGGAATTGCAAATTCTTGTCAATACGTTATTGACGATGACCGCCTACAAGGCCGCCCAGTGCAAGCCGTCGTGGAAGAGGCATTGGCGCGCCTAATCCTCCGCCTAGGCGGACTGAGGGTCGGAATCATCAAGGAAAACACTAATCAGGCTAGCTTCGTCAATATAGCCTCTATGGACCTCAGGGATTTTATCGAATGGAAGACGGTGACAGCATCTAGCCAGGCACAGGACGATGCACACCTCCTGGAGGTGATAAAGACCAGGTTGGAGCAGCTGTGGCCTGACCCAACGAACCGCCCACCATGGAAGCTTTTGGTCGTCCAGAATAATGCCTCGTCTCCAGGGCAGGTGGTCCTCGACATGGTCTTTGCAACCCATCACGCCCTCGCTGACGGGAAGAGCACGAAGATTTTCCACACTGAATTGCTCGATGAACTCAACAGCTCCTCCTCTCCGCCAGCAGAGCTGAGGAGCCACATCCTTAGTATCGACCGGGCCCCAATCATCGCGCCACCTCAGCAGGAGCTCATCCAGTTCAAAATCAGTTGGCTTTTCTTCTTGAAGACTCTATGGGACGAATTTGGTCCTTCTTGGCTCAAACCAAGACCCCCAATCGAGCCATGGACAGGGAAGATTATCACCCTGGAGCCCCACAGGCTTAATCTTCGTCTCGTGACCATCAAGCCCGAGGTCGTCACAAGTCTTGTCGCCGCTTGCAGAGCTCATGGCGCCACACTCACCGCGATCTTCCACGTCCTTGTCCTAGCTTCTGTTGCCAAACATCTGCCTTCTGAAACAGCGCAGACCTTCTCGAGCAGTACACCCATCAGCTTACTCCCATGGGCGAAGTTGCCACCTGGTGTTGACATGGACCTGGGAAAAGAATTCTCGGTGCTCACAACCAGCGCCAGTAAGAATTGGGATGCAGAGACGGTCGCGGAGCTGCGACGCAGGCTTGGTACAAGGGATGAGAGCCTTGAGGAAGGCCTCATCTGGCCTTTGGCAGCAATTTGGCGAGCCGAGATAAAGAATAAGATCGCCTCGCTCCCAAATGACGATGCCTGCGGGCTGATGGGCTATGTGACAGATTGGCAGAAGAGATGGGAACAGACAATGGGCAAGCAGCGCGCCGCCACCTGGGAGCTGTCTAACATCGGCCTGTTCAAAGGCGTTGGCCACGAGGGCCCAGGGGCCTGGACTATCCAACGCTCGTTCTTCACCCAACCTGCCTTGATCGTTGGTCCAGCGTTCGGGGTCAACATCACGGGTGTGGACGGGAGTGAGGTTAATTTGACATTCAATTGGCAAAACGGTGTCATTGAAAATGCAATTGTCGACGGCGTAGTGGAGGATCTGTCCGCCTGGTTGGAGGAGTTCAGGGTCAACGGACGATTTGGTATGGTCGAAAGCAAGTGATGAGTGTCTCGATACCGCACTTCTAGATGCCGGTCACCTTCCATGCAAATTTTGTCTTCGAGAAGATGCTATGTATGGCAGACAAGGTCTATATAATGCATAATACATTCATAAATCCACATATCTCTTGGTGCCTATTTCACTGGCAGGTTGAATTGTCTTCTCATTTGGAGATTAGAAAATGAACGGAGAGAATCATGCAATATGTAACTCTAGTAGCCATGTCTCATGAATACAATTTGGCCTCGGAACGGTTGGGAGAGGAAGTGAGCAGTTGCAAGTCAGAGTGGACAAGAAGGCCACTGGCTTTTCCGTAGATGCCTTGATCATGGGAGGCTGCTCCAATCAGTCGTGCATTCGACTGAACACACGCCAAAGTTCTAGGATTTCAATCGAGAATTGTAATTCGGAAGATATGCACGTCAATGTCAGAAGCCAAAGATGGAATAATTGGGTCCATAAGTACTTTGGTAGTCGAGGTTGAGATGCGGCTCAGAGGCTAAGGTTCTGGTGTGGAGCATTCGGTAAGCGTACCGATTCGCCCATTGGAAGCTGTTCGGAGCTCGACTCCAAAATATCTGTCGCGCGACTTGCGTTTAAACACTTCGGCGGATCGCCAATTGGTTTGCTGGCAGAGACACGTCCGCGTCTCGTCAACCCCTCCACAATGGCGTCGCCTTTATTAACCAGGGCACCATGCCTGGCCTGCCTCAGGAGGATAACACAGGCTAGCAGCACACCTGTCACCCCGTTCCTCAGGCAAGTAAGAGGGAAGAAGAGCATCCGGACAAAGGATGCCGGCGTCATCGTGCGACTGCTGGTCGACATGAAGGGATTTGGCAAGGAAGGTTAGCGAGCATTTCATCGCATCTGCGAAGTCGAAGTCCGCGCAGGTTGTACTGACCATCGTTCCGACTCAGGTGCCATATTCCGAACCGAACGAGGCAGGATGCGCAATCTTTGGTACCCCACGAAGAAGGCCGAGTTCATGACAGCCTCCCGCTTCAAGGAGCTCGGCTTGAGCAAGAACGATGTCGGCGAGCGCGATCCCATGTTCGGCATGCAGATTGAATTCGAAGAGGAGGTTGTGCAGGATGCGGTCGAGGCGGTTGCGGGCCTCCCTCGCGGCGCTGTCGCCCTCGGCGCAGGGGCCGGGCAACCCGCTCTCGAGACACCCAACACACCTGCTGTAGAGATTGAGCACATCGCTGTAAGTACTCAATGGGCATCCCAGGACGAATTGCGGCCATCATTCTTAAGTGACACCTGGCTAATGGCACAATACTCTATCTACAGCCCAATCGTGCTCTTGAGCTTCTCACCACTATGATCCCCGAGACCATCGTCTTCGAACGGCACCTCAAACACCTCCCCGCGACCGGAGCTGGCAGCACACCCAAGTCCACGCCTACCGACGAGACAGAGCAGCATAAGGTCCTCTCGCCGCTCGAAAGGCGCAGGGCCAAGATGCTCGAGGCCCAGAAGCCTGCCGAGCCAGAAAAGACGCTCGAGGAGGTCGAGGCGGAGCGCAAGGCCCAGGAGGAGGAGCTGGAGAGGGAGCGCAAGCGCGCTGAGGACGAGGCCGAGAGGCTCAAGGAGATCCACGGCTCAGTGTCGGTCCGCGACATCGCGAGCTTCATCAAGGAGAAGATGCTGCTGGATCTGGAGGCATCGAGGATCCACGTCCAGCCCGAGGAGATAAAGTTCCTGGGGCTCGCGGACGGCGCGGACAAGGTCGAGAAAGTGGGCAGGGTCGACATCGAGATCCGGACACATGTCGGCAAGGACAGGGTCGAGCCGGTCAGGAAGTCGGTTGAGGTGGTTGCGGCTTGAAGCAACATGCGATGCCGCTGTAAAATTACGGACTACCTACATACGCTATGTCTTCGAGCATATATGGGTAGCTCAATTTAGACAATGCCTATATTGAACACCATCCTCTGATAAAATGGGACTGACATCTGTGAGGTTGAGGTCTGTTGCCTTTCTCCTCGCACTGATCATTATCACAGTAAATCTATGCGGACGGCGCTGCGGATACTTTCCGGCCCCTTCATTCTACGCGGCATCCCACTAATCTCCATGTGGGCAAATTTCGAAATGGCACAGCAATTTCAGCTGTAAGGTGACCTAGGCGTACATGCTGTATCTTTCAATGTTAGAACACCAAGTCCTAGCAATCTTCTCACCTCAATTGTGGCAATCACCGAGCTCCATTAAATTCCTGACCTGGGAGTGGGCCGGCACCTCTCCTCTGCTCCCGTTGGCAATAGACGTCATGCTATCATTTCACGAACTTCGCACATGGCTGAGATACCTTCAATCTAATCGGACTGCACAACTTGCAAATGCGTGAATGGTCACTCGAGAGCTGCGCAGGTGCCTCGCACAACACGATCAGGCAGCGCGGGCGCAATCCCATTCCCGAGGGCCAAGTGTGTTGTGCACAGAGATTCCTAGTCAGCAAATAAGTGACGAGGGGAGCTTCCGCCAAAGGAACGAGAACTTTGTAGATATTCTCCCAGATGAGCTCCTGCTCGGAAGTCGGCCACATATTTGGGCAGTCGACATTTCGAACGTCTTTTTTTTTTTCTTTCGTATTCCATGGTCGGGAAAGGGAAAATAGGGTTGGACATTTCCGTCATACATGGCATACCTGAATAGTCGAAAGTAATGGATGATGGAATACTGTCGGTATCATCCTTAATTCTTGGCCAGTAGCGTTGGTCAACCTTGTCGCATCCGGTCGCGCAAGCCTCATCACGATCATGGGCATGGTCAATACTAAAAGTATCACGATATGTCCAAATTGGTTCATATAACTTGTTGAAGGAAGTATAACAACTACATCACTGCAATAAATCCGACACCATCGCTACTTTTCAAATCAACGAACTTATTCAAAGATCAGACCGGTTCATGTATGTGTTTGTTCACACTCTTCCATCCACCCACATAATTGTAGAAGTTTTGCAGTAGGCAAGGAACATCCCATTGAGCCGCGGGGTTGAATTATGTTTGTTCAGGCCGTTCATTTGCGTTCTAAATAGTCGACCTACAAAGTCCCCATAATTGCTTGAAAAGAGTCTTAATGACCTACAGCGCGCCTCTTTAACTTCAAGTACTAAAGTAGTGATTCCTATTCGCAGCACACCAGCCAATCATTCAAACATAGACCAATATTTCAGCTTTACGTGTAGCAGACGCGGCCTCAGTCCAAACAATCTCCAATAGCCCTACTTGCATAACCAGCTTCAAACCTGTAAAATTTACCTAAGCTTCCACAACACTAGTACCTTCTTCAGCAGCATTTCGTATTTCCTCTCGTATACTAGTTGCAGTCTGGAACGGTTTTCCCCTTTTACAACACTCTATGTCATGGATCTTAAACCAGCTCCAAGACTGGCCTTTCTAAAAGATACAAGCAAAATCCAGGACTTGGTGCCTTATTCTTATACATATACAACAACTCTATTTAAAATTGTGTATCTGTTGTCTGGAGGCAGGCGCATGTGCTGTATAAGAGCCCGTCAGCGTAACTTCAGCCAGCCAGTATAGTGACTTTAGCTGGCACCTGCACCTTAGTACTAGCCGTGGCAGGTTTACCCCAGGCGCGCACAGGGCTCGGTCAAGTTTATTGTACAGTATGCTCACTACTGCCTCGTTTTATGGCGGCCAAAATCTGGTCCTGCACTCATCTCAGATTTGGTGATGAATCGTGATGAGTGGTAACTATATGGGGAATTTCATTAATCAAAAAATATTCGCCGGCATCTGTACTACTTGCCCCCTAGCTTGCCTTCGACCTCTTCAGCCCACCATGCAGCCCAGTCTACGACCTTTTTACCCCTCTTCGCCTCCTCGGCGCAAAAAACCATCGCATGACTTCTAATTACCTCGTCCAGAGTGCATCTAATCACTTCCTGCTGGGCCTTCGCGCACGTCCAGCCTTCGTCTCTGTTGTTCTTTACCAGGTCTATAGCCTCTACGAACTTCCTCGTCAGTCCCAGGTCGCCGCCTCCGTGACCCATGCTCTCCATTTTCGGTGTGTGCGTGGTGGTCTTTCCTGTGTTGAAGTCCTCGACTGTAATCGTGTACGAGTCTGCGTATAGCTCTCCCTGGGTGCCGTAGATCTTGGTGAACCGTTCGCACTGCCGCTTCGTCTGAGCCACCATGTGGAAGGTCGCCTGTTTTGACCCGCGGCCGCCCAGCTGGTCCGCCATAGGGCTGATGTCGTCCTGCGGCGACGGAGGGTCGTCGTCCCAGGTGATGGTTACGACCTGCTCGTCGACGACATCGTTGTCACTCTCGTACACGCACCGGCCGAACCAATTGCGCTTCGCGATCTCGGAGTCCTGCATGTCTGAGCCGTAATCTTCAGCCAATCTCGCCATGACCGCCCCGCGCACCTTATCGCTATCTCCCAGATCCTCAATCTCGGGCAGCACGACATTCACGGGCCAGCCGGTATTCCCCGCGTCCAGGCCCATGAAGGGCTTGTCGCTTGTGTAGATGCGTTTTGCAGAGTACTTGCAGGTCTCTTCGACCGGGCACTTCAGGCAGTTTGTCGCATCGCCAGCGCCCACTGGCTTGCGGTTCTTTCGGAAGTATTGTAACCTCCCACTGCTGGTCACTGTGGATGGCAAGTGTGGCAGCGCCTTCTCACCCCCATCCTCGTATTTCACTGGTGAGCAGAGCAGCCAGAGTAACACATCGATGTCGTGGCAGCTCTTGGTGAGAAGACTCGGGGCCGAGGTGTCCTCCCTCCTCCAATTGCCCCTCACATAGCTGTGCGTGAAGTGCCACCAACCTACCGGCTCGGTGTGCACCACCGAAAGCACGTCTCCAATAGCCCTGTCCTCGAGCAACAGCTTGCGCAGCACCATGTTGTGCGGACTGTACCGCAGCACATGCCCGATGGAGAAGATTCGCTGCTCGCCATTCTCGTCCACGTTGGCCCTTAGGGCCCGGTACATCTCGACGCAGTCGTCCAGCCTCGTTGCCAGGGGCTTCTCGCACATGATGTGCAGCCCGCGCAGCTCGGCCAGCGCGATCACCACCTCCCTGTGCATCTCGTCGAGGACGCACACGTAGACGCCGTCGACGCCCGGGGGCACGCCGGCCTCGACCGCGGCCGCCCGGCGCCGCCTCTCCTTCTCGTAGGCGATGAAGTCGGTCCATGACTCGAACTCCTCGCCCTCGGCCGGGGCGCGGTGCCGGCCCCAGATGTACTTCTGGCCGAACTGTGCGCGCTTGAACGCGTGCGGCTCGGCGATGGCGGCGACGAGGCCGTTGGTGGCGAGCTGTGTGAAGTGGGCGTAGACCGAGCCGCGCGACCCGCCGCCAACGACCAGAAGCCGGGGTGGAGAGACCGAGGGCGGCGGACGGGTTGGGGACTCGATTGTGAGGTCCTTGTCGGCTGAGATAACCGGGCCGGGCTCAGCGAGCACTGGCCGCATGGGCGGGGAGTCTTCTTGCTTGCCCATATTGGAGAGAGGACGGCCTCGTGGTGTAAGTTTCAAGATGGATGTAGTGACAGAGGAGGAGGTGGGGAGAGGTGAGGCTTCTCACTCTTTAGGGGGAGCGTATGAAAAAAACAAGAAAACGAAGGTACAGCTATATAAGGAGAACACGAGGGGAGTGAAAGGAAGCCATCCTTCGTATTTGAAAGGAAGTGCCGACCTATTCCCAGAGGGTGGTAGGAGCCCGTCCGTCCGCGTGGTTAGTCAATCAGGTACCTGTCCAACGGTCTCCCACGCGTGCCACGCAGCTGGGAGCGATAAGTAAAATAAGTAAAAGGGCCCGGCAAGCCGATGCTAGAAGGCCTAAATTAGCTAGTTGGTCGGCAGGTGTTTTATCCTCCAGGCCCGCTTTTCCCCTCCTAGCATTCCTGTTCCTGGGCGTAGGATGGACGTCGCACGGTCCGTCCAGCCCAGTCCAGTCCACATGGCCGAGAACAGTTGCTAATCATATTTTAAGCAACAATACAAGCTCGCTGATTCGTTTCTCCCACTCAGCCTTGCATCAAAGAGCCGAGAAACTTGCACGGAGGATTTCATGGCCCTCAGTACGGCCACTCCTATCACCGTCGCCGGCAAACAACTTCTTGGGCTCTGTCGACGGGGCTCAACTGCCAGGACAGGCCTTCCCTGGTGTCGAGTGTCGACCCATACTACGTTACTTTGTCACCAGCCCCGTTCGAGGAAGCAGACGCACCGGCAGCCGTCTGGAGGAAATCATTACTCGACCTTTATTCCTAAGCCGCAATATCGTCTGAGGAAGAGAATGGCTGCGCAAAATACCGCTCCGTTGGTCTGGATCGACTGTGAGGTAACGACTTTTAAGCCTATCGTTCATTGCTCGTGGCTCATGTCTCGTGTTGCCATGTTCTTGGCAGCATCAAAGCTGAAAAAAGCAAACAGATGACCGGTCTGGACTACGACAAAGACGAAATCATCGAGGTATACTGCTTGATCACCAATGGCGACCTCCAGCTGGTCGACCTAGAGGGCTGGGGGACTGTCGTCCACCAGCCTCAGGCACGCATGGACGAGATGGACGAGTGGTGCACTCGGACCCATGGCCAGACTGGACTCACAGCGGCCGTCGTCGCCTCAGATGTCACCCCTGAGCAAGCCGCGGATGAGCTGCTGGCATACATTAAGAAGTATGTCCCTGAACCTCGCAAGGCCATACTTGCAGGTAACAGTGTTCATGCCGACCGCGCATTTCTCAACCGGGAGCCGTACCGGAAGGTTGTGGACCACCTGCACTACCGGATTCTCGACATCAGCAGTCTGAAGGAAGCATCTAGGAGATGGTGCCCTCGAATCACGGAGAAAGCACCGACCAAGAAGACGCTGCACAAAGCCAAGGATGACATATTGGAGAGCATTGAGGAGGCCAGGTTCTACAAGGACGCCATCTTCCAAAGACCGTGAGGCTTTTGAGGGACGATCATGAACGCATGCTCGAGCACACCTGCTCTCCGCAAGCAAGCCTCACGGGGCCGCAAAGCACTAGCCTACTAAAGTTGAGCGAGATCTACTCAAAAAAAAAGGTGAAGGGTCCTCTATCTTATCTATTCAAGTGGGAAGGGGATTAGTGCGGCCGGGACTCTGACCGGAGGGAATCGGCAGGGCTGAGACGGCCGGATATGACCATTGCAACCAAAGTCGTAGTGGCCGATCGGCCTTTTCTCTAACGCAACGAGAAATGAAGCGACTAGTAGGCCGATTGCAACGCCACGCGAATATCGCGGTGCTGCCAACAAGAAACCCTGCTGGGGATTTCTCACAGCATCCCAACGTTTGGGACGACAAGTTCAATGGTTAGCTGTCTAGATGGGTTACGCCCGCCAATTTAATCTGAGAAATACGAAGTCGCATATGTGCCAGCATTCCACAGTGTGCAAGCCACTTGTCCCTGCATCTATGGCTCGGGACTTTCAAGTTATCGATTCATTCACTCATGCACCACCTACCTGTGCTGATTTGCCTTACAGCCATAACACGGCTACTTCATGAAAAGCACAGCAATGCTACATGCTTTCGTGGGAACTGCTGACTGATCATGAGCGTTGTACCTGGAAGAATGTATCGTACCGTGTGTACAGTATGACATGAAGAAAACAGGACGGGGATGAGGGACCATTTAGCTCACCCCTGTCCAATACTCGCCTGTATGCCGTTACTGCCCCACGCCACGCCTGCACGACGACAGTCTAATTGGGTCTGTGGCAATGACGTCCCGGCTGGGACCCCACCTTCCATTGGGGGGGAGCTCATCGGCCAGACCGCAGCTTTGAGGTGTCCAGCCAGGCTAGCGAGGTGTCTCCTATTTATCGTCCAGTACCCTCCCACTTCTGTCCCGCTTCCTCCTCGCCGATCTCTCATTGATAGCCAATTCTGTTCCTCACTTTACATTTCAAATACCTAGATTCCATTCTGTCAGTATGAGCATCAAGGAGGTTCAGTTTGCGTCCTTCACGGACCAGAAGCCCGGAACGTAAGTTGTGAAGCTTCACCCCGCCTTGTTGTTCGCCCCTAGTTGCTGTGGTCGTCCCATGCCGTTCGAGCTTCCTGGACAACCATAATCCTGATGCTGACATCGCCTCAGCTCTGGTCTTCGAAAGAGGACCACTGTCTTCCAGCAAGCCCACTACAGTGAATCCTTTGTTACTAGCATTCTTCTGTCCATCCCAGAAGGTGTAGAGGGTGAGCTTATCCTGCCTCCAGTCCCATCAGCAACACCGATGAAGACTGACATAGGGAAAAGGCTCCTTCCTGGTTGTTGGTGGTGATGGCCGGTTCTGGAACCCCGAGGTCGTTCAATTGATCGCAAAGATTGGTGCCGCATACGGTGTCAAGAAGCTTCTCGTCGGCCAGAACGGCATTCTGTCCACACCCGCTGCCAGTCATGTCATCCGGAAGAGGAAGGCCACTGGCGGTATTCTCCTGACTGCCAGCCACAACCCTGGTGGTAAGTATCTCTTGCCTTGTGCTCAAGCATCCAGGTTCGCTTTCTGCGGCCCGCTGACCTTGAGCTACGCCAGGCCCCACGAACGACTTTGGCATCAAGTACAACCTGGCCAACGGTGGCCCCGCTCCCGAGTCCGTTACCAACAAGATCTACGAGGTTTCCAAGACCCTGTCCTCCTACAAGATCGCCGACATCCCCGACATCGACATCTCGACTGTTGGCACCAAGACCTACGGCCCCTTGGAGGTCGAGATTATCGACAGCACAGCCGACTACGTCGAGATGCTGAAGGACATCTTTGATTTCCCCCTGATCAAGAAGTTCTTCTCCGAGCACTCCGACTTCAAGGTCCTCTTTGATGCCCTGCACGGTGTCACAGGTCCTTACGGCAAGGCTATCTTCGAGGAGGAGCTCGGCTTGGTCGGCTCCACCCAAAACTGCGTGCCCTCGCCTGACTTCAACGGCGGCCACCCAGATCCTAACCTGACATACGCACACAGTCTTGTTGAGGAGGTTGAGAAGCACAAGATCCCATTCGGTGCTGCTTCCGATGGTGACGGTGACCGCAACATGATCTACGGCACCAACGCCTTCGTCTCCCCTGGTGACAGCTTGGCCATCATTGCGCACCACGCACAGCTCATCCCCTACTTCAAGAAGCAGGGCGTCTATGGCCTGGCCCGCTCTATGCCCACATCCGGAGCGGTGGACCTTGTTGCCAAGAAGCAAGGCCTGAACTGCTACGAGGTGCCAACTGGCTGGAAGTTCTTCTGCGCCCTTTTCGATGCTGACAAGCTGTCCATCTGTGGTGAGGAGTCTTTCGGCACAGGTTCCAACCACGTGCGCGAGAAGGATGGCCTCTGGGCCGTTGTCGCCTGGTTGAACATCATTGCCGGTCTTGGTGTTGCCAACCCAGGTGTCACACCCAGCATCAAGCAGATCCAGAAGGACTTCTGGACTGAGTACGGCCGCACTTTCTTCACGCGGTACGACTACGAGAACGTTGACTCCGATGGTGCCAACAAGGTCGTTGGCACGCTCAGCAACCTTGTTGCCGACAAGAGCTTCATCGGTAGCAAGATTGGCGACCGCACCGTCACCGGCGCGGGCAATTTCTCCTACACCGACCTCGACGGTTCCGTGTCCTCTAACCAGGGTCTGTATGCCACATTCTCCTCGGGAAGCCGAATTATCGTTCGTCTGTCCGGCACAGGCTCTGCTGGGGCCACCATCCGTCTGTACATCGAGCAGCACAGCTCTGACCCCTCGACGTACGACCTGGATGCTCAGGACTTCCTCAAGCCTGAGATCAAGATGGCGACAGAGCTGCTCAAGTTCAAGGAGTACGTTGGCCGTGATGAGCCTGATGTTAAGACATAGAGCCGAGAAGAGTGTATCGCAATCATGGCTCAGGGAATGAAACATCCAAAATGAATTGATGAAAGGCATAACCTTTACTTTATGAAATCAAAAGTCCCAAATCACCAGCCAATCTAAGTCTGAGACCCATTGCTCCATACAAAGCAATTGACAAGTATAACAGTCTTGATGCATTGTAGTGAGTTTGCTGTGGAAGCTCAATTGTGACGACGATATCTCGATACAGCTAAAGTACATACTGCTGCACCCCTGCCATTTTGGATTCACAAGTGACCTGCAAGATTCCTTGCACAAGTGCCCCACATCATATCATGCCAATGAGAGAAGTCATGCCTTCAAAACGGAATCAGAGCTGAGTGTTGAAAAGGTAAGCCAAGAGTATGAATAGATAATATGGCATAAGCGAGGAGGGTATCATTCAATCTGCGAGCTTTCCCTCCAAAGAGGAAATCCGTACTGTTCTTTTATGCGTCCCTGGCGCCTCGCTTGGAACATTAACATCATCATCGTAAAGGAAGGAACCACAAATGCTGCGTCAGTCGTTCATCATACATCATAAACCTCGTCAAGAGAATCTCAAACAAAAGGGTCGGTGATGTGGAATACTGCTTGAGGCCGAACTTCTGGCCTAGCAAATTGAGCATGAAAAGAGGATAGGGACCTTTGCAACGTGAGGAGTTGCAGGCTCTGGGAAAACCCGGTTATGTTGAACGTGGCCTCGCGGTTCGTGTAGGTGGTCGACCGGAACCGTGATCGGCCGTGTGAGTAGGTGTCACTCGCCGTCACCCTGGGACGCGGGGGCCGGCGCAGGATAAAAGACCTCCTTGAACCGCCCGGCAGCTTGATCTATTTCTCAGCGTGGTCTTTCCTTCCGGTGCCAGGGGCAAAAAGAGGGAGGGGGGGTTGGTGGTTTGAGAAAAACGGGGAAGGGTTGGGGAGAGCGGAGGTTGCGACGTACCTTCGTCACTGACGAAATGGATCTCGAAGGCGCCGGCCTTGTTGCGGCGCATGTTGGCCTCCTTGTACTTGTCGCAGAAGACGTAGAGCTTGATCTCGTTGATCCAGACGCGGTGCTTGGACTTGCGGGTGAGCCAGCGGCTCGAGGCGGACTGGTGGGTGACTGATTGATCAGAGGTATTAGCTGGGTTCCGGATTTGGGCCAGGAAAGAGTGGTCAGTGTTGGATGCGTCCTGTCCCCCCACACGTACCGAAGGCGGTCCACACCGGGCACGCTCGCAGCTCGCCGTCCCAGACTGCGGCGTGGAGGCGCATGCCTCGCGTCCTGGTGTCCTCGTAGACTATTAGGGAGTGCTGGTAGTCATCGTCGATGATTTGTCTGGGGTGGTGTATTAGTTGGCCAAGCGTGATGCACAATGTTGAAAAAGTCTAGAAGAGTGACAATGTTGGAGCGGGATGTGGAGTACATACGCTTGGAACAAGCGTTTCTCGTCGTAGAACTTGTATTCCCGTGGATCCATGCTGACCGTCAGGTTATTCCGGGCCTTCAAGGCGATGAATGTGCAGTGGAAGAGGACCAATTCTAGATGAGCAAAACAAGGTCAGCACTCATTTCCCTTCGACCTGGTGTTCAGACGTGGACCCAGCGTGTGCGCCATGAGCATCGAGCATGAGATCTCCCTACCTTCCCAGGTGATGAAGCCCAGGACTGCCCAAAGCTTGGGGCCCTGGATCGAATGGCTCCACCTCTTGAGCCGGAGGCTGTTCCCGGCCTGGTGCACGCATATCTCGTGGATGCCGCGGAAGGAGAAGAACTGCGCGCCGCCGTCGTACACGCGGAGGACAAAGTACGGCCCGCCGTTGGCCGCGTTGAGGATGATCATCATGCCGAGGCGGTCGCTGTCGAAGGAGCGCCGGAGCAGCACCCTCGCGGCGTCCGGCATGTGCCGGGCCCCGTCGCCGGCGGGGATGAACGGGCCCCGGGCGTAGGATCGCAGGGGCCCGTGCATGTCGGTCCGCGAGCTGAGCGGGGCCGCGAACACCTGCTCGGCCCAGTGGGGCCTCTCGCGCATCAGCGGCACCATCGCCCCCTCCTGCCGGATGAGCTCCGTGACGGGCGACTGCGTCGGCGCCGGCAGGCCTTGCCGCTCCCGGAGCGTCATGATCCGCGCCCGTTGGAGCTCGAGCTGGGTCCGGTCTTGAGCCTTCTCTCTGCTGAGCAGCAGCACGAGCAGCGACAGGAACCGGTTGTACAGCAGGAACCTCTGGAAGAGCTCCATGTCGGCTTCCTTCTTCATCTCGTGGTACATCTTGCGCCATCGCAGCTCGCGGGTGACCGTCTTATCGTCGTAGTAGGTTGCGATATCCCTGAGTGATTTTGACAGGCACGGCAGAACAACGTTGAGGTAGTTGGTAACGATTGGTACTCTCGATGCGTGAACGTGGCCGCGGTCTGCAAGTTCGCGAAGGTTTCGCCCGGACTGCCGAATTTCTTCAATGATTGGGATCATGTGCCCATGGAAGGACTGAGCCAGGGCAACTCGGAGGGCATCAAGTCCTAGAGCTTGTTAGTTGTTGTTGTCCCTGAGACCACTGGTTTTCTTCTTCGTATACCTTGGGCAACACGGTCTGCCCTGTCGGCCTCAAGGAAGCAACCATGTAGCAGTTGGCTCTGGGGAGGCATCGGTGCCCCCACGAGAAAGTCCCAGTCCATCGTGGAATGTGTGCAGTCGTTCACTAAGCAAGGCTGCGGCCCTCGGAATTCATGTGATACAGCAGAAACAAGACAGAGCTTATCGGGCGTCTCGAGATTGACAACTCAGTGGCAAGGAGGACGCCACTTGGCTTTCATCGTGATGGATTATGAGAAAAGGATATCGAGTTGATGCTCTGAGTCCTGGACCTAGTCGCTTCTCGTTCCCAGTAGGACGTCCTTTACCTTTGCGATGCCGATTTGGAGGCCGGAGAGTTGTGATAGAGTACTCTTATGTTTTGCCTCTGATCGTTATGACGAGAAAAAATCGATCATAGACTTCTGCGATTGATCCAGGAGCATGTGCTGAACTAGAGGGAGACTGCGAGCAGAACTTGTGTGTTGGAATCGATGTGACAGTGCGGGTGATTCAGCAACATCACAGGATAAGCACGCCCGGCGTCTCAACACACCTAATCAAAAGTGTCGGAGGGGCAGCAGCAGTAGGAGGTACATATTTGTGGGGAGTGTGGGAAAGCGCCGGAAGTCATTGCTGTGCGGCTCTGCTGTGCTCTGACGTGTCAATCGGCCGACAGCGAGGGCATCTATCTGCAGGTGCTCATTGTTGCGTGAGCTCTGTTCCAAGGTCGGCCTGTGTAGTGGTTGGCCGGGTGTGCGTGTGGCATGTACCTCTGGCAGATCTTTCGGGAATGGCCTCACTAAGGCCAATGGTCACGTCAAAACTCACAAAGAAATATTTGGGGACTTGCAACGTGCGACCCTCGTGAGGAATGAGAAAACAATCGGCGGCGACAGGGACTAAGGTGTAAGGCTTGGTACGCCAATTGACTGACAGCAATCGATTAGGAGTCGCGGGTTGGCACAGGAGCGAACACACTCTGGGCATCCGGCAGGGACACAGTCTGTTGACCCCGACAGTGAGCCGATGCATACCTTGCTCTCCCGAACGGAACAAAGCGAAAGAGGAGCCACGATGGGCAGGGCCAAAACCCTTGGGGCAGAGGGTTCGCGTCTGGCCCGTGGGAAACTCTATCGTGCAGCCTCCTAATGCAAGTGAGTGACCCGGCGGGCGAATCGCCTGCGCAGCTCGAGGGCCGGGTCGCATTGGCCCGCAGCACTGGGAGAATCGCCGTCCCGCTCGACCATGCTGGAGGTGGTCTGGAACAACTCGGTGCTGCGTGACATTGGCTTTCGGCGATAGTAATTTGCACCGTGGGTGGTATCGCCCACGACAACACGTCGTGTCATATAGGATCGTATGGTCGGGTAAAGAGACTCGGTTCTCCTCTTGTTATAGCCCATCAAGGTAATGTCAGAGCCCTTGCTGCACGTGGATGCATCATGTCTTGTGTGACGTTTCTCAACGAGAACTCTGCGATGTTGCTCGTCCACGAAGGGGCTGGCATTGGGAAATGATTGCTAGTCGAACGACAGGCTAGGATGGACATGTAAGTATCAGGAGATAAGATGCGCTATGGCGGGAAGGTGTTTTATGAAAAGGGACCCATCGCATCGCTTGGTGAGATTGGGAAGCCGGCCCGGGGTAGTCGCAGGACATGACTTGTCACGCTGCACGAGCAGTTCCCGTAGGCAGTGGTCGCATGTGCAAGACAATGTGTCTGATTGCGACAAGATGACAACTCCCAGGTGACGCGGTAGAAGATCCTCGTTGCTACCGTATATTGCCAGTCGGGTCGCGACTTGCTCCATATTTGCTGCTCCAAATCCATGAGCTGTCGGGACGGAGATGCCAGCCAGCCGACCCAGACCGGGCCGTGGAAAAACGCGAGCTGGCGACAATGATGGCGGCTGCGGACCATCGCGTGCTGGCGTGTAAGCAGCGAGGCAGGATGTGGGGACAAGGGGGCAGGTCCACAAGCCGATGCTGTCGGGTCGAGAACCCTGAGTAGCTCAACTCCCGGGACACTGGGACTGTCTTCACTGTAGATCTCGTCAATCGCAGCGTAGGGGACCTCACTTGCCCAGGACGACTGCTCGACTCATGGTAGCCCCAGTGGGCACTATGGGAGCACTGCCGAGGGCCCACACGCACGTCCTTATTGACGCGCACGCGCGTTGAGACAGCCACGGAGCAAGGTCTTCCAAACGAGCTTGCTACTGGATTGGGCTGGCCAAGTCACAAAGTCCAAGGTGAAGACTGCTTTCTCATTTACGTCGTGTGTTCGACTAGACTGATCCCAGAAGCGACTCAACTCAAGCCTGAAATAAGGCCTAACTAATCATACATGGGCATCGTCCTCAAACATGATGCCTTCCAGTGCCGTCCGCAAAGCAAATGGTCGCCTTCCCTGCCAAGCCGAACACCGTACCCATCCAGAGAGATAGAAAATGAAAAGAGCGTGGACGGCCACGGCCACCAGGGGCGTGTGTGGGGGTGGTCATCCCGGGGTATGAGGTTGGAAGGTATTGGCGGGTGAAGTTACAGCAGGTTCATTGCTGATTTACTCCTCCTCTTCCTCCTCAGCCTGCAGACAGACCCAGTTAGTTCCTGGCAAAGTGCGAGTAGAAGTGCCGGAAGTTCATCATGAACCTACGTTGTACGCCTGCTTCTCATCCTCGTATCGCTTCTTGTCAGCGGCAGCCTTGGCCTCGTAAGGAGCACGTTGCTTCTCGTTGAGGGCCTTCCAGCGCTCTCCGAGCAGCTTGCCGACTTGACCGAAGGTGATACCAGGGTTCTCCTCACGGACATTCTCACGCTGCTCGTTGGCGAAGAACATGTAAGCGGAGAGACCACGCTTGGGCGCGTTGGGGTCTGTTTTGCTTGTTAGACCCAGTACAATCAAATCTGGCGCGCCATTTTGAACGCGTCTTCGGAGCGAACTCACCCTTCTTCGCGCGGCGGGTAGCCTTTGCGCCCTTCTTGGTTGCAGCCTTAGGCATGATGAGAAGCTGGGAAAACTGTTAGTTCGAAAAATCCAGTCACGTCAATTGATGTGTGCCATGGTCAAGGGATGTGGCTGAACAGGCTGCAATTGCGAAAAGGCCGCTGCTGCTGCTGTGGTGGCGTGGTGTTGCTGGGGGCAGCCTTGCCGCCGGGGCGACTCGGTCAAGCAAATCGCAGAGCTCCGTCGAGCTCCGGGAAGAGCTTGGGATGAGCTCCCCAGCCGGCGCGGTCGGTCGCGTCGGCGGGCCCCTCGCCAAGCAACGCGTCGAGCGGTCGCAAACGCAATTGAAGCCGCCCGCGCGAGCCAAAAAGCGATTGAAAAGGTGAAATGGGTGCTGAAGGCCGTGATACATACTTGTGATGTGTTTTTGAATGTAGTTGAGAGTGTGGTGTTGATTGACTAAGGTGCGCGCAAGTCTGTCAGTAATGATCGCGTTGCGTTGCGTTGCGGCAGCAGTAGTAATAGAGAGCAGGGTGGTTTATGGTGGCGGTGGTGTTATGTGGTGCGCAGCGTGCAGTGCGAGTGTGTGTGTGTGTGCAGTGTGTGGGCGGGTGATGGGTGATGGATGGTTGAGCAAGGTGAAGGGCGAACCGCGCAGTCCGGATGGCTTCACGATGCACCGTTCCAAAAGGCCAAAGTGAGCTCCAGACAGGACGGGAAAAGGGTCAGGAAGTGATTTTGAAGCCAAAACGATGCGTGGACGGCGGTGGGAAAGGTGCACAGCAGAGGCCTGCTTAGTGACTTTTGTTTTGGTGATGGGATGGGCGGCGAGCAAGGTACTCACTGTGGATTGCGAGTGTTTGGTGACGCTCTCGCAGAGAAGTGGTTTGGCTGTGAGGTGAGTGAGTGCAAAGAGACGAGAGAGAGAGCAAGGAAAATTGTATGGGGGCAGTGTGTGGGCGACCCTTTTACTACCCGTTGCTGATCCAGCTTTCCCACTCGCACTCCCAGTCCCTCTCTCCCCGTCCCTCCAAGTCTCAGGCGCGAATTATGCGGGGACCATGGAAGTAACCAGGGCCAGAGGTACCTACCCTCCCAGCCTGCCTACCACCCTCCCCCCCAGTGACGGTGCGGTGCTGTGCGGTGCGGTACAGTACAGTACGGTGGGAGAAGTTAGCAAGGCCCAGCCCAGCCCAGCCAGTCCAGGTCTGGTCAGGTCTGGTCAGGTCAGACTGGTCAGTCAGTCCCAATGTCGGTGCCCTCTCGCTCTCTCTGCCCTTTTCGCGCGCTCGCTCGCTCACTCATTCACTCAATTCAGTCATACATTCGCATTCATCCCAGCCCGTCAACCAGCGTCAACCAGTCAACCAGTCACCCAGCCTACTAGTGCCTGGGAAGGTGCACACTCGACTGCCACACTTGCACACTGCGCCGCCCGTCCCTTCCACCTTCCACCTTGCTTGCACCTTCCTTCCATCTAGCACCTGGCACCTTGCACCTTGCACCTTGCTCCTTGCACATTGCTGCTGCCTTCCCATCTCCTTCCCTTCCTTCCCTGTGTGTTGTGTGTTGTGGGCTGTGTTGTGTTGTGCTATGTTATGCTTGGTGTTAGACTGATTCCCTCACCCATCCATATCCATCCATGCCTTAGGTGGGTAGGTAGGTACCCATACCCCCCTCCCCCCAACCCATGCTTCCTGATAGATAGATGTCCATGAGCTCGCGCACGCACACATACACCACACATACACACATAGAGCTTCCACTCAAACAGTCTAGACTGCTCGTGGTTGCATTGCACACATCAGACCAGTCAGCAGCTCGGACAGCAGCAAGAACAAGGACAACAAACAAGTGCAGCAAGAAGAAGAAAGAAGCAGCCGAGCCAGCCAGAGTCAGGCCAGAGGTCAGGGAAGCTCCAGGAAGCCCCTAACAAAAGCATGTCTGGGTCTGGCGTTCCTGGTGGGCAGCAATCCTTGTGCTCTTCGGCTGAAAATGTTGGAGGCACGGCCATGGAGTAGCGCCTACTGCACTGCACTGCTCCGTACCCATGCCATGCCATAGTACACGGTACTATGTACTCTTGCCCACAGCCTGATGCTTCTCGCTTGGTATGCGCGGCCCGTTGACATCCAGCCCTCCTGTCCCTTGTGTCCCTCACCATCCAAGGTGATCGGCACTCTCCCATTTCTTGCTACACGTTCGACCATCTGCAATCAGCAAGAACAAGTGTCCTTATGGTCTCGAGTGCCCTCTGTATGACTATGCTTTTTTCCATTTTCCCTGACCTCGGGGTTGCTCTGTTTGGTGCTGTTTCCTGCGGCATGAAGGGTGTGCTTTTCGCGAATCCCAGCCAGGGCAGAGAGGTATCTCACTATCCCCCTGTTAGCGTTTACTATCTCTACTGCCCCCGGCGCTATCTAAGTGCCCACCCCCCTCTTCTCTCTCACACACACCGCGCCAAGGTACTGAGGTACCGCTGCGTACTCCCAACATCCATCGACACACGAGTAATTATTTTGGACTTGATTTGCTCGAGGCTACGAGCACAGTTCCTCGGAACCCAGGAATGATCTCGCCAGCCGGAGCCGGTTGGGGGATGCCTCCTTTTGGTCTTTTGGTGTCTGACCAGAAGCAGCACCGTTTCCGAAGCACAGGAGTTACGTTCCGAAATGCTGCAAACCGCTAGCAGAGCACGAAGTCCCGATAAGCAGGCTGGCTCGCAATTCAACCCGCAAGGGTAGTAGTAGTGGTGCCGTGCTCGTCGACTCCACGTCAGTCGACAGTCAATCAGCCGTAGTCCTTGCTGCAGTCACTATTGCTGTTTGTTGTGTTGTGTGTGTGTGTGTGTGTGGTTCCTCCTTAGCACACTGTACTGGTGTTCATGACTGCTTTGCCGCGCTACCGTTGCCCTCCCATGCGTTAGGCAATGCCGAACGACCTCAGCGACAAGTTGCGTTTCATCCAGCTTGTTGCTTTGGTCAGGAGGGAAGCAGTCCAGCCCACCGCCAGACCATATCCAGGAACCTACCTCCAAGCCGCGGACATGAGCCAGCCACTGCTGCTTGCGGACCACCAAGGTTTGGGGAGCTGGCCCGATCAGGCATGTGGAGGGGGGGGTGTGGTTGCTTGGTGGGCACGCCCAAATGCCTCTCCGCGCACCTTGGGTGGGCGAGGGCAGGGACCTCGCCTCTTCATGCGACACCGGCATGTATTTTTATGCGCTTTTCCCCACGTACCGGTACATCGACCATGCCCATGCGCTGCACAAGGTCACTCTACCTGACTCTTCCAAGGTACACCCGCCTAACGTACTCACCTCACCCCGCCCATTTTCGCCCGCAGCCAGAATTGGAGAGAGGCCAGGAGCGCAGGAGCGCAGGACACCAAGCACGAGGGCGAGAAAGGCCAGGCGTGGGACCCGACCCAGATCAGCCAGCCCCCTAGCGCTGCCTCAAAACCAGCCCTCCACCCAGCACCCGCCTTCTCCCTCCGTACTACACACAATTCCACACCCGCACACGGGAGCATCATTTTCCACGATGCGAAACAGCAGCGTAGTCGTCGAGACTGCCCAGCTTCTCTGTGCAACACCTGGCACTGCTGCAGGCTACCACGCCCACATCTCCTTGTCTTTCCCCACACTCGCTTCTATCTTGTCCATCGAGTGAGTGATGCCGCACAAGGGAAGGAAAACATGTGTCACGGTCGAAGCAGGCGCGCTTCTTACCCACAACCCACCCACTCACTGCCTTGAGTTTATTTGTGGTCGGAAGCATGAGCGAGACTCTTCCATAAGAAACGCGTTGTCAGATAAATCCGGACGACGGCCCACTTCATGCTGCAACCACTTGAAGTGATCATCACAGACTTTGACGCGTCTTGAGAATAAGTCCATCATCTCCTAGGCATGAATACATACGTATCGTACGTACGTGGATACATAAGCGGGAGGGAGTTGCATTGTTTCTCGCCTCCACCCACCGCGGTTCCACGGGGCCACAGGACCACAGCACAGCCGGGACGTGGTGGAATGGGATGACTGAATGATGAGACCAATCCGTGCTCATGCACTGCACATACCGCACCGCAACCGTGAACTGACTAAGCCTGGAGGCTACTGCATCCGAGCCGAGGTCGAGCGAAGCTCCCAGCTCCCCCCCCCCCCGAGCTCCAATAAAGCTTGCTCGTAACCTCTGCTGATTCAGCCCGTCTTGGCACGCCGGGAGAGACTGTTACGCGACGCGATGAATGTTAAACTTCCAAGGGGTATACATGTAGGCACCGTACTTATCACCTCGCCTATACTGCTGGTCATTCTTCTAGACCCGACAGTTTGGAATCCGGGGTAAAGCGTCGACGCCTCCGCCGAGATGTCGCCCTTCCTGTTGGTGAAGTCGTTGGTTGCTGCAAGTACACGCCGACCAGGGTCCTATCCCATAGCTTCGAAATAGCACCATGTCGCCGCCCTCGACCTGATTCTCACGTCGCGACCGACGACTACGGATGAGCAACATCCGCGCATGACTGTCCATAAGTCACAACAATCACATCATTTGAGGATTGCGAAAGATCCTCATATACTTCTCATCCCGCCCGCCCCTGGAACCATGCCCTTTCCCTCGTGACTGTGCGTAGAAAATGTGACTACCCAGTGGTAATGGGGTTTGACACCTATCAGTCAGCACGCGCAAATGTGCTGATGCTACATACACGCGTCTCGATACTATCTTCACTATCTTCTGCCAGGACTTGATGCGTTAGAGACGTTGACGAGTTAGAGTGGAAGTGAACTTACCTCTTCCTTGCACGTTTGTACACCAACAAGCATTTCCTGAGCCATTGCTAGGCTAGCTTTCCAAGTACAGGAAGTCTCATGGGGAGTCGAGATGATAGTTGCAGTCCGAGGGAGAATATTCATCGCCCTTTGAGCACTGCGTGGCCAAGTATTATGCGCTGACTTTACGTGTTGCGCCAAATAATCCTCGGATCAAATGCCAGCTCTGCCTCGTACAGGGTAAAAAGTAGTACGATAGACACCACGGCGCACCAAATGCCTGGGCAGCTTCTACTCCGGGTCGAGCACCACGTCCCTCAGCACCGGATCGGCCGCCCAGTCGACCCCGCTCCCAGCGACGATGCCGCTGGCCGTGCCCTTCATGACCCGCCACTTCTGCCTGCTGGCGGCGAGCCTCTTCTCCAGCTCCGCGATCTGCCCCTCGGCAGCCGGGTCGCCTCCCTCGGCGGCGGCGGCGGCAGCGCCGGCCCTGCCGCGGTCGGCCTCCCTCGCGAGACGGAGGACCTCGGCGGCCAGGTCGCGGTTGCGCCGGGACGCGCGCAGCACCTCGCTCTCGGCCTCGGTCAGCTGGCCGAGGACCCGCCGCGCCGCGGCCGACTGCCTCGCGACGTCGTGCGACGCGCCGTCGCGCGCCTGCACCCATGGCAGGATGTCCTGCTCGATGGGCGACGCCGACGTGCTGCCGTGGATGCCCTTGAGGAGCGGGTTGGCGGTGAGCACGTTGTTCACCACGCCGTTGCGGAGGTTGTACAGCGACATGGCTTCGAGGAGCTGGCTTCTGGCTTCCGCGATCTTGTCTGGGTTGTCTTCTTCCCCCTCGTCGTCGTGATGTCCTTCCTTCTCGGCCTCTTCTGCTCAATTTCAGTGTTGACGCCGCGAAAAGGCATGTTGAGAACTCACCAGCGAGGCGTACCCTGGCCCGGGCCAGTGCAAGCTCCAGCTCCAGTTTCTGGGCTTGGTCGTAGAGTTCCAGAATCTCCTTTTCCTCGTCAGAGAATGATGGGCCTTTGCTGATGTCGGTCTCTTGTGCTGCGTCCTCCATTTGGAGGTCTGCCATGGTGCGCGTGGCTTGTGGTGTCACAGAGACGAGGATGGACACTGCGCGTGTGCCACAGAAGACGCGTCAATATGTCTGCAGTGACTGTGCGCAAAGGTTGTGTTTTTGTGTAGATGCTATCGATTGTACAAATTGATCACTGGGGCCACTAGCGTGAAGTATCCTGCGTAATCTGGTACCGGCATCAAAACAGATGGTTGTGAGTTGGGAAGGATTTGGGTCTAAGATGCTATTACTACGACTACGAGACAGAAGGCCGTAGATAGATTACCTGGGCGGTTTACAGTGCTTCCAGGGACCTTTTCTAACATCGATCAAAATACATCTCATCCATCTTGGCTAAGACTTAAGACGAAAGGCACGGTATATTTCTGAGACTGACTCGCGAGACTCCAAAGTGACATATGACGATCAGGTCAAGCACACTGAAGCTGAGTGGTTCTATGTGAGGTCATCCTGCCATGCCGGGCGAGTACATCTGACTCTCTAATCCTGGGTTACAGCCCGCCTGCCGCGTGCACAAGGGTGGTTGATTGCTAAGTCACAAACTAGCCGCCCCAGGTCACGCGCGGCAGCGGTTCCTTTACAGCAGGCCGCATCTTCCTAATACGACTCTCTACCTCCCACCTACGACTGAGGGAAACCTCCCCTTTCCATGACACGCAGCATTATCCAGCATACCGTTTCCTTTGGCGATGCGCTCAGTCTTTACCATGGACGATGGCGACCCTCTGCTTCTCAAGCTCGGGCCAGCAGATGCAACTCGATACTTCCCAGCTCACAACGTTCGTTCGGACCCCCGCTATCGCAATGCTTTGTCTTGCCGAGCTAACCAGGAATTGTGCGTAGGATCGATGACTTCAAAGTTGCTGTGTCCAAGAAAATCTCTATTCCCGCGCAGTTCCTCATCGCACTCACACCGCAAGGGAAACCGCTGAAGCACCAAGACCTCCCGACCGAGGTACAGCCCCCCGCGACGACAATAACCAAATCTGAGTGACAATGACTGATATATCTTGCTGGCACTAGAGAGAGATCTACATCTACGACATTCGAATATCCCAGCCTCCAACCCCTGGTACACCATCCTCTGTCAATGTCGAGGTCGGGCTTCCGAAGCCGTACAGTTTGCCAGAGCCTCCAAACCGAATCAACGACACCAAGGCACTGCAGTCATGGCAAGAGCTATTCAGGTCACGCGGAGCCTGGGCCGGAAGAGCGGTGGGCGATTGTGCATCGATGGCGCAGGCCACACGAGATCGATACGGCGAGATGGATGTCATGATGCGCTGTCTTGATGCTGCCATCGCAAACCTCGAATCCGTTGTCAAGACGATAGAACCAAAATATCAAGAGCTCAGGAAGTGGGCGGACCCTGCCAAATCGGAGTACAACACACTCGTCAAGAATTGGCAGTCATATCTCAGTCTTGCTCGGAGTATACCCATCTCTCCAGGCATGGCGTCCTTCATGACAGGCCGGAGCTTTAATTCAAAGAATAATGCGGCCCGACAGCCTACCCTGGAGGATCTCCTGGACTTAGATACCACGAGGCTGACCGGACAACGGGCACCCCAAGCACTACGAAAGTTCAATCAACGCGTAAGCGACCTGGAAAAGACGGCGGCACGCATGCTCAAGAACTGCCAGGATGTCACCCAGGATTTCGAGCGACTCATAGAACGCTCCGCCATGTCCCATGATGGTGAGGCCGCTCAACTTTTGGAGGACATCGAGGCTGTAGCCAGGAAGATTGATGCAGACTATGAGACAACCATGGAGCTCACAAACACCGCCCGGGACCTTACACAAGCTTCAAAACTTGCTGCAACCCACACCGAGCGGCTACTCCCCAGCATAAAGGCCAGGGCCCTCGAGATGGATGAAATGCTTCGGTACGCAACTCAGGCGCGAAATGCCCTTGCCTTGGAGTCCGTAGACTTCATGCGTAGTATAACGGACATAACGTCTCTCACAACCACGGTCAAATCCCAAATCAACGTCCTGGGCTCGGAGGAAGAGCTAGCCACGTTTGATTACCTGAGACTGATACAGCAAGTCCCTTTCATGTACGCATCCTTTGCCATCGAAGCGTTGAAACGAGGCGAGTGGTATGAGAAGGTTAAGGTCGACGCGTCTACCCTGGCGAACGAAATGGCTGTTTTCCAGGATGAGGAGATCAAGAGGAGAAGAAAGTGGCTCAAAACGGTCGAGAACCTCTACGGTCCCCAAACGGCATCCGGTGAGAGCAACGTTGCTGGTTTGGAGGTCAATCTACTGGGCCAGGAAGAGGAGTGGCCGACCATGAGTAAGAAGGAATTGACCGATTTCTACGACTCTCTCCAAAGACAGAAGGCTGAGCAGGAGTTGCTCAACGACATTGGCAAACTGATTGTGGACTTGAACAATCCGACAAAGCAACAGTCGAAACGTTTGAAAGCGTTCAAGAATGGCAGCATTCATGAAGCATCCTTGGGCAGGAGCGGCTTGTTGGTTCGGGGTGACGAGGATGTTCTACGATCGCTGCAGGAAGAAAAGCAAAGGGTCGACAACAAACTCAAGACAGCGGAAAGCCGAGTGCGACGTCTGGAGGACCTGCTACATAGGCAGAGCCAGTCTTCCAGGCCAACATTCGGGAACCTGTTCCAGTCCCCAAGCCAGCAACTTATGGAGCGAAATGGCTCGACCACGTCGGTGCAGAAGGCATCCGAGGACCGTAGGCGATCATCATCAGACTTCCCAGAAGGCCTTGTGCAGCGTATTCAGCAGCTTGAAAGCGAGCTCAGCGCAGAAAGAGAGAAATCCGCTGCATTCGAGAAAGACTTGAGTGCCCGCACGACCCAGCACGAGACTGTCAAGGGCCAAATAGAAGAAGCCAATTCTACTAAGAAGGATCTTCTTGAAAACATGGAGGCCCTGAAGCGGGAATTTGTGGAGGAGCGCAAATCCCTCGAAGACGAAATCAAGCATCTCAAAGCGCGAATTGAGGATAATGAGGACGAAATGGAACACTTCGGCGAATCCCGAGAGCATGAGAAGGCACACTACGATGGCAGAGTTCAAGCCCTTGAAGATGAAATGGCGCAGCTGGCCAAGGAGAGACGCGACGAACAGCTCAAGTATGAAGGACAAGTCGAGTTCCTCAGAAAAGAATCGAAACTACAGAGGGAACAAGCTGAGGAACTGGAGAAGCAGTACAAGTCAGTGCAAGACGAAAACAAGAATCAACGCCAGCAACTGGAGGCGGCCAAGCAGACCGCAGAGTCTCAATTGCGAGCATTGCAGGACTTGTACCGCCAACTTGACCCAGGTGGTAGTATCCCAGAAGATCAAGAAGAACTTATCGAAAGTATGGCTAGCAAGTGTGCCGATGTCCTCATGAGGGCCCAAGATGTCGAGGCCAATATCTCTCTGGTACATTCGGATCTACACTCGGCTGAAGTTACCGTCAAAGATCTTCGGGCAGAGATCTTGACGGCAAACGAGTCTTTGGCTAAGGAGGAGAGCTCAACAATGCAGCTTCGAGAACAGCTCGGAGAAGAGAAGGCTCGCGTGGCCGCGCTCGAAGGCGAGCTGGACGAGACCCGCAACCAGCTCAACGAATTGAGAGTCAAGATTGCTGATGGAGAAACCGGCTCAGAGAGTTTGCGGAAGAGGCTGGAAGAGGACGAGAAGAAGATCACGACGATGTCGGAAGATCTGGCTTCAAAGCAGTCCCAAGTTGGGAGCCTCGAGGAGGAGCTTCGTCTCTTCAGAAGCAAGCTCGAAGAGTCTCAGGTCAAGCTTGGTGTGCTCACCGACCGTTTTGTGGCACGTACGGAGCACGCCAAAGACCTCACCCAGAAGCTTTACACTCAAAATGACCGTCTTAGGCGTCTTCTCGAAAGACTTGGCTTCTCAGTCAAACGACAGGATGGCACTGTGGTCATTCAGAAGATCCCGCGTGCTGAGCGTTCTGTGCAAAACCTCAACGATTCCATCGACCCAGGCGCTTCCCTCCGTCGTTCGGGAACTCTCTCCCAGACCCCCGATAGTAGCGATCTCGAGCTACTGTACTGGATGAACAATTCGGACCCAGCCACCGAATCGGAGAGGTACCAGGTCTTCATGGCGGAGCTTGGTAGCTTCGACATGGACGCCCTCATAGAGACCGTCTACAAGCGAGTCAAGGATATCGAACATATGGCTCGGAAGCTACAACGCGATGCTCGATCTTACCGCGACAAAGCTCATGCTCTACAAAAGGATGCCCACGACAAGATCGCGTTCAAGAACTTCAAGGACGGTGACTTGGCTTTGTTCCTGCCGACTAGAAATCAGATGACTGGGGCCTGGGCCGCTTTCAACATTGGGTTCCCGCATTATTTCCTCCGCGAGCAAGAAGCACATCGCCTCCGCAACAGAGAGTGGCTATTAGCGCGCATCAGCCGCATCCAAGAACGAGTCGTCGACTTATCCAAGAGCCTGAGCAATCAGGCGTCGGGCAACGGAGCCGCGGAAACGGACTCTGTGGATGACGAAAATGACAACCCATTCGATCTCTCCGATGGCCTACGTTGGTACCTCATCGATGCGCACGAGGACAAGCCTGGCGCACCTTCGACACCAGGGCTTGGGAAAAGCACGGTCGCTGCTAATAAGGTAGACGCCGTTGCGGAGCGAGCACAGATTCGATCGGCATCCGGCAAGGGCCTTGGGTTGGGTGGTCGCGGTCCAACCGGCATCGATGGGGTGAGCAAGACTCTGTCCAAGAGCCTTGAGAGCCGTCGCTCCAGCACAAGTTCTAAGAAGGCCTTGCCATTTGGCATTGGTGGTGGTGGAAAGGGCAGCGGGCTCGCCAGTGAAGCCAATTCCATCCGGGCCGCACCGGCAGACTCGCCAGATCCCCCGGCCGAATCAAGCGGCCAGCAGCCCCCGAATACTAGTACAGAGCAGACAAACGGCGGGGGTGAAGCTCAAGCTGAAGGTACCGCTGCGGCGGCAGCGGAACAACAGGGGCAGCGGCCGCCTGACGGCGCCGCGGGCACCGAGGTGCGCAATAATGAGATTGATGACCTGCTCGGGCCCTAGTGAGGCCTCGTTTGGCTGATGAACTCTTCTCTTCTCTCCAGCACGGCCGGCGACTCCGGCTACCTACCCTGGCGCAAGTACGCCCAAGACCGCTGGTGCAGCAGCAGCAGCAGCCGCCGCCGAACGGCGCCCCGGAGTCTGTGGACAGCCCCTCTAATAATAGCAAGCGGAGGAGCGTGATTTGGGACTCCCTGTGGAGTCTGGACCTGAGCTACGAGAGCGGGCGCAAGGGCAAATAGACGTCATGGTATGATGCATAGGTAGAATCACGATCTATCACGGCGTCTCGGGAGATGATTCATTCAATGCTTGTGTGTGTGTGTGTGTGTGTGTACCTGGGAGCCACGGGGGAGTGATTGGTCTTTGAATGCGTGTCACAAAACATCCGGTTCATGCAGAGTGATGTTTGGCATCATTAGACGTGTACTTATTTTGACCATGATTTCTCCCCATCAGCGTTTGGAGCTTCTTGAGAGGGCATGATGATTCCAGCATAGGGACGAAGGAAGGCATCAATGTTTGAATGGGTATCATATATACTTGCCAATCGCGGAGCCTGTCCCAGGAGCGGACACGGTTCAGCACGCAATGAACTGTTGAGGCGAAGGATGAATTGGATAACGAACGACTCCCAATGGAGCACATATTTACCACACAATACATATCAGTTTCATAGTCGAAGAGTAACGTTGAATCCTTTCTGCGCACAACTTGAGTAATTGGCCGCCCCGGGGTCACTGAAGATTTGTAAATTCCCGAACATTATCCACGCAATTGAAAAAGAGAATATCTTTTCCCCCTCTTCCTACACCGTGCGAGTATGCGCAGGGACATGGCGTGTCCCTCATCTTTTTCCCTACTCCGTCAATATGTGGTTGCAGTGCCTCCACCCACTTGCTTCCATGTTGGAATCTCTACGACGTGGCGTGATACAGTACATGTGGATCTTAGAATCAACAATTTGGCAAACCTATGCCAGACTAGGGTTTGCACGTTATATAACGATGACTCAGATTGTCGAGAGGGAACGGTGGACAGAACTGGGATGAAAGGAGATCCCACAGGATTGTCACAATAAATTCAACATCTTGTGATTATTCACCACAAAAACAACTTCACGATGCCACTTCGGGAAGCAGGACCGTAAACACGTGCCGAAGATAGGGGTATAATCTGCGCAATTGGCAACGCCCGCTATCACTTCGAATTCATGACTGAGTCCCTCGGCCTGCCATCAGAGCAGGGTGGACAGGCAGTCGATTGCCTATCTAAATCAATCATGCATCCCTCTCCCGTCTCGCACCCCGGCTGCGTCGATGCGACGGGCAGGTACGCTTGGTTGGCTATCCCCAGAGGCTGAACGGCCTTTCTCCCGCGTCTCCCGCGTCTGCTTCCAAGTCGTATGTCGAACGGGACACAGACAAATAATGGTGTTTTCAAACCACAGAAAATTCAGACTGGCTCAGTTGCACAAATCCTTCTCGTACGCCCCTGCTAATGCTGCCGTGAATTCGGCTTAGAGGCGTCTCGTATCTCTGCCTCGGATATCAATGCCCAATGACGAGTTTTGAAAAATATGAACCTCTATCGATGCTCAGGCGGTGACCGCTGGCACAAGAGGCGCGTCATTGCCGCTGCCATTCCCGCTCTGCGATTCGATGAAGCCAGGCCGCCATTTCGTCAGGTATTTGGCAGCCATAGGCCTGGCATCCTCATCTGCGCATGTGTCGTCAGTCTCCGATATCTTCGATCAAGCAAAGAGGTGGGTAGGAATAGACTTACACTCAACCCAGATGTCCTGGACAGTGTCCAAGGCCAAATCTCTCACCGGCGGTTTCATCACCACCAGATACAAGAGACTCTTCAGAGCAAGCTCTACCATGGACGGATCGCCGCAGAGCTTCTTGACCTTACCAAGAATCGCAGAGTTGAGCTCTGGCATCTCGCCCAGAAATCGGGTGAGCACCTTGTCCTGTGGATTCAAGTATGGGAAGAATCCGTCAACCAGCCTCATCGCCCACTTTGGATAGTGCATGGGTGCATGGGTGCTCTGCTTATTTTGCACGCTGTCGCAATACCATTCCTCGTTTAGCCACGAGACAGCAATGTCGATACGTCGGCGGAAGTCCTCGAGGACATATGCGTAGAGGCGCTCGCGGATGACGTCGCTGTTCGTATGCGAGCGGAGCGCAAGGGCCTCGCTGCCCTCGTCCTTAACTTCGACCTCCTCTATGCCGGCCGTGGCGCGCGTGCCCAGTCGCGTAATGAACGTCAGTATCGATTCCTTATCGTATGAGCTTGCTGCCAGTCGGTTGATTCCACCTCGAATCTTCCTTGTCGCGGGCTCTTCCAGGACTCTTAAGGCGTCAAAAACCCGCGCGACAACCATTTGACCAGCTGCTGAAGCACTTTCAGGATTGAGCGGAGGCGGCGCCGGTAACTTGTAGGGGCCTAGTGTCAAAGATGCAGCATCGACTTGGGGTTGCTCCTCCTCGCGGGGTTTGCCGTCGAGTTTGTTCTTGATTTGCTCCTCGTCCTCGGCCATGGTGAAGTCGGGCTCGTAATCATCGTCGTCCTCTTCAACATCAAGTGGCGCGGTCTCTGGGTTGAGTACTGGTTGTCGAGTAGCCTCCTTGGCTGCTAGACGTTCGCGTACTGCTTGGATGGCCCCCTGTAAGGCTTGAGGATCTATTCTTGCCAGGGTTGACACGACCACCCTGTTCGTCAGATGCGCTGGTACTTGTGTGACATCAAAGGCCTGGAGACCGACGCTGTCTGTGAGCGTGTAGATAGCTGCTAGGCTGTTTGGTCCTGGGGCATTCGGGTTCACTTGGGGCGCCGCGTGTTGAGGGCCTATCTTTTGCCGCTTCGCATCACCACCTGCATATGCGGCTTGCTGTTCAGCGAGCGCTCTCTTGCGCCCTGTGTCATCAAGAATCTCTGCCCGAGAGCGCATCAGCCTTTCTACTTGTTGCTGTATCCTGGGAGCATATGGATTTTGTGGGTCCCTAACAACAGTCAGTGTCGTCGGCTTGCGGGAATATCAAGGGGGTATTTACCGCTTCAAGAGGTGTATCAGCAGCATGCGTGTCGTCTTCTCCATGGACTTGACAAGCACGCGAATCTTGGGGGTCAAGGGCGAGTTGGCAAGTTTGAGCGGGTTGAAGGCGAGGATAGCATTGACGATGCGATTAGAGGTGGATGGCCGCGTGCGAACAAGGATAGACAGACAGTTCAGTGTGCCATCTACTATGAGTGCATCACTACGACACGGTTTATTGTATCAGTAAAGATCGAGGTGTAGCCACCGCTGCGCACAAGCATACCTGCTGTTGTCCTGGAGCACACTAAGCATCCTGTCCAGAAGACCTGTAGCCTCTGCCTCGAGCTGCCTCGGGTCGAGGAAGGGGTGGCCCGCTGGGATCATTCCCAAAGAAATCTCAAGGCCATTTATGCGCTGCCCATGATCAATATATACCCCAAACCAATATTGTAGTCCGAGAGGGTCGTTCATACCTTCTCCATGCTGGTTGCTGTCGTCTGTGCAAGTACCACACGCTGTGCGAACTTGACGCAACACAATTTGACCGCTGGAGCAGCGTCGTCCCAGAGTCGTAGTATTTTCTGCTTGATCGTGACCATATTGTCCCACGGCGATCGCTCGTAAGGGTTGTGTATTCTGCAAAGCCAGTGGTCAGCAAAGTGAAGAATTCCGTGGTGCCTGCTCCTAGGGCAAGGGGACTTGGGACTGGGGAGCATGGCCACCCCGCGGGTGCCATTGTCCAAGACCGGCGAGCCCACGAGCACACAGTGGTACCGGTACCAGCAGACGCACGGGGGCTTAAGCAGCTTGACGAAGGGAGGCATGAAACATACATCCATCTCAAGACATGTGGAAAGATGCTGGCCGATGCGGTGATGACGCTCTTGAGTACGTATGGATCCTCCCTAGGGCTCTCCAGCAGGCTCCTGAGTACGGGCAAGACCTGGAAGCTCATGACCTCCTTGTCCTTCCCGGGCAGGGTCGGAGTCGCAAAAGCCTCGGCGATGAAGTCGACAGCCCAGCGCCGTAGCTCAAGGGTGGAGTTGGGAGCGGCAAGAGGCAGGATGCCGTTCATGATCGACTTGTAGTAGGTGGTGTCGACGAGGATGGCCTTGCGGGCTTCATTCAATTGCTTGAGCTGCTCGCTCACGGATTGCACAGGGTTGGCGGCCATGATGGGCAGAAGATTTGGTCGGCACGACGGCCTTGGAGGTTTTGGGATGCGTGAAAGGAGGGCACACAAGGTCGGCAGGCCTCAAAGCGCCTCTACTCTACGAAGTGGAAGGGGGGTGGGATGGCTTCCCAGCTCGCCAGGTCAGAGAATCGAGATGTGGTAGAATGCGTTGGCGACAGGGCCTGTCAGTGACTCAATGAAGGGATTGCGAAAGTCGTTGTCAGTGTGTTTGCGACAGGACTGGGGCGCAGTCAGTTGGTGCTCCGCGTCGGCAGCTGTTGACAGAGTCGCGATGCGGTACGGTGCGATGTTGATATTGGCCGAGACGGCGACGGCGCATTATTTTGGCAGGTTTCAAAGGTATTGTCGCGCCGCTGCAGAGTCGAGATGTGGCCAGAGAAGCTGTGGGAGGGAGAGAAGTCGGGGTTGTTCTCGCAGAAGTCTGCGCAGCGAGCCCATGAAGACGTTGCTCCAGGTTTGCGAGGTCGAACAAAGTGGTGGATGGGTGGGTTAGTGGAGTGAGGCTGCATGTGAGCTTCGCAGGTTGACGAAATGCCATGTAGCAGAGGTACCTCGCTGTGGAAAATCAGAAGTGCAACTACCGGGGTGCTCCCCCAATGTCCACCCAATGCGGACTGACCCAAAGCGCCAGGCGGGACGTGGAGCAGGGCAGGCAAGGCAAAGCAGGGCGCGGCGCGTTAAGAGAGAGCTACGTAATTGGACTATACTGCCAGGACCCCTGTTTGGAGCTTCAACCACCCAGGGTAGGTACCCAGGTACATTTATGATTTCAGTCAGGAATCCAGCACCTTGTTCACATACCTCGACGCAGACCCAACCGCCCACATACAGCTAGCACCGCCTTTTCTTTCCTTGAAACTGATTGCCTTTACACGTCTGCCACTATAATCCAGTATTCGATCAACGCGGCAGGGTGTAGCGACCAGCGTACGGCCTACCGATCGATGAGGTACATGAAAGTGTCTATAGTGAAGCAATAACGTCTTGGTGACTACGAAAGAGGATGAGCGTATGTAGGTGCGCAAGTTATCACCGAAGACCCGTGATGATCTGATTTTGATTTCTAAGTCACCCTGACATATAAGCAACATCACAATTTGTCAGTGATGCGTGCTTGATCAATGGCGGCGTGTCTTAGTACATGGGTGATTTCACAAACTGGGCGGGGAACATCTGCGCGTAAATTCTGTTCGGCTCAAATAGGAACGTATTCATTCATGCTTTTTTGCCTGTCACTTCGGTTTGGAACCATCACAACCAATCCATCGAGCTCAATCCTTTTCAGTCACATTGTCCAAGAGAGCACTCTATTGATTCGCCCAAGGTGTTATATACAAGCAACCATTTAGAGAAATGCCCATATGCTTATGCTAAATCGCAATAAAACAAAATTTTAGCTGGGTAATTATTCTTTCGGCCCATAGTAAATCTCAGTATGACCTAGCCAATCCGCACGCTGTCCTTCAATGCAGATAGCCTGCGGCAGCGACTAATATGGTGGCCCGGGTTATTAAAAAGTGTTGTTAAGACATCTGGACACAGCAGCCACATAATTACTCGCCGTACACGACGAACCCAGCAAACGAAGACCATCAACATGTTTCCTCTCTCCCAGAAGTTTGGTGGCGAGTAAAATTTTCCAGATGGCCAGAGCAACCCGCTACCTAAATGTACCGTCTGAGCAGGAGTCTATCAACCAACTTCTGTTAACCGTGACCTCCTCGCGGCTTCTCTTGATACATGTTTGAAGGAGAAGGAACTGGTGCTGGGCTGCCCACTCAAATAGCTATCAGACGACAAATGCATCTGCGGTAGCTTCGATCAGATTAACATTGTCACATGCGCTTTTGGTGAATGAATAGGATCAAGATTTGGGGGATTAGAACAGGGTAGCAACTTTCGTTCATGAGCTGAGCTGGGTATCAGTTGATATCATCGTCGGAAACAACCAATGGTGTATGTAATAGTCATGTACTCAACCAATGGTGACTGCAATGTGCATTCATATGAACAACTCCGACTACAGCTTCTGGTCAGAGTAGTTCACGCGGCCCGAAGGACAACATAATGCCGCAAGAGGCAAAAGAGACTTTGGAGTGATCGATGAGCCCGAGCGGCCGTGGTGGTGACTTGCACCGTCCGGTCGAATGAGGACGTCGGCCGTGCCCTCTTTGGTTGATGTGGTCAGTATATCCTAAGAAGGTGCCAACCCAATGCATGATTCCAATACACTTCCACTTGGAGGCGGCTCCCACAGCCTCGAATTCCTGGACAACAATGTGCCTTCTTCTGTAGCGCCACAGTGCAATAGCATCGACAGGATAGAAGCTGCATTCATAACAAAGTCTGCCAGGAATGAATTGTTTAAAGAGCTCCGCGTAACACACTATCCGGGTTCCTCTCTTCTCTCTCTTCTTCCTTCCAAATTCGCAAACAATCAACACCTCAATGTCGTCTTCACGATCTTTGGCTCTGAGCGTGGCGGCTAACTGACACGCCTTCCCTCTCCTCGCTTCTTTATCACAATAGCAAGAGACCTATGCTGTCCCCGTGTTCTCTGCCCCGAGGATCGACATCGTCGTCACTGGTCGACGAGTTCTACGAGATCTGGACACTTGACCCGACACGTCTCCTTCGGATCCCCATCACAGCCACTCTCACTCCCATCCTGCCCTTCCTCCGCTGCCTCCACTTGGTGGCATCAGGTCTATCCTCTCTGTCTCATCCGATTTGAACTCATTTTCCGCAACAAATTTGCCTCAGTTTTTTTCCGCTACTTATTGCGGATCATCATTGGCAGCGCGGCTGCTGGCGCTTTGCGGCTTCGGCTGACAGGCACAGACCAAACAGGACTGGCCCGTAGCCTCTTCTATCCCACACCCCCATTTCGCCCTCTGCAATAAGGTGGGTGCCCCCAGTGTATGTTAACCAGTGGCTGCTGGCGATATGAGCGAAAGAGCGAAGATTATACTTTTATTTATCTTTAGGGGGTACTCATAACTGTCCGTCGGCTTCGGCTGACGGGACAGACCAAACAGGACTGACCCGTCATCACCGCGGCTCTTCGGCCTCAGTTCGATTCGCAGCGAAGCTTGCTCGACGCGGCGAGTCGAAGCTGCCGCATAGCATCATCGGTCGTCAAATAATTGTCCACGGTTCCAGGATAGAGCACTCGGCCTTGCTGTGGTGATCCTGTGTTGGTGATGAGGTAGACAGGAAAGTTCTGAAATGTTGCAGGTGTGTTGAATAAGTGCAAAGTGCTGGGTTCTGGAGTTGAGCAAATGGTTTTGGATTTCTTGCAATTCTGTAGTGCTTAGAACTTATCTTCTGAATTTGAAAGTGCGCATTCAGTGACAAACACTTGTTCCTTGCTCTGCGCAGCGTTCACAAGAGAGTTCATCAGCAAGCTGGCGAATTTCTAATGACGGCCGTCTTCGTAAACAGCAATGGCGCATAGACTTTTGGTCCACGACTTCTGGTGATCATTGTTGGGGAAGAGTGTCGTGCATGTTGCGACCAGCAGCTTGGTATAGGCCGCAGAGAAACGAAGTGGATGAAAAGAGATTGAGATGTGCGATTTGACGCAAGTAGCAGTCTACAATTTATTTCAATGTGAATATTATATTTATATTGGATTTTATTCTTGCTCGACTGCGTGCTAAACCCACCCGTCGCCGGTACCAGAACGTTTGGTGTTTTCTAGCGGCCTAAGCGGACACATTTGGCATGTCGTACCTACATTAGACAGGAACCCTAATGCCAACTGAAAGGGACTGCATGACTAGATCATGTTCTTGAGTTTGGATTTGAATTCTGATTTCCTGGCTTCACCATGGCCGATTCTCCGATGTCGGCTTGGAGTGTGCTCTATATTCCTGGGTCTCGCAAAGGCTTGGTCTTGTAAATGTATGCTGGGAGCCCACCATTGCTAGACTAACTATGCTGTCTACCTACGTACTGTAGATACTGTCGAGGTGATCGATTGGTCTAAAACCACCCCTACCGTGGTTTTTGAAGCAGTGGAAGAGCTGACAACATGCTACCTCGAAGGAGAGGACGAATCAACGGAAGGGGTGCATATAGAATGAAGCTGCCAGACCCGCTGCCAGTGCAACACAACTTTATGAGATCACCAAGTGCTAGAGCGAGCTTACCTAACCCCAACTTTTGGAGAGACGAACATCTGATTGTGGTCTACCTCTTTGAATCGCATCGCAAAAAGCCCCCAACCTTTCCTCTCCCGCGCATAACCTCTCACAAGATACTGCTGTTGGAAGCGCACTCTTTCCACCATGGCAGGGTAAGCACCCTCCCACTTCCACCCACACCACGCCATGCATTCCCAACTTTGAACGCAGAGACTGACTGACACTCGCCGCCGCCACGGCGAACCGCAGCATCGACCACTCAAGCTACTACACGCGGAAAAACGCCCAGTCCGCCGCCCTCCTCCGGGCGCGCCGCCCATACCTGGTCAAGAATGCCCTGACCGGCGTGGCCATCGCCGGTGTCGCCGCGGGAATCTGTGCGTCTGAGGACCCGAACCAAAACCCACCCACCTACCTCGTTGAGTTTCGTGCAGGCTTAAGCTAATGCGCCCTCGTCGTGCCGGAACAGACTGGTACACCATCACGGCAGTCGGCCAGGACGAGTTTGAGGACGTCAAGGTCCCTGAGGTGCCAGCCCACCAGGCGCAGGAGATCAACGCACCCAAGAAGTAAAAGCAAAACAGCGTCCATCGTCTCAAAATGTCCATCGTACGAGAGCGAGAGCACGGCAGCGGACATCTCGCCGAGGAGGAGCAGCAGTAACACGCATGCCGAGGAAATGCAGAATGTGGGGAGAACGGATGATCAGGTTGAAGAAATTCTGTGCTCGTCGGCACAATTGATATCTTGATGCGTCTAGCGGTGTCTCGTTGACGGGGGCGCATGTACAAAGTACAAAAATGTATCTACAAAGCCCCAAAAGAACACGGGAGCCCATCCCCGTGCCGGCCTATAACCCGATAGTGCCCTCAACGCCATTCCCGGAGACCTGAAGCGGTCGTAATAAAACAAAAATGCGAGACCTCTCCTTCAAAAGTGATTCGAAGAACGTAGGCCGCTTCGTGGTCCCAACGAGCCCGCCCAACTACTCTTGAAGTGAGAGAGAGCAGGCCGACATATCGACAACCCTGACAAAGAAGACAGAAGTACGCCCCATTCCAAAATTAAGCAATCGGGAAGCTTTCAGCCACGGGTATCGTGAATTCCGAGAAAATAGCAACGACGCCTTCGAAACCCCCTGCCCGGCTGACCGTCCTTTCGCAACTCCTTCAGGGGACCCTCATCGAGTCCCGGGGCTAGGCATGTTGGTGACCATGTTCATTCCTTCAGGCGTAAAGACGTTTGGCCCTATACGAGCCATCATCATGAGAAGCTGTGCAATGTCCCTGCAAGTCGCTGTAGCCACGATGTTCCCGGGTACCCCTCTTCTGAGATCACTGCTTGCAGGTGATCCGAGGAAGCGACTCGGTTGCGGCGCAACTAGACACGAATGGAGTGGGCCACCATGAGCGGCTCCTCTTTTTGCCCAGTTATTTGTCATGCGACCGCCTCGCGCTTGGATTTGACCGTCTCTACCACTCGACGTGGGTGCGCTGGCTCCGCATCCGCCGTAATGGTAGGATGTCTCTGGTTGGCATCGCCGTTCAATTGACCATTGGCAAACCACATTCCGCCTGCGGGTTGGTGCGATGCCCTCGCGTGGCCCATCAAGGCTGGAGGGCCAGCATACGCAGCACCATGTGACTGACGCCGGGAGGTTGCGCCATGAGAGGGATGTTTTGGATTCGCCCATGCGTGGCTTTCGATGTATTCTTGGCCCGCAGGTCCGAGGGCTTGTCCGAATTGTGCCGCGGCGGCATAGTCATGTAATGGCATGCGCTGCGCCGCCGCCGGATGTGTCCCTTGTCGCGCTCGCTGCAATCACCAGTCAGCTTGTCAGCCACTTGAGAATTGGGGGTTACGCGACACGTACAGCCATTGCCTCAAAGTCATCCTCGACCTCTGCTGATGATGCACCCCGCATATCCGGCGCTGCTGGGAACCCATGGTGCTGAGCGATGCCAGCCAGTATAGACGTCTCCTTTCCTTGCGCAATCGCGTGCCTCTTCTGCTCTGCCTTCGTTTTGGGGAAACGGAAGCCGTAGTCTGGTATAGGATTGGCATTGCGCCGGCGCTCATGTTGTATCTCGTACCATTGTCTGCCAAGCTCATCCACGTACTTTTCTCTCAATTCGCGCGCACTCTGGAAGAACTGAGAGAGAATCTGCGCTCGCCGGGCCACAGCCCAACGGTCCAGAGCCTCCATATTGAACTTGTACTCGAGCTCAACGACTTTTACCCTGTCGTCTCGGCGGCTGTCAATGCAGTGCATCATGGCCAGGTATTCGGGGTGGGTCGGATTGTCGCTAGTAAGCATCGCTTCTTCTTCGTTGAGTTGCGCAAGTCGCTCTTCGTATAGTCTGCCGCAGTCCTGTCAGTTTTGCCTTTCGTGGGCTAGTATTCCTGATTGATCAACTCACCGATCCCTAAGAACTGCAAAGTTCTTCTCAATTGAGGAGAGCTGATCGAAAGCACTCCGTTTCTTCTCCACTGTAGCCAATTGGTTAGTCGCACAGACCAAATCAAAATCAAAATCGCAAGCAACAAGACATTTTGCCTTACATTCTTCCTCATTTTTATGGGCGGCCTCGGCTTCCTCGTCGATTCCACCCTCGGCTTGTTCATCCTCGACCGTCTGGATGGGTGTTGCGGTCGGTTCTTCCCCTTCATGTGTCTCCTCGGCGGTTTCTGAAGAGGCCTTTCGCTTCTTCGTACTGCGTTTCGACTTCTTAGGCTTGCCGATCTCATTCGTCGGTTTCTCGACAGAGTCCGCGATGTCTCCTGCGTTTTTTGCTGCTGTTTCTTCGTCATCCTCATCGGCAGTATGCTCAGCGCTCTTGTTTCCCGTGATGTTGCTTAAAGCAACGTCTTCTGACTCGACCTTAGAAAGAGAAGACGACTCGTCGCCTGGGTCTGGAATTGAGGCTGCCCTTTTCCGTAGTGGCTGGTTGGAAACGGATCGGTCTCTCACAGGTGATCTTTTGCGTTTCTTCGAGTCTGCCAGGGAGTTGTCACTACCACTACCAGCAAGCGTAGAGCTTGCAATGATATGCGACTCTTGCGACTTGGTGCGCTGAGTTTGTGAGACCTTCCCCCGTGTTTCTCCTTCCTCTTTCTCAGAGTCTGCTTCGCTGTCGACAGTGGAGCCCTTGTCTTCGTCGTCGGCATCATGACGGTCGTCAGAGAGACCATCATTATCGTCGCCCCCAGACTCAACTCTCACGCCAGGTTGTGTTTGGCCTTGTAGTTTGCTCGAGCTTCTCTGAAAGGGACGGGCAGCTTTGCTGGGGGATTGTTTGGGGTCGATTTTGGCACTCGAAACTAAGTCGCTTGTTTGAGCATTGTTCTTGCGCGGTGTGTCATATAGGCGCTCTGTTTCGGCCTCGGAGTCGTTCGTCTCGATTTCTGAGAGGTTGGAGTCGGAGTCGTCGTGTGGTGGCTGGGCGGCGGGGTCGTGTGCGCGACCATTTTCAGGCTTGGGAGGCTCGTCGCCGTCGGAGTGGTTGCTGTTCACGTCGATATCCATTTCATCGGGCTCCGCATCCTTGTCTTCGACCTCACTGAGAGGGCTCGACACCGTGCTGTCTTGGTCGAGCAGCGAGTGAGGGTGATTGGTCATTGCTATGGGCGGCGCCGTACCGCCTGTTGCCATGGCTGAAGTAAGGCAAATGAATGCAGGGGAAGCTTGAGGAGGGACAAGTGTTTTTGTAGGAGAGAGTGCGGCGTGGGTGGTGTCGGCGCAACTCGTGGAGAACCGAGGTGACGAGGGACCAGTTCGACGGCTGGGTGGTGGACAATGACGGTGAGTTGAGAAGAGAGGGCAGTCCAGAGGAGATATGAATGATTTTTGACCCAGCTCAGTAGCATGAAGCTATGCAAGATCACATCTGGTCGTTTCGAGTAGGTTGAGCCAATGTGGGTGCGGTAGAGAGAGGGTGGTGGTGGTGGTGGTGCATGGTCGAGAAATCAAGGACGGGGCGGCGGCGGAGGGACCTCAGAGTGCTCTGCTGGGGGCGCTGGTTACCGCCGCGCCAGTTTCCCTCCGACTTGACTGAGAGAGAGAGACAGAGAGAGAGGAGCGCAAAGGGCTTCGGCGCGAGCTGCCTGCCGCGGAGGGACCACGCTAGCGGCCAATCGATAGCTGCGATAAGGAGATAGAGAACTTCTTGATCTCCCATTTTTGCAACTTTTGGCCGGAGCAGGAAAATTGAGAGGCGATCCCAGTTCAACATAGGCGAAATAGACGGCCACGCTGTGCGCTTCCCTCCCTTCTTTTCGAGTCGACGTCATGGGAAAAGACAAGTGAGTATCTCACATTGGAACGCCGAGTTTTGTGCAAACTTTTGCTAATTGGACGCAGGAAATCCGGCTTGTCGGCTTCTTCCAAGAAGATCGACCCGACCCTTGATGCTCTTTTCTCAACAAGCTCAGGACCGGTTCAAGCTCCGCCGAAATCTCGATATTCCGAGCTGATCCCTGAAAACGCTAGACGGGAGTTAGAGCGCGAAAGTGAGGACGAGGACGAGGTCGAGGTCGACGATGAAGAGCTTTCAAGTGGTGACGAGGGCGATGCGAACGAATCTGAAGCCAGCGAGGTGGACGAGGCTGCGGACAGCGTACGCGACGAGGAACTGAGCGATGCTTCCGCCCCCGGAGCAAGCGAGGATGACGAGCGCGAAATCGCTGCTCAAATACTTGCCGAAGCCCAGGCACACGAGCGCAAGCAGAAAAAAAAGCGGAAGCAAGACGAATTTCACGATTTGGAAAGCAAATACTTTGATAAACTCGGCGAGGATGAGCCGCCTGCTAGCAAGAGAAGGAAGTCAGATGACAATGGGGCTGAAGACTCCAAGGCTAAAGACGCTGAGGACGACTCGGATGGCGACATACCCGTGCATGAGTCTCTTACAAAGAGCAAGGAGGCTGACGAGATCGAAAAGGCATCACGAACTGTCTTCCTCTCCAATGTCTCCATCGAAGCTGCTAGCTCAAAGAAGGCGAAGAAGACGCTCACGAGCCATCTGTCTTCTTTTCTCGATAAGTCTGCCTCACCACCACAGTCGCTGGAGTCGCTCAGGTTCCGGTCTGTTCCTTTCGCAACAGCAGCGATGCCGAAACGTGCCGCTTTTGCCACGAAAAATCTCATGGAAGCCACCACACAATCGGTCAACGCATACGTCGTGTACAGTAGTGCGGCAGTTGCTCGCGCAGCATGCGAGAAGCTTAATGGCACGGTTGTGCTAGACAGGCACTTGCGGGTGGACAGTGTTGCGCATCCCGCGGCGGTTGACCATCGGCGCTGTGTCTTTGTGGGCAACCTCGGGTTCGTGGACGACGAAACAGTGCTCAATGTGAAAACGGACGAGGAAGGCAAAGAGCACACGGAGAAGCGCAAGCGCACTAAAGTGCCTATGGACGTTGAAGAGGGACTCTGGCAAACCTTCGGCAAGCACGCTGGAAAGGTTGAGAGCGTGCGGGTCATCAGAGATCAAACGACGAGGGTCGGAAAGGGAATCGCCTACGTGCAGTTCTATGTGAGTGGAATCATGGGCCGAGTAGTGCCTGAGAAGCAGAGTTGCTAATTTGCGTGACACAGGATGGCAACTCGGTTGAGTCGGCTCTTCTCTTGAACGGCAAGAAGTTCCCGCCCATGCTGCCGCGAGGATTGCGAGTCAGCAGGTGCAAGGCACCGCACAAGACAGCCAGGGCGATGGACAAGAAGAACGCAGAGAAGAGCGTGGCGCTCGCAGCCAGCAGCAAGGGCAAGAAGGGCACGAGATATGTGCCGAAGCTGACCGCAGAGGAGCAGACCATGGCGGGCCGAGCTGGAAAGCTCCTGGGCCATTCCGCTGCTGCGCAGGCTCGTATCGCCAAAAACGGCGGGAAGAAGCGTGACAGGACAAATAGGGGCGAGAAGAAGTTTGGCAAGGATAAGAAGGAGGGTGCAGGCGCCGTTGTGTTCAAGAAACCCGAGGACTTCGTCTTTGAGGGACGACGTGCGAGCTCTCGCGACGCCAAACCCAAGGACCTGAAGCAGAAGGTGGGAAAGAAGAAAGCCGGTGCCAAGCCGAAGAGGAAGACGGCGAGGTGAGGAGAGTGATAATTCCAAATGCAGGCCTGGGGTACTCCAGATAGATGTGTTGGTAGCCGTTAGTAACTGGCAGCCTGGAAGTCCCCCGCGGCTCTTCGGATGTACTGCATTTTCCAAGAACCGTGCATACGTATTACATAAGTGTGATCACAGATGTAGTAATAGGTGGATGAGCTTAACTCGAAGCTTTTCGAGGCCAGCAGCTTTCAAGCCTGGGCCACCAGGCGAGATCATAAGCAGGATGAATGTATACTCACTACAAAACAAAGAAAATACTTCAGGTATTTTGCAAATATTTGTTGAATGGCGTGGTATCTTGCCCTATTTTCCCAACCAGAAACGCCTTGTTTGATGCAAGCAGAATAAATACTGCAAGCCAGATGCATACCGTGCAACCCGTTTCTCATCCATCATAATACACTCTCGTTCCTCGTCTTGGGGTTCAGCGTGACCTCGGCGCGCCGTACAAGCTCCTCGTACACGGTCCACGCCAGCGCCGAGCTCATGGCCTTGCGGCTCATGCGCAGCCCCAGCCCGTCGGCCAGGCTGCGCAGCCCCTCTTGTGTGACCATCATGCGCGCCGCGTGGAACGTGTTGCGGTACACCCCCGGCTGCAGCTGGATGCGAGTCTTGACGGCGTCGAACGGGTTCGAGATGGCCGAGCACGCGGCGCCGGCGATGACGCCCGACCCGAAGTTGATGGTGGCCGCGGTGGAGACGCCCATCGCGGGGTTCATCTTGGTCCTGGCGGGCGCATTCTCCTTGACGTCGCCGCTGGTCCACGAGCTCAGGCGCTTCTTGCTCTGCTCGTAGAACAGGACGTACAGCCCAGCGTAGGGCGCGTCGCGCATCGCCGTCGCCCCGAAGCCGGAGAAGAAGCCCCGCAGGCCTTCCTTCCTAAAGATGTCCCGCCCCGCCGCCGCGATGGAGCCGTACGAGTACAGGTTGGACTCGTAGCGCACCTTGATCACCGTGAGCGGCATCAGCGTCATGCCCGCGAACGTCCGCGCCACGGCTCCGGCCAGCAGGTTGCCGGTGTTGGACAGCTTGATCAGCGACGACGAGTGCCGCCCGTCCCTCCCGGCCGCGTGCGCACCCACGCCGCCCGCCGCCAGGAAGGGTACGCGCGACACATTGTTGCGGATCGCGTTCAAGCTCGTGAAGTAGATAGCGCTACCGAAGCCGGTGCGCAGGGCGGAGGGCGTTGCGCCTCGCCATAATGCAGGTAGGAAGTTCGGCTGAGACCGGATGTCGCGGAACGCGATGGTTAAGGAGTGGTGCCCAGACTGTTGTACGCGGGTCTTGAGAAGGTCGATCGGCTGCAGGAGGACGGCGGAGAGGAGCCCTGAGCCGAGGCCTGCTACGAAGTGGAAGGCTTGAGAGCGCAAACGGTCAGCCCACGCCGTCTATGTGCCACAGAAATGTCGGACTCGTCAGGGCTTACTTGACTTGGACTTGGCCTTTGGAGGGCCATTGCTGCTCATCTCGCAGTCGGTTGCTCGAGTGACAGAGGGAAGTTGTGATTGTCTAGTTCCACATGGAGCTGCGCGCGCTCGTGCATTGCTTCCTGAGCCGGTGCTTGCTTTGAAATCGGAAGCGAATGTGTCTCAAATCGTACTTTGAGCCATAATTTGTGTCAAGATATCAAGTGCAGTGAACGAAAGTTTGTGTGTCTAAACCAAGAATGCAGGGCGGGAAGCAAGATCAAGAAGAATGACGGAGGTGATTTTAGCTTGTCCACATTTTGGCCGGCGCATTGAATTTCACCGGCTGACCCGGCGCCGGATCGGCAATCCGCAGACAGCCGGCGTCCTGCTTATACGCCACGATCGGGAACACCGCCGGAAACCGGAATTGTCAGACAAGGCATGGCCTGCTGAGTCTTGGAATACGTACAGACCTAGGCTGATGCGGTGCACGCCTGCTGACACTGCAAACCATGACCAGCTGAATTTGTGATCTGATGCTGTCACCAAGGGCAACAGTTCCTTGACATTAGGGTATCTATCCTCTCTCATTTTCTGAGCATTGCTTCCGGAGAGCCTCTCGGCCGAGAATTATTGTGCGTGCCGTATCTCATATGCCTTCTTGTGCGGCATGTGCCTTTCGCTTCTACTTGGGCGCCTTCTCCTTTTGATCGCCGACTATTGACTCCAAGCGCCCAGCCAACAATCGATGCCGTCTCACGACCTCAACCCACTCCTCCTCTGCCTCGCTTCCCAGGTCCATGTCAGCCAAGAATAGCCCAAAGTCTCCTCCCAAGCGGCCCAGACTGCCCGCGCAGTACAGAACCTGCGTTAGTAAGCTGTCTCGAGATGCTTGGTCCCTGACAGTTGGTAGATAGATCCGTAGCGTCTCCAGAAGCATGTCGACTAGATACAAGGGGAAGGTAGATAGCGTGGAGGGCAACGGCTCCAAGGGGTCACCTTGTGCTGCCCCTGCCGAGGATGGAGCGTCGGCCGACGCCGGGAAGATACTCCTGTACATGGAGACTATGGCGAAGCTTTGTTCGCGGAAGACCTCGACGTAGCGCTTCAGAAACCTTTCCGTCTGCTGTCCTCCTGACCATGCGTTTCCACTGCCGATGGACTTTTGCCTGGTTTTTTCCTGGTCTGCCAACTCCTTCAGAGGATCCAACGCGTTGAGCATGTGCATGAGCGTCGCCAGCCGACACACCAGGAATAGAGCACCCAGTGCCCTGTCCTGTGAGCCGTGGCCCTTTTCCTGTGACCCAGCGGATTCGAGGTCCGGCAAGACTCTCCTCAGCCAACTGATGGTCCGTAGTGAGGCGGCCAATTTGAGTCCAGGGGCCTTGAGGGAGAGCACGAGGTTAGCTGCCATAGTCCTCATCGCCTCGTCCGCCTGTGCCGTTATCGATGCGATCAGTGGCGAGTCCGGATATAGAGAATGCAGTCTGCGTATATGGGCATTGAGGTCCAACGCAGACGAGTAGTTTGGAGGAGACGCGGTGATGGCTGAGTTCAGAAGAGTTGGTAGCTCTAGCACATCAACGAGACGCTCGACATTTCTCGACAGTAGTAAGGCTCGCTTCCTCCTAGCCAAGACGTCGTTCTCGCTGGCCTTGTTATATGTGCTGGAGAACTTCACAGCCTCATTGTCCAGCTTGGGAATTGCATTTCGCAACTCTGCCGTACTCGCTGCCAAAGCAGGTAGTGCGTTCTGTAGAGAGGCATGATGTGATGCAGAGTCGATGATAGGTTGGTAAGATTTCTTGGAGAGCCCCTGCAGTGAACGAAGCAAAGTATGAGAGGATTGGGACAGTGATTGGGGCTCCGTTGTTTCTAATGAGGAGAGCGGTTGAGATGCCAGGTGGCTAAGATACTCCAGAGAGCTGTGGTCCGCGGGTGTCCTGGCCAGGTCGGACCCGGGCTGTGATGCCAGGAGATCGTAAAGTAGGTCTGCCATCTTCACGCCGCTGCCGGACGGAGTATTGTCCTGTCGATTGCCGCCAGCTGCCTCGGGAAGTGCCTTGCTCAACTGGACCCTTCCTAGTATGTGGACTCGCCTTTGCCCTGCCTCGGCCTTGTGATGGCGTCAGGCGGCGGCTGGCAGGAGGTGACACTTGGACTGCGAGCAAGACACCGGAGCTTGGACCAGCGTGACCTGAAGTTCGGCTGCAGCCCAGGCACACGCACCTGGCATGCAGCACCCGCAGGACAGGGCTGAGAGGGGACGCTAGAGTGCTACATAATTGCAGGGATCTTAAGCCTCCTGCGTCCTGTACCTGATACCATACTTCGCATGGACGACCTCCTGCAGGAGAACCTGCCATGGGATAGATGACCGTTTCCCATAGGACGGTGGGATAGAATTGTACAACATTTCGATTCTCATGATAAGATAAAGAGGCCTAACTATGTCCTATTCGGTCCCCGTTCTCCCTACGAGGCAGGACATGGTGTTTCTGTGCGGGCTGGGGACATGCTTGTGCCCAAAGGGTACCTCTGGCTGTGCCCATGACCCCGCGTCACAAGAGGTATCAGTCAGGGACACTCGAGTACCCGCTACACAGGCCAAGAATCCCAACAAATCCAGGGTCCCTGTCATGTCGACGCTTTGATAAGATGCAGCTCTTTACGGTAACTTACCGACCGACCATTCCTTCCAACCCATCTTGTCGTGGCACACGACGTCAGAATGCTTGCGTGACCGGATACACCGTTTGTCTAGGTTTCAGAGACTCGTTCTGCATCTTTTCAGCCTCCTGACCACCCAGGCCGACAGCAAACAACGAGCTTGGAGCCGCTGGAACCCTGACCTCCGCAGCCGCGTGCAATTCCCAACGGATTCTCAGCCTTTGTGGACGCACATCGTTACCGACCTGGGTGACTTGGTCGTGTGCCTGCCTAGGCTTTTGACCGTTACCGAGGCTTGCGGAGCCCCCGAACGTGACACTTGGCTTCAGGCGCTTTATAAGATACGTCCTGCCTTGTGTGCGCTGGGAACGACCCTTCCCCCCTCCGCGCTGCCGACCTTGTTCTCTCCTCAAGTCTCAAGCCTCAAGTCTCAGAAGCCTCGACGGCACCGCAGCCATGAAGGACCCCTTCTTTATAGCGCCCATCCCGGCTCTCAGCGAATGGGTCCGTCCTTTCGCAGAAAGATTTGGCCTCACCGTGTTGCCCCAGCACATCCACGAGGTCATCTTTGCCGCTCTTATGTACACCTTTGTCCACCTCGTCATATCGCCATGGCTCTCGATGAAGTACGCTCCCGAACAATACCCCACCCACAGGGGAAAGAGGGCCAGCTGGGATGCCCATGTCGTCTCCTTGTTCCAGAGCACGCTCATCAACATCCTCGCACTATGGTGTATGTTCGCCGATGAGGAGCGCAAGACGTTCGACTGGCAGCAGCGCATTTGGGGATATACCGGTGCTAGCGGCATGATTCAATCCCTTGCAGCGGGATATTTTGTCTGGGACCTTATTACTACCGCCCTTTTCGTCGATGTGTTCGGCCTCGGGGTGCTTGCTCATGCAATCAGTGCTCTGCTTGTCTACTCGTTTGGATATGTGAGCCGCGACTACGCTTGTAACTTCATAGCCATACTTTGTGCTGACTACCGCGACAGAGACCTTTTCTCAACTACTACGCCAACGTCTTCATCCTCTACGAGCTCTCGACCCCTTTCCTAAATATCCACTGGTTCTTCGACAAGATGGGCATGACAGGAAGCAAGGCGCAGCTATACAACGGCATCACGCTCATTGTTACATTCTTCTCGGCCCGCCTTATCTGGGGAGTGTGGCAATCCGCAATCGTGTGGTATGACATGTACCGAGGCCTGTACGCCGGCCCCAATACCGAGTTCATGTCGGTCACACCAGCCGACGAGCAATTGCCCGGCACCGAGGACATCATGATGTATGCGAAGGACGCAGGCCCCCTTCCTGGGTGGCTTGTTGCCATTTACTTGGGCAGCAACCTCACTCTCACCACCTTGAACTGTATCTGGTTCAGCAAGATGATCAAGGCCATCAGAAAGCGATTCGAGCCACCCAAGGAAGCATCGAAGCAAGAGGAAAAGCCTGCCGATGGCGCGGCCACGGCTCCTGAGCTTGCAGGAAAGGCCGACGAAGTCAGGAGGCGCCACAACATTCCGGTTCCAGAAATTGAAGACGATCTAGGGGACATGCAGTAGATGCAACCGCTCTGCCTTCATTTGGCTCAGCGATATCGACCTTTTCAAGCATGGGCGACGGGCGGGGTGCGGCAGACTATATACCGGCGTTGCGAACGTTGCATGAGCTTCGGGTCACGACTTGGCATTTGAATCATATTTAACATAAGCGTTCCATCCTGTTGTGTCGCGCATTGGTCCAACAAGTGTGATTGATGGGACAGTCCCACTCGAACGGCCTTGGTATTGGGCTTCCTGCACTGCAGATCTAGCAAGGTCTTTGTATATACAAAGAAGGATGGATTTTGGGTACACTCGTGTGACACAACAGCGAAACATAGCGAGGCGAATGGAGTGACAGATGAAGGTGACGAATATGAGAAGTATCATGCGCCTCCTAACGTGAAAACGCCCTTCACGGCGAGACTCCTAGATGGTTTATCAATGGAGCCAATCCGCCCTACTCTTTGAGACCAAGGTTCTCGATGGCGCCCTCAGCTAAGATGGAAGTGCCAGGTTAGAACACGATTGGCTATCAGGAAGATTTGTGTCTACTCACCACCATCAAGACCACCACCAACAGTGGCACCAAGACCATCTTTCTCGCCGCCACCGGCGCCGCCCGCGCCGCCCGCACCTCCGAGAAGGCCGGTCTAAGGCACTCATTAGTCCACGTTCAGAGATTCCTCCAGGCTGTGACCATGGTAGGTGGAGTGTCACTTACCAAAGCGTCGAGGCCACCCGCACCTCCCGCTGCTCCAGAGGAAGAAGCGCCTGCAGCGCTGCCCGTGCCAGTAGCACCTCCCAGAAGACCAGTCTGAGTTACCAAATGTCAGTATGTGTTCAGAGCCTTTTGCTGAAAGACAGTATCAAGAGAGGCAACACCTACCAGGGCGTCAAGGCCACCAGCCCCACCCGCAGCCCCCGAAGACGAAGCACCAGTAGCACTGCCTGTGCCCGTGGCACCTCCCAGCAGGCCGGTGAGGGCGTCAAGCTGCCTCTCCTGCTTGGGCGCGAAGTCCTGGCCTGGCTGGACGGTACCCACGCGGCCTGCGACGCTCAGCGGGGCTGCCAGAGCCGCGGCGGCGAAGGCGGCGATGAGGGCGATGTTGGAGTGCATGTTGAGAGAGAGAGAGAGGTGGACTAATTAAAATCTAAGTCGCAGACTTGGAATGAATGAGAAAGAGCTAGCTCGTGTAAGAGAATAGAAATGCAGAGTGGTGAATGGGAGTGTGGACGAAGACGAGATGCCAAGTTAGTCGGCGGACGTTCCCACACTCGCGTATATATATATCGATCGCTTTCTTTTCTCTAGTATACTACTGCTACCTGTACAATCCCACATGCACCCTCCCGTACAGTCCCCATCCCAACGTCCGGTCCTGGTGGAGCAGTGCCTCCTCCCTTCCTGAACCTCCGATGAGCATGGTGCATCATGGACTGTTTCCAAGCCAAGGCCCGAGCTGCGCCAGAACCATCAGCCGAGAGACCGGACGAGCCGCCCGACTGGGCGCCCAGCTGCCAGCGCTGTCAGGAGCGTACGCCTTCGGACGGCTGGCATGAATTGCGCCCTCTACGCGCCGCAACGTCAGGTAGCGAAGTGGGGGTCTGGTGTTTGAATTTGTCCCTCTGTATCCTTGCAGATGTTGCGGCAGAGATGTGCAGAAGTGCCCGTCCGGGATAGCCAGTGTGCCTTGGGGGTTGCAGATTCACGCTCCCGGGTAGGATGATCGACGGGTTCCCGAAACAAGATCTACGCGGTGCTTGGGTTGCATTTGCAATGGGTTACACAGCCGCCCGCGTCAGGGGAGACTGGATTACTTACCAAGCCGGGCTCCCAGAAGATCTCGTCTGAAAATACAGTCCTGTCAGTTCGTTCAATCGAGAGGGGAAAACGGGGCGATGATTGTCGAGTCCGAAACAGAGACGGCTTCAGCCTGTGGAGGGGGCTGTTCTCGACGCTTTGACCGGGGCTGATTGCTAACTTGTGGTGGGGGCCCTTATCCTCGAAGTAGGGATGAGTTGTAGACATTCATCATCGCCCCTGACATTCCGCGAGATCCCGTAGATTTTGACGAATCCGCGAGTAGAGGGACGAAGTCTAGCAATGGAAGCGACCTCGACTTCTTCGACCAGGAAGGGGAGGTAAGGTGCTTGAACTGCTAGCCATTTCGTCAAGTTCCCGTAGTGAGAATACGTTCCGCTCTGTATATCAGTTGGTACTATTTAGACTATGAGTATAAGTTTGATCTGCACAATTCATATTCTTCCAGGTATTACGATCTCCATCAACTGTTTCGCACATCACCTTCCCACCTGCCCACGTGGTGACACTTCCCTGACAGGACAAGCGGGCCGCAAGGGGTTTATCAGGGGAACTTGCAAGCTCGATTTGAACTCGTGAGGTCGTACTGCGTTGACTAATGCTTCTGCGGTCTCTGACACATGTGTACCTGGCTGTGAGGCCAGGGGCGGAGGACAAGTCGCCTACTCTGTCTGTCAATCTTAGCTCAAGAGTATAAACTGACAGCAAAGGCTAATGTATTAAATTTTTACGTATGTGTCAGGCTAAGATTATCATGCTTGCTGGTGCCCTCCCTCCCCTGCCCTCTCGCCCGATCCCAAGACACCGACGTGTTACCTATCCAAGTTGTTGGATCCCCGGGACTGACCCATCCCCCGCGCTGTCATCATCTTGTCTATGAACCTGGATGCGCTACCCCATTGCAATCGTTTGCGCTCCAAGTTTTGATCAGGAAATGAACACTGGACAAACGCCAAAATGGGCAAGGTGAGTCCAGGTATTCAAGTAGGGCACGAAAAAGACCAGACAGACTGTTTGCCACCATGGTGGCGATGGTCTCGAATGCGAGAGAGTGCGAGTCGAGACACTAGAAACCGAATGGGTTGTCGGGCGCTGGATGATATGTAAGCTTCATTCCATCTTGGCAGGACGCTTTCGATAGGGAGAGTCTGAGAAGAGTAATACTTACTGGCAGCAGATAGATTCGCACGACGACCCGTTGGCTGCGGCATCATCTTCTTAGCCGCAGGATCGACACCAAATCGGACTGGTGGCGCTGGTCCCGTTTGCTGCGGCATCAACGGAGCCGCAGGAGGCTGCACTGTCGGACCGTTTTGTTGCATGCCGTGGTTTCCGAAGCCTTGCGTGAAGCTCATTCCTGTAGGCTGAGGCTGCATGGGCTGCATCTGAGGCGGCATTCCTGTCCTCTGGGGCTCCATGGCAGGAGGTAGGTACGAGTTGATACCACCCGCTGGGTTAGCACCGAATTGCTGCTGGCCAGGTTGACCAAACTGCCCTTGGAAGCCAGTTGGTTGGGCTTGCATGCCCGCGAATTGTTGTGATGCCCTTGGGTCCGCGAAGGGACTTTGGCCCATCTGCTGCCCCGTCATCATAGGCTGCTGTTGCATGAATTGGTTCTGACCAAAGCCTGTTTGCTGCGGTTGCATGCCGGTCTGCATAGGGTACATGCCAGGCTGCTGTTGTTGCTGAGGAAAGCCGGTCATCTGGGCCTGCATTTGCTGCATATACTGTTGCTGCATTCGCTGCTGGTTGATCTCCTGCAAGCTTTGTCCTGGAGGAGCGACCTGCCCAGTCACCTGTGGTGCCATTGGAGGAGGGTTGAATTGGCTAGGCTGTGCCGACTGAGGAGCAGAGAAAGGTCGCGCGGGAGGCGGAGGTATCATCCCAGCCTGCCCCTGAACACCAGTCGGGGGAGTCGGCCGTGATCTTGCGAGAGACAGCTGCTGTGAGAGCGGAGTGGTCTGCTGTTGCTGGCCATTGGGTAGCCCGGTTGGCTGTCCTGCCAAACCAGAGAAAAAGCCCGGTGTGGCTCCTGTAGGCTGTGGTACCTGGGTAGGGACGGGGGCTATCGGCGGCGGCTGCGTAATCATCGGCGATGTCTGAACAGGAGTAGCGGTCTTCGCTGGCTGTAAAGGCTCCGTCAGAAGTGAGAGCTCCTGCATTCCTGGTGTCAGGGCCGGCTTGATAGGTTCAGGTTGAGCAGGCGCCGGTGCCGATGCCGGTTGCGCTGCATCGGCCTGAGGCGTTGCCTGTGCCGTTGGTTGGGACTTCACTGGCTTGACATCCCAGGCGTCATCATCAAAGCCGCTCGCCTTCCCTGTTGACACTGCAGATGTAGTTGTAGCTGGGGTGAGTACTGCGGGGGATGAAGCTTCGCTTCCGCCAAGAGCCTTCCCATCGACAACATCACTAGCTGACCTGTTGGCTTCAGGGCGGGCTCTGCCACTGTTGTTCTTCAATGCGCCACCAGGCCCAGAGAAGAGACCGCCTTCACCCTGGACCTCGTCACCCTTCTTCTTCCGTCCGTATTTATTATCCAGATAACGCATGACCTTAATAATGTCACCTTCCCGCAGACCTAGTGTCCGCAGGACAGAAGCGTCGACATCCGGAAGAACGGACTGGTCCATGTTATCCCTGTTGAATGCCTGAGAGTACCTTTCGCAGAGCCCAGGTTGAATCTCACAGTCAAGGAAGAACTGGAACCAATCATACTCAGGCTTCTTCGGTTGCTCGATGCTAGCGCCAACCCCTGAAGCATTTTGTCGTTGAGTCCTGGCCCTCTTGACCTCTGACAGGGGCTTGTCTTCGTCTAGCGAGATGCCAGTTACTCGCTCGACGTACTCAAGATCCTCGATCGACATCTTCGCCACGGGTACCGCAATCTTGACGCCGTTTACTTTGTGGAGATTGAGCTTTCCGTCTTTCAAGCCCAGGAACTGGGCGTCGACGCTGAAGGACTTGGACCTATCGGTCCACGTTCGCACCTTGGATGGGTCGGGTTCTGTGAAACTTGGTCAGCATTATCCTGGCGACTGCGGCGTGAGTACTCACTAGACTTGTTACTGGATCGCGAGGAGCTACCACTGTGGCCGTTCTCGCGCTTCCGCTGTGATGAGGCGTTACCATTCCGTTCTCTTGCTGACAAGCTGCTGCCTCTTTCTGGCAAACGCATTCCAGGCCCTACCTCAGATGCACGTTTTCCTTCCTCTTTTCGAGCTGCCTTGACGGCTTCCTTGGTCAGGCGCTCCTCCTCGAGTCGGTTTTGGGCAACGGTAGACCGACCCGCGTTGATGCCCGTCATAGAGGCCGGCTGGGCCGGCACGGTGCCTGTGATTTCCACATAGCTGCTCGGTACGACGCCTTCCTTGCCGTTCTTGACTCTTCGGACCTGCCACCAGTCCTCGCTCTTCATGTCGTCGAGTATGATGACCTCGTCGCCGTCGGCGACCGTGACTTCGTCCTCGCCCTGGGCCATGAAGTCGTAAAGCATTTTGCCCTTCTTTTGCTCCCTGCCCGTACCAGCCATGATGACCTCTCGCAGGCCCTCAGCACGGATAGCCCCAGCCAGCTCTCCTAAAGCAGCAACGATTTCCTCGGCGGTATCTTTTGCGCCAGCATGGAAGTCCACACTCTTGCTAGGTCGCACAAGTTCAATGAACACGTGCTTGCCTTCCCGAGAATAATGCGTCATCCTATCTCCAGTCCACTCGAGCGATGGTCCATCTTGTGCATGCTCCGGAGCTATCAGGATAATCCCCGTCTTAAGGTTAATACCCAGCGTCGTCGGCATCTTTTTCTTCTTGCCCATGATAGATATCATCTCATTTATATTGTACATGTGAAAACCACCAGGTGACAGATCCTGAGACCGCGGTTCGTACTCGCTTCTCGTAGCCGAAGACTGTGGCCTTTGCTGCTCGTACTGTGGAAAGGGGTCACGGTATGTAGACTGCCTCGCTGGTGGTGACAGGCTATCAGTGCGATCATTGGACATGGCGGACTGAATCGTCGAGGTTCGGGTCCGGGCCGGCAGGGGCGGGGATATCTCGTCCTCATATTGTTCAACCTGCCTCGTGGGTGGTTGTATATTGAGCGCCGGGGGCGGAGGGGTCTCGCGAGGGACGGCGGGCGGCTCGGAAGCTCTGCCACCCATGACATTCGCTAGGGCTGCAGCCGGGTTGGCAGCAGGGGGGCTGCTCGGCTCTGGAGGAAGACTCCTCGCTGGAAGGGGTGGGCTGGGCTCGTCTTCAACATCAGGTGCTGGAGGGGCGGGAGGTCTCGTGGGCAGGCTCGGAGGAGCAGGTTCTGGCTCTGGTTCTGCTTCGGGGCCAGGCGATGGTTGCTCGTTGCCGGCGCCCTCAGTCATATCTATGTAGTTGGCTGGGACGAAGCCATAGTCACCATTGAAGCCGACTAGAATCCAGTCCGGGTCTGATGTGTCGAAAACCTCGAGCACGGCATCTTCTGTGAAGGAAAGCTCCTCATCGGTCTGTCTCGTATACTCGTACAGGGCACGGGCGCTGTCGATAGATGGTACCTGGATCGCCAGCCGTCAGACGACACCACTAGACTCAGGGGTTGGACTGTCCCAGGGCGGGATGAAAGGAGACTCACCTGCTCGATATAATTGCTCGGGACCAGGCCGACGGGCTCTTCCTCGTCCTCGGCGCTGGCCTTCTTCTTGACCTTCCACCAATCATCCTCGGAGCTCTGTTCGAGGAGGTAAAGCAAGTCGCCCTCGGTGATTTGCAGCTCTCCCTCGGACTGAGGAGCGTAGTCATATATGGCTCTGTAGACGCCGAGGAAGCCCATGATCACGACTCAACCGGACCCGGTAAGACGCCGTCTGCGTTGTCGGCTGCAGCAGGAGCAATCCAAGGCTATGCTGGACTATTCTGGAGGAAGTGAATGATGAAGAAGTAGAACAAAGCCCCTATGTGAGGACAAGGCAATGCGCGGTGGGCCTAGGTATCGTATCGGTATCGGCAGGGCGAACCGAGAGGCTCACAGCTTGCAGTTCCGAGTGGCTGGGCTGAGCTGGCCGTTCAAGCTTCTCGGCCGGTCGGTCCGTAGCACGGTGGGCTTCTGGGTCGCTCAAGCTGGAGGGGAGGGCAGGATCGGTGCTTGAGGCAGAGATGCGAGGAGCAAAAGTCGCAATAGATGCTGCGATGCGGCGGGGAGGCGTTCGTCATGCGCCGTCATGCACGGCATCCAGATGGCAGCTCGAGTGTTTCAAAAGGAGGCGGATAGGGAACGGCAGCGCCGCTGATTAAGATGGAGCAAGAGGCAAGTTAACCTTGGAAGTCGGGCACTAACGCCCCGACGTCAGACTGGCGAGGCACGAGAAGCCAGATGCAGAAGCCAGATGCAGAAGCCAGATGCAGATGCAGACGGCCGGTATTCAATGCTTGAGGGCCAATTGAAAAAAAAAGAATGCTTGCCAGAGAGTCTACCACGACGAGGCCAGAGGCTGACCAACTTGAAGAGTACGAAGTACCTACAGTAGTCTCGATATGCAGGAGCGCGGATGAGGTCAACGCCCATGCATCTGTCAGTCTGCCAGCATGCCAGCCTGCTAGGCCTGCCCAGCATCTCCCGAGCTTCCACAGGTTCTCCAATTGCTCATTTCGATTAACCAGGAGAGCAGAGGGTTATCAACCCTTGGAGATGACCGACGCTCGACCCCCCTCCCTTCTCCCGGCCGACGGACCAAATCAAAGTTATCCTATCCTATCCTATCCAATCCTTCCTTCAAAACTGGTCCTGAGAAGCCCAAGTAAGTCTCTCATCAACATCACCGTTGAAGAGCCTGCTTCTGGCCTCTGTTTGCCATTGCTTCGAGAGTCTCGGCACTCAATCGCCGTGGGCTTCTTGCTATCGACTGTCTCGAATGGCTCCTTCACCTTGGACCAGCGCTTCTCGTGGCCTCTCAGCAAGTGTTGGCGGCGCGTGCTCTTTCATCTATTTGTCAACAGGCGGCACGCAGACGAGACGGTGCACTACCGCTGAACCACGAGGCGCGAGCGGACAAGAGGCCGCACAACAGCTGGAGCACGAGCTCTGAAAGGACGCAAGGCAAACAAGCCGTGTACCACCCGTCTTGTGCACGAACGTCTTCATTTGATAATATTGCATTCGTCCTCGCAATTCCTTACTGTAGCACGCTCACGGTGAGCAGAATAATACCAAACTGCTGCGATTGTTCCTCCCAAGACGGTACCCTTGCCGAGCATATGCAACTGCGGAGCTTGTTCAGAGCATAACCAACCAACCAACCACCTGTGCGCTGCGATCCCAGAAGCTTCCACCAAGAGTCACACTGTAGACGAAAGTCTGGAGGATTCAGACAATGCTGTCTAGGAACGCATGTGAAACCCATGCCTCTTCGGCTGATTGCATGGTCCACCTGTACTTTCTTTTGCTTCTCTTCGCCAGTGCTATGCAGGTGTCAGCAGCGGTGGATTGCTTTTCGGGCTTGATGAGCCACGGGCCACGGCCCATCTATACTTAGAGCGAACTACCACAAGGCGGCTGGACAAGCTTTTGATGATCCAGACCGAGGAATCGAGACCGGGCAGACCCCAAGAAGACGTCATTCATGTTGCTGAGATCAAAGTTAATTCCGGCCCTGGCCGAGTCTTGCAGCCGCATCTATACAACAATGGATGAACCATCCCGGGTGTTTGGGAGCGGGATCGACTCGTGCTGTCTTCCCGCCTTGACTCCCAGCAGCCAGCCATCTCAAGCTAGCGCGTCGATCCTGGGAAGGGCAATTCCTGTCCTGCTCTTCCATCCCTTACTCGTCCGTCCTGCCCAGCCTGCCAACTGCCAGATCGAGCCCCGTATTTTCCGCTAAGGAGGGAGGAGCCGTCCCGCGGCTCTGGCTCCATTGCCCGACAAGACTGTGGACCACCATCTATCTCTAGTCCACTGTGGACTACCTAGTTTAACAACATGACAACCGCTGTTGGTTACCTACGGCCGACTTTGTGTGTCCACCAGGGCGCTTACTGAACCTTGAACGGCAGCCCCCGGAGGCTGCAGCTCGGGATCAGGCGCGGCAAACATGTCGGGACGGCTTGGATGTGACTGACGCCCTCAGCTGCGCGATCCTCGTGCAGCTCACCCCTGGTCGTGGGGAACGGTCACACTGTCACCCAGCTCGGTAGGCCTGGCCGCGACCCCATGAGTACATAGTCCGCAAGCCAAGGTAAGAGACCACTGCAGCTGTGCGGCGCAACATCAGCGCGCGTCTGAAGGCTGCGCATTCCTTTACTGTGCACCTGCGTCCATCTCTTTTTCACCTGGACTTCTCCCGCGAAGATGGAAGAAAAATCATCTTCAGCTGTTCACGCTGTTGCTTTTCAAGAGCCCTCCACGATGGATACCCCGGATACCCCAACAGCTGCGGCTCACGCCTCTCAGAAGGAGCCAATCCCCGTGAACGAGGTCTTCAATAACTACCACGATCAGTTTCATGACTTTGACGACCCGGAAACTTATAATGAATATATGGAAAAGGCCACCAGTCGATCCACGTCCAATTTCGTTGTTCGATTTGGGGCCAACAAGTCGAGGATTGCGACTAACCTCACAGAACAAGATGTGGACGCCCTAATACACCAAACCGCGCCTGGCAAGGGCGATCAGGACCTACCGGTGACTTGGATGTATGCGCAACCGCCTTCTCAGCTACAGACCTTTTGGCTGACATTCGGGACTCAGAAATCTTTGGTCGGTCAACAGTAATGTCGGAATCATCAGGAAACTCGCCCACCGCTACAAGTTTTCAACGCGCTTGATGTACTCGATCCTCACATGGGATGTCGCGAGGCAGCAACTGGCAGAAAGGTCCTCCCCTTCTGAACCTGTCAAACCAGATCATTGGCAACGCTTACGGTCGAGAACTACGGCCTTACGAGCGGCAGACCCAGAGCAGGGGGTCGGTGATGGGACAGGTGCAAAGCCAGCAGCGCCACGGCAACCCGGGGCTGACACTTTAAAGCTCGACGACGAGGATCTAGACATGTTTAAGCTCTTGCAGGGCACTTACAACTACACGACTGTCGACCATGGCCCGGATTGTAAGTGTTTTGCTTGGAGACAAGCACGTGGCTCCACGCTAACCATGCCAAAAAGTCATCTGCATAGGAGCCAACTGGTTGCACGAAAGACCCAAGCAGCTGCTGTCTTCAGAACTGGGGCGCATTTATGAGGCTTCCGCTGAATTAGTGCCACCGAAGCATTGGGCTTGGTACATTCTGACGAGCGACCGTGAGTCCTGCACTATACCGCGTTGGAATTATCCACACTGATGAGAACAGATACTGTCATATCAATCCAAGAAGCCCCTGTGTACCTCGAGATTCCGAAGGGCGTCAAAGTAGACCATGACAGATTGCAAAAAGATGAGCTGCAGAGCATGCGGAAAAACACAAGCGCTCTTCTATCCCAGCTCTCGGCGATAGGGATCCAGAAGTATCTGTTGCGAATTTCGGCTTCAAAGGGCGTCCGCTCGGATTTGAAGCCTAGAACTGAGCGCGGTACCGTCCCTGGAGCCAGGACGACTGTGAAGGAGTCTGAAGCGGACGTCGACGGCTCGGCCAACCTGTTCTTCTACCTTTTCGAGGACTACTCTGCAGGCATTTCGATTCTGAAAGATTCTAGCACGACCCTGAGCAGGCTGGTAAGATTGATTGCCACTAGGACTTTGGCTGCACTCGAGACTAACAAGAATTTCCGCAGACGGACGAAGTGCTCCAAATCACTGTAAGTATCCCGTCAATAAGCATCTTCTCAGGATCACCGCTCAAATTCGACTGACCCTGATTTAGGGTCGACACAACAAGGACAGAGACACCTCATACATCATCAAAACACTCTACGCGAGAAGCAAAGACCTGCGGCAGCTCAAACACCTTTTCGAGAGCTACGGAAAGCTCATCATGGGAGTCATGGACCTCGGCACCGAGACGGGGAGCGATGACAAGGAGGCCATGACGGCCTCGACAGCCAACCTGAACGGAACGCCGGCCAGGGGCGTCAAGCTGTCGCAAAAGGCGTACGACCGCTTCGCGCGGCTCAACGACCGCCTCAAGCTTCTGATGCTGGACACAATCGACGAGTACCTGGAGGAGAAGTCGTCGCTATCCAGCACCTACTTCAACCTCCTCGCCCTCAAGGACTCGCAGGCCACGGCCAAGCTCAACCGCTCCGCCTCCCTGCTCGCCAAGCTCTCGGTGTTCTTCCTCCCCATCTCCTTCATGACGTCTTACTTCTCCGTGGAGATTCCTGACCTTGTATGTCTGACCCCTACTGATGCCACTGTCTTTGTCAAGAAATCAAGACAACTCTTGTATGAGATGAGCAAGTGTCAAGCAAATGCTGACTTTGGTTTCCCCGTCTCTAGAGCCAGAGCTGGACCGGCAGGACGTACTGGATCAGCTTCGCCGTGATCGCCACACTATCCTTCATGAGCCTGTTCTTCTTTAGCCGGCTGCTTATGATAGTCTCGGATATACTGGACGAGAAGCTCAACAACATGCAAAAGGGCACTTGGAGGACAGTGAAGACGGTGACGAAAGAGGTCAGTGCGAGGACGATTGGGCGGAGAGGAAGCGCAGATAATGATGAGAAGAGGTTAGACGAGGAGTAGGTCCTCTTGTCTAGGAGATGTCTTTGTGAATCTCTGGGAAGGGGATAGCTTGACAGCATAGCGTCGGTGATGAGGTTGTTAATTTTAGGAGCACCATAGCAGTTCCTGTCATGGTTGCAAGGGCGTTTGGGAGACTTGACTTGCTTGGCCCTAATACCCAACTTTTAAGCTATGAAATCAAGACGTCTTGATGCAAGTTTCTGTATTGAATCTTTCTGGTTTACGCCGCAAATCCTCATGAAGCTGAGTTTGCCATTATGAACAGGATATCTACGCTGATCTCCACCGCCCATCATGTACAATCCATGCTGCGACTGAGCCCTCCTGATACGGACCACTCGCAGGCGAATAAATATTAATGGAAACAAGAACCTTTCAAGAAACAATCTTTTCGTCACTCATAGCACTCAGGACCTATACATGTCATCAATCCTGTGTCGTTCCTTCATGCTTTCCTTCCGGTGACCATCATCATTCGTCAACACGACCATGTTCATATCCCCATCATGCCGAACCCAACACCAGCAGCAACTCCAGCTACGACGCCCATACACGGCAAGTGCGTCGGCGCCGCATTCGCGCTCCCAACAGTGAACCCGGCCGTCGACCCAGCCTCGCAGTACGACCCCTGGATGGAGTGGCAGGCCACGCTGCTCAGGCTCTGGCAGACGCTCGTGGCGCTCGCCGTCGGCAGGGTGGTCCCGGCGTTGGCGCCGATGGTCGTCGTGCCCCCGTTGCCAGCCGGCACGACGACTGTGACGGCCCCGCCGGCGCCGCCCGCGAGGTCCGCGGTGCACGCGGCGTAGTTGGCGCTGCACTGCGAGACTGCCCTGGAGCACGCCCCCGCGTTGGAGAAGGACGTCGCGATGTACGGGAAGCTGAAGTAGGCGTTGGGCACGTAGCTTACGGCCGTCGTCGTCGGGGGCTTGTAGCTGGACGGGGCAGTCCCCGTGCACACGGCGCCTGAGGGGCAGCACGCCGGGGAGTTGTCGGCGTCAAGGGCGCAGGCCTGGCCGTCCGCGCAGCAGATCCCGTTGAAGGCGGAGCCCTGGCTTGCGCAGCTGCTTGTGCCGGAGATGCAGCCGTCGGTCTGGCGGGCGAGCAACTCGTGCACTGGTGCTGCGGCTCGATACCGGCCGACAGTGGGTGTGGCTGTCTCGGCTGGGAAGAAGGGCTGCAGCTGGGCGAGGACTGCGGGGATGTGGGTGAGGAGGAGGGTGATGGTGAGGAGGGGCACTGAGAGGAGTTGTTTCCGTCTCATGGTGATCTGAGGGGTCCCTTGGGACGAAACAAGTCGAAAATCGGTCCCGAAAATGTCTCGAAGTCGGATGTTCGAGTCGATGATCGGCGGGTGACGATAGACTGAACCCACGCGTGGCTCACAGGCAAGCTGAGGAGCCTGCTGGATGAATCTCAGCACCTTCTTACTGATGAAGTCAATGGCTTTGGCAGCTTGAAGGATACCAAACAAATAGCTGTGATGCAATTGGTGAGTATGGATCGGCGTTGGAGAATTGAATTAGAGTACAAATTGAGAAGGTCTCGAGGAATTCCAAAAAGTGAGGCGAGGCAGTCGAAGTAAGCTGGCTGGTCAGTGTCGAATGAGGTGGCTGGGTGCGCAGCGATGCATCCTCGCGATTTGCGGCCAAGAACTGGCTGGCTGGCGGGATTTTGGCGATGCACCAATGTCAATTGTGAGCTTGACCTTGATGCATCCGCGCCCAACAATCAACCTACTGCTTCTGTGGTATTAGCTCCAGGAGCTTGGTCTTGCTCCTCTCATGAGGTGTCCAGAGCTTCTTGTCCGCGCCCTCCAGTGACTCCCCATAGGTACACAAGCACCTAGACTCGGTAGACTAGGTGGTTGGTGGTGTTGGAGTTGGAGCTGGGCTTCTCGGCCGGGACCAACCCTTGCAAGCGAGGCCTGGCGCACAGCTGGATCCCAGGGTACTGTATTGATGTGATGTCATTGCAGTCGGCAGAGCAACCCTAGAGCTTCCGATTCAACCCCGCATTTGTCAATTGGTGTCACTACAGTGCTGTACCGTCGCAATGTGGACCCTCGGTTCTGGTTGGCGTGGGGTAGGGTTCATCAGAAAATGCTGGGTTGGACCATACCAATCCCATCTCCTGTGGGTATGAGAGACTGATACTGTAGTCCTCGACGACTGATCCCAGATACAGGGCAGGGCAGGGCAGCATGTGAAAAGGTCCGATGTACTCCAGACGCCCTTGGTGTGCGCAGGTGTTGCCCAGGTATGCTCAAGTGTGCCTCGTGCCTGGATCCGCTGACCGTCTGGGCACCCACCTCGATCAAGGCTGGTTGTCCTGCCGCCTCGTGGCCCCTAGGCCATTTCCGTCCCATATCTACAAACGGGCTCGCACGCGTGTGAGGATGGTGCGCAGTTGCCGTACTGCTGGTGCGCTCCCGGGCTGCTCATCCTTGGTATCTCTCATCCGCGCCACCTCTGTCCGCGCCTCCTGCACCAGCGAGCCCAGGTCGCCCCAGACCTCGTCCGTATAGCCCGTGAGGACTCGGTTCCACTGCTCCAGCCATATCTGGCCTGCCTCTGCCGCCTCAGTCACCCCAAGGTTCATGTGGCTATCTCCAGATGGCCCTGTCGCCGGACTATAGCTGTCTCCCCGCAAGAAGTCCGGCACGAAATTGAGGACGTTGTTCCAGTCTGTCGCCGAGACCTGGTCGGTAGCTCCTTCCTCGAAGAGTGCCCGCCTCAGGCTTTTGAGATCTTCCTCGGAGATCGCATAATCCTCTTCAAACCTCGGTGCCTCTTCTCCCGTGACCTGTGATAACAGTCGGACAACTTCCACGCCATCCTGAGCCTGCTGCTCGGCCACCGAGTACGCGCTTGCGGGTCCTGGAGCCCCATTGGTCCCAGGTGCTACTGAAGCACCACCACCCCCTGCTCTCTGCCATGCCTGCTCCAGGCCGGCCGGTTCTGTTGCGACGAACGCCGGTGTGCTGTCCAAGAAGTCGGAGAAAGCAGCCTCTTCAGCAGCAGCATGAGCATCTGCCTGGGCTGATCGAAAGACACCGGTGTCGGATGTACCAGCCCTAGCCGCAGTGGATGATGCCTCACCCGAAGCAGGAGGCTTGTTGCTTGATGATGGCCCTGTCTTTTCTGACGAAGAGACATTCGCAAGATCACCGGCTGTTGGCGTGCCGCGTAAAACGCTTTGCGATAGACTTGTGGCAGACCTTCCAACTCGAGACATGATAGATTCGGTGTCTGCAGGCGGCCTTTGAGGTTCCCGATCCTGGTCCGTTTCGCGTCTGGCCACATCTTTGCCCTTTCCATTCCCTCTACCCTGGCCTCCAACGGGGTCGGTGTCGAGATCCTTTCCACCAGCTCTAGGATCCATCATGTCTCAGTGTAGGCAACAGAAAAGACCGAACAGCGAGTTCAAAGTAGAAAATATGCCCGACAATTCTCCCCTAAAGATTGTCTTGATCAGATGCCAACGGAGGAGCCAACTGGGATTATATCGTGTGACAGTATTCCTGGTGCTCAAAGTCGCCTCATAAGAGGCCGGAACGACCCGGCGGAAGAAAGGGAGTGTGAGAGCTGATGACGAGGATGCTCATCGAGCAAATGACATGTGTGAGCCAGGCAAAGAAGCTGGTGACAACCCAAGATGAGCATAAAGCTTGGCTAAGAGCCAGGGTCAAATATGCATATCATCCCATGCTCTGTGGCTTGTAGAGTTCCGGGGAGTGGGATGCACTTTGTCAAATATGCGCAGGACCAGGTTTTGCAGTTAGATCTGTATCCTCGGTTGGAGCCATGGAACCCTGGAACTTTAGGGAGCCTTGGAAGGTCAAGTACTCACTCTGTCTGCAGTACCGTACCGGTGCTTTGTTGGGTTGAATCCAGACCCGGCAATCCGGTCTCAGCGCAGTCATGACCCTCTGGGCCAATAAGTGACCACGGTTGAGGTCCACGCATGTCGCATAGGGACAAGGCGGTGGGTGTATTTCATGCAGTCGCGGTTGTACCCAGGGCATCATGAGGAGAGCTTGGAAGGGCTGATCAGGACCGCCTGTACATGCAGTGCATGCAGCGCCCAGCCCAGGGCACCAGAGACAGACAGCTGAGATCCTGTTGGAGGGGTAGTCATCCCCCCACTGGCGGCTGGAAAATCCAGCCCAGGTAAAAGGGCCCACGTCGGACAACACCAAGCGCCCATTTCAAGCTTAAGTCCCTCCCCCCCAATTGCCAGCACCCACACGACGCAAGGTCCAGCACACCACACCACACCACGGCACAGCAGAGTACAGCACAGCACAGCGCAGAGTAAAAGCGCCCCGGTCCGCATCAAAGCCCTTCCTCGGTGACATCTTCGCCTCCTTTTCATCACAATCCCTTCTCTGATACCCCGCATCATCGTCACCAAAACCCATCCTGATTGCTTCCAAGGCTGGTGTCCGCGTCTTGCAGTCCCCCTGGGCCTTTCTCTTGTCTATCTATGGTGGGTGTCACATTTCCATCGCCTTGCCCTCACCTCAGGCTTTGCCTTGCCCACTTTCTCCCCCAGTCGCCGCTCCCCCCCTTCTTTGTGCCCGCCGCATCAAGCAACAAGCAACGAGACAGTGTCGCGTGAAGAAGCAGTAGCAGCAGCAGCAGCAGCAGCAGCAGGGACGCACCCACCTTACCGCAACTCAACTCAACTCAACTCTACTTCTCCCTCCCCTCTCAGCCTTGGACACCTTGTCAGCCAAGCCCAGCAGGAGCTTGTCTGCTCCTCCAAAGTCGCAGCCCTGCCCTGCCTGCCCTGCCCTGTCCGCTGTGCCCTGCCGGCTTGAGGCTCTTTCTGCACTTCCTTACTTACCTGCCTTAGCTCTACACCTAGCAACTCCCCATCCTTGCCTCCCATCTCTCGATCACCATATCGGCTCAACAATTGCATCGAGTATCCACACAGACGAACCCTCCCATCCACCTAATCTATACGACGAACCTGGTCCCGCCCACACGCATCGTCCCCCTCTACCAACGTCCCGCGTAGCGTGAAGGCCGACCCTTCGCCTACACCCTCTCGACTCGCAACGATGGTAGATGCAGAACCAGGCTCGCCGACATGGAAGTTTACCCAGTATGTTCTGACCATCCGCGCGGCTGCTCCGCCCTCCAGCCAGCATGCTGCCACTTGCCCAGTTCCAGGTCGGACTGCTGGCTATCGCCACTGCCGCTGCCACTGCCGCTGCCGACCTGCGGACCTTGTGATCGCACGTTGCTGACGTAGCTCGCCAGGTGCTTCGGAGACAAGGGGGATGTTGAGGATATAACGGAGGGTATGAACATCACCTCGGGAACCAGCCCTCCACCGCCGTTCCAAGGTGACACTGCTGACTTGAAGCCAGCCGACATCATATCTACTGTTGAATTCGACCACACGGGAAATTATCTGGCGACAGGTGACAAGGGTGGACGAGTTGTCTTGTTCGAGCGTAACGAAACAGTGAGTGGCTAGCTCTGGCAACTGGCGATGACGATGCTGCTGCTGCGGGACGTGCCTGACGTGCCGAGCAGAAAAAAACCTGCGAGTACAAATTCCACACCGAGTTCCAATCCCACGAGCCCGAGTTCGATTACCTCAAGTCCCTCGAAATCGAAGAGAAGATCAACAAGATCAAGTGGTGTCGACGACAAAATGCCTCCCACTACCTCCTCTCTACGAACGACAAGACGATCAAGCTGTGGAAGGTTTTCGAGAAGTCCCTTAAGGTGGTCGCCGAGAACAACTTGTCCAACGAGGCCACTCCTGGGAATATCGTTGGCGGTGGCGGCGGACCAAGGGCCCTGCCAAGTGTCATTAAGACTGCGACCGACCTCAAACTGCCTCGTCTAACCCACCATGACACAGTAGTCGCTGCTGTACCGCGGAAGACTTACGCCAATGCGCACGCCTACCATATCAACAGCATATCGGTCAACAGCGACGGGGAGACATTCATCAGCAGCGACGATCTCCGCATAAACCTCTGGAACCTCAACATCCAAGACCAAAGTTTCAATATCGTGGATATCAAGCCTGCGAATATGGAAGAGCTCACCGAGGTCATCACAGCCGCCGAGTTCCACCCCATGAGCTGCAACTGGTTCATGTACGCTAGTTCCAAGGGCACGATCAAGCTGGCGGACATGCGCGAGAGTGCCCTCTGCGACCAACATGCTAAACGTGAGTACCTTGCCCCATGACTACGACGCGGTCCAGAAAACTGAATAACACACGTGGCACAGTGTTCGAGCAAGAAGAGGACCCTTCCGCGAGGTCATTCTTCTCAGAGATCATCTCATCAATCTCGGACGTAAGGTTTTCGTACGATGGCAGGTACATCCTGTCGAGAGACTACCTGACGGTCAAGATCTGGGACGTCAACATGGAAAGACAGCCAGTCAAGACGATCCCCATTCACGAGCATCTTCGGCCCAGGCTCTGTGACACGTACGAGAACGACAGCATCTTCGACAAGTTTGAGGTGGTCTTTTCCGGGGATTCAAAGAATGTCATGACAGGAAGCTACAACAACAACTTCATGATCTATCCGTCCGACCCCGAGAAGGAAGTCGAGGTCGTATTACAGGCAGACAAATCGGCATTCAAAGCTAAGAAAGTAGGCGTGCCAACGCCGATCAACTCGTCCACGAGCCCTACCGCTAATGGCGGTAAGAAGAACGGATCTCGTGCTGGCAGCCCGGCTGGAGCAGGACAGAGGATGCGCAAGGAGACGGATGCGGACCAGATTGATTTCAACAAGAAGATCCTGCACATGAGCTGGCATCCATTCGAGGACAGCATCGCGATTGCGGCCACCAACAATGTAAGTCTGACCGTCCCCGCGGAACTGAGCCCTTAGCTGACACGCAACTGCAGCTGTTCGTGTTCTCAGCCCTGTAGATGGCAACCGCACATAATCATCGTCGTCAAGTGCAGCTGTCTTGTGGGCCTGGCATCCGCCCTGGTTGTTTCCTGCTCTTTGGAGCTCTTACAGGGATATCCTCGCATTTTGGCGTCCAGGCTTTATGTTGCAACTCCACCTCATGCATTCATGAGTCTTGCTGCGGGAGGACTCAAGCTTGACGGTGACATGGGGCACGAGTTATTGGAGTCTTGTGAGACATCACAAATTGTGGGGGATTCTGCGGAGATGGAGACATCTCTGCACGATGAACTTGAGAGGGCGCATTGGAGGCAAGCTGGTGACACACCAAGGAGGAAGAGCGGTGGTGCGGGAGGTTGTCGAGATAAATGCATTAGAGTCGAGGGAAGGCAAACAAGTTGTTTGGCATAGAGACCACCCTCAGCCCAGACAGATAAGAGACATGATTAGATTGAGGAATATCTTTCACTTGCTGTGTGAATGGACTCAAGTGGCAGTGGTTCTCAAGAAATCCAGCGTCTATCGGTTTACTCTCACTGCAGATAGGGGACAGAAGATGGGCATGGAAATCAATCCGTATATTTCATTATGTCTAACGTGGCTCTATCAGCAAACGAAGCCGGGATTAGAAATGCAGGGCGGAGGCTATTAGAAAATTGCAAAGAATATATAAATTGAACACAGTATTCATGTCAAGATTTCATACAATGTTGTGCAACAGTTCGTATGGTACTTGTATACAAGTCTTATTTCTGAACCAACCGTTGTGACGTATTGGTAATACTAATCGCAGATGTCCAGGTGAGAATAGATGCGAATTGATCCTTGGAAGAGACGGGTTCGCGATATTAACCAAAATTCCTCAAGGACACGGCCTTTCCTGACTTCGTCCCCTTCCGGAAGTTCAAATCCTGTTTTTATTACAGTTTTGTGAGACAGAAAATCACAAGAGGTAATTACTCTCCAATACCGTAGTGATACATAGGCTCTGGGACGTCTCAAACAGCCCTGTGTTACCAAGAGGGTGATATCCACTCCAAGCTGGACATGGCTTTCGAATATGAAATTTATATCACTTCAACAAAGGCAATATAAGTACCACTTGTTGTGCGCGTTCATTCGTGGCGATTATAAAAGACCAGAGCATGGACAACTAAGGCGTTGATTTTGGTTAAGAGCTACAGGTAGACACTGCCTCGTGAGGCCTAAAATGCTCGCCAGCCATACTAAGAAGGGGGGGGGGGGATATGAGATGCAAGCATTTACTTTGTGTATACAGCTCCCCAATGGTATAATACTCGAGGTTTATGCCGACTTGTAATTCCTGCTCGCCGACAGGACCCTCCAAAATGCTACCCCACGGTGCTGCTCGGCTACCGGCAAGCCGCGCCGATGTCAAGAGTTGACCTCGTCCGAGATAAGGTGGAGTTGTCTCGATGAAAACCAAGGCTGTGTTCCGGCCCAGGGGTTCCGTATGTGAGGTGTGTCTTGCAGGAAGGGAGAGGGGGAAATGGCCTGCACCCGGCACGGCCCGAAAGCCCCCCGCCCCCTCTGGATACAGCAATCTGTGGGGCTTGGCCCAGGTGCCACACCCACGGGGAGTAAAAAACCTTGGGCTTAAGCTTGATTTCCCCCGCATCATGATGTTGAAATGGGTGCCTCTCAGAATTTTTGTCCTGGACTCAAATCCTGCGCAACTTAGTTCGGCCGTGGCTAGCGGAGCTAGAATCCTGTGAAGACGTGGCTCGGTACCTAACGGTCAGTATGATGCTTGGCTGGGGAACTCATATCGGCGCGGGCGAGCCTTGGTCACTCTGCCAGATAAGAGGTGAGGGGTTCTGTTTCTAATCATGATAACGTTCGTTCTGGAAACCGTCGAGAAGGTAGTTCGGGTGGTACCATTTGACCGGTCACACTATGGCGTGTTCCAGTACTTGAAGCATGCACATGCGTAGTACTGATTGATACTATAACTGGAAAAATTGCTCAAGGGCTTGGATGAACATATATAATCTTGGAATTCAAAGAGTGCAATATGTCACGAATGCACTGGGTTTTCTAGAACTCATTATTGTGAAAGTCTCTTGCAAATGTCGATCTCTTCTCGCTGCTGCTCAGCTGACCGTTAGAATGTACTCCTTATGTACGGCATAATACATTGCAGCAAGTACGGCACACGGTCATTTTGCAAATATATTAATGTGCACGTGCGCAAATAAATCAGCTAAAGGAGAGAGTTATACGTCTTATCGAAGACCCATTCATTCTACTGTGGAATTGATCCCGTGATGGGATGCACAAGTGCCCCAAGGATGTCTATCCAGACGTGAGGATCGACCTGCCCCATTCATACAAGTCGTCCCATCTCCGAGAGATGCGTTCGCAGGTACCCGCATGCTTCTAGCCCTGTTGGAAGCACCCAAAAGATGGCCGAACCTTGTGAGGGTTGTCTGTGCCTTTGTTCGCGCCGGCAGATGTGCCCGTTGATCCCCCCAATGGTGTGGTGTGGTTGCGGGGCCAGAGGGCCAGGGCCGAGTGCGGTTGGCGGGAAGCGGCAAGGCGGGAGGACCCCTGGGGCCCTGACCCCCCTGGACGACTTACGATTAGCGGCGGTGCGATGTCTTGGCCCCGCCACCACCCTTCGAAAAAGGCCAGAACATTGCAGGGACGGACATGAGCCTGCCAGTACCAAGCAGGAACCAACCTCGAATTCAGATCACAGGCGAGCTTGAAAACCCTCGAGTCCCCCTGGAGCCTGAAGCTACATACACACACGTCAGGTCCACTTGGCTCGACACTATGGTTAGAGCTTTACCATAAACTTGTCTACTCGACCGCTCCTTGCGACCCAATCTCCCGAGGATTTATTACTGTACTCAATTCAAGGTTCAGGGTATTATTGCAACTCGGACTCCCTTGCTACAGGCATCGCGCCACGTATACATACACACACTCCTGGCAGTACTGTACTTACCGACGCCACAGGCACCGGCCTTCCAGCTCGATTCGCATTGCATTGATCAGCGCATGCCTCTCAGCCGCGACAGAACTGACTCTGATGCTCCTCGGCACCCCCCCTTAGCAGTCGACTGGACACGTTTCGCGTTTACCTTTTCTTCCCGGCTGTCGCGGAAAAAAAAGGCCAAACCGCCCACCGTGTAAATGACGACCTCCCGCCCAGCTCGACGACGACAAACCTCCCTGCAGAAAGCCCAGCACCATGCGGCTGCCTCCGCCCCGATGACCCCTCGAGTGATCAACGCCGCTCCCTCCCTGGAGAAGGCGCAAATCCATGGCATCGACGACCAGCGTCCGATGTCCTCCAAGATCATGGGCATGCTGGGCCGCATCTTCATCGAGACCATCCCACAATGGCTCACCGTGGGTGCCATGCTGCTTCTGATCTTCGGGGGGTGTTGTTCCAACGTCTTTGCCCTGGAGGCTATCATTCAGTCAGTCTCGCGATGCAGCCTGACGTCGTTGCTCCGCTGGATCTAGGATGCTGACTTGAGTGTGTTCTCTCGCCTAGGGTTGAGCCGGCCAGTGGCACTCTCCTGACTTTTGTTCAGTTCCTCTTCGTCGCCGTCACGGGGTACATCTCCCAGTTCGACGAGACGCGGCCTCCGTTCTTCCTGCGACCAAACAAGGTGCCCATCCGGCGCTGGCTGATCAACATCGTGCTTTTCTTCAGCATCAACACGCTGAACAACCATGCCTTCAGCTACGACATCTCTGTTCCTGTGCACATCATCCTTCGATCCGGAGGAAGCATAACGACAATGATTGCGGGAAGCATTTGGGGAAAGAGATATTCTCGCATACAGTTCACAGCTGTCATGCTTCTCACGGTCGGTGTCATAACCGCCGCTTGGTCGGACGCGCAGACTAAGGTAAGAGAAGTGATGCGGCATGTTGTGCAGGCATATGATGGTCAAGCTGACGGACGGGGCGCAGGGGAAAACGGAAGAGCACGCGGGAAGCACTCAGAGTTTCAACACCGGCCTCGCCATCCTCTTCACTGCTCAAGTTGCGTCCGCGATTATGGGTCTGTATACCGAGGACACGTACCGAAAGTACGGTCCACAGTGGAAGGAGAACCTATTCTACTCGCATCTACTATCCCTGCCGCTGTTTATTCCGTTCATGCCGGCCATGTGGAGGCAGTACAACAAGCTGGCAAACAGCGCGCCCTTGCCACTCCCAATCGCGGGGATCTTTGGGCTCGAGAAGCTACCGGACGATTTCCAGCGCGCCATCGACAAGATTTACATCCCAAGCCAGCTGTTCTATCTCATGATGAACGTCCTGACGCAGTATGCCTGCATCCGCGGCGTCAACCTGCTTGCAGCTGCGTCGACTGCGCTGACGGTGACAATTGTCTTGAATATCCGCAAGCTCGTGAGCCTCCTGCTCAGCATCTGGCTGTTTGGGAACCAGTTGGCCACGGGCACGCTGCTTGGGGCTTGCATCGTGTTCTTCGCGGGAGGACTATACTCGCTTGATTCGGGCAAGAAGGTCTCTCCCCCGAAGGCCAGGACAGCCAAGATTGGTTGACGCGTCTGGCAAGATCATGCCTTAGCAGCATTCTGGTGGATGCTTCGTATAGGTAGCGCTGGAGAGACATTGATCTCCCCACTTCAGGCCCGACATGGAAATAAAAAACATACGTTCGGGTGGCTCTGATCAGTCTCCCCTTTTCGTGCAAATCACTGTGATCCACTGACTGCCGGCAGAACCACGTTACTTGTGACACGTTCCATCTCTTCACAATGTTTGTTTTGTATGGTTTAGGCTTGGCTGGCACATGGGATTTTAACTTTAATAGATGCCCACCCATATTGCTCCTGCAGCCCGTGGCAGATCCTGTGGGGGCGCACGGCAGAACTGCCAGGCGGCCCCTGGCGAGGCTGGAGGTGCAATTGGTTCGGCCGTTTGGCGCTGTACGTCATTTACCCAGACCCCTGCGCTCAGGTGCCCCCCCGCTGCCAGGATGCTGCTGGGTGCTGCCGACAAGCTCTTGCCCCGGGAGAGGCTCCCCTTCAAAATTCCAGCGGGGGACTCCGCGACGCAAAGGCGCAGCGGTGCTACCTAAGCCGTTATAACCCCATCGACTCATCCACGTGCGCCCAGCCGGAGCCGCGTTGGTCGTCCTTCTCTTCTTAATTTCCAGGTGCTGACGGAAAGTCACAGAGGGAGAGAAGATGGCCGGTATGTCTCGCCCTAGAACTCGTTTAACGGACCACAATAGTCTGTACACCAATGACTGATCAATATATATGTATCGTGTCTCAGACCACTCCTTTGTCGAGGACCCCACCTCGGCCTCGAATTCTCCCAAGCTCAGCACAACTGCTATGCCTCTCTCTCAAGAGTCCGACGAAGAGGACGACGCTGCCACTTTTCAGAGCGCCAGCCCACAGTCAGAGGAAGGGCAACCCGATCTGACTTCCAAGAGCACACCCAACGGAGAGGAGGAGGAAGAAGACCAAGAGGGCCTGCTCCCCCGAGACATGCCCAAAAAGACGGCCTTCTACGACCCGGTGGCGGAGCGCCAGATGACACAGCATGACGCGAAACTCTTCTACCAGCGCAGCCAGCTCGACCAGCAGAAAGGAGGCGGCCAGCCCTGGGGCTCCTCCGTGTACGATGGCAGCATCCATGGTAGTCCGGTCATTTCCCACGGAGTAGGGGCGCCCCTCGAAAGGACGCTCGGCTCCTCGTATGACCTCCCGGCCGCCGCGTGGCCTCAGAATGGCTCGCCAACTGGCGGTGAGAGTGTCTACGGTAGTGCCTCTAAGAAGGACACCACCCACTTCACAATGCCCAGCAACCGCAGTCACCCTGAGAGCCATTCGGAGTTTCATAGGGTGCCCAGTGGACTAGGTGTCAGCGCCCAGGATGCTGTCTACCAGGCTCAGTTGGAAATGAGCACAGGCGCTCCCCATGGGATTGGTAGTGCCTCTTATGTCGGGGCAGACGCTTCGGTCACGGCCGAGCTCAGCAGCATCCTGAAGAATGTCCAGAAGATCCTCGACATCCGTCACAAGTACATTCGCCTGTCCCTCCAAGGGCCGACAGATAATCCCAGGGACGATCCCAACTGGTCCATCTACCCACCTCCGCCCCAGCCAGTCTGGGTGGGCGATTCAGAGAGGGCCGTGAACGGAAGTAATGCGCCAAATAGCATGACAAACAGCACGACTCTGCCAGCTGATCAGACGCAAACTGAGACTCCCAAGAAGAGGCGGAAGCTTGGCGAGGACATCGGCTCGGACTTTGACATGGCTGATCTCGAGCCCCTGCCTGGCGCGAGTGAGATGACCTTCGGGCTCGATGACAATGGAGTATTTCAGGTCTTTGAGAACGAGGCAGCGGAAGCAGCGGACACGCCCGCGGTCAACGTTCCAACTATTAAAGAATACTACATCGACCTCGACGTGATCCTGTCAGTGTCGTCTGACGGCCCATCCAAGAGCTTTGCCTTTCGCCGGCTGCAGTACTTGGAGGGGAAATATAACCTCTACGCCCTCTTGAACGAATATCAAGAGACGGCAGACACCAAAAAGGTGCCGCATCGTGATTTCTACAATGTTCGAAAGGTCGATACCCACGTGCACCACTCCGCATGCATGAACCAGAAGCATCTCCTTCGCTTCATTAAGAGCAAAATGAAGAAGTCCCCAGACGAGGTGGTGCTGCACAGAGATGGCAAGTATCTCACGCTGCGAGAGGTGTTCGAGAGTATCAACTTGACAGCATACGACCTCAGTATTGACACCCTTGATATGCACGCCCACACCGATTCGTTCCATCGGTTCGACAAATTCAATCTGAAATACAACCCAATCGGAGAATCTCGTCTGCGTACCATCTTCCTCAAGACAGACAACCTGATCAAGGGCCGCTACCTGGCAGAAATCACCAAGGAGGTGATCGCGGATCTGGAGTCAAGCAAGTACCAAGTCGTCGAGTGGCGCATCTCGATCTATGGCCGGTCGATGGACGAGTGGGACAAGCTCGCGGCCTGGGTCGTCGACAACAAGCTCTTCTCACACAACGTCCGCTGGCTCATCCAGATCCCTCGCCTGTACGACGTGTACAAGGCGAGCGGTACAATGGAGACATTTGAGCAGATCGTCAAGAACATCTTCCAGCCGCTTTTCGAGGTCACCAAAGACCCTCAGAGCCACCCCAAACTTCACGTCTTCCTTCAGAGGGTTGTCGGCATCGACAGCGTCGATGACGAGAGCAAGGTCGAGCGACGCCTTTTCAGGAAGTACCCTGTTCCCAGAGTTTGGGACACGAAGCAGAACCCACCCTACAGTTACTGGATCTACTACATTTTCGCCAACCTCACCTCACTCAATTTCTGGAGGAAGCAGCGTGGCTTCAACACGTTCGTCCTCCGGCCACACTGCGGTGAGGCTGGTGACGTCGAACATCTCGCCGTGGCCGCCCAATGTGCTCACAGCATCAGTCACGGTCTGCTGCTGCGGAAGGTGCCCCTGCTGCAGTACATCTTCTACCTCGAGCAGATCGGCGTGGCAATGTCTCCGCTCAGCAACAATGCGCTGTTCCTGGCACTGGAGCGAAACCCATTTTACCAATATTTCAAGCGTGGCCTCAACGTGTCCCTCTCCACGGATGACCCTCTCCAGTTTGCCTACACCAAGGAGCCGTTGATGGAGGAATATGCTGTGGCGGCGCAGATCTACAAGCTCAGCCCAATTGACATGTGCGAGCTCGCAAAGAACTCTGTCAAACAAAGCGGCTATGAGCATTCGATCAAGCAGCACTGGCTTGGCCCCAACTTCTTGAGGCCTGGGTTCAGGGGCAATACCATGGTCAAGACGAATGTGCCTGACAGGAGGGAGGAATTCAGATACCGCACTTTGCTTGAGGAGCAGCAGATGTAAGTGTTCCCACGACATGGCTTTGGAAGTCAAAGGCTGACCAGAAAACAGGGTTGAGATGTACACCTCGTACGCCGCAGACCCACCGGCCGACTCCGTTACGGCCGCGCCCAGCGGTACTGGGTCTGCCGTTCCCAAGTCGCCCGCGGCGATCAAGACCGGCCTCAACGTCGACGTGCAAACGCCAGTGCACCCTCAGTCAAAGAGGGCGGCGCCAACGTCGTCGCCCGCGGTGGCACCTGTGCAGCCGAACGTGACTTCTACGCCGCCCGGCCCCGGTACCGTACAGCCCTCGACCTCGTGGCCGATAGACGGGATGAAGGATGCGCACCTATCGGGGAGCGAGCCGCGGATCTTTCCGGGCATGATCAGCAGGAGGCAGAGGACGAACAGTCTCCGACAGGGGTCGACGAACGAGGCGGACGGCACGGCGAAGAGAGTGATTTCTAGCAACATGGAGGAGGTCGATGAAGATGCCGTTCTGGAGTCGAAGGAGTGAGGGCTTTCTCGCCTGTTGGGTCCTTATGATGTTACGATCGGTGGGCGGGAATGCTGTATTAGTACTTGATCAGATTGTGATAGGATACCCGGTGAGTATAGACCCTTGATAAAATAATTCGACCATTTTGGACGGACAACATGCATACGTACCCGTCCGAGTCTTGTCCCAGTTTGGATGCTCTGGTGCGCGTGGCGGCGGGGCTGGTGCGGCTGAAGCATCCATCACGCCGAAAGCCTCCGGCATCGTGGGAAATTCTGTTTCGAGGCACGATTCGTCTTCAGCTCTTGCTAATGTAAGTCGCAAGAAAATACTCATCCAACTTATCTGATAAAGAAATGGCAGAAGCCTCAAGCCCGGCGAGTTCGCCGTTCAGCCCGCTTGACCCGTCCCGAAAACAGATCCGTCTACTCCATGTCGAGCCGAACCCAGCTGACCTCCGCGCGGTGCTGGAAACGGTCTCGCTCGATGATGACCCTCGGTACACGGCACTCTCCTACACATGGGGCACAGAATTGTCCAGCGGCGCCGGGATCGCCCTGAACGGGCACCCCCGGCAGCCCGTCACGCGGAACCTCCAGGTCGCCTTGGAGCACCTGTGCGCGGGCAATCAGCCCGTCACGCTCTGGATTGACGCGCTGTGCATCAACCAGGCGGACGTCGCCGAGAAGTCCCACCAGATCACGCTCATGAAGGACGTGTACAGCAAGGCCGAGTCGACCTGCGTGTGGTTGGGCCCGGCGGCGGACAACAGCGACCTGGCAATGGCGACGATTGGCGAATTATACGCGGAGAAGACGTATGTGCTTCCCGAAGATGCGCTGTCTGAGGCGCAACTCGAGGCGATCAACGCCCTGCAGGGGCGTGAGTGGTGGTCTCGGATCTGGGTGCTTCAAGGTTGGTCGTCGAGGTTTTTCTTCCCTCTCTCACCCTACCTCTGATGTCCTTATTTGGTAACAGCGTGACTTTGTCTCACAGAAGCGATGTTGTCGAACGACCCCGTAGTAAGATGCGGCGACGCAACGCTCCCCTTCGAAGCCTTCGTCCACCTCGACGACATCCGGCGAGGGTATATCCGCCCGGAGCAGCGATGGCTCAACAACGCGGAGGGGGGAAGCCGCTTCGTCATCCAGAGAAACCCCTTTTCTAACGTCCTCACGGACTACCCCGAGGAGAAGCCCAAGGTCAAGGCGGGCAGTACTCCGCTGGCTGAGTACCTTCCCCTGGTGGATCAGTTCAATGCCACGGACGCGCGGGACAAGATCTACGGCCTCCTAGGGCTGGCAACGCCGGCCGATGTGCGCTTCCTGGCACCTGACTACTCACAAAGCGTTGCTGATGTCTGTAAGTTCATTCTTTTCCTGTCGCGGCTCTCATTCCTCGACCAAAAGAGGCTGTCTTGCCAGGAATTCTCTCACTTCAGGCTTCGAAGCAGATCATTAACACAGTTTCAGATACCCGTGCCACGGCGCGGTTCATTATACAGTACCAGGAGCTCCTGTGGCTGCAATTCGACAACGACAGCAAGAGCCCGGCGCACGCACTGCCGTCGTGGTGCCCGGACTACTCGTATGAGCCGGGCAGACCACGGCGTGGCTATCAGGCCGTGACTGCGAATGCCCCAGACGGCTTCTGCGCCAGCGGCACGTCGTGCTGGGGCCCCGCCAAGGTGTTCATCTCGGGGCTGTTCCCGACCGCGTCGTGGGGAGAGCTGCACCTGCGCGGCCTCGACTATGACACCGTCGAGTACGTCGGGCCGAATCCGTTTATGAAGCCGTATACGGGCCATGTCATGGCTGAGAGGATGGAGAATGTCAGGGCGCGCAATGTCCAGACGAGGGATAATGTCCTGGCGTGGGAACAGGCGGTGCTGGCTAAGTGGCAGCGTGACGGGTTCCCTTACGGTACGCTAGGCCTAGGGCAAGAGGAGGCGCTCTGGAGGGCGCTGATGTGGGATCGTGATTGGCATGGGCACAGGGTCCCATCTGAGCATGGTCGGTACTTCGACGCGTGGCTTGGCCGTGCAGATGTTGATGCTTCTTACGCCCTGGCGAATAGCAGCGCGGGCATGGACGAGGTAGAGATACGTCGGACTTTTGTCAAGCCCTTCACCGACTGTTGCGTCAGTCGATCTCACGGACGATCTTTCATCATCACGAAGAGAGGGTATATTGGCTTAGCTCCTTTCAAGACCTGTCTGGGTGATAAGATCACGGTCCTGCAGGGCGGGACTGTCCCGTTCGTGCTGAGGGGACGTACAGGTGCTCCGGAGGAAAGTTGCGATAGTGCGGCTGGGCAGGTAAAGTCCTTGCAGGTGAGGTGCGAGTTTGTGGGTGAGGCATTTGTCATGGGCATTATGGAAGGCCAGGTGGTGGCACAGGCTCGTGATGAGGAAGTCAGGGAGTTCGTTCTTACTTAGTGAGGGCTTTCCTGGAAGGCTTGCATGTACTTGGGCCGCACTTTCCTCGAGGACGCCGGTTCCTCGTCAACTTCGGAAGGTTTTCGACCGGAGCTTGCCTTCCCTCATCTCACCAGAGCTCAGGTCAGATCACACAATTCGAAATGGTGATGACCTTGGGCCTTCTTTCTCGTCACCGTTCAAAAATCTACTTCTGCATTTGCCAGGCTTTGTTTCCACCTGCGCGGGCTGTCCGAAGACTTAGGAGCACCACTCATCAATTGCCAATTAAGACTCTCCACAGACTCAAGAGCACGCAAAGACGATGAACACCCCTAGAGCCTTCAATACCGGCAATCCTGTCGTTGCAAGCGCCCCGCCGATGAAGAAACAAGCTGTCGCCAACTACCTCGCCGCAATCCTCGGCCACCTTTGCGTAAAGCTGCTCTGGCGGAGTGCCCTCGCCCATGCCTCCGAGGTTAAAGGCGAGCTGGCGGTATTCGGCCTCATACTGCTGGTGATAGTCCTTTTCATGATCGATGTCCACATACAGGTGTCCTTCCAGAACGTGGTCATGCCGACGACAGGGTCCGGGGCGGCCGGGACCAACAAAGCAGGAGGCGGCGCCGCGCTCGTTGTGGCCTACATAATTCACTGCATTCCGTTCGCCAATTCGATCCTCGACGTCTCCAAGATCGTTGTTTGGGTCAACTTTGTGTTCAATGTTGGGTGTGTCATGGAGATGCGATGGGGATTGTTCCAGAAGGTGGTTAACAAGATCGCCGGCGGCGAGGAGGACGAGGAGACGCGCAATTAATCGCCTTGGAACACAAGCTGCCCGCTTTCAACTGCACGATGATGCGGTATACTTCAAACTCCAGTACTTCGAGTCTTTTGTTACAGCTTATGCGAGTCACATATTGGTACCGAGGTTTGGGACAGTGTGGTGGCGGGGAAAGGGGGTTGGATCACAGGATCCTGGGCAAGACATTAGCATCTTAGACTCAGCTGTCAAAGATTAAGCTTGATGTGCTCTCCTCTTACGCGGCACCGCAGGGCTCAATCAGAATGTTACAATTACGCACTGTTCTGCGCCTTCGGCCTGGATCTGTACATCGGGCTATTTTTGAATCAGTGCGTACGTGTCGCCTCGTCTGAGCCTGTGGCGGGCTCATGATCTTCGCCGGGGTCAGGCTGGTTCGTTCATGCATTGGCATGAACCGATTGCCTGAGCCTCACTCGCTCGCTCAGCCTCGGGTATTATCCGGCTAGACAGGCAATCAAGCTATGCTCGTCCCGACAAGAGAGACGCAACGGGCCCCGCCTGGGGACGATCTCAGCCTTATTGCCTGACAAGCCTTCCCCGGCCAGATGCATCGTCGTTCAGCCGCCGTTCGGCCTGACCACGTCAGACGGGACTGTCGTCCGATATGCATCTGGGCGCCGCGCCCACTTCGGATTGACAAGCTTGTTTTCTCCCTGCGCTGCCGTTGGCGGCCTTCGGGGGCTCCTGTCGAGTTGATTGGAGAGATGTTTCAATTCTATCTGAAACGGGACACGAATATGGTGCCAAAGCCTCCTGAGTGGCACGCAAGGTGACGGCGTTTTCTACCGCATTCGTGATGCCCTCGCGGAAGGTGGGGGGCTCTGGGGTGCGAAAGGGGCGGGCTGAGGCCTCGTTTCTTCTGATATAAAGATCGTGAAGACATCATCATGATATTCAGGTATCTCTTGGACACACATCTCTCAACCCACAGAATCAGTCCACTTCGACCTCTTCTTTTCTTCAGTGATACCCCTAGCGCATTCTCGGTCTACACCACATCTCCTGAAAACGATTCATATACCGTCGCCATCATCGTCATCATCATCATCATCAACATCAACAACAACAACAACAACAACAACAACAAACATAAGCACAAGCTTCAATTCTACATCTCCTGCCCCACATACATCCTTCATCCACAATGAAGTTCTCAACCGTCTTCATCCTGCCTCTCGCCGCCGTGGCATCAGCACAAGTGAGTCCGTGCCACCTTTTCTAAAGTCTGCCACCCAAAACGAAACCCCAAAACTAACATCCACCACCTTCTAGCCACAGGGCCCTCCATCAGAACAAGGACAGGGATCACCAAACAGCCCTCAGACAGCATCCACTGCAGCGGGAGCCGAAGCCCCGTCGCAGCCGACGGGCGGCTTCCTGCCAGGCGGGCAGGGGACGGGCTCAGGAGCGGGGGCATCCGGTCTGCCGGGCCAGGGGAGCGGATCAGGCTCGGGGTCGGGAGCGGGTGGCTCGAGCCTCGCAGCGGCGGGTCCGAGCGGTGGTGGCGGGTTTCAGAATGGGAGTAACGGTGGCAGCGGCGGCAGCAGCAGCAGCAGGCCGACGCCGACGGGTGCCGGTGGTGCTGGCGCCTCCGGGGCGACGGGCCGCCCGCAGGCGACGGGCGGCAGCGCCGCCGGCCACTCGACCAGCGGGGTCAGGGCGACGAGGACTGGCTCGCCTTCTGGGGCGAGCAGCGCGTCGGCGTCGTCGTCGGCCACTGCCGTCTCTGACGGCGGGGCTAGTGTCAGGACGAGCGCCTGGAGTGCTGGGAGTGGTGGCTTAGTGTCTGTGGTTGGCCTGGGGGTTACATTCGCGCTGTTCATGTAGGGATATTGCTGTCTGGGGTTGGTGTACTTATAGGCACGTGGGAGTAACGAATTACGAAATACCAAATCTTAGCATTTACGAGTTACCATAGCGTGCCACTACTTTTCAGTGAGCCTCTGAAATACATACTGACTTGACAGTGTGCAGACAGTCTTACAACATTTAAGGTGTTTGCCACCTAGACGTCTCTAAACGTGAGTGCGCCCACAGTATCATATCTCGATAAGCTTTGGCTCACTCAACGTCGGACAGCATCATCAACAGGCACTATGCTATATCCGACTCTTATAAAATAATATTGATGCTGGTCGGCATGAGGTGGCGTCTTCGGACACAGCTTATTGTCCAAGGACAAATTGCAGCTTCCGTCAGTCACGCACTGCAGGTACATAACCAAAATATGTTTTGTGTGACGGGTTATCAATTAAAAGTGTGTTTAATAATACACAATAAAGTCTCGTACAGCAGAACAAAAATAAATCACACCATCTTAAAATTTTTAAGGGTTTCCGTTCCATCGTAACGTCAAGTTTTCGAAAGCACAAAACACAAGGGGTATCCATCTCATCGTCTCCAGCGCCGAGACAAAGGCCAGCTCACAACATTAAAGACACAAGCATGCCCACCATAGCCCACAAAGGGGCGCACGAAACGGGCACGCTCCACGACGCCGCCGACGCCATCACGACGCTGAAGGGGCTCCCGCCGCCACGGCCAGCATCCGAGTCCGAGTCCAAGTCCGACGCGGCCTGGGTCCCGGATGCTGAGGGCGAGGCCACGACGGCGGTTATCGAAGTGGCGAAGCCTGACAACGATGCCGTGGGCGTCCCTGTCGCCAGCACCAGATCGCCGCTAATGTCGGACGTGGCGGTGGACGTTGACATCGCGCCGTTGTCGTCGTCGTTGTCGTCCTGAGATGACGAGTACGCGGCGGCCTCTGTGTGGGTTGCCTTGGACTTGGAGCCCTCTGTCTTGGAGGCCTTGGTGCTTGTGGTGGCATGGGCGGTGGAGCTGTTGACGGGAGCCTGCTCGGGGGCGGTTGTTTGTTGGCTCTGCGTATGGCCCTTGTCCGTGCTGCTGGGCGGGACTATTGTGGTCGCTGAACTGGTCTCCAGCGTGGTCTCTGGCTGGTTCTGGTTCGCGTGATTCCCTTCTGCTGTCGATGTCGATTCCGATGCCGGTGCAGGGCTCGGTGCTGGTGCTGATGACAGCTCTGTAAAAGCCGTGGTCTCTGGAGTCGGCTGTACGGACGAGATACGGGTGAGCTCTGGCACCGGGGCTATCGCCGCTGCGGGAGTTATGCTTGACTCTGCCGAAATGACGGGCTCCGGCGCGGGTGAGGTTTCGGAAGGGATGGCCGGCTCCGGTGTCGATGTTTGCGTTTCGGCTGGGACAGCCGGTTCTGGCTGGGCAATGGTTGTCTCGGCTACTGGGCTCGGATCTAGAACCAACGTTGTTGTCTCTGCTGGAGGCTCAGCTGCCGATGGGATCTCCGCGGGTAATGGAGTAGTGAGCAGGGCAGGTGCTGTCGAAGTCTCGGTCTCGATCGCTAAAGGTTGGAAGCTCGGGGTCGTAGACGTTGTCGCGGCCAGCTCAGTGGTAGACGATGATGAGGTGCTCGTAGTTGCGGCAATCGATGCCCGGATATTTGCAGCGGCACTTGCAGCATCCTCAATCTCATCGTCCGAGACTGGCTTCTCAAGCTCTTTACAGCCCGTTTGCATCGGCTGCAGGAGAGTTGCGTCCACGGTGGACAGATCCTCCAGACATTGTGATACCATGCAGGCTATGATCGCTTCCAGCAAGCCATCACGAGATGCTTTGCACATGTTCTTCTGATTATCTTCTCCATCCATGCTGTAGCCTGTTGAACCCAGGCATGTGCTCACACAGGTCGAAAATTGAAACGTGACAATATCTGAATCGTCATCGTCGCCCGCAAGCGCATGGGCCGGAAGGAGGACAGCGATGGACAGGAGCGCGTTGCGCAGCGTAGTAGGGAGCATCTTGCTCAACCTTTCTTTTTCAAACAAAAACGAACGACTGGGAATAAAGAGCGACAGGGAGATCTGTGGGACTAAGGAGAGAAGCGCTGGCCAGCAGCCGTAGCGAAGCACTGCTGAGGCACTGCTGTCAACAGGCGCGGGATTGAAAGATACGTGTCGTCACAACTCGCTCGAGATGTGGGAGATCTCAGATTCGTCCCGAGTTTTGAACACATGGCGACGAGGACCTTGCTGTCTTTTCTGGTACCGGGTTCGGACTCAGACCCATGCTGCCATGCCGCTGCGGCCCATCCGGGATGAAGCTTCACCCTCGAGCTCCTCCTTGTCCTCCTCCCTGTCCTCCTCCTCCTGCTGCGTAGGAAAGGGGGTTGGGGGCCGCGAATATGCTGCCATGTCCATGTTGGTGATGACTCTGGAAAGCTCCAGCCTGCGCGTGCGGACATTGCTTCCCCTTTCGAGCATCACCTGGTGCTCGGCAGCGTTTGAAGAAATTCTCCGGAGGCCGTTCTGGGCTCACCGTTGCCTATTCAGACCAGTCAGGATGCGGGTGGGAAACATTGTGTTTTCGACGATTGGTGTTTGAAACAAAACAGGCCGGGGGTCCCCTCGGGTCCACACGATGATTCTGTCAGTTCGATGAGCCTAGGCTTCTTCTGTCGGCTTGGGTGGAATTCAGGGGGCTCGATGGAGCCTCCCCACGGCGACAAAAATCCTTCAACAAGATTTGGAGAGCCGCATCTTGATTAGGGCGCTTGGTGAGCAGGCCACATGGTACATGGGACGAATCGTCGGATCGCAACCGAACCGCCTGTCGCTCCGAAGATCATGGAACCCTCCTCAACTGTCATGACATGCAGACAGCTTTGCGACAGTCAAAGCGGGCCCCACCACGCAAAGATCCCCAGTCCATATTACTGCATGTGGCTGGAAAAGTGACCTTGTCAGATGGGAGACGTGAAGATCTCGGATGCAAAAGGCTTGGCTAGGGGGATCATGATGGTGGTGAACGATGATGATGACCATCCGAGGTCATAGGCGAGGCGGCTGCCGGTGTCCGAGGCTCCGAAAGGCCCGAAAATCTCACTCCTCGTACGACCGAACCCCGTCCGACTCCGCCGACACCAATTCTGTAGGAGCATAGAAAAATGATCCTACCTCTTTCCCGCGCCCACCTTGACAGGCCGGGCTGTTTGCTCCCAAGCATCGTCTGAAGTTATGCTCTTGGAAACGGCCCCCACTGCCCAAGCGCCGTATCGACAAGAAAGAACTCGTCGACTCACTCCACTCCGTGGCTCTGCAGGACACAGAATTCCTTGGCGTACAGTGCCGGTTTCAAACGGTTTCGATTCAAATCCATTGAATTTTCTTGGGCCATCTACATGATCCAATCCTTCCTAAACCCCAATGAGGTTTTCAGTGCCGTGTTTCTGACGGTGGAAAATGTAGTAGCAACCAGGCTTCTTGAGATACACACCCGCGTTCTGACCACCATTGCTTAGGGCCGTGCCCCGTCACGCTGTCTCCTCGTAGAAATAACAGAATGGACCAGATGTGGTTGACATGACGTCCCGTATCCTAATCGACGGCCCTGCGTACCCCATATCAATGATATCGTCAAGCTCAGTAAGACGCGAGGCAGGAGAGTTGGCCCAAGTGATGTGGCCATATGTTCCATTGTCCAGCTGGGTATATCTAGTTGAGGGGTCGCGTGTTTGCCTGTTTTACTCATGGTCAACTTGAGTTTCTCTTCGTCCTGAGAAGGGTCATGGGACCAGGGATCCGGGCCGTGATTGGCACGTACCACAATGTCCATAAGCGATCCATCTGCCCGTGATGTACCCAGAAAGCTGGGTCGCCTGGTGAGGTGAACAGATCGCCGCCAGGATCACCACTAGAGCAGGATTAGTACATCAGTGTAAGTAGTTCTACAATTGTTGTTCAGCTCACTTGATCACGTAATGCCCGCCGCCATGTGGACCGATTTCAATGGTATACGGCACACCCTCAGAAAGCAACCGGTAATCGGTGATGGTCGGCTTCTCGAGCAGGTCTTGAATTGTGTTAGTCTCGACGAGTTGTATATGGTACCCAGCGATCAATTCGGCGGTATTAAGAACGCAACAAGGGCCAACGTCGAAGGGGTCGGCGAAAGATGGAAGAAAGAGCCAGCAGGGGATCGTGAGTACTAATTTGCACTTACCAAGGACGGTGGTGTAATTACAGTACCTCTCATTGATCCCCGGCCCAACATCCCTCTTCAGACCGCGAGGATTATAACCCAGCCCTCCGTCAGGACTAGGTTCAGTCCCAAAAGTGCCTCCAAAAGGACCAAGATTGACAGTCATATTTGCGAACGGTCCCGTCACAACGTAGCCCCCACCAAGTCCAGCCGGGAGCTGAATATCTCCCCCAGAGACACCCTCGGGGGGAGTGATGACTGTGCCGTTGTGTGGTATATACTGCCCGTTGCCACCCAGACTGTACGGGTCACCATTGAAAATGGGCGAGTCTTGAGGAGCGGCCATATATTTTGGCCAGTCCCAGTACTACAATGGCTTAGACAACAGGGAGCAAGAGACGGTGAAGCATGTGCAAGGAGTCAACCCACAGGCTGATAGCTGCCATAGCCACATTCATCTCGTAGAGCAGTCTCGTAGACATACACAAACCAGCGATGCCACGCCATGAAGTTGCCGGTGAAGTGTAATGTTAGCGTCTGGTTGATATGAACGGCAACAAAGTCGTCAAACTAATGGCGCACAGGTATCAGTCTATTAAGCTAGGACAGGCGCATATCATGGTGTTTGACCTACGCGAGACTTTGCACCGGGTGCCACACTGGCCGGAGTGCGTGCCGGCAAGCGCTGGAGACACTTGACAGCATTGACGTCTACGCCACATTCATTGTCAATGATCTATCGCCAGATGCGAGGCAATGGTTTACTCAAGACTCCCTGAGGTGCGGGGATTTCGAAAATAACCGTAGGAAGCTGAAGCTTATACGGTACGTACAGTCCAGCCTCTCAGCCTCGGAAAGGGATCCACTGGTAGATTTGATCAGCTCCCCTGCTCGCTTCCAAGTCTGTGCTCGAACCCAAAACTCACTATTCCCTGCGGTAGACAATAGTCTCTGATGTGCAGTTTGATGAGATTGAAACATTACTACGGGGCGGAGAGGAATCCAATTTGCCCACAAAGTCGGATGTAATAGAACTGATGAGGCGGCTAACCTGCTCTTTGACGCAGCCGCTAGTCTGCGGGCGGAGCACGTTCGGAAGCCCCAGGATCGGCCTGACACACGTCAGTAGTACTGATAGATGTGATATGGGTGCGGTGATTCTCATTTTGGGCAACTCTATGTTGAAACAGAGCGCGTAAGCCACAAACAAGGGAAGCCTGAATTTTCGGTCAGGCAGGTTTGGGGAGAGTCAAGACGCAGACACATCCCCTATTGTAAGAAGACCAAGCGAATTGGTCGCCAGAGAGACCACGCGAATATCTTAAAGAGAACTAACTCTTCGCCTATCGCGGGCAAGCCTGCAGCTCGCTTACATGCAACATAAGCAATCTCACCGCGCCCCAGCCTCGCATATTGACGACCGAGTATTCTGCGTCATCCTCCTCCTTAGGTTGTACGCTCATCAGGTTAATTCAGAGAGGGGAGGGGGGCTCGGATGACTTGGGCTATCGAAAACAGGGTGCATTGGACTGCAGGAGAGCATACAAGGAGTTTTAATCTACCTAGGAACTGCTGTGTGCCACTCGTTAGATACAGGTACCTGGGCTGGAGGTAAGGACAGGGGTATTGTATAAATGTGTCAGCAGCAGCGACATGGACAGGGGCGCGCCGTCCCGTCGGAAACTTGATCTGCGGTTTGCCCAATCGCGGCCGATTCCGTCAGCATGGACCCCCGGTCATCGCCTAGTCGGCCCCAGAAAGAAGACGACAGTTGATTCGACTCCAGGGACACCAACCGGTGGTGTACATCACGAAGGAGCCGAACTTTACTCCATTAGTTTCGCTCTGTAGACCCATTTTCAATAAGCTGCTTGGCCCAGTGGGTCGGGAAGCCAGTCAATGCAACGGTCTCCTCCCACGACGAAACTAACGGGCAGACTGCTTATTGAGAGATAGCTTGCTTGTTGGATTACTCCATACACCGTCTTCACGACCCTCGCGTTCTCTCTTTCTCCCACCAGTGTCTGCTCCATGCGTGTCGTCATATGAAGATTCTATCTCATATCCTGTCCAATTTACGACCGCGACAAGTACACAGCTCGCACATATCCCAGGAGCACGTGCAAGGCAAACAAGTTGATCCTACTGAACCGACATCTTACAATTTATCCAATAGAATGTGAAAGATTGTTTGAGAGATAATTTCCAATGATGTGTAATCCTGTGAAAGGTTAATCTGTATGAGTTCATCCCATAGGACGTTCTCCCATAGGACATTATCCAATCCAAGATTGTTGTATAGGCAGATATCTTATACCAGGTCATTCTACAGGAAGCTATCCCACGGCAGGTTATGTGCTACAGGTGATACTCTAGGAGGTAGCCCGAGGAAGATGTGTACCAGCCAAGTCATACCTAAATGTGTCTTAACCCATGAGCTGTACAGGCAAGCTGGAAAAAACAGACAGCTTGAGCACAGATGACCAGTATCGATCTGCACGCCTCATGCGGCCCGGGGACGATCCTCTAGTGCCGTTGCATCATTTTGCTTTACAGGTGCAGGGAACCAGATGGAAGCAGCCCCGAACTCAGATTTGTGCCATAAAAACGAAAGGTTTGCTACCGGGACTCGGCCGCGACACACCACCTAGGCCAGCCAAGTCTGCCCGCCTCCTCACTAGTTGCTGGCCGGACCCTGTAACCTATGCACACTAAGTGTTGAGGTATTTTAGCCTAACAAGAAGCCAGTGGCATTTTTTAAGGAGAACGCTTCCGTGGAATGAACTTCATATGAAAGGCTGAGAGCGATCTGGGGCACAGGGAGTAGAAGCATGGTTACAAGAGCCATTGCGTACTAGTTCCTAGTGTCCACAATCAGGTACCATCGTCGATCATCTAACAACCGTCGTATGAATTCAACCTGAAAAGTGAACAGCTTCTACTTGTTGCAAATTACGATTCCCTACGCCAGCCGCACATTCTTTGCTGCAGAAAATAAGAAATAGACCTCACGCAGCAGTGCGATCGGCATTTGCATTCTCTTCAACCCTGGGGAAAGAAAATATGGTAAACAGTTGAGCGGGTAATTCATCATATAATATGCGTGAGGTCATTAAGCACCATGCTTCGGCTTCTCTTGTTGGCAAATGTCTTAAGGCCAGGGACTGGTTAAGCCACAGGCACGTCACATGCACCATTGGGAACGACTGTCCTTTGCACAAGCTCATTGATAGAGATCCACGCAATAGTAGTTACGTGGCCATCTGCGAATACTTCTCCCACACCAATCAAGTCCCGCTGCCCTGGAGTTGGCAATTGTAGGACGGAGGTTAGTGCGTTGGTTCAGCTGGTTAAACTGAAAGGGACCATCTACGAACCTCAGCTACAGTGTTTTGACCATGGAAGTAACAAGCCACAATGTCCTAGAAACCTACCCAACTGCAAGCAATGCCGATCTCCCAGATCTAGTTCTGGGCTGAACCAGTGGCGGAACCAGCACATTGACCACTTACCCATACCCTGGATTGTGCCTGCAATGCCGCCTGGTCTGATGCTTGGGCCTCCTGGACAACCAGTAGGATTGCATAATATCACGAGAAAATTGGCCGTACTCGTCACAGTTGTAATGGGATCCAGCTGCCATGCTCGGTTGGGCCTGGCCTGCACCCAACCCCTTGTACCGCACGAGAGTCACCTTGGGACCAGGGAAAAATCTACATTCACCATCCAAGCCCTGGCCCTCCAGCTAGGAGAATATGTTACGTGCTTTGTTAGAAATGAGAGATGTTCAACCGAAATAAAGACAAGAAACTCCTCAGCATCTGGAGACTCGAACCAACCCAGTAGCTTCTTAGAGCACCACCCTCACCCCGGACCATTCCTGTCACCCATGAATTGTGCCACATCAAACAACCGTAACCACCATGGCAGACCCAGCTCCCGCAAGCCCAGACATCAACCGTGGTCCTCAGATCCTCGCCATATGCGGGACGCTCGTCGGCGTGGCCGCGACCACGGTGCTGCTGCGCATCTGGGTGCGCGTGACAATCACGCGCCAGCTGGGCTGGGACGACGGCTTCATCCTCGCCGCAGTGGCTGTCATGCTGGCCGAGATGGTGGTTATTGTACCCGAGGTACACTACGGCGCCGGCCGCCACGTCCAGTATATCCACCCATCTTCGAACATCGTTAAGGGCCTGCACCTCAACTTCGTCACGCAGCCGCTGTGCTTGATCAGCCTGTGCTTCACAAAAGTCAGCGTCGGGCTGTTCCTCCTGCGGCTGAAGCCATCGTGGAGGTTTGTCTTATTCATCCGCGGTGTGATTGTGTTCACTGTCTTGTCGGCCGCCGGAAATCTGTGTAAGTCTTGCGTGGTCAATATATATAAGATGGGCTCGGGGGCTGACAATTTCAGTGACCGTTTTCTTCCAATGCACACCACTGTACTTCGTTTGGGACCACTCGGTACCGGGTGGAAAGTGCATTGCAGCAAAGGACCTCAAATTCGCCGCTTTCTTCAATTCCAGCGTGTCTCTTCTGACCGACCTTGTCTTTGCCCTGCTTCCAATACCCATATTGTGGTCGATACAGCTTAACTGGAAAGTAAAAGTTGCTGTCAGTGCGGTCCTTGCTCTGGGTATTTTGTAAGAAATTCCTTCTTTCTCACGTGAGGAACTAAGAGGCTGAAAATCGGAAAGCGCATCAGCAGCAGCAGTCGTCAAGATGACCTGCCTCTCTAGCTACGGCTCCCATGGGGACTTCCTTTGGGACAGTACAGATATAACGATATGGTAAGTGTGATGCATAATGCTCAATTCGTGCTGAAACCGCAGTCCACTTCGTATATCCTCCATCATTGACCCGGTATTGATTTGATCCACGAAACAGGACCACAGTCGAGATCTGCACAGCTATAATAGCAGCTTCGATTCCGAGCCTCAAGCCCCTATTCAAAGCCATTCTCGGGGGCTCATCGGCACTCAGCCGTAGGACGAGCCGGTACATTCGAAATAGTGATAGTTTCCCAAACGCATCGAAGCGCAGAGAAACCGCCCTTGAGATGTACAATAGTCGACTCAAGAGCACGGGAGTGTCGAGCAGCGGGCGTCGTCGGTTCGACAACGAGTCCGAAGAAATGATTCTCTCAGCACAGGATGGCATCCAGAAGAAGACGCATGTCTCTGTCTCGATTGAAGACCCCTGAACAATGCGGCTGGGTACACATTGTAAATATCAACACCTTTGGGGGTTCTGACGCACGAGTGTGATTTAAACAATTGGCTGATATCAGGAAAGCCTCCCGTGTAGTAACCACCCGGGATACATCTGTTGAGGATAACCTTCGCACAATATACAATGTGTATCACGGTCAATACCATCAAGGGGCCTCCCTTCAGGCTCGAGATTTGGACAACGTGTGGCACTTGTTAGATCCCTAGGGGCGGCTAAGCGAGGTTCCAGCAGGTGAATCTTTTTCATAGCAAAGTAGGCTTCATAAATTGGCACTCAAGGCCCTTCCTCACAATTAAGTTCCACCTTCAAGTGTCAGCTGGGCCTGGGCCACTCAGAATATCCCTCAATTGATCTCTCAGGGAAGCGCTGTCCCGCTTTGATCCAGTTAGGCCTTTCCGGGGCGGCAAACCAGAAAGATCGACCTCCAGAAATCTTCGAGCAACTTCTTCCGCTTCTTCCAGTCTCGCAGTCTCTTTAGCAGACAGTCTAGCACACGCAGCCCGCAAGTCCTCTCCACGGGCCAATAAAAGGACGAGCGCCTCTGATCTCTCCACTACGGCCGGATCGACTCCATTCATAGCTGCACATCTGCTGCCAAAGCTTGAAGCGCTGCGACCGGGCATGAGCCGGAAGAGAAAGGTGACTTGGTCATCCACATGGTCTGTTTCGAGATCTACTCGAACATCCATGTGTGCAAAGGCTAGCTTCGGAGTGTCAGGTAGAAGTTTGTTCTCAAATATCTCGTGGAAGTGCGTTGCAGCAAGGACCCTAGGCGCGTCGTCTGCGAGGTTCAGGAAGTGGTCAAGAAGGGCGCTAAGCAACCCAGCGCCGTCCATGGCATTGGTCCCTTTGCCAAATTCGTCGATGAGTATAAGACTCCTTCGTGTCGCAAAGTTGATAGAGAAGGCAGCTTGCTTCAGATCGATGGCGAAAGCGCTCTCGTTTCGCGACACGCTTTCCCTCGTGGCGATACGGGTCAGCAGGCGGTCTGTTAGACCAATACAGGCCTGGTCAGCGGGCACATAGCTTCCAATATGCGCCAGGTAGACAATGAGAGCAACCTGCTTGAGGTAAACACTCTTTCCAGAATGGTTTGGTCCAGTCATGACCATAACATTTGGTACGTCTCCCATAATGTCAGATACGATCGTCTCATCTGCGGTGCCATCACCACACCCTCCAAGAAGTAGCGTATCATTGGCTATGAAGGAAGGCACCACAAGCTCTTGAAGTGGATGTCGACCTCCTTCAATTTGGATGATGTTGGTCGAGGTCAATTGCGGAGCCGTCATTTTATATTTGTCGGCGCCAAGTGCTAAGGCGAGAAGGCTGTCGAGCTCACCGCAAAGGTCGGAGGCTTCTGTCAGTGCTTCCTCGTGCTCAAGAGTTCTGACGCTGAGCTCGTGGATGATCTCGATTTCCTTGTCTGCAGGCTGGGTTAAAGACACTATCCTCTGAGGGTGACTTGTGAATAATAGCTTACCGACAATCATGCAGTACAAATCCCCGTACTGTCCATCAAGCTCTTTCATGCGTCGATTCTTGTAGTAGATGTTTCCATCACTTACAAACATCCGCTCCCAGGCATCATCGCTGAGACCTTCCCCCTCGTAGTTTCCGCGCCCGCTCTCAGTGTTAAGGCTCACCACTGTCAGGAACCCTATCTGTGGGTAAAAAATGCAATTCTTGACGTATTGTTGAGCCCATTCTGGAATTTCTTCTAGCATGAGTGCGGCAACCTCATTCAAAAAGTACTCCAGACCGTCATAATTGCGCTTCAGCTCATCCAATTCTGCACTCACTCCCCGCATGACGCAGGTTCGGCGCGCCTCTTTCGACTGTTGGAAGTCGATGGTCCCGGCTATAAGTTCTCCAATTGGGAGTAATTCACTCTGCCGAACGCCATTCACGATCTGTATCATCTGAGTTAATTATGAGCTGCGATGAAAGTTGCTGAGTGACCTACCCTCCTCGTGATTGAGAGACCTTCTGCGCCATGAAGCTTCTGGACGGCTTCTCGAAGCTCAACTGTAAAGGCACAGAAAGCCTGCAACGATGCCCACGTACCCCTTTCGATTGAAACACGTCCGGCAGGGAGATTGATCCCTTTCTTCAATTGGAGAAGGTTGTGCTTGATGTTCTTGATCCTCCGAAGCAGTTTCCCGATATTGTCAATGTCAGCGCCATTCTCCGGGCGAAGCAGGACCGAGATGGTCTGCTGGCGCTCATGAATCAGTTCCACATCAGTACTTGGTCGCAAAAACATCTGCCGCAGCTTCATTTTGCCTTGTGCCGTATGTGTCAGTATATGGAAAAGTCCGTACAGAGACAGGCCCTCTTTTGCGCCTGACCTAACTTTGTCAGGTCCCTGGTTCATGAAGTTTGGATGGTTTTCGGACCCAAGAATTTGCAGAGACGCCAGTGTGTCAGCGTTGACAAAAAGTGAGTTCCTGAGAGTGAACATCTCAATGGATCGGACCCTGAACGCGAATTTTGCATCCGGGTCATGGGACAAGTATTCGGCGGCCTTTCTCCGCTGTATGTCGCTAAGGACTGCTCCCGCACAGCCCACCTTTGACGAGTGAGCGACACGATCGATATTGGAGGGACTTCAAAACTCACTGAGAATCGGCTACCCAGATTAATCCAAGTAGCTAATTGCATTAGCCTGGCATTCCTTTCGTCGCCCATTTCGGCTCCGCCTTCAACTTCGTCCCCGGCTACAGTGTTGAAATGCATGGTCCGAGGGCGCAAAGAGTCAAGATCAAGATTGATAAGATGACTTTTGGCACTCTCATAGTTGAACTCGGCTGAACCTAAAGTTCGCAATATGTAGGCACCATGAATCCCGCCTGGAAGGAATCAGCGTGATAGCGCATATGCTGAAAGGGAAGATATTGACCTTCATCTTGATTACGATGACCCTGGAAATCCTGAGCTCCAGCTTCTATGAAGTGAGCAAGGTTGTCTGGGCTGCGGATGGAAATGAGAACAGTTGTTGGCTCGACATGAAGGAGAAGCGTCTCAACTAGCTCCATGCCAGCCAGTGGAATATCTTCTTGCAGAAAGAGGGCTTCGTCGATGGCAACGTAGTAGGCGCAGCCGACGGTGCCGTTGTCCTTCATGTCAATGGCCATGATGACCTCGTTCATGCCGTCGGGGTCATCGTCGCTGTGATTATCAGCAGAGCAAGACTCGTCGGGTCCGCCATGGTGATCTGCCTGCACAGTGGACGACGTTGCCGCTGAGCGGGTCGGGAGAGACAGCCTGCTTGTTCTGGACTGTGGATGAGGGGCCAAGGATGGCGAGGACCGCACAGATGCACGAGATGAGAGGCGAGAGGCTAGCCCTGTGGCGTTGTTGAGGCGCTGTTGTGAAGGAGGCACTGGAGACGAAAAGATTGGGGGCGTTGAGTGGGTTTGGATGAATGGAGACGAGGTGCTCAGACGGCTGGGAACGCTGCGAGGCATTGAGGACACTGAATGCGCGGCAGAGGGCGTGCGTGCGGCCAGAGCTGGTCGCCTCTTCCTGTATTGCGACGACATTATTGCGCTGCACTCTTGCACCGAGCAGTTGTTGGGAATTCCAGGCTGAGGTCGGGACTGTCCACGAGTGAGTCGCTACCTGCACACAAATATTCCTGGAATAGGCCGTGTGTAGCTGTATTGTACATGTCGCTCCCCCCCTCCAAAATGCTGTTCTGATGCAGAGGCTGATGGGCTACTTCAGAAGGCCCGACCCAGGCGCTCCTTCCGTCCTCGATTGAGCACATCCACTGTCCGTCCCACCCGCCCAGAACTGGCGTACAAGTGCCACGACTCCAGGAGGCCACATGGTGACTTCGCCTGCGTCTGGTCGAAGTTCAAGACTAAAGTGAGTTTTTGGCTCACACGCAGGAGTATCAATGACCTCTGAGCTGTTCCGAGCAAAAGAGCGTATCTTCAACAGCCAACAGCATGAATCGGAACATTGGCATGAACCACCTGCATCGTGACTGGAGTGTATGCCTGCTCGTCTTGATCCAAAGTCCCGCCCTCCAGCCGATACCAAACGCCTATCATATGCCATGGCAGGTCAACCCAGACCCATGCCGTTCATTGCTTGCCGCCAGCCCTCACCCACTCCGCGAACTCCTTCCTCTGCGTTCGGATATCCACAAATCCGGGCCTCGTCTCCAACACACGGAACGGATTGCCCACAAAGTCCTTCTCTACCTCGCCATTGCTCTTGAGGAACCCCTGCTCGCCCTCGCGCTCGACCTTGCCCGCCCACACGCGCCACTGGATCGGCCGCAGGTTTGGCGTCCCAGAGACCAACCCCAGCACCGTGACGAAGAGCCCGACTATGGTCTCGATGGAGATGTCGATGGGTAGAGACGTGGAGGCTGGCGTGGATGACAAGGAAGCGCTGGTGGCCCGGAGCGACTGTAATGCCGAGTGCTCCTGTGCTGAGTAGCAACTGTTCGCGGTTGGGGAGCTTTGGTTAGCCCGAGCTCTTCCTGCTGGCTGATTGACGCGACATTTGTGTATGACTTACGCATGTGCTACTAGCACGAGACCGAAAGTTGTGATGGCATTCGATATCCAGGTCATTATGAAGGATTGTACGATCCGCGAGCGGGTCTAGTGTGCGTCGACTGTATGTGGTCTTGTTGAGTACGATCCTGGACAGTTCGGGTAGGTGGTGGATGTTAGGTACAATTCAAAGCGGTTTGCAGGTGGGAGCTTGGGCCAAGCACATTTGCATCTACCAGGCACCAGTAACAGTATGCGATTAAGCGGGGAAGCGGACGACGTCAGGATGCAAGCGTTTCTTTCGACCCGGACTTCCTTCAGCCCAGCGAGGGTCCAAACATCATTTCCTCGTACTCTCTCTCTTGCTCTATCTTAATCCAGACTTGGACCACTGCACAGGACTCGATACTTTGCGCTGCATTCAGGATTCTAACCATCAAAGTTGACATTTCAATGCATGGGCCTGCTCTCTCCTCACGACACAATGGCTTTGTCTTTGTCCTCGAGTCCACGCTTGTCCCCTTGAGTTCACCTCCACGAAGCCGTCCTACAACCCAACCCGGATGACACTTGCGTCTCGAATGATCTTAATTTGAAATTTCACAGCTGCATCACATTCAACACGCATAGATTCATACATCTCAGTCTTGGGCACATGTATGTTAACAAGAAATCAATTTGCACGCATGTAAGCCGCCAACACCCTGCCTTGCCCTGAAGCCCCGACTGAATGAATCCTCCCCCTGTCATTGTGCGCGGATGAAAGTGGTAATAGCCTCTCTCTGACACCCGAGCTAGTTCAACAACGCCGCCAGCATAGCATGTGCAGGTTGTCGGTGATTTTACAAGACAAGTGAAAAGGAAAATATGTCCATTTTTAATGCACCCTCAGTCCTGTGCATTGTACGGCTCAGACAGCGAAGGGTCCATCGCCGACCAGTCCGTCTCGTAATGGCTCTCACCCTGCCCGTTTGAAATTGGTTGGACCTGCCAGTCACTGCTGCCGGACCCTTGCAACAGGCCTCGCAGCTGTTCGTCTAGCTGCTGTCCATCTAAGCTTGTCGAAGTGCCGCCAAGAGTAAACCCCTCGCTTGTCACCTGACTGGCTTGGCCGTCCATGACGAAGTGCTCTATCGAGTTTGATTCTAGGAGCAGCGGGTTGTTGTGGTCGAAAGAGCCGTCGCCCGCAGCTTGGTACAGCACACCGCCGAGATTGCCGAACGAGGCGGCGAAATGGGGGTCGAACATCTGATCAGGCGCATGAGCAGTCTGCTCCATGTGTTGCTGCGGCGGCGGTGCCGTTGTGTACTGATCCATCAGAGTCTGCTGTGGCGAGTGGTATGGGTTTCCTGGCGAGGCTGTCTTGTGGAAGGCGACATCCTCCACCCCGAAGCTCCTCAGTTGCTGATTTCGGGTTGGCATGGCCTGTGACGACAAGTAATGCGACTGCTGCTGAAACGACATGTGATTGTATGGCGCCGGCATGGGCTTGTTCGGGTTGGTGTACTCATACGAGGACATTTGTATCTGTGCGCGGCCCGGAATCATCATCCCGGACTGCTGCGGCGAATACTGCGTGTAGTATGGCACCTGATGTGCATACACGTGGTCCGCGTCGGGCACGGGTGTTGTCCGATTCGAACGCGGCCTCTTGATCAACCGGCCCGTCTCGTGGTCGTAATCCTCGAGGGGGAGCTCCTCGTCGCCTTCCTCCTCCTCGGCTTTTCTCTTCAGGTCTTTCGGCTTTTTGGGGGCAAACTTGTACTCTGGCCAAGTTTTCGCGTGGTTTTCGCGCTCGATTCTGGCCCACTCGGTGAACTTATTCCGGATGTGTTCGGGCTCCAGCGGCCAGCTGTCACCGCAGACTTGCGACACAAGCTGATGGTTGTTTTGTGTGCAGTGCTCTTTGGTCCGACCTTGGTATGCTTTGCGGTACAACATGAAAGCGTTCATGGGACGCTTGATCTTGCCTGGAGTCTTACTGTTTTCGACTTCAGCCTTACGCTCAGCCTCTGACCGATTCACATATGCCTCGATGTCGATCATGGGCACACTCAAGTGTTTGGTTGACTCGCTGAGCGGTTCGGTGATCTTCGGCGTTTTCCTGGCTGCCTTTGCGCGGGCCTTCTTGGTTTGCGGCCTGTCTGAGCGACTTTTTGATGCGAGCGGCCGCATGCTCGAAGACCTGGCGACGGAGCCATTTCGCAGGCTGATGACGTCCGATCGTTGCGAGGGAGAAGATGCCGGGGTTGTGTATCCTGGTTGGACCTGACGCCTGTTAACCACTGCGCGATGCCTCTCACCCGATGCTTCAGCTTACCGGCTCCTCCGGCAGTGATGGATAAGCACTGCCGTCATGTCCATAAGCGGGCTGGAAGAATTGCGGATTGTACGTCCCTTGCGGAGCGTACTGTTGCACAGCATGTTGGTCAAGATGAGGACTCATCCCCGCTTGTGGCGCCGGACTGGACAATCTCGATGGTGGGTAAGAGGAGCTGTGGAGGCTGGTCGCTTCTGCCGAATTCTGCTCTCGTGGAAACGTCGCTGTGTTGTTGTGTTGTACCAACTCACAGAACCCTTGCGGGAGCTGGCCGTCCACGACCGAGTTGGGGGAGAGGGGCATTGAGGGACCCATAGTGTCGGGTGACTTCTCAGATTGAATCATATTGGTGGCAGCTGCAGTGGCTGAGGCTGAGCCCAGCTATTCTTAAGGGGTCTTCCGGGGCTGGGATGGATGGCCTGGCAGGCATGGAAGCCTCAGGCTGCGCAAATGGGGATTTGGGATACCGCAAGGTAGCTAGACGGGGTCAATACCAGTCTTCCAGGGCTGGTAGACAGTAGCTTGCTTGCTGGTCCCCCTCTCCTCGCACCTCCCTGAAAGGGTTGTGACGACGCGGGCCTTGGTTGATAAACCTGTTGAAAGCTCGGTCCAAGTTCAGGATGACTCCGAAGAGTGCTCAGACCTCAGGTTCTGGGTAGGACTTGATGGCAAGGGGGGATTCTTAAACAGTCCGAGACGTCAGGTCTTCTGGAAGCTCTCTACTGACTGACTGGTCTGATTTCCTGGGTTTCGTGGCAAGTGCTGCAGCAGGGTGTATTTGCTACGCTACCCTAGTGGAGCCTCTTCTGTGTTCTGTGTGCGGCTGAGAAATGGTCAGGAGTTGGTTTGTCTCTCAGCGACGACTGGCAGCAGGAGAGGCAGAAGCGGCGGCGGCAGCAGCAGCATGCGGCTTCAAATGTTTGGTACGAACCTGTTGCAAAGAGCCGAGTGGCAGGGGTATACCGCCTTTCTCCTGGGAGGTTGGCAGAACAAGACTGCTCTACCAGGACAGCGGATGCTGCCTCCTACAGGCCTGTCCTAGTAGAAGAGTGCTGCCTTGCCTATGTCCCGCAAGGCTGGTGTGTTATTTTTGGTTCTTTGTTCGTCCTTTGCGCAATCCGGACATGGGACACAGCCAAGATGTTCTGCCAAAGGCAAAGGACACTTCGTGGTGCCTTTGTTGTCAGGGCAATCCTTTGGAAGAAAGGATATTTCTAATCAGGAAGGAAGAATTCGGCAAGATAGAGGGAGCCTGTGTATGTATATTCACGCGGTTTGAATCGCCTCCGGTGGGCGGGACGTTTGGCAGGCCATGTGCTGGTAGCGGTGATGTTGATTACCGCATTCGGCCGGGCTCTAGTTCTTCACCCACGGACGCATCCTGCTAACGGGCACCCAGGGCGGGTACACCACGCCAAAAGAGCTGGGCTCGATGACCTCCCAGCGGCAGACTTTGTACTTTCGACCGTCTGCGGGCTGGCGGCCGGGTAAGCCCAATCCCTGGAGCTCACCTGCGCGGTCACAATTCCGTCCTGTCACGATGCAATTGGCAGTGGGCTTTCTCACCCAGCAGTCGAGGCCTGGGGCCCTTACATCCGGCCGTGTCACTCTCCTCATCAGCCGGAGCCAGCTTGGTGACTTGCACCTGGATGGCCCAACTGAAGGCATTTTAGATATCCTGCAAACAACACACGATCACTGGGTCATAGTTTGTACTTCCGTTGCGAATTCGGGCATGGACATGGACATGTGCTTGGGCGCGGGCATGGGCAGTACTGCTTCTCGCTCCACCTGTTCGCGCACCCGGCCGTGAGACCCTCCGAGGCAATGCGTCGGTTATTGGACCAACAAATCCGGTTCCCCGTCGTCCTAGACCAGATGATAGAGGGCCAAGGGGGTGGGCAAGACTCGAGTTGGTCCTTGGGGCGCGGGTGTAACCACCTGAGCACGCTGAGCAAGGTCGTTGCCCTTCCCATCTTTGCCATTCCAGGTCAGGCTCAACTTCGCGTCAAGGCCAACAGCAGACCGGTCTCTCTCCCCGCTGAAGAAGAAGAAGAGAGGCACGCGGTACCTGAACAGCGTGCCTGGCTGCAGAGGGTACCTGAGACACCAACAGCTTGCCTCACGCTCTTGTCGTCCGTTGGAATGAGCTAATGGGACACTTGGTTGGCTGCCGGAAACGTCCTTGGCCTGTGATTGGCCCCGCACGCGAGCCTCTCCCGCATTCCTTTGAGATCAGGGGGCGTGAGGCTAATTGCAACGGCCTGATTCCCTAAATGCGGTCCGGGAGTGCGCCGTCTCTTTCCCTCCCATTTCGATCCACTATTCCGTTGCGACAGCCGTGTTATCGTCTCTTTGGCAGCTCCATCTCTGCCGCTTGGCAGAAGCGAACGGCAAAAGGCTGTCAAGTGTCAGGCTAGATCGTCTTGGCTGCTGTGCTATAGTGGTCTGGTAAGCTGCTGCGCTCATGCATCGTTCATCGAGCGGTGTTCGCTATGCTGCAAGCTGCGGCTTGGACCTGCAGATGGCCACTTGTTGGTCTGGACCAAACAGCTGGACCCCTGCACGCCTTAACGGGTGACTGCATTAGCGCCAGTCTGTTTGAACAGCAGTTGCACAGGACGGAGGAAGAGCACGGATTAGTGGAGGAGGGAAGTGGGAGGAGACTGACTGGTTGAATCATCATGCCCAAGTAGTCTGGAGAGGTACTCGCACTCGCACGGGATGCGCCGATGCAGATGGTCGGGCAGGTAAGGCAAGGTAAGTGATCCACCATGGCGCTGCCTGAGTACATCGCGATCTTTGCTTCAGTCCAATCTTGGGTTAGGCGGGAGAGCGGGTGGCCCAGAACCCTGCAGGCGATGTGCAGGTGCCTCTCTCCTCTGGCTGGACTTGGAATGCGTCGCTACTGCAAGTTGCAGAACTGCCGGCGTGGTGGTGTTTCTACGTTTCTCGCGATATTCTAGACGGACTTCACAGTTGCTCCCCCGGATCTTTATACATGCGCGCTCTGCTTTCATCTCAGGATAAAGAGGCTTTCAAAGGATGCGCTCTGGGTCACAGAACAACGTCGATCGTGTCAAGCGAGGGAGCGTCAAAGGCTCTCGCACATATCTCTCCCATCACCGCCGTCGCTAGCCAATATCAAAGGCCCCTAAGGGGAAGACGATCAAAGGTTGTCGAGATGTGCCGCGAGATGGCTCTGGAGCTATCTCTCCTGCCAAAGAAATCTATGATCAACTATGATCACTTCTCAACTTCGCCGCGCCGATAGGTTTCCCTCGTTTCTGGTTGCTCCCCGTGTACGTACCGTCTCTCCGTCGGCTAGACAAGACATAGCCGCCTCAACCGCTTGCCTAGCTGTCCTGTTGTCTCACAACCAACCCACTCTCAGAATTACACCTCCCCATTAAGGACCCACCCACACCTCGAGACCAACCCCGGGTGCTCGGGCACCCTTACTTGAGTGCCAGCCCAACACAAACGCATCACCATCACCGCACATATACCAACGAAACGTGGTCTAGGGATGTCTCCTGTCTTGCTTCCACCCGGTCCCTGTCCTCCGTCTCTGTGTCTCTCCCCCAGGCGTTCGCCGCACATGTCCGCGGCCCCAGCTTGTCTCAGCTCAGTCGCCAGCCAGCCAGACTCTCTTGCGTGCGCTCTGACCAACAGTTTGTACCGGGTGGGTGTGCCCACTTGCTCGGAGGGGCTCTCTGACGAGTCACATCGTGCATGGTCTGGAATGGCCTTTCCTCGGTGAGTCGATTGACCTAACTGACGGGTCCAAGCACTCACGGGATGGAGGCCTATATTTTGCTCTTGGCCCAGACCTTTTCGTTGCTGTCAGCCCCCGGCCCGTGGTCTGGGGCTCTGGTCTTGTCACGCTCAGCTAGCATCGTGGATCCGGCTGCCCGCCAGCCCACTTCAGCCGGTCTGTGTATGTCTCTGCTGGGACTACTTCTGAGCTCGTGCGATATAGTCTGAGAGTATGTATCTCGTATCTAGACTCCCAGCTTACTGAACCCAAAATCGAAGCCACTTGCAACGTCCGCTTGAAATAGCACTTGAGATGGGCTACATCCCGGAAGCTTGGGGTAAGCAGGAGAGTAAGCTGGCGCTACAAAAGAACGCAGTTCATCTGATCATCTCATCACATGGGAACCCTGAGCGGGAGTAAGCCGGGAAGCCTTTGGCCACCGAGCTATGTCATGTGCAGATTGTCATCTTCACCTCATGATCGAGAGTGATCGATGGCAAGGACATGGCTCTTATGAAATGTCAACATCAGAGGTGTTTATAGTGGCGGCGCCTCCTTCAAATACGGCACAAGGCAGAAGAAAAGAAGAAGCCTTACAAAGTCGGTGAGATCTGTCACCTATTGCAAGTCTTCTGCCTCCTCCTCTGCGGCTAAATAATGCATCTGATATGAACAGGCGAGAACGAAGTTAGATGAGCGGGTTCCCACGTGCCTTCTCACCATTCGATCACTGTTCGCCTCGTCATGGATGGGGGCACGGGGGAAGGTCGAGAACACACTTAGCAGGCATGTGCAATATCGAAGTCGATTTGTAAGCGCGTGAAGTGGACGAGCAGGATACCAACTTGGGATCGAGGAGGCCGTGAGGGCACGGCTGGCTAGCTCTCGATCAGCGAGAAGATCCGTCCAGATCCTTGGGGCCGGCTCGACGTGGCTTGGGACTGGCAGGCTGACTGCCGTGTGTGGCGAGCCTCGCGGCAGGGACATGGCAAGTTAAGGCAGAGGGGGAATTGTCGCCATGAAGCAATCACATTCTGGTATACCTGGATGGCCTTCATTGTTGCCGCGTGCGTTAAAAAAGGGAAGGGGGAAAAAATAACACAAGTCAATCGTCACTTGTGCAGCGGTAAATTCCACCTATGGAAACTGTTGATGCACTTTAAGTTGAAAGCCTACGGCTTAAGCCAAATGATGCAGTAGCAACCAAGTAGATGTAGTGAATCTGTGGTATCACTTGTGGCGAGTTGACTTTGTCCAGGACTTAGCACTACGGTCCGGCTTCGCATCATGATTATCTCATTTGTTCCTAATATGCTGCCCTACCATCTAAATCTATGCTTTTGGTGTGCTCGCATGTTCTCTATACTGGTATCTTTCCTAAACCCGTTATGACTTGCCACACATTTTGCCTTCGAATGCCCCTATTCCGCACTTTGCAATTCAGCTGTCGAGGCCCATCACGGTCGCCATGGTATTTTAGGGCGCCAGGTTCAGCCACCAGTTGATGATCAATTGCTATCAGTCTTCACATCTGAAGATCGAAGTAGACAAGAAGCCTCTTACTTGCGCTGAGGAATTCAGTCTCGCCGGCCTCAAGAGCCATGGGGTACACAAGTCACCGCTGTGATGATCACACAGTCGATAATTGCATGTTCGTCTCTAATTTCTTGGAAGTATCGGAAGGCTGGACTTGCAGACTTGCGTCGAGGCCCGCGAAAGTCAAGGGGAATCATGAACCTTATGAGTCATGCTGTGATAAGGGACGGGAAGGTTCGCTGTCATGCTTGACAGGAGGAGTCAGGTCAATCTGGTGAGGCGTGGGGGATAACGCTGCAACGGGCGGCAGACGGGCATTTGCTGGGCTAGACTTGACGGCTGACAAGGTTGGCGAGTTCTTCGTGGGGGAGAGACCACCCCGAGAGGACGGTAGTGGGTCACTATCCTCTGGGCGAGGGCTCAGTCTTGGTGTTGTCATTGATGATGGGGAAGACATCAGCTGATCCAAGGCTTTTGAGTTGCTCGCGGAGTTCAGTGGAGTCTGTGACGGCTTCTGTGGGGAGACTGTTGAAGCCTCCTTTGTTTCCTTCGATGGTGTCCCGCAGCTAGGGAGGGTGCCGTTTGCGGTCGGATGTAGGGCCGGGCGATCACTAAGTGATGGATCCGTCTCTAGCTCTTTATGGGCGATTGGGCTGGATGAGTTGTAAATGCTGCCATACGCACGAGACTTGTTGGGCGACTGGTCTGGAGGCAGTAGGCTCGGATGTGGTGAAGAAAAAGGGTTGTGCGCCACACCGTTGAGCGATAGCTTCCGCGCAGGGAAAGCCCACGGCGGCTGAGGAGCCACAGAAGAGGATGTCTGTGTGACAGTAGTGTTGTCGGCTGGAGGCGAAGAGTGCTTTTGTGGGGAGGGCTCTGGAGCCATTGCGATAGTGGAAGCGCTTGCGGACGGCAGCGATACTCCGTTCAGTTGGGCAGCACCAGCGTGCGGAGACTGCTTGGACTTTGCGTCGATGTGGATGTTCGAATTCATGCCAGGAATTTGAGGTAGCGGAATTGGTGTCGTGGAAATAAGCTTGGCAGCTGGTGTCGACGTAGTCGATGGGGTCGAAACAACTTCTTTGGCCTTGACCTTGATCTTCTGCGGCTGCTTTTGTTGCTTATCCTTCCTCTCCCGCTCGACCTGTTGGCAATGGTTGCAGATGAAGTGGAAGTCGTCTCGCTCAGCCTCATCTTCATCGATGCCGAGACACTTGCTGTGTAGCCAGACATTGCATCTCTCGCAGGCAACAGAGTGCTCGCCATCGTCGACTTGTCCATGGAGCCCACAGACGCAATCAAAACTCCACTCTTCTTCTTCCTCTTCCAACTCCTTCAGTGCCTGCTTGTTCTTCTCGATCTCCGCTTTGAGGCGACGCTCGGACAGGCGACCGGCTTCGGGACCCTTGCTTCCCTCTGAAAGCTGAGCCAATTCCTCTTCATGTTGGATACGTCGAGCCTCGCGGTCGCGGACGCGCTGTTCCCTGGACATCAATCGGCTGCCACGTTCCTTCTCCATCTTGATTCTCTCTTCTTCGTGCTTCCGTGCGGCAACTTCCTCTGCCTGCCGCTTCTCACGTTCTTCTCGCTCGATCTCTTCATGCTTGCGCTGCTCCGCTTTGCCGGCGAGGCGGCTTGATCTCTTGGCATGAGCCATCTTCTGCAGACTCAGGAGCTCCTTCTCCCGTTGTGCCATCTTTCGCTTCCGAGATTCCTCTTGCTTCTCCAGTATGGGCACGAGATGGCCCTCAATCTGCTCCCGTAAAATTTTCTCGTTGGGGTCCTTCGTCTTTTTGAATGGCTCGATGCAACTGCGGACTTCATCAAGAGTGATGGCAACGCATTCCCAAGTAGCTCCATCAAGGGGATCTTCGTCGGCATGATTGAACCGCTCGTTGTTTTCTGACACGCTGCCTGTCTCATCATCGCCATTATTGCTTGTGCTGTCTACAGACGCCGCCAGACGTCTGCGTTTCGCAGACCGCGCTGCAGCTTTAGCTTTCTGTGAGTTTTTCTTTGGAGGAGCTGCGGGAGGAGCCGCGGCCGTGAGACGATACATTCGATTATCGTCTAGTACGTAGTATTCGCGGTCTTTGCGGTCCCAACCATACGGCTCGATTCTCTGTGATCACGTCAGCCGCGGCGTAACTTCACAGCTGATATCAGATGAGAACAAACCCAGTTCGTCTGGTCATCGACTCGTTGCTCATCCATATTCGGTCGAATGTTCTCGGGCTTCATCATGATAAGTTGTGTCATTTGCCATAGCGTGCGAAGCTATATCACAAATAGAGTCAGATGGCGACGAAGGACCGAAGGGTAACGGAGGCGGGACGGACTTTCTTGAAGAGATCAAAATCTGCAAATTTCTCAGTGACCTCACCGTCCCCAAAAGGATTCCTCTTGTTTGGCATCTTGGCAACAAATTGTCGTCGGGTGTATTCGTCAAAGAGTTCGTGTCTAACCGATATTAGTGCGGGCTAGGGAGTCGATGCGTCAAGGGACGTACGTCAATCCGCGATGCGACGAGAGGTGCTTCAGCATGGACAGACCAATGCCTTGTAAGGCCATGGAGTCATGCTTGAGACACTCTGTCTCGAGATCCTGTGATACTGCTCGTCAATAAAGAATGACTCTAGTAGTTGGCATAGCATCTAGCAGCCATGGGCGCGCACCTCGATGTCTAGATTGTCGTCGATCTTGACAACCTTTCCGAATATGCAGATCCATTGGTAGAGATTTGCGAAGTAGAACGAGTTCCTCAGCTGATGTATCAAGGAGTTCTCCTGGCTTTGTTCTGCAGGTGTGATGTTGGCCTCGCGCAGAGACCGCTTCCTCGAGCTCATTTTGAGCAAAGGCTGCTGAAGGCAGAGGCGCAGGCGACGGGCGACAACAAACGCGCTTATGGCCGACAAGGGACAGCTAGTAGCGATTTGACTGCGTCAGAGGGATCTGTCATCACCGAGGATGGTTGTGTCGACGATGGTGTGTGACGCTGGCTTGAATATGGCATAGAGCTCGGGCAGACCTTGAAATGTTCAGGATGAGGTTGACTGGTATTGCGACGATGATGCAAATGAACAGTGCACGCGATTCAGAAGACGCGACCGCTGCCACTTTTCTGGCCGAGCTTTGAGTGGTCCACCCTGGCCCTTGCCAGCCCACCATGATGACCACTAATCCGAGGGTTAGGGTATCCGTCATCAATCACACCACCTCCCTCGCAATCAACATGCACCTTGCCAACCTATCCATGCACAAGCCCGCCCAACTGCACTCCAAAGCAGCTCATTCTAGGAACCTAAAGTGGTACCCATCCCATCATTTTCTCGCTCAAAAAATTGGCCTCACTGGTGACTAGCATGAATAAAGGGCCAAAATTTTATGTAGACTCTCGAAATATTAAGATAAAGCCATCTTTCCCAGCAAGCCACTGACCAACTGACTGGATGGATCCTCCACCACCCCCTCCCTTTCCAATCGACCGATCACCTGCAGCTGTTGTGCCTCTTGCACTTCTTGGCCGGCTAATCCACATACATTGAGTGGGTGGCCCATGAAAGGCCAGTATCGGACGTGTAGGGACCACCACTTCGAGGAATATGGTCACATGCATAAAAGTACTCCAGCCGGGTCTATCTGTGTCGGCGGGGGTAGGCAAAGGAATATATATCACTTCTGGACTGCCATGTTCTAGCTTCTATATCATTTCTTCGTCCACCATCCATTTTGCCTTCACCATTGAGAGCCTTCTTTTCAACATACCCATAGCCCTCAACTAACATGGCGGTCTCCTCTGAAGTTGCAGAGATCATCCGTCGTAAGATGTCGCAGTACTGCCGCTTAGCTGATACCAGACAACTCCATCTCTTCGACAAAGTTGCCCTCCCCGGCGCAACCTTCAAGTATGTTGGCGCAGACGGCTCCGTAATTCATGAGAATGGCGTTGACTACATCTTCGACAACCGGGAAGCCTTCTGTACTTTCTTCCATAATGCATTTGAGACCATTCAAGTCGTAAGTAGCATGAGGAGAGGCTTTCTACTTCGAAATTTATTTATCTATTCTTTATTGGCCGAACAAGACTGAACATGTCCTAGATCCATTCAGTCGGACCAGGCGAGTTGGAGCAGATCGGTCCTGATGAGGTCAAGGCCATTTTCACTGTCATTTATCATGCGGGACCAAAAGGGACAGACGTGAAGAACCACGGGACTGGTGGAGGGCATTACTATGGGACGTGGAGGCGCGAGGGAGATGACTGGTTCATGGCAGCTCTCTATATGCAGAGGACGTACTGGATCACTCGCGACTAAGCTTGCCGACGCTCACGAACCCTTGACAATGGGATACCACTGGTATTCGGCAGTACACAGCATCGCAAATTCGCCAATTCAAGTCTGTTGCAGGGAGAATGAAACGGCAATAGTACTTTGTCGACCTTTGCGATCGACTCGGGTGTTCTCATGTCTGCATATATGTAGGCAGGTGGCAGAATGGAAGAGATCACGATGGCATACAAGATAAGGTGGGCGAGCTTTTTGGAACAAGAGCACAATACTGAAAGACAATATTCGCAGATCAAACACTGGTGTGACCGTTGCTGGATTCATGGAACTATATTGCTCTTCTTTCTGATATCGAGAATGATGATACACTTATACCGCGACAAGCATGTTCTTGACGTCTTAGGCAACGGTGGCCAAAGCATCCTCGGCATCAACACCTCGGTATTCGAAGAATTTGTTCCACTCTGGGTCATCGATCAGGGTCTGAGCCAGCCGCTTCTCGTAAAAGATAGCAAACTCAGGGCCCTCGTCGGACTCGGGCGAGGGGTCACGAGGCGGGTAGATGACGATGACACCAACGCCAATGCTGTCAATAACGTGGCGGTAGGTGGTGGGCCTCGCGAATCCCCAATTTGTCTCGTTGATTCTCGCATCGCGATGGTCGGTCTGGAGGATGGACAGCGGCGGTTTCGAGTCGATCTGGATGTTCAGGCTTGTCTTGTCGCGAACGGTGGAGACCATGTCCAGCGTCTGGGAGAGACTCGACTCAGTCACGGTGTTGGTCATTTGGCGCACGTAGCGTGCAACCTTCCACAGCGGCCAATCTGAGATAACCTCGCCTGCGGTGGGCTGTTCGACGGGAGATGTGTCGGACAGGGCCGCGAACATGACGTTGTGTTGGATGCGCGCGGGGACCTGCATGCGCCGCCGCATGTCTATGGCCTCAGCCCAGAACAGCTTTGATGAGAGATCTGTCTTGAAGACGGGGGCGCGGACACGGCTCAGGGTACGCCAGATAAAAGCGGAGAAGGCATCGTAAGTCGAGATCCAAGTGCCGTCCTCAGGGTTGGCCAACTTCTTCAGCTCGGCACCTTTGCTCTTGGGCAGGTGGAAGAGAAGTGACTGGCCAGTGGTGTGGTCTGGGTGGCGACTCTGCGGTGGAGGGCCGTCAACTTTGGCTGTCTCTGGCGGGTCTGGCTTGCAGAACCAAGATAGGTCCAAGTTCTTTCGGTCCCAAGAGGGGAAGGGGGTTTTCTTGCTGACGGCGTGGCAGTTCTCCGCCAGCTGATGGACAAAGCCAGCCCATCCCATTACATCATTCGAATAGTGGTGATGGTGGATGTTGAGAACCAGACCACCTCGGATGAAGTTTGCCTTGAAGGCTGAGGCAACTGGCCTATTGTCGGGATGAGCCTCCGGCTTCTCGCCGTAGGTCATCGGCTCAACACTCCACAGCTTCAGGTCGCCCATGGTGACCGCAGAGAAATTGGACTTCTCGAAGTCTTGGAAAGTCGGATACCCATCTTTTGGGTCATCAAGGTACTGCACGAAGAGACGAACAGTACTGTCCTTCTTCTTGACGAATGAGTGACCAAAATCGGGGTCTTTCTCGATGACACCAGCATAGTGTCGGGCCTGAGCGATGGTCCGCTCTAGGCCAGCCTTCAGGACTTCGACAGCATGTGGCTTGTCTGTATCCTCGAGTTTGAAGAACAGAGCGTAATTGTTGTATGTACAGGCAGTGAGATAGTCAAGGGTGGTGACCTTGAATCTCTCCTCCTCGGGATCGTTTTCCCAGCCGTAAGGGCGGAGGTGGAACACGTCTTGCTTAGGCATGGCAGCTGTTTGGGCTTCGGAATCAAGGCGTTGGATGTCGAATCACGAAAGGGTGTAGGTTATCTGTGCTGGACACACTCAGCAGAGAAATTCGTGCAATTCGAGATCTATATGACCCGTTGAAGGTGAGAGGTGGGTGGCGTACGGGCTCAGATCTGTCTGCCTCTAAGCTCCTTGCCTTGTCGGAGCTTTCTTATTTGCAGACTCATCAGCCTCGTGGACTGTGGGCTCTTTTCTGGCGACTGATGGACTGCCAGATAGGAGGGCACCTTGACCGCACACAATGTGATCCTCAGCAGGCACTGGACCGGAGTCTGGGTAAACAACCACCTCGCTCCCGGGAATCAACGCTCCACGCTTGGCCTCTACTACACTCACCTGTAGGAATTTGAAGATATCCTTTTTGCGGGGCAGTTGAGGCATTTGAGACGGTACCAAAGACCTTTGTCTTGGTCGTCTGATGTATATCTTGTAAGGGAAAGAGATCAGCCATATTGATGCAGCGCCCAGGGCAAGATGTAGAATTATGGAGTCGGTTGAGAAATTCGGGCTTGACTGCCCAAACCGCGAAACTACGTGTTGTAGGAAGTACATATCGCGTAAGTTCATAGAGGCAATGGAATACTCGACCAATCAAGGACACCGCGTGGATGGACTCACACATGACACCCTGCCTGGCAACACCTTAGAACCCACTTCACTACAACACCGCAGACCAGTCAGCAGCAGAACCATCAGGCCCCACACGCATCCCACACCACCTGGACCATCAGTCCCCACATGGCATTCATCGCAAGTCGTGTAAGTGGATTTGCCGAGCGCAATAATGTGGGCCGGAGCGGCCCGGGGCTTTGGTCACCGTGTACCCGGACTCCTCCCGCCGATCACAACGGAGCAGCGGGTTATTTCCACGACCTCATCTCCAGTCCTGGCGATGCCCTTGCGATGAGTATTTTGCCCAGAAACCTCAAACCCACAGATGTGCCTGCAGGAAATGAATCATGGGGACATCATGACTGGCTCTAAACTTTGAGCAACAACCCCTCCTGAGCTGCTGGATCTGCCAGGCTGGATGAGGCAAGGATCTGGGGCCGCGTCCTCAGTACCTGTGCTAGCACAGTAAGAGCAATCCTTCATGAACACCCCAGGCAACCAGTCAATCACTTGTCAGACCGCCGGTCACGGAAACGGTGGTTTTTATTCCCCGTGGCATGGGTTGTCCATCGTGGTGCCTCGGACAATCGGCATATAGGACCACAATACATGCCAAGATTACATCAGGTACCATGGTACAACTGATGGCCGTTTCCTTCTTTGGAGTATCTCGGTTGATGATTCCGTTCGCATACGCTGGTTATGTTCGTGGCGAACTTCGAGTACAAAGACGGGCAGGGAGGTAGGCAAGGTGGTCCACCATCACTAGTTCTTCGAGCAACGACTCCAACTCCAGCAAGTTGGCCGGGGAGAGACCTCTCCGTGGTGGGCAGATGAAAGGCATGTGATGGTCAAGTCACGCAGGACAGGGCTATTGTGCATGAGAGCCAAGTCGACTGATCTCGTGATTTCCGACCAGGCGGGTAAACTCATGCTTTTGTCGGCAGAGAGGCGGCGTAGCATCGACGTGCGTCAAGGCAACGCAACTCTGACAAGTCAAGAGCCAGGACTAGTATGTCGGTGGTCCACAGAAGTCAGGAGCCCCTTGGCAAAGCAACCCAATGCAGTGGAAAGTTAGAAGTTGAGTGCTGCGAGGTAGCCATGGCAGGTACGAGGCCTTCCCGGTGTTTTGCTGGCGCGCTATGAGTAAGGACCGAGTTTGGGCCATGTCAAACTCAGGGGCGAAATCTTACAGATCTCATTCTCGTACCTGCATCTCTTGAAGGTTTTGAGGTTCAGGTGGAGGTTGTTGGTCTAGAGAAGGGCGAACTTCGCGACATTGCTAATGAAAATTAATCTCCATCAGGAAGAGTCTTCTCGATGGCAACAGTGAGTTTTCCGTTTCAGGCAGTGAAATATGATCTTTCAGAAGTCTGAAGCAGGACGTGCCTAGCAAATTTTCTCCTATGTTCCGGAACCATTCAGCCAGGCTCTTCATTCGGAAATATTCCTGACGCTCGTTCAATACTATCATCAGGGGTTGAAATCTCAAAACTGGCTCGTCTGGCGCTCTTCATTCTTTTCTTTTGTCTTCTTCTCCGGAAGCTTCATTCTTGACAATCAAACGGCCAAAAATAAGGCCCATTTTCTCTGGCAAGCAGCCAAATAGCCACTCATTTGATCAAACAGCGAGCGCTGGCATTCGCTCACCGAATTCCGAATTCCTCCCATTGTCACAATGGACGCGATATTGAACGGGCCTGCCATGGCGCCGCCTGCGGGCGAGACGTCAGACTTCGAGAATCCGCCCAATGAGAATGGACTGGCCATCGGTGTGCTTGTCACGATGATTGTCATTTCCACCTTTTGTGTCCTGGTCCGCCTGTACGCGCGTGTATACTTGCTGAGGAAAGTTCAAGTTGAAGAGAGTGAGTGTTGGTCTCTGTTCGTGATGCCCAATTTTTACCTGGCCTCCACATGGGACGCATCAGACAAGTGGGCCATCACTCTAGCTTAGAATTGCATAATGGCTAATTATGAGATCTGTTCCAGTTCTAGTTGTTCTCGCATATGTTGGTTATCCCATTCAAATGAAATATAGACGCCGACCTAATGAAACTCATTCTAGGGATGCTATTGGGGAGCTGCATGGGCAGACTTTGCAATGGTCGAGACTCCAGGCTACTTTGTGCACACATGGAACGTGAGGGTAAAGGACATGCTGCCCACCCAATACGTAAGTGAGCATGTCTCTGTCATCATCCCAGAACCACGAGCTGATTATAAAGTAGTATATCCTCGTCTTCGGAGTCTGTTACTCCTTCGTACTTCCGTTTCTCAAGGTCGCTATCCTCACGGAGTGGACTCGCATGTTCGTTCCTAGGGGCACTCACATGAAGAATGCCTTCTTCTGGGGCTGCATGACAGTCTGTTTCGTCCAAATTGGGGCAGGAGTTGCCACTATCATTGCTCTCAATCTCCAGTGCATTCCTCACGCCGCCATTTGGGATCTTACCATCACAGACGCTCAGTGTTTCGAACTTTACCCGCTCCAGGTGTCTTCGGCCAGCATCCAGCTCGTCTCTGATATTGCCATTTTCTTATTGCCACAGCGTGTCATTTGGACTCTGAAAATGACATGGCAGAAGAGGCTGGGCGTCTCCGTGGTCTTCGGCCTCGGCTTGCTGTAAGTCTGCAAGACAAAGTCTGCATTCCTTTTTTTATCCCGGTAGACTGACATGAGGACATCACAGCGCCTGCGTTTCGGCAGCCTTCAGACTGGCCACAACCGTTGCTTATGGGGAGGCAGCTGACGCGATATATGCTCTTGGGCCTCTCGTTTTCTGGGCAACAGCAGAGATGACATGTGGTTTCTTTGTGTGCTGCAGTAAGCCAAACCCTTTAACCCCAGTCATTGGAGCTGCTACAGTCTTTCCCAAGACACTCAAACCATGCTCTGGAAGCTATATGCTACCGACGTATTTGATTTCGGCTTAAGACTCAGGTGCTTTTCGCAATAGTTGCTAATTAGAGGACGATGATAGTGCCTTGTATACCGAAGATCCTCAGGGACACCGGTGTCCTCAAGAACATCAAAAGAGCGTTTGGTATGAATACAACTACCACCAAAGGACCCTCGAACAACAAATCGGCCCAATTCAGCAGCAATATATCGCACGGAAAGTCCGTGACTGCGACGAGCAAGGCCTACTACAAGTTGGACGAGGATGGAATTCCGATGGATCCGGTTGAATCTGAGTCCACGGAGCAACTTCACAACGCAAAACTCAGTGCTGGGATCACACGGACGACTCGTATAATTGTCAGTCAGGACAGCCGGCCGATGACTAGCGATGTTGAGGCTGGTAATGGCGCTCGACCGGGCGACCATAACGACGAGTGGCCCAGGCCAGGGTACAGGTGAACAAAGTTCATCGTAGTCTGACAGGCCACCTTCACTCCCCTCTACTTGAATCCGAGATTTGTCTATGAGAAATAACTTGGATGAATCAGAAGGGAAGGGGAAAGGCATTTCGCCAGGGTAGTTCGGGATCATGCATCTGCAGTATAATTTTACACTGCTGCGGTTGTGGCGCGACGCAATCAGGCATACACCCATGGTCTCGTACTTTATGAATCGCTCTTTGGAGCAGGAGGATTAATTAATTGTGAAATGGTAATGAAAACACCAGCTTGCTAAGACACGGGTACTGTATTTACGGGGCTTCTGCTCAATCTTTCTCAAAATGTCCCACCCCCACATTTGCCTTTGTAAGTGGCCTGGGGTTTGGGTTTGGGATGGTCCGTGCAGCCATCCCCCTTTCCTGGCCCCTCCTATTTCGACGACATCCCATGGTGATGTAACCTCAGCCTGCATGTGATATCTCATGTACATCTATTACGTGTTGCCCAGACAAGAACGAGACTTCGTTCCACCGCGTTCGCGACTCTCGCCATCCGTACAGCAATATCGAACGCAGGAGCCGGACCCCTTCAACCTTGGCACTTACTCGCAGGGAACTTGAGGGATTCCTAAGTACCTGTTTGAACAAGCAGAGAACTCGACACCCACGAAGGCTATCCTATCCAGCGCCTTGGAACTCTTAGAGCAAAGCGTGGGCGATACAAATGTGACCGAGTCGAATTCCTTGATTGCACATTTCCGAAGGGCTAACTTGCGAACTCCTACACATTCTTCTGTTCCAACGCGCATATGATCGTATGGTGGACCATGTTTTCCTAGGCTCTGGCGGCCAGCCAGCCGGTCCCGGTGGTAGCAGGATGTCAGCTTCGCCGCCGGTCCCATATTTCTCACGGCCATAACGACGCACCCTGGATCCTGAACTCCCTAGGCATGTACTTCCACTGGAGACAAATGTCGTCTCCGGTCTTGGGAGATGTAACAATCAAATGACTCTGCAAAGATGATCATTTCCGTGGACGGCAGACCGACTCGAGGAATGTAAACAGACCCCCTTTTCAACGGTCAGTAAATATTCGATAAGGTTGCAGGACTCGAGATCCGTACCAGAATCCGGGATGGTGAGGGCCTTCACAAATTGCACTTAATATGGATGGATACATATGCAGTGCGCAGAAGTCCCTAAGTGAGTACCGTCCCTAAGTGACGCGACCTGGATTCCACTAGCACCGCGACTCATAGATTATTTCCCCTGGACGGCAGCAAGGAATTCGTTGCCGGGATTCAAAGGTCGAGATGCGGTTCCTATGCTTGCATGGAAGAGGTACCAATGCGAAAGTATGCACTCATCTCTCTTTGCTGCGCAACATCTCAATGTAAGCCACGGTCAGCTAAACAACAGTGACTAGATCTTCGAGATGCAGACAGGTAACCACGCTTCATGGCTATGTGGCCAAAAGTCCGCTCTTTTCAGGAAGGATGCTGACCGCACAGCTAGCGAGAATCCGAGAAGCTCTCGACGATCATGACTTTGTGTTCATCGACGGCACTATAGACACAGTACCCGCTGAAGGTTCGACTGTGTCATCCCTAGAAAAACATGGCACCAGATTCTAACCGTCAGCAGGAGCTCCCACTGTTACCGATGAATTCTACGGGTACTTTGAGAAAGAGGTGAACGTGAACAACAGCCAAGAGCTGGTGGTCAACATGATACAATTTGTTGAGACTAATGGCCCGTTTGATGCTGTTATGGGTTTCTCTGAGGGAGGGATCATTGCGGCTATGCTTCTGATTGAAGACTCTAGACAGTCTTTCGCTGGATTCAAATGTGGCATCTTCTTCAGTGCCGCCCCTCCTCTGGATCCAGATGTGGTCCGCGGTGGGATCCTTCGGTGCGTCGATCCGGACAACGACGGGGTTCTGATTCAAGTGCCAACAGCCCACATCGGTGGGTCAAACGAGTCCCTTGAACGGTTAAGTCACCTCTCGCCATTAGCTCCGCTTTGGCCTAAGGATTCGGCACTGCTGCGTGATGCCCTTGTTCGGCTTTGCGACGCCACAAATCGCCAAGTCTTCCTTCACAGCCGAGGGCATGATATCCCTGGAGGAAACTCCCTTACAGAATTGTCTGGGGTTCTTCGTGTCATAGAGCGGACTATCGAGAGTGCCAGAGCCTATTCTGCCTAGATCGAAAGTTACTCTGCTCTTGGCTCGAGAGGTAGCGACATCGGTCAGGAACGAGCAGCTTACTATGGAGCCGGAGTACCGTCCCCGAGTCCCTTCAGGATCTGAGCTTGGTGGAAAGTAAGGCACCTGGCCCGTGATGTCGCAGACACAAGTGTGCGCGAGCGATTCGTGAGGACGTTCAGGTCGATTCGAGAGTCAGAGCAGGCTATATACAGGCGGTGTGACTATGGATCCTCATTCACGGAGCAATTCAAGGACGTTTCTGACTCATATAAAGTAGTTGACTTACAAAGAGCACTCTTACAGTTGCTCAAATTTTCTCTCTAGTGCGCTGGAAGAGAACAATTATGGGCTCCAACGCTGAGGCATCACTTCCCGAGGCAGGGCTCGGTTTCCAAGCAGTCGATGACATCGCCATTGTTGGGTACTCTTTTAAGCTGCCCCGGGGTATAGATGATGATTTCAAGTTTTGGGAAGTTCTTCAGGACCGTCGAAACCTTTCCACAGAATGGCCCACATCCCGTATCAACATCGATTCGTTCCTGAATGGCAAGAGCCATACCGTATGTCCCAACTTACAGTTATCCCACATCATTGCAACCCCCGCTCACCAGTTCGTTAGTTCAATGGCTGCCGTGGCCACTTCATCGACGAAGATGTGGCTGGCTTTGACGCTCCTTTCTTCTCTGTCACCTCAAAAGAGGCCAAGTCCATGGACCCAATGCAGCGATGGACACTCGAGGCATCTTATAGGGCTTTTGAGAAAGGTGGGAAAGAGACGATGATACGCTACAACGTTACGAGATACTGACTGTGTTTTATGACAGCGGGAATTCCAGTTGAGAGTCTGAAAGGCTCCCGTACTGCAGTATTCTCTGCCTCTATGCTGGAAGACTACATGAGAATGTCAGCCATGGACCCTGACAATGCAGAAAGGACGGCAGTCACCGGTTGTACGGTTGCGTGTGTAATACCGAATCGTATCAGCTGGTATTTTGATTTGCAAGGCCCTAGCATACACTGCAACACGGCGTGCTCAAGCAGTCTGTCAGCTGTTGATATGGCTTGCAAAAGTATCAAGTCAGGAGACGCGACCTGTGTGAGTGAAGAAGCGTCTATGAACCATCAGCCTGATGTGGGCGGCTTGCTGACGGTGCAAGTAGGCACTTGTCACTGGATCGAACTTACTACTAGACCCATCAATTTTTCAATTATTGTCAGACCAGAAGTTTCTGTCTCCCGATGGTTTGTGTTACAGCTTCGATCACCGTGCGAACGGCTACGCAAGAGGAGAGGGCATCATCGCGCTTGTGCTCAAGCCTGTAACTTCCGCTGTCCAGGATGGTGACATGATCAGAGCAGTCATCAGGTCGATCGGCTCGAATCAGGATGGACGCAGCCCAGTGTTGACCCAACCAAGCCCCCAAGCACAGGAGGATCTGATACGTCATGTTTACAAACAGGCGAGCCTCTCTTTGGACGAGACTCTCTATGTTGAGGCTCATGGCAAGTAGCCCGTCCACTTCATGCCATGCGAGTAGTTCTAACAGTGTAGTCACTAGGAACCGGTACGCCAGTGGGTGATCCGATTGAGATGAAGGCCATAGGCCGAGTCTTCCGGAAGGCTCGGTCAGCCGAGAGGCCCCTTTATGTGTGGGTAACCCGCGCTCCTATCTCGAGCTGTCTCACAGCAGGTCATCAGCTGATCATCTCACAGTGGATCCGTTAAAGCAAACATTGGTCACCTAGAAGGAGCTAGTGCTCTGGCCAGTATAATTAAGTCCATTTGTGAGTTTTTTCATACCTTGGCCCAGAGTCCTGCGAAAGATACAAATTGGCTGACCGGCCCGGGTGGTCGGCCGCAGTAATCCTAGAAAAGGGCGTGATTCCGCCAAATGCACTTTTTGAAAAAATAAACCCTGATATTGATGTTGACTTCTATCATACCGAGGTATGTGCAGAAAGTCTAGCAGGCTCAAATATTAGCTCACATGTGACATAGGTCCCAACTGAGTGTGTCGTCTGGCCGGCGTCTGGGCTGCGCCGCGTGTCTGTCAATTCATTCGGCTTTGGGGGCTCCAATACGCACGTCGTCCTTGACGACGCGTATCACTACCTGCGGGAACGCCGTCTTCCAGGACATCACTGTACCTCTCCCACCCCTGGAGCCTCGGGTGCCAAGGCCATAGCCAATGGCAATGGCACAATTTCTACTGACACTGTGGTTAATGGCAATGGAACGGCCCACCCCCTCAACGGGTCGTCAGGAGGTCAAATTGTAAATAGTACAAATGGCTTTACGAAGAAAAAGCTTTTGAACGGACAGGGAGCGGCACGGGCGATCAGTAACCTACCCAAAATGATCGTTTGGACTGCCGCTGATGAGAACGCCGTCAAGCGAACGGTGGGCGTATATCAAAATTACTACCAGGACCGAGTGTCAGGGCACCCCGAGAAGCTTGACCGACTGGCTCAGACCCTTGCTTCTCGCCGGAGCCAGATGCTGTGGCGGACATTTGCCCTTGTCGCAGATGGACTGGAAATCCAGGGAGACAAAACTCTCTCCCCCGCCAAACCAGTTCGAAGCTCAACAGAGGCTGGTTTAGCCTTCGTCTTCACTGGACAAGGTGCTCAATATGCTGGTATGATCTTTCTGAACAACACCATGGACTGATCCCCGAGATTTGAATCCCTTTCACACAGGTGAAAAAGCTAACGTCTCATTTCTAGGTATGGGTTTCGACCTCATCGAATACCCTGTCTTTGCTGAAGCTTTACAACGTATCGATAATATATATGCTACTTTAGGATGCACATGGTCCATATTTGGTAAGATAAATCGAATTCTTGGACTGATTGAGAATCAACTGACATCAGCATCTGGACGCTAGATGAATTGCGTCGTAGCGAAAACATCAACAAGCCTGAATATGCACAGCCATTATCCACGGCCATACAGTTAGCCCTGATCAAGCTTTTGAAGAGCTTTGGGGTTAATCCTAAAGCCGTGATAGGACACTCTTCGGGAGAAATTGCTGCGGCGTAAGTTGATTGCAATGTGGTATATTTGATCAAATTTGTGCTAATGTAGACTCTCGAGACAATAGATACGCCACTGGCGCGCTGTCTTTAATTTCCGCCTGCAAAGTCTCATATCACCGAGGGCGACTTGCTGGAAAGCTTAGAAGCGCAAACTCCGCCTCTCCGGGTGCCATGATATCCATCAATCTCGCAGAAGGTCAAGTTTCCGCTTTCTTAGAAAGTGTGGAGGCCACAGATGTCTGCGTAGCTTGCATTAACAGCCCATTGAACTGTACCCTGTCCGGCCCTGAAGCATCCATCGACACAGTCAAGGCTCAAGCCGACAAGATTGGCAATTTTGCACAAAAGCTCAAGACTGGTGTAGCATACCATTCGCCGTCGATGCTGGCCATAGCCGACGAGTATTTGTCATTTATGGGAAATCTCGAGGGTGCCGGAATGCAGGACGCGAAGACGAAGGCTGCGATCCCAATGGTGTCGTCTGTCACTGGGAAGACAATCCGCCCGGCAGAGCTGGCCAAGGGCCAGTACTGGGTAGACAACATGGTATCTCCAGTGCGCTTCGCTGATGCGGTCCAGGTCGTGACGCAGGAGTCAGCCAAGCTCAAAGTTGGTCTAGGTACCATCACCGACCTTGTCGAGATTGGCCCGCACCCAGCTCTGCGGCGACCTATTTCAGACACTATCAGCCAGGAGGGCAACCGCAAGAAGCAAATACGATATGCGAGTGTGCTTCACCGGTCACAACCCCCCATCCAGACCACGCTCGAGCTTGTGGGTCAGTTGTTCTGCTACGGACATAGTGTATCGGTCTCGGCGGTCAACCAGCACCCAGCGGAGGAAAAGCCTGCGTTTCTGGTTGACTGTCCCGAATATCCATTTGATCACTGCAACAAGTATTGGGCAGAATCACGAATCTCCCGCGACTACAGGCTTCGAGGTACAGTGAGAGGAGAGACGCTGGGTGTCCGCGTCTCGGACTGGAATGAGCTCGAGCCTCGGTGGAGGAACTTCTTGAGCATCGACTCCATTCCATTCCTTGGCCACCATATGATCAGTGACACCGTCGTCTACCCGGCTGCAGGAACAGTCATCATGGCAATTGAGGCTGTCCAGCAAATGGTGCCAGCCGATCGCGTCGTCGCAGGCTACTTTGTGAAAGAAGCGACATTCATCAGTCCCATTATCATACACGGGGGTTGGGAAGACCGCACAGAGACGTCACTCACCTTGCGGCCGGTAGGTCAGCAGAGTGAGGAATCGACCCAGTTCGAGACAGTTATATTTTCGTATCGTAACGGCCAATGGACGGAATGTTCTCGCGCTACGATCAAGGTCGACTTTGCTGGGTCGGAGGCAGCGGGTGACATTCAGGATGAGAGACGACTGGCAGAGGACGAAGTGCGAAGATGTCATGAGTTGGTGACAAAGTGTTGTGACAAGCCTGTGGACTCAAACGTTCATTACAGCCACGCTTCTGAGCAGGGACTGCAGTACGGTGATTGGTTCTCTATCCTGCAGGACGTCCGTTGGGACAATAAGCTGAACGCGGTGGGACGCGTCGACGTATCCAAGGGGAGGTACCAGACCAGCAGCTTGGTACATCCTGCCGTCCTTGACACAGCTTTCCACATCCTACGGGTGAGCGCCGGCTCCCAGCCTGCAGCCAACGTGCCCGTTCGCCTGGAGAATGCCTGGTTTGCATCGTCTGGGTGGCAGCATCCGCAGACGAATTTTGTGCAATGGCTGGCTACTTCTCACTTAGCTACGAGTGGAGAAGTGGGCCGCGGCGAGCAGGGAAAGCTACATGCTCTGTCGGACGATGGCAAAATCCTGTGTACTATCCAGAAGGCTGTGACGGCTGCCGTCACCACGGGCGGTCAAGAAAAAGAGAAGAAGCTGCTGTATGGTGTTGAGTGGAAGCCACAGCTGAGCCTGCTCGAGCCCAAGCAGCTCTCAGCGGCCTGTCGTGCGGACTCTTACACAAGAGATGAGTCTGTCGTCCTGGCGAACCATGCCAAGATGTGCTCTGCGTTGGACCTTGCAGCTGCCCGTACACTCAAGGACGTTAACCACGCCAAAGTTCCCGAGGGCTTGATCAAGCACGTTGAGTGGATGCAACACCATGTCAGCACCAACATGTCGGCTGAGGCACGGCAAGAAGCAGAGACGCTCAGTGAGGCTGAAGTTGCGGCTCGACTTTCTGAAGTCGACAACGTGCTGCCAGCATGGAAGCTCTACACCGAGTGTGCGAGGAAACTCCCAGAGATGCTGGCCGGTGACCTTGACCCGCTCCAAGTCGTCTTTGGCTCGGATCTCGCAAGTATCTTCTACGAGGACCTGTTTCTCAATTTGTGCTCTGATGGGCGGCTCGGCAGCCTGCTGGATCTGGCCTCGCACGAAAACCCCGGGCTAAGGTTTTTGGAGGTCGGTGCAGGTACCGGTGGTATGACGGGCCACATCATTAAGGCTCTCCAAGAGCGCGAGGCTCGTACAGGATCACCCAGCTTCTCTGAGTATACCTACACAGATATCTCGCCTGCCTTTTTCGAGCGTGCTAAGGGTCGCTGGCCTGACCTGCAGGACCGCATGACTTTCAAGACGCTCGACCTGGACCGTTCTATCGGCAGTCAAGGCTTTGAGACCGGCTCGTATGATTACATCGTCGCCGCTAGTGTGCTACATGCTACGCCGCATTTGGAGGAGAACATCCGGAGTATAAGCAAGGCGCTGAAGCCAGGTGGCCGCCTCATTTTGCTCGAGGTGATCAACCCTGATGATATTGCTACTAACTTTATGGCTGGCCTTGTTCCGGGCTGGTGGGTGGCTCGCGAAGAATGGCGACCTCATTCTGCCGCTATCCCTGAGGGTTTGTGGGATAAGTGTCTGCGAAAAAATGGCTTCTCTGGAAATGATGTTGTAATTCGAGATTACAAAAATGATAAGTGCCACATCATGAGCATCATTGTGTCCACGGCTGCAGGACAGCCTTCAGACACACAAGGAAAGCCGGCGAAATCCGGCAAGGTCGTTTTCGTTGTCGATAATCAAGAGCAAGGACAACAACAAGAGTTGGTGGACTCGATTTGCAGCGAGTTTGACCTCGGAGAAGAGCAGCAAGCGACCTTTTGCTCCTTCACCCTAGATGGTTTGGAGAAGACGCTCGTTCATTTATCCGAACACAACACTGTTGTTTGTCTCGCAGAGTCCAACAAGCCTCTTCTAGCCAATATGACCGAAGAGAAGCTCAAGAGTCTCCAATACCTTATCAAGAATACGCAGAATCTCCTCTGGGTCACAACCACGAATACTGAGGATCCACAGTACCCCGACTACAGCATCATGCAGGGCTTCTTCCGCTCCATCCGTGCTGAGCAACCCGAGAGCCATATTGTAACGCTCGCCATCGAGGGGGATCCCGACTCTGCAACTTGCGTGAGCTTTATCCAAAAGGTTTTCCAGAGTGCCTTCGGCCGACAGCGCTCGGAAGAGCTGGAGTATGTTGTCAATGACGGGCTCCTCACCACTGGGCGGGCTATTGAAGACGTTCCCGGGAATGCATCGCTGCGGTCACTGCTATCCCGGCAATTGCAGCGCAAGCCATGGCCTGAAGGGCTGGCTCTGCAGCTGTCTGTTGGCACTTTGAGCAGCCTTGATACCTTACGATTCGTACAGGATGCTTCCCATGAGGCTGAACTCGGCCCTCTTGAAGTCGAGATCGATGCCAAAGCCTGGGGTCTTGTTCCTCAAGACGTGCAGATCGCAATGGGACGTCGAGATCGTGAGGATGGCTTAATGGGTAGCGATTGCGCGGGCGTCGTTACGAGTATTGGAAATGACTGTGATGCATCAATAAAGCCGGGCGACCGTGTCTGGATGATGGCAGCAGGCTGTACCCGGCAGTTTCCTCGCGCCGATATTATAAGCGTTTTCAGAATCCCAGACACCTTGACGTTTGAGGCTATGACATCTATCTGCATCCCAGCAATGACGGCCTACCAAGCTCTCGTCGAGATCGGCAGGCTAGAGGAAGGTGATAGGGTCCTGATTCACTCTGCTGCTGATATTCTTGGGCAAGCAGCAGTCCAGCTCGCGACCACCCAGGGCGCGGAGATTTATGCTACAGCCTCAACTCCGGAAAAGAGACGATTCCTGAAAGAAAGGCTCAGCATTCCGAGTGATCACATCTTCTCCAGCGAAACGATCTCGTTCGCTCAAGGCGTGATGCGTGCCACGGGAGGAGAGGGGGTCGAAGTCGTCTACAACTCACTAACTGGAGACGATGCGCTGCGGGCATCGTGTGAGTGCACAGCCCGTAACGGACGATTCGTCCAGATCGACCGCGCCAATTTCAACGCCAATGCAACCTTGCCGATGGCGGTTTTGGCTAGGAATGTCTCGTTTTCAGCTGTTGATGTAATGGAGTTGAGCCCAAAGGTTGCTACCAGATTATTCAAGAAGACTGTACAGTTATTGGAGGAAGGAACGATCCAGCTACTCCAGCCCCTCAACGTCTTTGGTGCATCTGAGATTAAGGAGGCTTTCAAGCAATTGCAGAGTGGTGACAGCTTAGGACGTGTTATCGTTACTCCAAAACCCGAGGATGTTGTTCCGGTAAGTCCGACCAAGCTGCAACGGCTGATATCGTAACGTCTAAGTACAAAACTGACGCTTGTTTTCCCTTAGCAATTTGTCCAGGAGCGTCGATCATGGATGTTTGACGAGAATGCATCGTATCTAATCGCCGGAGGATCTGGTGGTCTGGGCCGAGCAATTTTGAATTGGATGGCTGATCGAGGAGCAAAGCATCTTATTGTGCCTTCTCGATCAGGCGCCTCGTCTCAGGCCGCCGCCGACATGGTCGCCCAACTGCAAGCACGCGGTGTCAACGTCGTTGCACCCAAGTGTGACGTATCTGATGCAGCAAGCCTCGGCAGCCTTCTGGACGAGTGCTCCAAGACTCTGCCACCGATCAAGGGCTGCATCAATGGAGCTATGGTACTCCAAGATGCGATCATGGCGAACATGGCGTTTGCCCAATGGGACCTCACAATGAAGTCCAAGGTACGGACATCGTGGAACCTGCACCGACTTCTTCCGCAGGACATGGATTTCTTCATCCTCCTCGCATCCCTCGCTGGCGTAGCCGGACAGATGGCCTCCGCCAACTACGCAGGCGGCTGCACATTCCAGGATGCACTGGCGCGCTACCGTATTGCCCAGGGCCAACGAGCTATCTCATTAGATATCGGATGGATGCGCAACGTAGGCATCATCGCCGAGAACTCGGGCTACCAGCGCCAGCGGCAGTCGCTGAATGACATGAACCCGATCGACGACACCGAGCTGCTCGCCGTCCTGGCCCTGGTCTGCGACCCGGAGAACCCGCTTCCGATGCCGAAGTCACCCCGGGCGCCGGGTCAGGTCCTGTTCGGCCTGCGCACGCCCGTCGAGAACATGCTCCAAGGCCTCGGTTCGCCGGCGGTGCTGGACCAGCCGCTGTTTGCGGGCTTCTCGTACATCCCTGGCGGAGGCTCGCATGGAGCAGCAGCAGGCCAGTCGTCGTCGGCGGCAGCGGACCAGGGCGCGGGGGCGCTGTTCCGACAGGCGGGCGACTCGGGGGAGAGGGTGCAGATCGTGCTGCAGGCGATGTCTGCGAAGCTGGCGAGGGCCATGTCTATCCCGCCCGAGGACGTGGAGCCGGGCAAGCCGCTCTCGGCCTACGGCGTGGACTCGCTCATGGCTGTGGAGCTGAGGAACTGGATCGGGCGGGAATTCGGTGCCGCGGTGGCGGTGTTTGATATTATGGGCGGTGTGCCCATTGCTAGTGTTGCTGACCTGGTCACTGCGAGGAGTGGAGTGGTGGATAGGAAGAGCTAGATTGGCCGTAGAGTGGAAGCTGGGATGTTCCAAGGCCGCTGTAATTATTTTTGGGATTATCTTGAAATTATCTGGGGAATTCGTAGTGTAGATACACGAGTAGCCACTCTCATTTCCCGAGCCGCATATGGACAGTCCATTTCTTGGCATACTCGTGATAACGATCGGTGTTCATCTGTTAAGCCAAAATACTGACTTGCATTTCCTTAGACGCACCCTGAAGAATTAAAGCAGTTGTAATTTGCACTGGCAACGGGAAGCGGATACCCACCACTGGACTGCTTGGGTCTTAATGGATATGTCGGATTCTATGGTAGGTGAATGGAGCAATCCTGGTGGGATACGTATGGAGCCATCGGGGGCTTTTGGTGTGGACTGTTTGATGAGCGCCTGCCGACTCAGCCGGATCGTCGTCGTCCACTCGCACGATTTTCAAAGTGGGCGCTGGTAGGGCGAGGCGAGGGCTGAATGGTGACATGTCTCTTTTTTTTTTCTTCTCGAAGCATGTGTATGTGCACACTGCAGTAGAATATAGCATACTATGCCTGGTTTGTAGGGGCGATATCTGTGATGGCAATAGACAGACAGACAGCCAGTCAGATAGACAGGTTCAGGGCAGGCTGTGATTCGCCATGGCGGATCAGATAAGTTTCACGAAATGGATGAATCTGAGGGAGCCCGCCCAGCCAGCCAGACTGAACAATGCCGTTCCCCGTTGAGGCAGCGCGGCAGGGGTAAGATTTGGTTTCTGCGCTAGCATCTGACACACACTGACACACTGACACACTGACACACTGACACACGAGGCAGACCAGCCAGGCAAGGCACGCTCTGACCCACCGGCATGCAGGGGATGCGAGATGCGATTGGGAACCACCTGCGAACCACCTGGGGATCCCGGGTCCCTCTGGGATGCTGCAGTGCCATGACCAAGGGACCCACGGCCTTTCAACATGTGAAGCGAAAGGGGATGGATGCTATGCTCTGCTCTTGCTGCTGCTGCTGAACCGAACTCCCAAGACATCGCGATACGAGACACAAAGAAAACAACCGAGCAGTTTCTCCCACCCAGGAATCTCTCCACCGAACCGTTAGCCCCCCCTCCAAATCACCACCACTAGACACACCGTGTGCCCTGCCGCGTCTTCTGGGCGTCAGCAACCATAGCAATCCATCAGTCCATCACCTAACCCATCCCATCCATCCGAATTTATTCCGTACGCACCACGACCACAGCGAAAAGTCCAGTCTCTCGTCTCGACTCACTCGACTTGTCTACGCCAAGGCTCGGTTCAGCTGGACTAGCCGTCTCGACCCGACCTCCTGGCCCCCAAACACACACACACACATACACACGCGCACACCAACACACCAACGCAATTGCTATTGAGTAGCTGCCACTGGCTGCCGACTGATTCTCTTCCTCTCGAGAGCTCTCTCGGCCAGGCCATGTTTGCACCTTGACTGCGGCCTCCTACGACCCGAGAGCGCTCAACGCGCATCTCGAGCCCTTGATTAATTCAATCGCTGCCTACTCCCAGCGCAGCAATTGACCAGTCACCGCCGCCCTCTCCTCCTCTCACGACAATCCTCCGTCGCCTCCTACCGCGAGCCACCATGGCGGACCCCTCGAGATCCCCTCCGTCACAACGGAACCGAGCGCCCCCGCCTTCGTCAATACCTTTGGACGGCCTTGACGGACCACCCGGCGAATATGGGAGAGGCAGGTCCACTTCCGGCGCTGGAGGAGCGCAGGCACAATCTCAACCACAACGGTACGAGAGGCTATCGCCAACCACGGCCCAGATGGCCGCAACACTGCCCAGCATCACGACGTACTGGGACAACCCATACCAGCAGCAGGAGCAACAGCAACAAGGACTACTGCAGCAGCCACAGCAGCAATCGAGGCAGGCAGGGCTGCAGATTAATACTGAGTCTCCCTTAGACCCCACGGCATTCCAGTATGCCCTCCCACCGGACTTCTCGAACGAGCAGCTGTCGCCGCGCCCGCTCTCAGAGATTGGTTCCACTCCGAACGCAGCCTACGAGGCACCATCCTATTTCCTCGAGCACAACCCTCAAGAGTCGGACCGAGTGCCTCTCACGCAGACTGCCCAGCCAATCGATGGTCTTAGTGTTGCCGGCGATTCACAGCCACGGGATAGCTTCCAGACTGTACGGGATCTTGATACTGGCCCGAGCCAGGTGCGCAATGAGGATAGGCTCGGCTATGACTTGGAGTCTGGCATCGGCTCCCTGAAGCACAAAAGCTATGGGAAGAACCTGACGCCAGATGCGAACCGGCGGTCCCGGTCACCCTCGACATCAGGCGCATTGCTAAAGGCTGGCTCCATCATGCGAGCCATGTCCCAACGTGTCGTGAATATCAGTGGTGACGAGGTCCTCGAGAACCAGAAACGCCGTGATCGATCCCGTTCACCAAGCCGAGATGGTCCGCGCGAGTCTATGCCCCAGGTACCCGAGATCGATACTGCGTATCATTCGCAACTCTATGGACATCAGAGCCCTATCGAGAAGAAGGGGCAGGCCGAATATATTTTTCCGTCCGATCCCGGCCCTCTATCCCCCGTGCCCTCGATACATGGCCGTATGGCCAATCCTTTGAAAGGGAAAACTTTGGGCATTTTTTCTCCTGACAATCCAATACGAATGCGACTCTGCGATGTTCTGGTACAGCCGTGGACGGAGCCTCTGCTCCTGATCTTAATCGTGCTCCAACTGATCCTCTTGTGCGTGGAAGCCGCACCAAACGTCTTCGATGACGGCGAAGGCAGACCAGACAGATGGGGTAGCACCTCGATCGATTGGGCCATATTCTGCTTATTCGTCATTTTCTCCATAGAGATCATTGCCAGGATTATCGTCTCCGGATTCGTGCTGAATGCTGAAGAGTATAGCACTATTGACCGTAAACGCGGTGTAAAGGCGGCTGTCGTTGATAAATATCGGACCGTCTTTCAACCTCAGAGACAAAAGTCAGTCAGAAAACCACCACAAGACTATGGGCCCTCAACGTTCCAACGCTCAGTCACCTTCCTTCATGGTCATTCACTCCCTCAGACGATAGAGGAGCAACAGAGGTATCAGCTGGCCCGAAGAGCCTTCTTGCGGCATGGTTTCAATCGGCTCGACTTTGTTGCCGTGGTGTCATTCTGGATATCATTTGTGATCGGAATAACGGGCGCCGAGAAAGAACACCACCTCTACGTGTTCAGGATGCTCAGCTGTCTCCGTATTGTGAGACTGTTGGCGCTGACCAAGGGTAATGCCGTAAGTAAATCTCGACCACTGCAGAATTCAAAGTACTCATGTATGAAAATAGGTTATTCTGCGAAGTCTGAAAAGAGCAGCACCCTTGCTGCTGCGAGTCTCGTTCCTGATCGGCTTCTTCTGGTTGGTCTTTGCCATTATTGGCGTGCAAAGCTTCCAGGGCAGTCTGAGCCGACAGTGTGTATGGATTGACCCCCAGGACCCGCTGAATCTCACTGCGGCATTCGTGGACGATTTTCAATTCTGTGGTGGCTACAAGAACTCCTCTACTGGCGATGACATGCCATGGGTCATCGCCGACCCGCCTGACGACTTGAGTAACCTCAGATCCGGCACAGGTAACGCTAAGGGTTACATCTGCCCCAGAGGTTCACTCTGTATCCAGCAAGGCAACCCATATAACAACACCATGCAATTCGACGACATTCTACACTCACTGGAGATGGTTTTTGTCGTCATGAGTGCAAACACATTCTCCGACCTGATGTATTACACGATCGATTCGGATTATACACCTGCGGCGCTCTTCTTTGGTGCTGGAATCATGATAATGTTGCTATGGCTGGTCAACTTGCTGATTGCTGTCATCACATCATCATTCCAAGTCATCCGCGAAGAGAGCAGGGCCAGCGCCTTTACGGATACGGAGGACAAGATCGCAGACGCCCCTCCTGAGGAGCCACCAAAGCGGCTGTCCTCCCTGCAGCGGATGTACAACAAGTCGAAATCGTTTTGGGTCCTGTGCATCGCTTTTGACTTGCTTGCCCAGGCGTGGAAGAGCGCCTCGATGTCGGACGACCGCAGGGAGTTCATCGACAACGTTGAAGTGATAGTGACGCTTCTACTCGACATTGAAATCATCATAAGAATCGTGGCGGACTTCAGAGGCTTTCGTCACAGCAAGCGAAATCTTGTGGACCTGGGGCTTGCCGTCGTCACATCCGTCATCATACTGCCTCCCGTTCACTCGGCGGATGTAGTTTACGCATGGTTGACGTTGTTCCAGATATTGAGGGTATACCGCGTTGTTCTCGCGGTGCCGATGACCAGAGACCTCATTGTGCTGGTGCTGGGCGATGCTACGGGTATCAGCAACCTGATGCTGTTCGTCTACCTGATGACACTTCTCATGGCAATCTTCGCCTCACAGCTGTTTCGGGGGGAGATACCCCTTGAGGACAGCGGCGGTGATCACATCGAAATGAACTTTGCAACCATATGGAATTCATTCCAGGCCATGTACCAAATCCTTTCCAGCGAGAATTGGACGACTGTTTTGTACACCGTCACCACCTACACCGTCGGCTGGCATACTGCATGGATTGGGGCCATGTTCCTGGTCGGGTGGTTTATTTTGGCCTTCTTCATTCTCATCAATATGTTCATTGCTGTCATCCAAGAAAATTTCGACGTCGGCGAGGATGTGAAGCGACTTGAGCAAGTCCGAGCATTCTTGCAGAGAAAAGAACTCGGAGGCAGTTCGAGCAACCTCGCCCTTTCAACTATCTTTTCTCTCGGCAAGACTAGGAAGAAGAAGGATCCCCTGGATTATGGCCCAGCCACAATGGAAATGTTGCTGAAAGAAGCTGTTGTGCGGGACTTCCTCGACGACGCTGTTGAAACGGTGCAGGAGACACCTGGCAGCGGCAGCCAGTCACCACCACAAGCGGCCAACGGAACAAGCGGTAATGTGAAGCCTGGTTTCATGTCCATGATGTGGGGCAAAGTGGTTACGTTGTTCAGCAGCAAGGATCCAAATCCGTTCTACTCAAATCTCGCCTTCGAAAACCGGAGCGAGACCCAGGACCCACGGCAAATGGCTCGTCAAGCTGTCTCTGCCACCGCTGAGCGACGTAAGGCGCAACGCGCTTACCTGGCACGACACCCAACCTACAACAACTCCCTGTTCATATTCACACCTCGAAACCCAATCCGGCGCCTCTGTCAGCGAATCGTTGGCCCCGGCCGAGGGACTGAGCGATTCGATGGTGTCGAGCCTCATAAGATTGCATGGTACTCATTTTCGGCTTTCATCTATGCCGCTATTGTCGCCATGGTGATCTTGGCCTGCGTCACCACGCCCTTGTACCAGAAGGAATACTTCGAAGAACATGAATTCAGCGTCGAGAATTGGTTTGTCTGGACTGACATGGCCTTCGCTACTCTGTTCAGCGCAGAAGCTCTCATCAAGGTCATCGCGGATGGTTTCTTCTGGACCCCAAACGCGTACTTCCGCAGTTCTTGGGGGATCATCGACGCTGTGGTCCTGATCACTCTCTGGATCAATGTCATCACGCTCTTCACCAATGATGGAGCCGTGTCCCGAGCTGTTGGTGCCTTCAAGGCACTGAGAGCTCTGAGACTGCTCAACGTCAGCGACAGCGCTCGGGATACATTCCACTCGTTGATTGTGATCGGATGGTGGAAAATCGCCAGCGCGGCCTTCGTGTCACTCTCACTGATCATCCCATTCGCCATCTATGGAACCAACCTGTTCATGGGCAAATTCGTCACTTGCAACGACGACAACGCGGGCGAGTTCATTCACGATTGTTTTGGTGAATTCAACAGCAGTCCGTACAACTGGGATGTGCTGGCTCCTCGAGTCGCCGACAATCCCTTCTTCAGCTTTGACGACTTCGGCTCCTCTCTGTTCATTCTCTTCCAGATTGTGAGTCAAGAGGGATGGATCGATGTCTCGTTTGGCGCGCAATCCATTGTAGGGATTGGCAGGCAACCAGTCTTTGGAGCCGCGCAGGGCAACGCCATCTTCTTCATCATCTACAACCTCTTGGGCACAGTCTTCGTGCTTACGCTGTTCATCTCCGTCTTCATGCGAAACTACACAGAACAGACTGGCGTGGCATACCTGACAACAGAGCAACGGTCGTGGCTCGAGTTGCGCAAACGTCTCCGCCAAATCTCTCCTTCCAAGACGTCTTATGATGACTCTAAGCAGAAGTGGAAGAAATGGTGTCACAAGCGCGCAATTGAGAAAAAGGGCAAGTGGTACACTACCATTACGATCGTGCTCGGTCTTCACCTGCTGCTGCTGCTGCTTGAATACTATCGAGAGCCCCAATGGTGGACCAACACAAGAGACGCGATATTCTTCTTGTTCACGCTGGTCTACATGGCAAACACCGCCATCCGTATCGTTGGACTAGGCTGGCCACGCTTCCGGAAGAGTTCTTGGGACATGTACTCGCTAGTCGTCGTCATCGGCGCGTTTGCGACCACCATTCTCTTCCTTATTTCACCCGGGAAGGACACGTTCATACAGTTGCACAAGTTCTTCCTTGTAGCCATTGTATTCCTCCTCATCCCGCGTAACGACGCTTTGGATCAGCTCTTTAAGACGGCAGCAGCAAGTCTGACAACCATCGGCAATCTATTGGCAACCTGGCTTGTCTTCTTCTTGGTCTTCGCAATCGCCCTGACGCAGACCTTCAGCTTGACGCGATTCGGTGGCGAGGAGACCACACAAGTCAATTTCCGAACGGTGCCGAACGCGCTCATTCTCCTGTTCCGCATGTCTGTCGGCGAGGGCTGGAACGAGATCATGGAAGATTTTGCCGGGATTGAGCCGCCTCTGTGCGTCGAGAGCGACAACTTTTATCAAAGCGACTGTGGCAGTAGTTCGTGGGCCAGGGTGTTGTTCATATTGTGGAACATTCTCAGCATGTACATCTTCGTCAACTTGTTCGTGTCGCTCATCTACGAGAGTTTCTCGTACGTGTACCAGCGTTCCAGTGGCCTGTCTGCCGTCGATCGGGACGAGATTCGCCGCTTCAAGGAGGCCTGGAGGTCGGTTGACCCTCACGGCACAGGGTATATCAGCAAGGAAGCTTTCCCTCGCCTGCTAGGAGAGCTGTCAGGCGTGTTCCAGATGCGCATCTACGACCATGAGGACTCTGTTGGGCAGATTCTTGATGACGTAGGGAATGAGGCACCGGGGTCCCGCCACCAATCGATCTCGTCGACAAGCGCATTCGGTTCTGCCAATCTCCAGAAACTGAACAGCAGGCTGAACCAGATTGACGTCGCTGCGGTACGAGAGAGGCGCAGGAGGTACAATATTTTCTACGAAGAGGTCATGGTCTCAGCGGATCCGGACAAGGGCGTCTCTTTCACAACAGTGCTCATGATATTGGCTCACTACAACATTATCAACGATAGCAAGAGTCTTCGGTAAGTTACACAATGCGTACATAGCATAGAAAGTCCTGACTAACAACTATTCAATAGTCTCGAGGAATTCTTGCGTCGCCGGGCACGTCTTCAACGTGTTGAGGAAGAAGTCCGTCGTCGTGTGGTCGTCGGCTTTTTTGACACGATGTAAGTTAACTAGTCTCGCAGCTCGCGGTGGCTTAAATGCTAACACAACATCGATAGGTACTACGCACGACAGTTCAAGCGGCACATGGATCGCAAGAGGTCCGCACGTATGACGGCGGTACCTCAGCTGGACCTGCCGGACATCCTCGTGGACGACGAAGAACAACGAGCAAAGAGGACGACGTCCTCATCAGCACGACTACAGAACCCTTACGGGCAGCAAAGCCCGTCGACACCGGGCTCAACAGGCCTACGCTCGCCCATGTCGGGTGGTGCATTCTTGAGCCCTAACGAGGCCCGGAACAGCGGCGGCGCCAGTCACCAGAAGACATTTTCGGGCATGAGCGCCGACCTCACACTACAGACCAACTTCGAAGGCACCGGTGCGCACCCGCTGAGCATGCCCCGGGCCGGGGAGGCCAGCTCGGCCAGGAGCGACGCGCACCAGTCCACACACTCGGCCTTCAGCTTCGAGCTCCAGCCGGGCTCGGCCAACAGCTCAGCAGCTAACAGCAGGCGCAACAGCAGGAGCAATAGCGCCGTGAGCCCGATCCAAATGAGCCAGATCCTTGACGATTCCATCTGGATGGCGAGTATTAGGCGGAGCGCCACCATGAAGAGGAAGCCAGGGTGGTAATGGAATGGGTCGCAGAGGGGCATTTCACCCCTCGTTTAATTGGGATCATTGGAAGGGAGGTTAATGGGTCTAATGGTCAGGGAGGATGAATGGAGGGAGGAATGACGATAGGAAAAGGGTATCAAGAGAGGAGGCTGGCTACTACGCGCCCTTGCATTGCGAGAAGGGGATTACACTGGCGTTTCAACGGTTGGAAACGGAGAAAGAAGTTCTCCTGGCGGCGTTTATCGTTTTTCCTGTCTGCCTAATCTGTCTTTCGGCTAAAGCGAAGCGATGCATGCTGGTTGTCCATATTCTCAAGGGATGGATGGTAAACGTCGGGTGGAGCAAGTCTGTAGATATCTACATAGAACTAGCGTCGGTGCTGAACAAAGGGAAGATCTTCGGATCGTAGTGACAAGAAGACAGGATTGTGCCAGCTTCCCCCCATGGTGAATCTTTCCAACACAATATCTTCATAACTTCATGATCTATGCCGGTTCCCAAGAAAGGAAACAAATTGTTGAGAACATATACTTGTTACCCCGAACATACGCCGACGGCAGTGGCCAAGATTGTTTGCGCATACCTATTCCAGCAGTCCAACCCGGGCATGCTTTCCTTCGCCATGACAAAGCTTGGCGAATCCAACCCGATCGGATCGAGTCGGTCTGTTTCGTGGGTCTTGGTACTACCTATTTTCTCTTTGCACAGTATACAATATAGCATTTCGTTGGTCACGCCGTCGACTCGGCGAAATTCGTGCGGGCCTATTTCCAGAAAGCCCTACTACGTGATTACTCAAAATGACTGACTACGACCACAGGGGTGCTGGTGGCCAAACTTTGTTTATTGGCAAGGCTGTTGGTTGAGGGGAGGCTACCCGCTTCTTCATCTATCCCATACGGTGGCTCGGTGAGCGGCAGTCAGTCAGGTTGGCGGGCGCGGTACAGGATGGATCGGCGAGTTTGCTTTGTACGCGTAGACCGAGTGTGGGCTGTATGCGCGGGCAGTGCTGTACCATGCGCAGCTGAGAGCTCGACTTCGGGGAGGGGCAATGTGGAGTTGTTCTTTATGCGATGTGTCCAGCTAACTACGCCCGTGATGTTTGGCCGCGTGCTATGTTTATTGATGGTGGGTGATATTGGACATCGTCGGTATGGAGTGTTATCTGTACCAGTATCTGTGCCCCACGATTCAAATGGGACGTGGGAGGCGTAGGTTGCAATCAACCTTGGTGGCGGTCTCCCTCCCACCCCCCAGTCTCACAAACAAGTCTCATCTGCACGTCAACCCAGCTGTCACCTCGTTCCGAGCACTTGGGGCACTTGGGAGCACTGTGGTAGCAGCATGGCAGTATGTTTCCATAGCACTCGGACCGTTCGAAGCTAGGGTTGCGTGTGCGTCTGTGGGCGGTGCAGACTTCCCGAAGAAAGAGGGAGGGAGAGGGCTACGTACTCCCACCACCCGGCTGCTGCTATTTCGGGTATGCTTTTGCGGACAGCCCCTGCGAAAAAGGCAGTGCCACAGGCAAGAATAGTAGAAAAGACTTCCCGGGGTTTCCGCTGGTTCGTCCTTGGGGGCAACAGGCGATCTCTGATCTGTCAAAAGTTTATTTTGGCTTGGAAAGAGATGGTGATCCCCAAGGGGCTAAGCTTTCCATAACGGGCACGGAGTAGGAAAAGTGCCGCCGGTTGACTTGCTAAAGATTTATTGTCCCGGGCAAGCAGCAAACTTCCAGAAGCTTCAAGGCATTGTGAGCTTGTGGACCGTTGAAGCCGTCGTCTTCTTGGCCGACGAGGTTAAGTCAGGCTGAAGCGGACCTAGTGAATCTTGGTCTGCGGCACGACGAACTTGGGCGAACCTTCACGGGAGAGGCTCGTATCCCGTCGGGGAAGGGTCAGGGAGGTGAGGTGAGGTGCAGGACTCGTACTAAACCATCTGAAGTAACTCGGAGCCGTTGCCAGCTTGAGGCATAGGCTGGCTTCAGGATGCCTGGCTGGCTTTTTTCTTGCTCGGTCCAAAACAAAACTACACGGAGCCGGGGTTGATGCGGCACCCCTTCCCCTGGTGAAGATCGAGCAGATAATGTAGGCAGATAGCAGGCGACGAGCCAACCGGGACCGAGGTGGCGATCTGTCTAGTGTGTGATGATGTGTCGTGAACCAGAATTTACCAGAATTTACCCAGCTCTTGGGCGAGGGTGATAATCCGAGTGTTTGATAGCATGGCAGCCACATGATACCAGCCCGAGGCGAGGTGATGCAGAACGTCAGACCAATGAGCAATACCCGGCAATCTGGTAGATATTTGTGCTGCTGACTGGCCATCTATGGCGCGATCCGCAGCCGACATGGCAGAGCTAGTGTTACGAGGCTGCGGGTTTTAATGAGTATGACGAGATGCAGGTGTGTAGCGTATGCTCTGCTGCGATACATATCCACCAGTGACAAGCGACTGAACCAGAATGGGCAAAAATTGAATCACTGGAATGTGTGTGGCTCGATGTTTGGACCGTTTCGACTCAACTCAGGTCACCTTCCAGACCATCTGGCCCAGTGTTGAGCCAGTGTTGAGCCAGACCGTCTGTACATGGCAATTACCATAGCGGAGAATCGAGATGTGCCGAAAGAACAAGTCTTTGGACTGTTGAGGATCGACTGGGGCCGTCTGCCGTCTGAGGGTACGGGTACACAGTATCTGAGGCATGGATGGGGGGAGCATCAGAGTTTGGTGGGTTTTGGGTTTTGGTTTTGCTGGTTTGGATCGCACGAATTGATGGACAGGCCCAAGAACTCAAGGTTGTGTCAAATGGTTCCAGAAGGCTACGAAGGCTTCCATAGCGATCAAGGGACTTTGAGGGAAATGCACCTTCCCTGCCCTTTCCTGCCTCCCCTGCAGGCTCTTGCAGGCGGCTCCTGCTCTTGCAGTCAAGGTGAAACACAGGCCAAGGAGGGGTGGCGGCCGTCATGCCTGCCCACCTGCCTCAGGGCCCTGCCAGTCGTACTATGTACCTCCCACTATACTACTTTTTGTGCCACATCCCTGGTAGACAGTACCGTGCCCACAGCAGAGCTCCCTAACAGGTGGGCAAGGCTGGCTGGCGATCAAGCATCTCCAGCCCGCGAGACCTCCCCCAGACCTTTTCTCGCACAGGCTTGCTGACTGACCGATTGCCAGACAACCAGACAACCAAACAGACATTTAGAATGCATATCGACTGCCACAACTGCAGTCGCCTCTTCTGAGGCCTCTAACACCCACACCATGGCCGGCCCATCGGCAGTTGTGGCAACCGTCTGCTGACGGCCAGTGTTTTGTCGTGTCGTCGACGACAGGATGAACGAGACGGGACGAGACGAAGATGAGAAAGGTCGCCGCAAGCGATGGCTGCCGATACGAAGCACTGGCACCTGCACCTCGAACCCGGGCCAGACAAGAGCTTGTTTCACAGCCGTCAAACAAAGGACAGCCCTGCCTGTCCTGCCTGTCCGCCTGCCTGCAACTCTGATCCACAATTCTTGCATTGTGTACATTGTATACGTACGTTTATGGACGTTGTGTACGTTATGTAAATCAGTCAGAGAAGCTCAGGGCCCCCGTCGGCCGGCGGGGCACCAGACACCAGACACCAGACACCAGACAACAGACCGAGACCAGCCTGTTCCTGCAACCACACGCTCTGTCGCTCATCCTGCTCTCGATTCATGCCTGTAGGGCTGCTGTAAGGCTATCAGTTTGTCTGTCTGTCTGTCTACTTGTAACTGCTGGTTGCAGCTCATGTGCAGTTAGTCTACTGTGTGCGTGCGTGCGTGCATGGCTTGGATGGCGTGAATAGCCGGCTCTCTACTGAATGAGAATGGCTGCGACACGTTGGTCATCCTGGTCTCGGGCCCTTCCCTTCCTAGGGCAGTGAGACCTCTTTCTCTGCTCTTGACCGTATGCAGTGGCATCATCCGCATTGATCTATCGACCCAAGACGGCAACGCACTAGTCGAGCGGGCTGACGGGTTCGTTGCGGCGGCCATCGCTTCGCTTCGCTTCGCATGCATCGCATCAACTCGTCTCCCTGTGTCATCACACACACACCATACCCCTGACCAGAAGCGGGCCACCGCCAGCACCACCGTCCGCCGTCAATCACGGCCACCTGGTGACAGAGTGACCTCTCTCACACACTCGCTCACACACTCACACCGTGCCCGTGCCTGGGTTGCTTCACCCCAGTCCCGCCTCTACGGCCAGCAATTGAGTCTTTCTCAGCCAAGCAAGGCCTCCCTCAGACTCTGCCTTTGCCTAGATACCGTCTCGGTCTGGCGACTGTGGAACAAGCCACCCCCGGATGCCCCAGGCCCGCCAGCAAGACACCCACCCCGTGGCTGCAGCTTCTGCGGCATCGCCTATCACCTGTCCGGGTCGTCCGTGGTTCCTGCTTCTAATTCAGGTTTAGCCCAGGGACCCGGCAAGGTCCACTTTCCCTCGGTTTGAGGACCATCGACGTTCCCCTGGCCCTCCTTGCAAGTCGCAAGTCGCACGTCGCACATCGCCCGTTCGCCCTTGTCTGCTGTTAGACAGCCCATCCCTCCCTTCCCTCACTCCTGGCTTCATATAATACTTAAAGCCTCAACTGGCTTCTCAGATCCTGGAGATCTTTTTAGCTGCCGTTCAATCTACCTCCAGCATCTCCAAGCTCCAGCCCCATCTCGTCGTACGCAATTAGTGTGTGTGTCCGTTGACGACGACTCAATATCTCCGCGCCCCCTGTCTTTGGCATCCACTCCGCCCACTTCTTTGATCTACACACGGACCAGATCGTTCGCTCGCTTCTGCTAGATAAAATCCAGCTTCACTCAAGTCTCTCGCTCCCACCGACGTGGCATTAAACACATATATCTACGGGCTGTGCCTTCTTGCGTCATTCCAGACCTTTAATACTCCTTCGACCTGATCAGAGTCGAATCCGCCATCCACATACCAAACCGCCTTCTACGCCTTCAAGTCATCATACTCCCTCAATGAGTATTCAGACAAGCGAGAAACGCTCCACAGCCATTTAAATCACCTGTCCTCACCGCCACTCTCACCCTGTGCCACAATGGACTCCTTCGGCTTCCAACCCGTCAACACTCGCTTCTCCCCGTCCGCGGGCTCGCGATCGCGCTTCTCCTACCGCCGGACATCAACGAGCTCTAGCCGGAACTCTTACGCCTCCAACACCTCGTCGGCATCTGCTGCCTCGTCCATCAACAGCCTGATCTTCCGCCAACCCTCGATCATGGACCTGGAGGAGGAGCACAGGAACTTCGGCTCAGAGCTCAAGATCCTCGAGCCGAGGCCTGTCGTCTTTTTCGGCAGCATGGAGGAGCGCTTCGCGTCATTGTAATCCTTGATGCTCTCATTGACCACATCCAAACAACTCCTGGTTGAGTGCGTCTTGGGCTTCAATTCTACATCCTCCTCTTCAGCAAATTCATTTCACCAACCCATCCTTTGACGCCGTTTCACACAACGAAACCTATGATACCAAACGATGCAGAGGCAACGGAAAGTTTCCACATTCAAATCGACCATTGGTCGACGGCGCGGGACACACGAAGTTACTTTTTAACAACTTCAGGAGCTGCCTTGGTGGAGCAGGGTAGTGTACCAGCTTCACCCAACAAGACTGGGGGTCTATCCTGATCCCAGGTCTTGTATCCATTGGCGGATTGCAGTTTGATTTTCTTTTACTGGGAACACAGGAAGACAAATCTTCCATTTGGCGCAAGAAAGGTGTTCAATTCTTATTTTCAGTCGTTTACGGGGAGAGACTTTCTATGAATCCATATGGCTTGAATGAGACCACATTCACGGTAGACGATTGGAAGGGTTACTACTGTGAAAGAGACATAAGAAATTCAATTACCTAGCGGCCTTCAAGCTGCTACTCCGCCCACGACTTCTGTTCCTACGAATTTCACGTGATGTCCACTTCATGTCCTGATTTACTATGATATGTGACTTGCTTGTTCGAAGATGTCGATTAGCAAGTGCTATCGCCCCGCCGCCACCATCACCGCCACCAGGTGTTTCATCCTCCCCAAACCAGAAGGGATTTCCGTGAGGCATGGAGGAGGTGCCCACCACCCTGCGAACCACTGGATCCGAGTACTGAAGGGTGGTGTTTCAGATTTCATGTTGACAGGCTGCGGAGGCCGTCTTCAATCTCCGCGGGCCAGGCGTCCTGTCTCGGCCGAGTATTCACGACGGCTCTCAGGTTTCTTTCTATTCTGGTCCGGCCCGAGTCACGGCTTGTTGGGCTTTGCTGTTTTGGACAGTTGTCTTCGAGCTGCTTGCCTGTTTGGGCTGTGCGTGACGGTTCAGGTGTTACTGGTTTCGGCGCAGGGAAGGATATGTGAGTGGCATGTTTGCCTCCGACCTATCTGCTGACGTACCTGAGAAAGGTATGGTGTGTGGCTGCGGCAAGTTGCCTACTGCTTGGGAGAATTAGTCATTTCACATCCAATATTGAGGAGACATGTAAAGACAAACAGCTAGGTCCAGGCAGTGCAATGAGCTTCCTCAAGGTACTTCATGAGTGTGGCATATTAAGCGATTTGGAACTGCTCACATGAGCCATCTACTTGAGGGCTGCGGTGTGATGTGATATTTGATTTGTCACTGTTTACAGAAACCTGGAGAGCTTAACAAGCCGCTCAATCAATCTTGCAATTCTGATGCCACGTCTGCGTGCTATCCTGTCGCACATCCCCTGACAGACATGTGAGTCTGTACAACTGTGTAATGCTGGAATGATCGAACCCTAAACCAGCGCGTTGCCTGGATACAGGCAGAATCGACTCTTCAAGAGCGATCTGCGTTGACATCCTCCCATCTCCTTGCACCCAAGGTGAAGTTTCAGGAGGCAAAGGAGACCGTACATCGCACAAAGCCTCACTGGTCACAGCCCTCAACAACCCAGCTGATCCTCTCTTTCACCTCAAGACCAAGCTGACCAACAGCAGCACATCTCTCCGCCTCCAGGCCATCCCACAGCTCCGCAACCCCCTCGTGACTCATCGCAGCCGCCCGGAACGCAGGGAAGTGCTCCAGCACCGGGCACAGCGTCGCACACGCCGCAGCCACCACGGTGCGGAGCCCAGCCCGGCCCTTGCTGCTGCTGCCAGGCTCGAACGCGAGCTTGGTGGCCGCCACGAGCGACTCGAGGTGGGCGCGGGCCTCGTGCTCGTCAAACAGGCAGGTCGTGTCGACCAGGCAAACGAGGATGTCGGCGGCGCGCTGCTGGATCTCGGCGGCAGCGGCTGCTATACCGGCGGGGACGGCGTAGTGCGTCGCGAGGATGTGGATCTGCGCGTCGGTCAGGAAGGAGGAGAGGGGCTCGTATGTGGTGAGCTCGCTGCCTGTTAGATTTGTGTTGTCAGCGGGCACTCTTTTGTGTTGTTTTGCTTGCTGACTTTTCACGCTGCCTCCCACCACCCACCGCCCCCCCCCCCTTCTTGCCTTTCCTCACGCCAGCACCTTGCTTTATTTTGGTTGAAACTAGAAAGGAAAATTACCTTGGACGATGTAGTCATTGATGGTCCACCAGTCCTTCCACTCCTGCTCCAACAGACGGGGGATCTCGAAGACATCCGTCATCGCCTGTGTCCCAATGCGTCAACCAAGTGATTGTTGATAGACAGTCGGCTAGATTGAAAGTATGCTCACCGTTCCGTCCTGAACGGCCTGCTCAATCATTCCCTGAAGCCCCGGGCAGATTTGCTGGACTTTGGTCGCAGGCATGTGGTAGTAGTCCCCTCCAGCAAGCTTGAACATGATGGTGTATCTGTATAGTTCTAGTCAGAGCTGGATGCTTTCGAAGGAGAGAAAAAGTAGAATCGCTGCTGGACTCACTCGTGCGCTGGGCGGAATCCGTAACCGCCCTCGCGGTGGGTGCGGTATGGGAGAATGGTCATTTCGGCAGTGTTGTTTTAACGCCGTAACAGAGACCAAGAAGACTGAAAGGAACTTAGTCAAAGACCAGGAATTGAGCTTGTGATAATTTGATGCAGTACGATGGAGCCAGCGCGTCGGCGAGAGCGATGTTCATACAGCACAGTCAGACCTGGGGATTGATGAAGTCATCAGAGTGAATGTGCGAGAGCTCTCAGTACGATCCAAGGCTGTATTTGAAAACGAAGCCACCTAAGCTTTTTGCTGCCCCAGCGAACTGTGGTCTGCGCGATAGCCTCTGAGCTTGCCTATTGTCGGGATGGACAATGGTAGCCTGTGCAAACAATCAACACTGGGCCAGTGTGTGTTTTCGATCACATCTCTCATTTTACAGGCCTTTATGAGAAGCAGCAAAAAATGTCTCAGGCTATGAACTCGAACTCGTGAAAGTCGTCAATTGTTTGCATGGCAGGCAGATAAATGAGTTCTGACGAAGGCCTGGAATTGAAATTGACATGATGTGTTGCTGGCCCATTTTCAGCACAAAGGTTGGCGCAGAGAAATGATTGTGATTAAGTACACTGTAACCAATCAAATCTACTCAAAATCAGCTTTGCTTTGTTTCTGAATCCAAGGCCGGTTATCTAGGATCGATTATCCCAATTTGGGTTGCCTGAAAGCTGTTTATCCCACGCCTATTCTCCCAAAGTAGATTATCCCGCATCGGACGTCTGGTTATCTCATGGGAGGAAGGAAGGCATGGTCAAGATAACGTGTTTGTCCTAGCAGATGATGATCATTTCTTCTGTGGAAGCAGTCACAACACGATAAGAGTGGTTCGCTGAAAGCCTTAAGTTGCTGCTTGGGCCCAACCGAAGCATTGAAGCCCATCGTGTCCTTTGAAGATTGTTGTTCATTTCTTTGTAGTTACTAAGATGGACGATAGAACTATCCTGGATAATGAGCTGTCTTCGTATGCAAGTATTGGCCATCCATAACTTGTACTGAGTTAAATATCGCAACCTAACGACTGTTTCGAGTGTGAATTCGAACGAAGAGATAGCCTTTGGTTCTCTACTAGGGGTTTCACCATGTTCACTCAAAGAATCATATATCACATTTGTGATCGAGCCTTTACACGGCCATCTCGAAGTTCAGCACTTTATCTGAACGGTGGCCAGACAAAGGCAAACCTAGACACAAGGATATACCAAATTAAGAGTATCATGAGGAAGTAAGTGGTTGCCAAATTTGATATGTGAGGCAAATATCAAGGGGATTTGCCGGTCAGGGCATTTCTCAATATGCGTTGAAATGACTATGTGGTCACTTGAGCAACAAAGACACTACGCTATCGCTTGGTTCCTCTGATAATGCCAGAATTTGTGAAATATTACTTGAGGAAGCCAAGTCATCACATAGTGTTCGAATGTCTCATGACAGAATCTCTCCGTGCTGGGATTCAGTAGCTTTCCAATGCATAATGAGAATTACATACTGGATGTTAGATCACTTGAAGGACCAAAAACTAGATCCGCCATGGACACATGAAATTATAAATCTACGAAAAGCTGTCCTCATGCGTGTGGCAGTGTAACTTGATTGGGTTCGACTGACTATCTGTCGAGCACGAAATAAATCTATTCGTTCTGAACGTGGTGTTTTGTCCCAGTCAATCATTCAACAAGCCGAAACCTTGACCTCGCAAGAAGTATACTGATGCTATTCAGGCGTCTTTCCCCAGTTGTGAATGAGAAGTTGAAGCAGAATGACTCAAGTTACATGCAACACACCTCAATACTAATGGTGAACACTGCAGCTAAAGACGATTTCCTGAGCTCCCATTATACTGCCTGATCAGAGGAGGATTCAGCTTTGTCTTTGTCTAGAGCACGTGTGGCACATGCGCAGCAAGCCTCTACATTCTTTTCAAAGTACCCAAGTCCCAAGGTCCCTGAATTCATGATGATCACAAATTTCTCGAAGCATATTGAGTGTAAATTAGGAAGGATCTGGTCATCCTAAGAGTGTAGGACTTCGGCAACGACCGAGATGCAAGTATGACGGCAACTGGGATTGAAAAATGGACATCAAACAGCAAGAGATACTACGAGAGTCCGATCATGGGATACATGAGCACGGCCGGGTTTGTGTGACATGAAGCTTGGGGATTATGACTATATGTCACAATAAACATGAAGATTCTCCCTCTTTTGTTGCCTGAGGCTCGCAAATATGTAGGTCGGGTTGAGAAACATCTGCCATCGTCAACGAAGCGGAAGCCGCACTTCGACATTCTGTACTACAACACAAGCCTTTCGTGCATTTCTCCTAATATGGAAGAATCTCTGACCAGAAGGACCTTAGATCTGTCACAGCCTCAGGAGCATCCATCGCTGCAAACATGCGCTTGGGACAGAATACTGCCAGTGCTCGACCCATGCTCTCTGCAAGGTCCGACACTTGTTTGTGCTGAAGAGCGACTTCGCTTTCGATACAGCCATGATTCCCATTAGTGACAGCGAGTGAGCTCAATTGAATTCGCCTTGGTCCCAGAAATGCCTTGTGTTTTCTTGTGTATCGTACGTTGCCTGCTTGCAATAACACATAGTCGACCATATTCCCAGATAAAAAACTGCTTACTCACCTTCCCGCCCGCACAGTTGCACCTCGTCTCGAACACAAGACATGTACAGACCGACGTCAGCGCCAGCTGGCAGACAACTGCACATTCAAAGTAAGCGTGCCATGATGACATCTCATCCAGACACAGGCTGATGGTGTTGGTGGATGTGCCTGAGTCCGCACGGGCCTCCCCGCCATTGTGCACCGGTCAAGTCATCTGGCTCTGCCCCTATTCTGAAACACCTCCCAAACCACCTTACCCATCGCGCACCATGCCGGCCCCTTTGGTTTCAAGATTTGGAGGAGGCGGTCAGCTGGGCGGACGACCTGCAGGGCCAACGTTGAAAACGCAGATGGAGGGGATGTTCGGCCAGCCTAGGCCCCGGCCAAGGCACACATACACGCCCACCACTCACACACAAACAAACACACGCGAGCACACTTGAACTAGTATTGGCCAGGGGAAACAGGACATCAGCCGACGCACGGAGCACTGTGACGGTGAGCCGTGATGTGGAGGAGATCTGAAATGCTGGGAACCACACGGGAAGCAACGCTGGGCATGGCGTCGTGCCCGCAAATCGCGGCTTCTTGGGACGAAATGGGACGACGCGGACAGTCTGTAGATCCGCTCGTGCGATGTTTCCCACCACCCCCAGAATGTGACGATAGGCTGAGCGATCGATTCCAAATGCCTTCCCGCCCCGAGGCCCAGGCTATAGGAGGTGACAGTGACTATCCGCATCACCGTCATGACATCCCCCCTATCCCTACCACTTGGCGAGAAGAGATGCCGTGATGCCGTTTTGGAGTTTCTCCGGCCGCTGCCAGAATCAAAGCAACCATGACGGAGTCTTGTGGCATTGCGCACCACACAGGAACAGTGTCCAACGGGAAAGAGAGCAAGAGAGTCATGCCCTTTCGTTGTTGTCCGAGCCCGAAGCAGCATCAGACGGCATTCTCAGCGGTCCAGATATGACATGCAGGCCTCGTCCTTGTCTCTAGACCAACTTCTCCGCGATGATCGCCACTAAGCTCTGTGCTAGCATAATGGTTCTGGATTCGTGATCGACGGCACATGGACCCTTCTTTCCATCCTGCGGCATTGGACTGAGCCGACCTCCGTCCCGTCTGCTGGACCTCGGACACTGCTGCGCCTGGCGATCCTCCTACTGACCAGCTCATGAAGTTGCAATTCCTTGCGGCCGGCTGCACGCAGTCCGTTGGCATCCGTATGGCGCAGCGCAAATTGTACATGGGTCAGACCTCCTACCTGATCTGGTCTCTGACCGATCTCTTGGGCCTTGTCCCCCGGATATCAGATGCTTCGAGGAGCATCCGCCGCGCCAAGAGGTCGTACGTGACGAAGTTGAGGCGCCCAATCGAAGAGCCACTTAAGAAAAGACATAGTCCTACTTCAGCATAAGTCACCCAAATTTGGATGGGGCTCCCGTCTGTAAACGCACGAGGCAAATACGACATGAGCTGGTGATGTCGTCCTCTACATCTCATACTTCCCGTCGGGCTTCTTAGTATCGTCCGCCACTCGGAGACGCCTTTGGCGCAGTCCTTCCACAGTACAATAGTTGCCACTAGCTTGTTTCCTTTCTCCGCGATAGTTATGCAATCCAGCGGTCAACACTAGTTGACCGTGGTAAGCAATAACACCCCTAGACATCAGCCTCAACAATGCCCTGTGTCCTACAACCAAGCCTGGGTGAATATTTGTAATGCGTGGACGTCTGTTCGCCGAAACGCATGATGACCCTGTACAAACAAGACGGCCCGCCCGATGTCTGTCTTCCCAAACATCTGGCAGGTATCACAAAACTTGCCATGGTGGACTCGCTCGGCGACGGTCCGGATTTCCAGATCATCAACGTTGATCATGTATACAGGGGCAAAGAAGGGCCGTTACACCAGAACTCACGGTGAGTGGCAGCTGCGACAATCCATCACCACTTGGCAGACGGGAAGGAACGTGACAAGGTTCCATACGAAGCGCAACGTTTGTGGTAAAGGCTCTCAGATGTGATATATAAAAAGCAACGGAAACGCGTTGGGGAGCATCACTGCGGCCAACCATTCGGGGAAGAGGCTTGGTACACAGGGGCTGACGGCAACGTTTAATGTGCGGCTCGGCTCCAACAAACGAGGGAAAAGTCGCCCCATAAACAATCTGCAGTGGGACCTGCTCTTCGACGTGTTGAGCTTCGAGTTGACATGCTGTTCGTCTTGGCGCTGACAGCTGGGTTACAGGCTGGGTTGGTCGCGGGCCTGATTGGCGGTGGACTTCTGTAAAGAATGTTTCGCATCGTTCTACCGTCTCGAACCGCGCAGCACAACCGGCCTTCTAGCGTCGCATCAATAAATAGAACCAGGCCAAGTGGCAGATTGGAATACATGATGTGGTACGCTTCTCAGACTTCAGCTTTCCAAGTCAGTGTTATGTTGGTAGCAGAGCGAGGTTACAGTCGATCTTGCTGTCGGACAAGCTGTGTTGGACCCGGATAATGTAAACGTGGACGACGCGCCAGCAACTAGCACTATGCCGGAGGAAGGGAGCCTTGCTCGCTTAAGCCTCGGAAACTCGAATCCTTGTTGTCTGATAGCCCGGATCTCGAGTACCTGTCCAATTGGTCGGAAAACAAAGGGTCCTGATTGAGGCCTCTGCAAGCAGTACGGCCAGTTACGTGGGGAGCTGCGTGTAAATTGAGTAAATGCATCGAAGCACTCGAGAACGCGTTCGGCATCATATCGTTGACGCCGGGGCACGCCGACTCGTGCGTGTATTAGGACAACGTTTGCACCGACGTGAGCCAGCGCCTCGTGTATGGTATGCCATGTTGTATATCAGCCACGCTACTTATGAGCCCAATATATCGGGACGCCACGACCGCCGCGTCTGTATTGCTAAGCGTCCGCGGCTGTGTTGGACATGTTCGCCGGAGTAAGTGCGAGCGCCGGGTCCAGGCAAAGAGGTGCGCCAACCAGGAAGCCAGCAGTGGCAGGCATCGCAGCTAGGGGAAGCTCATGCGGGGATTTATTGGACGGCTTGAGGCTCCGGCGTTATTTCACCGAGATGATGGTGTGAAGCCCTGGTGACGGCCGGGAGCTTCTGGCCGTCCGGTTGTTGGATACTTCTGGTTCGGTTCGGGCAGGCCTGGTAGTTGGCTGGTGCCCGCTAGAGGCGAACCAGACTGGCAACGTTGCTTTCACCCTCAGGCACGCTGCTCCATCCAAACTCAAAGTGCTTGCATGCATGCACGCATTGAACAGGGTCGATCGGCGATGCCATCAGCCGGAATTCAAATGCGGCCCCTGATGATATGTATCTCGCTGATGCCTTTCATCCAACGTTTTCAGTATAGACTTCGGAAAAGGATCTGGGAAAAGCCATGTCCGGAGGTCAAAAAAGGGGCTGAGACCCGGATAGCTTCACCGAGAAGGAGGGCTGGGATGAGATGGGATAGGATGCCCCGCGATCTGCCGGAGAAAAAAAAGAGGGTAATCTAGATAGCGGTGGGATTATCGCGGCTCCTAGCGGTACTTGATGGAATTGATCAAGATTTAGAGTTGCATGTGCAATTTGTCTCATAATTGCAAAGTCGCAACGCGGCGATGAGTTTGGGGCTGGTGATCAGAAAAAGGCTTCACCAGTGGTCAAATGCTCGCGCTGCGTGGTTTTGCCTTATGTTGCCACAATTGATCCACGAGACTTGCATCTGAACATCACTCAGTGAGCTACGAAGATCCTGATCCCTGGTCTAGAATAAATTGTGGTCATTGAGAAGTTGTGATGCCGCCGGGAAGAGCAAATCGAGGGATGATGCTAGCATGACGGCGCTTCTATGAGAGGCTGAGAGCCAGTCATCTAGCCTGTCAAGGTTGAGTCGCCCAGCGAGACTGCTATGTGCTGAGAGCCTTGAAAAACTTGTCGAACAGTTCCAAGCCGAGGTATTCAAATCTTGTTTGAACTGGAAGACCAAATGACCTGTTTCAGAGAGGCGGGTTAGAGTTACCGCGTGCAATGCTGCTGAAGGCGTGTTTGGCCGCGCGCATTCATCGAGGGATAGGAGGTACATCTGCAGGTTGAGTGCCGGCGTATCGAATCCAGTCAATTAACCATGGATCCGACCTTCGTAGGTGGAAGTGGGTATTGTAGGATGTGATCTCCGCACAGCCCGAGTTTAAGGGAAGCCGTTATGTCGGCTGAGCGGTGACGATCTATCGGTGCCGGGCGCATCAACTCGCCATGGTATGCAATTCCGGAGTGGGTAACTGGTGTTTCTGAAGTCCTGGTTCGCTCTGGTATCACGGAACGGTACCTGCAGAACCCGGATGTCCTCCTGCATGATGCGTGCAAATGACACGGCGGTAGCAGTTTCCGCGCCATGTTGCAGCAGGTAGTCAGTATGGGCAAGCGTGTGGCCGGGTTCGCTTGAAAGCTTAGGCAGGTCGTCATGGTGGGAGAGGACCCCCAGAAACCCAGGAATGGATACAAACTCCACTTGGGGCGGACGAAATTGGCCCGTGAGGGATCCGTGCCCAGTGGTCATTTGGAGACGCTGCAAGTGATGATTGATGAAGCTTTGACGTGAGCCTATTGAGCCTTCGATGGACGGGCCAGGCCTGTTTGAGATTAACGAGAGAACGGCGGGCACGTCTTCCGAAAGGCTACGTGGTGTGTTCATGAAAGATAACCATAAACCTAGGTGAGTCTGGCACCAATCGACACTGCCGTGCCGAGAAGAATGGTGATGATAATCGCAATGTTCGGATGCCCATCGCGATGGCGCCATGTAGCTTGACAGCGTCAGGATGCTGAATGAAGCTGGGGCAGGCTGACTGGCTGGAGACACCTCCTTGACACCTGAGCGACCCTGGCCTGGCCTCCAGGGTATTTAGGTACGTACACGCGTATCTGATGATGGATTCGAATCTCGTTTTGGCAATGAAATTTAAGGGGACTCCACAGCCAGAAATTCTCCGGCTCAGCCGTGTCGTGGACTGGTGCCACGGAGCCACTGTAATAACACGGTTCATCACCAGTCTACTACCGGACGAATCAAGCCACGGCTGCCAGAAGTTAGTTAGAGAGAACAAGAGATGATGGGTGCTGGTGAAGACCACCTACCACACAGCACACTCGATTATAGACTGGGTGTTATGGGACATGGTCTGGCACACCGTACTGATCAACGAGGAGTCGTGTGTGCTTGTGTAACTGTGAGTGGCGTGCAGGCGTGGAGCACTGACGTGAAGCATTGGCGTGTCGCCCTGGCTGATATCTGGCAGCCCATATCGACAGAGACCATGAGCCAATTGCATGCCGTGTGTCTGAGTGCTTGGTTGCTCAGGCCAGCGATCCGACCTGGAGAGGTCCTAGGCCAGCGCGCCCTTTGTCCCTAGGGCGCTGCGAAGTTGATACTGTGTAATTTCGCATCCATTTCAGAAAGCGTCCGTGGCTGGGGGAGGACTCGTGCTCGCTCTGACACTGGCACTGGCTGACATTCGACTCGACTCGACTCGAGTCGACTCGAACCGAACCGAATTGAGTCGAGTCGACCCAGCTCTCGTTGGATTATTCCATGTTGGACTTGGGTGCACCTTCCCTACCATGCCACCCCCTGCTCCCCTGCTCCCCTCCTCCACCCCTCCACCCCCTCCACCCCTGCCCTCCAAGGTCTGCCAGGTTTCCCAGGCTGGCCAGGAAGGTGCGTGCCAGGGGTCAGGGGCACAAGGGTGGATCGATTTTGGGCATAGCGCCATAAGGAGCATCTTGCCCGATGCGGGTTGTATCGCATGGAGAATTGCGCGGTGCCAAAAATCGGGCCTCATCTCACTCTTCGCCCCCGGCGTCACGCCCGGGCCCGCCTGACAAGTCTCTGCCACAATAGTATCTAATAGTGTATCTTGCTGACCGACTGGACCTGGCTGGCTGGCTGGCTGGCTGGCTGGCTGGCTGGGTGGGCATAGCAGGCACCTAGTAGCTGTTTGTTTGCTTTGCTATGTGTTGTCGAGGGAGGAAAAGTCTTAGAGGAAGACAGCGGCCGAGAGAGAGAGAGAGAGAGATCATGGAGAGACATTTCTGCAGGAAATTGACTTGACTTGATTTCTGCATCAGGAAGGGAGTTGACTGTTCCGTCACACGTGCAGCCAGTAGCCAGGTACCGGCACGTATCCATGGCGTACCGGCCGAGCACCCTGTTCATGTGCACCGCCTGGGCAAAGCACCCAAATGCCCGAGGACGCCGGTGGCTTGTGACCTGGTGTGGACGGGGGACGAGGACGAGGACGAGAACGAGGACGAGGCGGTAGATGAATATAGCGCCGCCATCATTCCTGGGGCCCAGAGCCTGAGATGGTCTAGACGTGAGGTTAGGTTGGACCTGGCCACGGCACATAATACCAAATCAATCCCTCGACGTGGACGTGGACGTGGACGTAGACATTTGTTGTATACTGTGGGGAGTGGGACAGGAACGAACATGGGACGCGGGAGGTGGGACATGGGACGTGGGCGGGAGATGAGGAACCAGAGAAATCATCATCATTGACAGGTCATCCATCTCAACCGTACGGTTCACGGTTGCAATGCAGATACAAAACTACAGCACTGCTGGCTGCACGGCACTGGAGTCCCCCTCGGAATTGAGCCAGAGAGAGGGACGGGTTCAAGGGAAAGGGAAAGAAAGAAAGAAAAAAGAAAGAAAAAAACAACCCGACTGTCACTGTCCTGATCGTCCATCATTTCCATCATCGCCCCTCCCCCCTCACAGTAGACTACCCGTGGACTGCCGCCTACCTCTCACAGGCCCGTTGCAATTTTCATTCCTTTTAACTTAACTCGTTGCTTTGTTATAGTCTAGCTTGTCTGTCTGTCTTGTCTGTCAATTCTGTTTTTTCCTGTCCGTTTGACAGGCAATGCAGTACCGAATCGACCCGACCCGACACTGCTGCTGGCCGACTGAGTTGGCACCTTTGTGTCCCTTGCCGTTCCTTCATTCCATCTTCGATTTTGGTAATCTGTAATTATTGTCGACCCTGCCCATCCTTCGCGCCCCCTCGTCCCATCCCTCTCCACCCATCGACCAACTCGAGTTTCTCGCGCGCTCTGTCTCTCTCTTACCGCGGTGCGCTGCTGCAGTCTTGGGTCTGGTTAGGTTAGGATAGGATTTCCTCTTCGTCGTGACAGGCAAGCTGGCAAATCGGACCAGGCCGACAACGACCAAGGAGCTTCTTTCTTACACCTCGCCTCGCCTCGCCTCGCCTCGCCTGGCAACCCGGCTCCTGGCACCTGCGCCGCTCACCCACGCGACTGATCTCCAAACGCCCCAAAACCGAGATCCAGGATTGTCAGGGTCATCCAGGCACTTCTCGAAACACTCGGTCTCCAGCACCTGCAGCACCGCAGCACTGCAGCGTTTAAGCTCTGACCCTCGGCCCCGGGAAAGGACTGGGCCACGACAGGATAGGACGGGACAGGCACAGGCTGGGGTCTCTCAAACTGTCAGACGGGCCTTCTGACCCAGCACCACCCGACCAGACCAGACCAGTCCACACCAGATTCGTCGCGTCGCAGACTACCAACCCTGAAGCAATCTGGCCCACGAGCCGGCGTCCCCTCGACCTCCCCTCGTCGAGGTCCCTGAGGTCCCTGAGTCCCCCCTCAGGTCCCTCGCATAGAGGACCATGTCGCAGCTTTCGCACCAGAGTAGGGAACATCCGTCTGATGCCCACGCCTACTCCTCCCACCCGCACTCCCACCATCAGACACATCAGCAGCGGCCTCACCATCTTCAACACCAACCTCTCACTCAGTACCAGAGCCATCCTGCCCCCGGCCCTCCCTATACTCCTGTGTCGCCCACCAGTGCATCCCAGCTCGACTATGCCCAGGACAGCCCTACTATAGGCCGCGCTCAAGTTCACCACATTCGTGGCCAGCATTCTGGTCCCGTCCCTAGTCCCATCACCATTGTCCCCCTCGGTGTTCATGCCTCAGGTTCAGGCTCAGGTCCAGGTTCAGGTTCAATTTCAGGCTCCGGCTCCGGCTCCCTGACCTCATCATCACCCACTAGTCCTTTGCCCAGCGCTGGTGCCAGGTAAGATGCATGGTTCTCTACACGTCCAAGTCCCTCCTCAATAGGCCCACTGCTTTTTGTGATTCCTTGCACTTGCATCCACGTTTTGCTTCCTTTTCCCTTTTCGTTTGTGGCTTGGCTTCGTGCAATTACCTACTCTCGAACACTCCGGCTTGTCGAGCGCAGTACTGGCCCACCGACAGCGCGATCAGACGACTTAGTGCTGCTCGCGAGGAGGGTAGATCTAGCTGCCTTTCCCCAGATTGTCATGTTAGTTCTTGTTCTGTTGTGGAACTTGATCACGGCCGTTCAGACCACCGACTGCCTCGCCCCCGCGTACTACTGCAAGCACTACCGAGTTACTCCAGACGTGCTTCATGCTGACCCACGACCATCTCCTGTTCCAGATTCCGGAAACCTGCACCCAGTCCGCTGCATAATACCACAGCTATCTCTCCTCCCACCAGTCCTAGTCCCAGACAATCACATTTCAAGGTCTCCTTCGGAGCTCACGGTTCGCCCATCAATTCGCCGACGACGCCTTTGGCTTCACAAACAACAAGCGCCTCGTCAGAAGCTGCCGAAACGTTACCGCGACAAAGGACGGGGGACAGCCTCGACGCCGAGAAGTCATACTACCACAGTGATTCCTCGGGCACAGCGACTCCCGAAGACAAGACAACACCCGGGTTCGTGGACAGCTTCTTTGCTTGCTCACATTGTGCTGCGGCTCGCCGAACTGACGTTGGGCGGCGCTGACTTACGTGACACACCGCTAACCAAGAAATAGATCCTCGTTCCTACGATCCACGCATGATAGCAGAAGCGTGTCCGACCCCGTGAAGAAGCCACTTGGAGCCTCGACCAACTCATCTTCTCAGGCCATGCCTGGGTCCTCGAGGATGGAGAAGGTGAAGGGTGCTCCAAGAAACTCGTCCATCGACTCTGCTATCTCCGCCATTTCTACTGGGTCATCAACTCCCAAAAACCCTCAAGATGGCTCCTCCAGCCCCGCCGATATCTCAAAGTTGATCAAAGCCGCTGGCTCTCCTGAGGCGGTGATACAATACTTGCTGAAAGAGAAGAATTCGCAGACACAGCAGAATTCCCAGCTATGGCGTTTGGTGGACAAGCAAAGGGCCATGATTCTGGGTCTCAACAAAGACCTGGAACGGGCCCTGAAAGACAAAGAAAAATACAGGAAAAAGCTAAAAGAAGTAATGACTCTGCAAACAATCCCATCGGTTTCGTCAGCCTCGGCGGTACAAGGCCGAGGGTCCGCAGTGAGTCTTGCACAGGCAGATGACGACACAGCTAAGAAGACCCCCGACGACGTACCTGCGTCTCCCAGCGTTGAGTCCGAGAACATGAGGCATTCTCCGATTGACGTCTCGATGGCACCTTACCCGATCACGCCCCCAGCAGATCAGTGCAGCAACGGGCCTCCTTCGGCTGTCGGGGAGATTTTGGATCCCTCGCACTCGATGCCAGAAGCGAGCGAGCATGCCTTGGATAACTTCGACCATGATGCCCAAGAGAGGGACGCGGAGGATTCGAAAGATCTGGCATACGCGAAAAACGATATTCCAATCAATTTCGCACTGCCACCCTCCAGGTCTCTTCCTGAGCGGCCTCCGCCCCCGCAAGGTGCACTACCAGCGCCACCACGGCAAGCGCCTCGCTCGGAACTCGACGATTTTGTGGACGAAGACGGAACTTCACGCTTCCCATCTGTCCCAGCCCCGCCTCCAAGAAAGCCTCCACCAGCACCATTGCAGCTCCAAGACCAAGACTCGAGCTCGGCTCTCCCGCCTGACGAGGACTTCGAGAGCGATTCGGACTACGATGATCTTCTAGAGGTTAACGAGGTTGCGGCTGAGAAGCGCGGCCGCAGAAGAACACGTCAGGAAGATGATGAATTGCGTGAAGCCCTGGTCCTGAAAGAGGTGGAGGCACGAAGCCAATCAAAGAAAAGCAAGAGCAGCGCAAAGGAGACGCCACAGGAGGCCACGCCAGAAATCCACTTGGCGCAGAGCTCACCAAAATCGCTGAACAGACCAAACGCTCCTGGTTCTTTGGCGGGAATGCTGGATGGCAACCTCTCGAGCACCGCTTTACCTCTGCGAAGCCCTGGTCTGCCTTTAAGCCCTCGTCCTACACACATGGGCGAGGGGCTGAGCTCACCACCTCAGTCACCACGGCAAAGTGGCGTCACCATGCCACTATCACCTCGTGCACCCCGACAACCAATTCCTCTACCTCCGAACACGCCCCTGCAAACCCCACCGAGCGAGCCCTTGGTGTTGAGGTCGCCACAGCCCCTCAACATTGTAAAGGCTGCCGTTGATGCGGAGACGGCCGACAGCCCAACTTCAGAGAGCCGCGCAAGCCAGATTGAACGAACCAGGGTGTTTAAAGGTTTTGTCACCGAGGAATACCCAGATCTTTTATTGCCTCCAAATGCCATACCGTCAGTTATGGTCAAAGTTGCATCGTCACGGATGAAGCCATCGCGCGCGAGCTTGATCTCGCTGACGCAACTGGAGGAGGACCCGGTGTTTACATTGGCGATCATCTCCCGATCCGAAGGTGGAGAGCTTTGGCGAGTTGAAAAGGACTCGGTGTCTCTCTCCAAGCTAGACCAAAGGTTGAAGCAGTGTGCAGCATTCATTGCGAGGACCCCAGATCGTACATTGTTCAGTGGCCACGCCCCAGCGAAGCTCGATGCTCGCCGCCAAGCCCTTGACCAATATTTAGATGAAGCGCTCAACACTGCACTTGACACGTCCACCGCCGTGGAACTCTGCAGATATTTGTCCACTAATGTTTTGCCACCAAATGCTGACGAGATGGGCTCGTCGACAGGTCCAGCAGACGAAGGCGCACCAAAATTGGGACCTGGTGGACGACAGTTCAAGACCGGCTATCTGACTAAGAGAGGCAAGAACTTTGGCGGCTGGAAGGCTAGGTTCTTCAGCGTTGAAGGTCCTCACTTGAAGTATTTCGAGACACCCGGAGGAGCACATCTGGGCACCATCAAACTTCCAGGAGCCCAAATCGGCAGACAGTCGCAGCCAGGAGGTGACGCGCCATCGCCAGCTCGCCCCATCGATGAAGCCGAGAATCAATATCGCCACGCCTTCCTTATCCTGGAACCGAAGAAGAAGGACCCCAGCGCTATGACCAAACATGTTCTCTGTGCCGAGAGTGACAAAGAACGCGACCAATGGGTAGAAGTCTTACTGCAATGGACCAATTTCAAAGACGCGGACGAAGACAGCAAGCGCGAGCAAGCTCGCGAGCAACAGGGCTCGGCACAGGGTCATGTGAAGGGCGCAAACGCCAAGAAGAAGATGCACCCTCGCCCTCAGCAGCAGCAGCAGCAGCAGCAGGCCAAGGACAGCGAGGACGCTTTGATTGGGGTTAGTTACGAGACTACGAAGCAAGGCGATGTTCCGAAGATGGGCGGCCCCGACCACCCACAACCCTCACCAGCGGCAGGTTTCGGCTCTCAGCCGTCTTACAGCATCTCTGCTCCTCGAGACCCCCAAGTGATCTCTGACATGTCGATGTGGGGAAATAGAATGGGTGGACTCAATATTCCTCCCGGCATGGACGAAAAGAAAGTCAAGAAGCGCAGTTTCTTCGGTTTTGGACCAAAACAGAGATCCTCAAGCGATGGTACTGACTCGCTTTTTGGTGAAAGTTCTGGATCCCCTGGCACTTCGGGTTCGAGAGAGGTTTACAACGGACCCGTTCGTCGAACCTTCGGCGCACCTCTGGCTGAATCCGTGCGGTACAACCCTCCCAGAGATGTCCGCGTGCCACTGCCTGCTGTGGTGTATCGTTGTATTCAATATCTGGATGCTAAGGGAGCGGTCACCGAAGAGGGCATCTTCCGTCTCAGCGGTTCGAACGTTGTCATCAAGTCGTTGAAGGAACGCTTCGACATGGAGGGTGACGTTAATCTGCTCGCAGACGAACAGTACCACGACATCCATGCGGTTGCCTCTATGCTAAAGGCATACCTGCGGGAGTTACCAACCAGCATCTTGACCAGAGACTTGCATTTGGATTTTGTGGCAGTCACCGAGATGAGTAGTCAAGCGGATAAGATCGCGGCGTTGAGCGAACTCGTCACGAGACTCCCACAACCAAATGCTACATTGCTGAAGTATTTGATCGCCTTCCTGATCAAGGTTATCAACCATGCCGATCAAAACAAGATGACGGTCCGAAATGTTGGCATTGTCTTCTCACCAACGTTGACCATCCCTGCGCCAGTCTTTGCCTTGTTCCTGCAAAACTACGAAGCCATCTTTGGCATTGTGCCGGAAGAGTACGAACTGCCCACACCAGGATCATTCGAGGAGCAACGCGGGTCCGGCCTCGACCTTCCTCCAAGACCATCAACATCATCCGCAGCCAGAGAATCCCCGCACCGCCACCGTCTCGCGGAGGCCCTTCAGGAGGGACGAAGAGGTAATACGCCTCCTCCTGCTAGTTTGAATCCTCTCGGCGGTTTCACACAAGCAAGATCCACACCGACACCTCCCCTCATCCAGCAACGCAGCTACGAGCCGTCATACTTGGCCCAGCAGAGTAGCGGCGGTAACAATATCGCTGTTCGCCCTGCGTATGAGAGCGTAATCATGCCACCAGGCCTGGACCCTAGTCAATACTATGCGGCACAGCAGCGCATGGTCAATCCAGGCTATGATCGGCCCATATACGAGACTGGTGCCGCGTACGACCAACCACAATCCGTCCGGGCTAGTCGTCGAGAAAGCTCAATGATGATGATGGGTGTTCCCAGGGGACTCACGCCGCAAAGCTCTATGGGCCGCCTGAGGGAGGACCCCCAATTCTGATTTACGTACACGATGTCTTACGAATGTCTCACTCTCAGCATCTGCTCTTGATGAAGCACCACCAGCAAGGAGCATGAATTTACGCGAATCGTCTCTATTCTATATGTCACCCGAGATACCACGCAGTCGTTCCCACCCAAGCAGCGCACGTCATACCCTATGCATCAACAGTGCGACATTGTTCTTTTCTTCTGAGGCTGCTAGCCCACACACACTCATCCACTCGCACTCAATCCCGAAATCAAACAAGCAATCTCGAGCCTACGGACTGGCGCCATAGCGAAAGCGAATCAACGACACCCCACCAAAACAGCATACTGATAATCGGCTAATCACACTCTCTCACCTCTCACCGGCCTCTCGGATGACATCAATACCAAAACGGCGTGGAGCATTGGCATTGATTTCTTTAGGATCTTTCTCTCTTCCTTTTCCGTTGGTTTTCTTTATTCTTAGTTGGAAATATCCATGATACCTGGAGACAAGATAGGAGGGCACAAGGGCCGCACAGGGAAGAAAGCCCAAGGGAGACATGTACAGCACATACAAGTCCGTTTCCATTTCACACCACAGATGTCGCGGTCCGGCTTGGAGTTGACGAGACATAGAGCGGCGAGTCATGGGTGGTGGTTTGAGTCTTCCGTTCATCGATGGGAGAGGGAGGGTGGGGGAGAAGGTCCACCGCCGTACTGCGGTGAACCCTTTTTTTTTTTTTTTTTGTTTTACCGCATGGTGTTCAATGGTGTTGGCGGCGGCTCTCGTTCTCGCCTGTCAGCTTCGAACGACCGGCCTGCCGCTGCCGCTGCCACATATATATATCGTTCGAACTTTTTTTGTTGCGGAAACCTACACGTCTGCATCTTGCAGAAGTAGGAAAGAGTGAAGATAGTATTATGAAGAGAAAGAAAAATGACACTTAATTGACAACCCATCCATTCGTCTCAAATATTTGAGATTTTTGGTAACTTCGAATCACCGTGGTCCATGTCGTCAAACTTGGGACTGTAGCCTTGCTAATGAGTTTGGACTGCTTTAAGGAGTCCGCCATGATTCCCAGCTTAACAGCGTCTGTCGCATCTTGCTCTCTCCGTTCCTGTATCCTTAGAGGTTTGCTCCCTGCCTTTCGCCCACCTCACGTTGCTTCTCGACACGCGAGAACGCAAAGCAAACAATTACGCATCTCTATCTACGTATAATATACATCCTAAACAAGTAGGAAAACCTCTTCGAGTCGCGGCAAACAAGGTCACGATCTCAATGAGGTTGGTCGCCCAACCAGGGAGTTTAAACCCGGAGTCTGGCGTGCTGCCTCAGGATGATCCACGGACACACACACAAAAGGCGTGCGCCGCCACGTCACCGCCAGACTCCCTTCAACGTGCCATTTCTGACAGCTAGACGAAGCTAGGTAGATACATAGATAGGCCGCAGGTCACATGCTTTTGCCTCAAGCCTTGCCATGTGCCTCGTTCATGCTCGTAAGCTGGCCAGCAAAGATGCTTACGAGGCAACAGGAACCGATCCTGATGCTCGTTGCCCTCGAGGCTGCCGCTCAAGCGGTCCTGGATGGGTGGGTCGTCTTGTCGACGGCATCGATCCCGCGCTCGTTGTGAGAGCTGGGTTGATGACGCCGGCTTTCGACCTAGAACCATCCCGAACGCGCTCATGCAGAAGGTGGTGACCACGTCATGCCCGCTACAGGGCAGAGGCTCAGGGACCTGTATGCTACTCTTCCTCCTTCCACGCGTCAACTAGGTCAACCACGGCGCGGCGACTGAATTCCTCGGCGGATTACATCCTGCCGGCTCGAGTTCACCGGTTCGCCTGATCGGCGACGTTACGCAGGAAGGAGACAGTCTTGCAATATCTTTTTGACGAAGGATCTTCCTCTTCAATCTGGAAAATAAAAAATGAACAGTACAGCGACGGGGTTCTCGCCGGAGGGCCCAGACTTGCCCGATCACAAAATTCCTCAGTCAAGACAGACCGGCTAAGTGACGGTTTCTAGGCCCGACATAGTTGTCACAACCGTATTCAAGCTCACGCCCACCTTCGAGCAGCCAGATCGAACCGCTCCCACGTAGAAGCAGGAGCTGTAAGATGGTGCATCCGAGGCGGACACGAGTTGTGAACCGGCTGAGGTTATTCGTTATTCCAATATGATCTCGCGTAACCGAGAGATCTCGTCCTAGGGCGGCAGCAAACTGTCAAGAAGAGCGACGGCAGTGCCGTCAAGCCCTGGCCTTGCACAGTTTGATTGCTGAGCACCATGAACGTGATCACCCAATTCCACGAAATGATGTGCACACTGGACCACATGGAGTCCGTTATGTTGTGTGTTGACGTTTGCAGCGCTCCGATGGAGACGGACGGGTGCAAGCCAGCCCCGTTGAAGGACGCAGCAACGTGCGTGATGCTCTCGTTGGGGGAATTCACCACCCGTAGCATGAACAGTAATCTCTGTTTGTGTGATGCTCTCGTTTGGGGGAATTCACCACCCGTAGCATGAACAGTAATCTCTGTTTGTGTGGTGCTCTCGTTTGGGGGAATTCACCACCCGTAGCATGTTGTTCAGTAATCTCTGTGTTTGAGATTTCGTTTGCGCTGTGTGTTTGAGACTCGGCACGTTTGGTGCAGGCTGAGTTTGTCGGTTTGTGCCTCCTGCCGTCTTGTCCCGGTGATCAGGTGGCCTTCATTGGGGCTCTGTATTGATTCAAACTCGGAGTGTGGCTTTTGAGGACACGCGACGGCTCTGCTTGTATGGCTCAAGTTCTCGACAGCTTTCTTTGGCGTTGTGGATTTCCTCGTTTGTCTTGTGTTTATGATCCCGATGTTGGCTGCAGCCGTCTTCGGGATATGAGGTTGACAGGAGTACTCTCGCGTTGCCTTTGTGATTTGTCGGCGGCCGCGGGCAGCTCGCCGGAAATAGTAGCACGGTTGGGGTTGGGTAACCGGCACCCCGTTGGTAATAGTAGCACGGTTGGGGTTGGGTAACCGGCACCCCGTTTGTAGTGATCTCGCTGGTCCTGATGGAACCAACATAGTTGGTTCAATGTATGTAGACGCAGTCGAGCAGAGGTTCTCACACTTTGTGGGACGAGGCCTGTGAGGGCAGTGGCCGCCTTGCACAGACGTCGCTGTTGCTGGTGCTGGTGCTGTTGCTGAAGCTGTTGTGTTGGAACTGCTGACTGTGCGGGCGGAATTATCAGGTTCAGCCTGCGACAGTTTGGGGAGCAGTGAGACAACAGGACGTGCGACGCGGGACAGCGACCCCAGTAAAAACAGGAAAATGCGTCTCTAGGTTGGCTCTGAACTCTGTGCCTCTGCGTCTCTCTGTCTCTCGAGGGAGAGAGAAAGAGAGAGAGATGAGAGAAAAGTGCAAGAGTCAGGTTCCCAGGCAACACCGCTTGGAGGTGTAGAGGCCGACTTCGATGCCCATGGTGGTGGATGTGAGTGCATGTGAGTGCATGTGAAGGGAGAGGAGGTGGGGAAGACGGGAAGAGACGCGTGATGATGGATGATGGAATGAAGGGAGATGGCCCTCAATTTAAAGATGGCCTGTTGGGGGAGCGAGCTAGTCCGTTTGTGCGATGGGTTAGGCCGTGCCGCTGCGACGCGAGGTGATGCTAAGAGGCTGGAAGGCGGGGGGAGGGGGAGTGGGGGTGGGGGTTTATTTGGTGAGTGAGGGGTTGGGGGGTTGGGGGCTGGGGTGGCCCGTGCTTCCTACAAAGGCCTGGAGTCTCATCGGTGGCCGGACCTCGAGGCTGCCGTTCTGTTGTCGGTCTTTCTTACCACCCAAGCGCCGTGGTCCGATCCGACTTCTGCTGGGGACGGACGGGCAGAGAGAGACCAGGACGAGACGAGTTGAGCCGAGTCGAGTCGTGCGAACGAGCTCCAGTGTTTCCCGCTCTGCCGGCACCGACATGATCTGTCAACCTAATCTTTCCGATAATTATACCCCATACTATGTACAATAATTAGCTGCCAAAAAAGATCGTCACCATGGATTCTGCCGCCCTGGATCCACGCCTGCGCAATCCTCCCGATTCCTCATCAATATCTGTCTCCGTCGCCCCAGCTGCTGCCGCTTCATCTTCATCCGCCTCTTCCCCATCACCGTCCAACTCAACCTCAGGTCCAAATGGCACCCCAACAGCCAACCGGCCTAGCTCTGGAAGCGGGACTCGGAACGCCAACGGCCCCGGCCCCGCCGGACCTCTACATACCGCTACCTCTGCTCACACCCCAGGCAGTGTGTCGTCGTCCCCTGAACTGCAACGCATGAGCGATGGCGTCCCTTTTCAATCTGCATATCCACATCCAAATGCAAATGCACACACACAAGCACATGCACAAGCACATGCACATGCACATCCGGTCACTGCTTCATCCTCCACAGGCGCCTTCTCTGATGAACCCCCTGGTGATCAAGACAACTCAGGAGCCGATCCCAAGAAGGCCAGGGCCTGTGAGGCATGTCGAGGCCTCAAGGTCCGCTGCGAGCCGGCCCCAGATGACCCTGAGGGTGCCTGCAAGAGATGCGCCAAGGCTGGACGCAACTGCATCATAACCCAGCCCACTAGGAAGCGCCAGAAGAAGACGGACAGCAGGGTGGCCGAGCTGGAGAAGAAAATCGATGCCTTGACTGCGACTCTGAGTGCTACCAAGGCTGGACAGGCCGGCCAGGTCGGCAATCCCCTCTTCACTCATCCCGGAGCCACCACCGGCTTTTATGGCTCACCTGGAATTGATCCTTCTAGGAGCTGGAGTGCTGTCGATGCCGGCACGTCTAGCCGTGAAGCCAATATGGCACGCGCGCAGGATCCGTCTCTTGTTACTGAGGGTATAGCCAGGTCATCTGCGTCTCCGTTGCCCTCGGCCGGTCAGAAGCGGAAGTACACCGAGCCAACAGAAATCCGCAGCAACCCTTCAATGCCTTCGAGGAGCCAGGGTTTCTCTGATCTTATCGATCGTGGCATTATCACTATGAGTAAGGCGGCTCAGCTGTTGGATCGTTACAATTATGAGATGACGCCCCACCTGCCTGGGGTCGTTCTCCCACCCAGCCTAACCGCTGGCGAGCTCAGGGAAACAAAACCTATCCTGTTCCTTGCCATCATGGCTGCTGCGTCTTCTGAGACACCTGAAATACAGCGAATCGCTGTCAAAGAGCTCATGCAGACTTTCGCTGAAAGGATCGTCATCATCGGCGAAAAGAGTCTCGAGCTGGTCCAAGCTTTGACCGTGGCAGTTATGTGGTATTGGCCACCAGAAGACCTTGAAGACATAAAGTTCTACCAGCTTGTGCATATGGCCATGATCATGGCCCTCGATTTGGGACTCGGGAAACGCAAACCCAGGGGCAGTAAGCCATCCCTGTGGGGTTCACCTACCAAGAGGCATCCTCAACCAGATCCAACCACCATTGAAGCCAGACGAACCTGGCTTTTGTGCTACTATCTGACCGTCAACACGGCAATGGCTCTGCACCGGCCATTCCTGCTTAGATGGACGACTTTCATGGCGGAGTGCATGGATATCCTCGAATCTTCACCCGAAGCTGCGCCTACGGACAAGTACTTCTGTCATCTTGTGTGGACGCATCAACTGGTTGAGGAGATTGGGTTCCAGTTTTGCATGGACGACCCTTCTGTCTCGGTCAGCCTATCAGATCACATGACACAACATAGGATCAGGAGCTTTGAGCGGGAGCTCGATAAACATAAGACACAAGTTCCAGCGGAGCTTATGCAGCGTACGTACTATCGTTACCCATCATCCGACAGTTCTGAATTTGCTAACCCATAAGCAGCGTCACTCAAGCTCGGGTTTGATACCTTGAGCTTGTACATGCACGAGCTTGCGCTCCAGACGGATCCGGCTGATGCGTTCAAGGCACCCTTTCCCTCCGATAGCCTCGTCAGTAATGCACCACTGACTCCAGCCTACACCAGTGCCTTGGCAGCTTGTCTAACCGCTATTGATGGGATATTTGACACATTCTTGGTCATGGATCCAGTCAGCATACGGTGTATGCCGGTATTTAATTTTGTCCGAATATCTTATGCCACGGTGATCCTCATCAAGATATACTTGGCGTCTTCTGATCCCTCCTCGGACCTAGGAAAAGTCATTGACAAGGACAGCCTGAAGGTTGAGCAGCGTCTTTCGCATCTAATTGAGAAGTACCGCGCCGTTGCTGCCAATGGCAAGTACCGTCCGGCTTCCAATTTTCTTACCATTATAGTCATGATCCGGTCTTGGTTCCTCAAGTTCAGCCAAGGCGACTTGAAGCGTGATGCAGCCAAAGCCGACATTGCGACCAGAGCAACAGCGCCAAGTCAAGCAGAAAACTCTACTCAAGCTAGGAGCAACCCCTTACAGCTTCTGTCCGAAGCGGCCACCAACAATCAAGCTGCTGGAGGTAATTCTCAGACGCAATCTGCTACCAACGTCCTCGCGCCGAGTAACAACGGCAACACGGATGTCAACACGGCATGGGCCAACTCCTCGCATGGGGCGAGCTCGAACCAGAAGCCTGATGGCGGTAGAAACAGCAGCATGCCGCCGCCTCCACAGCCTCAGACTCCAGTACACGCTCACCAGCATGGCTTTATGGGTGGCTCACCTGCGCCGTGGCTTAGTTTTGGGTCCGACTTTGACTACATAAGCCTGGGCGATGGCTTCGCGCAGGCGTGGGACATGACAATGGAGGGGCTCGGCGACGGGCAAGGCGGCTTGCAGGACTTCAATAACGGCTTCGCGCTCTTGCCTCTTGAGCCGCTGTCTGGCCCGACTGGTGGTAATGTGCCTGGTTCTGATGTGTTCCCATCATAAGGGCGCAACATCCAGCAATGGCTGCGTCATGCGGGTAGTTCTTGGTGCATCATGGCGGTGGAGCTTGAGCTCGTCGCCTTTTTTTTTCACCCCCTTTTTCTTAAAGTCTCAGAGGCTCGATTGGCGTGGCCCAAAATGTGCCCTCTTTACACCCGTGACTCGTCTCAGCCCATGGGGACTCGTTCGAGGAAGACTGATCTCTGACGTACATACTGTACATCAAACAGCAATATTTTGAGGTGGACTCCTCACTGCAGTGGGCGTTTTGCAGCGTTGCATCAACTATTGTGTTATTTTGGAGCATTGGAATCACGCGGTGTTACAAGACAAGGCACAATTTCGGTGCAAGGTGTTGACGGAGTCTCTTTTTGACGAACGTGACCTACCTACCATATTGTAAATTAGCTGCATTAGGAAGCATTGAGGTCTGGGCATTATGGCCGATTGGCTACGCACAATTCTTCTCAATCCCAAACTACATCTCCCATAAAAGCGCGGCAATCCCTGATACAATTGCGTTCGGTGTCACCTGCTCAGAAACCTAAATATCCAAGGTCAATGACGGGCAGCTCGTACCTTCCGCGGAATGGCACAGGTGCATGACGTGATTTCCCCCTCCGATGTGCTTTGTAATACATGCTTCAATTCCCAATACTCTCAAGGTTTCAACGTCTTGAGACGATGAGGATACAAGCTGGCTTCCTTAATTCGAAAGCAATTACTCATTTAATCCAACAAGATTCACGATGAAAGTAGTAAACTACGCCGCCTGGATCCCCTCCCAAGGCGCCCAGCTGGAGGTGGCTGACGCGCCTTTCCCCACCGACCTCGCCGACGACGAGGTCGTCATCAAGAACAAGGCCGTCGCCGTCAACCCGGTCGACTGGAAGATCCAATCGGCGACCAATCCAATCTTCAACATCAAATACCCCACCGTTCTCGGCTCCGACGTCGCAGGCGAGGTCATTCAAGTCGGCGCGGGAGTAAAGCACCTGAAGAAGGGCGACCGCGCCATCGCCCACGCCCTAGGCCTCTACGCCGGCAGCCCCGCGTATGGCGGTTTCCAGCTGTACCCGAAGGTCAAGGCCGTCACGGCATCCCGGATCCCGGAGGACGTCCCGTTCGAGCAGGCCGTCGTGCTGCCGCTCTCCGTCTCGACCGCCGCGGCCGGGCTGTACCTGAGCGACACGCTGGGGCTGGGGCCGCCCAAAGTGCCGGCCACCGGAGGTGTCAGCGGCTACAAGAAGGAGACGCTGCTCCTGTGGGGCGGGTCGTCGTCGGTCGGCAGCTCCGTCGTCCAGCTGGCCGTCGCGTCCGGGTACGCCGTCGTGGCCACCGCGTCGCCCGCCAACTACGACTACGTCAAGTCGCTCGGCGCCACCCTCGTGCTCGACTACCACAACCCGGATATCGTGGCCATCCTGACGGGGCTCCTGGAGGCGTCCGGCACGCGCCTCGTCGGCGCGTACGACGCCATCGGGTCTGACGGTACCGTGCGCTCCAGCGCGGCTGTCGTGGGCGCGCTGGGCGGGGGCAAGGTCGCGAGCGTCGGGGCCGCGCCTGAGGACGTCGGGGAGGGCGTCAAGGTCGTGAGGATTGGGGCGGCGAACCTTGTCTCACGCGAGCCTGAGGTCGCGCGGGCGATCTGGGGCGAGTACGTACCCGCTGCGCTGGAGGCGGGGAGCCTGCTGCCGCGGCCTAGGGAGCTGGTTGTTGGTCGGGGGTTGTACTTTGTCCAGAATGGCCTTGATACTAACAAGGCTGGGGTGAGCGCGGCGAAGGTGGTTATCACTCTCTGAGAGGTTCGATAGGTCGAGGTTTGACAGTACATTATGGCCCCAGGAGATGTCTACTGAAAACACCTTATGCCCAGGTAACTTCTCTGGGTCGGAGGCGTGGACTAACTTTGTCAATAACTGACAGTGATGATTAAGCTGGCTCCATGTCTAGACTGAGACCAGTCACGATGTATGAAATTAAGTGAGCGGCTCAAATCCATGCGCTTCTCAACCTGCTAGTCTTTACAACAAATTCCGATGAGAAAAGGTAGCCTATAGTTTGGGAACTACGATTTCAACATCTTTGGACCTTGGCTGAGATTGTGACATTGTGACATTGTTCGACTGATGTTTCCACCGTATGAGTTCTCGGAAGCAGTATAGGCACGGTACCGAATGATCCCTTTGTTCGCTTAAGGGACTTTATTGAGCCAGACTCAAATGTCCAATCTAATCTAGAGATAGGCTAGGCGCTAATTGGGACCAAGATGAGGAATTATTCCGGAGCCTCGCAGCGTCGCCGGTTCAACAATTCTATGGGCACGGCTTATCTTTAGGAACAAATTTGATGGTCCAGAGAGTTGCGATCACGGAGACGGCGGACAGAAGACGAGGTGGAATTGATGAAGCATCTGTGGAGTATGAAGCGAGAACTGGCCGTGGACGATTCGACTAGGACTATCGAATTTGCCGGATCAACGGTACACAAAAAATCCAGGGCTGCCATGATTTTTAATTGTAGATTGTGTTCTGCTTCTCGTTGGACAGACACTGAAGCCTCGGCCGGAAACAAGGCGTAGCTGGGAATCAAAACTCATTCTTTGTGCTTCACTTTTCATTCGTGATGGAATGCTAAATTTCAAAAGTTAGCAGCACCAAATATCACTCGAACCTTCATGAACCTCCTTAGACTGCTTCAACTTCTAAAAATATTTTATTGTAGACTTGGAGAGGTGGAGCTATGTCTTCCACCAGTCCTTGCCCTTGACTGACTGATTATCTGCCAGTCCTATCTATGGATTCCACTATCCGTCGCAGCACTTTTGTGATTCATTCCAATATTGCAACGCAACTTGATCATTCACCATGTGGCTTGCGACTGTGGTTTGATAACACAACATAAAAACTATCTTGGGAAGTACTGAGAAGACAAAATCAAATTAGCAATTGTCTGTTCCTACGCAGTTGTACCCTACGGGGAAAACGGTTCACATATAGAGATCAAACCCAAGCAGTGGGTTTAAAGAGACAGCCGAGTAATACACCTGATATGATGTGAAAAAAATCACAAACAAATTTTGAATCACCTGGACCTATCCAGTGTTTATTCAAGTAGGAGGACCACAGGTCAAGCATGCTCTATGTCTGTGCAATGAAAGCCAGCAGCTTTTCGTCTCATGTAGAAACTTGAAAACGCCGTTAATTAACATGGTAAGTACATGTGGAGCCAGTGAATGAGAAACAAGCGCGTTTGACCTGGATTTGGACCCTTTGTACTTGGCCGTGAGCCTTCTTGCCTCCGACACCACAACAACACCACCACCACCATCGCCACTGATCTTCTCTCTCTTTTTATCTATGTGACGATGGCACCCCACAAATCGTGGGCGGAGATCGTGCAGGGGGCGCGCCGAGCTCCCTCGGGCCTTGCGCCCCCCCTCCCGGTGCTGCCCCCGTCCTCCTCCTCCTCAATCTCGGTGGTGGTGGCCGAGCCTGAGCAGCCGCAGCCGCAACAACAACAGCAGCAGCAAGGTGGTGCGGGTGCCACAGGCACCAGTCGATCCTATGCATCGGCTGTGAAGGGCAGCCATAGTAAGGACCTGATTGAATCTTCCCACCTAGCCAGCTCCACCTCTTTCTTTCTTTCACCGACTAACTTCATCCAGGCCCGCCGCCGCTGCCACCACCACCACCACCATCACCATCACCATCACCATCACCACCACCAGCGGAGATGGCCTTTGCGGTCTCTCCAGATCTTCCTGCGGTGACTGCGCCTGCGCCCTCGCCCTCAACCTCGCCCACGCCCACGCCCACGCCCAGCGGTGCGTTTGCGCAGTAAGTATACCCAGCCTTCGCGTTGCAGACTGCTCCCAAGTCGTTTTTTATACTATCGTATACGTCTTCGCGAGTGCCTATATCTACTAGGTCTATCTGAGGCCCTTCCTTCTGGCACACCTTCCTTTTGAGTAGCTTTCTGCTCTTCTTGATTTTGAGATCAACTATCTGCGTCTTGGCCCTTGCACGACCATACCATCACACCACCGCACGAATGTCTTGCTTGTCCTGCTCGCCGCCATCCCCAGCAAAAACTCACAGATTCACTGCTAACAAGAATATTGCAGCCTCTGGACGAGGCCAGAGGGGCACGACGTGGTCATTGTCTGTGGAAAGGCTGGGTGGATGGTTCACCGACATGTGCTAGTAAGCATGTCAGAGTGGATGGAGAAGTATCTCCCACCGGAGAGCGAAGATGTGAGTTTGATCTGCCCCAGAACGCAGACGACTTCGTTAGAAACGGTCTTGAGAAGCTGACATGACGAACAGGGAAAGCCAGTACTCTGGAATCTCGACCCAGTCACCTGGAACCCAGGCAGACTTGAAGCGATCCTTCGCTTCATGTACTACGAAGGTATGAGGCAGTCGTTCCGATTAATCACGTTCAATTCGTGTGTCAATCAGCTAATGTTTTTCCGTATTAGAGTACCCAGTTGGTGATTACAACCCCGAGAAGCCACTGGCAACGGAAAGCATCATGCACAATGTCGCTCACTACATTGCTGGCGCTGCTGTGCTTTGCCGTCCAATGATGGACTTCGCACTGAGTCGCATCGAAGAGGCAACAGCCGAGATTACCAAGAAGCTGCCCACCCTCCGACACGCCCAGCTCGAGAACTTCGAGTACGGACTCCGCATGGCACTGCTCAACATGTACGCCGAGCCTGACCAGTGGCGCATCCGAGCACTTCGCATTGTGATGGGAAAGCTCATGGCCGCTTGCTTCCACATCATCCTCCAGAGTCCAAGTTGGGCCCGCAAATTCGAGAAACTTTGGGGCAGCCTCCGCGTCCGTGTCGTCGCTGACCACAAGTGGCTGTACCAGGCGGAATTGTGCGAAAAGAACGCCGTCATCATGCACGGATTCGAGCTCATGAATATTCGTTGGGCAAGGTATCGAGGTGTTGACTGGCAGCCTGCTGATGACCTCATGTTTCCAGAGGACGAGGTCGATACCCTACCGAAGCCACCTCCACACTCCCCTCCCTCTACACCCCATCGCAAGAAGAAGATGACCAAGGCCATACCCATTATCAGCCCTGGTGGAACCATCGCACCGCGCCCCAACACCCTACCTCGCGGTCGAGGCAAAGGACGTGGAGGGCCTACTGGATTGGTTGAGCCAGCGCCCCAGCCTGTCCGTGGCCAAGGCAAGCAGAAGAAGAAGGCTCAGGGTACTGAAAAGACTGTCATCGGAGCTACCGATGAGGCTGGACCGTCCTCTACTAGCGAGGCGACGTCAACTCCTGCTGCTGAAGCTACCAGCGAGGCAGGCCCATCATCTACCGTCGCTCGAGACGATCCTTTTGTGCTTGCACCCTCGGAGTCCAACGATACCAACGTCGCCTACTGGGCATACATTTCGAGCCGATCCGGCTTCCCTCCTTCCGAACTCGGTTTCACTTCTCAAATCGGCCCTTTAACGAGGCGTGCTTCATCGCCCAGCCGTCCATCGTCTTCCTCATCGGCGCTGTCCGCCGCCGCCGAGCCCTTCCTGCCAAGCGGATCACTGTATTCTGCTGGAACCTCCGCGGGCGAGCCTTCATCTTCGACCATCCACGTAGATCCACGCACTTCCTCCGAATATCTCGACTCTCCCTCCCGTCTTGCCGAATTGTATGGAACCAGTGAGGATGTGCCGAGCAGTGGCAAGGGCAAGGGCAAGGAAGTTGCTGATCTTGTGACACCCGGCTCCTCGTTCAGCCAGAGTGACGATATGGCCACGACCAGTGAGCAGGCGAACCAGGATGAGGCCGAAGAGCACATTATTCCGGTACTCTCGTCGCTAAACATCAGGAAGAACGATGACGACAATACATTTGGTTCCCCGTCACGTGAGAGCCAGAACGAGGACGACGTCTGAGTACTCCATCTACCGCCTTCGACATCAACACCAGCTCTACACGTCTTGGAAATCCCCGAAGCAATTTCCGAAAACAAGGAACATCGGATACTCCCTTGGCTCACAGGTAGGACAAGTTCTATTTGCACGAGGAGACGCAAACCTAGCACTGCATGGCAGATCGGACGCAAATTTGCAGGATACCGACACCAGACAACCCTTCGACTTTGATTCTTGTTTCCAGATCATGCTTCTGCTCAGGACGATATCAGGCCTGGATGCTTTTCTCTTTCTTTCAACTTTCACTTTCTTCTGTGCTCCGCATCGTTCAACGGACCTCATGTCTGCAACCTTCTCGCTCGATTGCATGGACCACTCACTTTTTGCATATCAGCCTGATACGGCCAGGCCTTGGAAGCATAGCAACCGGAGATGACACGGAAGCAAAAGGAGGAAAGTGCCATACTTTTCTTTCCAGCATTGACGATATTGAGGTCACGTCCGTTGGAAAAGGTACCCCTTCTTTATGAGTCCTATTTTCTCTCTTCACAAAAAACAGGGGCAGAATGAATGAATGGATGCATCGATCTGGCGTCGGAGAAGGGCATTCATATGGCATTTGCATGGCATAGCACGTCTTCTGTCTTTCTTGATTTCTGGTTTTCGAGTTTTGATGAGAGGGAGGCATTGGTGACGATTCGGTTCGGTTCGATTTCATTTCAAGGTTGACAAGATGGAAAAATACCCACTTTGTTGTTATGGTTCTGAAAGAGGCATTCTGGCGTTTTGAGCACGGCATTCAAATCCTGGCCAGTATAATGCTAACACTTTTAGGAGAGACATCGGTTTCATACTTGTGAATGAAGTCCTGCATATTTCTAAGCTGACAATTCTCAGTATTTGAAGGTGCTCATATCATCAATGACTGGTCAATGATGCCCATGAGTGAATGCTGCGCTGGCAAGTATAAGCTGTTGGTTGTGTTGCCTGGTCTTGGATTGCTACTGATGAGGCGTGCGCCATCACCGTCATCGTCGTGACACAGTCATGTTTGTTACCAGAATACGTTCACTTGGTGTATGACTTTGAGAGATGTTTTTTTTTTAACGCAATTTGACTGCCAGGACTGTGAACTTGCTGAAATGAGCAAACTGTTGTGAGGAGGCCGGTCGTTAAGCCGATTCTGAATCACGTGAACGTAGGACACTGCGAAATCGTGCTACAGCACCTTGACAGGCACCTGACACGGGTGTTGCGGCGGAGATACGTGTATATAGTAAAAGTAGGAGACAAATCATCAACGGCTAGTCGAATTGATTCTACCAGCATCCAATCAAGCTTCCTCTTGAGATAAAAAATGATGCTGAGCTTTGCGTACATGCACCGCCACCCCCTGTACAGTGCTGTTGGAGGGAATTGGATCAGCCGAGCGGGCGCTTGGCGATAGTTCTTATCCGTCGCCACTCGTCCGGAGGCTTCTTGATCTGTTTATCCGTAGAAAAAGTCGAAGACAGGCTTGATCGAAACTTAATCATGACAACACCCTTGGCAGAATTCGACGCTGCAAAGCACCACCAAATTCGGCATCATACAAAATCTAGGAGGGGATGTGTTGACTGCAAGACTAGGCGTGTCAAGGCACGTTTGTCCTCGCATCGCAACGAGTCAAGCATCGTTCGTTACTAACGCGCCGTCTGTAGTGTGACGAGAAGAAGCCAACATGCTCAGCATGCGCAAGGCGACAGTCACAATGCCACTACATCGTACCAGGCGATCGAAGGCCCGCCGGACTGCCAAAGTCCGGTACTGGCAGTCCTCAAACAGACATTGACAACTCACTCGTCATCCAGCAGAAGCCCTCAATGAGCTATGAAAGCCTCTACACCCCTGAACACATGCTACACCTTCGCCTTCTGCACCAATACAACACCCACACAGTCCAATCCTTCACGGATGCCTTCCAGCTTGAGGGTTTCAAGTCAGAGGTTCTCCGCCTCGAGGTTCCAAGCCTCGCCTTCCAGCACCATTACCTCATGGATGCCCTCCTCTCCATCACCCTCCTCCACCTAGCCAGCACAGATCCTTCCCCTGACCTACCCGTCACCACGTACCGAGACCGCGCGCTACGGCAGCTCCGTCATCAGGTCGAGAACGTGTCGGCAGACAATGCCCGACCTGTCTTCATGGCCTCGCTGTTGTTATCTGTGACTGCACTTGCGGCAGATCGACACACGGGCTATGAAGGGATTTGGCTCACGAACTGGCTTGCGATGGCTATCGGGCCGCGGATAATGATAGATGGGCAGAGGAAACATGTGTCGCTCCGCCCCACGCCGCTGAGGAGAGTGCCGCTGAAGCACGCTGCTCCCGTCGCGATCCCATTAGACCTGGAGGATGCCCTGCGAATGGACGAGGACGACGAGGACTGGGAGTTCCGCGAGGACCTGCAGCGTGCGGCATCCGGGATCGGCAGGCTGTTCGGGTCACTGGTCTGCCCTACCTGTGATTCCTGCGTGGCCTTCAAGGTCAGGTCATGGCCGTTCGTATTTGTCTCGTCGAAATTCGTGGACATGGCCCGTCAGCTGAGGCCGAGAGCCTTGATCGTGATGAGTTACTACCTGCCATTCTTCCACTGGTTTCCAAATGTTTGGCTGTATGACGACGTGGCTATTTTGGAGATGGAGAAGATTTTCGCAGCAGTTGGGAGTGAATGGACTGCGCCTCTGGCGGCCCCCGAGGTTGCTGTGAGAGTAAAGGATACGAGTCTCTTGAAAGAGTTCCTCCTTGGGCTTGTATCCCGTGAATGTCTTCAAGATGAGAAGTCTTTTGAAGGATTTATTTGATGGAACTTGGTAGATCTAAGCAATTGACAATTCAAGGCAGATATGTATTAAGCGATTTTCAGGTATACTCCTGATTCTAATATGGGTGGCTTCGAAACTCAGACCTGATGAAACTCTTAGACGCAACTATCTTACGCTTGGCTAACTTGCCAAGCTGGGGTATCCGCACATCTCCTCCTGACGTGGTGCTTTATTGACAGCACACGTATCAGGAATATCAGCCATCCATATCCTGCATAGCCATGATCTCCTTCCTTCCAGGCACGTACTTGGCGGGATGGAGGACGGCGGTAGCAGCCACGACGCCAAGCATCAGCAGCGCGTCAAAGATGTACAGATACACCTCCGTCGAGAGAAGAACGCCATCGTTACCCTCAATGTACTCGATCAGTCGAAACATCGACCTCACAAAGATCAGACCGCTTGCTACGTAAAGCACGCTCATGACACCCCTCCACCCTCTGATGTGCCTTCTCCATCCCGGAGTCGCCTCCTCGTGCAGGACAGAATTCGGAACATGGTCTAGAAGTCGATGATGAAATACAGCTGCCGCCACGACGAAAAGCCCGAAGAAGATGAGCTGGACGGCTAGACCTAGCAGGATGACGGTCTTGCCCGTGTTCATCGAGCCAGCTGAGGCGAGCATACCTGCTCCCATGACCTGCACCAGAAAGGAGAGAATGTCGCCGACGACGAAAATTTTTGTAAGGCGCGAGGGCTTGATCGGAGAGAGCGGAGTGCTGTGGAGGTGGAGGATCAAACGGCCGAGGACCATGTAAATCGAGGCGGCGAATAGGGCGGGGGCGACGAGGAGGCAGAGTGTTTGCATCATGAAGAAGGCGAGGCTGGAGGTGTCGTTGGCGGAGAGAAACCGGCCCAGGTAGCCTACGATTTCGACTGCGAGATAACTTGGTCAGTAATTTTCGTCTGTCGTGTAGTTGCGTTGGGATAACATACGGAGGCACCCGATGATCAGCGGGATGAAATACCATGCCCGCCGGCGGATGATGATATAAATATGCCATGCGCATCCAATAATGAAGCCGATCAGGAATATCATAGCGGCTGCTCCTGACGGAGTGTACTTGTACAGGTTGTATTTTGCCATTGTCGGATTTCGAGGCGAGTACGGTCGTGTAGGTGTGATTGGGAGACAAGAGAGAGTCAATTGGTAAAGACCGAATGATTTAGAGCCATGGATTGAATTCTACAAAATCAAAAGCGAGAGCCATTATCATATACAAAAGTTTTCGTCAATATTTTCGACTTGTCCTTCGTGCTCCGCCGCATCTTCATCTTCTGAAGCTGTATTTCGCACCTCGCATCTCGCACTTCGCATTTCGCTATCGACACGGTAGAGTGGCTGCATCACACATACCCGTATATGGCCCTTTCGCCCCACACACATTCCGTGGGAAGACGCCATAGTGTCACAAATGGATTCTTGAGAGAGGCTATGTTGGAAAAGACCAGTCAGGAGATGGGGTGTTCTTTTTAGCAAACCCATCCAGTACACACGAAGTGTGTTGTGGGGCGGCATTACTTCTACCGCGTAGAGACCTCAACATAGCATACGCGTCCATCTAATGCGTCCCTGTCGGCTAGCGAATTCAGCCTCTCCTGTGCCGGGGTTCATCTAAACTATTGGATCTCTAGCCTTCTCCCCACATTTCCAAAGCATTTTGTCTTGGCTTTCGACTTCGCTTTTCGCATCACAACACCAAGGGGCTTAGGTGTTACAAACATCTGGCGGGCTAGGATTTGATTGGTTGGTTTATTCCTCCTCGGTTGTGTCCCTCTTTGCACTTCAAGCTGTATCTATATTTGGCTGGTCGACTCGTATAGACACTGATTCTTACGAACGTGATCTCCATGCAAGGCTTCATCAAGGCGTGGTGTCTCCTGCTCTGGTTCTGCGCACCTACAGTCTCCCCCCAACCCCCTCCCAAATGTTCAGCTTCCTCTAAATTATGCATCGATCCTGAATTGCTCGGAAACCTCAGGTTGTTCCATGACTCTGATGGCCTTTGCAACTGCTTCGCGCTCGTTCAACACGGCCTGCTGTTACCTCATGTGATGCGATAAAACCTCGCTCCACCGGTTATCTGGGTCATTCTCTTTTCTCTCTTTCTCCTATCTCTGTTTCGGGCGTTTTAGTCTTCTTCTTGTCCTCGATGTATGCTTCCATAGTCGTTACTCTGCTAGCATCGGCAAGAAGAGCAGGCTGTCCTCGCGCAGATTTGGACCGCCTCACGAGATATGCCCTCTAAGTGGTACCACGACAAACTACAGTAGCAAAAGCGAAACATTGGGGCGAACCCCTAGCCGAAACCAGCAATATTTTGAAGGCCGCCAAGTACCTTGGTGCTGGAGAAAGAGCAACCTTCGACAAAATGCCACAACTCGCGAGAGCTGACCACAACCGCACGGCCACGACAAAAGAACAAGCATAAGACTCGCTGGAAACATGATCCAGACCCTACTTTAAAATACAATGACGAAGAGCAACGGACGCAAGGTCGGCAGCTGAGATACCCGAAGTGACACAGGCAGGAATCGAGACCCAGGTCTTCACAATGAAGCTCTGGAAGCTCTTCCAGCAAAGATGGACTGTCGGCGATGGGAGGGACCCAGCTGTGACCAGTGGACAAAAGCCGAGTGTGAAAGCTTTCCCGCGCATCAATGAAGGCGGGCGTCTTACTACGGCAGTGGAGTCGCAAAGATCGTGCCACTCAACAAGCGGGGCAAACTATACTATTCAGTGGCCAAGGCATGGAAGCCTACCTCGCCGTTATCGAAGCTGGGCGGGCTTCTAGAAGCTGTGATCGCAGAAAGAATATTCTGTGCCGTCGAAGAATTCAGGCTGCTACCAGCAGACCACTTTGGAGCTTGTGGGCGTCGCTCACAGAACAAGCACTCATGCTGCTCTAGGAACACAATTGTCTGGCGTGGCGAAGATAGCAAGTGCTCAGTTTGGTCAACTTTGATATGCATAGTGCCTACAAAAGTGTGTGCAAAGGGAGGATACTCCACAGATTGACAGCACGCGGGATACTGCAACATTTCGTGCAGTTGATCGATGCTTTCTGCTTGAACCGACGGTGTCGATCGAGCTTAATGGGTACGTCTTGGAAAAGAGAGACCCCACACAAGCAGGATTGCCACAAGAATCACCACATCCACCAGCACGATACCTCTTCTGCAACGCACATCTTCTACAGCAAAGATTGGGGCTGATGGTGGGTCAATCATCTTCGTCGACGACATACGGCATGGATGACACACACAGCTGCAGAGGCAAATCGCCAGAGAGCACGGGAAATCATAGACGAGGCCCTGGTTTGGGTTCAGAAGAGCGGAGGATCGTTTGAGACTGATCAGACAGCAATCATCCATTTCACGCGGAAAATGGAACCCATCGATAACACACCGCTCATGATTGATAGACGCCGGCAGCCTCGCCGCCTGGTCGCGTGCTCTCTTTCAGCCAATGCGCGAAACCGAGGACCAATGGCGGAAGTATGTCCTGTACCGATATTGTGGATGAAACCTCGCCACGGTATGTGCGTCGTTGCTTTGGCCATCGGCCGGATCTAATCTGTGAGAAGGCAAGATGCAGAATGCCACCTCGGGCATGTACGTAGTCGGGAACTCGGGGATTATGACGATAAGCTTTCTGACAGGTCTAGCGTTGGCCACTGAGCGAGTATGCCGTGCCCATGAACCAAAAAGCCAATTGTGAAGACCGTCAAAGCGAGGGGGCATATCAAACAAAACATATTTCCTGGAACAGGTCTTCGGTGATCCAGCCTGTCCACACAAGGCACTCGCCTCGCAGGGCCCAATATGGTTTTGACGATGAACCTTTTCTCCGGGCGGAGAGATCTGGACCCGGGGTCCCGCCGCAGGTATAAGGCTTACTCAATATAGCTGGTTTCGGAATCAGGTAGTCTAAATGAGAATGCCATGTGCGCAAGCCCCAACGTCAGCTCACCCAACCTTAATAGCTGCCCCCCAAAGCGTTTACGCTTTTTGACAGAACGTTGTTGGTGTCGCAAGTCCGAACCTTCCGTGGTCATGGTTTCGTTACGACACCGGGCGACAGACGGACATTGAGCTTAGGTCCGCTCGCGTCGTTCTAGGTCTTTTCTTGCACGGCGCTATTCTTCTGCATCCAGAAAGTCAAAGCACCTTCCGCCGGCCATCGTCGAGCTCGGACGTAACACTTGTGATACCAGCCGTGTTGTCTAGGGGCACCCCGACCTGCCGCGATGAACAGGCTCGCAGAAGACATCTGCTCATTCTCGACCCCAAACGCTTGAAAATCGGCAGATGAATCGGACCAAGGAGATCGAGTCAAGTGGATTTGGTCTTGTATGCTTGGACGACGCCGTTGCCAAGTGCAAGAGGGCCCTGCTTTTTGCAGCTGGACGCTGCACTATGCACTATGCAGAGGCCAAGCAGACGAGTCACGATATGCAGGCCAAAGAGGGACTAGAATGTCCAGCAGAGTTCACTTCCCACTGCAGGTTTCAGGGGCGCAGGCCAAGGCGACTGTGTGCCGGACTTCAACACACCTGTGTGGAGCGGTAGGCGCGTGGCGAGGGTTGAGATTGGAGCTGCCTAACTGCAGTCCCGCAGAAACGTCTCGGTAGAGCACAACAGTAGGAGCATTGCCACGACAAGAATGGAGGCAAATCGGGCGTCTGCACTCAGCGAAGACACAGTGGGACAGCAGCCCTAGGGGCTGCTTCAGCCAATATCGTCCTGGGCTGATTACCACCTGTAGGTCGTTTGAGACGGAATCCAGTGGCACGACACATCCTATATTAGGTGGAGCCTTTTCATTGGACAGCGTGTGCATTGAGATGGTGTGGGACGTGCAGCGTAGCTGTGAAGAAAGATGGTACACAGTATGCGGCATGGCTTACGCAGGACCACTTAAGGCCCAAATCCAGACCAGACACTATCCACTCGGCTCGAGCCCTGACGATTGTTGATGTTATACCGAAGTCAGCGTCACGGACGAACGAGTCTATAAGTAGTAAGCTAAGTTGGCTTCATCCACGATAGCGCCACCCAGACCTTGGAAACCATCAATCGGAACAGGCTAGAGGGTAGCTGCAGCGCTACTGCACAGGACTGACAGGCCAACGGCGGGTGCTGCCACCTGGTGGAACCTCAAGAGTTATCGTATACTAAAGAGGATTATTTGAAGGAGATGGTAGCGTCGCCTTGATTTGATTATGTGGTTAAGCAGTCCCAAGCACCCAAGTCCACGAGCTTGTTTCAAGCCAAGTGTTCTCCACGCTTTGGCGACTCCACGAAGGACCACTTGGCATCAAGCAGATGACCCATGATCGACGGTAGCGGAACCTTGCTGCCGAAATGGCGATGGATGATCGATCGGGGAATGAGACGGGTTCTGGCAATTACGGTGAGCTGGCAGGTTGGCAGGCACGCAGGCTGGCAGGCTGGTCGCGGAGCCGGAGACCGGTCTGGCTGTGTTGATTGACCGTGTATGACTGAGTGATGTGCCAGCCCCGGGGATCATGATGATGATGGACGAGGCAGATCAACGGGAACTTGGTCGATGGCTGAGAAGCACAAAGGGACGAGATATCACCGCTTGTCTGAGAGGACAAACGATCGAAGGGCTTCCCGTCTGAGAGTGAGACAGTCAGGCATACAGGTTGGGTGGTTTGTCACTCACTAGTTGGTGAGGAACAGAAGGAGGAGGACCACCCACAGAAGACCAGAGAAGGACAAGGACCCCCGTTGGGACGGTCGAGGGCTGAGAGAAGGAAGGGATCAGCCGGCCAACCCTCCCTTATCGATTATTACCCCACACATTAGACTGATTCGCCAACGTCCAAGGGTGGGGCCCACAGTGACGTTTCCCCCGCGTTTGCTTAGAGGATAGCCGGCACTAACGGCCTCCGAGCCCTGCTAGCGCCAAAGCTAAGACGCACGGACGATATCACCTCATACGCTCGACTATCTGACCAGAGGCCCCTATTGGCCCGTTGTAGCCTACACCCTTGATGCACCCATGTCGTCCAGGGGCACCCATCCCATCCATTCCGTCTGCATTCCACTTGAGGATCCCATCCTCTACTGCCTCTCCTCCTCCATCTCAGTCATAGTAGTCATCAGGGCGTCCATTGACAACACAGCCAACCAACCTTGTTGACTTGTTCAACATCCATCTTCATTTCATTTCATGCCAATCTCATCCCTCCTTTTCCTCTACTCTTCGCACATCTCACCTCAGCTTTTCGCAAGTCACAACCCAAATCTCCGGCCGCCCACCAACCACCCAGTCATTCTGCCACTCAAGCAACCCACAGTTTCTAGCCAGCTCCAGTCATTCAGTCCTTAAGTCCTTTATTTAGTCTTTTCAGTGCTTCAACGACACGTACCTGCGAATCCAATCCATCACCGACACTTGTCACTTGGCGTTCCAGTCTCCTGCATCAGCTATTGGACCCTGAATTCCGCCTCCTGCCTTCCCGGACGGACATAGGAACCGGGGCTTATCACAAGTCACATAAAGGCCGACTGGCATCTATCTGTCTTTCCCCACAATCTCAGCACCAAATCTCAGGGGGATCTTGCCGACAGATCCTTTCCACGACACCTCCCCACCAGCGTACAGCCAACAGCACACAGGTCCACTCTTTCTGCGGTGTCTTGACTCTTGACTCTTTTTGCCAATTTTTGTTACAAGCGGTTGATACTCCAGCCGTCACGACTTGGACTCAGGGCGACTCGTACTCGCTGACGAAAAGGACAAGTTGCATTGCGTTGCGTCGCGTCGAAGGGCCCCCAATTTTGGAATCCGCTTCAAAGCCACCCTCCTGCGGACCCGCCAGCAGCGCCATCAGACCGCGGAGTTAGTCTCGCCCGAATACCACGGGCTTCTCAGCTGATCGAATCCCGACTCTCTTTCTCGTCAGTACATCAGCGTCTTTCTCACATTTGTTGTGCATCGCCCCATCCCGTGTCATCAACCGCCTTATCAGTGGGCAAGACAAAGGAGAGACATTGCAGCGAACCATCCAGCCCAATCCCACGCCCTGGTCGATTGAACCACGCACATTAAAGCACAGGAGATCCCTGGCTAGTCTCTGAGCTCATCGTTCGACCCTGCAACGGGCTACGCTCTGGTGCCGCCTCTGATTTAGAACACCTCAACATATTGACGTTTCACTCTCCACTTTACTCTGCTTCCGGTGTCGCACAATCCTCGAACCATCCACCAGGAAAATCATATCAGGCAATCGTCCCATCGCCTCCATTCGAGCGCCGCCATCTCGTTACCCTTACCCACCACCTGCATTGTGCCCCTCTCGTCGGCCTCTGGCACTTTGGTATAAGATTCGCCCAGAGCAGTCCCACACACACTCAAGATGTCTTCAGACACTCCCAACTCCAACAACGGCAACAACAACGCCAGCTCCAACTCTAGCTACAACTACAAGCCCCCCTCGCCCCCGCCCGCCGACATGCAGCACAATCGTCGTGGTTCCGTCACTTCCGCCGCCTTCGCCAACCTCTTCCAGCGGACCAACTCCGCCACCTCCGGTACTCCTGTCTTCCCAGGTGCCATCACATCTGCCGCCATCAATGAGCAGCGCCGGAGACTGTCCCTGTCCACGACGTCCCTCGGTCTATCGGGCACCTCTCCCACCGGCAACCCTTCCTTCAACCGGCGAGCCAGCTTGTCCACCAACAACTCCGACTCTGTCGATGAGAACGCCATCGAGGAGGAGGATTACTCTGCCACCTCACGCAATGCTCCCGTCTCCCCCTTTGCTCGTAGGATGAGCTTCGGCACCTCTGCAGCCATGCGTCGCCCTGGTGGCAGCAGCCCTGGAACAGGCAATGGTAGGCCTAACACTCAATCTCCTGGTGATGCCGTCTCTCCTTCCATGCAGCGCCGGGGCACTATTGCTGTGCCCCCTTCCCCTCCCGACAGCGCTGCCGCGTCTGCGACGTCCTGGAAGTCTCAGTCTTCCACTACGCCTCAGACGAATCCAAGCAATGCAAGCAATACAACACGTCCCAGAGCCGTTTCTGACTTGTTCTCCGCTACTCCAAAAGACCAGGGCTTCAACTGGTCGGAGCAGCTTAGGTCTCGTGCCGAAAGCACTGTTGCATCGGGCCAACGCCCCTCCTTCTCCTTCGCCTCGGGCATGACCGGCTCACCCCCTCGCAACGGAGCTGTCCCTCCCCCGGGCACTCATGACCGTAACCGGTCTGTGTCTGAAATGCCCGCGCCTCCGGCTCAGACTCCCAAGCCTCGATCACCACCTCGGGACACCCGCCCCAAGCCTGACGCCTTCCAGGAGCGGATCCTGAAGGGTGACTTCTACATGGATTGAAAGAAAAGCGTTCGTGCAATACACTACAGACAAGACGATTACTACGATCAAAAAGCACTGCTGTACGATTGGACCAAGGCGGCGTAACAGGAATCAAAAGGCAAGAGTTGTCTGTGCTTGCACATCGCACTCTACATTGCATCGCGGCGGCGTTCCGGAAGCACAATAATCTTGTGCGGTAAAACACACTCGCTCTGGGCCATATCTGAGCTCTTATTGGGGTGTTAGGAGTCCTACCCCACCTACCTCGGTCAAGAGGCCCGGGTTCGGCGGTTTTGTCAATGGCGTTATCACCAATGGACTAAGTCTCTCTTTGGAATGTACGCCTGTGGACGGTTTGTCAAAAAAGATTCACCAGAGCACGGGGATGAGATACGGCGGCCAAGATCGGGCCCACGGGGCGTTTGTACGGTTGCTACGCTGGCGTTTGTGGGACACCCAAGGTGGACACACGTGTGTATGGCTCTCAGATTGAAGGGAACGGAAACGGTAAAAGGGCATTATGTCAGGAGGCATGGAAAGCATTTGATGTTTGCACCAATTGTCTACGATAATCAGGAGCCTTTTGTTTGCGGATGAAGTCTAACCTTACATCAGAGCTGGTCAGGGGGCGGGGGTTACCAAGGGGGGTTTCTGGCTTTCGGGAGAGGGCAGAAAGGAGGTTCAGTCTGGCGTTCCGGTACCTCACCAGATTGACACAGCTTGTCGAACTGATTGTTCCAAGCTCGAAACTGAAATTAACAAGAAAATGTAAAATTCAAATCAAGGAACCCTGCGTCTCTTCATGTGCCAATGCCACACGCTTATGACATGCTTTTTTTGATTGGCCGGCTCCTAAACGATGTAAACATGGAAGGTCTAACATCTGTACCCTCGCTTTCGTTCGGACTGAATTGAATATCCACATGCTCCGTTTATCTATAAACGCCAATAACACCTTACTCGCCGGAGTAGTTCCTACGGAACGGGAGGATACTTTCCGCGAGGGTATGCAAGACATTCCCGCCCCCCTTGTACCGGGACGGGTGCCCAATGGTGACGTGCGCGCCGTTCCGTTTCGTACGCGGACGTGGCCGGCATCGAACGATAAACTGGGGCACCTGGGGCACGCAACTGCGTTCCTGGCGCCCTGTCGACTTAAAACCCCTGGTCCCCCTCGACGCGCGAACAGCGCCCGCGCCTTTGCAACGCCGCAACGCGCAGTGGCAAGCCCCAGGCCCCTTACATGCGTAGCGTAGCGTAGCGCTACTACGCACACACGCACATACATATCGCACGGCCTTAACCGGAACCGCCCGTTCATGGGCCCATTGCTATGGGGCGCACTGTGACATTATTGCAACGGGTTCCGAGGCGAGCAGGGGCGGTCGGAGTATTTCGCCATGGTTTGCCTCGGATCCGCTCAGGTCTTGATCATGAAGATCTGGGTGCATTGTTAGCCAACATCCTTAACGAGCTCGGCATTCTCCGCCGTGGTAGTCGCTTACCTGGTTCAGGGCTGCTTGATCCATCACGGCTGCACGCTTTTGGGCTATGAATCTTGATCTGGCGAGATGTCGTGTTGGAATGGAAGGTGTCGACGTTCCGCTGGCGGCTGGTGTTGACAACTGTGTGGGCTGTGGTGTGGGCTCCTCATCGGCTGCTTTCCTCTTCTTCTTGCTCTTCTTAGATTTTGAATCTGACGCGCCCGCCGCATCCTCGTCTTCATTCTCGAGCTTTGATTTCCTGCGCCTCTCCTTCTTCTCTTTCTTGGCCTTCTTGCGGTCTGCGGCCTCCTCATCGGCGTCGTCTGGGCTTGAATCCTCGTCCTTATCTGAAGCGTCCTTCTCTTTCCTCCTCTTCTTGTCCTTCTTTTCCTTGCGTTTTGACTTTGAGTCCTCGTCCTCATCCTCGGACTTGCGTCTCTTGGATTTTTTGTCTTTCTTCGAGTTCGATTGTGCACCCTCTGCATCCTCGGCCTTCCTCTTTTTGCCCTTCTTCTTTTCTTTCTTTTCGGCCTCGCTTGACTCTCCAGACGCCTCCTCTGACTCTGAAACTCCAGGGACTTGTGCTGCGTCCTGCTTCTTGTCCTTCATGGAGTCTGCCAGCTCCTGAACCTTGTCGCCGACGAGCAATCCGCCGTAGACGAAGGTCACTGTGCCCAGTTTCCGGTGCAGGTACTTGTTGATCTTCAGGTCCTCCCTCTTCTTCTTTTCCTCGCCCAATGACTCGTCGCTCTTGCCGTTCAGCCTGGAGAGCAGGTCCTGCAGTGCGTCCAGGCCGGTGCACTCATCTCCCTGGTTGCGCTTGGCGCCCAGTCCGAGACTATCATCCTTCAACACAGCGCGGATGTGGGTGGCGTTCGCTGCGCCGTAGTACTCGGAGTGCGACGCATTCTCAGCACCCAGATACTGGCCTGGGGCCCAACCCTGGGACCGTAGGATCTTGTGCCCGAACGTGTCGGTGTTGCGGGACCAGTTGGTGTTGTTAGGGTCTTTGGCCCATTTTCTCTTGCTGTGAAATGTGTTAGTATTGTAAAAACTCGACAGTGTCTCGGTATCAGTGCCCAATTACTTTTTGGTGCCGGCGAGACCCATGGTGGAGGCGCTGGGTCGGTCTGGAGCTGGATCTCGGTTGCTGGTGAATTTGGATTTAGATTTGGATGTCGGGATGTCGCTTTCCCTTTCGAAATTTTTGGCGGGCAGAATCCACCGAAGGGCCCTCCCAGCCTAGCCAGTTGGTGGTCAAGTTGCCTGCCGCCTAGCGCCTGCCATGGCTCCCAGCAAATTGCCGACGCCGGCCCGAGCAAAAGTTGCAAGGCATGAGCGAGACCAACATGCCTCATGCCTTGCACCTGCTGCAATGAATTAGTTGCAGGCCAACAAAATTCAGTACAACACCTTGGAGTGAATCACTCTCATTCTGACAGCAGAGAAACTAAAATTCAATTTACTGGCTTCGATCGTCGACTGCCTCCACAGCAATCAACATGCCCGGCAGGAAGCGAGCTGCCGCCGACGACGGAGACTCGTCTGAAGACGAGATCAATGTGGACCAGGTGATCAGAACCAAGGTCGAGCTTGGCAAGGTATTTTCTGCCAGTCTTATGCATCAATTCTCAACAATTGACCTCATACTTCTAATCAGATTCGCAAGGACCGTGAGAAGAAGCGAGCTCAGATAAAGGCAGACCTGGACAAGAAGCTTGACGGCCTGCGCGTCCGCGTCGAGCGGAGCGTCACGGCTCATACCAAGCAACTGTCAGCACTACAAGCACTTCTTCTTTGAGCACGCCAGGGGCTGACTTATTACACACAGCGGCAACGTCCACAAGCAGCAGGTGGATCAGCTCCTTCAGGCCATCGAGGCGAGGGACAATATCTTGCAGGACATCGGCGAGAAGCTGTCTGAGATGCAGGACAAGGGTTTCAACCTTGCCACACATCTTGACCAGGCCTATGAGTACAGGATGAAGAAGCTTGAGCGCCTCGCCATGCCTGTGAAGGACCAGCGGGTCCGTGGCAATGACAGGACCAAGTCGGACGCTGCCTGAGTGGAGGTTGCTACATTTGAATTTTTAGACGCAGCTAATCCTGAGCAGTGACTGAGAGGCTCAGAGTGATCATGGAATGTTGTTCGGAAAGTGAGATGGTGGGAACTCGGGCGGTGGCGCATTTGGCTGTTTGATGATACCCTCTGTGTGAATCGTAGCGTTAGCGTTTGTAGCAAGCTAATTAGTTTGTTAGGCTTATAGCTATAAGTAGGCCTTAGAGGGATGCAGCTTTCAGCTATTTTCTATAACTAAGTAAGCAACCTATACTTAAATAAATACTAATATTTTTAAATATATATTATATTTAAATATATAACTTAGCTAATACTAATTAATAGTTATAAGAGTAATTATAAATAGTTAAGTATAAAAAGAGATAGTTTATTATTTTAGGATTTATATACTATTTATATATACTTTTTATAAAGTAGTTATATTAATATTTATTTATATTTATAAACTTATATTTATTATAAATATTTTTTATAAATATTAATAAATTATTATATAATTAAAAGGATTTAAATATAGTAAATGTATTTTTTAATTTAATTATTTTAAATATTTATTATACTTTAAATTAAATATTAATTTTTATTAAGCTTTAAATTCTTTATTTATTTTTATTAATAAGTAAATTTATTATATTTTAGTAATATTATAGTATATAAAAAAAAAGCTATTATTTATATATATTTATTATATATTTAATAAGTAATTTTAAATATAATTATATTTAAT